ACTGCACTCAGATTTCTGCCTTTTCTGTGATGTAGGTATGATGTATCTAGGGGGTGGTCTTGGGCTACACCCCTTCTGTGATGTATGTATATATGTATGTTTCTGGGGGTGGTCTTCTCCAGGGTGGGCAATTTCAAATGTCTATGGTCTCTTCCCCCCCCCCCCAACTGCCTGTGTGTGGGGGAGCACCCTTTAATAACGATCAGGCTTACTAGCTGCTTTGCTTCTCAATATTCTCTGGTTTGTCTCTGTTATTTTCTCCTACCAATAGAGAACCTAACAAAGGACTCTATATGGGCTCTTGGATACCCCATAAGGGAAAAGGAGCAGTTTTTATTCTTATAAAAATAGCATATATTCAACACAAAAATCAGTAACAATTTGTTGTTGACAAAGGACAGCTGGGCATATAAAGTGCCCCATTATCTTCAGTAGCTTAGGGCCTGATCAAAACTAAATCAGGCCCTGCACATCCCATGGTTTCCTTCCACTGCCAGAACAGTAAAAATGGATCTGGTGGATTTAGGGCCTGTTGTTGTTTATTCGTGTCCGACTCTTCGTGACCCCATGGACCAGAGCACGCCAGGCACTCCTGTCTTCCACTGCCTCCCGCAGTTTGGTCAAACTCATGCTGGTAGCTTCAAGAACACTGTCCCACCATCTTGTTCTCTGTCGTCCCCTTCTCCTTGTGCCCTCAGTCTTTCCCAACATCAGGGTCTTTTCCAGGGAGTCTTCTCTTCTCATGAGGTGGACAAAGTATTGGAGCCTCAGCTTCACGGTCTGTCCTTCCAGTGAGCACTCAGGGCTGATTTCCTTCAGAATGGATAGGTTTGATCTTCTTGCAGTCCATGGGACTCTCAAGAGTCTCCTCCAGCACCACAATTCAAAAGCATCAATTCTTTGGCGATCAGCCTTCTTTATGGTCCAGCTCTCACTTCCATACATCACTACTGGGAAAACCATAGCTTTAACTATATGGACCTTTGTTGGCAAGGTGATGTCTCTGTATGTAAACAACCTCAATTCACAGTTGTTCCTCCAAGCTCATGGATCACGGAAACGTACCTTGATAACATTTTCGCATAGTCCTGGCTCCCCACCCTTGGCCACACCTTGACGTGTTCTGTGTAGTTAGTTAGTTACCTGACTGCTTATCAGCGATGACCCTGAATCTGACTCTGTGTGTTCTGCTGCCATTTGAGAGCACTGCATTTGAAGCGATACAAGGATGTCTGGCAATAGTTCACACTTGCATCTGAACAATCATTCACCTATGTCAGGTGTTTCACATGTGTGCCTCTTTCTGTTGCGAATGGATCAGAGTGGGTTCATATATCAGGCCAACTGGGTTGTTTTGGGGGGGCGGTGGGGTTTTTTAAATAAAAAAAATTATATTTTAAAGCTGTGGGGTTGCGAACCCCCGGTACAGACACCCGATCTGATCTCCTAAGCATTTTTTCCTACTCTTCCCCCACTCTCAAAAAGAAAACAAGGAAAATAAATAAATAAGCAAATTGGGCGCATTGAGGTGGGTAGAGCCCAGTGCCCTCTGGGGGATGCAAGTTTCCCCTCTTCTCCCACCATCTGCACCCCCATTCTTCAGCCCAGACACTGAAATCCAGCACCAAGTGCCTTCTTCTGGCAGTTCCCCCACTGAGAGAAGTGAAGCTTCAGGGGACCAGTGTGGTGTAGTGGTTAAGAGCGGTGGACTCGTAATCTGGTGAACCAGGTTCCATTCCCCGCTCCTCCACATGCAGCTGCTGGGTGACCTTGGGCCAGTCACACTTCTCTGAAGTCTCTCAGCCTCACTCACCTCACAGAGTGTTTGTTGTGGGGGAGGAAGGGAAAGGAGAATGTTAGCCGCTTTGAGACTCATGAAGGGGAGTGAAAGGCGGGATATCAAATCCAAACTCTTCTTCTTCTTCTACCAGGCAGAGGGCCTTCTCAGTAGTGGTGCCCGCCCTGCAGAACGCCCTCCCATCAGATGTCAAGGAGATAAGTATATAACCTTTAGAAGACATCTGAAGGCAGCCCTGTATAGGGAAGATTTAAAAGCTTTAATGTTTTGAGTTTTTTAATTTTTATTTCCGCTTTTCAGATTTATACGTTTCACTAGTTTTACAATCATTTTAACATTTCAAAGCTTGACTTCCTTCCCCCCCTTTCTGCAGTTCATTAAATTTATTTTTAATATCTTCTGTATATCCAAATTAACTTAATTTGCTTATTTATTCATCTACTATATACTCCACAACTGCAGGTTGTTACAATAACCCTCCCAGTGTTCTTATCTGTTTACAATTTATCTGTAAATATTCAATAAACCAGTTCCATTCTTTTATAAAAAGTTTGTTATCTTGATTTCTTCTTCCGGTAAGTTTCGCCATTTCTGCATATTCCATAAGTTTTTGTATCCATTCCTCCTTTTGCTGGGACTTCTGCTTCTTTCCATTTTGGGGCAAGTAAAATTCTTGCTGCTGCAGTAGCATATATGAATAAGTTTCTATACAGTTCCGGTAGTTCTATCCCTATAATTCCCAAAAGAAAAGCTTCTGGTTTACGTTACATTCCAACAGGTCTCTCTCCAATTGTGATATTTGTTCCCCAAACTCTTGTATCCTATCTTTCTTAGATACTTCATTCAAATGATTATATTGTATCCATGTTGTTAATTTCCCTAATAATTCCTTAAATTCTTTTAATTTATACTCTCCTCCCTCTTGTTTTAATAAATTTCTATAAGTTGTCCACCCTTCTATCATATTCTTTTTCTTTATCGCTTTCTTCCAACAATGAGAGCCAATGTAGTGTTTTACCTCTAATAAATGCTTGTATTTATCCCATATTCTCTACAATTTTTTCCTAATTATGATTTGTAAATCCTTTATGAACTTCACCTTTTCATACAATAAATAAGCAAAAATACTGTCATGACCTTCTAAGTCTAGAATATGTGAATTCTCTAATGTCACCCATTCCTTCAACCAATAAAGACAGGATGCCTCATAGTATAGACTCATATCTGGCAGGGGACAACCAACTCTTTCTTTTGCATCTATCAATATTTGATATTTTATTCTCGTTTTTTTCCCCTTGCAAATTTATTTAGAAATATCTTTTTTGCCAGATGACCCCCAGATGTTCGGACTTCAATTCCCATCAGCCCCAGTCAACAGTCTACCCTCAGGAATGATGGGAGTTGTGGTCCAGCAAGATCTGGAAAGCTACAGGTTTTCTAAATTAACAATGGGTAACGTAAGAGCCCTTTAAAAATAATTAAAAGGTTCTAGTCTTCTCAGCTCTATTTTGCCCATGCTTACTGAGTAGCAAATTCTACTGAGTTTAGCAAAACTTATTCCCAAGTAAGGGCATGTACTGTTTTAGTCTTAGATCATGCTTAAGTGTGAGACGAAAAGAGTACCAAAAAACTTGATCATTGGTTTTGCTCAACTTCTGACATTGCAAAGTCTCATTTTTTTTAAAGAGAACTGCTTGAGAGAAATAAATAAATGATAAGATACTGAATTATACTAAAATTCATTTTGAAAGCTACATATTAGAAGCCAATTTGATTGTTATCTTAATAGAAAAGTGGAATGCACATATGAAATAAACTTAAATGAATTCATGTAAAAGAGGATTCAAGAAGTCATTTAGAAAAACTGGGCTTCTTTAGATCCCATTAGAAAGAACTTTTCAAACAGAAACAAATTACCAGGGAATAATGATCGAGAAGAAACTTTAAAAAACAGCAACAATCAAACGTGTAGGTGAAATATACATATCTGAACAAAATAACCAATATAAATAAATATATTAATAGTACATGTCCAAGTCTCAAAACCTTGCTTCTAATTAACAGTTGAGCAACAATCAACAGCAGAAAACACCTTCCGATTCAATTCAACATCAAGGATAGCAGATCAATCTTCCCCCAACCAAGAACAAACATAGCTCTTCCTATTTTCCTGTCATACCACCAGAATGTTCAACTTTTAGTCTCCTTTTTTACAAAAATAAAAAATGGACTACAATTCCCATAATCCCCAGCCAGCCCAGCTAATGGTCAGGGATAATGAGAGTTGTAGTCCAACAACAATCTGGGGACACAAAGATGAAGGACAATTTACCACCCATGTGAGAGTTTATTTAATCAGCCATTAACACAAAGAGATGAAGCCCCAGTAAGAATAGTGCAGTCCCAGTTCTATGTGACGACAGAGCAATGGGCCGTCTGTACTTGGTAGAAAGCTGGTTTTGTTACTTTGAAGTTCTAGATAGGTGGGATATTTTGGGGTACACGCAAGGAAGATGCTAAATATCGCCCGAAAGCCAAAAATTCTGCACACACACAATTCCAGCGTGTAGGTTTCAGACCTTTGGCCCTGCAGATGTTGCTGTATCTCCAATCCTTGGCCACTGGCCATGCTTGCTGGGGTTTGATGGAAGTCCCCAGCACCTGTTTTTAGATCATCAAGAACAACAGAAAGAGCACAAAAGCAAGGCCCTTGTTCTGCCAAGTTTCTTTCCCCCCGTAGCCTTTACACCAGATTCTTCTGACCAAGCAATAGTGCTCCCTTCCATCAACGTGGCTCAACTGAGCCACATCTTCAGTTTATTGTCGCTGCCCCATGACTCTCCACCTGTGTGTTCAGACAGATCTATGGTGCCCGAGGTCTGGACCTCTCCTTTTCATTGACCTTGCACCCACCCCCAAGTGGAAAAAAGGGCAGAAGCGAACTCTCAAAAGGGTTGTGAGAAAGAAGTTTAAAAATGAAGAGGTGTGATCAGTGATGTCTATTAGTCTTCTATGTTGCATTAGATTACATTGTCCTTTAACCCAGCATCTATCTATCTGAACTTTGGGTACCTGGCGGCACAAAGAAGGGACAAAATCCTACCATAGCTGGTGGTTCTTGACCTTACAGGGGGAACCAATGGATGGCATTCAAAGGGAGATCTCCCTAGGGCACACCTGCTGCGAGTTAGGCTTGGCGTATTTAGGTGTCAGAGAGGAAAAGCTTTTTCCTTAGGGTATGCTTCAACATGACAAAATACTGTTCCGTAGGGTGAGTCCTGTTCCGCGAATAAACTCTGTTGTTCAGCTCCACCAGGATATCCAACAGATGCAACTTCCTGTAAGGGAAGAAGGGGGAGGAAAAGAGTGACAGTTGTCAATAGCCACATAGCAATCTGTAAAAAGTAATTTCCAACTCTTGACTTTGCCGTAATATTTTGGCACCGGACATAGTGGAGCGTATCACAATTTAAGATGGTGTGCTTTGCAATATGCTCCATAAGCAAAGCAAAAGGGCGGGGGGAGGGGGAGGAAAGAAAAGGAGATTGTTTTTAAAAATGAGGAAGGGAGGCAGGAGCTCAAAGCTCCTTTAGACCACCCCTTTACAATGCTCCTGGTTCCTCTCTCCAGTGCTATAACGGCTAGAACATGGGTAAGCAAACTAAGGCCCGGGGGCTGGATCCGGCCCAATCGCCTTCTAAATCCGGCCCACGGATGGTCCAGGAATCAGCATGTTTTTACATGAATAAAATGTGTCCTTTTATTTAAAATGCATCTCTGGGTTATTTGTGGGGCATAGGAATTGGGTTCTTTTTTTAAAAAAATATAGTCCGGCCCCCTGCTAAAAAAGTTTGCTGACCCCTGGGCTAGAACCTTGGCTTTTTAAGTGAAAGCAGTTCCTTAGGTGCCGAAATTCCAACGGATCAGAAAAGACTATTTACCGGTATGTATGCGACAACAGCCACTCGGATTTTACTTGCCCAGAGATGGAAAGAAGACAGCAAAGAATGGCAAATTAAGTTGATGGACTGTGCCAAATGGGTAAAAATGACTGGAAGAATCAGAAATCAGGAAGACCAAAATTTTAATAAGGAATGGGGAAAATACATAATTTACCTTAAAAACCATTGTAAACAATTAAAACCACTAGCAGGATTGGAATAACACTTGTAGTTCAGTGTTGAATTTTGGGTATGCACTATGCTGTTTTAAATGTGCATTTTATATTTGACTTCACTTAGCAATGTTTTCTTTCGAAATGTTTAAGATTCTTTTTTTTTGTTAACTTTGTTTGTGTTAAATAGGTATTCTGTAGTTGACCTCCTTTGTAATGTTTTATTTTGAAACCTTTCAGATAATATTTTAGTTTCCTGTTCATTATGTTGCTTTGACTGTATACTTTATATTGGACTTTCTTCAGAAATATTTGATCCTGGATTGTTTTTACTGATGTTTAATATGCTGTAAACCGCTTTGAGATTTTTCTTAAAAATATAAGGCGGTATAGAAATGAAATTAATAACAGTAATAATAATTTAAAAGATTTGGATTAATAGAAAAGATGCAGGAGGAAAGGGTTAATACAAGGACCCACAAAGGGGAGGAGGGAAGTTCAGGAGATACTTTGAAATTCTCTTTTTATGTTGGTTGTTGGATAATCGATTGTAAATTTCTAAAATCTGAAAAACTAAATAAAATTATATATATATATATATATATATATATATATATATATATATATATATAGTGAAAGCAGTTTCTCAGAGGGTTACCGTATTTTTCGCTCCATTAGACACACTTTTTTCCTCCTAAAAAGTAAGGGGAAATGTGAGTGCGAATGGCGCTGCGCAGAGAGGTAGAGCTGCGCAGCGCCCCTTCAGCGAAGCGGGAGGAGGAACGGAGACCCTTCTGTTCCTCCTCCCGCTTTGCTGAAGGGCGCTGCGCAGCTCTCCCTCTCTGTGCAGCGCCTGTCCTGCGAAGCCGGAGGAGGAACAGAAGGGTCTCCTTCTGTTCCTTCTCCAGCTTCGCTGAAGGGGCGCTGCGCCTTCTCCGTCTCTGCATAGCGCCTCTCCCGTGAAGGAGAGGCGCTGCGCAGAGAGAGAGAACTGCACAGAGCCCCTTCAGTGACGCGCCTGTTCCGGAAGCTGGAGGAGGAACAGAAGGGACTCCTTCTGTTCCTTCTCCAGCTTTTCAGAAGGGGCACTGTGCAGTTCTCCCTCTCAGAGAAGGAGAACTGCGCAGCGCCCCTTCAGCGACGCGCCGTCCTGGCTTCTGCCTTAGCCCTGCGCAGCCTCTTCTGGCAGGGGGAGCCTTCATCCCGCTGCCCTGAAGAGGCTTGGCGCGGTTATCCCAGAAGCCAGAACAGCCACACGGTATCCCAGAAGCCAGATCCCTCTTGCTGTTCTGGCTTCTGGGATTCAGAATAATTTTTTCTTCTTTTCCTCCTCCCAAAACTAGGTGCGCCTTACGTTCTGGTGCGTCCTTTGGAGTGAAAAATACGGTATGTTCTGCAACCATTCCCATATTTCCATCCTTTTCTGCACTCATACAAAAATGCAACACAGGAACCACCCATAGGAAAAGTGGAATTGCTACTTTGCTGTTGTTCACGTTGAGAAAAAAGCCTTTCCCCCCTCCAACTTTCTACCTTTTGTGTGGCTCAGTCAGGAGGTCAGCTAGAGCAGACAGGTAGTAAGAGGATGTACTCTGCGATCCCTCCAGGTATGCTGCATCCAGCATACATTGGCTCCAGAGAATGTCTGCTCCTTGCGGAATGGTACACAGATCTCCGTCTGTCTCTATTAAGCTGGTATTTTCCTGCCTGCTTCCGCGCTCAACATAGTTCTGGACGAAGAACAGCTTGGGTTTCCCCGAGAGATAAACGCACGCATCGCCAGTAAAGAAATTCTTCAACCTCTCCAGGGAGAACGCAGGAGCACCCTGGTCTGTGCAGAAGATGCCTTGCTCGTTCCCTCGACTGATGAGGACGCAAACGAAGCAGTCATAGTCCTTGTGTTGCTTCAGCCTCGCGACCTCGAACAGCTCGCGCACCAAGGACTCCACACTCGGGAAGAGGCAACAGTGGACTTCGAAGGACAGCGCTTGGAAGGCTTCTGCCAGCATATCTGGAGAAAGAAAAACGCCCGGAAAAAGAAATTATGGAAAGGTCTTGCCAAATGCAAGGTGGTTCTTTTATAATGAGATTCAGAGGCAATACAATGCACAAGTGAGTGAGAAGATTTTTAAAGATTTTATTCTAAACAGCAAGTCATAGATACATCGCCAAGCAAGCACTTCAATCTGCCACTTGGAATAATAATAATAATAATAATAATAATAATAATAATTTATTATTTGTACCCCGCCATCTGGCTGAGTTTCCCCAGCCACTCTGGGCGGCTTCCAACAAAGACAAAAAATACACTAAAATGTCACACATTACAAACTTCCCTGAACAGGGCTGCCTTCTCATTACCTGGCTGCAGGCATACAACCTGAACTCCCCATGGAAGACCAAGTACATAGTCTAGTGGGTGCTCCTTGAATCTTAATATAAGAAGAGCCCTGCCGGATCAGGCCCAAGTCCCATGTAGTCCAACATCCTGAGTTCTAGTGATATGAGAGACAACGTCCAACAGCTGCTTCTAGAAGCTTCAGTCACACCTGGAGAAATCAAATCTGGCCTCAGCAGCACATGCCTTAGTCCAGGGATGATGATGATGATGATAATAATTTATTTATACCCCACCCATCTGGCTGGGTTTCCCCAGCCACTCTGGGATGCTTCCAACAAAACACTAAAATACAATAACCTATTAAACATTAAAAGCTTCCCTAAACAGGGCTGCCTTCAGATGTCTTCTAAAAGTTTGGTAGTTATTCTTCTCTTTGACATCTGGTGGGATGTCAAAGGCGGGCGCCACTACTGGGAAGGCCCTCTGCCTGGTTCCCCGTAACTTGGCTTCTCACAGTGAGGGAACCACCAGAAGGCCCTCGGCGCTGGACCTCAGCGTCCGGGCAGAACAATGGAGGTGGAGACGCTCCTTCAGGTATACTGGACCAAGGCCGTTTAGGGCTTTAAAGGTCAGCACCAACACTTTGAATTGTGCTCGGAAACATACTGGGAGCCAATGTAGGTCTTTCAAGACCAGTGTTATATGGTCTCGGCGGCCGCTCCCAGTCACCAGTCTAGCTGCTGCATTCTGGATTAGTTGTAGTTTCCGGGTCACCTTCAAAGGTAGCCCCACGCAGAGCGCATTGCAGTAGTCCAAGCGAGAGATAACTAGAGCATGCACCACTCTGGCGAGACAGTCCGCGGGCAGGTAGGGATGCAGAACTCCATCCCTGACAGCGCTGCCGGATGGGACCAAGATTCCCCACACCTGGCTTAGCTGCATCCAAGTGGGATTACACCAACGCTTTCTACGTCAGGTAGCCTTTGAAGGCGATTTGGAAACAGCAACAGATACAGCATAGGACTGCCAGAACACTGCTGCTAAAAGATCTGAGCAAATTATGGAGACTTTACATAACTACACAGGCGGCCTATGTATTTCCAGGCCCAATTTAAGGTGCTGATATTTACCTTTATTTTATTTTTTTTAATAATTTTTATTAAAGTTTTAAACAAAGAAAAAAAAGAAAAAACAACACACACAGAAAAACAATACAAAATTTAACAATAAAAACACAAAACATAACAATTAAAAACAAACTCTCTTTTCCATTCCCAATTTTAGATTACTTATTTTCTGGACTTCCTCATACCTCCCTCTTTTGTATTCCAATCTACATTATTTGTCCAGCAGTTTCTTTTCCACTTTTTTAAACCCAATCTTTAATTTAATAAAATATTAAAATATATAGCTTCAACTTTTTAAACATAATCCTTGTTCTTAATGTCATATACCTTTAAATTTTTCCCTTTTATTATCAAATTTCCATTTCTTTAAACATCTTTAATCTTGATCTTTAATCTTAATCTATCCTTAACTTTAACCTGTACAGCTGGAAACCACTTATTTTCAATCCAACATCACTCTAACATTCCTTAATTTTGCAGTGTTTCTGAAGATAGTCTTTGAATTTCTTCCAGTCTTCCTCCATCGACTCTTCTCCCTGGTCACGGATTCTGCCAGTCATTTCCGCCAATTCCATATAGTCCATAAGTTTCATCTGCCATTCCTCCAGCGTGGGAAGTTCTTGTGTCTTCCAATACTTTGCGATGAGTATTCTTGCTGCTGTTGTTGCATACATAAAGAAAGTTCTATCCTTTTTTAACACCATTTGGCCCACTATGCCCAGGAGAAAGGCCTCTGGTTTCTTGGGGAAGGTATACTTAAATACCCTTTAAAAGCCCTGAGCCATGAGTTCAGGGATTCCACCAACCATGCCCTCCCCCAAAGGAAATCATTCATTCCACTACCCTCTTCCATTTTCTTCTTTTTCACTCAGCAAGCAAACGGCCACCTTTCTACAACTACTGAGCATGCTCAGACCTCCCTAAGCTGTTTTAGAGGAAGTGATTCGATTCATTCCTTCATAAACACTAATATACAGTCTAGCCATCAGAGGGCAGGATTGCATCTTTATACCTCTCCCTAATTCACAGTTTACTCTGGTATGTGTTTGTGTGTGCGGGGGGTGGAGGGTAGGATCTAAAGCACACCACATATTCCCGTCTAACTTTTAAATAACCTGTCATGAAAATTTCCACGGAACAATTTTACTCCAGAGGATTATCAGCAGGAAGCAAGACGGGCGTAGAAACTTCATCCAATATAATAATAATTAATAATAATAATTTATTATTTATACCCCGCCCATCTGGCTAAGTTTCCCCAGCCACTCTGGGTGGCTTCCAACCGAGTGTTAAAATCAATACGGCATTAAATATTAAAAACTTCCCTAAACGGGGAATATAAATATTAAAAAACAGGCAACCTTCGCACAAAAAATCCCCAACCCAACATGATTTTTTTTTTTGCGCGGGTGGTGGTGGGGGGAGATCCCCAAACATTGTTTGATATTCAAAAAACACCCTGCTTTTCCTGGAACTGTTTTGCCAAACTAGTTCTTAAGAGAAGGAGCAGTAGAGGCGCATGGGACACTTAATGTCAGGGAGTAGTTGATAATTTATTCTATTCCATACATGGTGAATAAATTTTGACTGCCGTTGACTTTGTTTTCCACATATGAATGACCAGCAATTTATTTTTGCACCTGGTTAGGATTCCGAAGAGCTTAAATACAATATGAAACCCTATGTTATGCAGGAATGCAACAGGACTCACAGGTATGGATGCATAGGAGTACATCGTTATAGGTTGTGGCCCTGGGCACAGCTACCCGGGAATAGGCCTCACTCAACACAGTGCAACTTACTCCTGAGCAAACATACATAAAATTGCTATGTCAAAGTACAGTTGTACCCTGGTTCTCGAACAGAATGCGTTCCAGGAGTCTGTTCGACTCCTGAAACTGTTTGAAAACCAAGGCGCAGCTTCTGATTAGCTGCAGGAGTGTTCGAAAACCGTGACACTCACTTCTGGTTTTCCATCGTTCAAGAGCCGAAACGTACGAGTTCCAAGGTGTTCGGCAACCAGGGTACGACTGTAATTAACTGTGGGCTCATGTCCTCTTGCAACTTCAACAGGGCTTGGGGTGCCAACATTTTCCAGTCTTGGCCTAATTCTGGGGTTTGACCCTCTTAAAGGCACGCCTCACATCAGGGTCAGGCCCATGAGAAGCGAGTCTTACAAAGGGCAAGCATCGCCAGCAAGATCTATCATCCCCTTTTGTAGTGATGTTCAGGCACGAGCGCTTTTGGCTATACAGCCAGAACCATGCATCCACAAAAGCCACAGAAATGGATGGGGCAGAAAAGTCCAATGAGAACAGAGCGTTTTCAGGGGCCAAGGAAGACGGTCGGAGGAAAGAAAAATACAATTTTAAAATATACGAAAGAGTAGGGATGGAATGGAGTATTGAAGATAAGGGTATGGCTGGTTGGCTGGCAGCAATCCACACTTCCAACATTTTGCTGGAGGCCCCTATTGGTCCTTAACTATCTCGGCTCAGGTTCAGGAATGGCAACTTTCACTTTCAGATCTAAAGTTACGTTTTAGTGAATGCTCTCGTTTCGCTTTGTCTCCAATGCTTAAAGCACCCATCTCTGTTCAGTTCCAGGAGGTTCCCGGGTTACTTATTCAAAAAGGATCAGGGAACAGGAGATGGAGAGAAAGAATTCATACCCCAAAGAGCGACTGCCAAAGTAGGCAGGACTGGACTAGCTGCATGTTTCCTGTTCTGAATGGAAGGTTATCCTGCAATGCGCTCTATGTGGGGCTACCTTTGAAGGTGACCCGGAAACTACAACTAATCCAGAATGCGGCAGCTAGACTGGTGACTGGAAGCGGCCGCTGAGACCATATAACACCGGTCTTGAAAGACCTACATTGGCTCCCAGTACGTTTCCGAGCACAATTCAAAGTGTTGGTGCTGACCTTTAAAGCCCTAAATGGCCTCGGTCCAGTATACCTGAAGGAGCGTCTCCACCCCCATCGTTCTGCCTGGACACTGAGGTCCAGCGCTGAGGGCCTTCTGGTGGTTCCCTCGCTGTGAGAAGCAAAGTTACAGGGAACCAGGCAGAGGGCCTTCTCAGTAGTGGCACCCACCCTGTGGAATACCCTCCCACCAGATATCAAAGAGAAAAACAACTACCAGACTTTTAGAAGACATCTGAAGGCAGCCCTGTTTTGGGTAGTTTTTAATGTTTAACAGGCTACTGTATTTTAATATTTTGTTGGAAGCCGCCCAGAGTGGCTGGGGAAACCCAGCCAGAAGGGGGGAGGGTATAAATAATAAATTATTATTATTATTATTATTATTATTATTATTGTTATTATTAATTATCCTTCAGAGAAAAGTTAGCTCGGACCAGAGGTAAGGAACTTGAGGCCCTCCAGATTTCCTTTCCATTGAACTGCAGAATTGGAAGAGACCGCGGGGATCATCTGGTCCAATCCCTAGGAATGCAAAAATATTTCACCCAGTGTGGGGCTCGAACCCACAACCCAAGTTTAAGAGCCTCTTGCTCCACTGACTGAGCTAGGTGTTGCTGGACTCCGACTCCCATCAGCCCCAGCCAGCATGGCCAATGGTCAGGGATATTGGGAGCTGGGGGGAGAGCGACCACAGGTTCCTTCATTTTTGCTTATACCTTCTTGCCCAGTAATTCTAGTTGTCTCCCACCTATCCAGATACAGAGATCTTGGCTGTAGTTCTACCGCATCCTTACAATAATTAACCTGCATACATTTAATTTTGGCGAGACGTGTTAAGCTGTGCATAAAACTGCCTCGTCTCCCGAGATGGTTGCTGATGAGAAACAGGAGAGAAAAGGTTACTGTTCCTTTTCTTCCTCTGTTCTCATCCCCCCCCCCCCGCAGGCACAAAAAAGCCTTGACTGCACTCATTTGTGCTATTTTTAGCCACTTGTGTGTTCCAGTAGCATGCATCAAGCCCTCAAGAGATTTTTATTTTTGCTTATGTAAGAGACGCGTGGGGAATCCCCCCCCCCCAAAAAAAATGGCTGGAAGTGAAGCAGGGGCATGTAAGGGTTAGACTGGGTATCTCTTTTAAAAAATGTTGCAATCACATAAAAAAAAATCAAAAGGAAACAAAAATATATATTTTTGTGCAGTTTCATAGGGGGGAAGCAACACACAAAAATGCTTTAAAGCTTGTAGAAAAATATGGTTATGGACAGAATAGACAATAGTTTTATAATGAGAATAGATTATTTCAAACTAAAAAACTAAGGTGAAATACTGTTTTGCAGGCATGAATTAGGCACCTTTGCTTTTTCTCATGAGAATGTATTCCTAAACCTGGTTAGATCCACTCCAAAAATTCATTAATGGACCCAATTGTGAGTACAGCAGAGGGGGATTAGAGGTGTGAAGGAGCAATTGATCCCCTTCAGAGAGTTCAGGTAAACTTATCTAAGATGAGTTTCCTATCCAGGTTTGTAAGCAGATCTGATTTCACAATTTTTCTCATACCCTACCACTTTGAGCTCGATTCTGGCTGAATACTTCCACAATAGGAAATCCACAATCTTTCAGAGAAGGGAAGACAGATTCTGCAAACAATTGGCACCAAGCCAAGCTCTGATCAGATCCCAGAAGCCCATTCAGCACCTTGCAGATTTCAGCAATGATCAGATAAAGGATCTTGCCTGGCCTACATGCATGCATTAAGAATGAGGAGGAAGATACCACTTCTGAACCTCCTCATAGATTAAAAAACCAAAACCAAAATCCCAGTGGGCAGAGAAATAGCACATTAGGGAGTGGGCCAAGCGAGAATCTTACAATTGCTAGCTTGTTCCTGCTGTTTATTGGCAAGGAGATTTTGTTGAATAGGAGAAAATTAAAAATGAAGCCGCCCCTGCAATCTGAAATGAGACTCTTGAGAGTCCCATGGACTGCAAGAAGATCAAACTTCTCCATTCTGAAAGAAATCAGCCCTGAGTGCTCACTGGAAGGACAGATCCTGAAGCTGAGACTCCAATACTTTGGCCACCTCATGAGAAGAGAAGACTCCCTGGAAAAGACCCTGATGTTGGGAAAGATGGAGGGCTGCCCTTTTACTACTGAGTGGAATGAGTGTTGCAGGAACCTACAGATTATGCCTTTGATTATGCCTCCCCAACTGCATGCTATCTTGACTGTACTTTTTCCATTTCTTTTTAAACATATAGCATCCATATTGTCTTATTTGGATTGTTCTGAGTGTTAAGTTGTGGTTGAACATATCAGAAGACACAGCGATTCTTCAAACAGCTCTTGTTTATTCACAGGCCAGAACAGAACTGAACTGAAGGGTTCAGCCAGCCTGCTTATATAGAGCTCCACTAGAACGCAACAGTAACCATTTTCTGTAACTATCCAATCACTGAACGTCACTTTCAATCCCTTATTTGCATATGTGGACCTGAGTGAAAACTATCTACAGTATCCCCCTGCTAGCCCAGGGTGAGAACTTCAGTACGTAACACCCCTCCCCACCGAGATAAGGCGTTAGTTACAATCGTAATGGTTTCCTTATATACAGCACTACACGTAATGGTTCAATTAGGCACAAAAGCATATCGGTTACATTTCACCTACAGTGGTGCCTCGCAAGACGAAAAGAATCCGTTCTGTGAGTCTCTTCGTCTAGCGGTTTTTTCGTCTTGCGAAGCAAGCCCATTGACGGATTAGCGGATTAGCGCTATTAGCGGCTTTTAGCGGCTTATCGGATAAGCGGCTTAGCGGCTTAGAAAAAGGGGGGGAAGGGAAAAAACCCTGCAGGAACTCGCAAGACATTTTCGTCTTGCGAAGCAAGCCCATAGGAGATTCGTTTTGCGAAGCACCTCCAAAACGGAAAACTCTTTCGTCTAGCGAGTTTTCCGTCTTGCGAGGCATTCGTCTTGCGGGGCACCACTGTACTTCCATTAGACTGCCAGTATTACATGTCCAACAACATAGTCCTTTAAATAAGTTGGGCGCTTGGAAACTCAGCCAGACCACCGGGGAACGGTACCCAGGTCCGGGGGGCCTTCCTATTCTTGCTGAGGCTGTGGTGCGACCCTAGGTGGCGTTGAAACCAAGTCCCCTGGATCCGCTGCTGTGGGTGGAACATCCGCAAGTGGAGTTGGCGGAATGTCAGGCACGGCAGTGGCCTGAGTCTGTGGGAAGTCCGGCAGACCCTCTGAAGCGGCTTGGTTTGGCTCCACGCCTGCAGTTTGTGAGAGAGGTGTAGGTGGAGCCTCGCCATGTGTAAGTGTCTGTTCCGGAGCCACGAGCGCAGTTGGGGGCACTGCGGTAGTGTCCAAGTCCCCAACCCTGCGCCTAAGCTGGTCTATGTGCCGGCGCCACAAACGTCCATCTTCAAGTGCCACCTGGTACGAGCGAGGTCCAGTGACTCCAACTACTGTGGCTGGCACCCAAGGAATGTCCCCCACAAAGTTCCGGGCAAAGAGCTGATTTCCTGGAACAAAGGACCGAGGCGCGTTGGCACAGCCCGGGGGTTCGGCCACGGCAAAGTCCAGGTGCAGCCAGTCGAGCGGAGATCTGAGGCAGCGGCCCATAAGCAGTTCGGCAGGACTCCGCCCTGTGGCTGCATGAGGGGTGATGTGTGGCACGAACAAGTATTTGGCGACCCGCCCGTGCCAGTCTCCCTCATCCAGGCGCACCAGTGTCTCTTTTGCCAAGCGCACCATTCTTTCCGCTTGCCCCTTGCTGGATGGATGAAATGGTGCTGTTAGGGCATGGCGGATGCCCAGTCCCAAAAGGTACCGCTCAAAAGTGCCTGAGGTGAACTGCGGTCCGTTGTCGGAGATGACGACATCAGGACACCCATGCGTCACAAAGAGGCCTCGCAGCACCCGGATGACGGCCTTGGTAGTGGTGGAGGGCATCAGGGCCACCTACAGCCATTTGGAATAGGCGTCCACCACTACCATAAAGGTCCGGCTGTGAAAGGAGCCGGCCAGATCGATATGCACCCTCGACCAGGGTGTCTTGGGCGTCTCCCAGGTATGTCCCTTAGCTGCTGGTGGCGCAGGCCTAGATTCTCGGCACGCTTGACAGGCGGAAACCCAGGCAGTGATGGCATCGTCCATGTTAGGCCACCAGACATAACACCGAGCCAACGCCTTCATTTTGACAATTCCCGGGTGGCCAAAGTGCAGAGCCTCAAGGACGCGTTGACGGAGTCTTTGGGGAATCACGACACGGTCTCCCCACAGCAGACAGCCGCGATGAGCCGAGAGTTCGTGTTGTCTGGTTGCGAACGGCTGGAACTCCGATGCAAAAGGCCCTTGTGGCCACCCCCTCCACACCCAGTTGAGAACATGGCTGATGGTGCGATCCTGGGCAGATGCGGAGGCCACAGTGGCAGCCGATACAGGCGCTGCCGGAAGATCCTCAATCAGGAGGAGCGATGAAGCAGGAGCAGGGTCTTCCACAAACGCTGGAAGAGGGCAACGGCTGAGGGCGTCGGCATGGCCCATCGATTTCCCCGGGTAGTGGTAGGCAGCCAGGAAAACAGTCCATTGCAGCATGCACGGCGAGAGGACCGGTGGAGTTGGTCAATCACTGGCAAGGAGGCCCAGGAGTGGCTTGTGGTCGGTGATGAGGTCAAAAGTCCTGCCATAGAGGTATTCATGGAACCTCTTCATTCCAGCTACAAGTGACAGTGCCTCCTTGTCGAGCTGGCTGTAATTCTGTTCAGTCGGAGATAGCGTCCTGGAAAAGTAGGCAAGCGGTGCTTCTCTTCCGTCTGGAAAACGGTGACTAAGGACAGCGCTGATGCCAAAAGGTGAGGTGTCGCAGGCAAGGACCAGCGGCCTGGCTTCACTGTACTGTACCAGCACACTGTCCGATGAAAGGAGAGCCTTGACTGCGTTGAAGGCCGCAGTCTCCCGATGACCCCAGGACCAAGTTGTCTTCGTGCTGAGGCGTCGGTGAAGTGGCTCAGCCACCGTGGCTTTGTCGGGCAGGAACATGTTATAAAAGTTCAGCAGCCCCAGGAACGCCTGCAACTCCGTCTTGTTCTTTTTTTTTTTATATACATTTTTATTATCAACTCCGTCTTGTTCTTTGGGATGGGGGCCTGCTGGATAGCACGGATCTTGGATGTCGTCAGGTGAAGGCCGGAGGCGTCGGTAAGACAGCCCAGGAACTCCACCTGTGGAACGGCGATCTGGCACTTCTACCTCTTTACCTTGAGCCTGGTCTCCTGGAACCTGGTCAGCATGGCGCGGAGGCGCTCAAACAGCTGCTGGTGTGAGTCTGTGGACACCAAGATGTCATCGAAATACAGCGCCACGCCCGGAAGCCCTTGCAGGAGAAGCTCCATAAGGCTTGGAAGATGCCAGGAGTCTCACTCACCCCGAACTGCAAACGGCGGCAACGGAATGCCCCTCGGTGGGTGACGATCGTCTGGGCTTCAGCGGTGGCATCATTGATGGGCAGTTGTTGATAGGCTTGGGCAAGGTCCAGCTTAGCAAAGACCTTACCCTCACTCAGGGAATGCAGCAGGTGTTGGACAACAGGAACCAGGTAAGCGTGCTGCTGAAGTGCCTTGTTGATCATGCGCTTGCAGTCGGCGCAGATTCTCACCGACCCGTCCGGCTTGACAGGCGTGACAATGGGGGTTTCCCACTTGGCATGGTCAACCAGCTCCAAAACTCCTTGGGCGATCAGCTTGTCCAGTTATTCGTCCACCTTAGCCATGAGAGCAAAGGGAACCTGGCGTGGCTTTAGCTTGATGGGGCGACTTGTGGATCAAGGCTAAAGGAGATGGGCGCACCTGTATATTGCCCCAAAGTGCCATCAAAAACCTTGGCAAAGTCTTTGACCAGACCCTCAGTCTCTGTGTTAGAGATGCAGTTGATACCGGGGACTTCCAGGCCAAGGGCATCAAACCAGTCTAGCCCTAGGCGACTTGGCCGCTGACCTTCGACCACCACCAGTCGGAGCAGGCCCAAAAAATCCTTGAAGGCAATCCGGAACCGGCCAACGCCTACCATGGGAATGTTGTTTCCCTGGTAGTCTCTCAGGTGTACGAGGTGAGAGTCGAGTTGCCTTTTGGACACTCTGGGTACCAGTCTTTTGATGGTGCTCCAAGGCACGATGGAAAGGGCAGATCCGGTGTCGATTTTCATGTCACATGGAGCTCCTTCAATGAGCACCGTGACGTTCAGCTTGCATCACGTAGGCGAGTCAGTTTGGCCAATCATGGTTCCAGACGGGCAGCGGCAGTTGGTGAGAGCGAAACAGCTTTCCATGGCGGACTGGAGTGAAGACTTGGACTTGCGAGTCGGTGAAGGGGGGGTGTCAGACGGAGCCGATCAGCAGACCTTAGCGATGTGGCCCCTTCTGGAACACTTCCGACAGATGACATCTCTGAATCGATACTTGGCACGGAAATGGTTGCCTCCGCAGCCGGCACATTCCGATTGGCCCTTGGACTTCTGTTGGAACTTCCTGCGCTCCCGCTTTGTCTGGTGCACGTCATCGTGTTCACTGGAGGATGCCTCATCACTGCTGGCATCTTCATGACGAACTGGAACTGGCTTCCTAGCAAGACGTGGGCTGCTGGCCTTGCGGATCTCCCGAGTGGAGTGTTCAGCAGCTTCCGAGGCCACGGCCTCCTCAATGGCTTTCTGCAGCGTGAGGTCTGGCTTGGCAAGGAGACGCCGTTGCAGACGGATGTCCCAGACCCAGCAGACAATTCGATCCATCAGGGCATTGTCTAAGTCTCGGAACTCGCAGTGCATTGCAGCCTGTCGGAGGGCGGTGGTGTAGTTGTTGATTGACTCCCCCTCTGCCTGGTTCCGGTGGTAGAACGCATGGAGGGCAGCAATCTTGGACGGCTTTGGCGCGTAGTGGTTGCAGAGCTTCTCTTGAATCGTGTCCCACAGTGTTGCCTGGACTGCTACAGGCTCAACCAATGCTCAGGCCATTTCGAACACCTCAGGCCCACAGAGGCTGAGGAATAGGCCCCGCTTACGCTCCTGTGATACTTCCATCAGCTCGTTGGCTTGGAGGTAGCCGTCGAACCAAGCGAGGTAGGAGTCCCATGATTCAGAGGCTGGCGCAAACGGCGGTAAAGGCACAAGTGAAGCCATGGTTCCGATGCCAATATGGAGACGATGGATGGAACACAGTGCTCTAGCCAGAACGGTCAGCTCTGAATTGGTTCTGTTCAGTGATTTCACTCAGTGTTTCAGCTCAGTGATTCAGAGGGTGCTCAGAGAGTGCTCTGTTGTCCATCGATCCCATCCTCGTCGCCAGTGTTAAGTTGTGGGTGAACATATCAGACGACACAGCGATTCTTCAAACAGCTCTTGTTTATTCACAGGCCAGAACAGAACTGAACTGAAGGGTTCAGCCAGCCTGCTTATATAGAGCTCCACTAGAATGCAACAGTAACCATTTTCTGTAACTATCCAATCACTGAATGTTACTTTCAATCCCTTATTTGCATATGAGGACCTGAGTGAAAACTATCTACAGTATCCCCCTGCTGGCCCAGGGTGAGAACTTCAGTACATAACACTGGGCATTACTGATTCAAAAGTTATCATCTCCCATCTGCTTCCCTTTTGCTTTGTTTTATTACAAAACGGCAACAAATTGTAAGGGACTAGTTTATACAATGTAGTGCTAAGCGGAAAACAGCAATTTCAGACTTTGTACACGCTATACCTTTAAAATACACTCAGAATACATTCTTTGCCTCAAAGAATTCTGGGCCCTGTAGTTTACTCCTCACAGGGTTACCATTCCCAGCAATTCTTAAACTACAGTACCCAGAATTCTGTAGGGAGCAGGGAATGTGCTTTAAAGGTGTAGTGTATATACACAGTCTTAGCAAAGACTTAGCAAAGTATATCTGAAGGAGCATCTCCACCCCCATCGTTTTACCCGGACACTGAAGTCCAGTGCTGAGGGCCTTCTGGCGGTTCCCTCACTGCGAGAAGCCAAATTACAGGAAACCAGGCAGAGGGCCTTCTCGGTAGTGGCGCCCACCCTGTGGAACGCCCTCCCACCAGATGTCAAAGAGAACAACAACTACCAAACTTTTAGAAGACATCTGAAGGCAGCCCTGTTTAGGGAAGCTTTTAATGTTTGATGTATTACTGTATTTTAATATTTGGTTGGAAGCCGCCCAGAGTGGCTGGGGAAGCCCAGCCAGATGGGCGGGGTATAAGTTGTTATTATTCTTATTCTTATTCTTATTCTTATTATTTAAACCTATCACACAATCTAGGGAAAATTAAAACTTTGTGTGATCTGTTAATCTAGGGACCGCCTCCCCTCCCCTTCCTGGAAGACTTTTTTTGTGACAGACCTACAAGATACGGTTTGTAGAGAACTTCAACCACTTCAGGGCCCTATACCGATGCCGAGTACCTAATTATCAACTTGAGCTTTCAGTCACCGTGTTTTACAAGCAAAGAAAAACTGGGAGCCTGAGCCCATCTCATCAAACCTGAGCTATTAAAAGATTACGTGAGTTGCAGACTCCAGCAGTTAAAGAAGAAATTCAATTTTTCCTAGCACTTACTTGTATCGCTGCCAATGCAGTCTATAATCAAGCATACTCCCAAGGGCTTGCTTCGCATTCTGTATTTGTTAAGGACCTGCATTGAATGACAAAACGTAATTATTTAGATCCTATCTCCAATACATGGACCTTTTCCTCATTCCCTTTTCCAAGGTATTTTTTTGCCGAGCCTAGTGTAGTTCTACGGATAACTCCAGATGCCCTTTTTACCGTGCATTCATGATGATTAGTGCTCATTAGGGTATCGGAAGCAGTTATGAATAATCCCACTTCCTGTACAGTTTGTGCCTGCAAAGATCTCAGGGCAGACATCATCCTTTGTTTCCAATCGGTGCATGTCCCATAACGTCCTGCTAAAATCCCGCAACTTCTTTTTTTATTTACTACAAATGTTCCAGTTTATCCAACCCCCCACCGCCTGACACACTATTTTGTTGTAGCATCGTGCAAGACTGCCCTTTCCCAGCAGGATGGCAATAATGTCGGGGAACATCTAATAAAGCAGAATGATGTATGGATTAGTATAATATGTCTACCTCTAACGCACTAGTATTGTACGGAATACACCTGCAAGAAATTCCTAGCCGAGGGGCCACCAGGGGGCGCATTGGAAGATGGCCGACAATAACATCTCTCCGACCCACACAAGGTAATTAAGAGGCTGTGATGGGAGTATGCAGCCTCCCTTGCCCCCCCCAAGGGAATGGGGGGACTGCCTTGCCAGCTGTGTCCATAATTCACCCCCGGATTCGAAAGAAGGGGGTGAGGACACTTGGCACGAAGCCCTTGGGCGAGGTCGGCTCTCCCTGATGCTGTCTCTAATCGCGCACTGGTTCGCATTAGCTCAAAATATATAATTGGAAATATATAATTGGAAAAAAGCTAATGCACATACATCAAGTGAAGATCGGGAGTAAAGACTGCTGATTAATGGGATCTCTGCGAGCGGAGTGACGGGCTGGACAAATAAATCAAGTGAAGAATAATCATTAAAAGACTGGTATGTTGGAGTGAAACGGAAAGGGGGGGGGAGGAAAAAACTTTTCTTATTTTGTCTTATGTGAGTACCAATAACCCTCCCCTCCAGAGAGAAGAATCGTTGCTAATTACTAATCACAAGCAGGAGTTAAGAACTGTGTGGGAATGAATTACTGATGAAAGAGAGGACTGGTGGAAACATCGGGGAATGAAAAGAAAGTTTTATGACACAGTTACAAATGGACTTTCGTTAAGACAGGCTTGCCCATAGGAGGACGAGGGGGAGGAGGACCAGGGTCATCGGAATGTGAATGTATGGTTATCGGAATGTGATCTTGACCTGGCAGTCCCCCGATATAGATTGGCAAGCCTGTGGAAATCAATGGACTGACTGTGGGAATGTTTTTTACGGAGGTGTGGAAATGGCGTCTGTCTTTTATGTGATATGACTCTTGGAGAGTGTAAAACCCACACAGAATATGTTTGTTTGCAACCCGCTTGTGAAGATTATCAGAGATCACAAAGAAAGGAATATATGATAACAAGAAGAAGATGAGGAAAATAACTAAGAGACTATCTGGACAGAACTGGATAGAACTGTGTAATTAAAGCATCAGCAAGAGTGAAGTTTGGATCCCTTTCGGAGCTTGAAGTATGGGTACCCCCAACAAAAAAATTTTAAAATTTGGCTGTATAATTTGGAACTAATGTGATTTGGAATTAATGTAATTTGATTGGCCTGTTAATAAAAATTATATTAAAAAAAAAAAAAAGAAATTCCTAGCCGAGTGGGGCCCTGAATGGAGTGAAAGTAGACCTTATATAACACAGGTGTTTGCAGTGATAGTTTTTTTTAAGAGACAATGGCTCTCACCTTCTGTAGGTCTGGGAGAGGTCTATGGGTTGGATCTAGACTACAGCTGCAATCCTAACCCTACTAACCTGGGAGTAACTCCCACTGAACTCAATGGACAGACATGGTTAGTATTGTAGTCCAAGTTGATTGGGCCTAGTACCCAGGACTCCTCTAACTGGAAGCAGCTCCCCCCAGTCTCAAGTTGAGCAGACAAATGCTGGTGACAAGATGGTAAGAGTCAATTAAAGGTAAAGGTAAAGTGACCCCTGACCATTAGGTCCAGTCGTGACTGACTGGGGTTGCGGCACTCATCTCGCTTTATTGGCCGAGGGAGCCGGCGTACAGCTTTCGGGTCATGTGGCCAGCGTGACTAAGCCGCTTCTGGCAAACCAGAGCAGCACACGGACACACCGTTTACCTTCCCGCCGGAGCGGTACCCATTTATCTACTTGCACTTTGACATGCTTTCGAACTGCTAGGTTGGCAGGAGCTGGGACCGAGCAACGGGAGCTCACCCCATCACAGGGATTCGAACCGCCGACCTTCTGATCAGCAAGTCCTGGGCTCTGTGGTTTAACCCACAGCGCCACCCGCGTCCCAAGAGTCAATTAGCCCTCAGCTTTATTTAAAGCTCAAGTACTGGAGTCCTCACGCACAATTTCCTTTATCTGTAGCGTTCTAAAGGGCAGATTGTGTTGTGATTTTCATGTGTGTTTGGCCCAGGGCCATGAAAATCTCACAGCCATGAAAATATAGTGGCAGCCAAAGCAGAAGAATTTAAAGAGGGAGGAACTTGTCACCCCTTGCTTGCCTTCGAAGTGCAATGCGTTCGACAGCTCTAAGAAAGAAGCACAGGAGAAAGAACAGCCAGGCCCATTACTTAATTAATTCATTACAGCGGTACCTCGGGTTACATATGCTTCAGGTTACTGACTCCACTAACTCAGAATATTACCTCAGGTTAAGAACTTTGCTTCAGGATGAGAACAGAAATCGTGCTCCGGTGGCGCGGCAGCAGCGGGAGGCCCCATTAGCTGAAGTGATGATTCAGGTTAAGAACAGTTTCAGGTTAAGAACGGACCTCCGGAACGAATTAAGTACTTAACCCGAGGTACCACTGTACTTTCTAAAATTACATCACTTTCTGCACTGAAAGAAATGGATGCGAATGGTAACTAGGAAAGACACAAGGGCCCACATATTATACGATACCTGTGCTTCAGCTCCTCCTGTTTCTGGTATTGATATGTTAACCTTTGCTGCTGCAAATACAAAATTCAATGTTGTTACAGTCATACCTCGGGATGAATATGCTTCAGCTTAAATATTTTCAGGTTGTGCTCCGTGGCAACCCGGAAGTAACGGAGCGCGCTCAAAATGACGTCACGCACATACGCGGAAGCGGCGAAACGCGACTTGCGCAGTCGCGTCTTACGTTCGCTTCAGGATGCGAACGGGGCTCTGGAACGGATCCCGTTCGCATCCAGAGGTACCACTGTATTTATGGAAGATCTGTATTTTCCTACAAAGTCATGTTTATTTTTTTAAAAGAACAACAACACATAAAGACACATACACACATAAACAGCTGTGACATTATCGCAGGGATAGGAAAATGGGTGACCTTCAGAAATGGTTGAGTTACAATTCCCATCATCCCTGAACATTGGCTATGCCAGCGGGGGATGATGAGAGTTGGAGTCTACCAAAACCTTGAGGACACTGTGTTGCCAAACCCTGATGGTACATTTCACCTGGCCAAAAACTTCACCATCATCTACCCCAGCATTATAACTTTTCATCTGGTCAAAATATTATTATTATTATTATTATTATTATTATTATTATACCCCACCCATCTGGCTGGGTTTCTCCAGCCGCTCTGGGCTGCTTACAGCACATATTAAAAATTGTAAAACCTGAGACATAATTTTCCCCCCCCGATACAGGGAAACTCACAAAGCTATTTAATGTCAATTTGATTTAAAAAAGAATGTCCTTGGGGAAGCATATGGGATCCAGAAGTGTGTTCAAGATCTGTGGCTGTTGAAATATGACTGTTAACAACATATTAAAACAAATAGGGGGATTTTGGTGCATATTCCTGCATAAAGAGACCCAGATGCCCGAGCATAAGACAGGCACCGAAGTACAGTGGTTAGAGCGTCGGGTTTGGATATGGAAGATCTCAGTTCAAAACCTTTGATCCATCTTTCCCAGCACTCAAAAGAATGTTGGATGTTTTATTAACAAAACTACACTTCTGGACTGACAGTCCGAACAGCTCCGCCCTATACATGTCTACTCACGAAATAAGGCTCACTGAGCTCAATGGGGCTCACTTCCAAGTCAGTGGGTATAGGATTGCAGCACAAGGCTACTAAAGATTAACAGGTCTTACTTACCCTGAAAGGCACATTCTCCATTTGACAGCCTGCCTTGATTCCCAACCTGCGAATGAAACCAGAAACTAATCACATTTCACTTCATGTTGAAAATTCCACAATGGAAATTATTAGGAAAGGGAGAGACAATATAAGAAGGCAAGTATTATGACAATACCTGGGTAAAGTTCCTCAGGTTCCCCTTCCTATTTTAGAGCTTAGGGGTCAGCAAACTTTTTCAGCAGGGGGCGGGTCCACTGTCCCTCAGAACTTGTGGGGGGCCGGTCTATATTTGGGGGGGGGGATGAACGAATTTCTATGCCCCACAAATAACCCAGGTATGCATTTTAAATAAAAGGGCACATTCTACTCATGTAAAAACTGCCGACCTTCTGATCAGCAAGTCCTAGGCTCTGTGGTTTAACCCACAGCACCACCTGCGTCCCTGTTAAAAGTGCTACGTTGTGCCAAATCCAATTTTTAAAAGGACCAGCAAACTTGTCGATTCAGTCACTAAACCATGCTTTCTTATGTTCTCTTGGTATTGCACCATCCTTTCTCCTAAAAGCATGACTGGACAACCATTTCAGTGCATTGGGTTCATTCACACTTACCGCCGGAGGATCAGCAATAGACAGCTCAGGAAATGATGCCTGAAGTCTGTTAGCACATACAGACGAAGTGCCAATGGGATGCTCTGGAGATGAAAATGGAACACCGGCTCTCACAAATGATATAAACAGTCATAATTCCCTAGCAGCGTAACTTTCTACTCCAGCCCCGTCCATTGCTTGATTTAATTTTTTTACCGTTCACTGTAACAAAGCACAAATCCTTCGTGGTACGTCCTTGCAGTTACCGTATTTTTCGCCCTATAGGACGCACCATCACATAAGGCGCACCTAGTTTTTTTGGGGGGGGGATTTATTTCCCCCCCAGGCGCGGGGCTGGGACGGGGGAAGCCCGAGCTTTCCCCGACCCCAGCCCCCAGAACAGGCAACTCTCCGCGAGCCGCGGGAGCCCGGCACGGGCTCCCACGGCTTGCGAAGAGCTGCGCGAAGCCTGGAGAGCGAGAGGGGTCAGTGCGCTCCGACCCCTCATGCTCTCCAGGCTTCAGCAAAGCCTGCATTCGCCCCATAGGACACACACACATTTCCCCTTCATTTTTGGAGGGGAAAAAGTGCGTCCTATAGGGCGAAAAATAGGGTAATTTCTATTTTGCTCCATAATCATCAAATGATTAGTACTGAATCTGCACTCTAATTGCAATGGTTCCCTATAATCCAGTTGTCCTTTGTCTCTTAACACTTTTAAGCGTGGAACTTAAAACTCATTGGGACTTAACTCTGAGTAAACACATTTTAAGACTGGGTCATTCATGGCCCTGGGCCATGGCCTATCGTGAACAAACAGTATACTAGCACATGCTTCTAAAACTGTGCCCCCACCCTCTTCCCAGAAGGAGAGGAGGAAAAACACCCGTCTTCCCTTTACAGAACTGGGGGTCCTTGCACCCTTTACATAAAATGTAAAATGCTCAGGTTTGGCACAATCAGGGAAAACCTTGCGTTACAGGAATAAATAAAGTGCCCTTCCAAACCTAGACAGCATCTTGAAAAGCATCACCTTGTCGACAAAGGTCCGTATAGTTAAAGCTATGGTTTTCCCAGTAGTGATTTATGGAAGTGAGAGCTGGACCACAAAGAAGGCTGATCCCCGAAGAATTGATGCTTTTGAATTATGGTGCTGGAGGAGACTCTTGAGAGTCCCATGGACTGCAAGAAGATCAAACGTATCCATCCTTAAGGAAATCAGCCCTGAGTGCTCACTGGAAGGACAGATCCTGAAGCTGACACTCCAATACTTTGGCCACCTCATGAGAAGAGAAGGCTTCCTGGAAAAGACCCTGATGTTGGGAAAGATGGAGGGCACAAGGAGAAGGGGACGACAGAGGACGAGATGGTTGGACAGTGTTCTCGAAGCTACCAGCATGAGTTTGACCAAATTGCGGGAGGCAGTGGAAGACAGGAGTGCCTGGCGTGCTCTGGTCCATGGGGTCGCAAAGAGTCGGACACGACTAAACAACAAGCAACAAAGTGCCCTTCGTTGCTTCCCCACTTCTGAACTGGTAAACAACACTATGCTGGACTCACAATACTCAGAATGCCTCTCCCAAATTGAACCCTGTGTTAATCATATGAGTGCCCTCCCTGGTGGTAGATTTGGAGGGCAGTAACTGAGAAAATCAGTAGGCCTTACATTTAAACAGCACCTCTCTCCTCAATAATCCTGGGAACTGCTAACAGTGGTGGTGTCAGGGACTGGCAGAACAAGTGTACACCAGGGGAAAGGAAGATGGAGTCTGACTTGGAAGAGAGTGGCTGTGCTTTGTGGTGACCTGTATGAGCCTGGAGGCAAGAATCAGAGGCAAGGGAAGCTTCAGAGCTGGAAGAAGAGGAGGAAGAGGCAGGCTAGGTGAGAGAAGGGTTGGGTGCTTTCCCACCCTCTCCTGCACCACTGTCTCCCAGAATCAGGAGAGACGTGAAGTGAGGAGAGCAGCGGCAAATTCTATGCAGGCGTAGTCTTCGGAAACATGCACACAGCCTGTCGGAAGGTACATAAACTGGTGAAGGGGGAGTGGTTCCCAGTTGCAGGCCTGGGAGTAGCTGCCGCAATGCTACATTGGTGTGGTTAGGTATCCAGAGCTGTAGAGGCGACTGTGTTACTCATTGACAATAGTAACACTCATCGTTCAGCCTGGAGAGTGAGGTCCAGCTCCGAGGGCCTTCTGGTGATTTTCTCACTGTGAGGTGAGGTTACAGGGAACCAGGCAGAGGGCCTTCTCGGTAGTGGCGCCCACCCTGTGGAATGCCCTCCCATCAGATGTCAAGGAAATAAACAAGTATCTGACTTTTAGAAGACATCTGAAGGCAGCCCTGTTTAGGGAAGTTTTTAATGTCTGGTGTTTTATTGTATTTTTAATATTTTGTTGGAAGCCGCCCAGAGCGGCTGGGGAAACCAAGCCAGATGGGCGGGGTATAAATAATAATAATAATAATAAAGAGTTAACTCTCTGTCATGGTCATTCCATTGGCTGGGAAACAGCCTTGGCAGGTATGGAGTGTAGCTCTGTGCGCTAAACTACCCAGGATTCTTTGCAAGGGATTGTTGTTGTTCGAATGCCTGCTTGGGAATACCCAAGTGAGACGCTTTTCCACACAAAGCAAGAGCTCAACCACTGAGCTACAGCTCCTACCAAGAATGTCATGTTCAATTTCTCTTAAATACTCTATTCAACGTTAATATTATTTCAGAGCCTTACCTTCCTGCTTGAACTTCTGTATCCTCTTCACCAAGTCTCTCCTGCGCATGTGCAAGAAGCAATCTTCCAGAAAATCTAGGCGGCTAGGAGACACCAGGTCTAGGTTCTCAAGGTCAGTTATAATTGTCAGGAAAGTCTGTAAGAGAATTGGAACAAATGTATAAAACAGCAGACCAAGCAGTATACATCCAACTTGCAAGGAGGCCAGAGAAACAAAATGGGAAACAATATGCTTTATTTTAATATTTCAGAGGCCACAAATATTTTTTCTTTTTCTTTTTGGTTGATGTGTACAACCAACACTGGCACTAGCGTTTCCTACACAGGCTACCTTGCGAGTAAGCGCAAAATATTACTCCGCCCATCTGAAAACACTGCAAAGTTGATATTTCCCATTTTACAGATGAGGAACTGAGTCCAAGACACGGTGGCATGACGCAAAGCTGCCAACACTGTGAGTTTACTGCTGAGCAGAGTTTGAGCCTGCAACTTATATGGAAAGCCCTAGACTTTTATTTACTGCACGGGTGGGGAAACATTTTCAGTTCAAAGGCTACTTGGCTTTCTGGACAGCTTTCCAGGGGCCACATTCATTTGTTCAGTAAGGGAGCACAGTTCAGTATTTACAGTAAGCTAGTTTCTACAAATATTCACACACCCCAAGCAAACAAGATAAGTGGGGGTTTTTTTTTGGTTTTTTTAATGCTTTTTATTGAGTTTTCCACAAACAAAAATAAAACAATATTTTACAGTCATCATATTATGTCATCTTATTTACACTGCGTACATTCACGCCCAGACTTCCTTCCTTCCTTGCTTCGGTTTTTTTAATATATATCTTCTCTCGCAGATTCTTATTCACCTTCTATACACATCACAGGATTTATGTTAACCCTGCTATAGTTTTTAAACTTCTACAGTTAATTCTTATGTATGCAACAAATTTACCCCACTCTTCTTCAAACTTTGTCCCTTTTTGGTCTAGGATTTTATAAGTCATTTTAGCTAATTCTGTATACTCAAAAAATTTGGCCTGCCATTCCATTACCGTTGGAGTCTCCGGTGATTTCCACTTTTGAGCCACGAGGATCCTAGCTGCTACTGTAGCATATTGGAATAATTTATGATCCTCCTTTTTTACTTCCTTCCCTATTATCCCTAATAGAAAAGCCTCCGGTTTTTTCAGGAATGTATACTTAAAAAGTTTCTTCAGTTCATTATATATTAAGTCCCAGAACTTTTTCATCTTTTCACACTCCCACCACATGAGGTATAAATCCCCATCTTTTAATTTACATTTCCAACAGGCTTTATCGCTCAATTTATACATTTTTGCCAATTTGACCGGGGTAATATACCACCGGTACATCATTTCCCCTAAATTTTCTCTTAAGGTGGAGCACGCTGTAAATTTCATACCTTCGTTCCATAATTTAACCCATTTATCATATTCAATGTTGTGACCAAAGTCCACCGCCCGCTTTACCATGACTTCTTTTATTAACTCATCCTTAGTGTCCCATTCCAGCAAATAATCATACATTTTAGACAGGAGTTAAATGACATATTCCAGCACAGCAAAAGTGCTCAAGGACTTTGTGGTGAAAGACCAGTAAGGGGTGTGGCATGTGAAAGAGTCTCAAGGACCAGATATGGAAGCTTGGAGGGCCACATTCAGCCCTGGGCCCAAGGTTCCCTTAATCTACTGGATCAAAAAGGGCCCTCATCAAATAAACTTTTGGGTGGGAGAACGGGTTGCCGAAGTGTTGTTAGCTATCACATTGAGAGCTGAAAGAGAGTCTGAAGCTCTTGCAAGACCCACCAAAGTAAGTTCTCAGATGAATGATTTGCATTTCTCTCCCCTGCTCAGTCAGCTACAGAACTCTTGACTCATATCTAAGACATGTCTCATATACATACGGGACATAATTCTAACTAATGTAATTACTGATATTCCCCTTGTGAGACACAGATCAATACTTTCAAAATTCCAATGCAGGAACAACTGCACAATTAACAGCACCCTTGGGTGGGGGGCGGATGAAAAGAGAAAGAGAAAGAGGAACAGACAACTTCTTTCTTTTCTCTACTCAGTCATTTAGAGTTTGAATTTGCTCTGCTCCAATTCCTCAGAGCATGTAGCAGAGAAAACACCCAACTGAAGACCAGCTTTAGAAACAAGCAAATCAGGGTTGTTTTTTCAGAAGTGTGTTATTACATGGAATGCCTATGAAAAGGTGCTTACATTTTTTTGTGAAATTCCAAGAAGGCAAAAAAAATAACTCATGAGTTGACAAGGCAGCCACCCAATGCCTTTCCACATTGCCCTTTGCTGTCTGGATTTGGTACCCGGTTTGAATGATAGAACGATGCTCTCTGCTGAATTTAACATGATGGGCTTTGCTGCCTTTGGGACAAGCCAAGCCAAAAGCTGTTTACAGCAATGTCCGATCAAACCCGTTAATGTATTTGACTTTTGTGGGAATAGATTCTTCCACCGTGGCTAAAAAAGCCACCTCTATTGGTCTGTCACCCCCCCCCCAACTGTATTACCTGGGTTATGAAGGCACCCTAAAGACGTTAAAGCAAAGATTATGGGATAATGCACACAGTGGCTTGCGATCTCGATCACACGCAGTCTGTAGTCCGCTGGCAGTAGGAGTACAATATGGGCATATTTTTAAGTTAACATCTTACATTAAAAACCTGACAGTACCAAACTACCGAAGGCTATTCACCAAAGCCAGACTAAACGTCTTTCCTTCTGCAGTGTTGGATGGCAGGTTGAGAGGAGTTCCCTACCAGGACAGACTTTGCTCGTGTGCTCAAGACATCGATTCCATAAAACATATTTTGTTGCACTGTGCAAAATATGAGCAAGCCAAGGCTGAACTGATACTAGCCTTGCTGGTACCTTTCCCGGGAAAATCAGAGGCTCACTATGTCAGGTTCCTATTGGAAGACCGGACAAATGCTAGAACATTAGCAGTGGCAAAGTTTTTCTCAGTGGTTGCAAGAACCAATGATCCCTATATTCCGAACAAAATGCTTGTTTAACCTGGAGGTAGGCTGTATGAATTGTGCATTGCTTTGTAACAATTTGTTGGGTCTCTGGACCGTAATAAAGATTGATGATGATTCTTCCACCCACACATTTGAAAGGGCATTATAATACCAGCCCCTTTGCTTTCTATCCTGATTTTTCCGTTCCACTGCGTTTATTCATTCTGCCCTGATCACCAAAGTAGAAAAACTTATTCAGTCCAAGGGCCACATTGCCAATGGTGGATGGGACTAGGCAGAGCAACAGCTGCAACTCTTACGTTGGCAAGAGCTCACCATGGTTTCTACTTATCAAAACAGAGCATGCCCGAGTCAGATATCTGACAAAGCTCCCAGTTGCCGCTTTTACAGAACTAAGAACCACTTTTACAGAACTACGATTCCAATCGATGCCCTCGGCAGTGTTGGACGGACGGTACGGCAAAGTACATTACGGAGAGAGACTCTGTCTGTGTTGACAACCCTGCGTCGAGGACCCGTGCCATTATTTATTGCAGTGCCTGTTATATATAGACCCAAGAGACCAAATTATAAAACCCGTTTACGAATGGAACACATTTGAATAGGGTGGACAGGGTGAAATGGCTGCTGAGCAATGCCGACGACTTTGTTACTTATAAAGTAGCACTCTATGCGCCGGCAGCTAAGAAGATCAGGAGGAAGGAACTAGACAAGATAGAAGTCAACTGCAAAAGGGATTCGGATATTTAATTTGCCACATCTTACCCGAGAATCTTCTGCTATTCTATTCTATATGCAACAAATAATTTTAGTAGCCGTGACCGTGGTTTTATTGTATGTCTGTGCCAGATGATTTTTATGGTTATTGTTGTTGTTTTCCTTTTTGTTCTCCTTCCGAATGATGCCATTCACAAATAAAAAGTTTAATTGGAAATTGGAACTTTTACGTTGGCAAAGAACTCTACATTCCAGCTGTGCAAAAGTCAGAAGGTTTTTGACACAGCGACGTCTCTTCATCAGCCAAGCAAGAGGCATTATCACAGTTGCAACCCAGCACTGCACACCAGCAAAACCACTTGAGGGCAATGTGCAGTAGGACTGATGACAGGGCCAAGGGCCAGGAAGAGGCCTGGAGGGCCACACTGAGCTATCCTCTGGTTTAGGGTTTCCCAAACTTGGGTCTCCAGCTGTTTGTGGACTACAACTCCCATCATCCCTAGCTAGCAGGACCAGTGGTCAGGGGTGATGGTAACTGTAGTCCAAAAACAGATGGAGACTCAAGTTTGGGAAACAACGCTCAGGGTTTCCCCCCCTCAAACTTCCTTCCCTCCGAGTATCTGTTCTCTTTCCATTAAAAGGAAGCACGCGGCTTTTCACACAAAGGAGGCCTTTAAGCTTAACAGCTTCACAGTTTTGTGAAGCTCCAGGATTTCAGAAAGAGGTAACAAACCTTCTCTTTTGCTGTCTTCCCATAGGATGTATCGTTCATCATGAGGAACATAAAGGAACGCAGATCTTCTTCATCCAGTTCCTTGCTGATTTCTGCCATTAGCGCCCTGCGCACAAACACAGAGAGTTGCCATTTGAAATTAATTCATAATCCCATTTCTCTTAATGATTGGGTCAGTCAGTACTTCCCATACCACACACAATTCCTTCCTGAACCGATTTTTTAAGCACACACAAACAAACCCTGCTTTTTTACACTACAGTATTTATGCTCGTGGACTGGAACAATCATTCTCCACCTGCTGTCCCAAAAACATTTAACTAGGGGAATTAAACACAATGGGTTATGATCCTTCACTCATGGAAGTCTCTTGGATGCAGTGAATGGAATTGGAGGAGAGTGGTTTGGTTGGTTTTCTCTCCTCTCCTGAGCTACTCTTGATCCTTTGAAACAGTGTAGGAAGTTGCAGGAAAAAGGGGAAGTTTGCTAAAAAATCACCCGTCTTCCCCTTTCTGTTCATGGAAAGCTCATCTGGAGGAAACTACCTTCTGAGAGTAGAAGGACACAACTGGACAACTTATTTCCGAGGGAAAAAATGCACAGGACTGCACTGTGAATTGCAAGGAATGAATGAATATAGGCTGTTGTCAGTCCAGGGTACCCATTCTGAGAGTGGATTTCTGCTGTATTTATGCACTGAATATGACAGGAGCGTTCCATCACTGCCAATGCAGACTTGTAGCAAAATCTCTCACCTCTGAAGGAAGTTGCCCTATCCTGTATCTGCATTGACACAAAACAGGAGGCACGGCAAAGTCCAGGTCAGCGATTCAGGCAGGTGAGCCCCTGAAAAACTGAGTCCTTCTCAGCCTTGCACTTTTAAAAAATAAATAATGAAGGAGGACAATGTGCTGCTCATTTAATGCTGCGTGGGAGACACCGAGAAAGATGAAAAGGGGGACTGAGAAAGAAGTCATATATCTGCATGTACAAGTCCAGTCCCTGGCATCTCCAGCTAGAGTTGGAACAGGCTTCTATCTGAAAAGCCACTTCTGGTCGGCATGGACCAGCCACTTCCCCCAAGTTGGTTGTTTTAAAACTCCAAATCCCATCATCTCTAGTAGCCATGATGGCTGGGGCTGATGGAAGCTGCTATCCAGTCTGACGAAGGCTCGTGTACACAATACAGAGCCTACATTGGCTCCCAGTATGTTTCCGAGCACAATTCAAAGTGTTGGTGCTGACCTTTAAAGCCCTAAACAGCCTCGTTCCAGTATACCTGAAGGAGCGTCTCCACCCCCATCGTTCTGCCCGGACACTGAGGTCCAGCACCAAGGGCCTTCTGGCAGTTCCTTCACTGCGAGAAGCCAAGTTACAGGGAACCAGGCAGAGGGCCTTCTCAGTTGTGGCGCCCACCCTGTGGAACGCCCTCCCACCAGATGTCAAAGAGAAAAACAACTACCAGACTTTTAGAAGACATCTGAAGGCAGCCCTGTTTAGGGAAGCTTTTAATGTTTAATAGGTTATTGTATTTTGGTGTTCTGTTGGAAGCCGCCCAGAGTGGCTGGGGAAACCCAGCCAGATGGGCGGGGTATAAATATATTATTATTATTATTATTATTATTATTATTATTATTATTATTGTCCTTGACCCAGCAGAAGGCATTCTTTCCCCCTCTCAGCGGTCTGGTTTACACAACACATTAAAACTATACAGTGGTACCTTGGGTTAAGTGCTTAATTCGTTCCGGAGGTCCGTTCTTAACCTGAAACTGTTCTTAACCTGAAGCACCACTTTAGCTAATGGGGCCTCCTGCTGCCACCGCACCACCGGAGCACAATTTCTGTTCTCATCCTGAAGCAGTTCTTAACCTGAAGCACTATTTCTGGGTTAGCGGAGTCTGTAACCTGAAGCGTATGTAACCTGAGGTACCACTGTAGTTTGAAACAAACCAAGGCACATTGCTCAAAAGCTCCTGAATCGTTCCTGCTGCAGCGCTGCTGACATAAGCCAGAGTCTAGCGAGTCAGGTTATCTGAATCCTGTTTTGTGGTTTGTTTCCTGGCATGCATTGGGCGGGGGTTGTGGTGGATGACACTGAACATGGGGACAGAACCCATTTGCCCCTTCTTTGCATTTCAAGCCCACATGGGAGTTGGAAAGCATGGAGTTGATCTGATTTACTATCTTGATTTAATCTGGATGTTTTCCCCTGGAGAGAGAAGAGGAAAGAATACAGTACTGCAAAATATATGCTGAAGCCCTACCAAAATACTGCCATCTGATCTTTCTTGATGTTTAAATATGAAACAGCCAAAAAAAATGTGATGAAAATGATTTATAGATGGTATATTACACCTGTTAAATTAGCTAAAATATACCAAGTTAGCAACAAATGTTGGAAATGTAAAGAAAAAGAAGGAACATTTTATCACATGTGGTGGGAATGTAAAAAAGTGAAAAGCTTCTGGGAAATGATATATAATGAGATGAAAAAAATGTTGAAATATACATTCATAAAGAAACCAGAAGCATTTTTACTGGGCATGGTAAGAAGTGATATAAATAGAAAAGATGTAAGCTGTTTTTATGTGCAATGACGGCAGCAAGAATAGCACAAAAATGGAAGCAAGAAGAATTACCAACGAAAGAAGAATGGAGGATGAAATTAATGGACTATGCAGAATTAGACAAACTAACAGGAAGGATTCGAAATCTGCGGGACCAGAAATTCACAGAAGACTGGTGTAAATTTACAGACTATTTGAAAAGTAATAGTGACGATCAAACTACGTTTGTAGGTTTGCAAGAAGTTTTGTGAGGTGAATTATTGGAACTATTGCAAAAATGGATGAAGGGGAGGATAATTAGTTAAGATAATTAAAGGCAATATGAATTTAAGAAATGCCTAAGAAGTGGTTAAAACGGGGGATCATCAGAGGTGCTGATGGGAGTTCATAAAAAGATTGTATAAGTGGTGAAGTTTTGTGGTATGTATTATAATTCATATGTTAAAATTAATAAAAATTATTATAAATAAATAAATAAATATGAAACAAGCAAGTGAATGTGGTTATCTTAAATCACTAGCCGCGGAGGAAATCGATGCACTGAACTCACCTGTACTTTGGTATCAACGGGGGAAACTGAGACAAATTGGCTTCCACGGCTGCCTTCCCAGTCCCTAGGACTTTCCTCAGCAAGTCAAATCTCTTCAGTCTGTACAGGAGTTCAGACAAAGTGCTGAGCGTCAGTATCTCCCTCTCGTTCAAAGCCACGAAGAGTTTCCGGGTCTCTGCTGCAGGTACGTCAGGAACAAGATCTCGGCACAAATACTGCATAGTTTCCCTTTCCTCCGCGTCCAGTTCCTGTTCAATTCGGTGAAGAAGGACAGCGGGCACTTGGGGAACTGTCATCACAAGCCACTGTCCCTTTAAAAAGTCGTGTGTGTTTCCTAAACAGGAAAGCCAAGTCATGAGCCTTTTTCTTCTGAACACAATAGCCTCCTTCCCCCTTGGTCTCCAGCAGCCGGGCTTTGCTTTCGGGTCTTTAATGTGAAAAATAAAAGCTGCATGAAGAGAAGAAATAATACCAAGAGATACACAATGTACAGAACTGTACCCAAGACGCACTTAAGTTTGTTGTCTCATCTGCTGCAATCCTTAGGTCAAGCTTTGCTCTTGAACTGCTGAAGTTCTGTAAAAACCTGCTCTTTTCTTGATTGCACAAGACTCAGGCTGAATATAAAAATGGAATGCCCAGTTCACACCAAAAATTTTATCATTCGCACGGGTTGGAATGCCCAAGAGGAAGCAAACTAGTCAGAAAATACAGGCTGAAACAGAGAAGTCATATTCCGATAAACTACTCCCACACAGTTGAAGTCTTTTTTTAATTATTATTCTAAGGGGTGGGGAGGGCTAAGGATGAGAGAAAGTAGCTTCCTTAAGGCTGGTTAGTGAGGCGATGGCTGCTCAGTCTTTTACAAAGCAATCCTATACAAATCCCTGGAGGCAACCCTGTTTAGGGAAGCTTTTAAGGTTTAACAGACCACTGTATTTTAATACAGTGGTGCCTCGGGTTAAGAACTTAATTCGTTCTGGAGGTCTGTTCTTAACCTGAAACTGTTTTTAACCTGAGGCACCACTTTAGCTAGTGGGACCTCCTGCTGCCGCTGCGCCGTCGCTGCACGATTTCTGTTCTCATCCTGAAGCAAAGTTCTTAACCCGAGGTACTATTTCTGGGTTAGCGGAGTGTGTAACCTAAAGCGTATGTAACCTGAAGCGTATGTAACCCAAGGTACCACTGTACTTTGTTGGAAGCCGCCCAGAGTTGCTGGGGAAACCCAGCCAGATGGGCGGGGTATAAATAATAAATTATTATTATTATTATTATTATTATTCCCAGGTAAAGGATAAAGTGGGTAAAGGATTGCAATAAAAAGAACTTGCTGGAGAGTAAACCCCATTAAACATGATGCGACTTACTTTGGAGTAAGTACGCATAAGATTGCTATTTACATTTTGCCATGTCTTCTGGAGGGAAAAATAGTTTTCATTCAGCTTTTACTTGTGCCAGTGAACACTAAACCATCAGCAATATGGAAATATTATTTTAAAAGCTTTTCATGCTATCACTAGGAACTCCAAATAACCCTAATTGCATCGTCCAGCCCAGGCACTGAGATCCAGTGCCAAGGGCCTTCTGGCAGTTCCCTCCCTGCAAGAAGTGAGATTACAGGGAACCAGGCAGAGGGCCTTCTCGGTAGTGGCACCCACCCTGTGGAACGCCCTCCCAGCTGATGTCAAGGAAATAAACAACTATCGGAGCCAGAATCTAGTACCAAAAGGGTTTTAGAATTGATTCAAGAATTTGGTCAAGTCGCAGGATTTAAATTGAATAAGGTAAAAACTAAGGTTTTAGAGAAAAATTTAACACCAATAGAGAGAGAGAGGTTTCAGAATGAGACAGGTTTAACAGTGGTTAAGAAAGTTAAATACTTGGGGATCAATTTAACAGCAAAAAATGGGAACTTATTTAAAGATAATTATGAAAAATGTTGGGCTGAAGTGAAAAAGATTTAGAAATTTGGTCAAATTTGAAGCTTTCACTGCTGGGCCGTATTGCTGCGGTTAAAATGAATGTATTGCCTAGAATGTTGTTTTTGTTTCAAACATTGCAAATTGTGGACAAAATGGACTGTTTCAAGAGGTGGCAGAGAGATATTTCTAGATTTGTCTGGCAGGGCAAGAAGCCCAGAATAAAATTTAAAATACTAACAGATGCAAAGGAAAGAGGTGGATTTGCCCTGCCAGACCTCAAACTTTATTATGAATCAGCAGCTTTTTGCTGGTTGAAAGAATGGCTGCTTCTTGAAAACACTGACATTTTGGATTTGGAAGGTTTTAACAATGTACAGTGGTGCCCCGCAAGACGAATGCCTCGCAAGACGGAAAACCCGCTAGACGAAAGGGTTTTCCGTTTTGGAGGTGCTTCGCAAAACGAATTTCCTATGTGCTTGCTTCGCAAGATGAAAATGTCTTGCGAGTTCCTGCAGGGTTTTTTTCCTCCCCCCCCCTTTTTCCCAAGCCGCTAAACCGCTTATCAGCTGATCGGCTAAGCCGCTTAACAGCTGATCGCTAAGCCGCTTATCAGCTGATCGTTAAGCCGCTTATCAGCTGATCCTTAAGCCGCTTAACAGCTGATCGCTAAGCCGCTTCTCAGCTGATCCGCTAAGCCGCTAATACTGTAGCGCTAATCCACTAAACCGCTAATGGGCTTGCTTCGCAAGACGAAAAAACCCGCAAGACGAAGAGACTCGCGGAACGGATTCTTTTCGTCTTGCGAGGCACCACTGTATTTGGATGGCATGCATATCTGTGGTACGATAAGGTCAAAGCACATAAAGCATTTAAAAACCATATTGTCAGGAAAGCATTGTTTAATGTTTGGATAAGATATAAGGATTTATTGGAAAATAAAACCCCAAGGTGGCTGTCACCGATGGAAGCAAAAGCTTTGAAAAAGTTCAATATGGAGGTCAAATGGCCGAAATATTGGGAAATTTTGGAACAAGATGGAGATAGATTGAAACTGCAGAGTTTTGAAAAACTAAAAAACAAAGTGCGAGACTGGCTCCATTATTATCAGATAATGGAGGCATACAATTTGGACAAGAAAATCGGCTTCCAGGTGGAAAAATCAAAATTAGAAACAGAATTGTTAGAACCCAAAACAAAAATTTTGTCAAAGATGTATAACGTGCTGTTGAAATAGAATACTCAGGATGAAACGGTGAAATCTGCTATGATTAAATGGGCACAAGATGTTGGACATAATATTATGTTTGCTGACTGGGAACAGTTGTGGACCACAGGTATGAAATTTATGGCATGTAATGCCTTAAGAGAAAATATTATGAAAATGATATACAGGCGGTACATAACCCCAGTCAAGCTAGCAAAAATCTATCATGTGCCTGATAATAAATGTTGGAAATGTAAAGAAACTGAAGGTACATTCTTTCACCTTTGGTGGACGTGCCCAAGGATTAAGGCTTTCTGGGAAATGATATATAATGAACTGAAAAAGGTATTTAAATATACCTTCTTGAAGAAACCAGAGGCCTTTCTCCTGGGCATAGTCGGCTAATTGGTGCCAAAGAAGGATAGAACCTTTTTTATGTATGCCACAACAGCAGCAAGAATACGCATTGCAAAGTATTGGAAGACACAAGATTTACCCACACTGGAGGAATGGCAGATGAAATTAATGGACTATATGGAATTGGCAGAAATGACTGGCAGAATCCGTGACCAGGGAGAAGAGTCGGTGGAAGAAGATTGGAAGAAATTTAAAGACTATTTACAGAAATATTGCAAAATTAATGAATGTTAGAATGATGTTGGATTGAAATTAAGTGGCTTCTAGCTATATAGGTACAAAAGAATATGGAAAAATTGGTTTTTAATATGTAAAAATCTAATGTTACAATATATCAAGATTAAGGATTAGGATTAAAAAGGAGGGAAAGGAATTGTTGGATTAACAAATTGAATTGGAATACAAAAGAGGGAGGTATGAGGAGGTCCGGGAAACAAGTAAATGTAAAAGAAGTGAGGAAAAGATGGAATTGTTTTTAACTGTTTTTTCTTTTTTTTCTACTTTGTATTTTTCCTTGTTATTGTTAAATATTTTTTTATTAATGTGATTCTTTTTTCCTTTGAAACTCTAATAAATATTATTTTTTTAAAAAAAGGAAATAAACAACTATCTGACTTTTAGAAGACATCTGAAGGCAGCCCTGTTTAGGGAAGTTTTTAATGTTTGACGTATTTATCGTGTTTTTATATTCTATTGGGAGTCGCCCAGTGTGGCTGGGGAAACCCAGCCAGATGGGTGGGGTAATAATAATAATAATAATAAAAATAATGATTGCAGTGCCTTCCAACTGAAAGCATATAAAAATTATGGAGGGTGGAGGCAAATACAGTAGTACAATAGGACATGTTGAATTCAGTGGCAGCTACTATAGCTTAAACCAGGCATAGGCAAACTCCGGCCCTCCAGATGTTTTGGAACTACAATTCCCATCATCCCTAGCTAACAGGACCAGTGGTCAGGGATAACGGGAACTGTAGTCTCAAAACAGCTGGAGGGCTGGAGTTTGCCCATGCCTGGCTTAAACCCATTCTCTGCCAATCTATCACAAAAGAAGGGAGGATTTTCCTGCTTGTGCACTTATGACATTTTCCTAGGTTCGATGCAGAAAGAATTCGAAGAGAAAATGAAGAAGAATGCCAAGGATCAAAATACTTATACCTGGAATGACTGCCTGATACACAAGAGAACTGATAGGAAGGGTTTGAGAGGGATATGATGGGAGTCTTAAACGGACAGACTCTCTTTTCCCCAAATAATATCAACAAATAAGACTTTTGGGCTGCACTAGTTAGGCAGGTTCAAATGCGCATTCTCCATGAGGGGAAAAGGCGGGTGAGATACTTTGCCTTAAATTCCTTAAAGGAAGGGCAGGATCAAAATGAAATGAAATAAAAAGTATGCTCTTCCCACGCTGAAAAAGAGTACAGTGAAGACCTACTCTGAAAGAGAATTTCAGAAAATTTCAAATAAAGCAACCGTGAGCCTAAGGTTGCAATATTATGCATCTTTATGTGGGAGGAAGCCCACTGAATACATTTCTGAATAAAGTATTGAATAGGATTTTTGCAGGCTACAGAGGTTTTGATCAGAGAACCATTGGCTCTTCCATTAAATGTGCGCTCTCACTACCGGTAGACAACATAAAATCTGTAGTCCATATCTTGCCATTTATTACAAAATATGGCATTTCCCCCCAAACCAGCATTGATCCGAATTGAATCAAAGAAGGACCTAACTCCATTTTAAGAGATACCCAGCCTCTTTCCCAATAATGACCTATGAAGATCCAAAGACCAGGTTCAGCCCAATGTTAGGATACAAATGACCAAAAGAATATTAACTTCTTGGAAATTTCACCAAAGACATGACAAATCAAACCTACCTAGAAATTAAAACTGCCTGTTCATAAGCCGGCTGGATCCTTCTGCTCATGGGCAAAAGTCCTGAGAAATTAAAGCCTTCTGTATCGGCTGTCCAGATAATGTTTGCAGTCCTGAAATTAGCTCCTGGGGGACCAAGAATTACAGAGGAAGTGGGCTCTCCATTATCTGATCAGAAACATTATTCATCCTTGAAATCCCGCAGGAAATACCACTCTTCACACTCAGCGAAGAAGAAAGTCATGTCAACGACATTCCACACATCACATGCATACTTTTAAAAATCAGCCATCCCCCTTGATGTATTTTCTTGCAAAACAAATAAGGAGGTCAAGGGGCAGAGTTAATTTGAAGCACTGAAGAGCACATATACATTTCTCCTTTTCTCACACAAACACACCCAGCATACTTGACCACCCCCACCATTCAGAAAAGCCCCTCTATCCATGAAGGAAGAGCCTGCCATTTAAAAAACAACAATGCTTAAATTTCCAAATCCCCATTTTTAAAAAATAAAACAAAAAATGCACAAGGGCATTTTGTCAAGTTGGGGAATTCCTGTCTTATTCGGTGACAATTATAGTATTCCTGCTGCGTGACTATTTGTTTTAAGACATGCATAATTAATTCTTCCACAATTGTGTAGCTCCAGGTTCCTTGCTGAATCTAGACTTCAAAAGATAAAAGTTTAAAACATTAAACAATCACGGGACTAGTTCACCTGACAGGATAAATCAATCTATGGCATGATGAGACGGCTGTGGTGCATGGAGCTAACACAAAGTTTGGCTTAGTGTGTTGCGTGAAGCGGGATTCATGGTTAAGCGCCTCCCTCACTAGCTACGAAATTATCTGAGGAAGGAAGTAAAAAGGACTGCGAAGGAATAAAGTCTCAGAAAGCTCCTCTCTGGGAGCCTACATGTTCATGCAGGCTTGAAAACCATTGTTTTTTGCAGTGTCGAACATTGCAGGGTCACACACTCTCAGAATAAAAGCATAAAAAATTAAGGAGTAATAATAATTCCAGATTAGTAGCCAGGATGTCCTATTGAAACTTCCTGGTTTCTCTCTCCTCTACCTCCTCCTACTTTAATTTAAAGTAATATGATCCTGCTCACTGGAAGGACAGATCGTGAAGCTGAGGCTCCAATACTTTGGCCACCTCATGAGAAGAGAAGACTCCCTGGAAAAGACCCTGATGCTGGGAAAGATGGAGGGCACAAAGAGAAGTGGACGACAGAGGAGGAGATGGCTGGACAGTGTTCTCAAAGCTACCAGCATGAGTTTGACCAAACTGCAGGAGCCAGTGGAAGACAGGAGTGCCTGGCGTACTCTGGTCCATGGGGTCACGAAGAGTCAGACACGACTAAACGACTAAACAACAACAACAATATGATCTTGGTCATGTTGTTCAGATGTCTGATTATCGTCTTCCAAAGCAACTACTCTATTCCAAACTTTAAAATGGAAAGCAGAATGCTGGTGGTCAACAAAAGAGGTTTAAAGACTTTCTCAAGGCAAATCTTTAAAAATGTAGTATAAACACAGACAACTGGGAAACCCTGGCCTGTGAGTGCTCCAACTGGAGAACTGTCTTTACCAAAGGTGTCATGGGCTTTGAAGATGCTCAAACTCTGGACGAAAGGGAGAAATGTGCTAAGAGGAAGGCACGCTTGGCAAACCCTCAACGTGATCAACTCCCGCCCGGAAACCTATGTCCCCACTGTGGAAGGACGTGTGGATCCAGAATTGGCCTCCACAGTCACTTACGGACTCACTGTTAAGACTGTATTCATGGAGGACAATCTTACTCGACTACGGGTGATCGCCAAAGAAGGATATGATCCTGGAAAAGGAATGGGTTGACTCTTCCATTTCCTGGATTTCGTATAGAAACAAATGGGTATGTAATTTCCAGAGATGCTCCAATCCATCTTTTGACCAGTGAGGAGGTCTGGCTACACCAAAGTTGCTTGGAAAAACAGTTCAGGGATGGGCAGATTTCAGGCTTGCGAGATGTACTTTGTGTAAAATAGTGGTTCAGTGAGTGGATGTGTGTTAGGAATTCAGGAACCACATGCTCAGGCCAGAAATTGGTGGTCAATATTGGAACAAAGTCACACCTTTACAGTTTTGTTGTTTCTAGACAACTGGGAGTCAGACATCCTTGTTGGTGATCTACTGCAAATCACCCAAGCTGCATTTCCCCCCCCCCTCAGTCATGTACAAATAATATATTTAAAGCAGTGGTGTCCAAACTTTTTTCAAAGAGGGCCAGTTTTGATGAAGTGAAGGGCCATGGGGGCTGACCCACCTTTTTTTAGGGTTGGAGTTGTTGAGCTTCTTTTAGGATTAAAGTTGTTACGGTTTTTTTAGGATTTTACCCCAAGAAATAGACTGCCACAGGGGCCAGATTAAACCGACCGGTGGGCCGGATTAGGTCCCTGATACGGACTTTAGACATGCCTAATTTAAAGCAAATGCACCTTAAAAACAACACTGGGAACTGTAGGTGATGTACATATAACCCCTTTGTTGCTAATTAGGAGGTGGGGCTTTCCTCTGGGAAACTCACAAGAACTCCGGGCTAAAGGGGAAATAACTAATACTTCAAAATGACGTATGTAATCACATGCCCTTTCAAGCATGTGATTGAGAATTTCTCTTGAGGGGGAAAATGCTTGCTTTTGAATATAATTATGATTCAAACAGAAAACTCCAAATAGACACCTGACTGTTAGAAAATAAACCTCCATACCTAAATCATTTAAATGTTATGCAGGTGGGGGATTTTTTGCCTACCCACTTGTTCCAATCATTCATTTCTGCAATCTAAGCTAATACAGTAAAGGATGCTATCAGAAATAGGCTTAATTGTAAATAACTGGATTTTTGTGCCTTTTTAAAAACCACTTCAAGTTAATTAATCTGGAATAAGAGTTGAAAGGTGTTATGTCTCTTTGCTATGCATTCCTGCCATTGCATCGCTATTGTTGTGTTGAAAGTGGCTCTTGGCATATTTACGTGGGGGTTTTCCGAAAACCCATTAAAGTGACCAAAACAACTGTTCACTCTGAAATCATGTGCTCGCTTACAAAAGGATCTGTTACCTTCCAACAAAACCACTGGGGTAAAGATATCGACAGGATAGGAATGTTAAGAAAAGTTAAGAAATTTGATTATAATCAGAATATTGTTTTTTGAATAATGATATTGGAAAACTGCTACATTTAGTTACAAGAGTGGCTGGGGAAACCCAGCCAGATGGGCGGGGTATAAATAATATATTAGTAGTAGTAGTTGTAGTAGTAGTACAAGGAAATTCAGATGGAAGAGATTAGAGGAAGTCAAGCAATATGTTTATGAAGTTGGAAGTTTAATTAACTTTTATTGTCTATGTGTTTGTGGTTATATTTTTGGTTATTATTTGCTATATTTGTTTTATTTCTTTTTCTTTTCTTTTTGTTTCATTGGTTTTATAGTATGTGTTGTATTTGTATGAAACTTAATAAATATTATTGTGGGGGGAAAGATATCAACAGGCTGGGGCTCTCACTGAGCTCATGTAAGAAGTTTTTAAAAAACGTCTCCTATGACTTTCTTCTCTTGGGGAAAGCAGGCTAAGATAGAAAGGTTAAGCCATTCTCGTCACAGCCTCGGATGTTCCCTTTTCATTAAAGAATAACCCTTAAAATAAGAATAATGCTGGTGGTAATAGGGTAACGCGTAACGCCCTTCTAATGCGTATGTACTTTGGCCAGAAACAAAAGCGAAAAGGCGTCCTTGGCGCACAAAGTGCGCTTATCTCGTTATCTCCCGATGCAGTTCTTTTTTATATAAAAAGCGGTTTATGTCGCAGCTCTAACGTTACCCCTCTAAGTAGCCTTTCCTTACAAGCCGACTTCCTTAAAATAAAAATAAAAATCTTTATTCAGAAGTATCCCCAACGTTTAATGGGGTCGAGAGCAGTCTGAGCTGGTATCTCTCCAAAGAGGAGAGACGCGCCGCGTAAACTTGCGAGCGCGCTATTCGGCGGGACTTACTTCCGAGTAAACCTGCACGGGCTCGCGAGAAACGGGCGCCGATCCCTCCTCCTCCTACCCCGTTCACACGACTTGGGAGTTATTCCAAGGCGCACTTTCAGAAGCAGCCCGGTTTTAGCTTGCGGATCCTTTTCCTCACCGCCTTACGAAGCGCGCCATGCCGGCGACACCGCTCCTTACCTCTGAGCAAGCCCTACTCGCGCAACCACACCTCTCGATCCGCGCTCCCCGGTGGCTTCCCCTTCTCAAGATGGCAGTCTCCAAACTTCGGCGTCCGCCATTACCCGTTCTGACGAACAACAGCCTTGTTGGCGAGGCTCCCTTTTTGGGGAGTGGCGCTGAGCTGCTCGCAGTTCCTGAGCAAACCAGAAGAGCGAGTCAGCTTCCTTCCCACGCGCAAGGAAGCCCAGACGGTGCGCAACCGGATCGAACCAAAATGCTTAGCAAAAAAGTTTCTAAAAAGGGAAACAAATGCTCCAGAGCTTCCTCTACAACGAAATTGGAGATTTCCCCTTTCCTGCGCCAATACTGAATGGAAGAGTCAGTCAAAAGCAGTGGTTGGGGGCGGGCAGTGGGATTCTCTAGAGGGGTGCAGAAAGTATAAATAACTGACTTTTCAAAGCTGGTATCCTTGGATCAAGTTCAGCCATTTTGTTGAATTAACGTTTTACTTGGATTTGAAACAAATGGGCAGTTCCAATTTTGCGTTTAATTATGGACTGTGTTGCAATCTTCCGTTAGTGGGTTGCGGGAAGGTTTGTGTTATGTACTGAAGTTCTCACCCTGGGCCAGCCGGTGAAATACTGTAGATAGTTTTCACTCAGGTCCACATATGCAAATAAGGGATTGAAAGTGACGTTCAGTGATTGGATAGTTACAGAAAATGGTTACTGTTGCGTTCTAGTCGAGCTCTATATAAGCAGGCTGGCTGAACCCTTCAGTTCAGTTCTGTTCTGGCCTGTGAATAAACAAGAGCTGTTTGAAGAATCACTGTGTGGTCTGATACGTCCACCCACAACTTAACAGTTTGTAGTTACGTTTGTGGTTGGGGAAGGGTTATGCTTGGGACAGTGACGTTTATGATGCAACGTTTATGTATGTGCGAGAATATATATATATGTGTGTGTGTGTGTGTGTGTGTATGTAGGTATATGTATATATGTATGTGTGGGGTCACGAAGAGTCGGACACGACTAAATGACTAAACAACAACAATGTATATATGTATGTGTGTGTATATGTATATATGTATATATATAAGTGTGTGTGTGTGTATAACCTCCTTTGGGAGGTATTAGAATTTTATTTGCCGGTTTTAGATAGATTCCACCTCGCCGCCTGAAATTCATTACTTTGCAAGAGTTTTTTCCTCCCACAAACCACAACGGAAGTCAAATTAAAGCGAAAGAGAAGGAGAAGGAGAGGCTGCAACCCAGGAATTGAAAACATCAATGGACTCGAAGCACTTTACATGGGGAAACCCAGCCAGATGGGCGGGTTATTATTAATTATTATTATTATTATTAGGCTGCAGTTGTAGACACACTGTTTTTATATCTATCCCTCCAAAGGAGCCCAAGGTACCAAACAATAATACTTGAGAATTGTCACTGAGCATAGAAGGGGCTGACTTCTCAATAAACAAAAGGATTGTACTGTTAGTACAGGAAACACTGGTTCATAGGAAACACTGCATGTCTGCTCAGAGGTTAAGTCCTACAGAGTGCAGTGGGGCTTACTCCCAGGTAAGTGGAGGTAGGATTGCAGCCTCAGGGGTGGGGGTGGGGAGACGACCCCATTAGGGAACCTTACAACAGTTTGGGGTTACTTGGCAAGCTCCCTTCCACATTAAGGCTCCAATCATGCACAAGGCTTACTGAAGTCAACACATTTGTTTTTGATTAAATATATTATGTGGGAAGTGGGTGGCGCTGTGGGTTAAACCAGAGCCTAGGACTTGCTGATCAGAAGGTTGGCGGTTCAAATCCCCGCGACGGGGTGAGCTCCCGTTGCTCGGTCCCTGCTCCTGCCAACCCAGCAGTTCGAAAGCACGTCAAAGTGCAAGTAGATAAATAGGTACCGCTCCGGCGGGAAGGTAGACGCCGTTTCCGTGCGCTGCTCTGGTTCGCCAGAAGCGGCTTAGTCATGCTGGCCACATGACTTGGAAGCTGTACTCCGGCTCCCTCGGCCAGTAAAGTGAGATGAGTGCCGCAACCCCAGAGTCGGTCACGACTGGAACTAATGGCCAGGGGTCCCTTTACCTTTAAATATGTTATAGGATTGGCCTCCACAGAATTGCAGGACTAATCGCCACAGGTTATTCTACCGACCTTCCCTCGTTTCTTAAACTTTAAAAATACATGTTTTGCAAAATGCAGACTATTTTACAATATTCTTTTATTATTATTGCCATTTTACAGATAGGACACTGAGACTCAAAGAGTGACTTTGCCACTGAGACCATCCATGGCTGAGATGAGAGATGAGCCTTGTTTGAGCACAACTTTCTACCACTTTAGTAAGGTAATGTTGGTTTCCATTCCAGCTTTGTTGGTCTGTTGTAACAAAAATAACAGAGCTATGTTTTACTTTAAAGGCTGAGAAATATATTGTGGGATGACTTCTCCCATTCTAGAAAATCCATAGAGCAGAATTTAAAGTTTTGCTACTCCAAGTTAATTTATTCAAGTATAAATTGAATAAATTTGGGAGACAATATTTGACTGACAAGTGGGATAAACATCTAATAAAATAACAAGGTACATAATGGAGAGTTTAGTTTGATTCTTATTCTCCATTTTAAAATTGTTTTAAAGGAACCTCTAGACAAATCCATTTGTTAATCACTTTTCACACCCTATTAATGCAAAATAGGTTTTGGTTTCACAAAGTTTAAACAGTAATAATAGTAGTAATAATAATTCTGATTTATACCCTGCCCATCTGGCTGGGTTTCCCCAGCTACTCTGGGTGGCTCCCAACAACAGCAGCAATAATAATAATAATAATAATAATGTCATAAAACATCAACCATTAAAACTTCCCTAAACAGGGCTGCCTTCAGATGTCTTCTAAAAGTCAGATAGTTGTTTATTTCCTTGACATCTGATGGGACCCTCTGCCTGGCTCCCTGTAACCTCACTTCTTGCAGTGAGAAGTGAATTTGGACTTTACTCATGGATCTCAATGTGACCTTTAATTGCTACCTGTTGTTTGGTTTCCTTTGTTCCTTATTCAAACCCTACTTGCAAATATTTACACATATAAGCAATCATTAGCTATTTCAGTACTCTACAGTCTCAGTGATAAATTTACCAGTCAGTATTTAACAATGCAATCCTCTGCATATTTACTCAGAAGTAAGCACCATTGTATTTGACAGAGCTTACTCATGGGCATGCATGCATAGAACTGGTCTAATAATTTAGATATAAGGTGATTTCCTCCAACTTGACTGCAGAACAGCACTGACATAACTGACAGTGCAATGCTGTAGCAAGTCTACTCAGAAGTAAATCCCATTGAGTTCAGAGGGGCTTACTTCCACATAAGCTGCTATAAGATTGAATCTAAATTGACTTAAAGTTGATTGCTTAGGTCTTGCACTGTAAAAAAACTGCTCCTTTTCCCTTATGGGGTACCCAAGAGTCCTTTTGTAGGTTCTCTATCGGTAGGAGAAAATAATAGAGACCAACCAGAGGATATTGAGAAGCAAAGTAGCTAGTAAACCTGATCTTTATTAACTGTTGCAACAGGGGCTCCCCCACACGCAGGGGAGAGGAGGAGGACCTCGAACAATGGCGCGCAAGCCCTTATATATCCATTTTGAAATTCCCTGCCCTGGAGCTCCAAACCACCCCTCCAAACATCATACATACATCACAGAAAAGGCTGTCTACAACAGAAATTTGAGTGTTGTTGTTTTTCCTGTCTGCCAGGTTATCTGATAATGCCTTTTCAGATTGCCTTTTCTGGTAGTCTGGCCATTCCTTTGAGATGGTAATTCCTTAATTCCTGAGACAATGGGAAGGTTTTTTTCATTTCCTCCCTCCTTGCAGAGAAACAGTTGGTCAGTTTGGGAGTTAAAATGGTTTCAGGACTGTCATCCTGTGGTGCTTCAGACATGTGGTTTATATATTTATGTACATGTTTGCTTGGTACATTTATGAACATTTATTATGTATCGAAGACCTTAAAATTATGATGATACCTCTGAATATGGTGCTTCTGTTTAGAAATTATGGTTTGTAGCTGTTCAGACCATCAGTGAGAGAGGAAGCAGAAGTCAGACATTATCATTCCTGGATATAGCCTCCTGCCTGCCAGCTATTGACTACCATCACAGTCTGCTGGGAGACGAAGTACAGTGGTACCTCAGGTTAAGTACTTAATTCGTTCCGGAGGTCTGTTCTTAACCTGAAACTGTTCTTAACCTGAAGCACCACTTTAGCTAATGGAGCCTCCTGCTGCCGCCGTGCCACCGGAGCACGATTTCTGTTCTTATCCTAAAGCAAAGTTCTTAACCTGAAGCACTATTTCTAGGTTAGCGGAGTCTGTAACCTGAAGCGTATGTAACCTGAAGCATATGTAACCTGAGGTACCACTGTAGCAGCTTTCCCATTGTTCCTTGACCTGCTGAATTTCTTCCTGTGGAACTTTATAAATAAGAAATAATCCCTGATGGGTTTTTTCCCCCTTCTCCTTCCCAATCCATTTTCCATTCATGCTGCCTTTTGAGACTGTAAACGTGAAGGCGGGGACTGTTTTATTTCTGATCTGTGTAAGCAGCCCAGGGAGTCTCTTGTAACTTGAAAAGTGAGGCAAAAATGCTCTATTTTTTTAAAAAAGCAACAAGCCTAGCCCCCATTCATTTTGTGTAATGGCGATTGCCCCATCTTGCATCAGTTTATTTCATAAGAATGCGGCTTTTTGGATGAAGTACCGTATTTTTTTCTCTATAAGACTCACTTTTTCCCTCCTAAAAAATAAGGGGAAATGTGTGTGCATCTTATGGAGCAAATGCAGGCTGCGCAGCTATCCCAGAAGCCAGAACTGCAAGAGGGATCGCTGCTTTCACTTCACAGCGATCCCTCTTGCTGTTCTGGCTTCTGAGATTCAGAATATTTTTTTTCTTGTTTTCCTCCTCCAAAAACTAGGTGCGTCTTGTGGTCTGGTGCGTCTTATAGAGCGAAAAATACGGTACTTCTTTTTCTCAGTCCTAAACTTACTCTCTGTCTGTATTGTTGGGTGACCCTGCATTGTACAACAACAACAACAATTCATTACTTAACCCCCGCCCATCTGGCTGGGCCTCCCCAGCCACTCTGGGTGACTTCCAACAGGATATTAAAAACACAATAAAACATCAAACATTAAAAACTTCCCTAAACAGGGCTGCCTCCAGATGTTACAAGAGAGAACTGGCTCATCATGGTTATACTTCTGTATAAACACCTGTTACATCAAACACAGTCCTGCTGCACCTTAGGCATCTATATCTGACAGGTATCTGGACATCCTTTGACATGTAAACTTAGGCAGTGACCATTTTAGATGCGTCAAATTGACGCGGGTCCTTTTGGACCCGGGAAAAGGCAGGATGGGGTCAGGGCAAGCTTACATGCTCTCTGCCAAGGCATGTGGGGACCATGAATGGAAACCCCACACAGAATGGCTGCCGGCGATACAGCAGAAGTGAATAAGTTCATTGATGAGCCCATGCAAGTTGTACGTGAAACAAGGGGCTGCAGGCAAGGTGTGTACACGAGAAATGTGAGACCAAGAAGCAAGTTGGTGGCTGATCTCGAGGAACGACAACCTGCTGTTTATATTTCTAATTCACTGATATCATAACTTTCTAATGTTGTTTTATGTTTACAAGGTAATGTTTTATTCCCAGTAGGATAGGTTTTACGCAGAGAAACTAAAAATTTCTTATAGCATTACCAGACATTTTCAGAATGTAAAATTATAATTCGTTGGTTTTCCAGGAGCAGTGCTTTCTAATCAAATGTAGATTTACCAAGATACCGGTAAGTTGTCCAGTCACAAAACGAATAAGTTTGAATTCCTCACACTGAAAAACATATTTTTAAGACCCCTCAACTGATGAAATTTTCAAAAATTAAGTTTGGCCCTTTAAAATGACACACCCTAATTACCGTATTTTTCATTCTATAGGGCGCACCGGCCCATAGGACGCACCTCGTTTTTTGGGGGGGGAAATGAATAAAAAAATTTATTCCCCCCCCCGCCGCGGCTGCTGCCCCAAGCCTTGTGCACACCTGCAAGAAGCACGGGGCACCCTCCGGAGGGCTCCGCGTGCTTCGGGCTGCAGGCTACCGCCCCAAGCCTCGCGCACTCGGCGGGACCTCCTGCCGGGCGCGCAAGGCTTGCAGACACTCGCCCGAAGCACGGGGAGCCCTCCGGAGGGCTCCCCGTGCTTCGGGCGACAGGCTGCCGCCCCAAGCCTCGCGCGCTCGGCGGGACCTCCTGCCGGGCGCGCAAGGCTTGCAGACACTCGCTCAAAGCACGGGGAGCCCTCCGGAGGGCTCCCCGTGCTTCAGGCGACAGGCTGCCGCCCCTAGCCTCGCGCGCTCGGCGGGACCTCCTGCCGGGCGTGCAAGGCTTGCGGACACTCGTCGGGGCTGCAGGCTGCTGCCTGCAAGCCTTGTGAGCCCGCGGGAACTCCCACCGGGCTTGCAAGGCTTGCGGATAGCTTCCTGAAGCCTGGAGAGCGAGAGGGGTCGGTGCGCACCGATGCCTCTCGCTCTCCAGGCTTCAGCGGAAGCCTGCATTCGCCCCATAGGACGCACTCACATTTCCGCTTCATTTTTGGAGGGGAAAAAGTGCGTCCTATGGAGCGAAAAATACGGTATTATGTTTGTACAGTGCACTTGGATCATATCTCAGGGTTTTCTTCCAGTCCTAATCTAAAGCAAATAAAATAAAAAAATAAAAAAAATCCTTCCAGTAGCACCTTAGAGACCAACTAAGTTTGTTATTGGTATGAGCTTTCATGTGCATGGACACGAAAGCTCATACCAATAACAAACTTAGTTGGTCTCTAAGGTGCTACTGGAAGGAATTAAAAAAAAAAAATTATTTTGTTTTGACTACGGCAGACCAACACGGCTACCTACCTGTAACTAGAACTAAAGCAAATAAAACAGGATCCTTGAAACAAGGTAGGAGCTACCTGGTATCCTTCTCTTGTAATTCAGGGAGCAAGAAAACAGCAGTTTACAAAACATAAAAACCGTTACATTAAGTTGCCACACAGTGGCTTAAAATTGGCAAAGCAGCAGTCATGATTTACTGCCTAATGCGTTAAAACTGCCTCCAGGGAAAGTGGTTATCGTAAAAGCTTCCTCACCAATAATGAAACTGCTGGCAAAGGAAAATATACTCCTGCAAAAAAAATCAAAAAATCAGAACTGTGTTGCAAGCAGTCTAGCACGCAAGAGCCCCTATCTGTGGTCAAATTTAATATCTGACCCTCCATTTGTTTCCAATTCCCAACGTTCTTGCTGCCAGAAAACGACCAGAAAAACAGAAGCGAGCAAAAGTGGGGAGCCTCTGTTTATGGAGCCAAGGTTCTCTTTGCATGAGGAGCATTGTTAGTGAGCTGGAGCAATGTCTGCAGAGAGAAGCCCACTTCATCCTGCAACTGGCTGGCCAGTGGAAGACGAGCTAGGCAGCGTGCCAAGTCCTTAAGTGCTCCTTCATCATTTCAGTGCTCCCTGCCGTCGCTGGAAGCCGGCTTCCCTCTTTGTGAATGCAGCCAAGAAGAAATTTCCCTTGAAAAAATTAATTCTGGAAAGAGTTATATGAGAGTAGGCCCTCCATAGCAGATGTCGCCAACCTTTTTGGACATTTCAGATTTTGAGAGGGTGCTGGGGGTGCCAGTCAATAAACAGCAGCTGTTGTAAACAAAAATCTGCCCTTTTTCCCTTATGGGGTATCCAAGAGCCCATATAGAGTCCTTAGGTAGGTTCCCTATTGGTAGGAGAGAATAACAGAGGCCAATTAGAGAATATTGAGAAGCAAAGCAGCTAGTAAGCCTGATCTTTATTGATCTGTTGCAACAGGGTCCTCACTCACCACACGCAGGAGGGAGGAGGAACCCAGAACAGTGGTGTGCAAGCCCTTATATAGACTTTTGAAATTGCCACCCTGTAGATCAAGACCACCCCCAGAAACATCATACATACATCACAGAAAAGGCGGTCTACAACAGAAATCTGAGTGCCTTGTTTTTACCCTGTCTGCCAGGTTACCTGTTAATGATCACTTGACTGGATTACCTGGGGAACCTGGCCATTCTTTTGTAATGATAATACTTAATTCCTGAGCCAGGTCACAGGCTCACCCTATTCACTCCTTAAATGTGCCCTTAAGGCAGGATTTGTGAGGACAGAGAGAATTGGGAGGTTTCTGCATTCCCTTCAACTTTGTAGAGAAAGATTTGAGGTGACTGAAAGAGTCAAAATGGCTTTAGGACTTTTCCTGTGGGTTTTGGACATGTGGTTTATATATTTATATATGTGTTTGCTTGGTACATTTATGAACATTTATTATATATATGACCTAAAAATTATTATAACACAGCATTACCGGCAACCTAGATTGGCACTTCAAATCACTAGGTATAATTCCCTGTTCCACTAGCAGAAATGCTCAAAGAAGTGCCTTTAACGTGCCACAGGGGTTGCAATTTCAGCCACCACCACCTGTCCAAACTGCATTTTCCAGGCTCTCCATCTTCAGGCTGAGAGTGATCGGGGTTTATAAATATTGCATTGCTCATAATCTTAATGCCAACTATTTTGTTGAAAACCGTCTGCTGAAGGACAGTCGCGAGAAGGATCAAACGGGGCAGCCTTTGAGATAGGGGTCTAAGTGGTCTAATGAAAAACATGAATGACGTTTCACAGAAGATCCATGCTCAGTCGTTAATGTCTCCTTTGCAAGCGTACAAATAATGCACCACATTGTTCAAACGCAGCTGTCTCAGCCCACAGTATACTTACTGAGGAATAAGCCTCATTGAACCAAATAGGGTATATTTCCAGGGCATATACTCAGTTTGGGATTGTGCTATTGAACAAATGCATAATAGAGAAACACTATTGGTTCATTTCAGAAACTTAAGTCGCCATCTGCTGGCTTCACTATGTCAGGTGCTCCAGGGCATTGTGGGAAATATAATATGGTGGTGGTGGGGTGTTACCTGTGGGGTAGCTGGGTTGTTGGGGGTTGCCTTGCTAAGCCCCCCCCCTCAACCCTGTCCAGCTGTACTGACTGATTGTCTGCTTCTGGGTACAGTTCTAAATGCTGGCCTTAATCTTTAAGGCTACTCTGAAAACGATTGAAAAGGTACAAATAAAACGAAATGGTCTGGGACCAGGATATCTTAAGAATATTTCAAAATATATATAAAAAAACACCATTGTCCTGAGTTGGATACATCACTAGCCAGAGATAAGATTAAAATAACCTATGTAATGTAAGCAGTGTGTGTATCTTCCCAGCCTTCTGCTTAGATCAGCCAGCCAGTTCTGACTGACGTCCACTCTATTTTTAGACCCTTGTGTCTGGCACAAGCTCTCGTGTTGTTGTGCTCCGCTGCCAACATGTGAGATCTCTAGATCCCTGTAGCTATCGGTGTTTGTGAACCCTGATCTGTACAGTGATCACGTTCCTGCTTGTGTGACAGCTGTTTTCATTTGCAGGGCAGTCACCGCTGCTTATAGGCTGCATACAGGCAGCTAAATTTCTTCAAGGATCAAAAATTCTTCAAATTAAAGCAGCATTAAAAAAAACCAGCCTTAAACTTAAAATCTGTAATAGAGCATTGTATGTATGCTGGGAGGGACGCTAGCATTTTTGTAATGTTGTGAGCGGTTTGGTATGCCTTGTTTCATATGCTTTTCAAAAGCCTTTGCTTAACTATGCGTTCTTCTTAAAGGAAGTGCTCTGAATATGAATAGCATTAATGCAGTATATTGCAAGTAATGGAAGTATTTAAATGTACGCTATCTCAGAATCCTTCTCCAAACAGCAGATCCTGGAACTGAGGATACATTAATACAGGAGAGGGCCTGTTATAAGAAAGTAGCAGCTGATGGGAATGGGGTTGTAAGGCAAGCTAAAGTTTCACAACAAAAGTACAGCTGAAAGTATGGCGCAGTGGTTACAAAGTTGGACTAGGACTTGAAAGACCGGGATTCAAATATTCAGTCAATCATGAAGCCTATTGTGTGTTACTGGGCCAGATACATTCCATCAGCCCAAGCAACTTCCCAGGGTGGTTGTGATGATAAAAGAAAGGGAGGAGGAAAGAACATTTTGTACGCCACCTTGGAGGCAATGTATAAAGGTAATAATAAAATAAAATGACAAGTCATCTTTCCTGGTTTTGATACTAGAGAAACTCACTTTCAAATCCCAGGGTGGCTTTGAAGGTTACTTGTGTTGCCTTGGGTATGTCTGCACACGAGAGCCAGTGTGGTGTAGTTGTTAAGAGCGATAAGACTCGTAATCTGGGGAACCGGGATCGTGTCTCCGCTCCTCCACATGCAGCTGCTGGGTGACCTTGGGCCAGTCACACTTCTCTGAAGTCTGTCAGCCCCACTCACCTCACAGAGTGTTTGTTGTGGGGGAGGAAGGGAAAGGAGATTGTTAGCCGCTTTCAGACTCCTTCGGGTAGTGATAAAGCGGGATATCAAATCCAAACTCCTCTTCTCTGCTGGATCTCAAAAGGGCTGTTATGAATTGATGGTAAAGATGAGGCATTATTGTCCTTACCCATCCTTAGCAAGTTGGATGGAAGCACAGAGTATTAGCTGTTACCCGAGTGGAACAGTGCTCTCCCTACCTGTAACTTCCACCAACTGGTATTCAGAGACATGCTGCCTCAAGATAGTAAAGGCAAAGGTTGCCATCATGGATAGTAGCTACTGATCATCAATTCATCTGTCCAGTCCTCTTTTAGAGGCATCCCAACCTGGTGCCCATCACTGCCTCCTTTTTATAGCAAATTTCAACTTGACAACTTGCTGTGTGACTAAGTACTTTCTGTTGCCTCCTGAATCTTCCAGCATTCAACTTCACTGTATGTCTCCTGAGTCGTCTGACTCAAGACACCTTTGGAGTGTTGGTTCAGATGCTCACACACTCCCAAGCCTTTGGAGTCCCAATCAAAATATGCATATACAGTGGTACCTCGGGTTACAGATGCTTCAGGTTACAGACTCCCCTAACCCAGAAATAGTACCTCGGGTTAAGAACTTTGCTTCAGGATGAGAACAGAAATTGTGCTCCGGCAGCGCGGCGGCAGCGGAAGGCCCCATTATCTAAAGTGGTACCTCAGGTTAAGAACAGTTTCAGGTTAAGAACGGACCTCCAGAACAAATTAAGTTCTTAACCTGAGGTACCACTGTAGATGCCAATGTAATTATGTGCATTTTGGCACAGAAATCATTTTTAAGCTAACTGCGCAGGAGTGGCTATTATTCGGATCTAAATTTTTCTCCCAACGTTGACTAAGAAAAGGAGGTGTACTTTATGTCACTTACATTTTCTCTCTCTACAAAGCTAAATTTATAATTCTGCCTCTAAAGAATTTGACATCTTGGATTATAGGCCTGCTGTGACAGTTTAGTATAGGAAATTGTTGCCATGGTTAACACTACAAAATGAGAAAGATAACCTTTAATTGAAACAGCTGCAGGTAGGCTGCCCTGTGCACCTGCAAGCTACTTCTACCGTATTTTTCGCTCTATAGGACGCACTTTTCCCCCTCTAAAAATGAAGGGGAAATGTGTGTGCGTCCTATGGAGCGAATGCAGGCTTTCGCTGAAGCCTGGAGAGCAAGAAGGGTCAGTGCGCGCCGACCCCTCTCGCTCTCCAGGCTTCAGGCAGCTATCCGCAAGCCTTTGGAGCGCTCCAAAGGCTTGCGGATAGCAGCCTGTTCTGGGGGCTGGGGAAGCTCGGGCTTCCCCCGTCCCCAGCCCTGCAAGCTCTGGGAGCGGCGGCGAGGTTGCACGCAATCTTGCCGCCACTCCTGGACCTGTTTTGGGAGCTGGGGTTGGGGGAAGCTTGGGCTTCCCTCGCCCCAGCCCCACGGCTAAAAACGAAGCCAAGACAGCGAGCGGGATCCATCCCGCTCGCTCTCTTGGCTTCTGCCAAATCCGCGTGCAGCCTCTCCCGGCTGGAGAGGTTGCACGTGGCTAAAGAGGAAGCCAAGACAGCCAGCAGGATGAATCCTGCTAGCTGTCTTGGCTTCTTTGCTCTTTGGGGCTGGGGGGGGGGAAATAATTTTTTCCCCTTTATTTCCCCCCCCAAAAACTAGGTCCGCCCTATGGTCCGGTGCGCCCTATGGAGCGAAAAATACGGTACTTCCCAAGTGAATGTTCCAAATATTTCAGATTTTGCAATATATGTTCACAAGACAGGCAAGGCATTATAAGCCGACTCTATATCCAGGTTTACAAAAAAATTTGAATGCCTCATGCTTTTGAAAATTTGGGGACAAGATGGCTAGTGAAGAACAGTAGACAAGTTCTGGAGCTTAAAAGCAAAGAAACCCTGGAAATGGAAAAGTGAAAAATGGAAACTTGCACTCTACAACAAAGAGAAAACAGTTTGATGAGATTCAGGGTTGATTTAGGCTTGTATAAAAGTCCTAACTTAGGACAGCATTCCGTTCAGCTGTTGTAGTGTAAGGAGATCTTTGGCCGTACAGCAATAGCCAAAAACAAGCCCAGATGCTGCCTGGAACATACATCCATGTGTTGTTGTTTTTGAAGAAAGCCAGGGTAGAGTAGTGGTTAATGGTGGGAGATCTGGTTTCAAACCTCTGCTCAGGCTCCAAAGCTCCCTGGGTTCTCTTGAGCTAGTCACCTTCCCTCAACGCAATCCACTTCACAGGGCGGTTGTAAAGATAAAGGAGGAGGGTGGATCGCGTGGGATATAAATGCAAATAATAGTAGCTACGGCAGCCATCTGGAGTATGCTCATAGGCAAGGACTTCCTGGTGGCAGAACACAAAGGAGTCCTCAAGTCTAAAAGTTGGCCTTTTAGTTCCTTCTCCTGGCCTCTAGGCCAGTCAAATGAAAAAGAAAGCTATTAGGACAAAAATAAACCAATGGCAGACATATCTTGCTTTGCTATGGCAATCCAATACGGCATCGTAATCAGTGTGTGATGTGTTTTAACCCCCTCATTCCCCATGGGAGGTGAGAAAAAGACAGCACACTGCCCTTCTTTTTGAAGAACTTTAATATGCATCTTTTCATGCAAAGTCAGAACACAGCAATCGATTCGTAGCTTGGAAGAGAGAAAACAAATGATCCTCAGTGCTGGCCCTTATCCTTCTTTGGAGGGAACAACGTATACTCAACCGCAAGAGCTACCACAAAGGCTGTAAATCCCCATTTGAATCCTTTGCGGAGAACATCCATGATAGTGACAGGTTTTGCAAAGGTGCCCATATACCGCCAGGCTTCGTTGCTAGAGGGCAAAACCAAAACAACAAAGAGGAACGAAAAGTCAAGTTGTACAACTGCCTATCTTGGTCTACAAATTTAATGACGTATCCTGAAGCAATATTACAGTGAAAAGTGTTGTGGTTTTTCGGGCTTATATCCTTACAGAAGTTAACCTAAGGAAATTCATAGAAGGAAAGCTTCTTGTCTTCTCCCCTCTGCAACCCCCACAAAGTATCTCTGAATGGTCCCACCCCGCCTCAAATAGTGTGGGATGGAGTGTGGGGTGGGGGATGCTCAAAACGGCTTGGATCTTAAGATAGCAAAGAGAGTCCACAGAAGCAAACTTTCCCATCTCTCCTTCCCACTCTTAAGTTAGACTTTTCTGTGAGCTCTGTGGCTTTTAGTTATCGATTTTGCTTACAGGTTGTGTTTATTGCTTGTGGTCTCTAATAAGAATCCATTCAGCTATAATTCACAAGCAACCATATAATTTTCCTTGCCGGTCTACTGCAATCATTGAGCTTCTGATGCCACTTTAGAATGATGCATTCTTTGAAAGAACAGCTCTTTAACATGCTTGAATGCTATCCTGGGAACACTTGCTAGGCTAGTGTTTCTCAAACTTGGGTCTCCAGCTATTATTGGACTACAACTCCCATCATCCCTGACCACTGCTAGCTAGGGGTGATGAGAACTGTAGTCCAACATCAGCTGGGCGCCCACGTTTGAGAAACACTGCCAAGAATATCTACCGTATTTTTCGCTCCATAGGACGCACTTTTTCCCTCTTAAAAACTAAGGGGAAAAGTCTGTGCGTCCTGTGGAGCGAATGCAGGGGGGAGGCAGGCAGGAAAAACCCCCAAGAGCTGCACACAAGCTTCGCATGGCTCTTGCGGGCTTTTCCTAGAAAAGCCCGCAGGAGCAGCACGCTCCTTAAAGGGTGCATGGCTCCTGTGGGCTTTTGCGGGAGGTGAGGCTGGAGATGCTGCACAAGGCTAAAGAGGAAGCCAAGGCAGCGAGTGGGATGGATCGCGCTCGCTGCCTTGACTTCTTTAGCCACGCTTCTTTAGCCGCACTGGAGAGGTTTAGCTCCCAGCTGGAGAGGTTGCGCGGCTATGGCAGAAGCCAAGATAGCCAGCGGGATGGATCCCGCTCGCTGTCTTGCCTTCTTTGCGGCTGGGGGGAAAACCCGGGCTTCCCCCGCAGCCCCGAGAAGCTCTGGGAGAAGCGGACAGGCTTTTCCCCCTTGATTTCCCCCTCTAAAAACTAGGTGCGTCTTGTGGTCCAGTGCGTCCTATAGAGCAAAAAAAACGGTAATCTCTTCCCTAGATATTACAGCACTCTGCCTTGCAAAACTCCTATGTGGCTCACTTGGTACTACCTGTATAAACTTCCTTACTGTACAAACGGAAAAATTACATTCTTTCCTCTGCACTCTTTTGCCTCTGATCTCCCTCATCATTAACATGTGGCCCCTGGGCTGAAGACAGTTCTCCACACCAATCCTAAGTATTTCAGAGGATTGTGTTCCTGAATGGACATTAAAAAAACAACCTGAACCTATTTAGAGGGTTTTGGATCTTTTCTTGTAAAAAGAGGATATTGTCTGCTATACAATAAGTCTGTGGCTGATGAAAGCAAGTGAAAGGCCGTATTTTTGCCAGCTCTTACCGAAGCCATGGATCCTTCAGACCACGCCGAGCCAACCTTTCTTGGATATCTTGTAAGGGAGTCCCCTCTACTTTCCATACTTTTGGATCAGGATATTCCACTTTGACCGGACCATGTTCATGACCATGCCCCATGTTTCTGGAGAAAGATTTAAAGGAAAAGAAAAGCAGCTCTTACAAGATTATTTATAAAACTGCATTCAGAACTACTCTTTATAAAATAATAGGAAATTGACCACCCACTGCACAATGGCAACATAAGAAATGTGTCAAGTATTCCTTAGCAAATTGCAGTTATTCATAATAGCAGTTCATAATACTCTAATTGGCTAAGGCCCTTTAAGAACTAGGTGGAACACCCCCACCCAACACTTGAGTAGAACATTTAAGTAGTGCTCTATTTGCACAAGCACGACTTAGCATCTGACACCCTCTAGTATTTGCTGCAGAATGGATGGGAGGAACGGTTTTGCTCCCCCATCGTTCTGTTTTGCAAACCAAGTTGGAAAAACTGTCTCCTGAATTCACATATAAATAGGGGTGGGTGGGTGTGTCTACCCTGAAAGCCTTCCTTGTGACAATTTCACTTAGGACAATTAAATGACAAGCTACGGCTAAGGGAGGAGACAGACAGACAGACAGACAGACAGACACACACACACACACACACACACACACAGAATGTGTGCAGAGTCAAAACTCTAGTTATTTGAATGCTCCAGCAGTACAGTATTGCCAAGGTTATACAGGAGTACTATTAAAAAAACTGCATGGAAGTGGGAGTAGAGGGATTGGTCATGCTCATGAGGTTATGTCAAAGGTACAATTCAGTATTTACATGACACTCAATACAACTATATTTCGCACACTTCACATAGCAAGCACTTAATTCACAAAAGGCTCATTGACTGTTATGGAAATGAGTCCCCTGCAATGGAAGTGCTTCTCTGAGGCAAGACATCTGGATTAAATGCAACTTTTAAAAACGGCACCCACTTTTAAGTGACAGTAAGGTCACGGGTGGCGCTGTGCGTTAAACCACAGAGCCTAGGGCTTGCCAATCAGAAGGTAGGTGGTTCGATTCCCCGCGACGGGGTGAGCTCCCGTTGCTCGGTCCCTGCTCCTGCCAACCTAGAAGTTTGAAAGCACGCAGTGCAAGTAGATAAATAGGGACCGCTTCGGCGGGAAGGTAAACGGCGTTTCCGTGCGCTGCTATGGTTCACCAGAAGTGGCTTAGCCATGCTGGCCACATCACCCGGAAGCTGTACGCCGGCTCCCTCGGCCAGTAAAGCGAGATGAGCGCCGCAACCCCAGAGTCATCTGCGACTGGACCTAATGGTCAGGGGTCCTTTAACTTTTTAAAGTTGGAAAGGCCCTAGACCAGTGGTTCCCAATTAGCTAATTACTGACAACCCCCTATTTTTCAAAAACTTTTGAAATTTTTTGATAACTCTATGGCACGGGTGTAGCCAAGGGAGGAGGGGGGCAGCTGTCCCCCAAATCAATACAAAACCGAGATTCTGCTCCCCCCAAAAGCCTGCCCCCCAACAAAAACCCATGTTCTATGGTAGTCACCACTGCAAAGCAATTTTTTTGAACAAAATGTGCTGTAGCCCCTAATAAGCAATTGATTTTGGGTATACTGTACTAAAAAACAGACCATAAAATTTGTGATATTCCCATGCAAAAATGACAAAAGAATAGTTGGGGCGGGGAGGTAAGGGATTGAGCCACAGACCCCCGGAGTGTGTTCTGGGAACCCCCAGGGATCCCTAGACCCTTAATCGGGAACCACTGCCCTAACCTGTTTCTATACAACAACATCTGAGCCAACTGCCTCCGCTGAAAATCATCGCATGAATTCCATTAATACTAGCCTTAACTTGTTTATAGGACAGTACTAACTTTATCTCTGTGATTAGGAAGGGGTGGTTGCAGGCAGCAGGATCATATATATCATCCATCCCACATTTTAAGAGAGACTGGGCCACCCAGGGCTGGGGGCAAGTAATAATTCATATACTATTCCAAGATGCAGAGGTTTACTTTTCCTACCATGGGAGCAAATGTCAACCACCATTTTTTTGGAAAGAAAGAAGTGTGATATATTCATGATCCCGGTTTACTGAGCGAGGGGTTTGTCCATCCACTTGTAGTCCTGGTACCAGCATCAGTTTTCTTTCATAAAACTAAATGGAAGCCACCTGAGCTCATTGCTATCTGGTAATGCTTTGAATTCAATTTCTTGGTCATACTACGTACTAGAATGTGACAAAGAGATGGATCACCGGGAACTCACTTTTCCATGCAAATAAAACTTTCTTCTTTTTAAAATAACAACCCAGTAAGAAATATGAAAGAAAATAAAGAAAGAAACTGTAAAAACACGCAACTTTTAAAATTATCTCCAGTCAAATGAGGAAACTCCCCATTTTTAAGAGACCAATTGTGTTTAGCAGTTCAAAGCTGCAATAAACTGCATTTTAATAAGCTTTATTAATTACAATTCCTTCTAAAATTAGTTTTTAAACGGCTTGCATTCCAAGAACGGCTGTACAAGTTCATGGAGCTTCTATTGCTTGCGAACAAGATGTACTGACTTGCATTAGTCATCCTCCAGATCTGTACATAAGACATAATCATCATTCTGCTCTTGAAAGTACTCATTTGACTCAGCAGTTAGATAAGCACATAGAAAAGACTTTGCAAGAGTGAGACCCAGAACAATGAAACTAAAAGGGAATGAATGAATTGGCGTCTTCCCATTCTTCTGACAGATCAGAAAAAAATACTTTAATGGGTACTTCAATAAATTTTAGATGACCATTTATATTCTCAAGATATGATGTGCCCTGACGAGGCTTTTAGTCCTTGAATAAATTATTTAAGACAACAACCAAGGGTGACATTTTAGCTTTTGGCATATGAGTAGCAACTAATATTCCCTGTTGTCGTTTTCAAGTCTGCTGCCCCTCCACCTGCCTAATGCTAATAATGCACTTGCATCTGACTGGTCAAATAGCGTCAGCGTACTGGAAGAAGCAAAGATCACCAGTGTCGAAGCAATGATTCTTCAACATCAACTTCATTGGACTGGTCATGTTGTGCGGATGCCTGACTATCGTCTTCCATTGCAACTACTCTATTCCGAACTTAAAAATGGAAAGCGTAATGCTGGTGGTCAACAAAAGAGGTTTAAAGACTGTCTCAAGGCTAATCTAAAAAAAGTAGTGTAAACACCAACAACTGGGAAACACTGGCCTGTGAGTGCTCCAATTGGAGAACATCCTTTACCAAAGGTGTCATGGGGTTTGAAGATGCTCAAATTCAGGACGTGAGGGAGAAACGTGCTAAGAGGAAGGCATGCTTGGCAAATCCACACTGTGATCAACTCCCGCCCAGGAACCAATGTCCCCACTGTGGAAGGACGTGTGGGTCCAGAATTGGCCTCCACGGTCACTTACGGACTCATTGTTAAAACCGTGTTTATGGAAGACAATCTTACTCGGCTACGAGTGATCGCCAAAGAGGAAGTAATAGTTTTGAAAGCCTTATAATAGGCTTGCAATCCTATAATACTTACTTGGAAGTAAGCACCACTGAAAACACCAAGATTTACTTCTGAGTAGATACATATAGGATCACAACAGCAAGAGGTGTTTTCATTATCAGCAAGTGTGATACTTATGCCAATTACAAAGAGCAAGTGAGTTAATGTGATATCTCATCAACTGACAAGTTTTTTTAAAAAAATGTAATGAACTATTATAAAATGTCAAAATAATATAAAATGATTAATATAGCAGTTCTTTTCTTTGGCTTTTATCCCCATACACTAGGTGCAGTAACATTAAAAAAAAAGGACGAAAAGAAAACTGGAAGGAAGCAAACTGCAACCATTTCTTTTTTAAAATTCAGTTTTTAAATGCAGTTGTACTACGTGGGCAGTAGCCAGTACATGAGGGACACATCCCCCCCTCCCAGTGCTTTACTTTTCCATGGAAAACTTTGTTTCATAAGTTAATTAGGAACAATGAGTGCATGCCAAGTGCAAATAGCATTTTAGGCAAGGGTGATGATTTCGAAGCTGTAAGCTTTGTTTACTAAACGCAAGCAAAACAAACATGCAAAATTTGATCACTCAGCATCAGGAAGTTTTTCAAAGGAAGCTTAATGATTTATGATGCAAATTCCCAGAATTTGCATAGCAAACTTTCCGGTTTAAGGTTTTCCAGATAACCAGCATTGCTGGAAGCAGTCAAGCATCAGCAGGCTGTTCTAGGCAGCAACCTTTGCCACTAATGACTGCTCTTATTCCTCTTTAGAGATGCTTTCATTTATAGCAGGGCAGCAGCAGGAGCAACTCAGATATGCTCCTTTGTTTGTCCAGATTGCTGCAGAGCCAAGCAGCATCCAGTCTTTCCCTTGCTACCAAACGACACCATAATGATATTTAAGAAGTTACCCACCTATACTGCAGCAATCTTGGAATATTTTACAACCCTTGACTGCACTCAGCATAGGTGGTCAGCCGACATTATCAAACTACTAAACTAATGAGCACGGCAACCCTAATTTCAACATCCTTTACCTGTAAATAAAACTAAAGTCTGGTATACAGCAGCCACAAATATAGCTACTTGTCTGGTGGCTGGAGGAGAATCTTGCTTGTCACAGGAAACCAAACATAAGTAATGTGCAAGCAGATGGGCTAAGAAATACTGGTAGACTTTCTGATCAGTAGAGACTATGATGTAAATAAGGATTGAAGGACTCAGAACATCACAGAATATACATTTTTCAAAGCCTTTCTAGATAGATACCGTATTTTTTGCACCATAACACTCACTGTTTTCCTCCTAGAAAGTAAGGGGAAATGTCTGTGCGTGTTATGGAGCGAATGCCTGCGGGTGGCGGGGGGGATCTGCTGCAGTCGTGAGCAGAGGATCCATGGTTCCTTCCTTCCCTCCTCCGTGGTTACAAAGCATGGATCCACATGGATCCTCAGGGTTTTTGCCTTGGGCTACTCCAAACTCACTGTCAGATCACATGTCTGTGGCCACAGCATGAACCACAAAAATCATATATCCACTATTTCGTTTAGAATATTTTTTTTCTTGTTTTCCTCCTCTAAAAACTACTTGCATGTTATAGAGCGAAAAATACGGTATATCAGCTACACAGTTATGCCTTTTTGTTGCAAGGGATCCAGACTTGCTTAACCGAGCTGGTACTTCTGAGGTTTGTATAATACAGTTTCAAAACAATACATTTCAATTCAATTCAAACCAATATGTGTCTGCCCCCCCCCAAAAAAAACCCAGCAGCGAAAAAGCTAATTTTATACAATATAATAACTGCATCAGTAGCGGTACCAATATGTACAAAACAGTTGAGCTACTGATATGAGTATTTGTGATATGATGAGCAATGCAATTTCCCATCTCCACAATTTTGTGATTCAGAAACGTCCAACTGCAGGACTGTCCACTGTCGGTGAACTGCACATTCTTACTTTGCTTCCCACTGACAGGTCTACCTTGTGTTTCTGTGTATACATTAGCTTCAGCTGAGCAGCCACTGTGGTGATTCTCCCTGACAACACCACCAGAAACTCTCTTTTGTTCTCCTGCACAGGTGCATATAACTCGACAGGTGTGGGGTTTTCTTTCTCTCTGCTTTCTCTCTCCCAACACCACATTGTTCTGTATCCTAAGAATGCCATGTCCTTCCACTAAGGAAACATACACCGGGTTACCCCACAGCTAAACCACTGAGCCTCTTGGGCTTGCTGATCAGAAGGCTGGTGGTTCGAATCCCCGCGACAGGGTGAGCTCCTGTTGCTCTGTCCCAGCTCCTGTCAACCTAGCAGTTCGAAAGCACCCCAGTGCAAGTAGATAAATAGCTACCGCTGCAGCGGGAAGGTAAATGGTGTTTCCGTGCACTCTTATTTCCATCATGGTGTCCCGTTGTGCCATAAGCAGTTTAGTCATGCTGGCCACATGACCTGGAAAGCTGTCTGTGGACAAACACCGGCTCCCTCAGCCTGAAAAGCGAGATGAGCGCCTCAACCCCAGCGTTTGACTGGATTTAGCCATCCAGGGGTCCTTTGTTGTTTAGTCGTGTCCGACTCTTCGTGACCCCATGGACCAGAGCACGCCAGGCACTCCTGTCTTCCACTGCCTCCCGCGGTTTGGTCATACATGCTGGTAGCTTTGAGAACACTGTCCAACCATCTTATCCTCTGTCGTCCCCTTCTCCTTGTGCCCTCCATCTTTCCCAACATCAGGGTCTTTCCCGGGAGTCTTCTCTTCTCATGAGGTGGCCAAAGTATTGGAGCCTCAGCTTCAGGATCTGTCCTTCCAGTGAGCACTCAGGGCTGATTTCCTTAAGAATGGATAGGTTTGATCTTCTTGCAGTCCATGGGACTCTCAAGAGTCTCCTCCAGCACCACAATTCAAAAGCATCAATTCTTCGACGATCAACCTTCTTTATGGTCCAGCTCTCACTTCCATACATCACTACTGGGAAAACCCCTTCATGGATCACTGCCTTGCTGTGGCGAAGGGGCTCGAATAACTCAGAGAAGCTATGAGCTATGCCGGGCAAGGCCACCCAAGATGGACAGGTCATAGTGGAGAGTTTTGACCAAACGTGATCCACCTGGAGCAGGAACCGGCAAGCCACTCCAATATCCCTGCCAAGAAAACTCCATGGACAAAGACAATAGAGGTCTTTTACCTTATCCTAATAATAATAATAATTTATTTATACCCCGCCCGTCTGGCTGGGTTTCCCCAACAACCCTGCAAGGCAGATCTCCTTAATCGACCGACCGTTACTAAAGGTATTCCACGGACTACCAAGACGCCTTTGATTTCAAGATGCATCAACTACCGTGATGTATTGAGTAGCCCCGTTCAGAACAGGTCGAACTGCAGCCAGCCACCGCCTCGAAAGCCTTGCGTCTTTTATCGGTGACCCTGATAATTAGGGCAAGGAACAAGGCTTCCCAGTCTCGGAAGGGAACATAAAAGGGGAGCCGCGGGGGGGGGCGGAGAAACAAACGTTAAAAGCAGGAGGAACCTGTAAACCATCCCATACCTGGAGGCTCGGTGACCCCTTTCAGCAGGACTTCAGGGGGCCTAACCGGAAGCGGAAGCCAGTCCTCTCTTGCCAAGCTCGTCAGGGAAACCTAACCCAGCTCAAGAGGTTCCGCCTAAGGAAAGAAGGCGAGGCGGCCTTTTCCGGGTTCGGAAGCTCCGCCCCTTTTCCTTCAGGCTGTAAGCGGCGCCGCGCTTCTCCATTGGCTGTAAGGTCTTCCCCGCGCGCCCCTCGGAGGGAAACCAATGAATGCCGCGCTTGCTGGGGGCGGGCCAATGGGCGGGCGCCTTGTTACGTTGCCGGAGACGCTGACAGGGACTGGAGGAGGAGTGAGCGCGGGGAGGTCGGCGGTGGGGGGAGGGGGAAGCTGTGGAGAAGGAGAAAGCGAGGCATTAGCAACAGCGCCAGCAGTAATGGTGGCGGCGGCTGAGGCGGCGAGAGGCTGCTGCGGTTGACGCCGGTCCTTCCCGCAGGTGGGTAGGCGAGCCTCTCCCCCTTCCCCGCTTCTCGTCCCCCGCTTTCGGTGTGAGGGAGGTTGGGTGGAAGGGGCTGGACGGGGGGCTTCGGAAGCGGCTGAGGCGCCGCTTCTCGGCTTTGACAGCTTCCTACCCCCGCTGCCCCTTCCTCCTGCGCCCCGTTGCAGGCAGGTGTTTCTTCGGCCTCCTTTCGCCGCTCTGGCTCTGAGCCTCCTCTCAGCACCGCCACAGTATAAACAGGTAGCAGCAGCAGCAGCAGCAGCAGCCCTTTCCTTACCCTTGGCAAAGTGGAGCCTCTCTGACGTGACCATTTCTCTCCCTCTCCCGCCCCCCCTTCTTCTCTTTGCCCTCCTCCCTCTTCTTCCAAGACCGGGTTTCCTTTCCTCCCAAAGCAAAGCTTTATTTCATTCCTCCACCCGCTCGCTTTTAGGCTAAGCTCCCCTTCCCCAAAATCTCACAGTTGTTACCGGGGCGGTTTTCATCAAAAAACTACAACACCACAAAACATCGCCTCACAGTGCCTTTTGCTTACAAGACATCTGATGATGTCCTGGCTTCAAGCTTGCACCTACTGGTGTTTTATTTTTATTTCTTCCCCCAAGGTACTTGAGGCCTCTCATTGCACCCTCGAGGTTGACTCGTTCCTTGAAGGATTGGCAGCACGCTTTGCCCACCTTCAGAATAAAGAGAGGGGACCCCTTTTCAAGACAGCAATACATCTTTTGGTTTGTGCTGCGCTGATCTCTGAGATGTCGAAGCGATTCTTTTCAAAGCAAAGTCCCTCACTGCGCTGCCACCCCTTTCTCAGTGGGTGCTTGGGAACCCTCCTCTTAACACATTAACTCATGATACAGTGTGGGAAATGTGACTGGGCAAATTTAGTAGGGACACATTGATATCTGCAGGTTATGCAACCTCTCGACTACATTGCACATGCAGACATCCACCTACAGAGCTTGTATAGTGGACGTACATTGGCACACATTGTGTTCATGTAAACATGTAGGCTTTTGAAGTTGAGTGAGAAAAGCTGCCATACTAGCATCTGTACATTCAACTTTGAATACAGTTTCCTTAAGATAATAGATTGGGTTGGTGGGTTTACTGATAGTCAACTGGTTTTGTTTCTCCCCCCCCCAGGAAGAGCGGAAGACCAGCGTTTTATAATCTACAGTGGGAGGTAAGTGCAAGTTCGGTATTTCCTTAGACAAGGATATTAATTCTATTGATTTATAGCTTTGTTCCCTCAAGTAATTGCTTTTAGGGACTTTGTAGGTATTCAAAGGGATGAGTAAGATCTATGTCAAGGTGTCTTCTGGAGATGATTTTTACTTGTCAGTCAGATGCCATTATGCAGGCTGGCTGGCTAATGCACCTGAACTGTGTGGTCTGTTCCATCTCTCCTGTGTTGAAAGGGCTGAGTATGCAGCTGTTTCATGGTTCAAAATAAAACTGTAATTCTACTAAGTTTTGCTTATTTTCTTGCATCTAGAAGCAGAATAGGATAACTAATAATAGTTATAAGAGAGAGATTATTTTTTAGCATGTTTGTGTCAGACATTTAAAATGCCTTATTTAGAGTAAGCTTCCATTAACTGTAGTCTTGTTTAATCAGTTATCTTGGAACATTTGTTAACTTCTGTTATGAGATAATTAAAGACTGGAGAAAAGAGATTGTGAAAGAACAAGCTTCACATCTAAACAAGAAGTAGTCATTGTGGTGCTCTTCAGATGTTGTAGACTACAACTCCCATTATTCCTGAACATTGTCTATGTTGGCTGGGTCTTACGGTACTTGTCATTCAAAACATCTGGAGGGCACTAAATTGGCCATCCCAGATATAAAACATTTGGACTACTGTTTTCTGTCTTTATTTGGTTTCATAGTTTATATCTACTTCAAGAGAAGGTCTGATAGATGGATAGCCTCTTCAGTACCTGGGATGCAGTGACAAACTAGGTGGGAGTAAAGTTGTCTTTACAGGCTTGGCTTTGCATAAGATGTAAAACTGATTAGAATATTGTACTATATATTTAGGCAAATATGCTTACTGGTATATGATGTCCATTCTATGTTCATGTTAACTGTATATATTGCTTCCTGTTATTTAAGTATGCTCAGCCTTATAATGTTACTTTTTAGGGAATTTTTTTGATACCCTATTTTTTCTATCCATAACACTTTTCACTGAGCACACAATTCGCCTGTTGTAGCAGAATAGGCTAATATGTTGGGGGTGGGGCTGATGTTTACATTGGTCTTAACTGGATGTGTAGACTGCTCAAGATGCATAAGCTGTGACTTGCCTCTGGAGCCTTGTGGGGCTGAGCAAAACTATATTGTTAGCAATAGCTTGCCTAGGGGATAGGGAGAGTCTCTATTCTTTGTACAGGAAAATTAGTTGTAATTTTGGTTTATCCCACTGATTTTAGTTTCAGTGGATGGAGGTGGGGGGATAGAGGATACTTAAGAACATAGTCATTGGTATTTTGACCTTCAGGCTTTTTACATACCCAAAAGGCCATCATAGGCACATTACACAAGGTATTGGTGGTACTCTTCAAAAGTGTTATGAAGAATGGGCACGATTGTTCAAGCAACATAAAAGAAGGGAGAATTCTGACAATTGTTACCCACACACCTCACGTGCATAGTAAATGCACTCATTTGGGGGTTATATAGGTCTAAACATGCTATTACCCTATTTTCTGTAACTTTGCTCTAATTTTTTCTCTGATAACAATAGCAAAATGTGAAGATTATGCATAAATCTTCTTTCTCAAAACTTTTGTAAAAGTCTGTAAATGCAGGTATATACACAGCAGCAGCTAGACACATGCAGCTCCTAAATACGTAATAACAAGTAATAAATGCAATTACTATTTTTTCATAAAAGTGACCCAAAGCGACTTATAAATAGCAATTGTGAATTAATGTACAGTTTGAGGGTTGCTCCCAAACCATTACTTGCACCCCTACAATCTAGTTTGCATCCTATATTTTAACCTACCTAATTAATCATTACTTCTACTCCTAGCATAGTCCAGAAATGCACTTAAGTTTTCTGTGTATCTCACTTGCTGTAGGCTTCAGTGAGGCCTGGATTTGACCCATGAAGACCCATGACTGTCTCTTGGAAGGTTGAAGGGAGGTTTGTGTAGAGGCTTGCGCTGTCTGACAGATGGTATCTATGGACCTACAGAGATATCCATGGAATAACATAATGGTTGCATCTTAGTGGATCTTAGGAACTAGCTTCTCATTTGTGCAGTTCTCAGAACAGAAAGCAGATGAATGTAATGAGATGCATGTTGTAGATGTGGTATGAGGTCATCCTCGGTCATTGCCGCCAAGGTATATGCAGTGTTTACCCAGTAGCTCTTTATATCTTTCTGCAGCCTTGACTAACAACCTATACTCCTGGACAGAGAAAAGCAGCAGAAAGCTACTGCTTTTTGGATCTTGACATATTTTGCTTAAGAATGTCATCCCCGCCTTTGACAATGGGAATGTTTGACCAAACCTGTTGCTATTGCTACAGTTCTGCACTGTTGGGCTCGGTAGACTAAACATTTTCTTCCTGTTCATTGTTGCATTTGGGTTTTCCCTCTTGTCCTCTCTTTATTAGTAGGACAACACGGAGAAATGTTCTGTGATCTCTCTTTTTTAATATAGTAAAAAGACTTGTGGGTTTCAAAGACTAAGCCAGGGGGCTTTGATTATAAAAGATCTCATCAATATGGTCTCATCCCTAGTTTTCTTATACTTCATTGGAGTACATCCTGTACTGTACAAGGATGCTCATTCAAAAGGAATTGTCCTACCCTCTTCTCCCCACTGAGCCTGCCCTATTCTCCTAAAATACCAAATTACAAAGCCTTACTGCTTGGAAGCTTGATTTGAGACAAATGAGACCTGATGGTCTTGAGGTGACATTGCTTTACAGTTAATCTGTCCTTTCAGCAGTTCTGTCCATGGGCTAGGTAAATATTATCTAAATAGAAACCTGATATTGTATGCTGCAAGGAATGCCTTCTGCAGCAGGTGTTATGGGTCCCTGTAGAAGCTGATGGTTGTGATACAAAGGGATGAAAGAGAATGTTCCATTTGGGCACCTACAGTTTTTGCATTGTTTCCATTTTGAAGCTACCTCATAGAAACCCTATCCCCTAGACTTAAGACGGCAAAAGACACTGGGGATTGACAAGTGAGCTCTTGGAAGGGAAACTACAACTGTTACAAATATAATATTTTCCCCTTGGGTTTGCCTTTAACACATCCCATGGACCAAGCAGCTTAAAAAAGGAGGAGGGGACTTTAAGAGCTGAAAATACGGAGTCTTTCTTCATCCCCAGCCCCTGTTTAGTGTGAAAACAGCCCTGAGTTTTATGGAAGATTAGTATTGAAAAATGTGAATTTGTTTGCAAGTGTTCCTCCAGATTGTGAATGATAGTAGGATCTAAAAAATAGTGAAACTAGTTCTGAGAGTCCAAAGGGGCCATTAGACTTGTTTTTCCTCAAACAGCAGCCTGCCCATGTCACATGGCAAACTGTGAAATTCCCTTCAGGCTCATGTGAATTAGGTACCATTCAGTTTCTGGTACAGTACACAGTAGAATCATGTTTCAAAGCAAACTATGGGCTAATTTGCCATGTGTTCACCTTCTAGCATTTTTTTAAGAGAGACAGTGCTAGTGAGTAACATTTCACTACATATTTAATTGATTTAATCTGTTCAATGAAATGAAAACTCTGAGCCTCTTTGAAGATTAGTGTTGTCTGTTGGTTTCCAAAGGTATCCTAATGAAAGAACACTGTAGAGAAAGCAGGCTTACTGTTCTTTTTGCAAGCCCTGATGGCAGTAGCCTAAAAATCTGCTAAGAACCGCTTCATAGTTCTTCTTTTCCCACTGCAGTTGTAGCTGTGTGTGTGTTAGTAAAACTATTTTTAAAATTATTGCATTGCCTCAAGAAGTAAATAAACCATATCAATGTTTATTTATACTCTCCCAGAGCACAAAAGACCTCACAGTAACAAATTCAGCATGTTAGATAATTTTGAAGTGATTGTTTGAAAATTAAATCCCACATGACCAAATGGACAAAGGAATAGGGCCATGTGTTTATCTCTTCTTTAATACTGTTTGTTACCTTTTAGTTCATAAAGGGAAGTGGGGGTAAAGAAAAATATCCTGTAGGTAATAATAATAATATTTTTTTTATTTATACGTCGCCCAACTGACTGGGTTGCCCCAGCCACTCTGGGCTGCTTCCTGCAAAATATAAAAACATAATAAAACATTAAACATTAAAACCTTCCCTATACAGGGCTGCCTTCAGATGTCTTCTAAAAGTTGTTTATCCCTTTGATATCTGATGGAAGGGCATTTTACAAGGCAAGCACCACTACTGAGAAGGCTCCTTGTCTGGTTCCCTGTGACTTCACTTCTTGTGAGGGAACAGTCAGAAGGCCCCTTTGGAGCTGGACCTCATTGCCGAGCTGAACTATAGGGGTGGAGATGCTCCTTCAGATATGCAGGGCTGAGGCCGTTTAGGGCTTTAAAAGGTCAGCACCAGCACTTTAAATTGTGCTCGGAAACGTACTGGGAGCTAATGTAGATTCTTTAGGATTGGCGTTACATGATCCTGGCGGTCACTCCGCAGTCTAGCTGTCACATTCTAAATTAGTTGTAGTTTCTGAGTCACCTTCAAGGTAGCCCTACGTAAAGCACATTGTTCTATTCCAAGTAGGGGATAACTAGAGCATGTACCACTGTGGTGAGACAGTATGCAGGCAATTAGGGTCTCAGCAGGGGTACCAGATTCAGCTGGTAGACAGCCATTCTGAACACAGAATTTACCTGTGCCTCTATGAACATCTGTGAGTCCAAAAGGCCCCCCTAGGCTGTGCACAGTTACCCCATTTAGGACCAGGGAGTCCCCCACACCTTTCTCCCCTCCTCAGAAACAGTACATCTGTCTTGTCTGGATTCAACCTCAATCCGTTAACTGCCATCCATCCTCCACCCACCTCCAGACACTCACAGAGTACATTCACTGACTTCACCAGTTCTGATTTAAACGAGAGGTAGAGCTGGGTATCATACTGGTGAACACCCAGCCCAAACCCCCTGATGATCTCTCCCACCATCTTCATATAGATGTAATAAAGCATGGAGGAGAGGACATCAACCAGTGTGACAAAGGTGGTTTCATTCTCATGATGGAGCCTGAATCCCATTGGGAAGGGATCCAAATGGTCGACATCCTCCAGATTAGAGTGTGCTCAATCACCTTGCCCAGGAATGGAAGATTTGAGACTGGGTGATAATTGCCCATAATGATCGGTTTTTTAATAAGCGGTTTAATAACCACTTCTTTAAGTGGTTATCCAGGAAGACTCCCTCACACAGGGAAGCATTCACCACTGCATGGAGCCCATTGCCTAGCCCTGCCTAGGAGCCAGGGTGGGCAAGGGTCCAGGAGACAGGTGGTCAGTTTCATTTGTAGTTGAACATGCCCTTAGCTGCTCTAAAAACGTGCAAGGAAAGCATTTTTTTTGATGCAGTATGAAGGAAAATTCCTAAAGCACTTCACTGAGCAGGCATTTTCCATTTTCTTACGTAGATGTTTATAGTGGATTATGCTACATTTGTTTCATGTGATATAGGCATTCACTTACCTTCAGAAGTGAATGTCCATATTTGCACACCTGATATTTGACATCCTACATAGCTCAAAGACTAAAGTGGTTTAATAATTTTGTGATCCTTCATTCAGATGATGAAATGAAGACCTGAGAGAATTCCAGTTAGCTACAGGCTCTCTAACTGGATTTCTTACTCAATGATGTAATGTGCTTCCAGGGATTCCCTTTCCTAGTTTGTTTTTGGAATTGATCCCACTAGTCAATAAGCCTCAGCTCAAAGTGTATCTCTTACAAGGGAAAACTTCAGGCACTTAATCTGTTCTGCTTTGTCATGTGCTGACATGCCTCCCACTTCTAGTTGTAATGCTTGAATTGCATGTTTTGCGGAAATATTGGGCATGTATTTTGCCCTCCCAGAAAAATAAACAGCAATGAATAACTGATAATTACAGTTTGACTAATTCTAAAACTAAAGTTGCATTCCTGTGCACACTTGTTTGAGAGGAAGTACATTGGTGAGGCATATGCTAAGTAAATATAACTAGAATTCTTCTGGAAAACTGCCTGACATATCACCCTGAAATCTTCATATCTTCTAAGGCTGCAGCTGGTATTCCTGTACATATATGCATTTTGGAGTTGAATAGATTTTGTTAAGTGTAAAATAGTATTTGCATACTCTGTTTCATTATAGATAATTGGTAAAATGGGGACACTATTTTTACCAAATTGAAATATAATTTATATTTCTAAAATGTTTACATGCCTTGCACCTGCTTTTCCTTCCTGGGTTTCCCTCCCCCTCCTCTTCCTGATTCTTACTAGGCACACATCACTTTTCTTCTGTCTGTCCTTCTGTCGGATGTGATCCCAGAGCAACCTCACAAATTGTACTCTTCAGACACTAGGGCTAAAATCAACTGGGATCACTGGCTTTTCAGATGATGGTGATTTATTTTTTTTAATGTTGCTTATCTTAAAAAATAATCCAAAGCAGTTTTCAAAGGAACAAATTAACATAAACACAGATCCCCTGGAAAGCTTTCATGTAACATTCAGAAAGCTTTAGTTTATGAAAACAATAAGCAAAAGTATGTCACTGTCTGTGGGGAATTGCATTAAAGAGCAATGAGCTACTCGCATGTCAGGCAGTTTAATGTTAAATCACTTGTTTTAATTATGAGAGAAGCATCTGTTTACTCCTTCCGTTTGTGCTACAGGATAATGAATGCTTGACAGTAACAACGCATATATGTGACATGTGCACACAACTTCAGAGATGATGCACACTTTATCTAAGTGGTAAGGTTTGCATCCAGAGAAGATTTGGCAGAACTCTGCTCATGCCGCAGTACTTTCCTGGCTCTTCTCCCACTGCAGGCCACTGTACTCCCCCAAAGAGCTGATGCACCCTCTGGATCTGTGTTGGATGGGCACAGCAAAAGAACTGGAAAATTGGAGGAATTCAGTTAATCTGATTTGCGAAAACAGAAGTGGTCATTTTGCTAGCACAAGACATACCTGGAACCAAGCCAAAAGCATTATAATGCAGTCGGAAATGTAACTTCACATGAATGTATTAGTAAAAGTTGGTAGCAATGGTAAACGGAAGATTAAAAAAAAGATTGCTGTAGTGAGTCACTAAAAGATTGCCTTTTCTCAGACTCGTTTTAATATTGTGTGGCAGGTTAGAATGAACTATTCAAGGTGGAGAGGTCATGGGGTGCCAAAAAGTTTTTGTTTAGTTTAGTTTAGTTTAGTTTTGTTGCAAAGGCTGCTTGATCAGGTGATGGTTGTACAGTGGTACCTCGGGTTAAGTACTTAATTTGTTCCGGAGGTCCGTTCTTAACCTGAAATTGTTCTTAACCTGAAGCACCACTTTAGCTAATGGGGCCTTCTGCTGCTGCCGCACCGCCAGAGCACGATTTCTGTTCTCATCCTGAAGCAAAGTTCTTAACCTGAAGCACTATTTCTGGGTTAGTGGAGTGTGTAACCTGAAGCATATGTAACCTGAAGTGTATGTAACCAGTGGTACCACTGTAGTTAATTGCTATCCCCATCTAAGTTCTAGGGAAACTTGTATAGTACCCCCCAAACGAAGAGTTATTTTAGGTTAAGGTTACCAGATTTTTTCCAATGAATCCAGGGACACTTTTCAACTTCAATGGATTTTCTATGGGGACTGGTTTGTAAATCCGGGGACTATCCCTGGGAAACGGGGATGTCCAGTAACCTTATTTTAGGTACTTCCTGGATGGGAGGTTGCGGGGGGGGGGATGTACAGGTTATATCAGAGATTAAATGGAGGTTTAGATTGTTTTGTAGGGCATATCAAGCCAAACAGTCTTCTCAAACCAACTTGCTAGCATCTGACATTCCTTGTTCCCATTTCCCTCTCTTTGTCCTAATCCTAGCTGCTGTATTTCTTTATAATGCTACACTTATTACGCTGCCACTGAGATAGAGGAGGAGCCATAGCTCAGTGATGGAGCACATGCTTTACATTCAGAGGGTCCCAGGTTTAATCCCTGGCATCTCCAATTAAAAGGATCTCATGGATGCTGGGAAATGCCACTACCTGATCATGGAAAGTTGCTGCCAGTGAGTTGGTTCTCCATTATATTTGATTATTCTCATATTACCTGCCTTGTACTGTACAAAGTACAGTGGTACCTCGGGTTGCATACGCTTCAGGTTACATACACTTTAGGTTACAGACTCCGCTAACCCAGAAATAGTACCTTGGGTTAAGAACTTTGCTTCAGGATGAGAACAGAAATCGCGCGGCGGCAGCGGGAGGCCGCATTAGCTAAAGTGGTGCTTCAAGTTAAGAACAGTTTCAGGTTAAGAACATACCTTCGGGACGAATTAAGTACGTAACCAGAGGTACCACTGTAGAGCAGGAGAGAAATATTTTAAATAAATGTTTGATACCCTCTTCACCTGCAGCTTCACGTAATGCATACTAAATTGTTTTCAAAACCAACAGGAATTTAAGCAGCAAGTTCTGATGTTAAAATTAAAAGTAAGAAAATTCCACCATGAAGGGCTTGCACATAGATCCCAGCTGGAATGTACTGGAGTATATTGACCTCTTCCCTGCCAGGAGAATATTATTCCATGAAGTTGGGTTCAGTATCTTGAGTTCTCTAAGCTGCAGAACTATGGAGAAGTATTAAGTATTTTTTCTTTGGCGGCTCATAATAAAGGGCACAACAGATGAATGAGAAAAAACTGTTTTTAAGATGTAAAAACTAAATAACCCTGATGAAATTGGTTTTCTCACTGAATTCCACTTTCAGTTGAAACAAAAGTTAATCTTTAAGGTATGTGTTTAAGTTTTCATGCAAACACAATGTCAGTTCAGCACCTTGGTTTTAATTAATTAATCATTCATCCATAACCTCATTATTTTATAATACAGCACCGTTACTTGGTTGGTCACATCCATACATTTACCCCCCAAATTAAGTGTTTAATTTCAGCAAGGTGTAAATACAAGGGTCTATAATTCTTGGATGGCCTTGATAGCTCAGCCAAAAATTGTGGCCACAAGATTGTGGGTAGCCTGCAGGAAAGGGTGCTATGGAGTGCATGGGATTTGGCTGCTGTTCAGAGTTGCATAGTGTCTTTCCACAGTGGTAGTGACGGAAGCCTTCTGCTTCCCTTTCCTGTGTGGGAGCAGGAAATATGGGCTTGTTGCTTTGTTCCTTCATGGTAGAGAAACTCTACCATGCAGTAAACAGCCCCCTAGTTTTATTGCTAAGATTGAACCTGCAGAGAGGCAGGAATCGCCAGTCAATCCGTCACCTCCTCAGCTTTTAGCTTAGGGATGGGGGGGGGGGAGTTTGCCAAATGTAACACTTAATGATCTCTCAGACCTGAGGAGTAGCTGCTTCTGTATTGTTGGATTGTTGGCTTCAGATCTGAAGAATAACTGTGCCATGTAAACAATAGGCAGCATTGTATTTAACTATTCAGTAGCATAGTAAATTATTAAACTAGTATTAGAGGGCAGAGAATCTTGTTAATTTTATTTATTTTTCTTGTGTACCTGTTGCAGCAATAAATTCCGCAAGCAGGGCATAAAATGTTATAGGACTTTTTTTGGTAGTTTCTTAATGCAAGCTTTTAAAAACACCTATTTTTTAAGATAAGTAATTCTTCCCTCCCTCCATAAACATATGATATGTAACCTAAGCATCTTAATAATTAGTGAGATTATTCATTTGTCTGTACAGCATAGGTAACAGTTTTTGTGTGTTTCTGCCTGTCACTTTGCTGGTCTGTGCTCTGGCAGAGCTCCCTCTTACTGTAGTAAGGTCTTCTGCTGCCAGAGACAGCCACACATATATATGATGCACTGAGGCCCTTTGTGTATTCAGTTTCTCCGTTTCATTTAAGAAAGGGCAACATCTTGTGTATGTGGATGTAGGCCTAAAACTGTTAAACTGGCTTTGTCAGTATTTTGGAATCTTTCCATTGAATGTCTCATACCATATACTAAGCATATTCTCCTGGAATAGATAAGTAGATACAAAACTGGGGAAAATGTATATTCTGGAAACATAGTTATAGGAAGCCACAGAAGCAGTTGATTTAACCGTACCGGTTATTCTTTTAATTTCCTTTCATGTTCCCAGGTCTGCTAAAAAAATAGTAAAGTGCAATTTTACAACAATTAAATAAACAAATGAGAACAGTGACAGCATCATTTATGGTAGATAGTAAAACTAAAGTTATCCAAGTTAAAAATGCTAACATTATCAATTCTGAAAAGCCTTGGAAAACAAAGGTTTTTGCTTGGTACCTAAATGATGGCAATGAAGACCCCATGTGACCTCCCTAGGGGGTTCATTCCAAAGGCAGGAGCCACAACAGGAAAGATTGTACAGTGGTACCTCGGGTTACATACGCTTCAGGTTACATACGCTTCAGGTTACAGACTCTGCTAACCCAAAAATAGTGCTTCAGGTTAAGAACAGAAATCGTGCTCTGGTGGCGCAGGAGGCCCCATTAGCTAAAGTGGTGCTTCAGGTTAAGAACAGTTTCAAGTTAAGAACCGACCTCTGGAACGAATTAGTACTTAAACCGAGGTACCACTGTATTCTTGGCCCTAACCAGCTGCACTCTGCAGACTGTGGGGGCATCCTGAGAGAAATTATTTCAGTTGGTGGGCAGATTTGACACTTGGAAGCTCAGCTCTCAACTATCAATGTCCAGTGAACATCTCTGTAATATGATGTCATGCTTCTTGACGTTGCCCTGTGGCAGCCTAGCCAAGGCTTTATTTGCTGTTGGCACAGCAAGTCTTATACAGCCAGAACAACTAAGTTTCAACTACTGTTGGCTCCATTGCCTTTTAGCATTGCCTTTTAGGAGCCAACAGATATACTAGGAATAAGAACGGATCATTCTTGCATATCTCACTTAAATTTCATGTTGCTGTTATTTCTATAATACCGTTTTGAATCTGAAATTGTATATGGCTTTGTTAATGATTCTGAATTGGTCAAGCAGTTTTGAGAGTGCAATTGCCATGATTTGAGAGGAATTGGTTTGGCACTAGAACTTGGGACATGAAGCTTATTGGGAAATTATAATTTGTAGCATTTGTTTCTGCATAAATTTCTCTTGTGCACTCTGTTTATGATTTCTCTTTTAGTTGTACATCTATACTTGTTTTTACATATTGGGTGTGATTCCCACTGCAATTAAAGCATTTGAACTTTAATTTTAAAAAGCAAGCAATTTCCTTCAGCAGTTAGCAATGCTGTCAGCTGTTTACATACTACTTATACTGCTTGCAGCAGCTGGAAACTATATTGCTCAATAAAAGGTGCTCTATATTTCTTACTTCTAGAGATTTCTGCAGGTTCTGTCTCAAAAACTCTGAAAATGGATGGAAATTAAGAGAAGATCAGGTCATACTCCTAGTAAGAGCAAGTATTGTGATGCTCACTTCATGCTCTTTTTCCTTTTGACTGAATCAGACACCCATGACACCAGCCCCAAAGGAAGGTAAATTTGGTTGAGGTTCCTGTTCTGGGAGCTTCTTTTCTCCCCAAACAGATCCTAGCTTATGTTGGGATCCTTAAGCATTATCTAGGACAGTGGACTGCTGCACCTCTGTGTAATTTACACTTTAAATCTGAAATGAGCAGGTGAGTTGTGAGAAAGACCCAAAGACTTGCCAATAAATGTGGTTAAGAAAAAGGTTTCTGTCTGTCACTTTCTGTTTTAACATTCTTTTTAATCTTCTATCTGTTCCGTTTATATTTTAATGTTGACTAACTACTGAATAATCATTTTTGGCACAGTCCTTCTTGTTAACATTACTCATGCACATATGGTGACTTCTCTTAGGTAATGTGCAAAACCGCTGATCTACTCGAGCTAGATTGTTCGAGATACATTTGTATAAGAGAACCCAAAGCTGAGCATCTTGATTCTCCTAAAATAGCTACACAAGTGTGTATTTCCTTGAAGCATTTCAGAGCTGTTCCATGGTAACATAATGTTGTTGCCATTATAGTTGCCAGCTTAACCCTATTAAGAGTCTGGTCTCAATGATAGTTTTAGCTGGACAGAAGTGCTTATATAGTGAAAAGCAATTAAAATAAGACAGTAGACTGAAAATCCAGCGGATATACTCTGCCCTTTCTATGTTTCTATTAGGAAATTTTCCGATAGATCTTGTTAATTTGGCCCCAACCCTCTGATAGATCTTGTTAATTTGGCCCAAAATAGGTCAAGGCCTAATTTGATTGGCATTGTCAAAACAAAAGGCATTTATTTTCTGAACTGGGATTTGCGAAGTAGTCATCTGCTTCACTGCATACTCTACTGCTTCTACTGCATTTCTACTCTACTCATTTCTACTGCATTTGTGTGCTTGTGGCATGGACTGTATATTTACAGTTATCTGTGCACATGGGATAACTCCGTGCCAGACTGCTCTACAAGTTGAGACACGTATAAGTTCTTTCCATGTTAGTGGTGTTCTAGCACTCCAGAGAATAGAAATTGTAATGTAGAATGTGTACCACTTAAGTGTAGAACACACTCCCACACACACTCATCGTAACATTGTTGGCCAGTGTTTTAGGTTGTTATTTTTTTAATTGCTTGTGTGGCTTTTGGGGAACTGTACAAAGTGCACATGAACTGGAGAACAAATAGGCATCTGCATAGCGGTGTATGAAAGGGCAGTCTTAGGAGTCTTGCTCAGTAATGAGAGATTTTTGTGGTTGTTACTGCTGCATAACCGCTTATAAATTGATGGGAGCAGAAAGAAGTAGGCTACTCAAAACAGAATGGCTCTCTGACTTTCTTCTTCTTCTTACCTGGAAACTTGGAGGGAAGTCTTCCACATTTTAAAAGCATTTTGTCTTTACACTTAATGTAGCTTAACAGATGAATTTGACAAGAATAGAAATTCTTTTATCAGGAAATGAAAACGGACCTGGAATGGGAAACTGCATGTGTTAGGAACAGAGAAAAGTCAGGTTTTTATTTGAACAAGGCAATCTTCAGTGTTGGATTTAGCATAAGAGAAGCCAAACCTGTTATATAGGAGCTGACGAAAGATGGATTGGAAATCTGTCTCGCTTTGCGTCGGTTGAGCTATCACACAGTAACTGACGAGTGTTTCAGGTTTAGTGTAGGATGACTGCATGATGTTGTTTCTAGGGAAACTGGTGGTGGGAGCATGTAAAAAGGTAAGAAAATATGTTCTCAGGACAAACGCTTAAATGAGTTGGCTTATGAGCTTTTTGTATTTATTGTTATGCCTTTTCAGCTATTTCTTCAGCCTCCAGAGCTTTTGGGTGATGCACTGCATTCTTCTGAACACTGTATATATTAAAAGTGTATTCTTAGAGCATCTTCAGTGAATGTCTTTATATCCAGATATTATGAGGTAGAGAGTTAGGTGCTGAACTGTGTGGTAGCCATGTTTACTGATTATACCAAATTGTCCAGGGTGTTTAAAACAAAAAAGGGGTTACAGAGAACTCCCGATAGGATCGATCCAAACTGGATAAATAGGCAGTGAGATGGCAAGTTGAATTCATGGTTAGCAGATATAAAGTGATGCACATTAGGGCAAAAATAAATAAATCTTAATTTCATATTTATGCTAATGGAGTGACTGACCAGGAATGAGACCTTGGAATCAGAGTATCAGTGAAGGTGCAAGCCCTGTGTGCAGCAGCTGTGAAAAAAGCAGGTGCTGTGCTAGAGATCATTAGGAAAGGGATTCAAAATTGCCAGTATCATAGTGGTATTATACAAATCTGTGGGGAGACCACATTTGAAATAGTCTGTACACTTCTGGTCCCCTCATCTCGAAAAGGATATTGTGAAGCTGGGAAGGGCAACCAAATGGTCAAGGGGTTGGAGATACTCCCTATGGAAAAAGGTTAAATAACGTTTTTAGTTTAAAGAAAAGATAGAGTTGTATAGAATTATGCATGATATAGAGAAAGTGGATGGAGAGGTTTTTCACCCTCAGGGGCATCCAATAAAGCTGAATGTTGGAAGGTTTAGGAAAGACAAAAGGAAGTACAGGTCTTATGTGAAATTTGACTCCTTCATTTCATGTTTTACAGAAACCCATTCTCTTTTTGGTATTATCTGTTACCTTTTATGTTGCAAGTAGAACAAGAAATGTTGCATTTTATAGATGGACATCTGTTTAGTATAACATAACTGATTTTTGTAGATCAGGAATTGGTTGCACAGTACTGTATATGCCTTGTGGTCAGTATGAAATGTGATACATTGTTGAAGCTCCTGAGAGCCTCAGTTTGTTTTTTGCAACAAGTTGGTAACTTTCCTAATTGCATAGAAGAACTTGAAGTATGATAGTGTGCTGCAAAGGCTTAGGCACTAGGTTAGTAAAACGCTCCGGATTTGTTTCCAAATAGGCTTGATTATATGGCCACCACTATGCTTTTGTTTATGAGAAAAGAGTTTTTGCATGTTAGGATTCTTTTCTGGGACTATTACCAGCTGGTGAGCATACATTTTTTGTTGCTGAATCTGAATAAGTACACATGGAACTTAACAAAAGCCACTCACCTCCCATAGCATCTCTTTCCAGATTTCAGGAATAAGCAATTAACACAGTTAATCTCAACACACGTAATTATTATAAACTATTTAAAGGAATGTGCCTGGAAAAATCATTGGCTCCAGGTCCCCCTAAGCTTCTGAATAACAGATGACTTGCATAGGAATATAAAATTAGTTTTCAATTTTCCGATTGTTGAGTTTTAGTATGAACCGAACATTGTAGCCATTCTTGGGTTAGGTGTACCAATCAGTTTTTGTTTGTCAAGGTTAGATTTCTGTTGCTCCTTAGCTACTCAAATGTTTATTTGCTTGCTTAAAGAAGCCTGAATGGGTCTTAGGTGCAGTGTTCAGTGTCTTTGTTCAGAACCTTAGCTGCAAGTCTCTTGGAGTGCTGTGACAAGATGCCCTTTTGATTTGGTGTATATGTACCAATGAGATCTTTTTTTTGTAGTCATGTTGCAACATGCTCATCTCTAGTCCAGGTAGCTATCTGACAGGTGGTTGTAATTTCAGCCGCTATGCTAGAATTTCTTATCTCTTAAGTAAATAAAAAAAGTTGTTAGATAACAACAGGATATATCTTATGATGCACATTCTTTCCGTTTTAGTAAAATATTACAGCTTGGCTGAGTTTTTATTATAGTTGCTAAAGTGGTTTTAGCATGTGTTATTTTGCTGTCTGTGCAGCAGCTTTGTGGCAGCTTTTTGGGACTGGGAGGGCCCTTGTAGAAAGACAAACAACTATTGTTCTAACTGGACCCTTTCACAGGACTATGCATTATTGCTCTTCCTTCTTATCTCACTATCGGAGTAAGCAGGAATGATGTATGTCTGCCACAAACATAGCTACTTCTCTGATGGGAATTTTTTTGAAGATCCATGGTGTGCCATTAGAACATTTCTCCTGCATTCCACGTTCCTGGTTGTAAACCCCATAGAACTCTGTGAGACTGACTGGTTCATTGGATAGGATTGGACTGTGATTAGCTAAACAGAGCAAAAAAGTTAGGCAGTTCAATTCTAATTCCTAAAATTATTCCACAGCTAGAAATTACATGCTGAGGGTATGAACTGTGTTGTGTATGGGATAATCTCAAATGGTTGAGGTGCTGCAAAGTGTCCATGCTTTGTGCTGTCAGCTTACTTCAAATGTGGATACAGGATATCTGCTATTTTTGTAATTGTAAAGCCAGTGAGCAATAAATGCACCGTCTGACAAGTTTTATGCCAACTTTATAAATAAGCCCACAAAAGTTACTATCCTGTAAAATGTTTATTAGTCTGCTGTGGGCTGGCAAAGGGAATTTTGGCCCCTCCTCCAGCAGTCCACTGCATTTCTAGCCAGGGGGACAGAGTGCTGTATAGAAATTCTGTGTTTTTTTGTTATATGTGATTTATTGTCCCTCAGCCATATATTCAAATAACACACAACAGAACACACATATACACACCTCAGGATACACTGCAATAGGGGTGGAGGACTTGTAGCCTACATGTCTGTCTTGATCTGCCAGGGCCCACCTGTCAATCCATGTGAAGAACACACGGCAAAGCAGAACTCTTCACCTACCCCTGTGGGTCAACTTGCCAGGTAGGTATGACTGCCCACGTTTTCAGTCACCCGGTGCCATTGTGACATCAGATGATTGACAGGTGGGTGACCTGCCTTTGCCTGTCAAAGTTGGCCTGTGTAAGGGGGAAGAGATAAAAGGTTCCCCAGGCCTGCACTGCAGTGTTTTGCTGCAGGGCCACATGTTTTGGTCTGACAACTGTGGCAGACCCTAATCTCCAGAAACCACCCCAATTCCTTCCAGAGTCCAGTTTATTGGTCTGCTTATTTTTAATACTACCATACACCATAGCCTCAGGAGACTCTCAAAGCAGCTTGCAAAAGATTTGCCCAGTGCTATCACATTTAAAAAGAATTGCACACATGGTCAGAAGAATGGTGACAAGTTTATTTAGACAACATTTCCCCCCTCCTTGTTCATCTTGGTAGGCCATCTGGCCTTGTGTTACCAGGCAGCAGACTTGCTCAGACTCTCTGAGGTGAGTGAGGCTAAGCGCCTGCTCAGGCCATGATGAAGCCAAGTCTTTCCTTTGTTTGATGGGAAATGGAAAACTGAAGTATTAAATCTTTTTGCAAATCTTGGTTGAGACAAGTACACTTTACAAAAGATTAACCTAATGTTAAGTTGTATGTTAAAGACATCTCTTGCATAATTTGTTTATTTAGATTATTTATACCTTGCTTTCTACAAATCAGTTAATCATGACACATGTCTTTACTTCTCTGTGTGTATTTGCATCAAGAAGCTGAAGTTGAATTTATGATGCAGGATGACAGGCCAATATTTTCTTAATTTTGAAGTTTGACATAGCATTTCAGTATCTAATTCTTGCTAATATAAGTGGGTGGGATGGTGCTGTGTTGGTCATACAGTGGAAAGTGTGGCAGTTGGGAACAGCAATGTAGACTAAGTTGCATACATATATCCTGAATGCATATATTCCTGCAAACCAAAATGAGATGAAATGAAATGAAATGATTAAGGCAATCAATTCTTTTGAGTGTGGGATTGCCATTTCACAGATGATTTTATGTTCAACATTTTGGCTTGAGTACTGATACCTCCCTCCACCCCCCAAAAAATCGAATTGGAAACTTGTTCTTGAAACGATTTGATATATTCAGATTTCTAGATGCAGATTTTTAGATATTAAGCAAAGAACTGACAGAGAGGACATTTTTTGGGGGGGGGGGAAATCCCTGTCTTGTCAGCTCTGTTAAAAGTATTCTGCCCTTGGTACAAATGTTCTATTTTTATACTGCAATATGTTTTCTATGTTCAGACACCATAAAAGGCTCATTTTGATGTCAAACTAAACCATGGTTTATCTTGATGAAGATGAGCTGCAATGAGCCAAAATCTTGTATCCTCATCCCCTCTTGCACTGTGGCCACAAGAATCTTTTACTTCTGTTTCTGATTAACAACCACTTGCTTCATCTGAATGCAATGGACTGTGGTTTAATTTTTGCTATGGCTTGTTTGAAACAAGCGAACTTCAAGCCATAAGTTATGTAGCTGGCTTGTTCAACTAGCCATATTTAATCTTAACTACGGTTTAGGCTTTGGATGTAAAGCTAAACTGCAGTTTAATCAAAAACAGAAGCAAAAGCTTCTAGTTTTCCACCCTGAGGGAGGAAGTGAATGCACATGTGTGATGTTTGCTGTGGCTTGTTCCATTATAATAAAGTATGGTTTGTCATGATGTCTTAACCAGCATGGAATCCAAGAATCTGGGCATAGCTGTAGGCAATTTGAAGATTAAAGTAACTCCCCTTTAATATTTGCATTATATTTGCATTATATGTGCAAGAGCTCTTTGTTATGCTCATCATTAGGCCTTTTTAAGCCGAGAATATAGTTTGATATAGCAGTTCGAAAGCACGTCAAAGTGCAAGTAGATAAATAGGTACCGCTCCCGCGGGAAGGTAAACGGCGTTTCCGTGTGCTGCTCTGGTTCGCCATCTTAGTCATGCTGGCTACATGACCCGGAAGCTGTGCGCTGGCTCCCTTGGCCAATAAAGCAAGATGAGCGCCGCAACCCCAGAGTCATTCGTGACTGGACCTAACGGTCAGGGGTCCCTTTACCTTTATAGTTTGATATACAATAATGTATGTGTTCATGCTTTAACATAGTTTTCACTGCATTTTATTCATTCTTTTTTAAAAGTATACTGTGTTATGTTGTTGGCAGAGCTGGTGATTATTTGAAGGACTGGCAAATGTATCTCGAAGTGGAAAATGGCAGTATTCCATCAACTTCGTTAGAGAACTAACTTATCCAAACAGAGGTAAAGTGGAACACTATATGTGCTGTTAAATGTTTCATGTCAATGAGGACAAGTTAAACAATGATGACTTGGTAACCCATAGTTTATTCTGGTGGTGTTATGTGATAGATATTCTCCAATTTTCTTCTGGTTAACTTTGCCAGTGTTTACAAAGGACCAGTTCATATATATGGCTTGATTTCTTCTCATATTATTTGTCTCGCAGTTGAATGTGTGAGCTTGATTTCATTGAAATTGCTGAGTTTGAGTTGAGGTGCAGGTGATTTTTATCTATTGGGTTGGGTCCAGAGTTCAGCACTTACAATGGGACTGGTATGAGCTCTGTTTGTGGTAGTTGCCTCTATGTGATTATCCAGAACACCCTTTCTCACCACATCACAGCCCAACTGGTACAGCCAAGTCACTTAACCCTTAGATAATTCCCAGGGGGAGGGGACTGCTCTGGGAAGGAGGTGAGAGAAGTCAGTTGCCAGACCCATTTTGCACGCTTAACTCTAGATTCAGCTCACAATATTAATCTACACAGAATCAAGTTGCCTCTTGATGCTGCAGTCGAGTGATGAACGTGCATATATGGACCACTTTACAGCATAGGAAATAGGGGATAGCTCAGCTAGTGGAAATCTTAGTACATGCCAAGGACGTAGAGAAAAGAGAGAATAAGAGGAGAAGGGGAAGCTCACAGGACCACAGAGGTCACCCTTGGGAAGAAATTCAGGGAAACAAAACCCCACGAAGAATAAGGACACAATGGAAAGGCTGCATGGGCTCCACATATGATGGTTCTAAATCAGTGAGGTAACAGGAAGAGCCCATGCAGTTCTTCAGTCATGGCCAATTGAGAAGCTTCTAACTATTATCTGGGTGAGGGGCTCAGAAAGGAATTGGTTCCATCTTGCCAAAACTTGCTATCTTTGCAACCTATTGTCTTAAAACTGACATTGTTTTGATAGCCTGTCTATCCCTTGCTGTTTAGTTCTCTTCCCCCTCTCCCTTCCGCCCTGATATACATTATTCAGCCAAAGGGTCTGTAAATGCAAAGATAAATTTTGCTGAATTTCCAGTGTGAATGTGGCATACTACCAAGGAAGCAATAACATTAACACCTTGGCAAGATAAATCACAGAGGTTTCTTATGAACCAGAATTCTCTACAGTTCTTGACCTCTGCTTCTACTATCCTCCTTCCCCCCTACATATATATTAATTTATAAAGGAAATTCTTGTTTGTTTGTTTGTTTGTTTGTTTGTTTGTTTGTTTAAAAAAAACCAGTAAAAGCAGCATTTGCCATTATAATCACTCTAATATAGGATCTCAATTATTTCTTTTCCCAGTCACTTAATAGTTGAGTTATCATGGGATTTCGCATCCCAGACCTTGTGGCATAATTCTTCAAAGTAGTCTGCTGTTTTCGACTCATTGTGAAAAGGCTTCTCCGAGCGCTTGCCTCTTGCAGGGGATCATCACAACTACACAGCAACAAATGGGAAACTTTAGTTTTATTACTAGTAATAGTACTGAGTGTCAGGCTTATTACAAAAATAAACTGTTTGTGAATGTGAAGAGCTGGTTTTAAGACTTGAAACATTTATTTCATGTCTGTTATTTGCTGAACAGAAGTTTCACAACTTCTCAGCAACAAATACAGGAAATAGGTATGACAACTTTTTTTAAAAAAAACCTTCAAGAGGCTTTTGAAAACTGTTTTCGTTTGTTCCATGGCCAGGATTATCATTAGAGGATGCTATTGTTCCAAGATACAGTTCAGCTTGTTCTGATTCTCTTTTCTTTGTTCTCTTATTTGGTAAGAGAACAAGCACAAGTTGTCTTGAAGAAGTATCTCCTTTTCTTTTCTTTTCTTTTCTTTTCTTTTCTTTTCTTTTCTTTTCTTTTCTTTTCTCTTCTCACTCCACCCCCACCCTTCAGGCACTTAAAAGCGTAATCACATATTAATCATTAGAAAGAAGGTGAAGCTTAAAATAACATGCAGTTTGCTTGAGATAAAATTGCACTATGGGACATTAGAAATCTTTCTTATTAGTATACCTTGTATACTGTGCACTGTGCTTCATTGCTACTTTCCCTTTCAAAGGTGAAAAGGAGTAAAAGTTGTAAGAAAATGCTTGGATCAGAACGTGGGGTTGTAGAAGAATGGCTTTCGGAATTCAAGGTAAGCAAATGTGTTTTTGTTTCTTTTTTAAAAAAAGTAGGAGTTCAATATGGGTATGTCTTTAAGTTAACATCTTATATTAAAAAGCTGACAGTACCTAACTACCGAAGGCTTTTCACCAAAGCCAGACTAAATGTCTTTCCCTCTGCAGTGTTGGATGGTAGGTTGAGAGGAGTTCCCTACCAGGACAGACTTTGCTCGTGTGCTCAAGACATCGATTCCATAAATCATATTTTGTTGCATCGTGCAAAATATGAGCAGGCCAGAGCTGATACTACCCTTGCTGGTACCTTTCTCGGGAAAATCAGAGGCTCACTATGTCAGGTTCCTACTGGAAGACCGGACAAATGCTACAACGTTAGCAGTGGCAAAGTCTTTATCGGTGGTTGCAAGAACAAATGAGCCCTATATTCTAAACAAAATGCTTGATTAACCTGGAGGTAGGCTGTATGATTTGTGTATTGGTTTGTAATGATTTGTTGGGTCTCTGGACCGCAATAAAGATTGATTGATCTTTCTTTTTTATATAAAGAAGGTTGATATGTGTTGCAACTTCCTAGTGTAGCTGCTGGATGTAAGGTAGTATTGGGGCCCCCAAAAACATTTCTCCCTGCCACCTCAATAGTCTGTTGCAGTCGTCTTCAACATTGTCACAAACAGGGCCTACTTTTAACTGAAACACGTATTCAGGGACCCATTTCCTAATCTCTTACCATATATTTGCATGGTGGTGATGCAACCCACCTTGGATTAGACCATGACCCACTAGGGAGTGGGTCCTGACCTGCCAGTTGAAGACCAGTGGTCTGTGGAGTGCATGGAGGATCTAGGCCTGGATTGCCTTAACAGGATTGGGGCCAGTGCATTTCTTTCTTTCTAGTCAGAGAGGCCAGTGTTTATAAGCCACCCATTCTTGACACTGCTGTATTTCTTCTCCTAGGCATTACCTGAAATGCAAATATCCAGTTATGCAGCAACACTTCACCGGAAGAAAGCATTGGTTCCAGCTCTTTATAAGGTCATTCAAGATCCAAATAATGAGGTATGAGACAGCCAAATTACCCTTAATACAAATAATGTTGTTTTTAAGAGCTTTCTAATTGCCGTTCCATTACCTAACTAGTATGAGCAAAACTCTGTTTCCATCTTTTCTGCATTAGTCTGCTTCAGTGGTCTTTGACAGTTACAGAATGTTCTCCGATTGAGCACAACCAAATTCAGAGTATTTTATCGTATTCGACATTGCTGCATTCCACAAAAGAGTTCTGTAAAATAATGGTTTCTTCTTAAACCATTTTTATGGACTGATAAGTTAATTATTGGCAAATTGTCATTTTAGAACTGATTATTTGTACAGTGTTCCTTGGTAGACAAGATTAATATATATATATTTAATCTCTGGGGTGTCTGTGCTGGGGTTCTTTGTCTCCTATAGCTTCTGGAGCCTGTCTGCCACCAGCTCTTTGAACTCTATCGTAGTTCTGAGGTTCGTCTCAAACGGTTTACGCTGCAGTTCTTGCCAGAACTAATCTGGGTTTATCTGCGTCTTACTGCCAGCAAAGACAGACAGAGTAACGGTTGCATTGAAGCCCTGCTTTTGGGGATTTACAACTTGGTAAGTAAGACTGATGAGAAAATGGTTGAAAAGTGCTTTGAATTTTTCCATCAGTATAGAGTAAAACAAAATCAAGACACCACTCTTTCACGACAGGCTATAAAGTTTCCAAAACACCTTGGACTATTTTTATAAGATCAACTCTTATTAAAAATTAGGGAGTGACTTCCCCCACCCCAAATTTTTGGATAATGCTTTAAAGGAGTGCATATCCACCTTCTGTTTTGAAGTTTAGTTCAGACCTAGACAGGATGATTCTGGTTAGTACAACTGCTGATGTAGGAAAAGGAGTTCTCATTTCCTTGGATTGGGTTGCATTCCCTTGAAATTTTTAATAGACTATTTTGACCCTTTTACAACCTCTAAAGCAGCTCTGTATGCTTTAGCTGCAAGGAAACTCCAGTTGAAAGAAATGGAAAGGATCAGAGCAGTTAGTGTAAGGAATTCTTAAACAAATAATAGGCATTTTAAGGATTTTATTGTAATCAGAAAATGTTTTATTATAATCTTTCTAATGGGGATTTTATATGGAAACCTCTCTGAAAGTTGTCAGGGCAAACAACTACGGTGGATGATTTCTTGAAAGCAAGGAACTGCTTTTGGAAAGTTCAGCTGACAAATAATGTTTTCACCACAGTCTATTCTTTTTGTAACAGCCTCACTTGTTTCTGTTCCATTTGCTAGTCATTGGCTTTATAGCCCTAGATACTTAAGATGTCCTAGTACCAAGGTATCATCCCATCTCATATATGAGCTTGCCTTCTTAATGGGATCAGTTGCAGAGGCTTTCCTTTGCACCTCACCAATATCAGAGGTGTGTGATGGGAACATAGTGCTCATGTCTAGTTTTGGGGTCCTGCCTCATCCCCTTTCTGACAGATCAACATCTCATGAATAACATTCATTTCTGGCATGTATTTAGCTTGCCAAGCTGATGGTGCTTTCATTGGCTTTCCAGAGGATTGGTTTTTAATGTGACTTTGTCTAACAGATTGGCCAGTTCCGTCTTCTGGATGGGGTTGCACTCTCTGAAGGTACAAGTTTGTAGTCTGGAAGTGCTCTTGGATCCATCTCTGACCCTTTAGGCTCAGTGGGCTTCAGTGGCTAGGAGTTCCTTTTTCCAGTTACATCTAGAGAAGGATAGCATGTCCACAGTAATTCATACACTGGTACCTTCAAGACTTGCAATGCGCTCAATGTGGAGCTATCTTTGGGCCTAGTTTGGAGGCTCCACCTGGTACAGAATGTTGTGGCCAGATTTTGGTGGGGACAGACCTACCCCCAGCGCTTGTACCAGTGCTTGAAAATTTGTACTGGCTGCCCACGTTCTACGCAACAATGTTCAGCGTTCTTGTATAGATTTACAAGACCCTTAACTCCTTCCCAGCTGAGATTAGACAGGGACCTGACAAAGACTTTTCTATTCCAACAGCCCTTTTCAGGAAGTTCTCTGTTTTGTGATTAACTTTAATTGATTTTAGCCATGGTATGCTTCGAATTTTTTCGTGTATAACACTTTGACATTCCAGTGACTAAGCAATATTTAAATAGATCAGATAACTAAATTACACTTAATCTAAAAAAATTACACCCTGTCAGAGCAGCTTACAGTTGGACAGTCTTACAGTCTAAACAGATGTGACACGCAAGGAAAAAAGAGTTGGAGGGAGGAGAGGAGAAGCAAGCTCAGTCACTAGTTTTTTAATCACACTATATATTTCTTTTTACATAGAATTTGTCTTTCTAGTGGAGCAACTCTTCCCTGGAAAAACTCCCCCCACCCAGCACTGTTCATTAGATCTGGGAGCAGAGCAGGTGACAGTATCTGGGCCAAGAAGGAAGGGTGCTCCTTGAGTACTTTTATCTATTGTTCCCTGCTGTCTGCTTTTAAAAGCTTAATTGCTTGTTCTCCCATTTTAATGTTTTTAATATTTGTTGTAAGCTGCCCTGACTAAATGGGAAGGTGGGGTATAAATATTAACCAGTAAACAACATAGGACTTGCAGAACTATTGAGCAAAGGCTTACAACGACTAACAGTAAAATTGTTGAAAACGGGCTGCCACAATTTTTGCCTGGATATGTAGCCCAAACAGGGCCTCCATATAGGCCTGGTTTTTCACTTGAAAGGCCACATTGCACATTAGCAACCTTGGCTAATGACATGTACATTTGTTAACAAGGCATTCTGATTCAAGGTAACTTGGTTTTCCGATATCTTTCTTTTCATTGCAGGAAATTGCTGACAAAGATGGGAACAATAAAGTTTTATCTTTCACCATCCCTTCCTTATCCAAGCCATCAATTTACCATGAGGTAAGTGTGTGCTTGTGCTGCCAGGCAGTTGTAATTGTTTAGGCATTTCATTCTAAGAGAACTCCAAAAAGTAAATCTTAAAGCTAAAAAGTAAATCTTAAAGCACCTTCTACACTTCTTGGTATATTGCAATAGGATGATCCTTTTAAATGCCACCACCCTATGTTTTCTCTCCTTCCTGAACATCTGTGGTGCCTTGAAGTTTAATGTTTTATTTCTCCGCAGCCATCTACTATTGGATCCATGGCTTTGACTGAGGGAGCCCTATGTCAGCATGACCTCATCAAAGTGGTTTATAGCGACCTTCACCCTCAAAGAGAAACATTCACTGCGCAGAACAGGTAAGCAGTTGATTCACCAGAGGGTTCACTACCAGTCTGTCAGCATCTTTGTAAGATATGAAGAGAAGTTTGCTTCCAGGTTTTGCAGTCTGAGATAGTTAAGCAGAGTAGAAACTGTTCTATATCTCTGGACAATGGGCATGTTCTATTGCAGGGGCGAGGGAACCTTTTCTGACTGGCAGGCTGGATCCTAATGTCACCTACCCACTTCAACGTGGTGGTGCACCCACCTGTCAATCCCCTGAAGTCATCATGGCATCAGGTGACAAATTCAAAAGGGCTTGCGGCCAGCGCTGATTGGTACCGAAAGCAAGTCCCTTTGAAGGTGTGCTTTAAACGCCTATCAGCTGATTAGGACTGACAGCTTGCCTTCAGAGGGGCTCACTGTGAGCCCTGCTTTGTCTATTATTTGCCAGTGCAGTTTGAATTGAAATCGATTGAAATGGACAAAGCGGGCTTGTAGCAAGCCCTTGAAAGTGTGCTGTCAGTTGTGGTGAGGGACTCCCTAGTTTGGCCTGTCCCATTGAGACTTGCTGTCAGCACCAATCAGAAGCTATCAGAAGTGCACTTCTATTTCCCAGTTGTTCATTTGATGCCTTTATAGATGTGTTGGCAGCTGGTGGGTGTGGTTTGGGGGGAAAATCCATGTGGGCCAAATTAGATGGGTTGCCATTTCTCCCTGCCTGTTCTAATGGGTGTCTTATAATACACAATTTCTTCTGAATGCTTTTATTTAATTGATATTAGACTGTGCCCCATGCCTTTGTAGAAGTTTGTGTAATTGTTAAACTTTAATATACAGTGGTACCTTGGGTTATGAACTTAATTCGTTCCGGAAGTCTGCTCTTAACAGAAACCGTTCTTAACCTGAGGCGCGCTTTCACTAATGGGACCTCCCGCTGCTGCTGCGCCATCAGCGCGCAATTTCCGTTCTCATCCTGGGGCAAAGTTTGCAACCCAGAGCAACTACTTCCGGGTTAACGGAGTTTGTAACCTGGAGCGTTTGTAACCCGAGGTACCGCTGTATTTGATTTGTGGCCACTTGTGAGGCATCCTTATTCTTGAATAGCATTCTTTCCGTTTTAGACCTGGCAAACCTTAGTAATTCATGACCTGAATGCAAACTTTCTAGCACATCTGTGGCTTCTAGTTCTACTTTGGGTGCTCTGTGTAAAGGAACTGAAGAATCTGGTTGCCTCTCTTAGCTTAACATTTTTGCTGTATGAGAATCAATTATGCCATTGAGCTTTTTAAGCCTTGCAACACTTCTATGCCAAACCCCAAAAGAATGAAGTCAAAGAGGTGTACTCTCAGGTAATATTCTCCTGTTAGAGAGTTCTGTTAATGGGTCTATTTTTTAAGAGGTGAGACTGCTGTTTTCAGTCTCATGTTCATCTTTTCTGTGTTTAGGTTTGAGGTGCTGAGTTTTCTTATGCTGTGTTACAACTCTGCGATCGTCTATATGCCTGCCTCTTCCTATCAGTCACTTTGCAGGATGGGTTCCAGGTGAGAATCATACACTTGACATCGTTGAGAAAAATGTTTTCTCCCAGTTTTGTTTGTTTAAAAAACAGTTATGCAAAGAGAAAAAAGGTTAAAGTCTCACATGTTATTACCATTACATTTGACTTAAAATTTAAAGTCCTAGATCTGTTTCTTACAGGATTAGCAATCTGTGACCCTATTTTGCGTGTGATAACTTAATGTGGTGTATTCTTTTTTTATGAGAGGCTTGGAAATGGGATGAGATCACATTTTTTTCTAAACATACTTTGAGAACCCTGTTTTTACTAGGTATTCAAAAGTAGATTTTGGAGCATCCAGGTTTCCCTGCAGCAGTTCCCAGGCTCTGAGCCTTCTTCCCTTGGGGGTTCCCCAGCTGGTTCCTCCCACTATCATTACACTGCATCCAACCAATCCATGACTGTTAGATATGTCTGAAGGGTGCATTTGTCCTCTAAGGGTATAGCATATACGAAACAAGTTGCTACTTTAAGAAATGTATGGGCTTAGAGAAATGATGTCATTGGCACTCATTTTATCCCTCTTAGGATCCTTTTAGTGAGAAAGGGGCACCCATGCTGCATAAAGGATCCTCATAGGAGAGCATGGATTTGGATTCCATGGTCTCCCATCAGATCCCTTTAGGTTCCATTTCTGTTAAAATTGATCATTTTGATTGATACGAGGTCTTGGATTTGACTGGATGACAAATTTCCAGTGCTGGGCCTGAAAACATCTGGCACGTCATAGGTTCCCCACCCTTGACTTAGAGCAATAAAGTAAGAATGTCGATTAGAAGGGGATTGGCAATTTCCTTGTTCCTCATTCAGGTGTTTCCCAGGAACAGAAACTGGGTTGACCTTGTGTTATGATTAGAGAGGTATTGGTTTTTCTGATCTCCAGCTTCCCAAGTGTCATTATGTATTACATTTTCTTGATTTTTTCCCCATAAAAAAAATCTTACCCAGCGATAGGGGGGAAATTATGGATTCCACCCATCACCCTTCCATTTTAGTCAAGTAGCTTTTTGGGGGGGGAGAGCTAGAACTAGAATTGATTATGCACAATATGTAATTGACAGTATGAAAACTTGTTTACTCAAAATGTTCGTTAGATCAGGATTTCATAAATGCTCTTAATGTTTTGCCAGACTCTGTGTGAGTGGGTTTCCACGGCAACATGAGAAATGCTGGAAGGAAGATTGTGGCCGAGTGGTACTGGATCCTGACTTCATGGTGCAGCTGCTCACTGGTGTCTATTATGCTATGTAAGTATTCAAGGTCTGGACAAGGAAGAGCTCTCTATTTTTAGCTGGATCAGAATATATTTACTTTTTTCCTGTCATCTAGCTGCTGAGGCACTGAGTACTTCTTTATTACCTATTTTTTCCCTAAGACTGGCCATTTTAGTTAGTTAGCATCTTGTAAATACCTTATCAGCCTAGCAGAGCAATCATATGCATGTCTACTCATAAGACAGACCCATAGTATTCAATGGGATTTACTTTCAGGTAAGTGTGCATAGGATTGCTATCAGCTTTAGACCCTGAGGTTTAGCACTTCTGGCTTGCTTTAGATGCATTGTGGCAGTATAACTTTAAAAAAGTTTTTTTTAACCACTTTGCTTAATTGTATATGTAAAAACTATTGAAAGGAGATGTGTTTGCCTAAATACGCTCCGTTACTGTACTTAATACACAGGTCTCCATTGCTCTTTATGAAGCGATATAAATGGGATTATTTTCCACATTTGTTTTAAAGGTATTTTTAACTATAGGAAACTTCCACTTTGTTACAAGTGCTAAGGACACTCTCCTGATTGGGGGAAGTGCAGGTAGAATGAATTTGTCAATAATATGTATAGTTTTTAATAAGCTAGTTGCTGGAATAAATTAATTACAGCAACACAAAAAGAGGGCTGTATTTGGAAGGGAAGTGATAGGCGGAAAAGCTCACATTCAGAAAAAATAATGAATCATCTTGTTTCCTTTTTATCCATATGTAGTTATAATGGACAGTGGGAAGTTGGCCAAGAAGCACTAGATGACATAATTTACAGAGCCCAGCTTGAACTTTTTTCTCAGCCACTGTTGGTAAGGAAAAAGTAACTGCAATCCATTGATATCATTAATATGTGTACATATGTGTGACATGCTCAAACCCTTTCAAACATAGCTTAATCTTTTTTCTAGTGGTCTGTGTGGTAGGGACACGGGTGGTGCTGTAGTCTAAACCACTGAGCCTCTTGGGCTTGCCAATCGGAAGGTCAGTGGTTTGAATCTGTGTGGCAGGGTGCGCTCCCGTTGCTTTGTCCCAGCTTCTGCCAACCTAGCAGTTTGAAAGCATACCAGTGCAAGTAGATGAATAGGTACCACTGCGGCAGGAAGGTAAATGGCGTGTCTGTGCACTCTAGCATTCGTCATGGTGTCCTGTTGTGCCAGAAGCGGTTTAGTCATGCTGGCCGCATGACCCGGAAAGCTGTCTGTGGACAAATACCGGCTCCCTTGGCCTGAAAAGCGAAATGAGCGCCATACCCCACAGTCACCTTTGACTGGTCCAGGGATCCTTTACCTTGCCTTACTTGTAGTGGTCTCATGAGAAACAGTGGTGCTTTGGGGTTCTGACTGTGCCATGGAGCTGTAGGTATTAAGCCTTCCCAAGCAGGGCTGAGAACCAAAGAGTTGCTCGGCTTCATGTACAGCGGCATTCAGCAAAATGCTAATTGACTGGGGGAAGAGTGGAGGTGGATCAGTGACTGGTGTTCTCCCAGCATGCTTGACCAAAGAACTCCTTTGTGAATCATGCAAATGTGCACTTTGGCTATGCCGTAGTGGGCATAGCCAACCTAATAGCAACCTATTTTGGCCTAAGGAGTGGCCAACCCTCTGGTGGCAGCATGCCATGCCCACTGCCATGTGCAAATGTACATGCATTATGCACACAGGTGCATAGTCTCCCCTTCTCAGTTGATCTGGAGGTTAGCATCCCCTCCCTGCTCATCAAGTGATCAGTCTGATAACCATCTCCACTCAGATTCTGAGCTAGATGTTTAAATATCTTCGTTCACCCCAACGTTGTTTTCCTTCACATTTCTGTTTCCTTTTTTCCTGCTGGTAGAGTCTTGGGGACCATAATAAAATAAAAATCTTCTGGTGACAGATCAAGGCCCCTGGCCAGACAGAGGTTAACCAGCCTGTAGTATGTCTCATTGTCACATCACACGTTTGTGATGGGCAGAACCATGATCTCATATCACGAGGTTCATATGAGGGAGACCTAGAATGAATGTTCTTGCACACACATTGTGTTTGTATTTGGAGCCTGTGTCTTAGTAAAACGAAATAAAGCCCAATGCTTTCACGTTGCCATTTTTTAATTCAGCTTTCCTGAAATCTGTTCATTCCAACCCAAGAGATTTGTGCCAGTGGGTTTCTTGTACAGCCATAGTACAGATAGTATTTTTCCACTTCTCCTAGCTCTCATGTTTTCAAAATGAGTTTGCCGTGCAGCATAAGGGGCTGCTATTTAAGGAAAACAAGACTAAAGCAACTGTGGATCTGTAGTTAATTTGATGACTCCTTGAACTCCCCAACCTAGTCCCCGCCATGTCCTGTTAGACTATAACTCCCAACATTCTTGAGCACTGGCCATGCAGAATAGGAATCATGGGAGTTATAGTCCAAAGCACCTGCAAAGGCTGGAGAAGGCTGTTCTAGTCAGTTAACGGTATATTAACTTGTGTTGGCAGTAGCTGAAAAAATAGAACTCCAAAAGATTAGATATTGGAATGGTAAGCAACAGTTTATATCTTTCGTCATTCCACCTTGTCTTGTTTTCTCCTTTTGATGTAATTTCTGCTTCAGTTCCCAATCATGCTATAAAGTTCTATTTCCCCCCTCCTGGTTTTTATATATGTGACTCTGTATATTAATTGATTGGACTAAGGAATGGTCTCTCCGCGTATATCCTTTGGCAGATGACATATGAATATTGAACAATAAAAACTGCAGAAGTACTTGGCCTCAACTAGACATAAATAAAAATAAAATTGATAACGAAACAAGAGACCTGCACCATTGTCTGTGAATGTAGAAAAAGAACATAACAACAGCAACAACAATTTCTTTATATACTACCCATCTGACTGGGTTGCCCCAGCCACTCTGGGCAGCTTCTGACAAATTAAAACACAGTAAGACACCCAACATTAAGAACTCCCCTATACAGGGCTGCCTTCAGACAAATGACATTCACAGAGAATTGGGCCATGGGGCAACAGATTTGAGCCAGGGCTGTTTGTTGCTGATTTCTGTAAAGATTAGAGGCAGAGAGCCAGTTCAGGATGTACTTCCTAAAAGGTAAATGTGGTAATATTGAAGTCTGATACTCATGCAGCAGTCTAAAAACTAACTCAAATAAATGTGTGTGTATGTTTTATAGCATTTAAGTACTAGCCAGTTTGCAGCGGAGTACTGTGGGTTCATTTATAGGCAGAAAAGAAATGCAATTTTCATCTTTTGAATAGATTTGATTACATAGCTCATTTGATGAAAGTTATTGGCTGGAACATTTAATTGCATGCTTCTGAACACCATAATGCCTCTTACCTGGTGAATTATTGGAACCATGATTTCATTTAGGGGATGACTAAATGGACTACTAGATTGAAAATTCAACTGAAAAATTTAACCTACTGCTGGCCTGTTTCTGAGACCAGTTATGCTATAAAACTTGTAGGTGGATTTATATTTGAATTCAGCTTTTGTTTCTGACTAAACAATGAGCCCAACAGAAAAGTAACTTGTGCAGTTCTCGATTGATTTGTCTCATTTAATAATAATACTACTAATAATAGGAGTAATGCCATCCTCATTTCAAACACTTGTCAGTTTTCTCCTAAACTAATTTATTACGGAATTTTCTTTTCTTTTAGAACTGTCTTCCTTCTGTGGTTTTCTCTTATTTAAGAAATAGATTTGAGTGTCCTGGGATGGCAGTTAAATTTATATAATGCTCTTGGCTCCTTTTCCAGTTTGTTCTGGTTTTTCTTTTGGGTGTTAATCCACTTGTTAAGAGCAAATTTGTACAGCGTTTTACTGTTGCCGTAGGTTGCAAATGCTATGAAGAATTCGTTGCCCTTTGATGCTCCTGATGCATCGCAAGGAGGACAGAAGGTGTTGAAGGTGGAGGTTACTCCAACTGTGCCGAGGATTTCTCGGACAGCCATTACAACAGCTTCAATCCGCCGACATCGCTGGAGAAGAGAAGGTAATTCTTTACGGTGTTAAGCTGTTAATGTAGCATAGCATTATTCACCTCCATTGCTACAAACTGGTCTCTGAGCGTGAATGTTAACATTGGTTTCTGCAGTATACATAGTTGTGATCAATTTCTGTCCACTGCATGTGTAAACATGTAATCATGATATCCTGTAAGGAGGTCAGTATCCTTACTTTATGTTCTGGGGAACCTAGAAGGGTTGTAAGTGATTTAAGTGGTATCCTATGGTACAGTTTGTTTGTTTTTGCGGGGCTAGAACATAATGAAGTTCTGACATCCTTTTCCATATTTTGTTAGTTGGATCATATATCTAAAACTGTTTTAAAACATACTCCTGTGGCTTGAAAATATGCCCATTTGCAGTTTGTAGTATGCAGCCACATAGTATCTCTGAAAATTTGGAATTTTGAATGTTTCAAAATCCAGGAGTGCAGTTTTGGAATGTAAACAACTTTGAAAAAAGGGAAGCAATGTCAAAATAATAATACAGCTTGGACTGAGAGGATTCGTAACTATAAAACTAATATGGTTTTCATTGACAAAATTTATGACTGGCATTTAAGAAATACTAAGAAGCTTAGCTAGAACTTTCACCAAGTTTACATAATATGTACTGTCCCCAGAACTATATTTTCAGGCCCCAAATTTGAAAAAACAAAACAAACACCTTATTGGTGAATGTCAGTTTGTGTGTTGAGCCAATTTTGGACTTTTCTCATTATTTTTAATGATGAGCAGCTTTCTAAAACAAACAAGAAGTTGAAATTTAAAAAATATCTATTATAATTACTTTTCATGCAAGCAGGGCATTATGTTTATTTTAGAATTGTGTTTATTTTTGAATTACATTACTTTTAATGCTTTTATTGCTACATATATTAGAGTAGAAAAGCATAATAGGCAAACTTTAAAAATGGAATTCTTCTCTCCATTAAGCTTCCTTCTGCTGATACTCTGGTGTTTCTTTCTATTCTGGTTTCCTGACCCTAAAACCAGTATTACCATTTCGCAAATCCTTGGTCATGTGTGTCCTTATCATTGATATGTTGTATGCTGGTCTCTTTGTCTACAGCACGTCTGTTTATATGGTGTCCAGCTGCTCTCTGCCTAGTAAAGTGCAGATAGCATTATTGTTGTGTTCCATGTCTATGCAAAACCTTCGTTTCCCTGCCTGGGGTGGAATGTTTAGGGAAAGAGTAGAAAAGCACTAAAATATTATATGTTGAATCCCAGATGGCTTTGACTTCTCAAGCGATGCTGACTTGAGCATTCCCGGATCTCCGATCCTACACGGCTCCACAGACCTAGGGATCAAACGCAAGCAAGAGGGGGACGTGCTGGTGCTCAGGACCCCTGAGCATGGCTCACCGGAGCCCAACCTGGCAACAGCCACAACAGAGGGTAGGACAGAGATAAGGCAGAAGTCAGTAAGGCAGTTGCTGGAGGAGGATCCTTGCTCCTTATCCCCAAGCAGAAATCCTTTTCATTCTGGAGTGTGTTTCCACTATCCCAAGGTGTATTCTCTTCCGCTTCTAACACACATATCCCTTTTATGCTTAGCACCAGGTTTGGAACTAACTTTTCTAGTACTATGCAACTCAAACCTCTTTGTGACACTTAGCTTGGCATGGCTAAAATAAGGCAAAGCGCCACACACGATAACTTTGGGATTGCTTGGAAACACCCTGTTACTGAGCATGTTAACTCAATAATACTAAACAGAATAATCAGAATAAGTGAATGCACCAATTAAACAGGCCAAAATCATTTTGTAAATCTGGAATCCATTTAGGGTATGCAATTTTTATTTTACCCCGATTTCAGTTAAGAAAATATTTAATTAAACAAATTTCTAAAGTTTTTTTTCCTCGTCAAGCATCTTTTGCATAACACTTCACTTGCTGTGTTTCCAATTTGCTTGATTGTTTTAATCTTCTGGTCATGAGAACTGTGTGAGCGACCATCTGTGTCCTAAAACTGAATTAAATTCTAGTTATGAGATTGTGTCTCATACCAGGTTGTCCTGGTAGGTGCAGCCTAATCTTTGTGAAAAACATAGCCTAATACAGTGGTATCCTTCAGGCCATTAGTGCCTTTTTATTTAGACAAAATATTATCTTGTCCTCTTGAAGGAAGAGATTCTCTTTTTATGTAGTTGATATGATCAGTCTACAGTCCCTTTGGTCCTGATGGAGGGATGCTTAATTTGCTGTACAGTTATATGAATATATTTTGCTATTCCTCAGGTCCAGTGAACCTGTTTCTGTGAAGACCCCTTTCTATATCTGGTGCAGCCTTTTTGGCATGGCTGATGACTCAAGTCATATCTTTTGTGACATTGTACTTGCAGGCTATGTACTGCACATGCGTTGCAGTTGCCGTAAGGAAGGTTAACATTCAAAATGCTTCTAGAGTTAATGTTTTGTTGCATCAAATGTAAAGGAGAGGCAAGCCTTAGGCATCAGTAGAAAATTATAGAAGTGTTAAGCAATTTTAGAATTAGCTCATGGTGCAGAATGAGTTTGAGCATGCTCAGTAAATAAGAGCCTCAACCTTTCTCCATTTGTCCCAACTGGTCTGTTTTTCCCCTGTTGTACTAACTAAAACATTGCATGTGCATGGCCAGAAGGATGCTGAGAAATCCTCACATGCTGAGTATCTTCTTTTGAAAAATGGTCGCTAAGTATGTGGCACTCACATTTTAAAAAAAACACGTCTTATTTTTAAAGACCTTCAGTGTTATACCACGTGACTTGTTATTTGGAGTGTGCATCACCCTATCACGGTTAATGGCAAATGGAGGGAAGAATATGGGAGCATGGCTCCAAGCAGAGAAAACTTGAGGTTGACTTTTTCTTCAGGCTGAGCAAAGCTGTTTTTGCAGTGATGTTCTGGGGTGAAAAGTGTGATGCAGGTTTGGGCTTGGGTAAAAAATAAATAAATCCTGTTTGTAATGTGAGTTTTCATTTTTGTAGTTTTTATTGGTGATGTTGGTCTTGCAAAAAGTACAACTAGTAAATACTGTTTCTTGGCTATGCTAATTTCTAATATTCCACGTTTTTAATTACAAAGAATTGTAGGTGGAAGACTTGGGTTTCTGTGAACTAAAGCTATGTCAGTTTTCATATACAGTGGTACCTTGGTTTTCAAACGTCTCCATTTCGGTTTTTGAACGCCGTAAACCTGGAAGCAAATGCTTCGGAAGTTGAATATGCCATGAACCTTCTGCTGAGCACAAGATCCTGAGGCCTAGCTGTCGGCTATTGAGTTTCCGGTTTTTGAATGTTTCAGAACTCAAACGATATTCTGGCACAGATTACGTTTGAAAACCGAGGTACCACTGTACTGCAGGTTAACAAGAAGAGGAATAGAAATGTCTGTATGGAAAGGTGTGATATTGACAGCAGGTTTTGGTTAGTGGACAAAAAAGCCAGAAGGTGATAGTGTGGAGAGTCAAAAATAAAAATATTTCAGTATGACAAAAACTGGCCCCCGCTACATGCTTCTGATTTTTTTGTTTTATCGTTGTGACAAACATTTTGCTGCCCATCTAGGCTTTGTTAAATAACTTTTGTTTTTCATTTTCTGTGGGAGAAGAAAGCTGTGCATTTCCCTTGGCTTCCTTGTTTTGATTGAGGCCAGAAAGGAAGTAGGAGGGTGGATATTGAATAGTAACTTAGTTAAGCAAATTGCTCAGAAACCTCACTGGAGTGTCTGGGTTCTGGCTTGAAAGGTACCCCCCTGCACGTTGTCTTGTCTGTTTTTCACTCTTGAGCACTGCTGAGCTGCTTGGGCCTCTGCATGGTGGTAGCCTCCCAAAAGCTGCCACCGAGCCTCTCTTGACTCTTTTCTCCCAGCGGAATGGATACTTCACGGTCTTAATTCCTCAATTATTGTTGCAGGTCTGCCATCTTGCAGGTTCAAACCATATAATTTTGAGTACATTGCAAAATTATCACGAGACTTCAGTTGCACTCATGGAGAACTTCGGCCATGTAGTTCTGGAGCTTCTCCATGCAACTTTCACCATATCCATTAGAACAAGAAAGGCTCAAGAGAGGTGGTGTTGGTGGCAGCTGCTGCTGTTCAACCAAATGCACTGTCATCTGGCTTTGCATGATGATCTCAAAGAATGTAAATGTTGCATCTGATAAAGGGGTGCTTTTGTTTTCAGGGTGTTCTGTTCTAGGTATGTATTAAATGGCTTTTGTAAATAATACCATGTGCAGAGTGACTCGTTTTCTTTAAATGTCCTCTTTGATATATGGGAAGCATTGTATGGAAAAGTGTGACAGGCTGCTTTCTAATTTTGTTGCGTTTTGCAGGGCAATGTTATGTCAATATTTATAAAGACGAGTTGAATAAATTCTGCTTAGAAAAGAACAGAAAATACCCCTTCAGTGTGTAAAATGTTGTGTGTTCCTTGACAGTTGAATTTAATACTAGATTTAAAAATCTTCCAATATGGTAATCTTACCAAGGAGAAGAGATGAAAGACAGGATATATTAGGAACCACTTGATAAAACTGAGGAGTGTTGCATAATTATGAAAATTGAGTTAGGGCAGTGATTTCCAGTTAGTGGAAGCTACAACATCAGCTACAGAAGGATACTACAGTATGGATGATGCAGGAATGCTCCCAAAGGTGGCAGTTCTTCTTATTACCCACCTAGATGGAGATGAGGCTTGAGATGCTTCCATGTGGCGCTAATTCCACACTTATAGCACTGACAGTTGAAAACTGCTCACCATGTGGATTGTCTCAAATGGAGGTTTCATGCCAGTGTTTCATGTTTCCAGCAGTTAGTGCTGGCACAACAGGCAAATCATGTAGCGAGTCAAGTTGCTTTGAAAAGGTACGAGCCCTGTGTTTAGCAGTGGCCCCATAAAAGTATTTACAATGGCACTTTCATAGAAACTACAATATAGTGAGATTCTACCTTAAGTCACGCACATCTGGAACAATAATATTGCTTTCAGGAAGAATGAATACAGGGGATAAACTGGCCAGTCAGCATCTAATCCATGTCATTTTGCTTTTGTTTCCTAAATCTTTTCCATTTTCCTGTCTGCTATATATATATTTTTTAAAAAAAACCCCTAACTAAAATTCACAAAAGCAAAACACATAGCATGCATTCTTATATTAATGGCACCAAAACATTCCTTCAACACATAAGTCCTATAAGGACAGTAATCTCTTTTCCCGTACAATGTCTCTGGAAGAGACAGTATTTCAGTATGCCCTCCCAGTCCTGGAGGCATTTGCTGCCTCATCTTCAGTGGGGTTGCTGTGGGTCCTGGCAGGAGCCACGTTTACTAGTTGCTTAGAACAGCTGTTACCTTGAAAATGTTCAAGGCAGCTCTTGGACCACCTCGTAAGAACTGATTGTACCAGGAACATGGCTGAAAATTTCAGAACTGAGTGCATAGGTTTGTTCTGACTCCCACGATGGTCTAGGAGGTGTAGATCTGTTCAGTTCAGTCTTGACATGTGAATCCAGTGACTTCCTCTATCATATCTAATGAATGAATTTATAACTAGCCGACAGAGAGAGAGAGAGAGAGAGAAGCAGATATTGCCAGGCTGCACTGGGTATCTCAAAGTGTTGGTACCTGTCCAAGCTGGTTATGTACCTTCATCTTCACATTCCATTTTTAGATGCTTATGTGTTGGAAATAGCACTACAGTGTCATTGCTATAAGAAACAATTCTAAGATCAGGAATATTACATGAAGGACTTTGATAGCTTGGGTAAAAGTGCTCTATTGTATTGGTAGTAGCGTTTAAGGGCCTAACTAGGTGTGCTGGTAAATGTGTGATTGTATTTCTTGTGTCTATTTTGTCCTTCTAAGAAACTCCCTTCTCACTGAAAGCTGATGCTTCCCCTGGTGATTTTCATCGTGACTATGGCGAAGGGAAGGATTAAACTCCCCTCTTCCTGTGTGCCTTGGTCTGAATCTCAATTGGCCCCTTACAACTGCTGTTTAGAAGGGAAAATAAACATGTTAAATGCAATTATGCCCACTGCATGACTAGTTTGGCCATAACCATTGAAAATGTAAGTAGAATGCAGAGTATTATCAATGGAACATAATTTGTCGGAAATTGTAGCCACCCAGAACAATTCTAATAAAGTTTACTCAGAAGTAATCCCTCTGAGTAAGTGTGTTTTAAGACTTCAGCCTTGTATGGATCTTCTGGGCTTTGGCAGAAAAATATATATTGTGTTTTCAATCCTAACCATGTTTCTTAGGAGAGTTAAGTCACAGAATAAAACACAAATTTGTGAAAAAATGTTCTAGGTGCAGTCGTAGAAATGTTGTAAAATTTGTACCATGATGGTTTCGTTTCTCAATCTGATTTCTTTTGGGTTTTTAGATGGTGAGGGTGTCAATGGAAGAGAAGAATCTGTGAATCTTAATGATGCTGATGAAGGATTTTCATCTGGGGCGTCCCTGAGCAGCCAGCCAGTTGGAGCCAAACTTTCATCCACATCTCAAAGGGGCAGCTTAAGGAAAGGAGTGAGTGGGCGTTCAGCCAAGGATAAGGAGATTTCTACACCTACCAAATCCACGGAGAGCCCTCGAGAATCTGCCCGTAAGCAGTACCTGAACCAGTCTATTGACCTCAGTACAGATGCAATTGAAATGACTCCTACAAAGAAACACCTGAGCCTGCCTGCTGGGCAGGTGGTGCCAAAAGCCAGTAGTGTGAGCCTGATTCGGACTGCTAGTGCTTCTTCCACTAAATCATTTGACTATGTGAATGGCAGTCAAGGGGGTTCAGGAGTTGGTATTGGCGGTGAGGGTGTTACTAACTTAGCAGCTGGCAACACCAATCGGTTTTCGACCATTAGTCTACAGGAGGACCGCTTAGGCCAAGCTGGAAATGGCAAAGATGTCATCTCGCCAGGAGCTCCTCTGACCAAGCAGTCCCGATCCCCAAGTTTCAATATGCAACTCATATCCCAGGTTTAACTTCGTTGTCCTTCCTCTACTTTCCCCTTTTACCCAATTCCTTGTTGAGCAACAACAGCAACCATCATCCTATAGTGTGAAAATCCTGGCTTTTGTGATCTTGTTCAATTCATTTTAGATGTCATACTATATTTTGTACTGAAACAGCAATAAAACCTCATGTTCCAATCCCCCCCGCCCTTGCCCTCCCTAAATGTTGTTGTGAAGCAAGTATAAGATGTACTTTATGCCTTTTCCATGCCTTCCTTTCTCCTTGGGTGATGTGCAATCCATTGTAGGCTGATCAGTCCCATTTCAACACTGTGAGTTTTGAGAAGATCGGAGGAAATGGTGAATGTGATCCCTATGAAAATGAAGCTTTGGCTTTTTTTGAGAAATAGAAACGGGTTAGCTTTCTCAATCTACAGTTCTGCAAAGACTACTGGACTGTGACTTTTTGTCTCTTAGAACCAGGAGTGCCTCAGAGATTCTAATAGGACTTTGGACCTCTGAGTTAGTGCAATCAATTCCGAGGGAGGGAAACGCTGCCTTTGCTCCTGGTGGCTGTCTGAATGCACTTTGTCATGGAAATGAGAGCAGTCCTCCCTCTCTACCATCCTCTATTCTTCCTCCCCAAACACTTCACGTTCAGCAATTGAGACATGCACGTTTTCAAGTTGTTGCCTCCTCAGAAAGAGTGGGCTGTAAGTAGACAGTGTAGGTTACAATGCACTTTTAATGGCGTTGTAGCCATATTTCATGTTACATGTCTTCCCCGTCCAGGACACAGGGTTGATTTGCCTATATGCCAGGACTTCCTGAAAGATGAATTATGTTCAAAAATAAGTGAGAAGTAGAAAAGGAGCACACAGGCTTACCCAGAAATTGCTATTCAGCACTGCTCCTTTTAAAAGAAACTATTTTTGTAAGTTGATATTCTTTGAAATGAACAAGAAACTGCAGATGAAGAGAGGCTGCTTGCTGTGGTGTGACTAAATTTAGTCACAGAATAGACTTGGAAATCTGCGGTAAATACAGAATGTTCTCCAGAAAGATATGCCAGGAACAGAACCAATGGCTGCAGGAAACATAGGTGACTGAATCCTCTTAAAACCTTTGCCCAAACAATGGCGTTTTTGGCAGTCCTATCTCCCAGAAGGGTAACAGCTCACTGCCTATATTTTGATTAATCTATTGCAGTTGTGACTATTTCATCTAGCTAATGTAAGGGGAGAGGTGGAATCCTCTTCCCTCTAATAATCTGGGAACTCGTACAATTGAAACTAATTTTGAATGCATGTGACTGGTGTGTGGGCAATATTTGGCGTTTACGCTGTAGATCACTGCTTTAAATTGCATTTCTTATTCTAAAGAAAAGTATTCATCATGTTTTGGACAGTCTTGTGTATACATCAACAGCAAAGGGGGGAATTTTGCCCTTTTATCCCTTGTACATTGATCTGGAAATGTGCAGGTTATTAATCTCAGAAAAAGCTGTTAAGTTCTGTCTCCCAACTCTGGCATTTTGGGTTCATTACATTGGAGAGGAAGGTTGGGAGGAGTAGAAACAATAGGTTATTTTTAGAGAGAATAAAGACTATGATATTTAGAACTACAAAGTGCCATTACTCTGCTAAATAATAATAAAAACAATTTTTTAAAATATAATTGACCACTTCCAGTTCTGCTGCTCTCTTGCTTCCCTGACTCATAACTTTAAAATTCCACTTTTTCAAAAGGACCTAGCCTACCTAATAGCAATGTTGTTTTGTACAATTGCTGTAAGAGTTATAGCAGTTCTGTAAAGGGTTCTTATTGAAGCTAAACTAATGTTGAACCATTACATACTAAGGGATGGATCTAGAAAAAGTTATTTACACTTAGTTCCCATTCAAAGCAGTGGGACTTTTAATGACAAAGTTATTACCTTGATTTCCATGAGACCTGAGTTCAACTAAATTAGTTTGAATCCAATCCCGTCTAATTGAAACTCAGGAAGGTTCACTTGTGATTAAATGCAACTAATAAATATCCAAAGTAATAACTAAACAGTGTGTAAGGTGTCGGCTAGACTTCTTTTGGCTCTGAAGTCAGTACAGTACTTCAGAAAGTGCTTATGTTCCATAGACTGGTGAAGGGGCCTGATCTTAATTTTCTAGCATACTGGTGGGATCCACTCTCAATTATTGTTCTATAGAAACACTTCCTTTTTTAAAAATAGCAGAAACTATAGCCAGGTCCCCAAAAGCTGCATGACTAGTTCCTTAGGCTTTGGGTTTGGTAAACAACAACTCACCATCCCGCCTGTCAAACCATGTTTGAAATGGAGGGAGCTTTTAAAAGAAAATTGTGAATCATAGCCATGGTGGGGATAGCTCTGGTTGCAATTAAACTGGAAATTTAAAAATAAAAACCAAGCTCATAGGCACATCTCGAGTACATTTTTAGGATCCCACTCTATGTAGTCTACACAAATGAAGCCAAAAAAGGGAATCTTAGTCAAAAGAGAGGAAATTTATATTATTGTAAAGCAGGGCTGGGGGACCTGAGCTTTTTTAGCTGCTTTTGACTATTTTCCCCATCGTCCCTGATCATTGGTTATGTTGGCTGAGGCTGATGGGAATTGGAGTTCCAAAAAGCGTCCTGTCCCCTTCCCTTGGCTGACGTGTGCTGAGGACCAAATCGGTTGTTTGTACTTTTTCTTTCTGAAAGACATGGAAGTGAGATGTTCAAACGAGTTTTGAAAGAACGTGCCAGCCTATTCTGATTTGTAATGGCATGTGCAGAAATGTGTATTATGCATCCCAATGGGTGGTAGTCCTGCTATCAAGTTTGAATGTGTTTAACAATAAGTCTTTATTGCTTATTAAAATGAAAACCAAAAGATGTTGTGTATCTTCAGCACATTAAAATTACAAAAAAATAATAAATTATATATAATGTTTGTGTGTGGGATAGAGGTTGTATCAGATAAGGCTGCTGAAACCCAAATTGGTTCCTTTTTTTGTTGTGCAGTAGAAACATATTGTACTTGGTTCTTTTGTTTTTAGTGCCTTCTGGCATGAATCTAATACTTGCTTGCTGCTGCTCTTCTTAAATTCCCTTTATTGTCCTCTTTTGACGCAATTCAGATTCTATCCCTGTTTTAATATGCACTTTCCCCATATTGTGGGTTCAAGTGGTATGCTTTCCTTGTCCCCCAAGGATCTTTATAGTATGTTCTGTAACAGATAAATGCTGCTGAGCGTCTTTTCTTAACGATGTGTGTTTGTGTGTCACCTGCTGGTATCAAGCAGTCGTTTTAACGGGTCCATGTTGGTGCTGTTTGAGCGTCTGTTGGTGTATCTGCTGCTCCATGCTATGGTGTTCCAAAGTTCTGTTGAAAACCTGCACTGTCTGGTGCTTAAGGGATTTTAAGTACTGGCTCAATATACACATAACATCTCTTCCCTCTCCACCCATTTTTTAAAAAAAATCCATGTTTGATGCTGGGAGTTAGCCCAAGTGTGTTCCTTTCCTCTTAGCACCTTGACTTTTGCACACTCTCCTCCTCATCCTTTCTGCTAAAATCCCACCCACTTTTGTTTATTTCTGGATTTGGTGGCACACTAGTTCTTGGGAGTGTTTTGAGTATCTATAATGTATTTTAGAAATATTAATACAATACCAAAAGTATACAGAGAGTCAAACATTAGCTTTCAGTTGCTGGCTTAAAGTTTGACTTGGGGTGAGCATTCAACTTGACACAGACACTATGCTAGCAAAATGTTGAAAATGATGGAGGACACAGCGAAGGAGCCAAGAGCATGTGACCCCAAGGGAGCTCCCAATATTTTAATCATCTTAAGAAACTAGAGAAATACTAGGTCTTCACTGAGCCACTGTGCTTTCTCAAGAAATGAATTGAACTGAAATGATACAGCATTGAATTGATGTGGAAAGGCCAGAGTTGTCAGATGAACTCTGATTTATCATTTGCCTTATGAGATGTTTTCTGCGTATTTTAAGTCACTTCCTGATAACTCGTGACAAAAACAGTATTTCCATTTAAAGCCCTTTCCCCGTAATTACGCAGCTTCTGCTTTTTAGAGTGTGGTTTTACACTTTCACATCTTGTGTTTAAACTGAAGGTACCTTGTGGAGGAATATGAGCAGGACTTGTGTTAGTTGAAAATGTGATGTTCATGTGAGATTTTGCAGGAAAAATCTGTGAGCAGGAGAGGTTAGGATCACAGTTCAGTGCAACAATTTTCACTTGCAAACCTCTAGGGTGGAATAATGTTACTTCTGAACAGTCCCACAATTAAATAATATCCTGCTTTTAATTTTGCCCAGGATTTATACATGAGGAAAGGTGAACATACAATTGCAAGCGGACTTATTTTAGTTAAGTTTGGATATTGGGTAAGGGAGCTATCGTTTCATACTGCAGGCAACAGTGGCTAAATATCAAACAACATTAAGCACTATATTGAGAATGAAAGTGTATTATTGTACATCTGAAGTGTGCAACTTAAGGGCAGGACTTCAGTTCAGTTCTTAAAGTGATTATCAGCGTGAAACTAAAATTCCATATGGAAGTGATGAATTCGTATCACAGTGGATATGTATTAATGTAGGTTTTGCAAATTCAGTTAGTGTCTGATACATGTAGTAGATGCTCTAATTATCATGTTTCTCTTCCTAGATTTAAGCTTGGCAAGTTTATATATTTTGCCATCGAAGTAAGGAAAATCACAATGTTTTCAAACAATTTTATTTGCACTATTTTGTGAACAGTAGAATTGCAGGGTTGAAGGACTGGTCACCCCCTTATTGTTTGAGTGTATGCAAATAGGTACATTGGTCATGGGTTGACAATCGATTGCCTCAGTTGTTTGTATGCAATATGTAAATATAACCGTAATATTTTCTTGCCTCCAAAAAAAGTTAAGGTTTGCCTTTTCATTTTTATCAGTGTTTACCTGTAAGTTAAAAGGTTTTTTACGGTTGATTAAAATTAGGTTCGAAAGTACTCATCTTAGGGTGGGGAATGCTACCCCTCTGGCCATGGTTTTAAGCTAAGATGATTTCCCCTTCTGAACTCACACACAGCAACAATAAACAGTTCAGGATATTAGACAGACTGTAAAACATACTGAAAGAATGGTCAAACCTAAAAAAAAAAATATTTTGATAAAATTATAATTTCAGATGTTTTGTTTCTTCACATCTTACAGGTTTAGACAGGAAGATGGAAAACGCTGCAATTATAAACTGTCTTTAGTACTCAAAGTGTAAGCTGGGAAAATTCAATCCATGCCAAATACTGTTGAGTTGATGCGTTATCTAGTATTAAATACATTAAATAAACTAATGCCCATAGGCTCAATTTATTTTTGCAAACCTCTTCTTGGGTTAATTCCCAGTTAATCTGCTTCATTCCAACAGTTTTAACAAATCTTATCTAGTTTTATACAGATAAATATTAAGACAGATAAATCTAGAGAAAGTAAAGCATTCTTTTATTTAATGGACGTCAAGGAAAGATCAGTGCTTCGCACCTTGTTGAGTCAGTGGAACTAGATCACTTACTGATTTGAAAATTGTCTAGATTGTCCTACTGCGATTATTAATATGAAGCTTGTTACTTTTTTGTTGTTTGGGATCCAAAGATAATTTAGAATCACTCAAGTGCTTGTGTATTTAATTTCTAACTCTTAAGAAATACCACACTCAAAACTGACACCACCTGATGCCATTCAGTAAGCCACATTTGAAACTTTAGCTTTTACAACCGTGTGCTGTTTTGAAGCAAACTAATCTAAACTCTGCTTGGGCTCTCAGAATTATTTTTACAGGTGTTGGATTGGAGTCACTGTTTATAATTCTATTTAGTATTTTAACTTTATGTGCAGCAATTAACTTGAGTAATCAATGCTCTACCCTAAAATAATTGGGGCTTGGGGGGGGGGGGGAATGCCTAGGTTTGGTGGAGCAGAATGTATTCATCAAACTTGAAGAATTCCAGAGAGCATGGTGTTTGTGTATGTATGTTTAGCCATTTTCATCATTTGTAAATTCCAAGCTTACTCCAGAATCACAATTTTTAAAAACGCAGGAGCAAACTATGTAGATAATAGCCATTTTAAATATATATTTACTGAAATTCCTTGTGGTTATCAGGACTGAGGCTTGGAATTGCATAAATCACAATAGGTTATGTAGTCATATTTAGAAGTAGAAAATATAATATATAGGATGGGTGCAGGGTTGGGGGTACAACTTTTTGTGTGTGTTTTTGTAAATTCCTGAAGAATTTGTGTTAAAAATGTGTCCAGTCTTCAGTAGACTAACTTTTAAAGCAGAGTTATCAGAACTGCTTACTGGCCTTTTCCAAAAATAATGTTAGACAAAGTGCTTAGGAATAGTTTATCATTTTGCATATTTCTTAACAAAGTCAGTTGTGTTAATAAGCTGTTTCATTTTCATAACTTAATTTGCAAGGTAGATCTATTTTAGTGAGCACAGTACAGTAGAATGTTGGTATATTTCTGCTTTTGTCATTTGTTTCAAAAGATGACTTCAAAACAGTTATCTCATGTGCTAGATGTTGGAGAATTAAAGTAATTAAACATTGAATTATATGTTGGTACCAGATAAAATGACAGTAGAACACTTTTTGGTGCTTTAATTCAGATGGGACCAATATTCTTCCTTTTCTGGCACTAAGGACTTCTATAGTTAACAGCCCTCCTAGTTCAACAACAAGTCTTTATAAAACAAAATTTAGCAGGACTTGAAATTGGAGAAAGTAAAAAAATACTGTGTTTCACTGAGTTTACCCAACTTTCTCTTTGACTTGAAATTTTATTTATAATGAATGTGAGTGTGTATCTTTTTTAACCTGCTGATATAAGGATCATTCAGGGGTGGGGTGGGAGTTCATGAAAAATAGTCATGAGTGTTTGAACGTGTGTATGTGAGAGGGAGGGAGGGAGAGAACTGTTCTCTTGTAAAAATACTTTTTACAATGTCTCACCATTAGTGTAGAAATTTGTGGGAAGGGCATTAGTAATTTTGTTCTGGCTATTATTTGGAAAGCAGTTTCCAGACTATAAGTTACACGGAAGTCTCAAGTGGGGTGGGGCTTCTATTATTATTGAACAAGTTGCGAAAGGAGTTGTCGCTGAATTTTTAATGTTTGTAATAGGAACACCCAATTTACCATTAACCGTTTGAATCTTATTATCCTGCAGGAATTGCAATCATTTTAAAAACTGTTGTATAATGTTTAGCTATCGAAAGCACCCCCCCTTTATTTTCTCTCATACAAAGGTTTACTTCTGAACTAAGATTTTTGAAGGATTTTTACTTTTTCGGCATTATGTAACCTGTTTTACCTCGTTCGCAAAAGGAGCATAGGCAGCAATTACCCTGCTTACTGTAAACAAAATCTGTTTGGCAGAAAGACTTGAATTATGTTAATGTTCCACCAGCATGAACCTGCATGTTGGTATAACACCCAAAACGTTCAGAATCTGGTGCTGGTGAAATGCTAATCAAAATGGGTATGTAATAAATGCAGTCTTTACGGTGTTGGGGACCCTAAACTGGAACCTGTGAATAGCTTGTATTAACAGAACTCAGATGACATGTTTTAAGATCATTATATTGGTGCATGTAAGCCATTATCTTAACTGTCTTACTGAATCTGGTTAATGCTGTTGACTGTTGTTAAAATGTGAAATGTTGATCTTGTAAATACCTGCCAGAGAGAGAATATTTTAAATCATTGTAAATAGAGGTGTATAAAATTGAAACAAAATCTGCAATGCAGAAAAGATACATATATAAATATATAAAGATGTTTAAATAAATATTGTGCTGTTTCTGGAAAAATGTGGCACTGTTGTATTTCTTCCCCAATTTTGCTTTACATCCCTTAGAATGAAGAGAAGCTGCTGCAAAGAGAGCTTTTTTTAAAATTAAAAAAAAATTACCTAAAGGTCTTGAGGTTGTTTGTTTTGCAAAAGCGCAAATAAATTGGACATTTTTAAAGCTATTTTAAGGGAAACCGGCAAAAATGACACTACCGACATCGGATTTCCCCAGACACTGCTTTTGACTGTGATATTCTGGTTATGTCTGGGAAATTCCGGACATATGGCAACTCCAGGTCTTTCATTGGCCATTCAGAAATACTTTTTGCTCTTAAGCCTACCCCTCAAAACTGGTGGGACACAGTGACAGAAGTATATTTTTATCTCTTGCTGCAGAATTCCCTGATCCATGGAAAGGTAATGTGCAGAGGGAAAGATTGTAACAGTCAGACATACAATGTATGTAAAACTTTCATCTCACAATGTGCTTTATTCCAGTTCCTTTAACTAATTCAAATATATGTGAACTCTGTGGTTTAAAAACAAAATTAACCAAGTTATAGAAATTCAGATACTCTGTCAAAAATAAGTGTATTAGTATCTCACCTTCCTTCATTTAGGATTAGAGGATTTTGACTATTTGCATTCAACCATCATGAAAACGGACAAGCTGAAAGACGGGGAGCTTAAAAACACTGATGCATAATCCAGAAGGCACTTTTTATCAGAGCAACATTTTTAACAGGAGCAATTCAGATGTCAAATTATAATTTCAGCCTAATCATATTTCTATCCTGCTCAAGAGGGCTTTCACTCAGAATTTTGTCCTCTACAGCATCAAGTAAATATATGTATATCCTGCCTTCTTGTGGCATAATCTTCGTAAAGTGGCTTATATATCAAACAATAAGAAGCCAGTAAATTAAAAATAAATAAATCTCAGGAATCGTAATTAAAAAGCTAGGAGAAGTAGCATTAAAATTTTCTTAAAAGTCATCATTGCCGTGGGGGAGTCCCAAAGGTATGGGCTATCAAGAACCCTGGAATTTTGCCAGAGATGGCACCAGATAGCTGCTGCTGCTGCTAATAATAATAATAATAATAATGATGATGATGATGATGATGATGATAATTCTAAGCAATGTTTACATAGCATTTTTTTACTTTGTTATAACGTTATAATTTCTGACTTATTTATAGTGTTTTTTTCTTGTGTGTAGATCCATCCCATGTCTTATACTATTAATCGACATCCACATTTTCCAGCCTGCCACCTTTATCTACTGTTGCTCAGTCAACAGCTGTTCCCAATTGCAAAGCAAGTACAGTGGTACCTCGGGTTAAGAACTTAATTCGTTCTGGAGGTCCGTTCTTAACCTGAAACTGTTCTTAACCTGAGGTACCACTTTAGCTAATGGGCCTCCTGCTGCCACTGCACGATTTCTGTTCTCATCCTGAAGCAAAGTTCCTAACCCGAGGTACTATTTCTGGGTTAGCGGCATCTGTAACCTGGAGCGTTTGTAACCCAGGGTACCACTGTACAGGCAACCCTTGATTTGCGTGAGGGTTGCATTCTAGGTCATTCTGTGCGACAGCAGAGCGTGCCTAAGCCGGTTGCCCCCTTTTCTGGGTCGCCATGATGTGTGTGTGCACAGTCATGCACATATTGAATGTACGTAAATCGGTCATTGCCTATATCCAATGTCTGGGTACTTTTCCTGGAGGTGTGAGGTAAGGATGTCTACTGCCTTAAGGGGGTGATCGCATAACCGAACGTAACAAATCGCTTCCCTTGTCAGTCACATTTTTATCTGCTAAAAATCATTGGTCACCTGAAACATTATAGATTTCAACATAGGTGATTTCTGGGACACATTAACCCCATTTTGTGTGATAATTTTTTGTCAGTTCAGTTATCACTAACTAGTGGATTTTGCCCTGCTGCTTAAAAAAGTATTCCCTTGTCTTTAGGGAATTACACAGGGAATCCATCTAATATATATAACAGAATCATAAAATGGTGAAAATTGCATAGTTTGAAGGCAACATCTAGTTAATTAATAGGCTCACTATTTTTAATGTGGATTCAGGTAGGTAGCAGTGTTGGTCTGATGCAGTTGAAGTAAAAAATTGTCCAGTAGCACCTTAGAGACCAACTAAGTTTGTTCCGGGTATAAGCTTTCATGTGCATGCAAACTTCTTCAGATACCTGAAGTATCTGAGGTATCTTGGTATCTGAAGAAGTGTGCATGCACATGAAAACTTATAGCCAGAACAAACTTAGTTGGTCTCTAAGGTGCTACTGGACAATTATTTTTTTTTAATGTGCAGATTTGCAGCTGTGGGGAAAGCATCTCTTAAGGACATTGGAAATGGGTCCACATTTCAAGCTTCCTAGCTGAATTTTGTCCAGATTAGATATTTGCTCCAAATAGCAATTTTCGGACAGCCTTGTATTTGCTATAATTGCAAACCAGCAGAAAATCAAAGCGCTGTGAACACCGAACAATATTTTTTAAAAACGCTTCTTTGTCATTCAAGCGAGTTTTTAAATAGTTCTTGGTAAGCGCTGCCACCTTGTGCTGAAACACAAACCAGCACCTTCCTCTAAAGATTGCCACTTTTGAATGAACAAGAAGCCAACAATAACGCTGATGTAGTTCCCCAGGTTCTTACTTGCTTGGTTGAAAATGCTAAGAAAGAAGGTAAGTTCCTATATTCCTCAACCCCAAATGCCACAAGTGTCTGGCAAGCTCTTGAGTTCTTTAGATGCTATGCAAGGTAAAGGGGAATCATTCATTGTGCTAAGGGTTTCGCTTTAAACACTTCAAGGGCTGATAATAATAATGATGATGATGAAGAAAAGTGGCTCCCCATTTTTCACATGCTCCCCCAGGGAGGCTCGCCTGGCAGCCTCCTGACACAATTTTAGGCGCCAGGCGAAAACGTTTCCTGATAACCAGGCCTTTGGCTATTTAAACCGATGGCCTTTTAAACTGGAGCAAGGTGGGGGGGGGTTGTTTTGTTATTACGTTGTGTATGCCTGTTGTCTTTGTCCATGGAGTTTTCTTGGTAGGGATACTGGAGTGGCTTGCCAGTTCCTGCTCCAGGTGGATCACGTTTGGTCAAAACTCTCCACTATGACCTGTCCATCTTGGGTGGCCCTGCACGGCATAGCTCATAGCTTCTCTGAGTTATTCAAGCCCCTTCGCCACGGCAAGGCAGTGATCCATTTGGGAGAAAAGCAATGACAAACCTAGACAGCATCTTAAAAAGCAGAGACATCACCTTGCCGACAAAGGTCCGTATAGTTAAAGCTATGGGTTTCCCAGTACAGTGGTACCTCTGGTTACGTACTTAATTCGTTCTGGAGGTCCGTTCTTAATCTGAAACTGTTCTTAACCTGAAGCACCACTTTAGCTAATGGGGCCTCCTGCTGCCGCTGCGCCACCAGAGCATGATTTCTGTTCTCATCCTGAAGCAAAGTTCTTAACCCGAGGTACTATTTCTGGGTTAGCGGAGTCTGTAACCTGAACCGTATGTAACCTGAACCGTATGTAACCCGAAGTACCACTGTAGTGAGGTATGGAAGTGAGAGCTGGACCATCAAGAAGGCTGATCGCTGAAGAATTGATGCTTTTGAATTATGGTGCTGGAGGAGACTCTTGAGAGTCCCATGGACTGCAAGAAGGTCAACCCTATCCATTCTGAAGGAAATCAGCCCTGAGTGCTCACTGGAAGGACAGATCCTGAAGCTGAGACTCCCAATACTTTGGACACCTCATGAGAAGAGAAGACTCCGTGGAAAAGACCCTGATGTTGGGAAAGATGGAGGGCAGAAGGAGAAGGGGACAGCAGAGGGCGAGATGGTTGGACAGTGTTCTCAAAGCTACCAGCATGAGTCTGACCAAACTTCGGGAGGCAGTGGAAGACAGGAGTGCCTGGCGTGCTCTGGTCCATGGGGTCACGAAGAGTCGGACACAACTAAATGACTAAACAACAACAACAGCCCCTAATGCCACAAATGTCTGGCAAGCTCTTGAGTTATTTAGATGCTATGCAAGGTAAAGGGGAATCTTTCATTGTGCTAAGGGTTTCACTTTAGACACTTCAAGGGCTGATGATATAATAATAATAATATTGATGAAGAAGAAGAAAAGTGGCTCCCCATTTTTCACATGCTCCCCCATGGAGGCTCGCCTGGCGGCCTGACACAATTTTAGGCGCCTGGCGAAAACGTTTCCTGATAACCAGGCCTTTGGCTTTTAAAACGATGGCCTTTCAAACTGGGGCGAGGTGTGTGTGGGGGGTGTTTGTTTTGTTATTACGTTGTGTATTTTTGCGCTTTTATACTGTAAGCCGCCTTGTGAATTTAATATTTTTTTAAAAGGCCCAGAGGCTTGCTAGACCCGAACCCGCAGGCCTTGGGAAAGGGAAACGCGCTTCCACGGAGCCTGAACTCCGCCAGAGGCCTGGTCAAAAGCGCCGCCAGTCCGCGCAGACTCCCTGCGCGTTTCGTTCGCCTCACAACAGCGCCTTCCTCGCGGGGCGGAGGGAACGGAAAGGGAGCCAATCGCCTCTAAGGAACGGGAACCCAATCGCAAAGCCGAGCGTTAGGTTTCCCTCTATGGGAAGGCGGTGGCCAGCCCGGCACCGGCCTATCAGAACGGAGAAGGGCGGGGCCGTTGTCCCGGCGGACGTCGCGGGAAGTAGAGCACTAGTTCCGGCTGCGCGCGGGTCCGTTCGTGTTCATTCGCCTCTGTGAGTTTTAACGGGGGGCTCTGGGCGGGGCCAACGGTGGGTGGCGAGTCCCCGCATGCGCCGCGCGTTGGACTCGGTCACGTGGCTTCTGAGGGGGCAACAGAAAGCACGTGTGGAAAGGGGTTGGCGCGCTCTGCGTGTACTTTACCGGTGTACTTTACCGGAGAGTAAGCCCCGGCCCCTTTGAATTCGAACGAGCCTTGCTTCCGAGTAGAGTAGACCTTGGCAGAATGGCTCTGTGTATCTCAAAGGAAGGGCAGGAAGGCAGCCTCAAGTTCTTGAGGACTAGTGTTTTGCTTTGCTTTGTTAAACTCTCAATGGGCCGTTGGAGGGTTTGTCTTCCCCAAATCGTCATGTTGACCGGCGCGGGAGATGTAGCGCAAGCGCAGCTGAATTCAGCTGGCCTCGTGAATTGCCTCAGAACTGCAGCTTTTTAGTGGTTACGTTAGTTCCTGTGGGTTTATTTCTCAGTGTATTGGGTTTAAATGTTTGTTTGGGGGGGGGGTATACACTTTCAAGGTAATCGCAAATATGTCTGCTGGGAAACAAATCCTGTGGAGTTAAGGGTAAAGGGACCCCTGACCATTAGGTCCAGTCATGGCCGACTCCGGGGTTGCGCGCTCATCTCGCTTTATTGGCCGAGGGAGCCGGCGTACAGCTTCCGGGTCATGTGGCCAGCATGACTAAGCCGCTTCTGGCGAGCCAGAGCAGCGCACGGAAACGCTGTTTACCTTTCTGCTGGAGCGGTACCCATTTATCTCCTTGCACTTTGATGTGCTTTCGAACTGCTAGGTTGGCAGGAGCAGGGACCAAGCAACGGGAGCTCACCCCGTCGCGGGGATTTGAACCGCTGACCTTCCGATCGTCAAGTTCTAGGCTCTGTGGTTTAACCCACAGTGCCACCCGCATCCCTCCTGTGGAGTTAAGTGACCCTTAATTTCTGGTGTTCATAACTCCCACCATTCATGTTTAAGCAGAATAACTCCCAGAGGTCAGTGGTATTTACTGGCGCCATGGTCTAAACCACTCAGTCTCTTGGGCTTGCCGATCAGAAGGTCGGTGGTTCGAATTCCCGTGACTGGGTGAGATCCAGTTGCTCTGTCCCAGCTCCAGCCAACCTAGCAGTTGGAAAGCACACCAGTGCAAGTAGATAAATAGGTATCGCTGCGACGGGAATGTAAACGGCATTTCTGTGCACTTTGGTTTCCATCATGGTGTTCCATTGCGCCAGCCAGAAGCGGTTTAGTCCTGCTGGCCACATGACCTGGAAAGCTGTCTGGACAAACGCCAGCTCCCTTGGGCTGAAAGCAAAATGAGTGGGCAACCCCATAGTCACCTTTGATTGGACTTAACCGTTCAGGGGTCATTTACCTTTACACTTTATCTTTACTCCCAGTACAGTACATAGGATTGTAGCCTTGAGCTACATGAATCAGGTTGCGAGGGTCATGGCAGTTAGTCTTAGAACAAGAATCCAGACACTTGCGTCCTAACACCGGCTATGTCAGGCTGCAATCTTAACCCCACATACTTGGGGAATGTAGGAATTATTTTCGAGTAGACATGGCTAGGATTACAGTGAACATGATAGTTCATACACAAAGGACTCCTGCTGGTGCAATAGTGATTTTCTCCTCCCCTTACACCAACACCTTCACATTGGTTGCAGGGTGGTGGTCAGGAGAAATCCCAGAACAGCACAGGGGGAAGAGGAGAGTTTGGTAAACTGAGGTATGCTGTTGCCATAACACTGTGTTGAATTCTTCCCAGAATTCTAATGGCAGACTTATTTTAGGAACAGTGTGTTGGTGCTTCTCATTGGCTCTCTCCATTTTGTTGCAAAGTGTAGTTTAACTGTGCACTGATTGTTTCTGCAGTACTTTACTTATCTTCACTGTCTCAATTTTGTGAACGTTTGTGCGGTAATCTACATCCCACTTTGAAGGTTGAGTCCTCAAAGTGACCAAAAACACTTATAAAACACAACAGATACACTGAGAGCCAGTGTGGTTAAGAGCGGTAGTCTCGTAATCTGGGAAACCGGGCTCGCGTCTCCGCTCCTCCACGTGCAGCTGCTGGGTGACCTTGGGCCAGTCACACTTCTTTGAAGTCTCTCAGCCCCACTCACCACACAGAGTGTTTGTTGTGGGGGAGGAAGGGAAAGGAGAATGTTAGCCGCTTTGAGACTTCTTAAAGGGAGTGAAAGGCGGGATATCAAATCCAAACTCTTCTTCTTCTTCTGAGAAGCTCATGTTCAAAAATGAAACAACCAGGCACACTAGGCATTAAATGCTCCTTCCCATAGGGTGGTTGCTATAAGTTGGTTCTTTGAGAGTCAGGGAGAGAACAATCCTACTGGAGGAGGCGCTGAATTTGCCTTTGCCTGCCTCCCTCCCTCTTTTCTTTCCTGGGCAATTGGTGTCAGTTGGCCCAGGGCAGGGAAGGACCTGAGACAATCTACCTGGAGCTGTCCCTGATGTTTTCTTTGCTTGCCTCTTACTCCACAGGGCGGTTAGCATCAGTTGGTCCTGTGCTAGGCCAGCTGGCCAGGGAGGAGGGGAGATTGAGGACTTTAAAATCACCAACAGATCTATGCAAGAAGAAAATGGTTGGAAAACTCAGATAAAACAAAGCAGAGGCATTGTGTAAAAAATTACATACTTGGATTCCTTATCCATAGGTTGTAAGTTGTTGTTTTTAAATTGCTTTTTAAATGTTGGGGAATTTCAGTAGGGTGCCATATCTACCCTTCTGATCATTTTAAGGTGTTTCTGGCTCTTCCTTTCATTTCAGATTAAAGAAAATGCTGTGTGGAACTTAGACAATTAAGGCTCATCCGCTTAAACTGGCTGACCGTGTGGAAATGTATTCTCTCCAATCCTGTTCATGCTGATATGTAAGGTTGTTTTTATCTCTGTAAGTACATTTGAGTAAAATTTGTTTTGAAGGTTGGATTTTATGTTTTTTGAGGTGTGAAATCTTAATTTTGCTTTGCTTAAGATGTGGTTAACAATGGGGGTTCAGCCCAAAATTGAAGATGACTGCCAACATGGTGGTGCGAAATCCTAAGAAATTCTAGCAGGGACTTCATTGGGGAGATGATCCAATACCTTGTTTAAAACATCATCTGTTTAAATATTGCAGATCTTAATGGTTGTGGCGGGGGCGGGGGGGACAATACTTCTTGTATAATGGGTCAGTGCATCTGGCTGTTAACCAGAAAGTTGGTGGTTCGAGTCTGTCTACCTAGGACGGTTATGGGCAGGATTCCTGCTTTGCAGTGGGTTGGACTAGGTGACCATCACAGTCTCTTCCAACTCTACAATTCTATGATTCTCTGAAAGTAGAAAGGATTATTATTGCTACTAATCTTTCTATGCTTCTGCTTGTATACCATGCATTTCAGGCTTGGTTACATCTCCTGTTGGTAATAAGGATAGTTTAATTGTACTTGTGCCTGGATAGGAACATGACACATACTTTGTTTTTAGTTGTAGGCTTCTTGCTATGAGTAATCCAAAGTTAAAGAAAAGCAATGTGATAGAGGTCAAGTTTGTGGCAGATGAGGATGTCCTAAAGCACATTTCTGAAGATACAGGTATGAATTGCTTGTTAGTGCAAGGACAACTTATTTACATATTTATAAAACGGTACTACATTTCCCAGCTGGGTTTTTTAAAAAAGTAATTAGAAACTCTGGATATCTTTAGATGCCTTTAAAGTTACATATTTTTAAAAAGGAGAATTTCTGGTGCTTTTACAGATTTTCTTTTGAGTGTATGCCATAATGGAAACCCAGGTTTTTCTAAGAGACCAAAACTCTTATCCATCATCTTGTTTCTTGAAGGAGGTGACTATTCTTTGTACAGTTCCTCCCGCCACCAATTATGATCTGCTTATAGATCAGGACAGACCTTTTATTCACATTCAGAAATCTTAGGATTGCAAGTTAATAATGTTCAGAACTGCAAGGGTATTACTATCACTAGGCCTTTGTACGCTTATCCACGATAAGCAGACTGACTAGTTTTGGTGCCTTGCCTTCAGTTGAATCCTTGCCATCTTTTGCAGAGTAATTGTTTTTGGTTGCCCTTTCTCAATAAAAACTGGCTAAGGGATTCAGTTTGCTAGAATATGTTGATTGCTTAGTATTTCTAAATGGAAATAAATATATGTTGCATGCAAAGGTTCTAAGGCTGTAGTGCTTAACACTTACTAGAATACAGTGGCTGTTACTTCTGAAGAAACATACATAGGATTGTGTTGTAAGTGCGTATGCGGAGAAAGATTTGGCAGAAACAGGAGAACAGCTAACTGTTTCTGGTTTGTTTGATATTAAAGCCTTACTGCTTCTCTTCCAGGTCATAAGGTTCGAAAGAACAAAGCTGCACAAACGCTTGATGCAAAAAGATGGGTGAAGAAAACAGACGATACCTCAGATAATGAGTCTCAGGAAACTTTTAAAGAACAGGAATATGTTTCTGTCCTAGGCATCCAAGGTATTTATGAGAAAAGGGTAACACTTTGAAAAACTTTACCCAGCTATTAGCCTTGTGAATGTTGGCTAAGAAATGGCTGTGTTCAGTAGTGATATCAATACAGTGTTATGTGGGTTGACCCACCCATTTTCACCGTAAACAATGTTTGCTCATTTAACAACATGCAAGTCCTTTGCAGTTTGGCAGATAATTGTTATAATTTCTCTTCCCGCCTCTCACAAGTTTGCTTCTGAGGGTTTTTGTTTGTTTGGGTGTGTTTTAGGCTCTTTGAAAAATGGCTCCAGTGCAGGTGGTGGGGATGTCTTTCCGTTCCAAACTCCAAAACGTTCTAACAAGATGGCAGAAATGGGTATGGACTGTTTTGTTCAGCAAATTAACTCTTTGATCCTAGTCTTAGGAATGAAACTGTGAAGGAATAAAACTGTTTGATCATTCAGTTACAGAATGCTTACTTTCTGTAGTTGTTTTTATGGTTAAGCACTTTAAAATGGGTTTTTCTCTGTAACTATTATTATTGTATACATGCTGCTTTTCAGAACCTTTAGTAAAACTGAAATTTATTGTTTGTTTAACTCTGTTCCGATTCCTTGATTTTCTTCCTCAACTAATTGCCTCACCACACTACCCAAAGCAGTGAGTTGGCTGGACCGGTAAGTGACCTGGTTCACACTTAATGCTAAACCATGGTTTGCTTAGCCTAACTGTGGCTTGTCTGAATGAACCCAGCCCAGCAGGCTAACCATGTGCAGGTATGGTTTGTTGTTGGCTTATGAGCTTGTTGGCTTGTTTTTAACTGTTGTTTGATACTATCTCCAAACCAAATAGACTTTCTTAACCATAGTTTATTTGAACCCTTCCCCACAAGCTTGACAGGCTACAAAGGCTCAAGGCAAGAGCAGCTGGAAAACAAACCAAGCTTGTGAGAAACAGATTATGGCTTATGTTGTCAACTGTAAGATAACAAATTTATTTGTATGGCTGGCTAAGCCAAACGTTGACATAGCAAGAGCATGCAAACCTGGGCTCTTGGAGAAGAGCATACAGCTGCTTTGTTGCTGTGAAGTCCTTTTGAATTTGTGTTAAACTAACCCATAGTTTGATCTCATGCAAGCACAGGCAAACTTGGCCCTCCAGATGTTTTGGGACTACAACTCCCACCATCCCTGTCTAACAGGACCAGTGGTCAGGGATGATGGGAATTGTAGTCTCAAAACATCTGGAGGGCTGAGCTTGCCTATGCCTGATCCAATGCATCATCTGAACCAGATCTGATGGTTGAACTCTCTCTTCACCACAAGCCATGGTTTGGCGTAGTGTGTCATGTGAACCAGGCCAACTGGTAACCATGGGTAAAGCAAGCCATAGCTGGGTGTTATATGCGAACATGGCCAGTAAGCTACATAGGGTATAGGGCTGTTTTTGTGAGGCAGCCACAGAGCAGATTAACTTAGCTGCTTCTCTTCCCTTCTCACCTCACAGTGCAGGCCTATTCTCTCTGCTTTGATACTGTATATCTAGTGTTTGTCAGTGCTACTGAACAACAAAATATTGGGATATGAGCTTCACTTTCACCACATTCCTGAGAACCACATCAGTAACCGTTGTAAGGTCTTGTTGAGGCTTTTGGCTTCTATTTCAGAACAGCAGCCTTTTTCTTTTGCATAACAATCTGCTTCTGAACCTGGGAGAGTTTTAAAAAGTGTTTGTGTAGCAGCATGGTATTTGTTTCAGTTCAAATGTTTACAAGAGAAAAATCCTATGTGGTCCATGCAAGTCTTAGTGCCTCTGAATCAGCTGCAACATTATTGTTTTAAAAATGCTGGTGGTCACACTCTTGTGGTTATACCGCCTTTCATCTGAGGATCACAGGGCATTTGTATCATATTGCTTGTATTACCTTTGTACCAATATTTTGGTCTCACCTTTAACACTGTAATAAATAATGACTAATGAGCAGTTTATTTCTTTAACCTCATGTTTCAACAATGGCCTACACTAGCCTTCTCCAGCTCCCATCAGCCCCAGTTCAAAACATCTGGAGGGCACTAGGTTGGGGAAAGTGTTTTAAATTGTATTAATATGTTGTGTGCATGCTTCTTTAATCTGGCATTTTCCTTTGTTCAAAGCCTCTGAACTAGCTCAGACAGCAGGTAGCAATGTAAAACATGAGAAGGCGAAGGATCCTGAAAAGGGAGCAAGCACTCCTCAAAGCAGCAAGAGTAAGTTCCATTGAAGTAATAAACTAAATTATCAAATGCTTTAGTAAGAGCTGTGTTTGGTAAAAGCTGCTTTTAAAAGGTTTTGCTTTGGGGAGAATTCACGTGTAGCTTTTACACTTACTATTTCTTTTGTGGGTTATATTTTGTAGTATCTAGGATTAACACAATGGTTCTTAGCTAGGGAAGGAGAATTAGAGTATGAATGTCTTGACAATAAAGGCAGATGAATATGTGCTCTTGATTAACATGAGCCTTAATCTGACAGGCTAGATTGCTGATTTTTGCTAAAGATTTAACACACTTTTTACCTTTTCATGATAGCCATCCATGTGCCAAGACGTCTAGTTATTTGAAATGAAAGGTGGATTTTGGAATCTTGTATGTGTAGCTTTCTACTATACTTATTTATTGATTAACAAATTTATTTTACTGCTTAAACAAAAGACCTTTAAGTGGTTTACAAATGACAATCTAAAATACTCATTTAAGATAGCGATAAAATCAGGCATTAAGAACAAGTTACATATAAAAAATTATACCTAAATCACATTCTAAAATGTTTAAGGAATGCATAACTAGTTAGCATGCAAGTTACCACTATTAGGATGCGTTTTGCTATGCAGATTATAGGGATTTCACTCCTATTCTAGCACACTTTTAAAATTGCAGGATCATAATCTGCCACGGTTCCTGTGACTGCATGATTATTCAGTGACTGTTGAGCAAATGGCTCAGATAAACTACCTGGCAGTGACTTCAAGAAAGCCAGTTTGGCTCTACAGTTTTCTTGGCGTGCAGTTCAGCTACTCATACACAATCATAAATCTTATATGTACATTGAGTCCCAGTGTAAAAATATGCTGGTATTTGGGGATCATGTGTTATCTGAGAGGAGAATTTAGTTAAGATGCAATAAGCATTTGGGGAATACGAAATAGTTTATTTAGGAGAGACTTGGGAAGTGGAGAAGCCTTTGCAGAAAACTCCCAGTACTAGGCACAGAATTAAACAGATACAAAATAGTCAATATAACTTAGTTCATCCTTTTTACATGGGAAGGCACTGGATGAATTTGTCACCTGCATTAATTCTGCATAGAGATGAGGGCATTGTCCAAAGTTCAATATTATTTGCAATCTGAAGTATTTTCTGGTATGAGCATCTGAAGATGCTTAGTTAATGAAGTAGAAAAGAGCTAATGTTTCTTGGTAATTTGTGACAGTCTTTGTTTAATTTCCAGAGTATTCTGCTTCAAGCAAAGGCAAGGTGGAGGTGAGTGGCAATTTTTGGTGGTTAAAAACATCGGTCATTGATGGAGAATGACCTTTCTCCATTATGTGTAGAATCTCCCAAGTGTTGCCTTCAGTAGTTTGGCCAAAGACAGGACTATCTGAGGCGGCTCTGAACATTTGTAATCCAGTATAATGCTTGAATTTACATGCAGCAACATGCAGTGTTGCTTCCTTTGGCTGATCCTAAGTTGGTATTGGGACGCAGGTGGCACTGTGGGTTAAACCACAGAGCCTAGGGCTTGCCGATCAGAAGGTCGGCGGTTCAAATCCCCGCAACGGAGTGAGCTCCCGTTGCTTGGTCCCTGCTCCTGCCAACCTAGCAGTTCAAAAGCACGTCAAAGTGCAAGTAGATAAATAGGTACCGCTCCAGCGGGAAGGTAAACGGTATTTCCGTGCACTGCTCTGGTTCGCCAGAAGTGGCTTAGTCATGCTGGCCACATGACCTGGAAGCTGTTCGCCGGCTCCCTCGGCCAATAAAGCGAGATGAGCGCCACAACCCCAGAGTCGGTCACGACTGGACCTAATGGTCAGGGGTCCCTTTACCTTTACCTTTTAAGCTGTTATTAGGTAAAACTGTACTGCTTAGCTATGTGTTTTTTGTTAAGTTTTATCCAGCAGTGGTATTCAGCTGTCAGTGGTATTGGAGGGAAGACATTTTCAGGAATTTCCCCTCCCCTAAATGTGACTAGGAGAGCTCCCAGACCCCTGGAACAGATTTAAGGGTTGGGACTACAGCAGGAAGAGATATAGCTGAAAATTGCTTCCCTCCCTGTTCTGCTGATTGAACCTTACTGTCAGCTGAGTGATATATAAACATTTTATCTGGATTGTACTGCTGACAAGAGATTCGAGTCATCTAGCAGAAGAATGGGCTTGCCCTTCATACTAGTTGAGAACTGAGTAGCTGGAGGTTTTAGGGAAAATAGCATAAATGGCCACCTACCGTATTTTTCGCCCCATAGGACGCACTTTTTCCCCTCCAAAAATGAAGGGGAAATGTGTGTGCATCCTATGGGGCAAATGCAGGCTTTCGCTGAAGCCTGGAGAGCAAGAGGCATCAGTGCGCACCGACCCCTCTCGCTCTCCAGGCTTCAGGAAGCTACCTGCAAGCCTTGCAAGCCCGGCGGGAGGTCCCGCCGAGCGCGCGAGGCTTGGGGCGGCAGCCTGTCGCCCGAAGCACGGGGAGCCCTCCGGAGGGCTCCCGTGCTTCGGGCGAGTGTCCGCAAGCCTAGCGCGCCCGGCAGGAGGTCCCGCCGAGCGCGCGAGGCTTGGGGCGGCAGCCTAGTCGCCCGAAGCACAGGGAGCCCTCCGGAGGGCTCCCCGTGCTTCGGGCGAGTGTCCGCAGGCCTTGCGCGCCCGGCAGGAGGTCCCGCCGAGCGCGCGAGGCTTGGGGCGGCAGCCTGTCGCCCGAAGCACAGGGAGCCCCCTGGAGGGCTCCCCCTGCTTAGGGCGAGTGTCCGCAAGCCTTGCGCGCCCAGCAGGAGGTCCCGTCGAGCGTGCGAGGCCTGGGGCGGCAGCCTGTCACCCGAAGCACGGGGAGCCCTCTGGAGGGTACCCCGTGTTTCGGGCAGGTGTGTACAAGGCTTGGGGCGGCAGCCGCGGCGGGGGGGGGGAATAATTTTTTTTTATTCATTCCCCCCCCCAAAAAAAACGACGTGCGTCCTATGGGCCGGTGCGCCCTATAGGACAAAAAATACGGTACATGGATTTTTCATGACCCAAGTTCTCAAGTGTTAAGATCAGCATGTACTCTGGCCTGTTGCTAGAACATGCTGGCTTGGCGGGTATTGCAAACAGATCATCCTTGGTAACAGCACTGCTGTATCCCTGGAAAGATCTGACAAGTTCCCCCTCTACCCATTTTTTAATCAGTATTGACCACTTTTTTTAGTTCTAGAAGACATTTTATTATTGATTATGTTTGTTTTTACCGATTGTGTGACTGTTACCTTTTAATTTAATCATATATATTCTTCAAATTTTTGTTGTAATCTGCTTTGAAAAGTTGGGTTTAAGTAACTTGAAAATATAGCTTATGGGTCTTCCTTGAAAGATCAACTCGTGGCTTCCTGGATATGAAGTAACTTTTGAGAATAGATTGAGACTGCTTCATGCAGTCCTAGTGTTCTGCAAATATCCATAAGACATTTCCAGGTCTATTTCAAATATGAGTTCAGTCTTAATGTATTGATCCAAAATTGGTACATGATAGCTGTAAATTTGTAGATTTGGAAGAAACTAATCTAGACTGTCCCAGAAGTAGAAACAAGTACAACCTGGGTTCTTAACTGACTTTGCTTGGTCTCTAGGTCTAATAATGAGATTCCAGAGCTAGATTCTGCAGGTTATGTTCAGTTTTTGTGTTTAAGGTTTTCTAAACCATCTAAACAGATGAGATTTTATTTAGAAGATACTTCATATGCTTGCTTTATTAGCAGAGTAAAAAGAATGAATTCATGTCAAAAACACCCTACAGACTCAGGAAAAGAATTACGGGTAAGCATTTGCATTAAATTCCAGCTAATATAGTTCAGTGGTGTTTTATAAGATGAGATTTCATTCTTGTGCTCTGACTCTTCAGTTGTGACATTATATATAACAGTATAACAGTTTCCAGAGGAGTAGCTGTATTGCAGCAACTAATCTTGTAGCACTGAGTTGAATAAAACTCTCATCGCATAAGCGTTCGGAGTGGTATTCACCTAAGGAGCTGAATCAGCAGGAGCCCCCCCCCTCTCCTCCCCATGCTCAACCCCTGAAATTGACTTGTGGGGGTTAGGGGAACCTCAAGAGCAGGTTCGGAGGAGGATGGGGCAGATGGTTTTGCCTGGCAAGATGAAATGCTTGCTCAAACAGAATGTTTGTCATAGTGTAATGTTGAATTCCATCCTCAATTTTTTTTGCTCTCTCCCTTGTGCTTTAGTATTCAACTAAGGTTCACTCAAGAGGGATGCGGGTGGCGCTGTGGTTTAAACCACAGAGCCTAGGGCTTGCCAATCAGAAGGTCGGCCGTTTGAATCCCTGTGATGACGGGGTGAGCTCCCATTGCTCGGTCCCTGCTCCTGCCAACCTAGCAGTTCAAAAGCACGTCAAAGTGCAAGTAGATAAATAGGTACTGCTCCGGTGGGAAGGTAAACGGCGTTTCCGTGCGCTGCTCTGGTTCGCCAGAAGCAGCTTAGTCATGCTGGCCACATGACCTGGAAGCTGTACGCCGGCTCCCTCGACCAATAAAGCGAGATGAGCGCCGCAACCCCAGTGTTGGTCACAACTGGACCTAATGGTCAGGGGCGCCTTTACCTTTACCTTTAAGGTTCACTCAAACTACATCTATTGAAATGAATGGACCTAACTTAAATGTGTTCATTAATTTCTGTGGGTCTGCTGTGAGTAAAATTTAGTTGAATAACACCCAATATGTGGGAAAGCAGTATCCTAAAGAAGGTACCACTTTGTGTGGGGTTTTATGTTTCATACCGCAGGTGAACTGTTAACCCTCACTGACTCTATTGTATAGATTACCAGTAAGGTTCATGGATACAGTGTACTTGAATTAGCACATCAAAACTTGGAGGAAATTATGGGCTTTCCTTCCATCTGTGTGCTTCAGTGACACACAGAGAGATTTATCCGAATACCACTTCCGAAAGCTGTTGCCCAGATTGTAGGGAGATCCGGATGTAACCTTTCTTTAATGTGTTGGTTTCAATTAAGTAGTCTTAATTCTGTAGTGTCCACCCATTATTTTTAGATTGAAACTGCTTCAGTTCTGGTAGGGGATTTGAATACATTATGGCAGATTTCTGTGTTTTTTTAAATCTGGGCAGTCATTTTTCCACATTGGCATATACAAAGTGTAGTGTGCAGTAGATATTGTTCCCTGTATTTCCAGTGTTCAAAGTGCTGCGAAGTACACCGCTAAAATAACACCACCTCTGCGGAAGACAGAGGTTTCGACAGGTTCAGGGGAATCCAAGCTTTGCAGAAGTTCAGAAAATTGTTGGTCAAAAAGCAAAGCAAAAAAATGGGGTCAGCCCAAAGCAGACCAAATGATGACAGAGTGTGTTTGGTGACCATTGAGTTCTGGCTGATAGGGAGCAGGGGAGGAACTGAAGTGCCTGGGCTCCTGAACTCCACAGCAGCATTTCAGATGTGTCCTTCAGGTCTATATGGATAATGGGAACCCTTGGGTTAGGCCAGGGGTGGGCAACCTAAGGCCCATGGGCCGGATGCAGCCCAATCGCCTTCTCAGTCTAGCCTGTGGACAGTCCAGGAATCAGCGTGTTTTTACATGAGTAGAATGTGTGCTTTTATTTAAAATGCATCTCTGGTTATTTTTGGGGCCTGCCTGATGTTTTTACATGAGTAGAATGTGTGCTTTTATTTAAAATGCATCTCTGGTTATTTTTGGGGCCTGCCTGATGTTTTTACATGAGTAGAATGTGTGCTTTTATTTAAAACGCATCTCTGGGTTATTTGTGGGCATAGGAATTCATTTTCTCCCCCCCCCCCCAAATATAGTCTGGCCCACCACATGGTCTGAGGGACGGTGGACTGGCCCACGGCTGAAAAAGGTTGCTTACCCCTGGGTTAGGCAGTGGCTTATTTTCTTGCCACATACTGTGTTCTTTACCCAGTTTCCCCCTACCTAGACTATGTTGAGATTCTGCTGTTATTTGAGAAGGTGACTCTGTGGCTTAAACAGTGGTACCTTGTTTCTCGAACTTAATCCATTCCGGGAGTCCATTCAACTCCTGAAACCGTTCAAAAACCAAGGCACGGCTTCCGATTGGCTGCAGGAGTTTCCTGCACTCAAGTGGAAGCCGCATCAGATGTTCAGCTTCTGAAAAACGTTCGCAAACCGGAACACTTACTTCTGGGTTTGTGGCATTCGGCATCTGATTTGTTCGACAACTAAGCCGTTCGAGAACCAAGGTACCGCTGTATGTGTGTGAGGTGAAGGGAGAACTCCATTTACTATCTGTAAGGCAACAGCTATGTGCTCTATCAATTATGCACCACTTGTAAGTGGCCTTTTTTTCTACCCAGTATATGCAATATAAAGTTGAAGTACAAAATTTCCAGTGTACAAGATGAGTTAGGAACGGAAACTCACAAGTCTCTTGCCCAATGTTTCCTTTTTAGCTTTAAACATGTGCTCTGATACTGAAAGTGATTATTCCACTTCATGCTCCGAAGAAGAGGAAGATGACAGCTATAAAGAAACTACAGATTATGCTGTCGATCCAAAAATGCTGGCCAGACCCCAGACATCATCTGCTCCAGCTAACAAAGAAACGCCAGCTAAGAAGCTGAAGAGAGAAGTTCCTGTGAGTGTGGATGCACTTCAGTTTGTTAATCACATTGGCTATTGGCCATAGAAATAAGGGCTTCTCGAAACATTTCTACTGTCAGTCATACACTGAATTAAGTGCGGGCCCGTCTCTGACAGGAAACATTGCGGATGTGCTTAGTGGCAGTTTAATCCAAATTAGTTCTTAATCTTACAGGCTTAATTCTGCGGAAAGGCGCATCATATGACTTTTGAAAGGTACACGGGAAATAATAATAAACAATAATAAATTTTTATTTATATCCCGCCCTCCCCAGCTGAAGCCGGGCTCAGGGCGGCTAACAACAATAAAATAATACAACATTCTAAAATCATTTCATTATAAAATTAATTCAAATCAAGTTGATGGCAACCATTGGGCTAGAGTTCTGTGAAGATTGCCAAAGGAGGGAGTCAGGCTGTGCCCTGGCCAAAGGCTTGGTAGAACAGCTCTGTCTTGTAGGCCCTGCGGAAAGATGTCAAGTCCCGCAGGGCCCTAGTCTCTTGGGTTGATACAGATTTTTATTGTTTTGTTTTGTTTAAAGAACCCTCTGGAATTGCATATGACAATGAAGACCATGTGCCTCTTTACTTAGATTTAAGTCCCTGTGTGTGCAATGGAATTTATTCACAGGTAGGGGTTTCTAGGATTGTAGCCTAACAGTAGTGCTATTGCATGTCTGCTTGGAAGCCTTAACTGAGTGTCTTGCATTTACTCCCAAGTAAGTTTGCATAAGTTACCTTCCAGCGGGAAGGTAAACGGCGTTCCGTGTGCTGCGCTGGCTCGCCAGATGCAGCTTGTCACGCTGGCCACGTGATCCGGAAGTGTCTGCGGACAGCGCTGGCTCCCGGCCTATAGAGTGAGATGAGCGCACAACCCTAGAGTCTGGCAAGACTGGCCCGTACGGGCAGGGGTACCTTTACCTTTTACCTTTAAGTTTGCATAGGATTATATTCTTAGTCTATGATAAACTTTGTTGTATACTTTTTGCCTCATTATAGAAGGCAACTTCTTGACTAAGGGATAATGATTGTGAGATAGTTATGCATGAAATAACATGTGCGTTTAGAAATTTTCCTTTTCTTCTCAATTTGCTGCTATCCCTTTTCCCCTTCCCCTTCTACTGAAGCAGCTTCCCACTGTGCGTTTCTCTCTTCCCGCAGAGTAATTTGGTGGAAGAGTATTTTGAAGCACATAGCAGTTCCAAGGTTTTAACTTCTGACCGAACACTTCAGAAGCTACAGAAAGAGAAAATGGATCAGGTACCGTATGTGCTATGAGGGACTATTTGTATTAGAATTTCCTTTTGAGGTCTTTGTTCAGAGAAACTTCTAGCAACCGTCTCTGTGCTTGTTCTTGGATGGACCCAGTGGTTGGTTCATTGGTTGGTTGATTGGTTTATTTTACCTTATTGGTGGTAGCACAGTTTGAGTTGTAATGCTGAAAACAGTGAGAAATACCGTATTTTTTGCTCTATAAGACTCACTTTTTCCCTCCTAAAAAGTAAGGGGAAATGTGTGTGCGTCTTATGGAGCGAATGCAGGCTGCGCAGCTATCCCAGAAGCCAGAACAGCAAGAGGGATTGCTGCTTTCACTGCGCAGCTATCCCTCTTGCTGTTCTGGCTTCTGAGATTCAGAATATATTTTTTCTTGTTTTCCTCCTCCAAAAACTAGGTGCGTCTTGTGGTCTGGTGCGTCTTATAGAGCGAAAAATACGGTGCTTTGCAGTGAAAAGGGCTTGGTTAAGCTAGAAGAGGGGTGTGGAACTTCTGGCCTGCAGGCCATTCTTGCCTCAGGGCATTTTCCACAAACCATGCCCACCCGCCAATCAGCTTGCATCGCTGTTGATGTCAGCTGGTGGGCAGGACCTTTTGGGAAAGCCCACCCAGCCACCTCACATTGATCCCATCCTCTCCCAAAAAGAATCAGCATGGGGAAGGCTTTCCAGCCTGCTTTCGTTGCATGTGCAGCAAAAGCAAGCAGACCTGGGTTTTTTCTTCATCGCTTTGTAATGGAGCAGTCCCTGCCAAAGCCAATGTCTGCTTTAGAAATCATCTCTGACCAGCGTTCGAAACTCACATTGTTCTAGGGCGCATTTTGCGACAGGGAATTTCATTAGCGCAAGCAGTTTCTGAGCTCTGGGCGCAGTACCGCACCTAAGATTTCAGATTAAAACTGCAGAGTGGAAGGAAAGGAGGACCTTTTTCTGTCTCCCCACTTCCAGCTACTCTCTGAAGACTGGAGAAGAGACCCTCTTAAGAATACTAGGGGGGTAGGCAGGGGAAGGACTAGATCGTGTGAAAAATGAACATAATATTTTAGCTGCAGTTCATTCATTTTCAACTTCACATTTTTGTTATTAAAAAAGTGTGCCTAGACATTCCGTTGTTGCGCCCATAACTTAACTTTAAGGTGCCATTGAGCTCCTAGCCTTCATATCTCAGTTTCTAACACTGGCTCTGGCAGATACTGCTCCATCATGCAATGCTGAAGAAACAGGCACTTCTTTCCCTGCTGAGACAGAAAAGTGGGGCCTGGCTGAAAACAGGTACCCTTTGCAGCAGTTTCTCCCTCCCTGTTTTAATTAGAAATGTATTGCTTCATATCTTTCAGCCATGCACCTATTCTAATGGCTTATTTTCCCCTTCCTGGTCTAGGAGTCCCTGCAAAACATCTTGAATAAAGTACCTGTTGCTTTTGCTTCGGAATGTGAGGCATTAACCAAGCAACATGAATCTCTCTTTTACAAATGGATGTTGCAACTGCAGTAAGTATCTGGTGGGCTTCTGTAAGAACATGCAATATACAATGTTCTCTTGAAACAAATTGAAGTTGTAATTAAGCCTAATTGTTTCTTAGGCTCGGAAATAGTTTCCATTGAACAAAACCACATTCACTTCCCATGGTACAGTTAGTGTATTTTCTGGAGTTGAGGTCTTTAGAAAAGGAACCTCATGTGGATGATGTTTGAGGGATGGAAATGCTTTCAGCCTGGTTTCTTTAGCAGATAGGAAACTATCTCATATAAAGCAGTCACAAATCTTCTGGGTGATAGCTATTGGTTTTCTATAACAGAAAAGTACATGGGATTTAAATAGATCCTAGATTGTAGAGGTCTATTAGCTAATTGTCATAGCCACTTTCCAGATTGAATATATGGGAGTGAAGTGCAGATTGGGTGCTGTTCACAGTACGGCTGCACTTATTTCCATTCCACTGAAGACACTGCAAGTTGACATCAGGAAAATAAACAGATAATAGGCATAGATGCTGCTTTTAGCATTTATGATGCAGAACTGAAGCCAAATGTAAGTGTAGGGCCCTTATTACATTTCTGTTCTCCAAGTTGCTCATTGCTCTCCCCACCACCACCGTTTTATCTTCACAACAACCCTGTGAGGTTGGTTTGTCCTAGTGAACTTAATGGGTGGGTAGGGATATGTATATACATCTCTCCGGTGTGACACTGTAACCTCTACGTCACATCAACTCTCAATGTTTATCACTTGCAGATTAAAAAAAAGAAGGCCCATACAGTAGTTTTGTTGCATACAGTGGTACCTCGTGTTACGGACGGGATCCGTTCTGGAGGCCCGCCCGTAACGTGAAATGCCTGTAACTTGAAGCGCTGTGTCTGCGCAGGTGCGCGGCGCAATTTGATGCTTCTGCGCAGGCGCGCAGCGCGATTTGATGCTTCTGCACAGGCGTGAGTAGCGAAACCCGGAAGTAACCCGTTCCGGTACTTCTGGGTTGCCACGGGACATAACGCAAAAAGGCGCAACATGAAGCAGACGCAACACGAGGTATGAGTGTACTGTACTTTGCTTCAGAATTGGAATTGTCTCTCTTCCTCTGTTGCTTTGCAAGTAGGCAGCAAACAAACATGACAGTGGGAATCTCATCTTTCCACTGAGCATTTAGTTTTGCTTTTCAGGACTGGAAAAGGATCGGCGATTTCTTCAAAGATACTAAATTTAAACAAACTTCAATTGTTGTTGTTATTATTCGGGAATGAAGATGGAATAAGTGTTTACAAAGAAAAAACAAATACAGTTCTAACTGTCAGAATAACAAAATGTAAAATACTGTTCTCGATAAGAACACTTTCAATAGGTTATGCGCTATATTGTAAATTTCAGAGATGTTTTCTTTCTTGCAGCCTAGGATTCAATATTGTGCTATATGGATTAGGTTCAAAGAAAGCTCTGTTGGAGAATTTTCGCATTTCTCTTCTTCAAGATTCTGTTCATATTGTTGTGAATGGGTTCTTCCCCAGCATCACAGTGAAATCGGTAAGAAAAAAGAGACATACATGCATGCATGCATTCAGAGAAGTAAACAAAAGCTTCAATACAGACTGCATGGTTTATTAATAGGTTACTGTTATTTAGAACACAGCTCAAATGAAGTTGGTTTACATTCGGTTCACCTCTTAATTCTAGCAGACAAAGGCTCCAGTACATAAAGGCAGTCCATGGTTTTGGTTTGCTTTGACTTCCTATATGGGTCTTCATTTGCAAATGCTGTTCATGTGAAAGGGCAGGTTGCACTGGTTGGAACGTAGAAAAACCTGCCTAATGCGTGTTTTAAGTTTATACTTAATAAACCTGCAAACTGCTAAGGATTGTTTCAGATATTGCGAAGTTTGTATATGGAAGGCTCTTCTGTGTATTGTATGTGTGGATGTTTTCGCTACATGTTGCTTTCAATATAGGAATTCTGTGAAATAGTCTTAATATTGAGACAGGTTTTTAACTTGAGTTAAGCTCTCTTTGAAAATCCATGCTTAAAAAACAACAACACAGTTCCAAAGGAAAATGGTGACCTGCTGTTTTTCTGTGCCAGATTCTTAATTCCGTAACAGAGGAGGTGCTGGATCATGCGGGCACTTTTCGCAGCCCCCAGGATCAGCTGGACTTGATTGTGAAAAGATTTAAAGAAGGTAATACAGATGGGCCAAGATATTAGAAGTTCGGAGTCTTCCTAAGTTAAAAAAAAAAAATGGATGATTTGGTTTACTCATATATTTATTGCCTGTTCAAATACAGTGATTATAATGGTGCTTATTCTGGCAATTCATCTAGGATTCAATACCAATTTGTAAAACATGGGACTTGCTCCAGTAGGCTTCGAGTTATTGCTGTGGATCTACACATTCATTATGGCTGGGATTGATAACTAGGCATTAGTTTCAACTAAACAGTTGGGCAGTTCAGTCCCACCTTGATAGTGCAACAGTATTTTATGCAATTATCAGCACAGATCTAGACTTCTAGGTTTGAGTGGGGATGTTGCTCAGTGATCAAATGAAATGAGTAGAGTTTTTTTTAATAAGAAGTTTTATTGATTTTCAGTGAATAAACACAATTACAAAGAGTTTTTCCCATCCCAATTTTGTTTTAAAAAAACTATCCTTAAACTTTAATAGCGTAAACCATATACTATTAGCTAAAGTAATTGGTTAAAAGATGTGACCTGCATGACCAAGCAGCCTCTCTCAATGAGAGACGAACCAGGTGTATCACTTAATCCCATCTCAACTTGCCCCCTCTCCCTACCAGGGCAGATCAGCCTGTTTAGCTTTGCCAAAGTCCAGTTTGTGATTCCGAAGGTTGCCATTTTTCAGGATTATCATTGGAATATTTTATAAGAGAATGCCAGATTTCAATAAATTCATTGCATCTCTTGCATTGTTCAATGTGTGTAGTCTCTTTGTTAATTTTTCCGATATAGTAGTTGTCCGTACATTATGTTTCCAGCGAGATATATGCAGATGTTCTTGTCCTTTCCAGTTCTGTGCTACTAATAATACATGCTGCCACCTGAAGAAACGTGGCTAATTCTTTGTAAGGAAAGCCAAGTTGCTCTTCTTTGAAAATGGTTATCAGCCCTAAATTTGGAGTATATTGCATGTGCAACAACAGCAGCTTATTTATACCATGCCCATCTGGCTGGGTTTCCCCAGCCACTCTGGACAGCTACCAACAGAATATTAAACCTTAAAAACTAAAAAATATCAAACCTTAAAAACTTGACTTGTGATATGGCTTATTTCCATAAATATTGTTATGAGTTTGAGGGTGCCAGACTCACTTAAATTCCTGGACCCCCAAGAATTTAGAAATTAATGAAGCCGCCTCCTAAGATAATGCAGGTATTTCAAAAATGGCACATAAAAGTGTTAAACTCAATGTGTGGCAGTTTTAGAATTGATTTTTTGCAGCAAAATATATTCCTAAGTAAAGTGAATCTATCTTCCCTTATTAAGAAAATTCACTATTCAGGATACCAAAATGGGCCCAATCAAGGTGCAGTAGTGGGCCCTGGAATTCTGGCATCCTAGCCTTTTGGGAGATGATTTCAGACCACCAGCAACTGTGTTTTCAATAAGCTAACTTAGTTTCTGTATTTATATAGCTACACATAATGGGAGTTCTTTGGGAAACTCATAACGAAACCTATCCTCCCTCAGCTCCTCAGTGAGTTGCATACAATGCTCTCCATACACTCTCTTTGCTTTTAGATACTTAGAAGTAGTAGAAGGAGGAGTAGAAGGTTGGAGCAAACACATTAATCCGACATCTTGCCAGATGATCTCACCATCCCCCTCAGGGTTTTTTTAAAAACTGAGGTCCAGCTCCGAGGGCCTTCTGGCGGTTCCCTCACTGCGAGAAGCCAAGTTACAAGGAACCAGGCAGAGGGCCTTCTCGGTAGTGGCGCCCTCCCTGTGGAACGCCCTCCCACCAGATGTCAAAGAGAACAACTACCAGACTTTTAGAAGACATCTGAAGGCAGCCCTGTTTAGGGAAGCTTTTAATGTTTGATGTATTACAGTATTTTAATGTTTTTTTGGAAGCCGCCCAGAGTGGCTGGGGAAGCCCAGCCAGATGGATGGGGTATAAATAAATTATTATTATTATTATTATTATTATTATTATTATTATTATAGCAAAATTATTCACATTCAGTTCATTTCCCAGTCTCTCTGGTACTGAATCTAAAAAATGCAAATGATGAGAGAAGTTTTAAAACAAAATTTTGGGTGGGAATCTGGATTACAAAATATTATAGCATGGGTTAAAATGGAATTCTTTTATTCAGAATACATGTTTGCATTACTAGCCATGAATCTTGGATTCCTGGACACATAAATATAGGTTGTTTTTACCTGAATGACTGGTCCTGTGATTTTTGGAGGTGATGAGCAGCCACAGAAAGCTTGTCAGCATTTGGCTGCAGCTAGGTGACTTTCCTACTTCCTTGACACCCTGTTTTTAACCCTTGTACTTCTTCTCATTTGCTAGATCCTTCACTGGAGCTCTACCTGCTCATCCACAACTTGGACAGTCCAACATTGAGAGGAGACAAAAACCAACAAATCCTAGCACAATTGTCATCTCTTTCTAATATCTACCTCATAGCATCTATTGATCACATTAATGCACCACTCAGTGAGTTCTTAGGCCTTTCAGCACTCTAGCTTGAAAAATTCATCTTAAGTCAGTGGGAACATCTGTTTGGTGCATATGTAATGCATTCTGTGGCTGTATTTAGATGCATTTCTTAACCATGGTTTGGTATTATAGCTGAACACAAGCTTGCCCACAAACCAGGTATTAGCATTCTGTACCTGGGACGCAGGTGGCGCTGTGGGTTAAACCACAGAGCCTAGGACTTGCCGATCAGAAGGTCGGCAGTTCGAATCGCTGCGACGGGGTGAGCTCCTGTTGCTCGGTCCCTGCTCCTGCCAACCTAGCAGTTCGAAAGCACCTCAAAGTGCAAGTAGATAAATAGGTACTGCTCCAGCGGGAAGGTAAACGGCATTTCCATGCGCTGCTCTGGTTCGCCAGAAGCGGCTTAGTCATGCTGGCCACATGACCTGGAAGCTGTACGCCGGCTCCCTCGGCCAGTAAAGCGAGATGAGCGCCGCAACCCCAGAGTCGGCCACGACTGAACCTAATGGTCAGGGGTCCCTTTACCTTTACCCGGGTTTTAGTCATTAATAGTTATGGAGTCCACATGGCATCTTAGACCAATTGAGTTTGTAGTGTTGGTCACACTGGTGTTCCAACTTGAACTGTTTACAGGAAGGGTGGGGAACCACCAGCCTCTCCTCCTTGTTCCCACTGTGTTTTCCCACACAGAGCCCGAGATTTGGGGAGCATCCTCCCACCCCTCCCAAAAATCTCCACATAAAGTGGAGTTACATAATTTTTACTTTTCCTTTCTTTTCTGCTCTTGTAGTGTGGGATCAAGCAAAGCAAAGCATGTATAATTGGTTGTGGTATGAAACGACCACTTACAGTCCTTATGTAGAGGAAACATCCTTTGAGAACTCCCTCTTGATACAGCAATCCGGGTCTTTGGCTTTGAGCTCTCTCACTCATGTTCTGCGCAGTCTCACTCCTAATGCAAGGTAAGAACTCTTCTGTGATGTTCAAGTGTTGGGGAGCTTCGCTGCGACCAGGGGGCTAATTCTCGGGGGGGGGGGGAGGAGTGGTTTTTAAATAAAGCTTCAATGTTGGAAACGGAAATCTGTTTTTTCATATTACAAATAGGGAAACAAGACCTGAATGCTATTTTCCTAGTGCCTCAAGTTCATGTTGCCTAATATTTGCTAGAAACACAGCAGTGGGAGACTCCAGATCTTTCCCTGCTCTATTGTAGAATCTACAGTGTAGATCATGACTAATATAGCCCTACGGATTATCTTCATTTTCCCTTTTGTTTTCTCACAGAAATGATGTTTCCCACATTTCTGTATCAACAGAAATGATGTTCCCCACACAAAATTATTTGTAGAATTAGTATAGCGGACGGGAGATTTTAAAAAAAGGTTTTCCTCAGAAGGAAGTCTGTAAGGTAAAGGTAAAAGGACCCCTGACCATTAGGTCCAGTCGTGGCCGATTCTGGGGTTACGGCGCTCATCTCGTTTTATTGGCCGAGGGAGCCGGCGTATAGCTTCCGGGTCATGTGGCCAGCATGACAAAGCCGCTTCTGGCAAACCAGAGCAGCGCACGGAAACGCTCTTTACCTTCCCGCCGGAGCGGTACCTATTTATCTACTTGCACTTTGACATGCTTTCGAACTGCTAAGTTGGCAGGAGCAGGGACTGAGCAATGGGAGCTCACCCCATCGCGGGGATTCAAACCACCAACCTTCTGATGGGCAAGTCCTAGGCTCTGTGGTTTAACCAACAGCGCCACCTGTGTCCCTAAGGAAGTCTGTAGTTGGGAATAAATGTGGATTTTCAGCAATGGTGTAAAGGGAGAGGGAGCAAATGCTTTGGTACACAACAGAGGGAGCTGTTCCAGTTCTGGGTGGAATCACTGCAGAAAGTATAAAGCCAAGAACAGAAATAGGATGTTAAAAGTGGTTGCATGCACAATTAAGCCCTTTTTATTTTCAAAACATGTTCCCTCCCATATTGTAAGTTATGTTTCTAGTCTTATTTAAAGATACTTCTTTTACTTACCAGGGGGATTTTCAGACTTTTGGCAGAATATCAGTTGGAAAATAAGGATAACACCTCATACCCAGGTAACTCAATAGACACAAATTCTTAATTCTTTCTGGAGGTCAAACTAGGGTAGCATTGGACATGAGCTTTAGCCTAAGTCATGGATTCTGAGCACAATGCCTATATAAATGTGATTGTTGTAAACAAAAATTGCCCTTTTCCCTTATGGGGTATCCAAGAGCCCATATAGAGTCCTTACATGGGTTCCCTGTTGGTAGGAGAAGATAACAGAGGCCAACCAGAGAATATTGAGAAGCAAAGCAGCTAGTAAGCCTGATCTTTATTGATTTGTTGCAACAGGGTGCTCCCCTCACCCACAGAAGAGGAGGAGAAACCCAGAAAAATGGCGCGCAAGGCCTTATAAAGACTTTTGAAATTGCCACCCTGTAGATCAAGACCACCCCAAGAAACATCATACATACATCACAGAAGGGGTGTAACCTAAGACCACCCCTCAGATACATCATACCTACATCACAGAAAAGGCGGTCTTAAAACAGAAATTAGAATGTTGTTTTTCTCCTGTTGTTGTTTATCTCCTGTCTGGCAGGTTACTTGATTGGATTGCCTGGGTAGCCTGGCCAGTCTTTTGTAATGATAAATACTTAGTTCCTGGTCCATGTCACAGGCTCACACCCTATTCATATCTTAAATGTGCCCTTAAGACAGGATTTGTGTGGAAAGAGACAATGGGGAGGTTTCCACTTTGACCTTGCAGAGAAAACATTTGCTCAGTTTAGGAATCAAAATGGTTCGAGGTCGGTCTTCTTGTGCTGATCTATGTACGTGCTTGGTTGGTACGCTTATGAACATTACCATATATCTAAGACCATAAAATTCCTATCACATGATGAAACTTCTGTTTTATGTAAGTATCAATTGGTACTGGGCATGTGGACACTTGCTGCAGCAATTCATTTGAGTGGGCGAGTTTGTAAGCTCTTCCAATTGTCAGGAAACTGGCCGCTGAAATGTAGCATTGCTTTGAACTGAATGAGAGGACCAGAGTAGGGACTGAAGTGTACAATATTTGAGAGCAATCTTAGAAGCCTTGCTTTCAGTGCTATCTCAGGTACGAAAAGATCCAGAAAGGAAAAGTTTTGAGGAAATCAACCCCTTCCCCCATTTTTCGAATTGCAATCTTGAGGGAACACAATGGTGGGGAGACATTTCTAGTGCATAGCTTTCTCAAAGAAAAATATTCATACTACCTTTTGAATAAAACCTCCTTCAAGCATCATACAGATCTCGTTAGCAACATTGATTTTCATTTGAGCAAGACCTCGCTTTTAATGCTGGGCGTTCCATTGCTTCTTTTCCCCTGCTAGGACTTTCCTTCCAAGATTTCTACCAGCAATGTCGGGAAGCCTTCCTGGTCAATAGTGACCTAACTCTCAGGGCTCAGCTCACAGAATTCAGGGATCACAAGCTCATTAGGACTAAGAGGGTGAGTGAAGTTGCTGTAGACATGCTAATGTGACTATTTGTTTAACAATGCCTATGCTGCAGAAAAAATCAGAGTGTATGATTCTGGGTACAGGGTGAATGACAATAGAACGACAATTAAATATTTGTGGTGTATATTAATAGACAGAAGTATCACATGTGTGTTCATGGTATTGAAACAAGCCAAAGGTTGCTTATACTGTTGTGAAAGTTGCCATCCAAAATGTGGAAGCAGTCTTCTACAAATTTCTGGTAGGACATTGGATCATGCCTTTTGAGGAGGAAATGTGCTTTAGTTTGTTCTAGTCACGTAGCATAACTTGAGAGGGCAAATCCTTATCAGTGCATGACTGCTATTTGGATTGAACAAAAATGCTTTGTTATTCTTATGCCTCAGAACTAATCGAAATAGTGTGCTTGTTTTCAGGGTGCTGATGGAGTTGAATATTTATTAATTCCTGTGGACGCTGGGACCTTGACTGACTTTTTACAGAAGGATAATGACATTTGAAGGCTCTGAAATGTGCAATAGCAATTGCTCTCAAGAGCTGCTGGAATACTGCCTACAGTGTAGTCAATTTTCAGATCTCAGGAGTTTTTATCTGCCTGTAATAATTGAGTAAAGCATTGTTTGTGCAAAGCCAACTTTTATATGTATCTAAAACTGCTTAGGTTTTCCACTTTGGATGACGATTTCCTCCTTTGTATTCCATTACAAAGAAAATGTGACATAGGAATGTGCCTTTCTGCTCATGAAGTAACTTGTGCTTGGAAAATACACATTGTTGGCTGTTAGCAGCTTAAGTTTTTCAACAATGAATGAGTATGTCATATTTACAGACTACCTTATTGGTTTTCTAATATGTGCCATGTGAGATAGAGAGGTGCCTGTACTTGGGCAAAGCAAAATACAAACACCAGAGACCCGGGTTATTTTGGACAAGTTTGTTGACGTTTTAGCCTTCATTGGTATACAAGCCATTGTAAAGTTAATAATAAGCTGGCACCTGTCTCTGCAATGTAAAGAAAATGGCAGCTATGCTGATTTTTCAAACCAGCTTTCTTAATGATAACGTCCGAAGTAATGAGAGGTAGTATTTTGGTATTTTTAAAAAATAATCTGAATAAAAATGTGTAGTTGTGCAATAGTGGGTTTTTTTTTTGTATGGTTCTAAATAAAAAACAGTTTATGGTCCTGGCGAAGACTTGTATTTGAAAAAACGTCAACTGAAATGGCAGAAGAGGTGCTGTTGAGCGGTGGAGTGATCAAATGTCCCTTCTTGCGCCAGGTAATGGGATGGTGGTGGTGTCACTACATTCGTGCAGCCCTTGTGTGAGCTGGCAGAAGTGCTGCTGTAGAGCCAGTGGAAGATGCTGAAATGGGGCAGGATTTGTTAGTCCCCGAGCACTTTCCAGTTCCGACATGTGATAATGTAAGGGCCCAATCAAGGCAGAATTCATCCTCCCCCTACTGCTGCATAAAGCCCATGCCATCAACAGCTGGAGTTTGGACTGATCCCTTACTCAGAAGTTCAAATCCCACTAAATTCAATGGAGCTTATTCCAAGATAAATGTCCATGGGATTGCAGCCTAAATTAAATATTGCTGGTTCTGACATCGAAGTGATCAACCCCTGACAGTTCAATGACCATTAGACCATTGAAAGTTTGTTTGAAAAAGTTCTGAGATGTGCATCTTCACGTACTACATAAATGGTTTAGCTTATTTTTTGTCTTACATTTTCCAGGATAAAAAAGCTAGCTGTCAGGTAGAAGTGCTTTCTTGCGCGGGGAGCATAAAATTCCAAAAGTGAAGTTGAGAAATAGTTTTTTCCTAAAATTCCTGATTAATTTTTGTGCTAAGGCTACCGTTCAAAGAGTGATTTTAGCTGCAACCCTGTGAACCTACCCGGAAGTCCTTTTTGGGGCCCCACAAATGGTGTGACGTTGCTAGCGCCTCTTTGCTTTGGTGCCCTTATAGTTCTCCGTCAGGTACCCCCCTCTCTACACTTCTGGGAAGCAAATGCCTCCTTACTATGGAGGGAAGCTTCACATCACCCAGGAGGAACTGCTGTGGAAATTCTTCTCTCACCTTCCCAGTGCTTAGTCTTTTGCCTGACTTTTGCACCCCGCCTTAGAGAGAGAGAGAGAGAGAGAGAGCTCTGCTCCCCTTGAGAACTGCCTACCTCACAAGGTAAAATGCAGTAAGATGAGATAACAGTATCAGCTGCCCGAAAATACAAAGCATTTGATTATGTGGAATAAAAATTAAATAGCAGGGCACATAGTTCTCAGTTGTGATAAAGAAAGTCACATTTTGCAAACAGATTGTCAGTCAGCCATTTATTTCCAGGCAGGTTATCCCTAGCACTTTGAAAACCATACTGTGCTTTTAACCAGAGCCTCTCCCGCTTTATATTTTTGTATGTTAAATACAGTCTGATGTTCTGGACCTCACACTTTTGCTATACCACTTGAAGGGGGTCTCTGTCTCTCTCAGAAACTACGATACAGATCTTGTTCTGAAGGTGCGCAGCCAGCTCTTTTTGCAGCTCCAGCAGAAAGCCTCGCTCAGTGTTGCTGTGCTCGCACAAGATCACGCTGATCCCTTTGGAAACAGCGTCCAGTACGTCATGGTGGGACATCTCTCCTACCAATATAATTAAGATACTGGTTATTGATTAGGACTTGGGCCCTTCGCTTGTAATTGAGACAGAAAAGAACCAATGGCCATGTTGGTTAGTGATCTTACAGGCATTGGCTGAAAAGCAGAGTACAATGCATACTTTTTTTAAAATGTAGTGATGTGAACAGGTTTCAAGAAAGATCGATCTGGGCTCAATCCAGGCAAGTTCAGTGCCGAGGAAGAGGCCCTATAGGTACCAAAAAGCTTCATTTTCCAATTTCCCATAGAACCACAAGGATGCATTGCAGGGAACTGAAGGCTGTGCATGGCTCTTGCATCCCCACCCAATCCGCCATCTTTCTTTTGTGCCTGTTTCCTGCATCTCACCTTTTCCCTTCTCCCCAAGACTTAATTAAAGCTGCGACACGAGATTTCCATGTGTGTTATACTTGCTGCTCTTCACTCTGCCCCTTTGGTTTAACCGTTAAACCCGGTGTCTTCCCTACCTCGATTCCTAGGCAACCAAACAGGTTCTTTGAATCGACTGCTTTCATACATTATTATTGAGAGGTTCTTACCTGTGAGGTAGAGATCACTTTCTGTGCCTTTCAGAACACTACTTCCTGAGCCGGCGCAAAGGGCAACCGCCTTCACCTGGGATTCTACAAAATGGTAAAACCCCGTTGTTACGCCGACGGTCCTCTCAGGGAGGCTGGGGAACCTGTGGCTCTCCCAAGGATCTGATGAGAGTTGAGGTCCAACAACATCGGTCCAGAGGGCAGCAGGTTCCCCATCCTTGTGCCAAGGAGTTTCCAAAGTTTTCTACAGGAGGAGGCTATAACTTAGCAGAAGAGCACATTTTGCCTACAGGAAGCCTCATGTTCAGTTCCCACAACCAAACTCCAGCATAAGTAAACCCTGGTCGCAATACCCTGAAAAACCTCCAGCAGCCAAAGACCATAAGGAGCTGCTGCCTGGAAGATACCACTCAGCCCAGGTGGGCAAACAGTCAAAGCCTGCATCCTAGATCCATATAATGCTATAAGACCAAGTTAAGTCCTCCACAAATCGTAGTGAGCTTCACCACTTCAATTGTTCCATGTTCCCCATTTGGAGACGGAACTATAATTATTTTTAGCCTACCCTCAAAAAGATGTTCTGTTCAGAAGACATTCGTTTGGATCTGCTCTCTCTTTGTGTGCACGTTTTTAAACCACTTCCAGAAGTTCCAGCTGGTCCAATTATAGACTGTCTGAACTTGCTTTAGTCACTTTTACTTCTGCAATTCTAAACACACTTACTAGAGAGGAAGTCCCACTGAACTCAAAGACATTTACTTGGACTTAAGCCCTGTTAAGATTGTGTATGGCCAAGACTGGCATTCAAGCAGTGTTTTGTAATATTTATAACCTGCCTTTCCTTCAAGGATCTGAAGGCTGCTTACATGGCCAGGATACATGGGCTGCCCCGTTTAACAGTAGGAAGAAAAACAGTCACTTCAGAATTAGCTGGCTCTCTTTGCTGCAGCGAGTGGACATTCTCCTGTTATATACAGAACAATAGACCATTTATAGGAAGTAAGTAATGCATGTCTGTGGCCCAATGTTTCTTCCTATGAGGAAATACAAGTACCATACCCAATGATTTTCCAGCTCCAAGGGCTAGGCGAATATGAGACAGTCTTAAGTGGCTTTTCACTCGTTCAACCAAGGTGGAAATAGAGACTGGCTCCTTCAGTGCACACAAGCGTCCCATGCCAGTATCTTCAAGAAGAGGCTGAGGAGAAGCAAAAATTAAAGAGTTCCTTTAGAAGGGCTTACACACATCTCGGCCCACTTCAACAACTGACAGTTTCCCTAAATACAAGCACGTTTCCAAAGACATGTGATACTCTTAAAGGACTGTACTGTATCAGTTGTTCCAAAACGTTTTCCCCTCATGGGCCACTGAAAGTCTGGGCAGGCTGCTTCCTGATTCTTCTGCCTGTTTTAACCATTATAAATGCACTTGTGGGACTTATAATTGCAATTTTATTGCTCCTTTCCTTTTTTTATACATTGCGTTTCGTATTACTTGAATGCCATACAATGCAAATCGCAATAATACCAAATTCAATATAAGCAATACAACAATACGAATATGTAATGCAGTGGATGTGCCACCTCCCGTCTTCAACCACAGATCCACAAAAACGCTGCAGAAGACCAGTTTGGGAACCCCTGGACTATTTCACGTAATTTGTTATTCTTTCTAATAAGTTATTTTAATTTATTTTTTTTGAAAAGTTTTTATTGTTAAAATAATTCAGCATTAATACACATATATTACAAATATACAAACATACATTTCATACAATCCTTAAAAGTGTTCAAACATACCTACACTCAATCCCACAGATAATTGCTTTTCCCATCACCATCCACCACCCTCACCCCACCTTTGTGTTAGACTTCCAATCTACTCAACTGCAATTTCTTTCCACTTCTATTACTTTCTTTCACATACCTTTAACCTAATTTCATACTTCTTTTTCTATTACACTTTGTTATCCATCTTATTTAGTATTTCAGTATTTGAAACGGAACTTGTTTAATAGGAGTTCTGATTTTTCAATATGAAAAAGTTATAAGTTATTTTAATTTTTGATGTGCCAACAGAAAGACTGAGAGCCTTTGCATTCCTACCTGGGAGCAGGCCCCATGGGCTTCAGCAAAAATGCTCAGGAACGGGCTGTAACTGGAGTCTCAGGACGTAAATGGATCCCAAACTGTCTTCAAATAGTGAATGCAGCTACAACTTCCTAGTCATCATTTCTGTCATTGCAGCAGCTCGTCCTACCCCACCCTACCAGCAACTAACCTAGTGGGAAGCACTGCCAGGAAACAGCAGTTGCATTCAGATCTGGAACTCCACATTATATCCTTCATGAGATTACATTTCCTCTCCAAAAATTAAGGGGAAATGTGTGTGCTTCATGGAAATGTAAGGAAACTGAAGGTACATTCTTTCACATTTGGTGGACGTGCCCAAAGATTAAGGCCTTCTGGGAAAGGATATATAATGAGTTAAAAAAGGTATTTAAGTATACTTTTCTAAAGAAACCAGAAGCCTTTCTCTTGGGCATTGTTGGCCAATTGGTGTTAAAGAAAGACAGAACTTTTTTTATGTATGCAACAGCAGCAGCAAGAATACTCATCGCAAAGTATTGGAAGACACAAGATTTACCCACTCTGGAAGAATGGCAGATGAAGGTAATTGAATATATGGAACTGGCGGAGATGACTGGCAGAATCCGTGACCAGGGAGAAGAGTCGGTGGAAGAAGATTGGAAGAAATTTAAAGTCTATCTACAGAAATACTATAAAATTAATGAATGTTAAATTGAAGTCTGATTGATAATAACTGGTATTGGCAAAAGTTTTGTGATTAAGAGTATGGAATATTTGATGGATAAGGTTGTAAAAATATTTATATTTAAATAGATTAAGTTTTTTGAGTTAAGATAATGAAAGGAGGGTAAGGATTTGCTGAAAGGAGCTTTTAAATGGAAGTACAAGCGGGGAGATGCGGGGAAGTCAAAGAACTAGGTAAAGATAAGAAGGCTAAATGAAAGTACAAATATCTTTTAAACTTTTCTGTTTCTTTTTTTTTTGTTTTATTTTTCCTTGTCATGGTTATTGTTATTTTTTGTTTGTTGAATTTTTGTAACTCTGTATCTTTTGGAATTTTTTCTTTTGTAAAACCAATAAATATCTTAAAAAAAAAAAAAAAAAAAAGGGAAATGTGTGTGCTTCAGCAGAGAGGGAGAGCTGCGCATCGCCCCTTCAGCCAAGCGGGAGGAGAAATGGAAGGGGCTCCGTTTCTCCTGCCGCTTCGCTGAAGGGGCGCTGAGCAGAGAGGGGGAGAATTTTTTTTTCTTGTTCTCCCCCTCTAAAACAAGGTGTGTCCTATGGTCCAGTGCGTCCTGTAGAGCGAAAAATACAGTAACATTTGCTGCATAAAATAAGCATTTGAAATCTTGCCCTCTACCCATCTCTGTCAGTTCCCAATCTTCTCTCTCACACCCAGGAAAGACCTCTCTTGGCTTCTTAAGCTTATCCTAGAGGCAGGGCACAGCAACCCTCCAAACAGAATCAAGCTAACAGTGCAGGGAAACAGTTACCCAGAGGCTTCAAAAAGGTGTGTGAGACACACATCCAATATAACAGAGCTTCAGATGCTGCTGAACTACAACTCCCATCATTCTTGGTCACGGGCCATGCTTGCTGGGGCTGCTCAGAGTTGTAGTTCAGCAGTCCCAAAGTTCCCCACACTTGCAATATAACGTTAAGTAGATATAGGCAGTGCTTTTGAATTATGGTGCTGGAGGAGACTCTTGAGAGTCCCATGGACTGCAAGAAGATCAAACCTATCCATTCTGAAGGAAATCAGCCCTGAGTGCTCACTGGAAGGACAGATCCTGAAGCTGAGGCTCCAATACTTTGGCCACCTCATGAGAAAAGACCCTGAGATGTTGGGAAAGATGGAGGGCACAAGGAGAAGGGGGCGACAGAGGATGAGATGGTTGGATAGTGTTCTCGAAGCTACCAGCATGAGTTTGACCAAACTGGGGGAGGCAGCGGAAGACAGGAGTGCCTGGCATGCTCTGGTCCATGGAGTCACGAAGAGTCAGACACGACTAAACAATAAAGATATGGGCAGACAAGCTGTGCTTAAAGTGCCAAAGTACACAACAGGGTTATTGACGGAGAAGGGGAGGGGCTCTTTTAAGCTCATTGAGGTGGCTGGCCCATTCATTCCAGCTCCTTCCTAAGATAGAAGTCTTCTACTCTTCCATCAGAGCACGGTATATTTTGCAGCCTCAGGCCAGACCCCTTCCTCAAAGCAAGCCTGGATGGCTCAGTTGCTTAAAGCATGGTGCTGCTAATGCCAAGGTTGCAAGCTCAATCCCTGCGTATTTCTGCAGGGCTAGATGATCCTCGGAAACGCGGGTGGCGCTGTGGTCTAAACCACAGAGCCTAGGACTTGCCGATCAGAAGGTCGGCGGTTCGAATCCCCGTGATGACAGGGTGAGCTCCCATTGCTCGGTCCCTGCTCCTGCCCACCTAGCAGTTCGAAAGCACATCAAAGTGCAAGTAGATAAATAGGTACCACTCTGGTGGAAAGGTAAACAGCATTTCTGTGTGCTGCTCTGGTTTTGCCAGAAGCGGCTTAGTCATGCTGGCCACATGACCTGGGAAAACTGTCTGTGGACAAACGCCGGCTCCCTCGTCCAGTAGATGAGCGCCACAACCCCAGAGTCGCTCGCGACTGGACTTAACTGCCGGGGTCCTTTACCTTTAGATGATCCTCGCGATGCCTCCCAATTCTTAGAATTCTCTGTTTCCATGCACATATGTGACTTACCTTCTGTAATGATACGATTTCAGTCTTTTGATAGAGAAGACTGTTCTGGGAGAGCAAGGCCACCACGTGCAGCAAGGCTTGCTGGCTGCAGTTCACGCCGACTCGTGTCTGCTCTTCCCCTCCAACCCTTGGGGAAATTGTAACTTTTTAATATTATTTTTTATTTAAAAACATCAGTTGTGATCTACTAATTATGCTTTGGGTGAGTAACATTAACTCCAATGCTCTCTTGAAAGTAGGCTCAGAAGCTGCTTCTCTACCCCATCCATGGTCTTTGGCCCTCCAGACGTTGATGGACTCTCTGCCGTCATCCCTCATTACTGGCTCCTAGTTGGGACTGATGAGAGTTGAGGTCCAACAATATCTGCACTGCCACAGGTGTACTACAAGGATCCATCTCCTCTTCCATGCTAACCTCTCTTTGAAAAGGTTGGGTCAGGTCATTCAAATGTTCAACCCATATCCACAATGCTCACTCATCTCCCATAATATGATATTGGGGGTTATAGTACAAATTCTGTTGTAGTATCTGGTGGCAGTTATGTATTGGATGAGGATGAAGAAATGGAAGCTTTATCCAGTTAAGATGGACATACTGGGGACTAGAGGATCTAGTGATCTTAGCAGGTATTTCGCATGTTGTGGAAAGAGTTGTCTTCCCTCTGAAGGTTTGGGGTTTTCTGGATATAGCCCTGCTCCTGGGTGCTCAAAGTAGCCAGAAATGGCTCCTACCAGCAATATCTTATTTAATTCATACATTAAATTTCTATCCTGCTTTTCACCACACAGCAATCCCAGGGCAAGTTACTTTCTAAATGTAAACCAATATACCAAACATTCGTTAAAAGTCATTAACACCAAACCAAGATTCTTAACGCATCATTCCACAATTTGCTCCTATACTTGTATGCCAGTTGAGCCCTTTCCTGGAAAAACAGGGCCTGGTCTTATTCATACTCTAGTCACTTTTGGATTAGATTATCTAGGGAATTGGCTTGTCTGCAGAAAAAGGGGTTGGCAAATCACAATATCTGACTGGGCCAGCAAGGCCACCCGCCAGAATTGTTGGTTTCTGTTTGACAGCAAGAGTGAAACACCTTTGGTAGCCTTCAACATTACCTGGCAGGAACAGTTGTGATAAACGACACCTCTGGCACCCCACGCAAACTGGACAAAATTGTGTCTAGGTTGTCGTCCGGGCAAGCAGTAAACTCAACGCGGAAAGACCCCCCTGTGGGGTAACTGGAAGCTGTTGCAGGCTGCAAGGGAGCAGAGCTGCAGGGACCTGAGGAAAAAGAAAAGTACCACGTTAAAGGATTTCAACAACGCACATGGCAAAGTTCTATCTTCCTTGCAACCAGATGGCGTATTTTCTGAAAATAGAAATCATAAGATTTTAGCCAGGTCTCCAAGCACCCATCAAGATTCAGCCAGCATGGCCACTGGACACACGACAGGAACTCAAGTCCAACAACATCTAGAGGGCACCAGGTTGGGAAGGCTTCTCTAGGAAATCTCTCAGCAAATTGGATGGACAGAAAGACAATGTTCTGCACTGCTTTAGAAAGGCTGTTCATTTCATAAAGCCTTAGTCACCATTTATGTCTGTGTTAGACCTCTCTCTTCCTATAACCATGCAGTGATTCCATGGCAGCGTTTATTTATAATTATAAAAAGGTAAAGGGACCCCTGACCATTAGGTCCAGTCATGACCGATTCTGGGGTTGCGGCGCTCATCTCGCTTTACTGGCCGAGGGAGCTGGCGTACAGCTTCCGGGTCATGTGCCCAGCAAGACTAAGCCACTTCTGGCGAACCAGAGCAGCACACGGAAATGCCGTTTACCTTCCCGCCGGAGTGGTACCTATTTATCTACTTGCACTTTGATGTGCTTTCGAACTGCTAGGTTGGCAGGAGCAGGGACCGAGCAACGGGAGCTCACCCCGTCGCGGGGATTCAAACCGCCGACCTTCTGATTGGCAAGTCCTAGGCTCTGTGGTTTAACCCACAGCACCACCCGTGTCCCTTCATTTATAATTACATCCCTCCCTTATTCCGAGGAACTCAGGGTGGAACATGTGAAGATCCTAGATTGCCTCCTAGCCTCGGCTCGAACAGAGACTGTGGCCGTGTGACTGCAATGACTACATTTAGATGTCATCGGACTATGTTGATATCAAAAAGCTGGGTCAGATTTTTTCAGAAGATAAAAGGCAAATGCATTCCAGATTCAGCTGGTGAACTGGAACGCAGACTTTGCTGATTCCACAAACAAGTCAAAAGTAGAAAATAGGCTGAATTGATGAAACTTGTGCCACAGGTCAGGAATACGTGTGTGAGTGTGAGCCCGCAGTCCATTCCTAAGCACTGTCTTGCCAGAGTGGTGCATGCTCTAGTTATCTCCCGCTTGGACTACTGCAATGCGCTCTATGTGGGGCTACCTTTGAAGGTGACCTGGAAACTGCAATTAATCCAGAATGCACAGCTAGACTGGGAGTGGCCGCCAGGACCACATAACACCGGTCCTGAGAGATCTGCATTGGCTCCTAGTACGTTTCCGAGCACAATTCAAAGTGTTGGTGCTGACCTTTAAAGCCCTAAACGGCCTCAGTCCTGTATACCTGAAGGAGCATCTCCACCCCCATTGTTCAGACCCCACTGAGGTCCAGCTCCAAGGCCCTTCTGGCGGTTCCCTCATTGCGAGAAGTAAGGTTACAGGGAACCAGGCAGAGGGCCTTCTTGGTAGTGGTGCCCGCCCTGTGGAACGCCCTCCCTTCAGAGGTGAAGGAAATAAGCAGCTATCTTCTTTTTAAAAGACATCTGAAGGCAGCCCTGTTTAGGGAAGTTTTTAATATTTAATACTGTATTGTTTTTAACATTTGATTGGAAGCCGCCCAGAGTGGCTGGGGAAACTCAGCTAGATGGGCGGGGTATTAATAATAATAATAATAATAATAATAATAATAATTATTATTAAGCATGGTGAAGAAATTGGCTGTGAACTCACGTCTGCACTGCTTCAGTATAATAGGGCAGCTTCTACATTCACTGCCACAGCCATCCTTTTGCAAGCCATTGAGCTTGGTGTCTATGCAGCACTTTTCAAAAGCAGAAAATATCAACATTAAATGTTAGGAGGAACATTCAGTGTTGTTTTTTTAAAAAGTGCTGATATGTTATGGTTGGTTTTCTTCATGCATGGCCCATCCCAATATATAAATTTTGACATTCATTTTATATTTAAAAACAGTAATGTCTCACCAAGTCCTTTTGCAAGCCAGTTATTGACTCCATGAGGTACAGCGTCATACGCGGTATGTGGGGAATAAATGCCAACTCGGTTCTCCAAGGCTCGGATCACAAGACGTTCCTTCCACGTTTTCCATGTTACGCGTTTCAGTGGTTGGAAAATAGGTGGGTGGTAAGAGAGAATGAGATTGGCCTTTTTCTGCAGGGCTTCTTCCATCACTTCCTCTGTGAGGTCATTGGTCAAGAAGAGGGTGCGGACAGAATGAGGAGGGCTTGGCTCAACCAGGAGCCCCACATTGTCCCAACTTTCGGCCAGAGAGAGCGAAGCAAAATCATTAAGGGAAGAAACGAGAACTTTCAGATCCATGAAGGACCGCACAGTCAAACTGATCAAAGACCGTATGTGCAAGAACTGCCTCGGAATCCGATTCAGTTGCATACAGGTTCCTAAAGAACCTGAAAGGTAAGGAAGAAGAAAAAATCAGTAGGTCTACCAATATTTATTTCATTTCATAAAATTTATATACCAAGTGTAGAAAAACCTCAGGGAGGTTTACAACAGGGGTAGGCAACCTAAAGAGGGACGCGGGTGGCGCTGTGGTCTAAACCACAGAGCCTAGGGCTTGCCGATCAGAAGGTCGGCGGTTCGAATCCCCGCGACAGGGTGAGTTCCCGTTGCTCGGTCAAAGTGTAAGTAGATCAATAGGTACCACTCCGGCGGGAAGGTAAACGGCGTTTCCGTGCGCTGCTCTGGTTCGCCAGAAGCGGCTTAGTCATGCTGGCCACATGACCCGGAAGCTGTACGCTGGCTCCCTCGGCCAATAAAGCGAGATGAGCGCCGCAACCCCAGAGTCGGTCAAGACTGGACCTAATGGTCAGGGGTCCCTTTACCTTTCCCTTTAGGCAACCTAAGGCCCATGGGCCAGGGGTTGTTTAACTGGCCCACGAGCCGCCCTCGAACCGAGTCGCCCACTTGGGGAGTCCCCACGTGCTGCGCTAAACTGGCACAGCGCGGGGACTCGCTTCTGCAGCACCATGCGCATGCGCCAAAAATCATGTCTGCACAGACACAGACACCAGAAATCGCGGGCGCACACACTCACACACACACGCACAATCCGGCCCACAGAGTGACCTCTGCTGTAGTGAACCGGCCCAGGCTGAGGTAAACCTTGCCGACCCCTGGTTTACAATAAAAGATAAAACAATAAAATTATCACTGAAAAAATGTACAACCGTAATTTAAAACATGCAGAAGATTAAGCCCGCAGTAGAATAAGACTAAAAACTCCTACAAGCTTTCTAAACGTCTAGGTAGGGTAAGATGCAATAGAATAAGACGACTTATTAAAGAAATACACCCCTTAAGAATTTAAAACAACTCTTGTTTAATGCAGAACTGAAAATGAATGACAAATAAACTTTGCAGGAAATTTCCCAATCATAACATCTTCTCTGGGAATGTTACATCTGTCATGAGCCAACTGCCTAACCGTGGACAGGATTTTAGCAGCAAGGATTCCACCAGAATTTTGTCCAAAGTGAAGTGTTTTGACAAAAAAGGCTCAGAACCACTGTTCACAGGATTAACCATGGGGATGAAAAAATTGTGCGCCTCTTTGCCGTGCTGTAGCTGAGCTTGAGCACTACTGTGTACTAGATTTTGAAGAGCAAAATAAAAAAGCACCAACTTCCATCCAAGGAATTTACACTGTAGCTGCAAACAACACAATTGCTGGCCTCATCCAAACTTTCATTTCTCTAACAATGTGGTAATAGCAGACGTCTCCCCAGCTTTTTTTTGGTGGGGGAGAGAAATGTCCCCTCCACTGCAAATAAATCTTCTCCCCATTTATTCTCAATCCACACTTTTTTTGAACAGCTGGTTTTAAAAACTCATAGATAAATGTAAAAAGCTCATCACAATGGAAATTATCTGGGCTACTCTTTTAAAAGAAAAAACCCTCTAAGAAAAGCGAGGAATTATTATGTTTAATGCTGAATTGGGAAGAATGACTGATGTTAAGTGATTAAGTTAAGGTTTTAAGAACTTTGATTTGGAAAACCGTTAAAATGATATTCATTGAAATCCAACTAGGGGGATACGAGGAAGTTACTTAACAATGTTAAGAAGATTAGTTTTAATAAGGTTATGATTTATGCTTGTTTGTTTATTTGTGTGTGTTTTTTTAATTTTGTGAAAACCCAATAAATCTTTTTTGGGGGGGAAAGGGGGGGGGAGCTCAAGATAAAGCAAGATCTTAAGAGACCTACTCTCACAGAAGTGAATCTAGAAAAGCAGCCTCCCTAGTGTCCAATGATAGCCCCACACATTACCAAAAAAACCCACCTCCATTCCAGTTAGAATACCCTAGTGGGCCAAAAATCGAAAGGACAAGATGCACAAGAATCCTGTGCTTGTCATTAATAAAATCCTTCTATTAAGTATTTCAGGGGTAGAGAATATGCTTTAATATGAACGCCCCAAAAGTGAAAGTCCGGCGGAGCGAATAAAGAGGTGAGCAGGAAGAGGGCAGGGAGACGGATGTTATTCTGTGCAAAGAGAGGATAATAATTTAAAAAACCCAAGCCCTGCATGCATTTTCTTGCATGCATTTTTTTTTTTTTTTGGTACTTACAAAACGTGCAGAACGAGGATCAGGATGAACCGGAGCCCACCCAGGCCTGACTCTGCTCGGCTCCTCCTTCGCTCCGCGGCCCTAATCCGGCGCCGCCTCCTGCCCTCCCGGCGGGCTCCCAGGCTCGGGGAAGCGCTACTTCCTGCCCGGGTCCCACGAGGAGCAAAGCGGCGCCCGGGTTGCCGTCACTTCTTAGGTAAGCGGTGAGCGGCGCAGGATCAGAGCCCGACCCTTTAGCAGTGCAGGATCTGTCCATTTGCAGTGGGGTGGGTGGAGATGAAGCGGGTTGATCGAAACGTATTTCCGCAACGATAAACAATAAAACAAGAGTTCGTAGCTGCAGTAGCAGCCTTGATTTTCACTAGCCTTCTTCTTTTTCTTACCCCGTCCATCTGCCACTCTGGGCGGCTCCCAACAGAATATTAAAAACATGCTAAAACATCAAAAATTGACCTAAACAAAGTAGGGGGGGAGAGGAAGGAAGGATGATGCGTCCCTGTTATTTCGTTACCTGGGAGAAAGTGCTCCTGAACTCAGCGTGTATTCTTCAGATCAGGTTATATCTTTGCTCTTTGGATGTTAAGTCCCATCCCAGTTCAGTGGTGTTTACTTCTGAGTAAACATGCTTAGGATCAGGTCATAGGAGCCAACTCCTAGGGGCCAAGGGGTTCCCCCCCATATTGTATTCAAGTTGGCACCGTTAGATCAGGTTGCACAAAGCAATAGACTTGGTGAAACCAGAATGCTATGTGTTTGTGTATACAGTGCTGTTGTTGTTTAGTCGTTTAGTTGTGTCCGACTCTTTGTGACCCCATGGACCAGGCACTCCTGTCTTCCACTGCCTTCTGCAGTTTGGTCAAACTCATGTTCATAGCTTCGAGAACACTGTCCAACCTCCTCTGTCATCCCCTTCTCCTTGTGCCCTCCATCTTTCCCAGCATCAGGGTCTTTTCCAGGGAGTCTTCTCTTCTCATGAGGTGGCCAAAGTATTGGAGCCTCAGCTTCACGATCTGTCCTTCATGGATCACTGCCTTGCCATGGCAAAGGGGCTTGAATAACTCAGAGAAGCTATGAGCTATGCCGTGCAGGGCCACCCAAGATGGACAGGTCATAGTGCAGAGTGTTGATCAAACGTGATCCACGTAGAGCAGGAACCGGCAAGCCACTCCAGTGTCCATGCCAAGAAAACTCCATGGACAAAGAAAACAGGCATACAGTGCTACCTCAATATTAAATGTAGCTTTAATGCTGAGCCTAGGACTTGCCAATCAGAAGGTCGGTGGTTCGAATCCCCGTGACGGGGTGAGCTCCCGTTACTCGGTCCCTGCTCCTGCCAACCTAGCAGTTCAAAAGCACGTCAAGGTGCAAGTAGATAAATAGGTACCGCTCCGGCGGGAAGGTAAACAGCGTTTCCGTGCGCTGCTCTGGTTCGCCAGAAGCGGCTTAGTCATGCTGGCCACATGACCCGGAAGCTGTACGCCGGCTCCCTCAGCCAATAAAGCGAGATGAGCGCCGCAACCCCAGAGTCGGCCACGACTGGACCTAACGGTCAGGGGTCCCTTTACCTAATATTAAATAGCTTTAACATTGATGTAGGTGTACATGAGTGACAGGAGTGTGAGAGACAGGGGTGGGGAATGATATATAGAGCTGTCCTGAAGGTCAGATCACCTGATTCTTAAGGATAGACATGTACTTATTATTTCCAGATAGGAAATGCAGAATCTCTCAAATTTAAAGGTTCCCATGGAGAGGTAAAACAAAATATATCTGCTAGCAGCCTATGTGGAAGGGGTCCCAAAATGGGGTTGTTGTTACATCAATGGTGAATAGATGAGGTTGCTTTTTTCTGTTGGGTAGCTTATTATCCTAGAAAAAATATCAGCCATTTTTTTTTTTATGCAGCAAGGAATGGGTGAAGGCAAAAGGGGTAAGATTATGATGTTGCTGTTAGCAATCTTCTTAAAAAAGAAGAAGCAACAAAACTGAATTTACGTACTCTTTCTCTCCCACCTCCCATGGCAAATTATGATGCTCTGTCTTCTGTTGCTGCAGAATTGTGAAATCCTGACAGGATCAGATGGTGTTGCCTCTTCTGATATGCTTTGCATTCCTGGCCAGAAAAGATGGTAAGAATGGTTGTTTCAGTATCCTATCTGCTTTTAAGATAACCATTGGAGACTTCCATAAATAATCTTCCAGTTTGGTTTCATAATACAGTTATTTAGTAGTCCAATTGTTTTTATTTTGATTATATATTTTGTGGTTTTATATTTTGATTTTGTTCTGTGAACCGCCCTGAGATTTCTGGGTACAGTGGTACCTCTAGATACGAACGGGATCCGTTGCGGAGCCCCGTTCGCATCTAGAAGCAAACGTAACTAGCGATGGCACGTCTGCGCATGCTTTTCACCAGTTCTGCGCATGCGCGTGACATCATTTTGAGCGTCTGCGCATGCACAAGTGGCGAAAGCCAGAAGTAATGCGCTCCGTTACTTCCGGGTTGCCGCAGAGCGCAACTCGAACGCGCTCAACTCGAAGCGTATTCATCCTGAGGTATGACTGTATAGGGCACCATATAGATTCAGTTATTATTAAAAATAATAAATAATAATAATAATAATAATGGTATAATTTGCTTCTCACACATTATCTCAGTAATCCTCACAATTTTAAAAAAGTGGTTTCTTAGACTTGTATATCACTTTACATTAAAAAGCAATTTACAATGCAGTAGACCTGCAACTGACACGGTGGTTAACGTTCCATGGATAGTGCATAAAGCCAAAATCACGCATAGTGAAAACACATCGGGTGCAGTGGCAGGTGGGATTGCAAAAGTTTCTGCCTTCCCTTTAAATTATTATTGTTATTGTTTTATCAAGTGCATAAAGCCGAATGCACACAAGTTAAATGTGCCAAAGTTGCGGGTCTACTGCACATGTAAAATGCAATAAAACATAATAAAAACATTGAAACAAATGAACATACCGTATTTTTTGCTCTATAAGACTCACTTTTTCTCTCCTAAAAAGTAAGGGGAAATGTGTGTGCGTCTTATGGAGCGAATGCAGGCTGCGCAGCTATCCCAGAAGCTAGAACAATAAGAGGGATCACTGCTTTCATTGTGCAGCGATCCCTCTTGTTGTTCTGGCTTCTGAGATTCAGAATATTTTTCTTCTTCTTTTCCTCCTCCAAAAACTAGGTGCGCCTTATGGTCTGGTGCGTCTTATAGAGCGAAAAATACGGTAATCAATACAGTAATAATTATATAAAACACGCTAGCCTGGATTGGATAGCTTTAACTAAAAACTAATGATGGGCATGCTTGATTTAAGATTTTAATTCTTCTCCACTTCCCAGACTGTGACCTTTAACTCATTTGCATGTACTTCCTGTGTCATATGCATAGGATCCGTCCTACATAAATACATTGCAGTTGAATTATTTTTTCCTCTGGGCTGTAGACTTGATCAGGACTTCAGTGCAAATGTTATTTAGGCCTTTCCCCTAAACATTCCTGAAGCATCTTTGCGGAAGCCGGTTGAATGCCCATACCTTGTAATTCCTGCAAGAGGGGTCAAGTTTCCACAATCGGAAAACCTGCCTGTTTGAAGGGAGAGTTTTGTTTGCATCCTGATATTCTATGTGTGCATTCTGAGCCAGACACCTGGGGTAGGGGGGAAGCTAACTAGTTGTGGAAATGCATTACTTTACTTGCAAAAGGATAGCTAAACAGAATTTGGGGGCGGCGTGCGTTATTGGGTTGTTGTTTTTATTTTGATTATATACATTGTGGTTTTATATTTTGATTTTGTTCTCTGAACCGCCCTGAGACCTCCAGGTATAGGGCGGTATATAAATTCAATAAATAAATAAAATAAAAGAATAAATATTAAACTTTTTGGCTGTCTGCAAATAATTTTAAGATACTTTTGTGTGTGCTGCTCCTCTTGCTCTGAGATAACCCGGCTTAATTGTATTGCTGATTTGGCTGCTGTTTGCCTGAACTGCTGTGAATAAATAATAATTTTTCCTCACCACCCCCAGGCTGTGACCCTACACACCGATGTGGGAGAAATTAAAATAGAGCTATTCTGTGAAAGAGCACCCAAGGCATGTGAAGTAAGTGATGGCCCCCCCTTCTCTTTCCTTTCCCCCCCCCCCGCCCCCATACAGACTACAGGAGGGGGAGATAGGACACATTGCTCTTTCCAGAGGTCTGAACTGATGGCTTGCAAAGGGCTATTGAAATTAGGCTAAAGGGCCACAGGTTGCCCACCTCTGTCTGTTAAATAATATGAGCAGTCACCTTCCACGTTTAGATTTCATATACCAAATCGAGAGCCGGTGCGATGAGTTAGTTGAGTGTGTTGGACTATAGTATCTGGGAGACCAGGGTTGAAAACCCCCACTCAGCCACGAAGCTACCGTATTTTCGCTCTGTAAGACGTGCCAGACCATAAGGCGCACCTAGTTTTTGGAAGAGGAAAACAAGAGGGGGAAAATTCTGAATCCCAGAAGCTAGGACAGCAAGCGGGATCGCTGTGCAGTGATCCCAGTGGCTGTCCTGGCTTATGGGATAGCTGCGCGCAGCCTCTCTTGGGTAGCGGGATGAAGGCTCCCCTTTCCCGGCTCCCCCAAGAGCCACGCTCCCTTTAAAGAGCCGCACACACGCTCCACGCGGCTCTTTAAAGGGAGCGCTGAGCAGAGCCTCCCTGCCTGCATTCGCTCCTTAAGACGCACACACGTTTCCCCTTACTTTTTAGGAGGGAGAAACTGTGTCTTATAGAGCGAAAAATACGGTAACCGGATGACATTAGGTCAGTCACTGACCTTGGGTCTCTCTTAGCCTAACCTACCCCATGGGGTTTTTGTAGGGATTAAATGGGGTGGGGGGGGAGAATCATGTATGCGACCTTCAGCTCCTGGCAGGAAATGGTTGGATAAAAATTGAATAAAATACCGTATTTTTTGCACCATAACACTCACTTTTTTCCTCCTAGAAAGTAAGGGGAAATGTCTGTGCGTGTTATGGAGTGAATGCCTACAGATGGCGGGGGGATCTGCTGCAGTCGTGAGCAGAGGATCCATGGTTCCCCTTCCTTCCCTCCTCCGTGGCTCGCTTTGAAACAGCAAAGCGGGAGAAGAGCCGCTGAGTGGGGAGGAGAGAGGGACAGAGAGCCTCCTTGCTTTAAAGGAGCAAAGCGGGAGAGGACAGGAGTCTTCTCCTCTTATACCCCTCTTCTGCGTTATTAACAGCATCCTTCTCCACCCACCCCACGTGTGTTCCTTGTCCCTTGAGTGCTTTTCCTTCCCTCCCCACTTAAAACGTGGTTACAAAGCACGGATCTACATGGATCCTCAGGATTTTTGCATTGGGTTACCCCAAACTCACCGTCAGATTACATGTCTGTGGCCACAGCATGAACCAAAAAAATCATACATCCACTGTTTCGTTTAGAATATTTTTTTTCTTGTTTTCCTCCTCTAAAAACTATGTGCGTGCTATGGTCGGGTGCGTGTTATAGAGTGAAAAATACGGCAATTCAGTTAAATTAAATTCTCATTAAGGTACAATCGAACATGAAAAGGTAGGTAGGGTTAGTGAATCATCCTTGTTTCCTGTTAGAATAGGTGCTTTCATTCCTTAGTAGGCAGTCTGCTGTAATTAACAGCTACGCCCTGACGCCTTTGCACCCGCTGATCCAGTTTCCTTTGAGGCACGTTCTGTTTTCAAAATAGTTTCACCAGATAAAGATAAGCCAGTCTTCAGTTCATTCCATCGGCTGCAAATAGTAGAACACAACATAAATGAATGTGGCGTTCGGATAAAGATTTGTTATTTCATAACAACAGATGAAAATTAAAAGATGAAAAACCAAGCAAGAATAAAAAGGGGGAAAAGGAAAGGGGAAAAAGAATGAAAGAAAAAAGTAAGAATAAAAGTTGTATACACATAAAGGAAGACTATTTATGTTATTTGATTCCCAAGTATCATTCCAGATTTGTCAAGGTTGTCTTGAAAAAGATGCTTCCACTGTGTATGTAACAAAGGGATGCCAAATTGTATAAAATTTGTCTGGAGGTTTTAGTCCTTGTCTAAATCTCAAATTATGTGGAACTTTCTCCATTATAGCTATATTAATATAAAATGAATGCTGGTTAGATGAAAGGTTCTTCCAGGCAGGAGTTTATTTTGCATTGCCAGCAGCTTGTCTATGCAAGTTTTACACACAGTTGTTTTTAGCAAAATTTTGTTACATTTTAATCTGGATTTTCTAACACCACAAAAAATCAGATTGGCAAAAAATAATGGTTTAAATAATTTAAAGGTTACAGCAGTTAGTGCTGGAAAGAAAAGGGAAAAGAAAGGAACATGTGATTCAAAGGGGACAAAATTTTATGTCCTCGTACCATTTTGCATTTTACTGCTGGTTTATTTCTTAACTAGGCTTCTGGTTCTTTTTCTAGAATTTTCTGGCACTCTGCGCTAGTAACTACTACAATGGCTGCATTTTTCACCGGAATATCAAAGGATTTATGGTGCAGACTGGAGATCCAACAGGTAATTCCTTTTTTTAAAGTTAGATATGTCTTAAACCATTCTCTTGGAGCACTGAGAGAAGCATCAGTCAACATGAGAACTGTTGTTGTGCTATTGAATTCTTTCAAACAAATAGATACTAATTTTGAATTTTAAAAGGCAGTACTGTATATGCAAGGAAGGCCAGTCAAGGCTACAGGCTATATAGATCGTATTTCAAAAAAAGTATCCAGTGCATCACAATCATAATACTTAGCCTGTTTGTAGAGCCCCATTAGAGCAATCTTATAATGTAGGCCAACTCTAATATCCCATGTTGCCTATGAAGGCTTGAGATACGGAGAATAGTGATCTTTCTAAGAGTGGCAAGTTCACGGTGGTGAGCATTGAATTGAAACTCTGCAAACCAGGAGATTCTCAATTCGACCTCCTGATTCACAGCTCAGTCCCTTAGTGAAATGGCTGGTTCTTGTATACAACAGGAAATTGAGAAAACACTCGTTAGTGAAGGTGCAAAATATGTGAGAAAAGGTCAGCTGCAAGTGGAATTTGCTGTGACTTTTCTTAGATCAGTGGACTCTGCTCAGATATTGATAGCATCCACCTGGTTCCTTCATGCTGACCTGTTAATATCATCCTTTGCCAACATAGAGATTGGAGCCAGTCAGATCAATGTCTGTTTCCTTTGAAATTGGTGGTAATATTTAACCCTAGTACCTAATAACTATTGGGACGTGGGTGGCACTGTGGGTTAAACCACAGAGCCTAGGACTTGCCGATCAGAAGGTTGGCGGTTCGAATCCCCGCGACGGGGTGAGCTCCCGTTGCTCGGTCCCTGCTCCTGCCCACCTAGCAGTTTGAAAACATGTCAAAGTACAAGTAGATAAATAGGTACCACTCCAGCGGGAAGGTAAACGGTGCTTCCGTACGCTGCTCTGGTTTGCCGGAAGCGGCTTAGTCATGCTGGCCACATGACCTGGAAGCTGTACGCTGGCTCCCTCGGCCAATAAAGCGAGATGAGCGCCGCAACCCCAGAGTCGGTCAGGACTGGACCTAATGGTCAGGGGTCCCTTTACCTTTACCTAATAACTATGCAAGTCCTAAATCATCTGAAAGGTGCTTAAGAAGGGGAAATCTAGGGGGTTAGGCTTGGACATCATCTGAACGTACATGATTTGGGAACCTTTCAGAATCTAACCAGAATCTGCACGAAAGACCACTTGGGAATCCAGTGCAAGTTCCTTTGAGTTCTATGATATTGGGGGATAATAGCGTCATAAATAGGTTGCTTCTGAAATGGAGGTACAATACAGTTCTCCCAATTCTGGCTCTTTCTACCCTGTAGATGCCTTGCAATATGTTTGCTTTATTGTCTTCTTGCATATTTGGGGAGTTCAGGGGAGTGGCATGGGGTGTTCTCTGATCTGCAGTGAGGTTTTTGAGAGATGAGAAATGGCATGAGTCTGTTATGCTGCTGAGAAAGTCTTTTCATTATTTCTTGCCTTTTTTCCAAACAGCAGCACAAACCAGAGAGGACATCTCCTGTTGCTTAGTCATCACCAATTTGCTACGGACTTAAGGGAGATATGTGTATGTTGTGGACATGGGGAAAAGGTGCCTGGATTTGTAGGAATCCTGCTAACCTATCTACCCAACTTCCCCCATCCCTCTTGTTCTTTCAGGCTCCGGAAAAGGAGGAAATAGCATTTGGGGGAGAAAATTTGAAGATGAATACAGTGAATACTTAAAAGTATGTTTTGCTTTGTTCACTAACAGTTTCTTCTTGCTGTACGTTTATGTGAACAGGGAAGTTGCCCTTTTTTTGGCTTGGAAGGAAACGACACAAACCCAGAGATGTAGTAGCATATAATAATAATTTATTGCATTTTAGTGTGTTACATTTTAAGACCATCTAGTGAAAGGCAGGAGAAAAATGCTATAATAATAATAAAAAGACTTGTTTTTGGGTCCCCACTCCCACTTTCCATCTTCCTCTCTCAGCACAGTGTCCGTGGAGTTGTTTCTATGGCAAATAATGGTCCAAATACAAATGGGTCTCAATTCTTCATCACCTACGGCAAACAGCCACACCTGGACATGAAATACACCGTGTTTGGGAAGTGAGTATTACAGTATTGAATTGTATAATGCAGGATTTAATTCTGTCATCATACTCGAGTTGGCGGCCACATGAACTGCGTCATGCCAGCCTTAACTTTTTATGTACAGTGGTACCTAAGGTTACATACGCTTCAGGTTACAGACTCCACTAACCCAGAAATAGTACCTCGGGTTAAGAACTTTGCTTCAGGATCAGAACAGAAATCGTGCTCCAGCAGCGCGGCAGCAGCAGCGGGAGGCCCCATTAGCTAAAGTGGTGCTTTAGGTTAAGAACAGTTTCAGGTTAAGAACGGACCTCCGGAACGAATTAAGTACTTAACCAGAGGTACCACTGTATATCAGAAGACGTATCATTCCACGAGGTTGAAAAATTGTCATCCGAAGTTTGTGCCTTTCTGTGCAGGGAGGTTCTCATTGCTATTTTTCATTTCTTGCCTGCTCAAACAGGGTAATCGATGGCTTGGATACCCTGGATGAGCTGGAGAAACTGCCAGTGAACGAGAAGACATTCCGCCCCCTTAATGACGTCCATGTTAAAGATGTTACAATCCACGCAAACCCTTTTGCTCAGTAGCTGCAAAGCGCCCATGCAGATTCCTGGCTTGAAAAACTGCTGGTGGGTCTTTGAAGACACATGGGCTTGTGCCTTCTCTTGGAATTACGGACTTCCTAAGCTGTTCAAATTTCAGCAGTTGATGAGGGGGAAAGGCCACCGTTTGATGTGTGAAATTGTACACATTTAACAAATCTGGGCTAATGTTTTTAAAATAAATAAATACATATATATATATATAAACTCATGTTTTCCTGTTAAATTCCATCTGGATTATACCAGCTGTTCTTTCAAAATGCTTTGTATGCAGACTCTTGTCTTCAAGGCCGGGGTTGGTTGAACAATTGGGACAAATGGTGTAATAGTCCCACAACCTTATGGCAGGCCTCATCCACACACTTAGGCCTCATCTACACACCTCAGTGGCCAGCTTGTGGTTTAATTTCCCTCCCTCCAGGACTCCCTCACACCCAGCCAAAATGCAGCCCATAGAAGAAGCCTCCTTGCTCCACATTGACATTGCCCTCTTGCGAAGCAAAACACAACTTTTCCAAATGGGCCCATGAACTGAGCAGATGCAGGGATCATGATTATTTTTGTAATGGTTTTTGTGTCCCCATCTAATCTTGCCTCTTTCTCTTCTCTCTCTCTCTATTTATTGAAAGCGGCAAGATTAAATATCTCTCTCTCAAAACTGCAACCTGCCCCACATCTAGGTTTGCCTAAAAAATGCCCAGCAAAATTCGGATATACGGCAACCCTTGTTGGGCAATTATCCATAAAAATAGCTGACACTCAGTGCTTTTTTTCTAAAAAAAAAATGTTTAGGGGTACGGGCTTTAATTTTGACTCAAGAAAATCACCATTTTGTAGCTCAAATCAGGGGGAAATAAATACAGTAAATGGACAAAAGTACAAAGATTCACAAAATCTTTAGGGGTATATGTACCCCTGTGTCCCCCCAGAAAAAAGCACTGCAAAATAAAAGATTTTGCAAAAGCAGCTCAACAACTTGGCCCCAAAAAGTTAAGCTTTTGTGTCTGGATTTTCACTTTTTGAAATATGGCAACCCTAGGGCCTTATGCCCATTAACTTTTTTTGGCGGGGGGGGGGAGAGAGACTCAAAAGATTTTATTGTGGGGGCGAAGGGACTTCTGCTAGGAGTTGCCTCCTGGGGCCAAGGAATAGAATAACACAATCAGGATCAGCACACCGACCAGCGAAACAGGTGGGCGGGGCTTATTCCATCCAATCAGAACCCCTGGGGAGCGAGGCCCGTGACGCAGCCGCGCACGCGCAGCTATTGTGACGACCTTCCCACTTCCAGAAGGTTCCTCGCAGCCGGCGCCATTTTGTCGAGGCGGACGGTTGTTGTTTTTTTTCCCCCAGCGGCGGTTGCTGAGGCCGGAGAGGAGGAGAGACGGGAAGGCTCGTCGTGTCCGGAGACGCCTTTTGAGAAGCGGAGTCGACTCCGAAAAGGAGAGCCGTAAGTGTCGGGTGTGGGTCGCGAAAGGCTCGGCGCCACGAAACGGCCGGTAGTAATGGCGCGTGAGGGGAAGGATTCGAGGGGGGAAGGGGGAGCCTCTCCTATTTTTACCTCACGATTTTTTTCCCCTCAGGGGGAAACGCACCGGGGTGGGCTTGGCTTGGCTGGTCGAGAATGGTTTCCCTCCCTCCAAAGCCGAGCCCTTCCCGCCATGTTCTCCTCCGGGAAGGCGAGCTTAAAATGGCTTCGAGGCCTTCGGTTTGGCGTCACCTACGCGAGAGGCACGTCGCGTCCCTTTCTAACCGTCCGAGCTCCTCTTGTGAAATTAATCCGCTTTTTTGGCGCTTCCTCGGCTCCCACATGTTGGGGGCAGAACCACCTGCTTTTTGTGTCGTCTCCCCCGATTTCTCCGAGATCCGAGGCAGGGTAAACACGAGCGACATAACTTCCCAGTGCGTCACCGGCGTCGTAGTAATAAGCGTTGTGGTTTTAGCACAGCAGCGAGCAGGAGTGAAGGGATATCTATTATGGGGGTTGTTGTAAAAACGACGACAAACAACATCATCAACATGACCTGGCAACCCAGGGGCGGTCTATTGCCGGAAAATGCCTTCCGCAGTAACAAATGGAATCACGAAAATTACGAAGGCGGAATGGAAGTGGGCGGAAAGGAGATGGGTTCTTCCAGAGAATAAATCCGGTTGTGGAAAATCACAAGCGCGAAGTCCCCTTTTTTCTCTCTGCTTGTTCAGTTCCTGTTTGCCCCTCCCCCCCAAAAAAACCGTACTCTGTAAACAAACCCTGAGTATTGGCCTTGCTAAAACTAAGGGCGGTGGTTAAAGTAGCAAAAAAGGGGCTGCTTGTTGATAAGGAGAAGGAAGTTTGCATAGCCTGGCTAAAAGCAGGAAAGAGAAGAAAAGCCTGTGGTGCTGTTGCTGCCCCATGGGAAGAGGGTGCCTGAGCTGCAGTGTCGCCACCAGAAAAGGCCTTGTTCTTAATACCTCCCAGTTGTAATTCCCGATTGAGCTCGTTTCGTTGGGTGGGACGTGAAGAGAAAGAAAGGAGCTGCCCAGAGATCTATAGGTACAGTGGTACCTCGGGTTACATACGCTCCAGGTTACAGACTCCGCTAACCCAGAAATAGTGCTTCAGGTTAAGAACTTTGCTTCAGGATGAGAACAGAAATCGGGCTCCAGTGGCGCGGCGGCAGCGGGAGGCCCCATTAGTTAAAGTGGTGCTTCAGGTTAAGAACAGTTTCAGGTTAAGAATGGACCTCCGGAACGAATTAAGTACTTAACCCAAGGTACCACTGTATAGGTATATAAATAAAAGGAGCGAATTCAAAACAATTGAGAAAGAAGTGGGCCACAAGAGAGAAAAAGAGGAGGCAAACCAGTAGGCATCACCCATCTGAATATGTGCCTGTCTGGACGCTCAGGTCTTCTTCATCTGAGTTCCTTCTGTGTTCCCCTCCATCAGAGATGTGGGGGCTGGCAATTGGTGGTGCCCCAGCTAGGGTATGCCGTCTCCAAGGAGGCTTGTTTCTCACTTCACGTCAAAGAACATTTACTAAAATACAGTCAAAACACTGAAGTGTATTCAGGATCTAGGTATTGCGTAGCTGAACTATGCAGTGTCAGTCACTTGTTCCTTTTGTTTTTGTGTGATTGTGGTTGATTATGTCAGTTTCAGTTGGGTTGCTAATATAGTTTGTATACAAAAGGGAATGACTGGTTTTAAAAAGTTGAAATCCTATGGTGTTAATGCCCAGTAATATATAATTCTATTAGCATAGTAATACTGTATTGGCATACAAGTTTCCCAAATTTGTGGGCACATTTTGCCACTGGCTATACAGTTAACTCATATTTGAGGCACGTTTAACTTGTACAATTTCAACTTTTATGTGGTTGTTGGCTGGCCAGTTGAAATTGCAGAAATTAAATGCACAGAAGGTGGCATGCTTAAAAACTAACCATGCGCAAAAAGAGCTTTTAAGCTCTTCTCCTTGCTTACTGGGCGGCTATCCTGAGATCTCAGATGACCTCACAAGATCTTGCTGGGAGCCTTTCAGAGCCCAGCAAAGCAAGGTGGATAGCTTAAAAGCACTCTGCCTTGCTTGGTATGGTAGACTCTTAGGGTGTGCTGGCTCTGGAAGGTAAGACTTCTCGCGCTGGGGCATTTCAAGGGGTTTCGATTTTCGGCACTTGATCTGTACTGTGGGGTGTAAAGTGCTGTGCTTTTCCATTAATATTAGTGCTTTTTCTTTTCCATGTTAGGCTTCATATTGCAGTGCATGAATGGGGATTGCTGTCACTGCGGTATTTTGGAAATCCCTGCTAGTCAGTTGCATAAGCCGTTGGTAGTATTTAGTCTCGTTGATGTGTTTTAGGTGGCAGCAGTTTTGAGTATAATCATTAAGAGTAATGTGTTGCTAAAATGTACTGAACTCGCACATACATTGAGAATTAAAGCAAATGTGGGTTAAAAATGAGCAGACAAAGAAATTACATGATAGGTAAAATGCTTTATTAGGTGCAACCAGTGGTTAAAAAAAAATATGCAAGCTTGCATAGTAACTTGGTGGCAGTACTTCTGATCAGTTTTTGTGGTAGAATTGAAGCCATTTAAATTGTATATTGAAGTTTGATCTCATTGCACTGCTTAATAGACTGATAGGAAGAGAGAGATTTACTGGAAATAGTTCTAAAACTGGTGTATACAGTAAAAGTTACTGTTGACTTTTTGTCTCATAAATGTATGTATTTACAGATGCGGTATTCAAAGCAAACACACTATTCTGATTGGGAAGAAAAACAATGTTTGGATCCTAAAAAAGGCAGCAGCCATCATAAGAGAAGAAGAGAATCATACAGCAGTACGCATGAGAAAAAGCGCTGCAGATATACTCAAACCCAAACTTATGATAGGTGAGTTAGTTCACCCCCACCCCATATGGCAAGTCTGTATCTTATTAAAGTTATCAATATGTATCATAGTATTGTTGAGTTGGAAGGGACCTGGAGGGTCATCTAGTCCATCCCCCTGCGATGCAGAAATCTCAACTAAAGCATCCATGACAGATGGCCATCCAGTTTCTGTCTTTAAATTTCCAATGAATACCTTAAATGTCAGTCTGAATTTGAAATACACGTAAACAGACATAACTTGCATGCATGAGAACTGGTAGTTTAATGTTCCACATTATATTCTTTTGTTTGTTTCTCTCCAAGCCTTTATTCAGATGCCAGCTCCTTCCATGAAAGAGATAATCATGAACGCCGTTATGTGGAAGAATACAGATACAACTACAGTCAACTGTCTGAAACCAGGCACCATTGCAGAGACCATGAAAATGGTTATCACAACCACAGTAGCAAGTCATCGGGGCATAGCGGTGGAAGCAGTTACAAAAGAAAACACAAGACTCATCATAGTAAATCACATCATTCACACGCGGTATGTATAATTTAGAGCACCTTGAATACTTGAATAATCACACAAATGAAGCGAGTTGGAGATGTATTTTAGCATAGAAGTACGCTTTTTCTGCTAGATCTTACGTTCCTGAAATGGGAAAGTTCTGTAACGTAGACAAATATTTTCTAGTTTTATTACTATTGCTTGTTTATCAGGCAGTATTCCACTTTTCTGTTTGAATACCTGAACTAGGCATTTGTTGGAAGTATGGCTAAGATGCACCATGAATATTGTTTCCCCTGTTAGGCAAAATCAGTGGAACTAGTGGCTTCAAGTTACATTCTGAATGTCTTATTGGACAGTACAAAAATGAAAGTGGAATAAATGCCTTGTAAACTGAGACTGATGTGCTTGTGTTAAATGTTAAACACTATTTATTAGATTAATGTAATCTCTCATAACCTTTTTGGAACAGCCAGACAAGACCATGATCCCAAATCAGGAAGGTTGATGGTGGAGGGAAACAAGTTTATTTGCACCGATCTGTCTTACCAAGCTAGCACATAGGTGCTCCAAGGATGGGAGTTGCATGTTTAGTACAGCTAGTACTGTTGGGTTATCAGCTGATAGACTTGGTCCACACGTTTCTCTTCCCCACTCACAACCATCCAGTAGTGGATCAGTTCTGCCAGAAGTGGTGCTGATAATTGGCTGAGGGAGGGAGAAGTCTACAAGGATAGCAGTGGGTGCTGTGTAATGCTCAGGATGGATATGTGTAATCCACATATCTCCTCAACTGAAGTGGTGGCTGTGTGCAATTAAGTAGGTTTTGTGATTTTTGACATTACTCACAGAACACCTATAACAAATTATGTGTACTGTACAATATGTACTTTAAACGCTTTACGTTTTGTTGACACTCCTTATTTACCAGTAAAAGGCTGCACATTATGCAGTATAAATTCCAGTGCTTGTTATGTTACAGCATTAAACAGAAGACATTTTATTTGCAAATCTTAAAATATATAGTTTTTCTAGTGAACCATATTTTTAAAAGCGTTTATATTGTGTGTTATTGCCTTGCCACTTGAAGTACCTTATCTGAAAATCTGTTCCTTGCCATGTTTTTCTCCTGTAACCCTAAACTATGTGCCCTGTGAAATTCTGGGGAATTTGAAATTGTTCCTGCCAACCGTTTGTGGCCTGGCGCGTATCTGAATGCCTGAATATCTCCCTGCTGAATGAATTTCGTATTCTGCCCTGAATTCACTCGGGTTTATTGATTGGCTGGATGATCTTGGTGCCGCGCACTTGCCGTTACCAGAGGAGTCACCGAAGGAAAAGATCGAGGAGTGTAGAGGATGATGAGGAGGGTCACCTGATCTGTCAGAGTGGAGACGTACTAAGTGCAAGATGTATAGAATATTTTTCAAAACTTATACACTTTTCAGATAGAATAATTTCTTTTAGATAAGAAGCCAGGAGTCTTTGGAAGTCCTTTCCTTTCTTTGGTTTTTTGTTCTGTGTTTTGTTTTTTTCTTTGGGGGGGAGATTATTTTTATATAGAAGTTAAATTTTAATTGGAACTTCTTATATAGTGAGCAAGTTAATTTAGAATGAGATAGACATAACTGTCTTGAAGAGTTGTCCAATTAAATATTTTAAAGATGTCTAGTTACACTTTTTTAACATAGCGGCACTGCCTAGAACATAGCATGGTATTTTGCATAATGACAATACACCACTGTTTGTATAACTAATTTCTCCCCTCTGTTTTTAGATGAAATTATCAGTGTTCTGGGTGAAGGTGCTTTTGGGAAAGTCGTGGAGTGCATTGATAACAAAGCGTAAGTTCAACTTTTTTTTGTAAGAGCCTGACACCTAAATGGTGGCACATCTTTCTCAGATCCTTCTAGAGAACCCACCTTCCATGAAGCTTTTTCCATAACCCCTTAGTTCTTTCCCTCCAGATGAAACAAAGAAACCTAGGTACTTATGATGGCACTTACACATGCTCATCTCCCTTTCCCATCTGGTTTCAATTCTTCTGTCTTTTCATTGCCTAAATCTAAGTTGTAAGCTCCTCAGAAAGGGGATCTTTTTGTTTGTTGCTGTGTAAGGCACCATGGTGCTATTAGAGTGATATTAAAATGGATACACCAGCTTTTTGTGGTTATCATTTCCCTGATAGCATTGTTCATTCAGCTTGTCATTTTCCATCAAAATAATATGCATTTCCACCAAAATAATATGCTAGAAATAATTTAAGTATTGATATAAATAGTTATTTAACTGAACAAAACTTGTTTAAACTTTGCTTTATGCCATGGAGTAGTCTTGTGACTTTTCAAAACTTTTTTTTTAGGGGAGGCAGACATGTAGCAGTAAAAATAGTCAAAAATGTTGATAGATACACAGAAGCAGCTCGTTCAGAAATAAAAGTACTGGAGCACATAAATAAATCCGATCCTAACAACATATTGTAAGTATATTATAAGAATGTGAAGTTTTTACAAATGCTTGCATGCTGTGTGTTTATTTGTGTGATTCCTTTTCAGAAGAAAATAATGGGGGCTTTCATTGGTGTACTGAATACAATTTTTTTGTTTATGTTAAATTTTAAGTTTGTTTAAGTTGAGAACCCTGGATCATCTCTAGCTAAGCTGAATTTTGAGTTACACCTATTAAGATAAATTGGCTTTAAGTGGGTCTACAGTTAGTATAACTAACATTGAGTATTATCCTGACTATTTTGTAGTATCTTGTGAATGACATTATTATTGTATTTACAGTCGCTGTGTCCAGATGTTGGAATGGTTTGAACATCATGGCCATGTTTGCATTGTGTTTGAACTGCTGGGACTCAGTACATATGACTTCATTAAAGAAAACAGTTTTCTGCCATTCAGTCTTGACCACATAAGACGAATGGCTTACCAGATTTGCAAATCTGTAAACTGTAAGTACACATAGCACTTTATTTCTGTTTCTAAAATGTCTCTTAAGACTCGAAGCAGTTAGTAGTTAAAAGAAAAAGCACAATGCACAGTATATGTAGGAGCGGTGTTCTGTTTAACATCTCTTGTAATAATTTCCTGACTTCTCTTTACAGTTTTGCATTCAAACAAGCTAACCCATACAGATCTGAAGCCTGAAAACATACTGTTTGTGAAGTCTGACTACACAGAAGCATACAATCCCAAACTGGTAAATCTCTCATTTCTTAAATTAAAAAGCTCCTCTCACCATTGATCTCTTTTGCATGTATGCTTAGTAATTATGGTATTATTTCAGAAACGTGATGAACGTACACTGAAAAATCCAGATATCAAAGTTGTGGATTTTGGAAGTGCAACATACGACTATGAACATCATAGTACTCTCGTGTCTACAAGGCATTACAGAGCTCCTGAAGTTATTTTGGGTGAGTAGAAAAGTAGTCTAGAAAATTACTTTTCTTACAGTACTTTTGTGAGTCATTTTTAGACCATGCTTAGTAAGGCTGCTTTAGGAGTTGCTAATATCAGTTTCTGTTTACCTTCTTGGCACCCTGTGCATTTTGGAATTTCAACCTAAATGCTGATTCTAAGTAGTTCTAAGTGTAGCAAATGTTGGTTTCATCTTGAACTTACATTAGAATTAGGGTTTCTTTTTTAGGCAGTCTGTTTTGTGACTTTCCCATTTACAAAATATTATGAACCTGTTTGAAGAGCTCTTTAAGCAATTCAGTTGCAGATCAGTAACACCTTAGGTTTGAAAAAGCTACATGATTTTATGTTATTAGATAAGCATAATAATTTATTTTCTCTCTCCACAGCCTTGGGATGGTCACAGCCTTGCGATGTTTGGAGCATTGGCTGCATTCTTATTGAATATTACCTTGGATTCACAGTATTTCCGGTACGTAACTGCAGAAATGTTGGATATAGAGACAGCAGTGACAAATCTTAGTGTTAATTTTTTTTGTGTTTTTTTTAATGTTACCTGATGAATCAGAATAAACTCCAGTGTTTGTGAAGTATATGACCTTCAGTTCTGTAATGGGACGGCAGCCTCTCTTCTGATGTCGCATTTCAAATTTACTGACTAGTTGAATTCCAAAAAGGGTTGAGAGGAATGGAATAGTACAAACCCTCCTTGTTCACATGGACTTAGCTGGGTGTTTCTTCAGTTTCAGAGCCCAGTGCTTTGTCCCTTTATAGCAGTAGTTTGTGTAGTGTGTGCCTCCTGCCATTGATCAGTTTCATGAGCCTTACTAAGTTGCAGCTGCTGTGGAGAGCTGACTGTTTAGGAGCATGCTAGATACTATTTAACCTTACCTTATATAGGTACTATTATGCAAAAACAAACTTGCTTTCCTCAAAGGTATGCAGCTGCCAGAGAACCCAGAAGGCAAGTTCTAGCTTTCCTTTTGAGTTTTTCAAGCACACTTATATGGCAATGTTCCATCTTTCTTAACAGACACATGACAGTAAGGAGCACCTGGCAATGATGGAAAAGATACTGGGACCGCTACCAATTCATATGGTCCAGAAAACCAGGTAAACTTTATTTAAGGTTCAAATTCTATTTCCTGCCCCATAGCACAGTGCCATCCATTTCTATTTTACGTTTCCCTTGATCAGTTTGTAGTCATTCATTGTTGTCATAGCAACCGCTTCACAAATAAATGTTGTGATGAATACAGTCCAAACGCTCCTTTTTGGAATATTCGGCCGGCTATAGCTAATGACTTAGGCTTCAACAATTGGGCTTTCCCTCCTCTCTTGTGGCCCCTGCAGGGGCGAGAGAACAAGGGGAGGAAAGGGAGTGTTTGTTTAATATGGCAAGCTGAAATGCTTTTCCTGACAGAACAATTGACCTAGTGCAACTTAGGCTGGTTTATACTGGTGACAGTGTCCATGTTTACGTTGCATGGGTGTGGACAATACTTCCACTGATGCACATAAACACATTATGGGGAAGCTATATGGTAAATTGCCCCGGAATGGAAAATTTTTAAAATAGTCTGCCTGCTGTTCAGAGAGGCCTCTGACTGTGGACAATAGAACATAGTCCTTACATAAATTAAAGCCAACCAAGTTGATACCTTTTGTGGGAGTAAATTCCACAATGTAACCATATACCTGTGTGTGAACCTACATGTTGGGCATGAAAGTGCTTTGTGTTTGAGGCTCTCTAACAACATGCAGCGACTTCTGATGGGAACCCATTCATCTACAAATACAAAGCCTGCCTGTTGTAAGCATGGGTTAGGAGTTATAACTGCGAAGTGCTTATAATAAATTTAAAGGTATTCACTAGGTTGACCTGGAAGTAGGTTTGAGAAATGTCCGTCCTTGTTCTATAGGCAGTTGTAATTTGAAGAATGTTTTTACTTGTAGCATTTGGTTGCATAATTCTAGAGGAACTGAAACATGCATTTTCAGCTCTGGTTGTAGTTACTTGTTTTAATATTTATAGACCACCTCTCACTCGTCAGAGTGCATATTCAAGAATATGGTAGTGTAGGGTATAAAATGGCTTGTTAATGCCAGTGTAGATCAGGTACTGAGTCACTATTTGAACTACTTGGCTGCTTGTTTTTTGTTTGAGGATAGTACCAGGAAGTATGGCTTACATAATTCAAGGTAAGCTCAATCTAGTATTTGTGCTCAGTGCACTGCTAGTTTTAGTATCCAGGACTACTAAAGTGGTACCTCTGGATGCAAATGGGATCCGTTCCGGAGCCCCGTTCGCATCCCAAAGAGAACGCAATGCTTCTGCGCATGACATGATTTAGTAATGCGTTCTGTTACTTCTGGGTCGCCATGGCGCGCAACCCGAAAACACTCAACCTGAAGCAACTTTAACCCAAGGTATGACTGCATAGGGGAAATGGTACTAACATGATGAAGTTGACATGTCAAATGGATTACTCAAGTTACACTTTGAGGAGTTTAGTCGTACCTCGGAAGCCAAACAAAATCCGTTTTGGAAGCCCGTTCGACTTCCAAATCGCAGCTTCTGATTAGCTGCAGCTTAATTGGAAGCCCCATTGGATGTTTGGCTTCCGAAAGAATGTTTGAAAACTGGATCACTTCGGTTTTTGATGGTTCAGGAGCCCAGGTATGAACAAGGATAGCAGGGTGAGCATGCAACTCATGTCTTCTGGAAGGGGTAACTTTTGCCATGGGAAGATGTTCCTGCTCTTAATGTGTTTTAAGAACCCTGTTCTTTAATGGAGTTCTAAATACTGTGGGCGCTTACAGGAAAAGGAATGCCACACCCCTCATATGTTGTCCCTCAAACTCATTCTTCCTTTTTTGCATGTGAAATCACAAGCAACCAAATGCAGCCTGTCACTCATAATTACTACTACTTTTTTTTTTTTACATAACAAGAAAGCGCAAGTACTTCCACCATGACCAGTTGGATTGGGATGAGCATAGTTCTGCTGGAAGATACGTTTCGAGGCGCTGTAAACCCTTGAAGGTAAGAGGTGTTAACTGCATAACCATACAATACTTTCCCCTACCCCTCATTTGTGTAGTGTCAGGGTGGTAACTTGCTTTCCCTCCTACCCTAGGAATTCATGCAGTGTCATGATGCTGACCATGAAAACCTATTTGATCTCATCGGGAGGATGTTGGAGTACGATCCAGCCAAAAGAATTACTCTTGCAGAAGCCTTGGAGCATCCTTTCTTTTCGCCGTGTAAGGAAAAAATATAAACAACAGAGTTCCTTAGGTGATTATATAGACTGTGTCAGTCAAAAAGCGACTAAGACTTTTTATGTATTTATTTTGTAATTAGATCTGTAAATTTCTTTTCATATTGTCTTGTTCATCTGTTAAACCTTCCACTTGAAATAAAGCATTTGACAAAAAGAACTTGCCTGTTTCTTTTTCCTAATGCAAAAGAACCATGTTCTCCTTAATGTTGCGCTTTTTTTTGTTAACGGCTGCAGCCCGCACATGCATCCTTGTTGCAGTTGGAACAACAGGTTCTGTTCCGAAGTTAATAGAAGGACAGAAGTCCTAGTTTGGCAAACTAATCATTCAAATTTCTAATCAGGCATACTGTTAAACAATCCACACCTTTATCAGTTTGACATGATATGCAAACTAATAGGTAGCATAGAGGAAATTGTAAATCAGTATTGTTGAACATGCCCCTTACATACAGCAATCTGTCCTTTGCAGTTTCAAAGAGCTGCTCGACAAAGCGTGCTGATTTAAATCTCTAGCCCCTAGAAAGTTGTCTAGAACCAAATATAACCCACCGGCTTAAAGCCTTTAAAAAGGACAGAACCTGCATTTTCACAAAACTCTGAAGTATCCTGTCTTCTGGCCAAGGGTGAATGCACCAGGGGAAAAGGCACAGTTGCTGTAAATGGAGCCTATTCCCAAGTTTTTACTGCCAAAATCTGGCAACATTTGTTAGGGAAGTAGGTAGTTACCTGCATCTTGGTGGAACTGTATACACACAGGGCTTTTGCTCAGCCAAAACCTCACAACGCATGTGGCTGATTCACATAGCTAAACAGCTGGAGTTTGCCCACTTACATTTCACTGGTCAGAAGCAGCCATTTTGGGTAGAAACAACGGACAGAGGGAGAGCAATCAGACACGCAAGTTTTTCCTTTGGCATTTCAGGGTGGGAAAGCAGGACCTGCATGTACTGAAACAGATTCACCCGTAGAAACCCATGTATTTCTGCACTGAAAGAAGCACTCCCTGGCTGCTATTCTGAACTGCCTGACTCGTCCATTCTCTACCAGTAGGCCCACTACTAGAGTCACATCTGCTATATTACATCTTGCTAAATGTAACCAGAATATATTCTGACCCGGGGATATTCAGAACACCTAATGCACTTAAAGAAACAAAGAAGCCTATAGGAAATAGCTTTCCTCTATCAACAATTGGGTCCAATTTAGACAATTCCCCTTTCTCTTGCAGATTCGGGAGTACAGAGACCATGGGGGTCTGAGACTAGTAACAGGAAAACTAGGGATAGCTTATGCAGATAGTATGCAAGAGTTGCCTAATTTCCTTCCATTCTTTTTCAGTGAAAGCAGCATTGGAGCACACACACAATATTTCTCTTCCTGATCCTGGTTAGCAAGAATACATTCTCCAACCATGTAAATTATTGGGAATCTAAATGATAGTTGGAGCTTCTTTGGGGTTCCAGAACCTTTTTCACTTTCACATTCAGCATCTAAAATGCAAATCCTTTTAACCTTTAAAAGGATGGTATTCAACACTCATCCTACTCAAAAGTAGACCCATATAATAATCTAGACCCACTAGACATAACCTAGTCACGTTCATTAATTTTTGAGGACTTGGTTTACTACAAGCTAAAAAATAGTATACAACATTGCTCAAAAATGGTCAATGCAAACTTTGTTCTGTTTCCAACTAATAGCAAGGCAGAAAAATACATTTTTCAAAGAGAATAGATTGTTCAAGGATCTGCATAAGACTGCAAGAACACCAGAACCAGGAAGCTGAAGGCAAAGAGCGTAGTTTGAATACTGAGCTTAGTGACTGCAAATTGCAGTGGTATTATGAACAGGGAATGATGTGATGTTAGGAATCCCATCACTCTTGCTTGGATCTAGTTATCTTTCACACACAATTACACAAGTATGGCCTCTTTACTTTGGATACTTGTACAGTTTAATTTGCAAACAGAATTTTTATAACAAATTTCATTTTTCCAAATCATGTCTACTTGTAAACTTTTTTTATAGAAAACCCAGGGATAAAATGAATTTAAGTTGTGGAAGGCCTTAAATTATGTTACAGTAGAAAATACAGGAGGTAGAAGGTAACTCAAAAAACTAATGCAATGTTAGAATCAAATCTATAGCTCCTGTAAGCTACTAACACATGGTTTTAAAACCTAAATCTGGTGTTCTCTAATGACCATAGAAAACACAAACAAAAATTTGCCATGAGAGCCCTTATATCATGCTTGATACAGGGAGGTAGGATGTAAGAATCAGGACACAAAGACATGACATTTTATCTACTGCTCCTGTTTGCTTTACTGTTTTTGACAACTTAGTCACCTTCTTCAGTTTCAGACTCAGATTCTGAAAGAAAACAAACAAGTATTCCAGCATGAGAACACTTTGTAAACTTATTCAAATGAATGCACAGTAAGCAAAGCGGAATTGCATCAGGCTTACTCACCTTCCTCAGCATTCTTGAGCCATTCTACAAACTTTTTCATTTGTTCCAGAAAGACACTCTTTCCTTTGGCAACATGTGCATCTTTATACCATTTCAGGATGGGTTCTTCACTTAGAACCTCAGCTGTTGAAAACAAAGTGGGGTTAGGGCAAGCAGTGTCTATACCTTCATGCAGCAGAGTTTAGAAAACAGATGCCAAGTCAAACCATGTGTTTTCAAAGCACAGAAGTGCTTAAATGCAAACTCTCTAAAAAAAACAACCACCAGTAAGTTTGCCAAGCCACGTTCCTCATGCTCTGTGGTCTTAGCATTGTTTGGGCTGTAAATTCCACTAGACTTGACCAGTTCATCAAGCAATACATTTTATATGTTGCTCAATCACATCTTTGGAACTGAAGCCTCATTAAAAAGGTAAGGGGACCCCTGACCATTAGGTCCAGTCGCGGGCGACTCAAGTTGCGGTGCTCATCTCGCTTTACTGGCAGAGGGAGCCGGCGTACAGCTTCCGGGTCATGTGGCCAGCATGACTAAGCCACTTCTGGCGAACCAGAGCAGTGCACGGAAACGCCGTTTACCTTCCCGCCGGAGCGGTACCTATTTATCTACTTGCACCTTGACGTGCTTTCGAACTGCTAGGTTGGCAGGAGCTGGGACCTAACAATGGGAGCTTCTGATCGGCAAGCCCTAGGCTCTGTGGTTTAACCCAAAGCACCACCTGCATCCCTTGAAGCCTCATTAGGACACCCTATTTTCATCAACAGGGTACTCATCTACATCTCAAAAAAGTCACTTGACATCACAATGGGGGGCGGGGTTCTGTTAACACTATTGTGGGCAGAAGACTAAGACCCTTTTCAACTGGCATAATGGAATTATGGGCTGCAGCTTTCTTCTTTGAGATTAAGACTTTACTGATAAGCATCAGAAGCTACAGCTTAAGTAGTTAAAATGAGTTAAAGAGAGTTAAAATGTTAAACTCTTGAGTGTTCTATCTTCTTTTGCACATGACTGAGTGTTAAACCATTACCTTTGTAGAAGAGCACCACTATTTTCTGGAAGGCTTTCATGAAGTGGATGTTGTCATAACAGTACTCCTGAATCTTGAGCAACAGAGTCAGTTCAGACTGACCTTGGGTTGTAAAGGCAGCAAGAAGAGGGCTGTATTGCTGTGAAGATTATAAGAACAGTTACGTACAGGAAAAAACCCACACACGCTTTTATTCTGATCAACAGCTTCCCAGTTCTCCATAAATGTGCCTTTTAAATGTGTTGGAGAGTTTTTTGTATTACGTATTTTGTGCTTTCATTTTGTTTTTTTATGTTGTGAACCGCCATGTGATCTTCAAATGAAGTGTGGTATACAAGTTTAATAAATAATAATGTTTTGCCTACTAGTTATGCACAAACTAGCATACACCAGAATACAGCTTAAAATTGGGCTTATCAGAAATCACCAACACGTAATTTGTCCTAAAATGGACATGTACATTTTCAAACCCTGCTGCCAGAAAATGCCTCTTTCATGAAGGGAAAAAATCCTGACAGCAAAAACCAGCTGTCTGGGAACTTCTAAGAGGACTTCCCATAGACTTCCATTGAATGAACCTTTTGTCCTCTGGCTGTTGCTGAACTGCAGCTTCTCATTGTTCCTGGCCACATTTGCGGGCGCTCATGGGCATTATAGTCCAGCAACTTCTGGAGGGCCCAAAGTTCCCCACCCCAGTCTTAGAACCATGCACCGCCAAGTCGGCTATTAGTGATTTCCATTTTCTTTTACAGACAAAGTAAGATTTTTCGAAATCCAGGAACTCAACATTTTAGGAAGAATGTGAGCCCTACATTGTGGCATTCAGGGTACACTTTCAACGGGCTTACACTGAATGAGATAATAAGCTTATATTAAATCAGGAGAAATGAAGAAAATCCATCTGAAAAATCTAGTTCTCATTTTTATGCAGCCTATTTTCTGCATATCAAGATTGGCAATGCAGTATTATGACTGGGACCGTACAACATTATGCAGCGTAGAATATTTCTTTTTCGGGGTTCTAGCCACTAGCTTTCATTCCCTATCCTACTTTCCAGTGCACATTTTGTGCCCAGTGAGCAGGTTCAGTCCCATCTTGGCCTGTTTGGGGCTTTCCCTCTCTCCTATTTTTTTGGCGGGGGGTGGGGTGGGTTGTGGTGGGAGACACATTTATGTACAACCCCAGCTACATTCTTTTTTTAAAAAAAAAAATTCATTTGATTTGTCTGCAAACCTCAGCGTTACCCCTAACATGATATCTGCATGAGCACCTGAAAATTCAGCTGGATACAGAGGGAATGATTACGTGGCTTTTGCACCCATGCCTGCACGGCAATAGACCCACAGAAGTTTGCTTATATGATATACTTTTTAAAAAATGAACATACAAATACCTTCAAGTGCTTGATGGCTTGTTCCGCTACTAGCTCCTCTTTTTTGTTCCATTCCACAGTGCTCATTACACTGGACCAGATAATGCCTATCACAGTCTGTTCTGATATGTTGTTTTTCTTCATCTCTTCCTTGACATACAAGATGATCTAGACAAGCAATTCCAGGGAGTGTCACATAACATTCTTCCACGTGTATTGACAAGCTTTGCTTAGATTTTCAGGTATAGATTTCCTTGGGCCTAGAGATTAACTTTGTTCTACCCAAGCAGTAAATGCTACAATACTTGGCACCGCCCTTGAGTAATAACAACTACTACTACTACTGCTACTGCTACTACTACTTATCATTTATACTCCAGCCACTCTGGGCGGCTCCCAACAGAATTAAAAGCACAATGAAGCATCAAACAGTAAAAATCTCCCTAAGCAGGGCTCCCTACAGATGTCTTCTAAAAGTCAGATAGTTGTTTATTTCCTTGACATCTGATGGGAGGGTCTTCCACAGGGCGGGTGCCACTGCCTGGTTCCCTGTAACCTCACTTCTCGCAGGGAGGGTACATTGTGCACCACCTTTTAAGACATTTCTGTCAAGACTCAGAATGTGAAATTCAAGACACAGCTCAAGGTGCGAACAGCCATTTTCCCATTCTTTTCTACAGTTTCTGCCTATAGACACAGGCATCTTGCTTCTCCTTCCCCACCCCCATTTTAGAATATGAAATCTTAATACATTTCTCATTGACCATGGAAACCAAGCACAGAAACTGGGCAGCTCAACTATGGTAGCCTTCCACCCTCCAAATTGCTTGGATCCCCAGCTACCACGAGCTATCAATGGCTATGCTGCCTGGGGATGGTGGGAGCTCTAGCCCTAAAACATCTATGGTTTGTGCACTGTAGCAACAACCAGTCCTTAGGAAGCAAGGTGAAACCAGCCAGCTGTGTCCCAAACCCTTGCCAAGGAAAAGGGATCAAATCCCTGTTCAATCACAGAGCTCCCTGGTCGGTGGCCTTGGAGAACGTCACCATCTTGCAGACCAGCTTTCTTCACAGGGCTTACTGCATAGATCAAGATAACCCAGTGCATGCTTTCCTGGACTCCTTGTAGGGTGCAAATGTGATAAACACAATAGCATTATTCACAGGTGAAAAGGCTATAGCCTGAACAGGTACAAATGTATATGTGAGCATGCTTAACTGTTCCTGAACATTATCGTTATTTTCATAAATATCTGCAGTTATTTCAAAAATTATTAAACAAGGTTTCATACTTCCCACCTTGCTGTCAGCATTTTACATTGTGCGGACATTAGCGCAAAGTTAATTCGCCAAACACACTCGGAAAGAAAATATTTTAACAGCAAAAATTGTTACAGCAATTGAGGCAGCTAGAAAACCAAGCTACTTTCACCTTCCCTGGTTGCCACGGCAGATGCCAAAGTTACGAAAAATGAGTATCAGAGACCAAAGAGGCTCATAAGCTATGAGCAGAGGAAACCAATGTACTTACATCCTTAAAGTTATCCCCACGTGACATCTGCTCCTGAAGTTCTTTCTGCAGTTCCTTACGAGCCCCTATGCACTGCTGGTTCCGGACGTATTCAGAGAGTTCCTTTAATCCTGCATCAGTGAAGTATTTTGTGAAGTGTTCAAGGCTTTGCTTGTTGGCTGGAAAGAGTTCCTGAAACATTGATATTGATTATTTGCGGTGTACAGTGGTGCCTCGCAAGACGAAATTAATCTGTTCCGCGAGAGTCTTCGTCTAGCGGTTTTTTCGTCTTGCAAAGCAACCCTATTAGCGGCTTAACGGATTAGCGCTATTAGCGGTTTAGCGGCTATTAAAGGCTTAAAGGCTTAGCGGATTAGCTGCTAAAAGGCTATTAAAGGCTATTAAAGGCTTAGCAGATTAGATAAAGGGGGGGAAAAGCGAAAAAAAAATCTCTAGACTCGCAAGACATTTTCGTCTTGCAAAGCAAGCCCATAGGGAAATTCGTCCTGCGAAGCAACTCAAAAACGGAAAACCCTTTCGTCTAGCGGGTTTTCCGTCTTGCGGGGCACCACTGTACTTTAAAAAAAGTTGCCCATCTCAAATTACTTTGTTTTCAGCAGCAAAAATAGATTATCTTATTTACTTACCATCAGCCTGTTGTCCATGTTGACTTTACGAAGACTAGCAGCCACTGCATTGATATCTTTTTCATTTATCCATGATTTGAACAGTTTTACTGCAAAGGCTGCTGAAACACCTGCATGAGGAGTTGTATGGTTACTTTTAATACTCTTGAAGAGGTGTCCTGCTTAGTACTGTCCTACTATCAGATGTGACTTACCCTTGGCCCTCCAGACGTGATTGGACTCCCAACTCCCATAAGTCCCATAGAGCACGGCCAATGGACAAGAATGATGGGAGTTGTAGTCCATCTACATCTGTAGGGCACAGGTTAGCATATAAAAACACAGGTGGGTTTGTTGTCTCAAACTGTCAACAGATTTTGATAATGAAATCGTTCTTTGTGTATCACCTCCTGACTGGCTTCATGAGGAAAGGTTTTCTAGCACTCTCACTGGACGTGCAAAGGTCACATTGGATGATTAAATGATAAGGTTTTGCTTCACTATTACTAAAACAAATGCACAGTCTGTTACCTAGTTCCTACTTCAACCTGTGAATCTTAAAAAAAATCTGGGTCTTGTAGTGTAAAATTCTGAGAAAAATACTCATATGCTAGGAACTGGGGTTGGACAGGACTTCTACTGGTGAAGAGAAACCTAACACACTGTGCAGGAATACATCTCTAAATATCAAAACAGACAGGGAACACTTCCAAAATAGTTTACCACAATTACCTTCTTTAACTAGATTCTCATTATATAGACTGTTGAGAATTGACGCATTAAGTGTCCCATTGGCCAGAAGAATACCCGTCAGCATGGCCAGTTTGTTCCGCTCAGACTCTGAAAAACCTTTCAAGAATAGCAGCAACTGCAAAGGGTAAAAGTCACAGTCAACACCCTGAAACAAGCGAAGTGCTGAAATCATTTATGAATGCTACCATGAGATATAAAGGAATGTATCACTGGAAACAAGAAAAGGAATCCCTTTTGCGGAGTTTTTATTATAATGACTGAAAGTCTTACACGGAGTTTCTGCACAGCCACTTACTCTGATGCCTATGGAGAACTATACCCTCCAGGTAACCAGAAAATGGAACTTTTATAAATGGGACAGAAATTATTCTTCTCTTTCAGGCCCTAAGTGACTAGCCAAGGAATATGTGCCCATGCAGTCTAAATGTTTTGCTGAATAGTAACAAACACACAAATATACAGGAGTATCTATAAGGCCATAGTCCAAAAAATAGTTTCAACTTGCAATACCTTTTTGACTTCATCCTCAAAGCCTTTTTCCAGGTATTTGTAACGCCTGATCAGCTTGTTAAAGACCTGAAAGACAAATGTTAGCAATTAAGACTATAGTTTTCATAGAAAAGGTGGGCAACCTGATACCTAGGGGCCATATGCAGTCCTGCTTTCATTTTATGTTCCCCTAGCGCCTTCAGAATCTTCCCCAGCAAGGGGATCCCCCAGAATCTTTGCATCCCAGCAGTAACTTTCTTTCTGTCAATTTCCTCATTTTGTCAGGCTTTCCCCCTCTCTATGTAATTTCAGAACAACTGGAAGAAGCAGTATTTTTACCTGATAAAATCAACTGATTTTTAAAAACTTTTTTCCTTATTATTTGACTTGAGGATAAGGAAATCCCGCCCCTCCATAATCCAGAACACTTTTGTCTCTGGCTGTGCCCATCACTGCTCCGGCTCTGGTCAGTGCCAGCAGGTACCCCTCAGCAATTAAGCCCTCAACAATCCCTGTTGGGCTCAATCACGAACTCTTTATACATGCAATCTGCTTTTTTGTGGATGTTTATATTGCAGGGAGGTAGAATCAAGAAAAGCCACTTTTAAAAAAAACAACAAAACAAACCTGAGCAAATGCTTGCATCGTTTCTAGGTCTTCCTGTGCTGCAAACACACAGACATCTGTGTGCATCATGTCATCTGCCAGTGTACCACCTGGGGCTATTGAGAAATTGGTGTTTAGTTTTACAAGAAAAGCTAACATTGGCTAAGATCACTTTCACTAATTAGAACAGCGTTTAAGTTTAATACAATGCAATGTGAAGTAAATCAACAGACAGTGAAAACCAACTACTTAAAGTTCAATGGCAAACGGAGCAAGATAAATATATTTCCCAGTGCTAAGAATTAGGAGCCCCACCTTTTTACAAGGATGCTAGTTTTTCAGGAAAACACTGAAGGCTGACTAGAAGCTTTCATCTTCCTAAACTGAACTGGATCATCAGTTGTTAACAGCTACCGTAAGATACTACGTCACTTCTGTGTTTTGCGAAGCCCTTCACAGAGAAAAGAGCTCTAATGATATTATATTCTGGAAGGTACAGAGGATGCATAATCAGTAGCAACTGAGATCATGACCAATGAATGGTTGGTTAGTTTTAAGATCCAGCCATGCAAATACACAAGCACGTTTGTAAACCAAAAAGCCACTCTTAAGGTCACTTACCCAGCATTCCACCAGCCACCAGAATGTCAAAGAGTGTCTCTGCATAGCGGCGATAATCAAGTTTTGCTCCAGAAGCATCAAGGAATTTTGCTACTGCTTCCAAGTCACTGCCAGTTTCATTTAAACCTTGAATAATACAGTCCTGAAACTGAGTGGGGTCAAACCTCTCTTTTTCATCTGCAATAAATAAATAAATAAAAATTCTGTTAACATAGTACTATTTATTACATTTCTTTAATATAAAATCATATTACAGAGAGTGGCCTCAATTTAGGTACACAGTTCAATCAATGAAATTCATCACAACAAATTATATGGGTACAAATAACACACACACAACAAAGTGGCAGTTAGATTCAGGCTGGCAGTTGGAAAAAATAGTGGAGCCAGATAAATTTTTTTATTACTATTACTAGAATTTATATACCGCCCTATACCCAGAAGTCTCTGAGTGGTTCACAGAACAAGATAAAAGGATTTTTCTTTACTGGTATTGTGAATGATGACAGCAAACTTGAGTCAAAAGAAGAAAGAAAGCGGATTCTAAAGAAGCATTACCTACTGTGGGGCCACTCTGTAATGTAGCTCCTCAATAGATGCTGAGGAACAGAAAGGTTGGAAACCTTTCTTCTTTGAAATACCCTTTGAGAGTCAGGGTTGACCAGGAAGTAGGACACTCAAATCATGCTAATTCACTAGAGAACAGTACAGTAGTGGGTAAAAGAGCCTTCTAGGGCTGGGGCACGACATGGCCTCTGTATATGTGAAGTCCCGAACCCAGTTCCCCAGTATCTCTCACTCTTGTTGTACAGGTTCATACTGCTGATACATCAGCCTTTGCCAGCCAGCTGCCCTCCAGATGTTAGCCATGTTCAAATATATAAAAGGATGTCACATAGAGGAGGGAGAAAGGTTGTTTTCTGCTGCTCCAGAGAAGCGGACACGGAGCAATGGATCCAAACTACAGTGGTGCCCCGCAAGACGAATGCCTCGCAAGACGGAAAACCCACTAGACGAAAGGGTTTTCCGTTTTGGAGGTGCTTCGCAAAACGAATTTCCTATGTGCTTGCTTCGCAAGACGAAAATGTCTTGCGAGTTCCTGCGGGGTTTTTTTCCTTTCCCCCCCCCTTTTTCCCAAGCCGCTAAACCGCTTATCAGCTGATGGCTAAGCCGCTTATCAGCTGATCTTTAAGCTGCTTAACAGCTGATGCTAAGCCGCTTATCAGCTGATCTTTGCTGCTTAACAGCTGTGCTAGCCGCTATCAGCTGATCTTTGCCGCTGCCGCTAATACTGTAGCGCTAAGCCGGTAAACCTCTAATGGGCTTGCTTCGCAAGACGAAAAAACCCGCAAGACGAAGAGACTCGCGGAACGGATTCTTTTCGTCTTGCGAGGCACCACTGTACAAGAAAGAAGATTCCACCTAAACATTAGGAAGAACTTCCTGACAGTAAGAGCTGTTCGACAGTGGAATTTGCTGCCAAGGAGTGTGGTGGAGTCTCCTTCTTTGGAGGTCTTTAAGCAGAGGCTTGACAACCATATGTCAGGAGTGCTCTGATGGTGTTTCCTGCTTGGCAGGGGGTTGGACTCGATGGCCCTTGTGGTCTCTTCCAACTCTATAATTCTATGATTCTATGTTCTCGACTACAACATCTATTTGGCTAATGCAAGTTGTAGTCCAAAACATCTCAATAATCACAACTCAAAGAAACACAACAAGTTTTGTATATGGACAACTATTACACTGTATGGCACACTGCTGAGATAGAAGATTGGCATTTAATATACCGCACATCAGGGGAGCATATTATGGCCATTTTCCACTTTAAAGTTACTGGAGATTTCCATTACACTTTGGAGAGGCCCATCACCAGGCCCTTTAAAGATCTATGCTTTCCCCCTTTTTGCATGATATATGGTTTGGTATTTTTAGCAAAATACAAAACAAACCCTTTTCCATCAAGAAGTGTGCTTTGTATTCAAAGAAAGTTACCTTTAAAAAGTTAGCACCCATGTTCTATAGATCAAAATAAAATGGTTCCACATCAGCCTTTGGCCACACCCTTCTTTTTCTGGAGTGGCACCAGTAAATTGACAATAATTACCTGAATTATCAACCAGTATCCAGCACAATTTTCAGGATGTGGAAAACATGAGTACAGCGTTCATGACTGAGAAACTATTAAGGTCTGCTTCAATCTTCCACAAACATAGGTATTTCCCTTTCACTTTAAATAGTGATTCTGACACAAATCAGTTTATCACTGAGCAAGCTAACTCTCACCAGCAGTTCAAAGAGCTATTTCTACCTCTCGCCATTTTATTACATTCTGGTTCTCTCTATAAAAACCCTCATATGAATGCATTGCAGAAGTTCTCTTTAAACTCATCTATTAAAAAAAAAACTTCATGCGCTTGCCTTCATGAATTTGCTATATTCCTCAAGATCTTTGAATGGCCAGATTCTCAGCTTCAAATAAGCCACTTTTCTGTACTAGAACACAAGATACTCTCACTGTAAGATACCAGAAGTATACAACAGACAGAAAACTAAGGGCCACAGTCACAGCAAAATCATTTTTGGCATACCATAAGTGCTGTCAGTTTGAGCACTCTCTTAAGCCAAGAATATCTGGTAAAAAGCAATCAAAATATCAGCTGCACCTGAAATCTTAATTAGCAGTCTATTTATAATGGGCTAAAATTTTAGTACCACCCACAGAAATTCAAAGTTGTTATAATTGCTTGCTACTCCACTTCTGAAAACATTACATGATGGTAATAATGAAAATTATAAATAAAATTTCTGAAAATATTACATGGAACTAAATTCCATGAATATGAGAGGATCTTCTTTCACTTATGACATTTAGAACTCAGGTATCAGTTTTCTTTGATCCTCAAGATACTGAGCATTTGTTATCCAAAGACTAATACAGTGGTGCCCCGCAAGACGAATGCCTCGCAAGACGAAAAACTCGCTAGATGAAAGAGTTTTCCGTTTTTTGAGTCGTTCCGCAAGACGAATTTCCCTATGGGCTTGCTTCGCAAGACGAAACATCTTGCGAGTTCTTGCGAGTTTGTTTCCTTTTTCTTAAAGCCGCTAATAGCCGTGCTTCGCAAGACGAAAAAACCGCAAGACGAAGAGACTCGCGGAACGGATTAATTTCGTCTTGCGAGGCACCACTGTACCACAGTATTATGTCATGTGTGCATTCCAGCTCACCCACCATGTTTCAGCAGATCAAGACAGTACTTATCTATTTCTGCTTCCGGATCCCACTCCCACCTACTAATTTGTTTATTGGAATTCCACCTTTTTCACTCAGTTCAGTTTCATTCTTTCTCACTTATTTGAGCAGAGCAGTACTAAACAGCAGATTACACTCTTTTCCCTAGAACATCCTGACATGAAGTGTGCAGCTCCTTCAGTTTCAAAGGTTTAACAAAAACAAAACAAAAAAGCTGGAATGTCCACCATAAAATTGAACGTCGATTACAGAAATGAGTTCAAATAAGACCTCGTATCATGGACCTATCCCAACTCTAAATATTAGATTCAGGGTTCTGGCTCAATGACAATAATCAATTTTGTGATGTTTTTATGCTGGCACAGAAGTTCATGTGCTATATCTTTTAAGTCATAGGATCAAGATTTGCTTTCACCTTCACAAGTCATTTAACTGAAACCATACCAAAATAATATTTAAAATAACAACATTTCACTTTAGAATTCATTAAAGCTACACTTTTCTCTCCTTTTCCTGAAGAAACACTGAACAGACAAACACTCCTTTACATAATTACTACCCACAAGTTAGTATTCCTGTGCTTTCTGGCATGACACATAGCAACTTGGCTGAACTATTTATATGTCATAGTAGCAAGCAAGAGATATACGCCCAGTGCAGAGGCAAAATTAAGGCCCTTTCCTAGCCATAACACCTTTGAAAGCTCGTAGTTGACCGGCTTGAAGTTAAATATAGCACCTACCCATCTAAAACAAACATCTCTCCTAAAGCCAAGCATTAAAGAACCATGAAAATTTGAATCCATGGGTAGAAATACCATATGGCTCCATGGAGCCTTCAATGTAGGGTTCCTCAGGGTTCGATTGTATTCCCCCTAGTATTTAACATCTACATGAACCAGCTGAGTGCAATATGCTAACGACACACAGCTCTTCTTCTCCTTTACATCTGCAGTTGTGGCAGTGGATGTGTTGGACCATTGTCTTGCCTAGATAATGGACTGGATGAGAGCCAGAAACTAAAACTCAATCCAGATAAGATTGAGGTACTGTTAGTGGGTGGTTCTCTTGACTGGATGGATAGGAGGTTGCCTGGTCTTGATGGGATTACATTCTCTCTGGAGGAACAGATACCCGGGTTAGGGCTACTTCTGCATCCATTGCTGCTGCTTTTCCCAGGCCTTTGGCTAATGAGCCAATCTATGGCCTTCTAAACTGTGTGTAGATTGTTGTTTTTTGTTTGTTACTATGGTATGTATTTTAGTGGTTTTATACTATCTGATATTGTAAACCACCCTGTGATCCTTGGGTGAAGGACAGGTGCGGAAGGGTGCATACAGGATTAGACAGAGAGGAAGGGGGAAGTCCTGCTGCATGGGCATAAGTCTATTTCACTCATGCTAGGATGCTGCTGGATACAGCTCGCAGTGAACAATTTTGTTCAAGCTCAGTATGTGAGACCATCAGTGTGTCAGATAAATCAAAGGCTGCAATCTGATTTTTAAACAGACTAAAAACCTGTCACTGGGAGACAAAGGAGAATGGGTTCATTAGTTCACTGGCTTTAATAAAATTAAGATTTTAGGTCAAAGTATATTTTTGTTTAAAACAAATATTTTTATTTTAAAAGCAGGTGATAAGTGAAGAAAACAACAACAAGGATATTGACACTACTCTCACTGTTGTGTTATATGTAAGACATAGCTGCCTTAATATAAAGAAGGTGTAGTTGATCAAAGATCAGTCCTAAAGACTTTCCACCAAACTGTCAATGCAGCTTTCTCTGTGTTTGTGTGTGTGTGTGTGTGTGTGCGCGCGCGCGCAAAAACACACACAATACAGACCACAAGCAAACTTTCTCTCAGATGACCAACTGTATTAGACAGAAACAATTTAAGCATACATATAATTAGCTTACCTCTTTTCCTAGTTTTAAAACGCTGGCCTGATAGCGTTGGCTTTTGCTGCTTTTGATTATTCATAAAAGACACCCTATGGAAAGAAACAAAATTTTCAAGATGTATCAGTTAAGCAGATCATCCCTAAGAGTTTGGGAAGACTTCAGTTAAGCACCTGCCAGCTAGCTATTGGCAACATCCTAAAAATGCATCTTAATGGTTTCCTATTTTATTTAACTATTTTTTTCTACTTTAACGTTTGGAAACATTAAGTGTTTACAAACCTTTTCCTAGGTTTCAAAAGACATAACAGACTTCAGGTTCTATGATGCCTAAATTGAATAAATCTGGGCTGAGAGGTTAGAAACATGCTGCGTTTTTCTTCCTCCTTTCCCCCCTTGCATAAGAATTCCCTTCTCCCTTTCCCAGTTGGTTCTTACCACAGTTTTCCCTAAGATCTAAATCTAAATTGAACCAACTACAGTATGGTTAGAACAAATCAAGCATTGCCATGATCTGAATCTATGGTTTGAAGAGCAAATACTTTGACTTCTGAGGTGAGTAGTTGATACTGGACCAGCAGTTATCAACACAGCAGAGCGCTGGGGCTGAGACCAAGAGACTATAAAGGCCTATTAATGAACTTGGGGTCAACCTTAACTTGGAATCGGGGCACTTCCAACCGCATGATTTTTACCAGTACTCTGCCTAAAATTAAGTAAGGCCATAATTAAGTCAGGACTAGCTCCTTGATAAAGTGTTCTCTTGTGGGCCCTTTCCTATGTCAGTGGGCTCCAAGCACTGCTGGCTAAATGGTGCAGCAATCTTTTTATTTCAGTGCAATGCCCCACAGCAACACTAGGCTAGGGGCACTGTGATAGATTTTAAGTTGGTTAGATCCAGTTGCCTGACACTGCCTGCAGTGAGATGAATCATAAGATGAATGTATCAAGATAGCCAAGGGGTACGTGGCTATGTCCTCACACCTCGACTTCATAATTATAAGTAAAAAGAAAGGCTCTCAGTCCAAACGTATTAATTGCATGTATAGAATCCAGCCTTAACACAAAAAAGCAAAAGCATGAACTGCATTTAAGGCTTCATGGGAAAAGGGAGGGGTTGGGGGGGCAGGCGGAGCAGCAAGAGTATCACAATGTTTAAAGCCCTGTCCATTCCAGATTAAACTGTAAGCAAGAACAAGAGGGGTATTTTAAAGGGGCATTTGTGGTCCTCTGTATACCCCAACAAGGCTGTAGTCCTATGAACACTTCCCTGGAACTAACTGCACCTGAACAAAATGGGATGATTCTGAGCAGGTGCGCTTAGGATTACAGTACCTGCTCTTCCAAAAAATCATAGCTGTCTATAAAACACAAGGCAGGGCCAACATTCCTCCGGCATGTTTCTAGGTATTGGGGTGTGAATGAAGTTTTGGGGATGGGCCAAAATTTCTCAAAATTCCTGAATGCATTCCGGAAGCATATAGCATAACCAGACTGAAACTAGCTATCCTCTTTCACGTTTTTGGGGTGGCAGGGCTTGGATTTTGAGGGGACCAAACTTACCAGCAACCCCATGGCTACTGCTTAGCTAGGGGAAAGCCCCCCCCCCAATCGCATGTGCCTTGGAATAATGTTACATCAGGACAGAGTATCAATTCAGGGCGCCAGGGGAGAAGGAAAATAACTTAAGATGCCCTTCACACTTTTGCAAAAAATGCAGGGGGGAATGCAAAAAGCTGTTTTATCCACAGGGCTTATTTCACCCATCCTCGTGGTATTTAAAACTCCTCCTTTCCCCACCATGGTCTCTCCCAAAAAAAAAACAACCACCAAGAGTCACGAGCGCATACAGATTTTGGAAAACGTGCCAGCTAATCATCTTGCACTGAAGCAAAAAGGCTGAGAAATTCTGACGCTCAAGGCAGTAGAAACATGAGATGATTGGACCCTACTGAACTTGAAGCATGGGAACCCCCAACAAAAAAATTATAATTTGGCAAAATATTTGGACTTTATGATATGTATTTGTACAATCTGGAATATTCAATGTGATGCGATTGGATTGTTAAAATGGAAAACTCAATAAAAATTATTATTATTTTTTAAAAAAGAGAAATTCTTTTCAAAATGCAATCGCCAAACGTTGAGTCCCCTCCTCCTCCTTCCCCACCAGGCGCCACCCACTCAGCCCCGGGAGGTGTCCCCACCCTTCACCCCCCATCTACAAACACGGGTAGGCCGTGTGTACGTTTTTTTTGTGTAGTTGGGGGGGGGTGCCCCGCCTCGTGCCGCTGCCTGGGCCGGAAACAGGCCTTTTCCCGGAAGACTCTTCCCTCAGCCGACCCGAGGCGCCCTCCTCCTTCCCTCCCTCACGGCCTACCCACCGAGCCCTCCGGGCGGAGGCGGCCGCTGCAGGAGCTGGAAGCGATGGCCCCGGAAAGGAAGGGAAGGGGGAAGTCTCCCGCTAGCGCCGCCGCCCCGGCTAGGCTTGAGTCCCGCGCTGCTGCCCCTCCTGGCCGCCGCCACAGCCGCGTCCCCTCCCTCCCTCAGCGGCGTCACTGCCCAACAGAGGCCGCCGCTTTGTTACCCGCCAGGCCGGGCCGGGCCAGAGGGCGCGGGCGAGTGAAGGGAAAGGAGGGGGGAGGAGGAGGGGAGAAGCAGGCCCAGCAACCGGCCCTGCCAGCGCGGCCGTTACGGGCCAGCCTCGCGCCGCGCTCCCCGCCCAATCAGCGCCCGCCAAGCCGCGTTCTCTCCCCACCCACCACCCCATGCTATCAATCCCGCCGCGCGCCTCGGGCCTCACCGACTTTTAAGGCAGGAAAGGAACGTCCAAGGAGCACGAGCTTGACTAAGCGGCGCGACGGAGGACGGAGAAGGCGGGCGGTCTGAAGCGGCTTCAAGTCTCCACCCCTTTTCCTCTTCTACTCCCCCTCCCCACGCAACCTCCCCCGCGAGGAGAGGAAACCACGCGAGAACACGCGGGTGACGGGCAGGAGAGAGGCGAGGCCTGCTGGGAAGGAACTATTATTCACAGCCGTCACACAGTGGGGGGAGGGGGGAGAGAGAAGAGAAGCGCGTCGTGCTGAGGGTCGAGTGCGTGACGCCGGCTGGCCCTAAAGGGTTTTTTTATTATTGTGGGGGGTTGATTATTTCCTCATACAGAGAGGGAGTTCAAGTTAAAAATGAAGCAAATGTGTTTGTCTTACCCTACCCCCGTTTATTTCGGAAATGGGCTCGTCCAGCTCGCCCCCTCCCGAACTACGTCACATAGCAATGGGCTGCTTTCCCTTGGGCGGGGTTTGAAACGAGACTCTGCTCTCCTCTTCCACCTCCCCTCCCTAAGTGGACGCGTCCAGGTTCGTTCTTTTCCGGGAATGGCCGGGATACTTCGTGGCGCAATCCATTGAGCCGAAGTAGGGGGACTGAAGCGGCGGTGGAGCCCAGGTGGTTATCACCGTAGGAGGAAGCAGCCCAGACTTTCTGGTTTGCTTTTGAAGTTTCGTCTGTCTGTCTGTCTCGCAACAATGAGAGCTTGCAAAATAAATAAATGGTGCTTATGACTTTTATTGTTTCCGCGTTTCTATATGTATGGTCTACTTGAGATTCCTGCATTGCAGGGGGGGTTGGACTAGATGACCCTGGGTACCCCTTCCAACTCTACAGTGATTTGGTGGCAGCGGTTTCCATCAGCCAAAGGAAAAAGGGGGAAGGGAAAATATGCAAAGGTTCATTTGCTTTTAAACGCAGTCGGGTTTTCTAGTGTGAGGAAATCGTAAATTATCTGGCGCTTCCGGCACTGTCCATCATCATCATTAATAATTATTCCCGTGTTGCAGGTGGGGTACAGGATTCGAGGCAGATCACTCATGCCTTCATTACAGGGGCTGGAGCCGAAATTGGGTTACAACAACCCCGCTCTGTAGTCAGGTGGTGATATCCTTACGGTTGGCACACCAACCAATGGCCTGGCCAAGTTGTGTCAAGCTGAAATGCATTACTGTATTACTTGATCGTGGCAAGGTATCTCATGTTCTGAGAATGCTGCTCTGTAGGGCGAGTGGGGGGTTAATGCTTTGCTTTGCTATTGCCTTTATTATTTTTTAAAATCTTGTGTTTTTATGTTGTGAACTTCCCTAAGATATACGGATAATGGGCAGTATACTAATTAATTAATTAATTACATACTAGGTGGCAGCTTATCTTTTTTGTTTCATTATGGTATCACTTGTCAGCGAGCGTGAGATCTGCTGGTGCCCTAGGCCTGCAACATTCGAGAGGAAACCGTGCAGGGTAGCAAATTCTATGGCAGTAACTGCAAAGCCATAAACTACACAAGCACTAACTAGGAAATTGACTGGTGTAGCAGGAACCCCCCCACCCCAATCATTCAGTTTGTACAAACTTCACACACTCACACTCACACACCACATATGCCACACTTCTGTTATAAATTCATAGAAAAATCAACCATACATTGGATTTGCACTGTTCCATTTTTATTTTACTCCATATGACAAGGACTATCAAAGGGGGGGTGGCTTGGTTCTGGTCAGCCATAATCCCTTCACCATCCCAGCACATCCACCGGAGCCCTGCCCAGTTGCTAGGCCAACCCTGATGGTCCCAGACAGAAGACCATCAAGATCACAAAGAACTTGCATATGGGAGTGGATTCAGCATGGACTGAAACAAAGGACAATGATCAGATCTTCCCTCTGGGGGCAGGAAACTGCCAACTCCCCTTTGTCTCCTGGAAGTGACTCATGGGCCGGGGAAAGGAGGAACCAGCCAGGTGACAGGACACTCAGGTTACCACCACAACCCCTCCTTTCTGTAATGTATGCATGATGTCAACCCCTCCTTTCTGTAATGTATGCATGATGTCAACCCCTCCTTTCTGTAATGTATGCATGATGTTTCTGGGGGTGGGCTTGACCTAGAGGAGGGGAATTTCAAAAGTTTTTATAAGGTCTTGCACACCATCTTTCTGGGTCTTTCCTCTCTCCTGCAAGTGAGGGGAACACCCTGTTGCAACAGTCTTTTCTTCAATAAAGACCAAGCCTACTGGCTGCTGATTTGCTTCCAATTGCTCTGGTTGGTGTCTTTGTTTTTGTCCAAGGGAGCCCTCAGATTTTCCGTTAACACTGGCAAGGTCAAAGACAGGGAGGCCCTGGTTTAAATCCTTACTTGGCCATGGAGCCCATTAGGTGATGCCTGGTGAATCTCATACACTTAGCCTAGCCTGACTCTTGAGTGCTGTGAGGGAAAAATTAAAAACCTGGGGTGTGTGTGGAGGTGAGGAGAGCTTATGTAGGCTGCTCTGGACTCCTTGGGGAAACAGCAAAATACAAAAATGAAATAAGTAATTCATTGTGACTCATACAGTTTCATAATAACAATTTTTAATTTTTTTTAATTAGCATATGTGTCAGATCTCTTGAAAACAATAGTTCTCAAATCATCGTGCGAGCAAAGGTGATCATCAACAGGATAATAAATGATTAAAGTTAATGCTTTAAAAGTACTTGACCATTATTTTACCAGCTAACTGCTTCCCTTTTTATGGGTCTGATACCACCCCCACAGGCATGTTCAGGTTGAGGAACAGACCAGTGGCTTATGACAGCCTTGCAATGGAGTCCAGAGATGTTCCTATTTTGCAAGTAAAATTTGCCCGCCTCCACAGCGCACCTTGGCAACACGTGGTCACTTTCTGCTGATGACAGTTTTCAGTTTCCTCAACTATGCTATGTGGGTCTACTCTGAGTAAAGGTTACGGTAATTGAATACCAAGTCTGGGCAAGTTCCAGGAGAAGGTCTGCTTAACTGGCAAGGGACAGAATGTATAAGCCAAATGAGTACTTCAGCACTCTCCCCTGTGCCCTAACATTTACTAAATGATTCTCCCTACACCCACGTGATCCTCAAAGCCCAAGCCAACAATCTCAGCCCTCTCTAACTCCTCTGGATAAAAGCTGAGGTGTGTCTGTGTGCCTGGTAGGCAGCCACCTAATTGCAGCATTTTATATGCCTACAGTTACAGATGTAGATGTCAATGGCCATTACAATACAACATGAACACAAATCACAGATGTAGATATACAGTTGCTAATTCTCACAGTTTGGAATTACATTTTCTTATCCCTTATACGACTCCTATGCTTGATTATACGCCTGCTGAAATTCACAGATTTGTTTTCGTACATCAATATAATTTTTTAAAATCTTGCACAGCTGAAATTAATATCATTGTCCTTCTTGTGTGTGATTAAACTACGACGGCTCTTCTGATGAGGAAGAACATACAAAAGCGAAAAACTTTGGCGGAAAACCAGGACGTTAGTCTACTTCAATAGCCCATGGTTTATAGGTCCCAGGCTTGTCCTTTGGAATCTAAAAATGAGAGAGAGAAACAGAAGGGATATTCTTATGTGCAATTTCATATTAGAAAAGAAAGGAAAATCAACCAATATAAAACTTGTTTTAATGAGAGGAAAGCTACAGTGCATTGAAACATGTGAGGTACGAGTTTATATCGCTCTGTACATACTTCAGCCATTGAATCACTGTAGTTTAGTTTTTTCCTCTCTAACAGAACTTTTTTAGACATCACTTTGCAAGCGTCCATACCTGCATGCTATATAGGCAGCACAAACAGTTATTATTATTTATTATTTATTTATTGAACTTGTTAATCACTTTATCTTGCTCAGGGCAAACCAAAGCGACTTACAATTGTGAAATTGTTCACACGCACATACAGGGGGGTGTCTTCTGGCTAGTGTACGTTAGTTTATTTGCCCCCACGCCTTTCAATACCCCATTATACTTCTTTCTCCCTCCTGTGAGTTTATTGATATACTGGAAGCCCAACAGCAAAGGATACCAGAGGCTTCCTCCATTGTGCAATGTTGTTGTTTAGTCGTGTCCGACTCTTCATGACCCCATGGATCAGAGCACGCCAGGCAATCCTGTCTTCCACTGCCTCCCGCAGTTTGGTCAAACTCATGCTGGTAGCTTCGAGAACACTGTCCAATCATCTCGTCCTCTGTCGTCCCCTTCTCCTTGTGCCCTCCATCTTTCCCAACATCAGGGTCTTTTCCAGGGAGTCTTCTCTTCTCATGAGGTGGCCAAAGTATTGGAGCCTCAGCTTCAGGATCTGTCCTTCCAGTGAGCACTCAGGGCTGATTTCCTTCAGAATGGAGAGGTTTGATCTTCTTGCAGCCCATGGGACTCTCAAGAGTCTCCTCCAGCACCAGAATTCAAAAGCATCAATTCTTGTGCAATGTAGTCAGCTTCATAACTGCATATTTATTTTCTTGTGGTGAGGCACTCTGAATATGCTCAGAGCCTGCCTGCTCTGGCACCAGGCACACAGGAAACACCACACAATTTCATTTATTGAATGAGGCATGGTTGGGGGAGAGCACCATTTTGACTTTTGTCTCAGCAGCAAAATGTTTTGGAGCGGCCTTGAGGGGGAGCCATTAGAAGCAGGAAGGGAGACACTTCCTGCAATGTCTTTTTCAAACCAGTGATCATATATCTCTATTACTATGAGGTATAAAAAATGATTTTAAAAAAATCTTTTAAACTGTTATGCATATTAAGGACCAAACCTGTACATACCTACACATGCCTATACAAACTCAGAACAGAAGTACGGTAAATCTCAGTGAGTTCTATGGGGCTCACTCCCAGGAAATTAGCTACAGGTTTACAACCTTGATGTCAAATATTTCCAAGAGCAGCTTTTGAAAGTTATTTTGCAATTATAGTTTTCTGACATGCCCCCTCCCCGCCTTTCCTATTGAAAATGTTAAGTAATAATAATTATTCTTATTATATAGTATAATATGGCACAAAATCGTGAGTGGCTGGACCTGACTGTCCTTGTGCGGCATCTTGGACTCTGGAAGCAACTAAGGTGAAGGGTGTGATAGGAATTTTGAGGTCTTAGATGTACGGAAATGTTCATAAATGTACTAACCAAGCACGTACCTAGATCAGCACAGGAAGACCGACCTGGAACCATTTTGATTCCTAAACTGAGCAAATGTTTTCTCTGCAAGGTCAAAGTGGGAAACCTCCCCATTGTCTCTTTCCTCACAAATCCTGTCTTAAGGGCACATTTAAGATATGAATAGGGTGTGAGCCTGTGACATGGCCCAGGAACTAAGTATTTATCATTACAAAAGACTGGCCAGGCTACCCAGGCAATCCAATCAAGTAACCTGCCACACAGGAAATAAACAACAACAGGAGAAAAACAACATTCAAATTTCTGTTTTAAGACCACCTTTTCTGTGATATGGTATGATGTATCTGAGGGGTGGTCTTAGGTTACACCCCTTCTGTGATGTATGTATGATGTTTCTTTGGGTGGTCTTGATCTGCAGGGTGGCAATTTCAAAAGTCTTTATAAGGCCTTGCACACCATTTTTCTGGGTCCTCCTCTTTTCCTGCTTGTGAGGGGAGCACCCTGTTGCAACAGATCAATAAAGATCAAGCTTACTAGCTGCTTTGCTTCTCAATACAGTGGTGCCCCGCAAGACGAATGCCTCGCAAGACGGAAAAACCGCTAGACGAAAGGGTTTTCCGTTTTGGAGTTGCTTCGCAGGACGAATTCCCCTATGGGCTTGCTTCGCAAGACGAAAATGTCTTGCGAGTCTTGAGATTTTTTTTTTCGCTTTTCCCCCCTTTATCTAATCTGCTAAGCCTTTAATAGCCTTTAATAGCCTTTTAGCAGCTAATCCCCTAAGCCTTTAAGCCTTTAATAGCCGCTAAACCGCTAATAGCGCTAATAGCGCTAATCCGTCAATGGGCTTCCTTCGCAAGACGAAAAAACCGCTAGACGAAGACTCTCGCGGAACGGATTAATTTCGTCTTGCGAGGCACCACTGTATTTTCTGGTTGGCTCTGTTATTCTCTCCTACCAATAGGGAACCTATGTGAGGACTCTATATGGGCTCTTGGATACCCCATAAGGGAAAAGGGCAATTTTTGTTTACAACAAGGGGAAGGGTAGGATTCTGGTTATATCCCAGGACTGAAGTTTGTATCTTTTGGAGCAGGACTCTAACTCACAATACTGCTCCCTAGTGCTTTATTTTGCACCTTTCAAGTAGTTGAAGCACTTACTGTCCGATTGTTGTGGGCATCTGGATATTCCAAGGGGGCCACAGGTGAAAAATGTATAAATGGGGAGGGGGCACAGTACGAGGCTAGGAGGCCACATATAAATAGGGGGCCACAAAGGGAAGTGAGCATTGAAGTAGGGGAATACTTTTTTTAAAAAAATAAAAAATCCTGATTGACTGGCTATCCGCTTGGCCAATCACAAGCGGATAAGAGGGCAGCTCACCAGGGCCTATTGCTCCTTTTTGTCCCGCTTTTTCTTGGAGCAGTCCTGGTTTGTTTCTTGCAAGAGAGGGTGATCGCTGAGGCTCCTGTAGCGCCTCAATCCAGAACTCCCAGGTCAGGTACGGGTGGAGGTGAGGTGAGGTTGCAATGGGTAGGCGTGAGTGAGCCACAGCTACTTGTTGCTACCGCCTGGTCTGGGCCCGGTGGCAGTCTGGAACTGACTCTGTAAGGCGCAGGGTGCAATCCACTCCAGCACCTAGTGGATCAGGGCCTTTGGATGTTGCTGAGGGGCCGAGCTCTGCAAGGCTTGGGGTGAAATCCACTCCAGCGCTGAGCTGAGTGGGGTCATCTGGTGCTGCTGACTTGCATCTAGTAAATAACTAAGTGTCTACTCAGAAGAAAGCTGCACTGATTTCAGTGGGCCTTACTCCCAGGTAAGTGTGTGGGGGACTATGGTGTTCTATCTAGGCAACCAGGGCTCCTCCGGATGACAAGAACTTTTTGCACCAGGTCAGTGAGAACCACTTGCTTTTAAAAATTCTCCCATATACAGTATACAGAACTCCCTGTGCGCCTTTTGGACTGCATCTAATAGGTTTCAGCTGAGTTTTCTACATTGCAGGGGGTTGCACTAAAAAGACTACCTTCTGTGTCTTCCAGCCCTATGATTACCCCTATGATTACAGCCCTATGTTTTTCTGCTTCAACAATATTTCTTTATGTTCCTATTGTTTTATGTAATTGCATTTTGTATAAATTATAAAAATTATAAATAAAATATGTTCTATTTACAAACAAAACATTTAAAAAGCTACCTTTTTACTGGTAAAATGGGGGCAGGGCATGGACTTAGCCAGGATTTTTGTTAGGGGAGCAGGCTTTTTTTAGGTGTTATAGGAATTCTAAGGTCTCATATATATAAATCATATGTTCATAAATCTACAAGGCAAACACATACATAGAAGTATATAAACCATGTGTCTGAAATAGTGCAGGAGAGCAATCCTGAAGCCATTTTGACTCTCCCAAATTGACCTCAAATATTTCTCTGCAGTGAGGAAGGAAATGGGAAAGCCTCCCCATTGTCTCTTTGCTCAAATCCTGTCTTAAGGACGTATTTGAGTATGAATAGGGTGAGCCTGTGACCTGGATTCAGGAACTAAGTATTTACCATCACAAAAGAATGCCCAGGCTGCCCAGGTAGAGGAATCGGTGGCTATTAACAGGTATCTTGACAAACAGGAATTTTGTTGGAGACCGCCTCCTTCTGTGATGTATGTATGATTTTTTGGGGTGGGTCTCTGGCTACAGGGTGAGCAACTTCAAAAGGCTGTATAGGGGCTTGCGCACCATCGTTCTGGGTCCTCCTCCTTTCCTGCGTGTGAGGGGAGCACCCTGTTGCAACAGTTAATAAAGATCAGGCTTACTAGCTGCTTTGCTTCTCAATATTCTCTGGTTGGCCTCTGTTATTTTCTCCTACTGATAGAGAACCTACTTCAGGACTCTATACGGGCTCTTAGATACCCCATAAGGGAAAGGGAGCAGTGTTTTCTTATAACATAGGGGAGGCAGAACCTCAGATTTGTGTTGATTAGTATTGATTTTTACTTATTTGGGGGGCAGCTGCCCCCTCCCCGGCTACACCCACTAGACTAGCTGGTCCTCCAGCCATTTTATCCTAGGTTCTCTGCTCTGCGGAGTCATACTGGGCCCCTCAGTTCTCTACCTCAGTTTTCTGTGTCTTGCTGATGCCAACAGGAAGAAAGCACAAAATGAATGGAATATAAGTGGGGGGGGGCATGTTTTTAAGGAAGCATTTACCATCTCTGTAAAGTCATCAACACAGGCCATGCGAATCCTTTCTATGTTCAGTGGACTGTCCATTGTGAAAACACGGTGCAATCCTCTTTCCTTCCGGGCTGCAGCCACTGCATCCCGAATAGCAAAAAACACAGAGCATGCTTGAAATACTCCGGCTTCACCTACACCCTGTAGGAAGATGAAGACAACCAACGATGGAACACAAAGATAAGGGAAGATCCATAAAGTTTAGACCAGGGGTCAGCAAACTTTTTCAGCAGGGGGCCGGTTCACCATCCCTCAGACCTTGTGGGCGGCCGGACTATATTTTGAAAAAAATATATGAACGAATTCCTATGCCCCACAAATAACCCAGAGATGCATTTTAAATAAAAGGACACATTCTACTCATGTAAAAACACGCTGATTCCTGGAACGTCCACGGGCCAGACTGAGAAGGTGATTGGCCTTAGGTTGCCAACCCTGGTTTAGACAATATTTTTTCCCAATCACCAGCTGATAGTTAGTCACCTTGTTCTGGATGGGCATGCAAGCTCCTGTCTCACAAATGGTTGCAAGGTGTCACCACCACACCTCAGCTAAAACTCAATTAAAAAACTTTTAAATAAATTGTTCTGCATAACCCCATTAAAATTAAGTGCTTGTGCAAGTCTGAGTTTGGCAGATTGCAGACAATGTGTCCAGACTGGCAAAGCATCCACCTAAGATATTTAGGCATTAGCTGGAATGGGGAAACATAAGAGGCTAAACTGGCAATAAAATACCAGAAAATGGCTTTAAAAGCCTGCCTTTGTTTCTAGAGATAACCATCTCTACAGCATCTGCTTTGAGATGAATGCTTTAACTTAGCCTCCTGGAGATTCATTGTAATAGTAACTAACCTGTACCAAACACCCTCTTATGTATTATCTACCACCACAGTTTTAATTTGTTTACCTTGGAGGAGTAGATTGCAATTGGGTTTCTTGAGTTTGGCAAGAGGTAGATTCTAAACTGCTCTGGGACATCACAGACAGCAGGAATTTTATATGTGTCTGGACCCAGCGTGTACTGCTGTCCTTCTGGGGAGAAGTATATTTCTTCCATCGTATAAAGTCCAAGTCCCTGCATAAAGCCGCCTTCAATCTGACAGAATAAAAATGCATAAATTCTGATTTTCATTTTAAATAGATTGCGATTTGCTCAAAGTATTTACTCTTTTCCCCGTGCAGCCACGAGGGCTGGGAATTTGCTCTGACACTCCTCTGTGTTCAGTTCTGCAGTTCCAGACATGCTGATTGCTAAACCCCTTAATAAAAATGCAATAAAAATGAATTGGGGAATGGTTGGGGTGGGGAAAGGTACTGCCTGTTTTCAAGGAAGTTGTTGGGGCTTTCATTCTGCAGGGTGGATATACTGTGCGATCATTGAAAGAGGAAGTCCCTTTTAGTATATAGGACTGCTTCAGTGGCAGCAAAAACAAGTATACGTGTCAGCTATAAAGCTGGTGTAAATTTATTCATAAAGTACTGTATAATGTAGGCAGATCACTTGCTAATGGAGAAATGGCTACTGAATGATAGTTCCAATATGAAAGACATTTCATTTATACCCTTTGCTGTGGTGCCCTTTCAAGTCCCCTCTCTGCATATTACTTTTCCTTGAATCAGATGCACTACGCACAGGGGAGTACCAAATCAGTACACTTTGGAGAAGGACTGCCCACCAAACTTATTCATGAAAGGCTGCTTCCTTGGCCAGCAAGCAGCAAGGCTTCCTACCCATCCATTAGATGCAGGTGGAAAATTGCACTTTTGGCACTGGATCAAGGCTTACAGGAAGAAGCACTTCAAGAATAAAATGCAACAGGGCATTTATTTATTTATTTTACCATTCAGAAAGGCCCCAATCTATTTGCTTACAGCTAGTATAAAGTGGAAGTTCAAAACTCTTGGTACATGCCTGTCCTATGTCAACAGCTGGATTGATGCTGAAGCAGGCATCCATGACAATGTCTGTTCGGATGTTCTGTTGGACAAATAAGCTGTTGTCAGCACATTATCTTTATAGAAAGCCTTAAGAAAAAATAGAATACAAAGGACACCCAACTCGAAAGTACAATAACCATGAACACAATATCAGGGGCCTCAAAATTGAATTTCTAGCACTTCAGAAAATTTCTGAAGCCCTGAGCCCTGAATCGCCCTTTTGAACTTATGCTTGCAGAAGTCCCTGAAAATGAGAATCAGATGATTCCCCCCACTGACCAGAACAAGGAATAATAATAATAATAATAATAATAATAATAATAATAATTTTTTATTTATACCCCGCCCTCCCCAACCAAGGCAGGGCTCAGGGTGGCTAACAAGCAATAATAAAAGCAAGTTGAATGAATACAACTTAAAAACAAGATTAAAATACAACAGTTAAAATATTGAAACATTAAAATATTAAAATGCAGCCTCATCACAGGAGGAGAAAGGAAAAAGGAAAAAGAAAGAGGGGGAGGGAATCAAATTGGCTGCAAGCCAAAGGCCAGGCAGAACCACTCTGTCTTACAGGCCCTGCGGAAAGAAATCAGATCCTGCAGGGCCCTGGTCTCATGAGGCAGAGCGTTCCACCAGGCCGGAGCCAGTGTTGAAAAGGCCCTGGCTCTGGTTGAAGCTAATCTAACTTCCTTAGGGCCCAGGACCAGTAGGGTGTTGCTGTTTATGGACCTTGAGGCTCTCCGTGGGGCATACCGGGAGAGGCGGTCCCGTAGGTACCAGGGTCCTAGGAAGAGGGATGGAAACCAGAAACGTGACATTTTGATGTTGATGTTTGGCCTCTCTCTTGCAGTTGGAAAACTTGGGGTTTACTGTTGTGTCCCAGATAGTCCGGGGTTCCAACAAAGGAAGAATTCTATTCCAAGCATTATCTTGTAAGGAGAGACCATACTCTAGTGCAGCCAGTGGTCTGTCTACGCTAGAACATATGAAGCTGTCTTATAAAGTTCATCCAACTAGCTCAGTACTAAATACTCCCACTGGCAGCAGCAATCCAAACAATCTGCTATCTGATCCTTTCAACTGGAAATTATAAGGATTAAATCTGGGACCTTATGCAAATAAGGGGTTGTACCCATTGAGTTATGTCCTCCTCCAAAAAACATGGCTGTGATGACAGGGCCTGGTTCCAGATACAGTTTATAATACTACCAAGGCACAAGTAAGAGTATTCTAGCCGTTGCTGTATATGGGCGTCTTAAGCACAACCCAGTTGTCCATTCCAACAGCAATTGAATTTTCCATCTCCAGTGGCTGGCTGTTTATTCCTTTTTGATACACAGTCATATTGGCTACTTTTCAAAACTTCTAGTGACACAATGTTCCCTCAGTTAAAGAGCGGTTCATATCCAAACAGAGAGCAAAGGCAGTGGCGTAGCGTGGGTTGTCAGCACCCGGGGCAAGGCAAGTAATTTGCGCCCCCTAACCCGTGGATTTTAGTAGGGGCAGAGAGCTGCGAGTGCGAGCGCCCCCCCCCCAGATGTTGCGCCCGGTGCGGCCGGCCCCCCCTGCACCCCCCACGCTACGCCACTGAGCAAAGGAGACCCATCAAACCACCCAGTGGCCTATGAATTGCCAAAGAGGAGGTAGGGCTCAATTTTTACCTTATGATCACCTGTCAGGCAGTCAATCTCAACCTCTGAACAAGCAGTACCAAAAACGTAGTATGGAAATGCGTGGCCTTCTCCTGTCTTCCAGTCCATATTGGTGACATATCCTCTGATGGGTGGAGGGGGAGGAAAGAGTCATTTAGATGTTAGATTTCAGTTTTACTACAGCATGCTCAACAGAAATCATGTAAAAAAAGGCCAAATTACTTGAACACTCTGTATTTTGCCAGCACAGGGTGGGAAGCAGAAAAAGAAACTGGCTGTGAGATGGACTACCCAATGACAGAATGGGTATTTTCCTGTTGAACCCTATCTGATTATGGCAATAGACACTGGTCCACACCCCAATTCTGGAATCTTGGGGTTTCTTTGATGCCATCTAACCAGTGCAATTTTTCTAGAAAAATAGGTGCTGGAGCTCTCCATGAACGCCTTCATTGTTCTCTTATAATGGAAATGGCAGCCACCTGAAAGGTGCCAGAACTAAGTTCCTGTGAGTTCTGGCTGAAGAAAGCCTTACATCTAACACTGGCTCCTCCAACATAAGATGTGGTCTCCTGGAAAACAGTACAGCCCCTTGTTGTAACATATACAGTAAGTATAGTTGGCATTAATAATAATAATAATAATAATAATTTATTATTTGTATCCCGCCCATCTGGCTGGGTTTCCCCAGCCACTCTGGGCGGCTTCCACAGAGACCAAAAATACACTAAAATGTCACACATTAAAAACTTCCCTGAACAGGGCTGCCTTAAGATGTCTTCTGAATGTTTATCTCTTTGACATCTGAAGGGAGGGCGTTCCACAGGGCAGGCACGACTACCAAGAAGGCCCTCTGTCTGGTTCCCTGTAACCTCACTTCTCGCAATGAGGGAACTGCCAGAAGGCTCTCGGTGCTGGATCTCAGTGTCCAGGCTGAACGATGGGGGTGGAGACGCTCCTTCAGGTATACAGGACCGAGGCCGTTTAGGGCTTTAAAGGTCAACACCAACACTTTGAATTGTGCTCGGAAATGTACTGGGAGCCAATGCAGATCTCTCAGGACCGGTGTTATGTGGTCCCGGCGGCCACTCCCAGTCCCCAGTCTGGCTGCCGCATTCTGGATTAATTGCAGTTTCCGGGTCACCTTCAAAGGTAGCCCCACGTAGAGCGCATTGCAGTAGTCCAAGCGGGAGATAACTAGAGCATGCACCACTCTGGCAAGACAGTCCGCAGGCAGGTAGGGTCTCAGACTTAACTTTAAACTATCCAACCCCAATCAGTCTTAGTGGTACTCCAAAAGACAGCAGTTTAGGAAACGACGATAGATGCCTTACTTGAAGTAGCCTGTAGCTGAGAGGTTGATGCTTTCCTCATAAGCTTCCATAATCTGCAAGAGGAATATCTTTAAATCAGATTTGAAAAATAAATGTGTATACATCAAAATAACAAGGAACATTCAGAATGAACTTTCTATCTCTGCACAACACAGGCAGGATTTATTATTTGTCTTCCAGAGCTACATCTGCCTGCTTCCTATGCTATCCCTTCAGCACCACAGAACTAAAAACATTCTAAGCATCGCAGCAAAAGGTGGGTTGTCTCTTTTTCCTTTGCTGACTGACAGCTTGCAACCAGCTGCCTGCATGGGTCCTACAGTCCAGACCAGTTTGGATGATCATGTTTCAGCTTATCAGGCAGAGATATTATTGTCTGAATGTGGTCTGTGTTACACTGCTGGGTAGGAAAGCCCATCACAGGCTGAAGTCCCTCTGTGTTTAAAATGGAGACAGCTGAGGTTGCTTGTCCATTACGTGTGCAAGATCTCTTTTTTATTTTATTTATATCCTACCTTGCTCCAAATACAAGACCCCAGGCAGATCACAATATGAATTCAAGCAGCTATGACTAAAAACACAACACTCAATGAATTTTTAAAAATAAATAAATGAGGCACCCTATTAAAACTCTTGAACACTGAAAACCATTTAAAAACACAATGAGGAAGATGAGAAGGAAAAGCCTTATGAGGACTACTCTTGTTTTTTAAACAAGACGAATCGTCCAATTTAAAGTAAGGATCTCTGAATTAATAAGGCATAACAAATCAGAATGAAGTACAGTAATCCTCAGCATGCAGTTTTACTGAAGCTAGTAGGAAGTGCATTACAAGATCAGACGAAGGTTTGGCAAATCCTACATTATTTGCATTAAGGGACGCAGGTGGCACTGTGGTCTAAACCACTGAGTCTCTTTGGCTTGCTGATCGCAAAGTCGGCAGTTCAAATCCGCGCAACGGGGTGAGCTCCCATTGCTCGGTCCCAGCTTCTGCCAACCTAGCAGTTCGAAAGTACACCAGTGCAAGTAGATAAATAGGTATCACTGTGGCAGGAAGGTAAACGGCATTTCCGTGCACTCTGGTTTCCCTCACGGTGTCCCATTGTGCCAGAAGCGGTTTAGTCATGCTGGCCACATGACCTGGAAAGCTGTCTGTGAACAAACGCAGGCTCTCTCGGCCTGAGGCAAGGTAGTAGCCTTCAACTGGACAACCGTCCAGGGATCCTTTACCTTTATTGTTACCTTACATTATGTGCAAATATCCCATTAACAAAACAGGTGTTAAATAGTCCTGCAGAAATGGGCTAGAGATCTACTGATAGACTGTGAACTGCCCTATGATTTTGACATCTCTCCAAAAATGCTGTGTATGTTTTGCATTGAATCTGGAACCAGTGCAAGATCTGAGATTGGACAACATGCTTAGATTTAATTTTGGTCTAGCTTAATCAGTTGCATTTCAGGTGAAAGTTTTGTTCCTCTTCAGATCTGGTAAGCTGCAGTGCAGCAGGACACCTGGTTGGGGAAGGCTTGTTATTTAGATTCGTAGCAAATGGAAAAAGGATAGTTTTTTCTGAGTACGCGATGCAAGTTGGGTCATAATTCAGTTTTAGGATATAGATTATGTTTACCCAATCTTCCCATTTCCCCTGTGGGTTTTTCTTCATTATTGGTTCTAGCCGCTTCCGGAGAATTTGGCAGGCATTCTGTGAAGTAGGGTGGCAAAAAAAGGTAAGACAAATTAGTCAACAATAATGAAACCCAAGTTTCACTTTAAAAATATATATATTCTCAGTATTGTACTCTAGGATTGCCACTTTTTCTGGCCTTAAACTTTTTTATAACATGGATAAATTAAATAGGCAAAGTTTCCTCAGCATAGGAGAGCAATTTGTCAAAAACAATTTTTAGTGCCATTGTTTATTTTTATTCACTTGTTTAAAAGATTTTGACAAATTCTTCTCTGGGTGGATACTGCGATTAGAATACATTTTCAAATGCAAAATCAAAGAAATTCAAATTTCACTGCCAGGAGCAATAACCACAGATTGGAGTATTATAGCCCAGCATAAAATAACCACTCTGAAAATAATGTGCAATGAGAATTCTAAAAGAATAACTGTAGAGTATTGCAACAGATTACAAAATAATGGGAAGCTAGGGTGGAATTCATGAAGGAAGCTAAGACTGATCTTGAGAGTTGCATTTGTCCTTAAATATGATAAACAAAAAAGAATGGATATTAAGAAACTGCTTTATACCAAGTCTGGTAGTTGGTTCCTTCAAGTTCAGTATTTTTACCTGCCCACACCTGATATCAGGTGGATGTGGCTCAACAGCCTCAGGGCCAAATGGGGAGGTCTGCAAGCCTCATTAAGGCCTGCAAGCTAAGGAAGCTGGACCACCAAGCCCTCTAGAACACTATGGTCCTTCCTAGTAAGGGTATAAGTGCTTACAGGCGTAAGTCTGAACTCTCTAACAGCTAGAAAACGAGGCCCCATTTCAAATAAAGTTTGTAATGTTTAAATCCCACTGAAGCCAATTCTCCAATTTCAGTGGTTTTTTTTTTATAGTGCAACCAATACACGTCTGGTCAGATGCAAGCCCTGCTGAGTTCACTAGATCTTATTTCTAGGTAAGTGGGCACAGAATGACAGCAGGACCTCCAGTGTGTATTTTTTAAGACTACAACTCCCATCACTTCTGACCACTGGCTACGGTGGCTGGGACTGATGGGAGTTGGAGTCCAAAGAACCTCTGAACTGCTGCAGGTTCCTCACCTCTAAGCTACAACCTTAACAGCATCCAACACTGGCATCTGTTTACGCTGGGAAAATTCAGTTTAGAAAACCAAAACAAAGCCGTATTCTTAAGTGATCCAGTTTACAGGCCTTGAGTTATCATCGTAGTACACACCATACATTCAAAGCACATGCAATGCACATCTTCCTCCCAAAGTATTCTGGGAACTATAGCATATTAGGGAATTGTAGCTCTGTGAGGGAGTAAACTACAGTTTCCAATATTCTTTGGGGGGAGTTATGCTTTTTTCAAATGTATAGTGTTTATGCAGCCACAGTGTGCCAGAAGAAGAGAACATACACAGAAATATTTTGAACAAACCATAACAATATCAAAATATCAAAAGCACCCTGAACAACAGGAAGAGGGAAATTCTCAGAGAACTTTAAACAATAGCCACAGATAAGTATCTAACCTGGACTGCTTTCCCATTGACCTCAGTGCCAATTGATCCTGCGGTGACCACCGCATTAGGTATTGTTACTGAAGTTGTTTCATAAGGATGTATGTAAGACAATGGTATCTTCAATTCGTGGCTGGCAACCTTTTAGTTTAGAAAACAAAGATACTGACCAGGGGTTAACAGCATAACTTCAAACCAACAGGGGGAAAATAACATTTATGGTTACAGTTAGACACATGCAGAAAATTAGTTATCTAGCTCAGAAAGTATAAACACTGAAACTTTATTTTAAAAAACACAGATGTAAACTGGATCATATACAATTAACTAGCAAAGGAGTGAGTAGCTTTGTTTGTATGTAGGTGTTTGATATTTCGTACTACCTGTAACATCTTGGTGTATAATCCTTGCCCCATTTCCACTCCACCATGCGACACCAGCACAGACCCATCCAGATAGATGTGGACCAGAGCTATAGCCTACAGAAAAATAACAAACTGATTATCCATCAAAGCAAATTCTACTATGATTTGATACAGAAAAACATTTCAGGAGCAAAGAAGATATATCCCACAGTGGCAGAAAAAAGGACACGTTGATAACAGAGTAGAGCGCTCGAGCACAGGTCCCAGGTTCAGTCACTTGATGAGAATTTGGGGTACTAGCAGGGGTAGGAAAGAACTCAGATGGAAAGTACCGTATTTTTCGCTCTATAAGACACACCAGACCACAAGACGCACCTAGTTTTTGGAGGAGGAAAACAAGAAAAAAAATATTCTGAATCGCAGAAGCCAGAACAGCAAGAGGAATCACTGCACAGTGAAAGCAGCAATCCCTCTTGCTGTTCTGGCTTCTGGGATAGCTGCGCAGCCTGCATTCGCTCCATAAGACGCACACACATTTCCCCTTACTTTTTAGGAGGGAAAAAGTGAGTCTTATAGAGCAAAAAATATGGTAGTTGCCAATGATGGTACTGACTAGATGAGATTTTGGTCTGGTATCTTAGGAGCCTTCTTGAAGCCTAGCAACAGGATAAAGAGAACTGTTCCTTATAACAACATTCTTCAGCTTTGAGTCCCTGGATAATGTTGGACTACAATTCCCAGCCAGCTTAGTCAACAATCAAGGATGATGAGCGCACTGAGAAATCTGTCATGTCTCTATTTAGTTCAGGTGAATAGTAAATTTCCAATTATTTTTAATGGCTGCACATTGCACGCTTGATCACATCCTTTATAAAAGGTAAAGGGACCCCTGACCATTAGGGCCAGTCGTGGCTGACTCTGGGGTTGCGGCGCTCATTTTGCTTTATTGGCCGAGGGAGCCGGCGTACAGCTTCCAGGTCATGTGGCCAGCATGACTAAGCTGCTTCTGGCAAACCAGAGCAGCGCACGGAAACGCCGTTTACCTTCCCGCCAGAGCGATACCTATTTATCTACTTGCACTTTGACGTGCTTTCGAACTGCTAGGTTGGCAGGAGCTGGGACTGTGAAACGGGAGCTCACCCCGTCACGGGGATTTGAACCACCAACCTTCGGATCAGCAAGTCCTAGGCTCTGTGGTTTAACCCACAGCGCCACCCGCGTCCCTCACATCCTTTATAGATGGGGCACAAATCAAAAAGCTGAAACAATTCCCATCTCTGAACTATTGGGGGGGGGGGGGGAATTGCCCCTGTGCTATTGTTAAAGCTATGTCTCACCCATGTTTAGAATGAATAGAAATACTCCAAATAAATAGATACTGTTATGAGTTGGGGGGAGGCAGATCCTCCTAAATTCTTAGATGTTGCAATTTAGCTAATATTTGGAATATTAAGGGAAGATGCCAGAACAATGTAGAAATACAGGCTATACTTGTTTTCCTGTTCAGGAGATGAGCTGATAGAGGTGCCACTAAGAAAGGAAGGGGAGCAGAGTGTTGTTGTTGTTTAGTCGTTTAGTCGTGTCCGATTCTTTGTGACTCCATGGACCAGAGCATGTCAGGCACTCCTGTCTTCCACTGCCTCCCGCAGTTTGGTCAAACTCATGCTGGTAGCTGGTAGCTTGGAGAACACTGTCCAACCATCTCATCCTCTGTCGTCCCCTTCTCCTTGTGCCCTCCATCTTTCCCAACATCAGGGTCTTTTCCAGGGAGTCTTCTCTTTTCATGAGGTGGCCAAAGTAATGGAGCCTCAGCATCAGGATCTGGCCTTCCAGTGAGCACTAAGGGCTGATTTCCTTAAGAATGGATGCGTTTGATCTTCTTGCAGTCCATGGGACTCTCAAGAGTCTCCTCCAGAACCATAATTCAAAAGCATCAATTCTTCGGTGATCAGCCTTCTTTATGGTCCAGCTCTCACTTCTATACATCACTACTGGGAAAACCATAGCTTTAACTATGTGGACCTTTGTCGGCAAGGTGATGTCTCTGCTTTTTAAGATGCAAATACTGTGTCCCCCCCCCAGCACTCTGAGTAGTGGACAGAAGAGTTGGGAGGGGAGGGTTGCCCAGGTTGCAGGGGCATGTTGTCACCACATGTAAAAAAATGTCCTTTTTGCATGAAGCTTGGGCTGTGTTTTTTAGCAAGGGTTTTGGGGAAGAAGCGTGGGGCCAGATGTCATGAGGGCTGGTAGAGGAAACAACAAGGTGGCATTTGGGCTGCCTTTGAATCCAGTGCTGTGCCCTCTTGAGATGTGATGCTCAGAACCCTCTCTTCATTCAGACTCAGGTTTGAATATGTATAAATATACCATATTTCTTAAAGACACTACAGTCTCCGCTGTGCCTTGATTTTCCAATGGAAACACAAACCCTGCCAAGACCCCTGGAATCATGAATTGAACGGCAAAGATTGGGGTGGCCTGAACAATATACTGGGGGAGTGGGGCGATGACCTGCAGCTAGACAAGTTGGCAAGAGATCTGTGAATGGGTGTCCCACAGTTTATTGAATGGTAAGTGCAGATCTAGGAAGAGATGGACATTTGAATTGGGACTGTGGCACCAGAGGAGAGAAGGCTTAACCCTTTCCCCCTGTGCCATTGTACCCACACAAATTCCTGTTTGCCCTGTATGTTTCTAACAACTTTGACTGTTGTTACTCTGCTTTACTTTGTAGATGGATAGATTTCTGGAGTATCAAAAAGCTTGCCTGGTGATAATATGTGGTATTAAATCCAACCGAAAACAGCATAGGAATTATCTCAATCCCTTTCTTCTTCCAGTAGTTTTGCTTGTTAAATTCTTCTGCTGCTTTTCTCCTGTTGTAGTAATCAGACTTTTCCAGGCACTCTTTCCAACATGCGACAAGATTTGTAGCATCAACCTCTTCTTTGTAGGGAGTCTCAGATACTCCTTTGTACATGTTCATCCACCGGACCTTTAAAGGAGACATGCACGACACTGTTAATTTATTCCAAGTTCTTGTAAGCCAAAACATTATACGTTAATTAGAAAAGCTGTTGTTTTCCTGATAAAGAGGTTTTGTATTTAAAAAGTGTTGATTCCATAACTACTAGGCAACAGAAACACCCCGTCACTGCGTGCTGCAGTTACTTACACACAGAAGCCCTGTCCCAAAATCAAAATGATGGCAATCCTACTCCACAACTCATCCACACTTGTCCCACTGCTTTTATCTGATGAGACAGCATCTTCCAACACACCAGAGAATAGTAAGATAGCCTGGGAGGCATGGGACAGGCCAGGAAGTACAGACTTTTTCTCCAACACTTTGCTGTTTCTTCCCCGTAGCAACTGCTACTTGAGCCATCTGAAACACTTGGCCCTAATGCATGGATAGGCAAACTAAGGCCCGGGGGCCAAATCCGGCCCAATTGCCTTCTAAATCTGGCCCGCGGATGGCCTAGGAAACAGCATTTTTTTTTACACGAGTAGAATGTGTGCTTTTATTTAAAATGCATCTCTGGGTTATTTGTGGGGCATAGGAATTCGTTCATTTTTTCCCTTCAAAATATAATCCGGCCCCCCACAAGGTCTGAGGGACAGTGAACTGGCCCCCTGCTGAAAAAGTTTGCTGACCCCTGGTAATGGAAGGACAGGCCCTGAAAATGTTATAGCAGGCAAACAACAGCATCAGGACTTTCAAAAACAAAAGCATAGCTTTCAAGTCTGGATTTTTAATGAGGAATTAGCACACCCAATTTTAATGGGTCTTTCTAACAAAACAGCCTGCAACCAGCGCTTAGTGAGCTCCCTTATAGAACCCAGCAGGGAGAAAGATGTGGACAAGACTAGAATTAGTTGGCTCTGCCTCTATCTACTGTTTCTGCCCTACCAGTTCCAAGGAGAACAAGGCACCACTGAAGCTTAAAGCTTCTGCATTCACAATATTCAGACAGTAGCCTGTAAGAGAGGCCTGTGTACCCTCAGTCTGCTTAACCAGCCCCCAATCTCAGAGTATAATTTCTATGTTTTAAATGGCAAGATGTCACTGTGTTATGTACTGAGTTGAATAGGATCCAAAATGCAGCAGCCTGATTGGTCCTAGAACAATAGGATCCAAAATGCAGCAGTCTGATTGGTCCTAGAACAATAGGATTCAGAATGCAGCAGTCTGATTGGTCCTAGAACAATGCAGCAGTATGATTGGTCTGCAGGAGCCACCCAATCTGGCTCCAGATGGAAGTGAATCCACAACCTGATTGGCCTACAGGAGAATTCCGCAATTAGCTAATCACGTGCAGCCCATTGTGTAAATAATGTATATAAAGCAGTTATTGTGGGGGAACTTCCATTCCTCCTCACCACTATGAGCTGAATAAAGAGCATGAAATCCACTCTTGACTCTGAGTATATTTCACACTGGCAATTTCAGAACCTTTCAGCACGTAACATGTGCCCCCAAAAGGCAAGTAAGTACTCCAAAATCAAGTAAGGATTGCTCTCAAAGTTAGCAGAAGTAGGATAATTTGGAGTGAAATCTACCAGCATTGCCTTACAAGTCTGTACTTTAAGTAACTATGAAGAATATTGTGTTGCAGAAGGAATAGAACAATATTTGCTGCTTCAGTAATGGTCTTTGCCATCCCTTTGTTCCCCAAAGTGAATTGCGCCCAAACTACCACAGTCCTGAGAAAGTTACCGCATTTACTCGAGTTGAATGCCCCATCAAATCTAATGAGCACCTCAGTTTTCAGAACCTTGAAACCAAGAAACGTATTTGCTGGCTAATGTAAATGTGCCATTGAATCTAATGCACACCTTAATTTTCGCAATGTAATTTGCCTAAAAAAGGTGCACATTAGATTCGAGTAAATACGGTAGTTGACTTCAGTAAAGGATAGAGTCAGAAAGATCTAGAGTGTTTAAGGGGGAGGGGATGGTTTAATTCTGATATGGCATATATAGGACTTGAATGCCTGCAAACCATAGTTTTACCACATGAGGGAGTGCTTGTATAATCTTTAAACATAGACAATTTTAGTTTCTTCTAATAAACATCCCAGGTAACTTCCAGATGACTTGCTTATTGAGCTTTCATCATTATTTGTTTGCACAAAGTTTTCAGCAAGGTTATATGATGCTGGCTGATTATTGAGCATTCGTTCTGATTTGCTTGCAGGGAAGTTATATGACATCGCATCAAGCAATTGTTTCCACGGCAGTTTCCCATCCAGGAAAAGTCAATTTTGGGGGGAAGCATGGGCGTAGCTGGGGGGGGCAGGGGGCAGGTGCCTCCCCTAAATCATTAAAAAAATCAATAAAAATACTTAACTAACTGAGGTTCTGCCTCCTCCCCTAACAAAAATCCTGGCTATGCCCATGTTGAGTAGCTTTTTTGTTTGTTTGTTCACAAAAGACAAATCCACTTTAATCCCATAACCTGAATTTGCCAGTATGTGACTGAATCCCACCCACAAAACAGGAACAGTCTGGGAAAGTCCCTGATTAGAATAAATTTATCCCCAAAGAAGGAACAGAAACCATCCAAATGCTGAATCAGGTGTGACCTGAAGCTTATTTTCAGTCTCGGCTGATATTTGTCAGGAGTTTGGGGGTTATGGCCAGGGACAATTGGAGGCGGCGGCGGGGGGGCAGGGGGGAGGCAGAAGATCCAGCTGGCTTGGTACTCAATCTCAAAGGGGGCCTAAAATTTAGACACTTGTTAATTTTTTGACATTTCATAAGCCAACTGAAAAGAAGCTGTGGTGGTGGTGGCCTTAAGGGGCATTTAGAGGGAAGAATCTGTTGGCACAGTAAGGGTTAAGCCCCCCTCCTTTCTGCCAATACTCTCCTGCAAGTGGAGATTCACAATTATAAATTTTTTGCAAATGCAGGGCTGGGAACATGGATTTGACATGATAACGTGGTATTGTACCCAAATCACAGTACAGAGCTCCTCGCTCAGCACTTCCTCCGATCGTTCGTCCGTTTACCTGGTCATGTGGCAAGCCAAGGTGATCTGCCACAGCTGCCACCCATGTTTCTGCAGTAAGGGCTGTCTGTGGGAATCCAAAACCTCGAAAGGCAGTGTTCGACGGCAAGTTAGTCTTACAGGCCCATCCACGGCTTCGGAAGTTGGGGATATCATATGCGTTGCAACTCTTTAGCACAACGTAGTCTATTACCTAATGAACGGGGATAGATAACAAACCTGTTAATCATGAGTACTGCGTCTTATGGAGCTGAATGTGGCAAACAACTGAATTGTGCGTACGCCTGGATGCATGTACACTCATATTTCTTTATCCACAGAACAATCCAAGGGCTTGTCTACACTGGAGTTAAATGTACACATGCCATCAATGTATGGGTGTCCACATAAACATCCTCTGCATCCCAGTATTGTTTCCCCACTTTAAATGTGCCCCCCCAATGTCCCCCCCCCAACCTTCCAAGGATTGAATAAACCCACATTTAAAGAAGGAAAGGTTGGGAGAACACTGGGATGGGGAGGACATCATGTGGATACCCCTTTATTAATGTAGGCAAAACAAGCAGGTGCAAATTCACATTTTTCATTCCAGTGTGAACACAAGCCCCAAGACTAAAGACTCACCCTCACATCTACTGTATTTGGGTCAGTGTGGACAAGCCCCTGGAGATGAACGTCTGAACTATCCCATGGTCTAACTGGTTCTATTGACAGGGTGGGGAACATGTGGCTGCCCTTATGTTGTTGTCCCTGGATGAACAATGGACAAATCAATGGCCAGGGAAGATGGGGAGTTGTAATCCAGCAACAGCTGGAGGGCCCCAGGAAGGGACGGAGGAGAATTTTGTTTTGTCCGCATTTTAGGCAAACTGACCTAATTTGCAATTCATGGCCACAGAGTACAACATAATTATTCTTTGGATTTTGCACTTCTCTGGATTTTGTTATAAAGCTATTGGCTCAAAATGCATAAACAAGAGAGGAAAAATATATGAAAACAACTAGAAGAGATGTGGAAAACAGCAAGAAAGGATTGGACAGAATTTTGAACATTATTTGGACAGATTTGTGGACTTTTAAAGCAGTAGCAATAAGAGGATTGGACCCCTTTCAGAACTTTAAATATGGGTACCCCCAACAAAATTTAAAATTAGGCTCTGTAATTCGGAATTTATGTGATTTGATTTGATATGATTGGTCTGTTAATAAAAATTATTTATAAAAAAAACCCAAAATGCATAAACAAATGCTCTGTACCTGACATTGAAAAGACAACAAAATGGGCAGCAGGCAAGACTCTCTGAAGAGGGCATTCCACGTCTGCGCATGCGCAAGCGGCGAAACCCTGAAGTAACACACTCCATTACTTCTGGGTCGCCGTGGAACACAATCCGAAAAAAATCATCCCAAAGAATATTTAACCCGAGGTATGACTGTATTGATAATGAGGGCTGTGACTGCGAGAGAAAGACTTGCTTAAGGCTGCCTAGTAACTTCATGTCAGAAATGAGATCCAAACGTCATGCGTGAAGAACCCCTTTCTCATTCCATTTTCCACTTGCGAATTCAACATGCTGACATGGAAAAACTTACCAGTTCTGATTCATCAGGTGTACACCCGCCATTTACGTAGAACAAAAGATCAACAGCTTCGATTTTGCCATCATTCGTGAATCCCACCTAAAAATTCAATAGCGTTTTGCAGTAGTTAAGACACATTAGACTCATGCTTCATTCTCTGAACTGTGTGAATTTATCTTAGAAACCACTGGTTGTTTCTTTTAACTTACTAGGTTTCCTTGGAAAGGATAAATCTCAAAAGATGCTTGATGCCTGCCACCTATCCTGTACAGCCCAACACACATATTTCCCTTTTGACCATACCATGCACCCCCAACTTCTGCAAGATATTAGTGCCTTGTCTGGGGTCGATATTACTGTTACTCATTTTGCAATGAAGGGAAAGCCAAAAGTGTTTTAATAAATAAACAAATACTTTTGGGTCAAAATAATCCTCTTGGGGAAGAGTAGGGAGAGATACCTCAAGGACTTAGCCCAGTGGATGTGCAAAATCTAGTTCAAAGCATGGGGAAGTTTTGCATGTCACTGAAACAGAGCTTGTAAAAATCAGTATTACTTACTTTATATTGCCCCCAAAGAGGATGTCGACCTCCAGGTATTAGCATGTCATCATCTCGCTCCATGATAAAACGGACCGGGCGGCCAGTTCTAAGCCAAACAACAAAGGCTTAGGTTACCTTCAAGGTAAGCTGTTAGCAGAACCAATAGCTACACAGACATCCTGTTTGTCTGCTCTTATTGATCTGTTTACAGTCAGGTTATATGACAATAAGCACTCGTGCTGATTTGCTTGCTCGGTGTTTATTCATCTTCCTGTTAAGCATCCATCCATTCTACACTTTTCAGTGCATAAGTTGCACCAGGGCAAGAGGGTGCTTTAATCTGCTTTTATTGTACAAACCTAATTTCTAGTATGTACCACGTGGGTGGCGCTGTGGTCTAAACCACAGAGTCTAGGGCTTGCCAACCAGTTGATCGGCGGTTCGAATCCCCGCAATGGGGTGAGCTCCCGTTGCTTGGTCCCTGCTCCTGCCAACCTAGCAGTTCGAAAGCACGTCAAGGTGCAAGTAGATAAATAGGTACCACTCCGGCAGGAAGGTAAACGGCGTTTCCGTGCGCTGCTCTGGTTCGCCAGAAGAAGCTTAGTCATGCTAGCCACATGACCTGGAAGCTGAATGCCGGCTCCCTTGGCCAATAAAGCGAGATGAGCGCTGCAACCCCAAAGTCGTCCACAACTGGACCTAATGGTCAGGGGTCCCTTTACCTTTACCTTTAATTTCTAGTATGTCCTTGAATCTCTCCTGCAAAATACTGACCCCTGGAGGCAAACAATAAGTAGATGCTGACTGGTACTTTTGAGTTATAAAACATGCACGCCCTGTCATAAGCTGTGTGGGCATTGCCTTTCCTTTTTGGAAAACACAGAATGTCTATAAAATTCTATTGTAAGAGGTTTTGTATATAAAGAAGGCACTTGTCGTTTTAGTTGCTTTCAGTAAAATCACAGACAACTGCAACACTTACTTGTGTGCAGCAACTGCTGCAGCTGCGGCGAAAAATGAAGGTTTTGTACTCTTTCCCCCAAAAGCTCCGCCAACTCGCCTTGTGTGGGTCATGATCCTGTTGGATTGAACATTTAATGCTGAAGCCACTGTTTGCTGCAAAACAAACAAAATAAAAGCATTTTCAGGTTGTAAAAAAGCCTAGTATTTCCCTAGATCATTAATAGCATGTTTACTCCAGATGTACATACAGTGGTACCTCTGGTTACGTACTTAATTCGTTCCGGAGGTCTGTTCTTAACCTGAAACTGTTCTTAACCTGAAGCACCACTTTAGCTAATGGGGCCTCCCGCTGCTGCCGCGCTGCCAGAGCCCGATTTCTGTTCTTATCCTGAAGCAAAGTTCTTAACCCGAGGTACTATTTCTGGGTTAGCGGAGTCTGTAACCTGAAGCGTATGTAACCCGAGGTACCACTGTATTTAATTTCATCTCCTTGCATTTCCTGTACATACCACAGAGCCTAGGGCTTCCCGATCAGAAGGTCGGCGTTTTGAATCCCTGTGACGGGATGAGCTCCCGTTGCTCGAACCCTGCTCCTGCCAACCTAGCAGTTCAAAAGCACGTAGTTCAAATAGATAAATAGGTACCACTCCAGCGGGAAGGTAAACGGCATTTCCATGTGCTGCTCTGGTTTGCCAGAAGTGGCTTAGTCATGCTGGCCGCATGACCCTTAGCCATTAAAGCAAGATGAGCGCCGCAACCCCAGAGTCGTCCGCGACTGGACCTAACGGTCAGGGGTCCCTTTACCTACCTTTTGTCAGCCCAATCTTTTAACTGAAAACACTGCACATTTTCGAGTATATTCTGGATAAAACATGCCCCCCCCCCAAGTCTGGCTGGTAGGGAAACGCTGAGATAGCTTTGTGCAGGAGACAGATTCTGCTACAACAAATTAGGAGAAAAAGAACCACCACAGTCATACCTCGGGAAAAATACGCTTCAGGATAAGTATTTTCGGGTTGCGCTCCGCGGTGACCCGGAAGTAATGGAGCGCGTTACTTCCGGGTTTCACGGCTCGCGCACGTGCAGACAGTCAAAATGATGTCACGTGCATGCGCGGAAGCGGCGAAACACGACCCGTGCACGCGCAGATGCGCAGTTGCGTCTTACGTTCTGTTCAGGATGCGAACGGGGCTCCGAAACGGATCCCATTCGCATCCCGAGCTACCACTGTACTGCCAAACAGCAGCATGTCTATGAAGAATGGATACACATGCTGGAAGACAGAAATTCAGCATGTGTGTATATGTATTTTTGTGTGTAGGAATAAAAATGACAGCTAACAAAGGAACACTGACTGGGCGAGTACCCGGAATCCACAGAATCTTGCAGAGATTGCACCTAACTTTTGCAACAATACAAATGCTGTTGTTTTTAATTACAAGCATCAACAACTGATTACATCCAGTTTAAGACTCTTTTGTGCCAGTGGGGTCCATCTCGTGTTGAAACACTTGTGGAGTTTCCCCACGCTGGCAGTCAAAGACTTGAGTTGCCTCACCTGGACTTTTGAACCATATTGGGTAGACGTATATATATCCATTTCCTTATCCTCTTTTCTTGGAACGACAAAGACACTGTCTGTTTCCAGGTAAAAATGCTCCTGCCCTCCGACGTGGATCTCGCCTGTTAAAAAACAATTGCATGGCTAACTTGATTAGATTCGTACCTCACCATACAATGCGACACTTCATTGCATGACTTAGCCTGTAGGCTTCATAAAAGGGGATGGTTAAGACGAGCAGGAACAACAAACAGATTGGTAGAGAAGCACTGAAGGGCAACCAAGAAGAGCCCCAAACAAAATAAAATATGAAAAACTACTCAGAGGACTAGACTGGTGTGGACAAGAGGGGAGCTGATGAGTTCATACAGTCGTACCTTGGTTGTCGAACTTAATTCATTCCGGGAGTCCAGCATGGTTCGAAAACCAAGGTGCGGCTTCCGATTGCCTGGAGGAGCTTCCTGCACTCAATCAGAAGCCGCAGAAGCCCTGTTGGACATTTGGCTTCCAAAAAACGTTCGCAAACCAGAACACTCACTTCCGGGTTTGCGGTGTTCAGGAGCCTAAACGTCTGAGTACCAAGGCGTTTGACAACCAAGGTACAACTGTGTGTCTATCTAGCTTTAGGAAAGGCTTTGAGTTTCTGTTTTCTCTTCAAGGCATCCACAGTGCTTTTAATTTTCCTTCTTCTTGGAGCTGAGGTGGTGTGCTATGCAGCTTTTCAGACTACAGTATTTCTCTTTCTGTGTGAAAATAACAATAAAAATATTTTACAAAACTGGGGGGGGGGGAATAGGCTGCAATCCTCTTTCCTGGTAGTAAGCTCCATTGAGTTCAATTGGGCTTACATCTGAGCGGTGGTTTTTCATGTCTGAGAATAATAAGGGAGCCGTTTATAACGCTGGGGTGCTTGAGGATTTGGTTCCCTACAAAGGTCAGCTATCCTGTGGATTGTGACCTCCCAATTTTATGATGCAATTTGCGGATGTGTTTCAGGCTATATAGAAATGCGAATTTAGAGCAAAAATATTGTTAGAAATGTGTATTTTGTGAGAAAATGCATACAGAAATACAAATTTTCATGCTGTTTTGTTGGTTTTTTAAACCACAGATTACAGCAAAAAACATGTAGATTACAGCAAAAAACATGAAAACATGCAGAATTAACACAGACCAAAAGCAGACTGATCCATGCACCCCTATTGTGAAGATATCTCAGTGTATTGTGTTTTACCTGGACAGCAAAGCCAGGCTGGGGGGGGGGGCAGCAAGCCACAGACTCTCTGCTACAGACTCTTCCTACTCACTAAACCCTGTTACTTCTTCAGCTTCCAACACCTCCTCTTCCTAGTCTTCTCCCTCTGAGTGATGTTGTCCCACCATCACTCCCTGGGCTCTGAGCCTTCTTCCCTTGGTGCAGGCATCCCCAAACTAGGCCCTCCAGATGTTTTGGGACTACAACTCCCACCATCCCTAGCTAACAGGACCAGTGGTCAGGGATGATGGGAACTGTAGTCCCAAAACATCTGGAGGGCCGAGTTTGGGGATGCCTGCCTTGGTGGCTTCCCAGCTGGTTCATCTCACCACTCCTCTGTATCCAACCAGTCCATGACATGGATAAATGGATCTTTGCCACAAGTGTCCACTTGTTAGGGTTTTACTCTTGTTTTAAATGTATTTGTTGTTTTTGTGTTTTTACCGTTTTAAATTATTTTATGTGTAAATCACCTTGAGATGGTGCCTTAGAAGGTAATTAATAAAATAAAATAAAATAAAAAGAAGAAGAACTGAATCGAAAGTCTTCCCCATCTCTGATTCACACAGCTATGTTTTCTGCATAAGGAGTGCTCATGGTACAGTTGTCACCCGGTAATCATACCAATCTGTGATCAATTTAAATGAAATGTAAACAGATAGATGACAAGAGAAGACTCCCTGGAAAAGACCCTGATTTTGGGAAAGATGGAGGGCACAAGGAGAAGGGGATGACAGAGGACGAGATGGTTGGACACTGTTCTCAAAGCTACCAGCATGAGTTTGACCAAACTGCGGGAGGCAGTGGAAGACAGGAGGGCCTGGTGTGCTCTGGTCCATAGGGTCAAGAAGAGTTGGACACGACTAAACAACAACAAACAGATAGACTGAACCTGCTTGCTGCTATGTCACGAGAACCCCATACATTACTGATAGCACCCTACCTTCAATGATGTTCTCAACATTCTTAAATGATTCTGTAATGTTTCCTCTTTCTATTTTCTTTTCTTCTGTCAAGAATGACTTATGCTTAACTGCCTCCTGAAAAATAGGAGGAAACACAGCATTCAAATCGCAGAACACAAAGCACTATGTCGTCGTTGTCACTACCATCTTACAGTTCTTTCAGATGCACTGATATTCTTTCCCAGTATAGTTGCACTGATTTTACTCTAGCTAAGGAGTTGGCTCATGCCTGATCAGAAACTAAACAATAGGTTCTTTTCCTGTTCATCAAATCCCTGTTGTTGAAAGATCTGTGTCCAAAGTGCTGTATGGGAAAGAACTATCTCCAGAAATAAATAATAAACAAATACATTAAAAAAGACCCTTGGTCTGTCTCAGGCATCCCAAAATCCACCCTTTTTCGTGTTATGGTGAAGGCATTTGGTGTTCTTTGTCCATCTGTTCAACCCCCATTCTCGTATTGTTCTTTGAAAGTTGTATCTACTTTTGCGGCTCCCCAGTGAGTATTATTACATGAGTAGTACCTGTGAGAATGGAGAACATATTTCATCCAGAAAGCAGCTGGAGGTGTAGCACAGTAATCAGAGTGTTGAGCTTTGAGCCTCAGCCATGAATTTACTAGGCGTTTTCAAGTGAACCAATATCGCTCAACCACCTTACCCCACAATCTATCACATGCGGATAATGATACTGACATCTTATAGGTTGTTTTAAAGGTTGCTGAGATACCATATGCCACGGGTGGGGAACTGTGACCCTTCAGATGTCACTAGGCTCCAACTCCCAACAGCCAATATGGCCAATGGATACAGATGATGGGAGTTGTAGTCCAACAACATCTGTAGGGCTACAGGCTCCCCTCGCCTGCTGTATGTAAAGTGCACTAAATGGTCTGAGGTACGCAACAAATGCTAAGAGGAGGAGGAGGAGGAGTTTGGATTTGATATCCCGCTTTATCACTACCCAAAGGAGTCTCAAAGCGGCTAACAATCTCCTTTCCCTTCCTCCCTCACAACAAACACTCTGTGAGGTGAGTGGGGCTGAGAGACGTCAAAGAAGTGTGACTAGCCCAAGGTCACCCAGCAGCTGCATGTGGAGGAGCGGGGAATCGAACCCGGTTCACCAGATTACGAGTCCACCACTCTTAACCACTACACCACACTGGCTCTAAGTACATTTGTATGTACTCTGTCATCCTGACATTGCTGAAAGGAGACTATTGTATACTTATGGACATTGCCTCTTTCTCAAAGACACATGTCTGATTCAAGAGATGGCAGAACAACCTAATAAGCCGATTAGCCCTTTTGATTTGAAATTCAGAACTATAAAATATATGCACACAGTGGCCATACTTGGATGATTCAAGCTCATCTGAACAAGCTGCAGTACAAATGAGCATCAGTTTGGCTTAATTTCCTGACTTGTTCCGATGCCATAGTTTCTTGGTTCAGACAAAATGGAGAACCGTAGGTGGTCAAATCCTTCCTGGCTTGTTTGTTCGCTTGCACAAAGACATGAGTTTGGGGTGGCTGATGGGGAGGGGTGTAGCCAAAATGCGACACAGCTTATTAAGATATGGTCATCTGAATGCTATCAGTGTTAACCTATAGGCTGTCAAACAAGGGTATTGCATGTTCTAATAGTATCCTTAAGACTGAAAGGTCATGCAGATCCTACGCAGGTGTGTGTTTGCCACTTCTTTGCCTCAGGTACAAGATGCCTTTGGCTCACCCTTTGGGAGGTCTTTGAATACTATGAAGCAGGCAGCCACAGAGGGCTGCTATTTTTATTCCTGACTTTGGGATTTATCTGGCAGGAGGAAACAGGATGCTAGACTAGCTGGGCCATTGCCTTGGCTTTTCTAATGTTCTTATTAGAGAGCCAGTGTGGTGTAGTGGTTAAGAGCGGTAGTCTCGTAATCTGGTGAATCGGGTTCGCTTCCCCGCTCCTCCACATGCAGCTGCTGGGTGACCTTGGGCTAGTCACACTTCTCTGAAGTCTCTCAGCCTCACTCACTTCACAGAGTGTTTGTTGTGGGGGAGGAAGGGAAAGGTGAATGTTAGCTGCTTTGAGACTCCTTAAAGGGAGTGATAAAGCGGGATATCAAATCCAAACTCTTCTTCTTCTTCTTCTTCTTCTTCTTCTTCTTCTTCTTCTTCTTCTCCAGTGCTTTTTTTCTTAAAAAATGTTTAGGGGTACCCTCATTTTGATTCAAGAAAATCACCATTTTCTAGTTCAAATCGGGAAAAATGAATACAGTAAATGGACAAAAGTACAAAGATACACAAAACGTTTAGGGGTATGCGTCCCCCTAGAAAAAAGCACTGTTCTTATCTATTCCAACAGTTAAGATAGAGTGCAAGTAAAGTACCTCTTGAAGCTTAACAAATGAGAGGCTGATTTCTTACCTCAATGGTCAGGATCAGTTCCAGTTCTTGGTACTCTATCTTCACTTTTCTTCTGGCTCGCTTTGCGCACTCGTAGGATTCTGCAACCACACCGCAGATAATGTGGCCGATATATAGTACCTGCATGACACCCGACCAACAGAAATGGAATGGCTTCACTATACAGAACAACAACAACGTGGTTGTTTAATGTACTTCAATAGATTTCATGCTAAGGCTTTGGGCTTCAAACCATGTTCCAGAGACTATCCTGGGGTTCTCTGGAAGCTTTTCAAGCACAGTGACGATATTAGTAACAGCAGGTGAATTGCCCTGAATGGCAGCTTGCTTGCCACTACCAACCTTCCTCTTCAATGTACAGGCACAGAGGAAGGGTGGGCATATTCTAATTTGCATGTCTCGTGCCATGAGTAATCTCTGACCTCAACTGAACTGAGAGCCCACCCTAGAAGACTCCTCAGAATTCTCAGCAATGACCAGCTGACAAGTGGATATGTCAGAGGTTTGCCAATGAAAGCCAATGGTAAAGTATATATATGTGGCATTTATCTTAAGTAAATATGAAGTATTTAGCATGCACCACATAGCGCTTCCAGTTTATCTGTTTAAGCAGAGGACTTCATTACAAGAGTGGATAAATTACTGTATTTTTCACTCTATAAGACGCACCAGACCATAAGACGCACCTAGTTTTTGGAGGAGGAAAACAAGAAAAAAATATTCTGAATCTCAGAAGCCAGAACAACAAGAGGGATCGCTGCACAGCGAAAGCAGCAATCCCTCTTGCTGTTCTGGCTTCTGGGATAGCTGCGCAGCCTGCATTCACTCCATAAGACGCATACACATTTCCCTTTACTTTTTAGGAGGGAAAAAGTGAGTCATAGAGCAAAAAATATGGTAATTTGCTTTCAAGTAGCTAGGGTGTTGTTTTTTAAAAGGGTATACATATTGGAGACCAAAAAATATACAGTATATAGAATGACTGAGGACAAACATAAACATTTGGGTTTTTTTAAACAATCCTTTCAAATTCATGACAATTAAGGGGTGAAGATTGGGCTTGTGTTTAATTTTATGGGATAGTGGCTAAGAGGCAGTGAATTTCAAATTCCCAGCTCAAAAGTAATGTCTACCACATACCTGAATAGGTGGCCTTAAATAGTGCATTACCTCCATCTGATATATGGGTTAATAATATTGACCCACCATACAGGAGTTCTAGTTGCAGGATCCTATCTCCATGGGTTATAGCTCTATGATAGAGTGCATATGCTAAAGGTCCCAGCACAATGGGAATTCACCTCTTCTCGCCCAATGTGTGCCCCATACCATCCCCAAATTTGCTCTGGAGGGTTGGGGGAGTCCCCAGAACAGATTTAGGGGGATGCAGAGGGAGAAGAGTTTCTGCTGCACGAGGAAAATCTTCGCGTTTGCAGAATCTTAGCCTCAGTGCTATGTTGAACACAAGCCTTTAAAATACATTTATGTTTTAATCATGCATTCATGGATCCTTCAAACAATGATTCACACACAGACACTGTGGGGCTTCTTGCACATTTAAGGGTTGCCTAGAACTGAGATTTTCACTATTTGACTTTCCCTGTCCAGGAGCTATGGTGGTGAAAGATGTTACAGCTAGTAATTACTTTCCTTCCTCTGGAAGTTTGTTAGCTTTTTCCTCCAAAGCAACTCGGTTCTAGTGGTCTAGTCATGCCCAAGGAATTGTAAATGTGTGCCTTTGATAAAGAAAAAAAATATTTTTAGGGTACAATTCTGGGCCTGCTTATCTCTGAGTAGATGCTGGATAGAAAGGCAGAAAGCTCAGAAAATACCTCTTCGCTAGCAAAAATTTCCTCTTTTCCATCACCATTATGCCCCGGAATATCAGCTGCTGTTACCACGGCAACCACCCCTGGTTCTTCTAAGGCCTCTGACACATCAATGGATCTGGAAAGGAGAGATAAATAGAACACTTTTGTTCCAATGGGTCGCAGTGATCAAACATGATGGCAAGATGAATTTAAGAAATAAATGTTTTAATAAATAAACATTCAGGAGCTAAAGTAAACATGCACTTTTTTCCTATGTGACTAAGTTGTGCACAGCTAGTATTTCTGCAGCTGCAAACAGATAGTGAAACAACCCAATGTATTCAGTCTTAAAAACCTCTTTGTACTATCTTAACTGGTATCTGTGTATGTGTGAAATCACCCCTAACTGCAATACAGGCAGGCAGCTGATATGTGCAGCTGATATGTCCACCCTAGACTATGGTTACCAGATTTTTTTCAATGAATCCAGGGACACCTTTTTTTTTTTTTAAAGCTGAGTAGCAACAGGGAGTCAGTAGTGGGGATGGTGAGGCAAAAGACCCTGGGCCCAATGCATATTGTATAAAGGTGAAAAGCCCTTCTTTTGCACCCTGTGAAACATAAATACACAGAGTTTTTTAAAAACTGGACAACGGCTGCCCGCCCGCAACTCCCTAGCCTCCCCCGATCAGTCAAAACAAAGGTGGAAGGGGGCAGGAGATCTGTATCACCGGACGTCCCTGGTTCCCCTTTAGCAGTGGCAGTGGCAGCGGTAGTCAACAGCCCTGAGCCCAGCCTGGTAGCGCAGTTGGCTCTGGCTGGCTTCAGGAGCTGCTTGCTGCCATGGCACCCACCAGTTGGCCTCCCAGAAGTCCCCATATGATGTGTCTTGTGCGCAACACATTATATGGGGACTTCTGGCGAGGAAAAATGGCGGGCGCCATGGCAGCAAGCAGCAAGCATCTCCTGAAGCCAGCCAGAGCCAACTGCGCTACCAGGCTGGCTCCAGGCTGCTGAGGCTGCCGCTGCCACATTTCCCGGGGACAGATTTGCAAATCTGGGGACATTCCGGGGACGGAATTTGTCCGGGGACAGATTTGCAAATCCAGGGACTGTCCCCGGGAACTGGGGACGTCTGGTAACCCTACCATAGACATTTGCAGGACAATAAATGGTGCCATCCCCCATGCCATCCCCACTCTCAAATCAAGTTGAAGAGTGCCCATCTGGTCAAGTAATTTGAGGCAGAAAAGACCACAAACACGCCTCCCCCCCCCTCCGCACCCTGTCCCTGAGAGTTTTAACACAACAATACAGTGGTACCTCGGGTTACATATGCTTCAGGTTACATACGCTTCAGGTTACAGACTCTGCTAACCCAAAAATATTACCTCGGGTTAAGAGCTTTGCTTCAGGATGAGAACAGAAATCGTGCTCTGGCGATGCAGCAGCAGCAGGAGGCCCCATTAGCTAAAGTGGTGCTTCAGGTTAAGAACAGTTTCAGGTTAAGAACAGACCTCCAGAACGAATTAAGTACTTAACCCGAGGTACCACTGTAACAAATTAACCAGCAAACCATTTGCCACCCTTTCATGACACTCCAAATCGGCTGCTTCAGGCAGCTGCCTCACTGTCCCTAATGGTAGAACTGGGTGTGGATATCAGCCTTGTGTGTTGGGTGCACTGAATAAGCACTTCCAGAGCACTCCACTCTTATTTAAAAGAACTGTATGTCAAGCCCTCCTCTTTCCCCCTACATTTGCAAGCACACTTTCATTCCAGCCCACTCCTGAAGTAAACCAAACCAAGATTCAAAGCATGTCCAGCATCTGTTAAAATATGTCCTCCTTTCCGTGTTCTACTGCCACACTTTCCTCACGCATTTTCCTTCTTGTTACTTACAGAATCTTTGCATGGGCGCATGTGCTGGTGACCACAGCCATGTAGAGCTGCCCTTCCTCTGGAGGCATGTCGTCGACATAGTCTGCTTCACCGGTGGTATGTTTAATACCAGACTGGTGCATGATGGGACGCCCCACTGGGTCCTGAGGAGGCTGATGAGGGTCTACATCCTGTCATATGGTAGAGACATTTACTATACAGTGGTACCTTGGGTTACATACGCTTCAAGTTACATACGCTTCAGGTTACACACTCCACTAACCCAGAAATAGTGCTTCAGGTTAAGAACTTTGCTTCAGGATGAGAACAGAAATTGTGCTCCGGCGGCACAGCAGCAGCAGGAGGCCCCATTAGCTAAAGTGGTGCTTCAGGTTAAGAACAGTTTCAGACCTCCGGAATGAATTAAGTACTTAACCCGAGGTACCACTGTACAGACAGTTCATTAGATTACTGAGTATTACTCAGAAAACCCTACTAAAATTATATGGTGACAACATGGTTGTATTTCAGTTTGTACAGGCTGAACGTTGGGCCCAGAACTTGTACCATGTTACTATCTGTACCCAAAGCTCTGATTCCATATTGGCTTATATAGGAGGACCAGTCAAGCTATTAAATCATGTTGGCCAAATATACATTTTCTGTTAGTACATGTAAACATTTGCAATTAGTATCCTTGGTATTATGGAGGACAACTTTCTACCACATGAATCTGCCTAATCTTTGAGCTAACCTGCTCTGTGTCCCACCACTTTCAGTGGTTCAATTAATGGCGACATCAGGCAAGATCTTTTTAGCAGTAGTGTCTAGATTGTGGAACTCTCCCTGCAAGAGATTCATATGGGCTTCCATACTGCAGGTTTTCTGACTCTCCTTAAAAGCATTATGTTTCACTGGGCCTTTGGGCTTAGAGTGATATTCTGTCTCCTTGGTTCGCTGTTGACATTTTGTTGCTGAGATGCTGGTTTTTGGGTGATCTGATTTATTTATTTATTTATATGTTAATTTACTACTGGATTTACCTAGGTATAACACAGTCAAGGCAGTCACAGACAACTACAAAAAAAGATGGAAGCAGCGCAGGGAGGAAAACACAGGAGGATTATCAATGGATGATGATGTTGCGTAGACCCCAGGAAAAATAGGACTGAATGGTAAGCAACCTAGCATGGAAGCAGTCCGGAACTAGATTCTTCACCAGCAAACGATCATTTATTTCATACCCACCCAAGAAACTCAAGTATTCCTCTTATGCAAATATAGTAGTCTGCCACTTTTATTATTATTATTATTTTGTAAATAATTTTTATTCATTTTCCAAAAAAGAAAAACAACAACATTCGTATTAATAACAAATCAAGCCAAATCTTAACATGTTCAAAAAACAAAAAAAATACAGCCAATTATAGAGTCTGAATTAATTAATTTCAGTGGGACTTCCCATGTTCTGGATTTCAAGAGCTAAAGTCCATCCTTTATTTTTCTGCTTTTGTTACTTCCCAATTTCCCAATCCTGATATTGATGATCTTCTCTCTGTCAGTTAGTCGCTGGTATAACTCTCTATCTTGTTTTGTTTAAACATTCCTTATTTCTGTAATCACGTAGGGGGCAAATTTCTATTGCTTTGTTTTATATTTTTATTGGTGTAAACCACTTAACCAATTAGTTGAGTCACAGATCACTGGGTGGTAAGCCATGCTAAGTACTAAGACTAGACCCATTGAACTTAATGGATATGCGTAACTTAGAAGCATTAATTTCAGTGCGCCTACTCTGGGTAGATCTCAGTTGAATACAACCCATTATACTCAGAGAAGGGTGGGTTAACATGATAGCATTGACAGGAATGTTAATGTTAGATGATCAAAAGCAATGAAAACAACCTCACTGACCTGGTATATTTGCATACCCTGAGGTGGTTTCTCACGGAACTCGCCTAAAGCACTGGCGTATTTCTTTGGCAAGTCAGGATACTTAGATGGATTCTGTGGGAAGACAAATTAATTATATATTACATCAATTTTCTCCAAGAAATTCTTCAGGGGCAAGCAACCATATAATGGTAATTCATTGCCCAAATATGTACTACCAGGGTGCTCAAATTAAGATATGACTTGCACAACTACTTCTGGTGTGTCCTTTCTACACATGTGGGGGGGTTTCCAGTCATGTAGCAAAATCTCCACTTATAACATCTTAACAAACTTTTTAATTTTTGTAAAAAGTTGTATTCGAGCCAACATGAAGCACTGGCTGAATGAAAACAGCATGGCATCTGTTACATAGGAAGAAAAGCCTGCTGTACGTAAGACAATTTTTCTACATAGGTGCAGAAAAAAACGGTGTGTAAAAATTGTTAATGGAAACAATGATCTTTGGTAGAGGCAGAAAAGTAGGAGGAACATTGTTTTTAAGAGGAGGGATAGTTTATTTCTTATCCGCCTATAGTGAACACAAGAGAAGCCTTGTTGGATCAGACGAAAGGCCCATCTGGTCCAGAATTCTGTTCTCATAGTGGCCAACTGGGTGCCTATGGAAAGCAGGCAAGACAATGACACCCTCTTATATGTGTTGCAAGCCACTTGTATTCAGAGGCATGTGTGCCATAAGCACGTGTGAATATGTACCTAGCTCAATTACTAACTGCTTACCCCCAAAATAAGGCCAGACTTGCTCTTGTGCCTTTAATATCAGCTTGATTTACAGAAGAGCTATTTCCCATACCACATACCTTTTGGGAATTGAGTGAACAGCTGCTGGAGACTGGAGTGGAAAGGTATAAGGCTTTCTACTCAAATAGGAAAGGTGGTTATTTTTTTCTCCCCACCTTTGCTTAATACACAGCCTGATGAAGAGCTCTGGAGAACCCTGAAGGCTTGGGCACCATTTTGTGACCTTCTTAAAGTTATTGCCCTACTTTGTTCTTTGGGGGGTTATTTACCATGTTCTTTAAACCTTGTAGCACTTGCAGATAAAATCTGAAGAAGAAGCTGACAAGCAGAGTTCGCCTGTATTCCACTTTTGCACCCGGGGCTGAAGGAGAGAGGATAATTTCTTCAAGAATTAGCCTGCAAGCTTCATTCAGCAGCTCTTCATCCCAGTTGCTGGGGGGAGAAATAATACAACCAAATAAGTTTCTTTTATCAAACGATAGGTATGTATATGCAGAGTTTTGAAGGGGTGAGGAGAAAAAGGTTTCCAAATGCGTTTATTAAAGTGACTTTGATAATGAAGTACACTTTGCCACAAGGAAACTCAACAGATGGGATTTCATTTCAGGTTTCTTAGGAACTGGCAAATAATATTATTCAAAATAGGTCCTTTCTACGGTAGGAAAATAGATTGCATAATATGAACCAGTCATAGCTAATCTTAATATGGAAGAACAGGACATTGGTGCTGGTGACCCAGCCTACATAATCCACAATGAGCATTAGGAACATATGGATAAAACACTTAAAGTCGTTGATCAGAACAATCAATTTCTAACAGTGACCAGTCAGATAAGATGCCTTGAGAAACTCACAAGCAGAATATGAAGATGTACATAGGTCATGACCTGACTAATAAGGAATGATGCAGTTAAGATTTGTGTCATATTAATAATAATAATAATAATAATAATAATAATAATAATTTGTTATTTATACCCCGCCCATCTGGCTGAGTTTCCCCAGCCACTCCAGGCAGCTCCCAATTGAGTGTTAAAAACAATACAGCATTAAATATTAAAAACTTCCCTAAATCTTAACCCAAATACATAAGAGTGTGGAAGGTTTTGTTTTATTTAACATGGTGTTTTAATGTTGTAACCTGCCCTGGAACCTTAGGGAGAAGGTTGGGTAATAAATGAAAAAATGATTGAATGATCTTGCTGCAGTTCAGGGAACTGAATTACATGACATCTAGTCCTACAATTCCCTGGGACCAGAGAATGAAAAAAATTCTCAGAAAACTGATATGTATAATTGTTCTCTTAAATTTTATCCCAAATTCGTATTCACAGAAATTGCAATTCTTCTCCACTTCCACTCCAGTGTGGTTTGGTGAAATGTTGGAGAGGTGCTTTGGTTTGTTAGTTTTTAAGAGCAGCATTCTGACATGATATAAACCAATTTTGAAATGAAGACATTTGCCCACCTTTAAAAAAAAAAGGTTTTCATTACTACTTGCAGACAAGGTTTAAGTACAGAGAGAGTTTAATTTTCCTAGCTTCTAGATTCTGCCCCAAGCTCCTCCAAAAGCAAGAAACAGCTATTCCTATATAATGTCAAATGGTACAGTCAATGTACCTTCCAATGAGCTTCTGACAGGTATTTCTTGCGCTCACTGTGGTAGGACCAATGCCACCATATAAAATAGCCATGTCCTCGATGACACCAGTGCCTGGCTGGAAAAGGACTCTCATTGAAGAATTTGTCACAGACAATGCATTTTTTCGGCGCTCAGCCTGCCGGAATGCTGACACAAATTCATCCTGGCAGATGCAAGAAGGAGAAATTGGGTTATTTTACTGCCCTCATCATGCTAGTAGCTGTAGGGTGTACAGCTTCCGGGTCACGTGGCCAGCATGACTAAGTCGCTTCTGGCGAACCAGAGCAGCGCACGGAAACGCCGTTTACCTTCCCTCCGGAGTGGTACCTATTTATCTACTTGCACTTTGACGTGCTTTCGAACTGCTAGGTTGGCAGGAGCAGGGACCGAGCAACGGGAGCTCACACCCCGTCGTGGGGATTCAAACCGCTAACCTTCTGATCGGCAAGCCCTAGGCTCTGTGGTTTAACCCACAGTGCCACCCATGTCCCAATGCACATGTGGTTGGTTGTTAATATCCATGTCTTTAAAGGCATGTCCAACAGGTAGATTGTGATCTACCGGTAGATTGCAGGGTTGTTCCAGGTAGATTGCGGGATACTGGGCGTGCTCCTGATCGATCCCCCTGAAAAGCTCAACAACTCTGGGTCACCCTCCCCAAAAGATCAACAACTCTGACCATCCCTTCCCAGAAAAAGATCAACAATTCTTGGCAATGACAATGGGTAGATCACTGCCATTTTTTTCTAATAGTGGGAGTAGATCACTGTCTCTTGGGAGTTGGATGTGCCTGATATAGACTATAAAGGTAAAGGTAAAGGGACCCCTAACCATTAGGTCCAGTCGTGACCGACTCTGGGGTTGCGGCGCTCATCTCGCTTTATTGGCTGAGGGAGCCGGTGTACAGCTTCCGGGTCATGTGGCCAGCATGACGAAGCCGCTTCTGGCGAACCAGAGCAGCGCATGGAAACGCCGTTTACCTTCCCACCGTAGCGGTACCTATTTATCTACTTGCACTTTGACGTGCTTTCGAACTGCTAGGTTGGCAGGAGCAGGGACCGAGCAATGGGAGCTCACCCCATCACGGGGATTCGAACCACCGACCTTCTGATTGGCAAGTCCTAGGCTCTGTGGTTTAACCCACAGCGCCACCCGCGTCCCTTATTCTTGCTGCATAGGAGTGGATTAAAGAAGGGAGTTGATAACTATGGCATCACATGGGCCATTCAGCCATCCAAGAAATCTGGATATCATTCATCTACAGCAGCCTTTCCCAGTCTCCAGATGTTTTGGTCTAAAGTTCCCATCAGCACCAGCCTGGTCAGGGATGAGAGTTGTAGTCCAACATCCCAAGGGCATCAGGTTGAGGAAAGCTGCTCTAGAGAGATGGAGACGGCAATGTGGCTGCTTACTGGTGAAGGAAATATTACTATCCATGGCACATATGCAATCAACACTGCTCACAGGTTTAGCATATTTTTGTAGTTCTTCAGAAACCTGCAATACCTATGTGCCCAGTGGGAGAAAAGTTAATGAGTGTGCGCATCGAGACATGCTTGAGGAATTTGTTATATGCAAATTCTAGTAAGAAATAAACTGATCTGAACTTTCCAGAGCTAATATAGAATCAAGGAATCATAGAATTGTAGAGTCGGAAGGTTGAATCCAAGTGAGAGCGAAAGGGACTCAAGAGTTACAATTTTTTAAAAAAATGTTGGTCTCTCTGTTCCCAGACCCCTGAATATATTTGGAGAAGACCACCCATTTTATTAAATGCAGCTTTATTGACTGTTTTCAGTGCATGCTTTTTATGTACTGGCATACTGATTTAGTGAAGTATGACTGCTATTTTGTCCTGTCTGTGAATTCTGTGTAGGATTTTAATTGTTATAGGGTGCAGGCCATTTGAGGTGTCAATTTTCTAAAACCAGATGATGAATATAATAAACAAATAAATGAGAAACAAGGAGCAATGTGTCTTTCATTAAACTTCCTACCCTCACCGATCCCTAGGTAATTTACATGTGATTTTTTACTGGTAGATGAATACTTGGAAATATGTTGCCGCTCTCTCCAGCAATGTGTTGACCTGCCATTTATGTGCCTGCATGGACTAATTTATGTTGAGTTTTTGATACAAATCTTGTCTTGCCCAACATAAGTGTTCCATGGTTCAGAAAGCATCTTGTGTTTGGAGGGGTGGGGAAGAAAACATACAGACACAAACAAACAAACAAACAAACAAACAAACAAACAAACACACAACTTACTTCCTTGGAGAAAGGGATAAAAACAGAGACTATGACCTCTCTTGGTGAAAGGTCTGCCTGTGGCAAGCGCGCAAGGAATTCATCATTCAAGGGAATCTGTCGTGATCCATCTGATAGAGGAAATAATAGTCTTTAGAGAATGAGCTCTTAACAGATACTGATTTTATCTGTCCCATGCAAGAGAAAATTACCCCTGCATCTATTCAAGCTCTGAGGCAGAACTGGCCCTCTTCAAGGGCTGATTTACCCAACAGAAACATTTGTATGAAGGGTGCTGACAGCTATAAATAATTCGAGCCATTTCAGATGCTCCCAATTTGTAGCCAAGGTAGTATTGCTCAGAACTTTGCAAGATCAAACCTGCACAATTGTCAGTTGGCATTTGTCGTTGATAAATACAATGGACTTCCACTTGTTTATTATTATATATTGTCTTTGTTGTAAACAAAAATTGTCCTTTTCCCTTATGGGGTATCCAAGAGCCCATATAGAGTCCTTACATAGGTTCCCTATTGGGAGGAGAGAATAACAGAGGCCAACCAGAGAATATTGAGAAGCAAAGCAGCTAGTAAGCTTGAGCTTTATTGATCTGTTGCAACAGGGTGCTCCCCTCACACGCAGGAGAGAGGAGGGACCCAGAAAAATAGTGTGCAAGGCCTTATAAAGACTTTTGAAATTGGCACCCTGTAGATCAAGACCACCCCCAGAAACATCATACATACATCACAGAAGGGGTTTAACCTAAGACCACCCCTCAGATACATCATACCTACATCACAGAAAAGGCGGTCTAAACAGAAATTTAAATGTTGTTTTTCTCTTGTCCTTGTTTATCTCATGCCTGGCAGGTTATTTGATTGGATTGCATGGGTCTTCTGGCCAGTCTTTCGTAATGATAAATACTTAGTTCCTGGGCCAGGTCACAGGCTCACACCCTATTCAAACACAGACATACCCTTAAGACAGGATTTGTGAAGGAAAAGACAATGGGGAGGCTTTTCCACTTTGACCTTGCAGAGAAAACATTTGCTCAGTTTAGGAATCAAAATGGCTTCAGGTCAGTCTTCCTGTGCTGATCTATGTACGTGCTTGGTTAGTACATTTACCATATATCTAAGACCTCAAAATTCCTATCAAATCTTCCTGGGCAATATTATATATCATAGACTTCATGTAATAATACAACACCCTGCATTTTGCCATTGTAACAGAACATCAGTTAGTAGGTTTCCTCTCTCTCTCATCATAGTCGTAAGAGCAAAACAGCGGGAAGGAAAGTAAGGATTCTGCAGAATGACTTCTGCTATTAGGACATGATTTTATTCCCACCCCCTCCCCACTGTTATGAAATTGAATCACATCCACACCATCCGTTTAAAGCATTCTTGTACCGCTTTAACAGCCACAGCTTCCCTAAAGTATCCTGGGAGCTGTAGTTTGTTAAAGGTGCTAGCTCTGGTAGGGGTCTCCTAATAATTCTCAGCTCAGTCAAGAAACAGGTAGTTCACAGTCCCTAGAACATGGGTAGGTAAACTAAGGCCCGGGGGCCGGATCCGGCCCAATCGCCTTCTAAATCCGGCCCATGGATGGTCCGGGAATCAGCGTGTTTTTACATGAGTAGAATGTGTGCTTTTATTTAAAAAGCATCTCTGGGTTATTTGTGGGGCCTGCCTGGTGTTTTTACATGAGTAGAATGTGTGCTTTTCTTTAAAATGCATCTCTGGGTTATTTGTGGTGTATAGGAATTTGTTCACCCCCCCAAAAAAAATATATAGTCTGGCCCCCCACAAGTTCTGAGAGACAGTGGACTGGCCCCCTGCTGAAAAAGTTTGCTGACCCCTGCCCTAGAATATAGGATCTATGTTTACCAATAAATCATTGGAAAATACTTACTGTACTAGATGCTATGTTACTGTTGATCAAAGTGTCTAAAGCTTTCTTATTAACAGTTTATAAGAGCATAAAAAGTTCCTAGTCAGTTGATTCGCTCACCGTTTGTATTTTTAACTGTTATTTCATTGTGTACATTTTGATCAAACTACCCAATGCAGAAATGTATGCAATGGGAGACATTGCCTTTTACCTATTGATACCAGATTGAGAAGTGCATTCCCAGCTGCCAGTACGGGGTTCAGATCCCAGGTCGATCCTCTGCTCACAATATGTCCTCCTAAAGACTAATGGACAATGGTATCACTGTTACTACCACTAAAATGGGTATACCTGTATTATCATTAATTATATCCTTTATTTATTATTTCTTAAAATGTATACACTGCTTGATTGTAAAAAAAAACACCCCTCAAATGGTTAAAAGACAACAATCCAATTTCCCCTCTCAAAGGATTCTGGGTGCTGTAGTTTGCTGGTCACAGAGTTACAATTCCCAGTTAGGTAAAGGTAAAGGGACCCCTGACCATTAGGTCCAGTCGTGACCGACTCTGGGGTTGCGGCGCTCATCTCGCTTTATTGGCCGAGGGAGCCGGCGTACAGCTTCCGGGTCATGTGGCCAGCATGACTAAGCCGCTTCTGGCAAACCAGAGCAGCGCACGGAAACGCCGTTTACCTTCCCGCCGGAGCGGTACCTATTTATCTACTTGCACTTTGACGTGCTTTCGAACTGCTAGGTGGGCAGGAGCAGGGACCAAGCAATGGGAGCTCACCCCGTCGCGGGGATTCAAACCGCCAACCTTCTGATCAGCAAGTCCTAGGCTCTGTGGTTTCACCCAGAGCACCACCCACGTCCCTTACAATTCCCAGTGTCCCTTAACAAACTACAGTGCCCAGAATTCTTTGAAGAGGGAAATGTGCTTAGCATGTGTTTTACAGGTATATTGTGTATGCAGCCTCAGCTGGATTCAAGCCCTGGATTTTAAGCCAGCAAAGTTTTAAAAATCATTATTTATTTAAACAGGAGAGTGGGGGGACAAACTATGCATGTCTTGTATTCCTTAGTTTTTAAAATGAAAACCAGCTTTGGAAAACTGAGATTAACAACAGAGGAAAATGATATAGAGACAACATCAATGGGCTATATAAATCTTATGGGAGGTGACCGCTTTGTGTGCCTTGGTACTAATGAGACACTTGAGTGCTTCCCTTTGTCCCTTAAAATAAGAGACTTGCAAATCTTTCCACTGACTTGTTGCCAGTAAGAGAGTTGGGACTTTTTGTTTTTTGTTTGTTTGTTTTTTAAATTTTATTAAGTACAAATTAGAAAACATACATATTTACAACAAAATACAAAAGAAAAAGAAAATACATATAGCCAAGGAAAAAAATTAGAGAAAAAGTATTTGTCTCTTTTCATATTTACAATTATTTATACCTCTATAAAATGCTATTCACAATAAAGGAGTGAAATGAAATATAAGATATCAGAAAAAAAGAACAAAAGAACAAAGAAAAAATAAAGAAGTAAAAGAAAAAAATCATAGGTGAAAATTTTTGAAAGTAGATAAGTACTCACTATACATAGCCATTTCCCATCTATGTTTATATTCAATTGTATAATTTCCTCTTGTCCTTATCTACCTTAAATAAAGTGTTTGTTTTTTAAAAAAGACTTCCACCGTTTGCCTCACGCGTTTTTAACAATCTGTTCGTCAGATCCTCTGTTCTTCATATTTTCCCTTTGGATTTCCTTAATGTTGGGACTTTTTGATTTGGACTGGCAGGTGGGTTTGTGAATCACTAAGACAACATCTTGTGTGTTTAGATGTGGGCACCGCACAGCCAGTTATCTATCCTCCAAAGGCTGAGTAAAAGCAAAAATGACCCAGGCAATGGTAGGGACAGAGTGGGGTCCTTCACACAGACAAGTGTATCCATCCTTCACCACCCCATAATTGTTCCTTTATTGCCAAATGTTCACCCTTACTGATCCACCTGATAGTTCTGGAGCAACGGGGAAGGAAGCCCATGGCTTAGCAGTACAGACAGAGCATTGGATAGGGTGCAAATATTTATGAGAGAATGGAGGGCAGAACTGTGAAGCCATGGCAGGAAGTAATCTGTACCTGGTCAAAGGAAGCAGGGTGGGAAACCTACCGCCAAATTCCTAATTTGTTCTCCAGCAAGGGTCCTCAGTTGCTTCAGCAGCACACCATAAATCTTTGACTTTTCCATTGGGAGTTCTGGGGTGATGGTTAATAGGAAGTCCCTCAGTTGGGCAAGATGGATTGCTGCACCGATCAAGATCCCTGGAACCAAGCAATTTTCACAACCGGGGGGCGGGGGAGAGCACAAATGGGCATTTTTAAACAGCCACACAGTCCACAGGCAGAGTTGGTGTTTGTTGTGATAAGGGGCAGCAAATAACTGATACAGTGGTACCTCGGGTTAAGAACTTAATTTGTTCTGGAGGTCCGTTCTTAACCTGAAGCACCACTTTAGCTAATGGGGCCTCCTGCTGCCGCCACGCCACCTCGCGATTTCTGTTCTCATCCTAAAGCAAAGTTCTTAACCTGAGGTACTATTTCTGGGTTAGCGGAGTCTGTAACCTGAAGCATCTGTAACCTGAAGCGTCTGTAACCCGAGGTACCACTGTATATGCAATCCAATGCATGGCATGTCTAAAGGTAAAGGTAACGGTAAAGGGACCCCTGACCATCAGGTCCAGTCGTGACTGACTCTGGGGTTGCGGCGCTCATCTCGCTTTATTGGCCGAGGGAGCCAGCGTACAGCTTCCGGGTCATAACTAAGCTGCTTCTGGCGAACCAGAGCAGTGCACGGAAACGCCATTTACCTTCCCACTGGAGCGGTACCTATTTATCTACTTGCACTTCGTCGTGCTTTCGAACTGCTAGGTTGGCAGGAGCAGGGACCGAGCAATGGGAGCTCACCCCGTCGCGGGGATTCGAACCGCCGACCTTCTGATCGGCAAGTCCTAGGCTCTGTGGTTTAACCCACAGCGCCACCCGCGTGTCTACTGAGTAGTAAATCCAAATGGGTTAAGTGGGGCTTGCCCCCAGGCGAGCATGTATAGGGTTGAAGCCAGATAGAGTTGGAGGGTTTTACTAAGCCAGTGGAATGTACATCAGCTAAAGCTAGGCAAGTGTAAATTACCCCTATTTCAAACTCTGTTCAGGAGCAGTTCTACTGCTGGCTGAGCTAGCCCAAGCCAGGCAGAGTGGAAACAAGCCTTCAAAATAAAGTTTTGTTTGCAACACCCTTTTTGCTGGCATAGCTTCTGCCGGGTTGCCAGGTCATGTGACAGAGGTCAGTGGAGTTAGGATCCACCATTAATCCTCCCACAACTACCCAATAACACCTACCGGTATTTTTCAGAGTTTCTGCCAGTGTAGGATCTACCAGTCTCACCTGAGCTAGCTGATCCATGGTGAGAGATTTATTCCAGGGGATCTCCAGCTGATCCAGGATCTGGGGCTCACACCAGCATAGCCTGGTTGCACTAGGAACCAGCTGACTAAACAGGATCCTAACTCCCTCATCCTAGTGAATCTTGGGTTTGTATTTTCTCCTGATAGATAACGTCAAAATAACAGGTGAAACATTGCCTGCTAAATATGTATGCAAATAATAGGTGAGAAAATGGTATCTCTAAGATGTGTGCATCCATCCATCCAGACACAATGGCCTCAGTCTAGCCAAAGTCAATAAGGGCAGAGTCCTATTGAAATCCATATTGTTTTAAAGCTAGCCACAACTAGTTCCATGATTGCTATGGGACAATGGGTCTATGCTTCAATGTATGAAGGCAATACCTGATTCAGTGAAGCCCACGAGTTAAGAATTATCGCTTGCCTATATTCACAATGGCAATGCATACGCTGTTTATCATTGTAGTACAGTACATTCAGTGCAGTTTAGCGCCACCCAAAGAGCTGAAACACTGATCCCCAATGGTGGCCCCAGTGACTGCTTAGAGACGTACCGTTGTCTCCAACTTCAGTAACATGCAGATCTGGGATCCTAGTAGGATGAAGGAGAACGGGATGATAGACAGAAAGAAGTTTCATATCAAGTCCTAAAAGGGACAAAATCACAATGAGATATCAGAAAGATAAAGCAGGACCACAAGCAAGGTGGCAGAAACAACTTTTGGGGGCACCAGCCCCCTCAAATATTTTATTGGGGGGGCAAAGGGACCTCAGCCTCTAGGATTTGACTCCAATCAATGCACACTCTATATCTGTCACATCTAGTCAGTCCCTCAAACTAGGTTAGAATCACATTTTTAACAGCCTCGTGCATTAAAAACAACAACCCCCCCTCTTGCAAGTTTAAACCTAGCACAGCAGCTTATATGTTTCTCCCCAATGAGCTAATTTTGTATGTACAGGGAGATTTTGTTTTTTACACAGCAGCCATTCAAAAATCAGATTCCATACCTGCCGTCTACAGTATTACAGTCCAATCTACCAATTCTAAATTCTGCTACATCGTTCTGCTGCATACAGCAATCTCCTCACTATTAGAGTCACTTCATATCACCAAATTTAGCTTAAAGTGTTCTGCATGATCCATGAACAACTCAGTGCATTGACAACTGCTGCATCAAGCTTCTGTTTCCAGTGATATTACTAATACAGTCAATTGCCTAGACCAGGAATAGCCAATGTATTACCCTCCAGGTGCTTGCTGGCATACAGCTCCCATTATCCCTGGTCATTGGTCATGTGATACATCTGGGGGCACCATGTTGGTGACCCCTGCTCTAGGTATAGTCGTATGCATGTATATAGATGTAGGTCAAGTTTTGGTGTCAAGCTGGCAGCTTCATTTTATCTTAAACTTTCAGTAGCTTTCCTTGCAGATGTTGCCTCATGCTATGCAACACTTTGATCACGTCCACACCATATTTTCAAGGCACATGTCTTCTCCCAAAGAATGCTGGGAACTGTAGTTTGTTAATGGTTCTGGTAATTGCAGCTCTACAGTTCCAAAGAATATTTGGAGGAAACCATGACTGGTAAAGTGGCATAAAGGTAAAGGTAAAGGGAGCGCTGACCAGTTGTGACCGACTCTGGGGTTGCGGCGCTCGTCTCGCTTTATTGGCCAAGGGAGCCAGCATACAGCTTCCGGGTCATGTGGCCAGCATGACTAAGCCACTTCTGGCGAACCAGAGCAGCGCACAGAAACGCCGTTTACCTTCCTGCCAGAGCGGTACCTATTTATCTACTTGCACTTTGATGTGCTTTCGAACTGGTAGGTTGGCAGGAGCAGGGACCAAGCAATGGGAGCTCACCCCGTCACGGGGATTCGAACCGCCGACCTTCTGACTGGCAAGTCCTAGGCTCTTTGGCGATCACAATTCTATGATTTGTGTGACCTCTGGGCTGATTGGGTGATTAGCAGGGCTGCATTTACATACCTACACTTGTATTTCCTACAACAAGAGGTGCATCTGGGTAGTTGGCTTTCAGGTTGACAAGCTCTTGCAGAGACACGGGAGAAATCCAGGTGGTTCTCTCTCCATTGAAAACCAGAGTTTTTCCTTTGCTCTCTTCAGCCAATCTCTGTGAGAAAAAGCAACATGGATAGAGTATTGCACAAGGATGAACAAAACGCAAACATAGATGTTTCAAGGAGAACCAAGCCCTCTTTAATCCTGAACCACACCTTACAGTTAAGTGTTAAGCACTCTTCCCAGGATAGCTTTATGGTGCTGGTGTTGTTTTGTGCATCCACAACATAGAGGAGATTACGTTTATGGTAATTTAAAAACTGCAAGAATTTCTGGCTTTAAAAAGAAGTGTGTAGGAAAAAAACAGAAAATATTTTCAGAGAGTTTTCAACAGTGTTGATAAGGGGGATGAAGTGGCAGCGATAGAAAAATTTCACAGAGATGTGAAGTTGCTGTCTTTTTATACTCTAGTAAAGAGGACTGACTCCTGCCAACCTAGCAGTTCGAAAGCACATCAAAGTGCAAGTAGATAAATAGGTACCACTCTGGCGGGAAGGTAAACGGTGTTTCCGTGCGCTGCTCTGGTTCGTCAGAAACGGCTTAGTCATGCTGGCCACATGACCCAGAAGCTGTCTGCAGACAAACACCGGCTCCCTAGGCCTATAGAGCGAGATGAGCGCCGCAACCCCAGAGTCGGTCACGACTGGACCTAATGGTCAGGGGTCACTTTACCTTTACCTAAAGAGGACTGAAGTCCATGATGAGCAGGCAATTGGGGAAAATAACACATTCATCCTTCTGGCAACCCCAGTGAAGGAGGGATGCATTTTCAGGGGAGATCTGGTAAGCAGGTGGGGGTCGGGTAAGTGTGTTAGGGTTGTATGGGGAAACACAACCCCGAGCGAGTGCTTAGAACCCACTGGAATCTTGCTACCATTTAGCAAATATTAGGGGTGGCATGCAAACTTTGTAACAATATGCAAACACTCTCACACACACACTTATATAGTCTATTATAGACTCCTTCACAACAGGCATGAACAAATTTCTCCTACCATTAGTTCAGGAGGAAATATATAATCCTGGGTTGGGTCAATGGGATGAAATCTTTCAGGCTTGCATAGACCTGAGCACATCTATGGAAAAGAAATGAAGGCTTAATATTAGCACGCACAGGAAGTGGAAAAGAAGGGTATAATATACCTCTAGCAGTGGCCAAAAATGTGGGGCCCATGAGCCCATTTTTAAAGTTTTTTTAAGGGAGTGCTGTAGGCGACAACCCCATCTGGTTGATTCTCTCCCCACTCCCCCTGGACCCAAATACAGACATAAGGAGACAAAACTCAGTCACACACATATTTGCTCTTCAAAATAGTATTGGCAAAAGTTAGGCCCAGGAGAATTAAAATGGATCTTCCTGAATTTGCAACATCAAATTAAAGCTTACAATGGTAGGCAGCATAGTAAAGACAAACAAACCCATAGATCTTGTGCTTACGAGCAAGTCAAAACCATTGATCCAAGGCACAGATCCTCATGAACAACAAAAGCACCAACAAATCACCAAACACATCTGTGGCCATAAGAGGTGATCTGTGCTTCGGTGATGGTTTTGAGGGGAAGCTTTGTAAACATTACAAGGATTTGCATGATTCAGAAAAGTGAGCAATTTGGTTGTCCTGCATTTGTGAAGCAGGCCTTCATAGACAATGCAGTTCAGGCATACTGAAGTTCTCACCCTGGGCCAACAGGGGGGATACTGTAGATAGTTATGCAAATGAAGGATCGAAAGTGACGTTCAGTGATTGGATAGTTTTAAAAAGTTGCTACAGTTACGATGTTCTGGAGCTCTATATAAGCAGGCTGACTGAGCTCTTCAGTTCTGTTCTGTTCTGGCCTCTGAATAAACAAGAGCTGTTTGAAGAATCGCTGTGTCATCTGATATGTTCGCCCACAACTTAACAAGGCATATGTTCAGCGGGCCTCAAATTGGGATTGATAGGATATAAAATCACATTGTGGATGACCTTTGTTTGGGCAATGTCACCATCATTTAATTATTTGGAACATAACATGCTCTACTCTTCTTCTTCTTCTTTTTGTAAACGCATTAGAAAAGCATTTCTCCTCAAATCGCATTAATCCCTATTTTAAAACACAAATAACCAAAGCTCTTTACAGAGTAGTCCACTGCCAATTGAAGATTTTGCTTAGCAAACACCCAGATAGTTAAGCAGGTTTAGAGCTTCCTCTGCAATGTTGCTCAAGGGTGTGGTGATTATATTTCACTGTTGTGTAAGAAACACAAGCTCCATTTAAACCATTCTTGACCTTCACACTCATCACGAAGCTGATGAAAGGATTATGAAGATGGCATAAATCCTCTTTGCCAAAACTTGCCTTATTGCAAAACAGTATTAGAAGAGTAGAGGGAAACGCTGACAACCGAAAATGTTTCCATTCACCTATCATGTTACACGTCCTGTGTACATACCCACTGCAGGTCAGAGCTAGTCTAATAAGATTTAACTTGGGAGCATGAGAAGGTAGCTAAGCCACCTCACCCTCTGAAAGCGACGCCTGTATTTTTATGTTCCAAGTTTTACAGATCTGGCTTCTCCCTTCTAGGATTACCAAATGCTCCAGAGACTCTCATTAGACCTCTGAAGCATGATTTAGCAAGCAAAATTGCACTCCCTGCGTGTATAGGATTTTGGGGTGTATCGATCAGTGCAGACAGGGAGGGTTAAGCCTCCTCTCCCATACTGTGACTCCAACCCCTAGTACTACCCTGTGTGACTATTAAGCTTAGAAACCGTTGGCAGGCGCCACTGCAGGACTTTTTTCAAGCCTAATTGTCACCTGGAAAGGTAGGCAGAGGAGGGGAGGTTGTGTGGTGCCCCACAGCCATGGAACATTTAAACACAATACCATCAACCCTCCCCGCCACAACTTTGCAAAATCTGTTGCAAAATCGCAGTAAGCTTGCACTGCTTCTGAAAGATGGATCCAGTTCTCACTAAATGTCAGAGGAATTCTGGCAGTTCCAATGAACTGGTATTTTGTACTGTTTAATGTGGAACTACAGTTTCTCCTCTGGGTAGAAACTCTGTGATCCTGGGTTGACCTGAATAAACTCCTGGGTTGGAGAAAGATTTACTACTAATTACTTCCCGGCATTCTCATCGCCCAGGCTTGCACCCCGGGGAGATCACTTCAGTGCTACTAACTTCACCCCTGGAGGCTCACTCCATTGTCGCTCGAGACGGACGGGTGCCAACTTTCTGTCAAAACACTGCTATTTTTCTGAGAAACTATGTTCCCTTTCAGAATAGGGCTGGGACTGCTCCGAAGCTTGCTCCCATCTGGCAAGATGGTGCTTTGAAGGATGGATCGGCATCTACGTATTTCTGAGCTCAGTCACATTCTGGGATATTTGTAAAATCTCTCTCTATAGTTGCTGGTTCCTCGGACTTCATGTGACTCTGTAAAGCAGGGCTGGGGAACTGTAATGGAAGATTTATAGATAAGCGTAGTGTACACAGAGTTAGGGCCCCCTGCAGCTTAGCCCACCCCCAATAATTGGTATCCATTCTTAACTGAGTGAATACCTTTGAAACGTAACTGCAAACAATGAATTGTCATGGTTGAATTATAGCATTTTAGTTTGTTGTGTTGTGTTGTGTTGTTTCCATTCTTCGTTTCTCCTATTCCCCATTTGAAGTCAGGGAAGGCTGTTCCACTAGGGTGTGAAGGCTTTCCTCAAGTGGAAGTTTTAAACACCAAGATAAACTCACTGGCACTTGTGTAAAGATTACACACGTTCAATCATTGTGTGATAAATGTGGGAATTAGAAAGTGGTCGCTTACCCTGTTTCCTTCTCTGGAACACGAGTGTTCCTCTTTCCCTTCTTTCTCTTTCCCTTCTTTCTCTTTCCCATCTTTATCCATGCAACATTTCCCACTCCCTGCCAGCGGGCAGGATTCCTAAAGAAAGAATTCATTCAATAGTGTTACAGAGGGTTATCCCATTCCAAGCAATGCATATGGGTTTTTAAGGCTGCAAGGTGAAGCAAGTCCTGTGGAACACAGCCAGATCCTTTATATTTTTATTTGTGGCATTTACACCCAGCCCTTTAGCCCCAAAGGCTATCAAGCGGCTTAGAAAATACTAAGAGAACTTTTGAGAAAACATGCATAGGTTTGCACTTGTAAAATACGTGTTTAGATGTTTGTTGTATTTATATTCTTACATTAATACCCTACCTTTCTTCCATCATGGAACCTGAGTGGCATCCACATGGCTCTGAAGAAGTCTCTCAACCGAGCACTGAACAGATTCAGAACTGCTTAGTTACAGTAAAATGGTAGCTTCATGTGCCTTTAGATCAGGCATAGGCAAACTCCGGCCCTCCAGATGTTTGGGACTACAACTCCCATCATCCCTAGCTAACAGGACCAGTGGTCAGGGATGATGGGAATTGTAGTCCCAAACATCTGGAGGGCTGGAGTTTGCCTATGCCTGCCTTAGACCATATCCTGGAATGTGCCACCCCCTCAACAGGTCATTGCCAGATTTCTCCCAGAAAGGGTAAATCCAGATTAACCAGGGATGAGGAGATGAGGAGAGCCTGACAAGGACATTAGGTAGACTCTGAAAAGTGTGTGTGAGGAGCACCGGCTCTACAAGATATATCCCTCCCTGGAAGCACCCTCCAACTCATGTTCCTCAACAAGTAAAGGTAAAGAGGCCCCTTAAGTCCAGTCGCGGATGACTCTGGGGTTGCGGCTCTCATCTCGCTTTACTGGTCAAGGGAGCCGGCGTTTGTCCGCAGACAGCTTCCGGGTCATGTGGCCAGCATGACTAAGCCACTTCTGGCGAACCAGAGCAATGCACAGAAACGCCGTTTACCTTCCCGCTGGAGTGGTACCTATTTATCTACTTGCACTTGACGTGCTTTCGAACTGCTAGGTTGGCAGGAGCAGGGACCAAGCAATGGAAACTCACCCTGTTGTGGGGATTTGAACCACTGACCTTCTGATCAGCAAGCCCTAGGGCTCTGTGGTTTAGACCACAGCGCCACCCGTGATATTCACTAAATACCATCCAGAGGCATAGTATTGGAGGTGATAGACAGCCATCATGACTAGCAGCTATTGTTAACCTTATCCTCTGTGACTTTACCTAATTCCTTCTTAAGGCCATCCAAGTTGGCATGCATATTGTGGTAGTGAAGAGGGAATAATACACACTTTCCCTTAATCTTCCACCATTCAGCTTTTGGGAATGACTCTGGGAGACAGAGAGAGAGCCCTGACCACTTAGACCAAGCAAAATTTTATATCTATCACGTCACTTTGGCGAAGGGTCAAAAGTGCCCCGTGCCTTTGTGTATACCAACAAATAGCAATTTTAACACAGTGTTATTTATTTTTCTATTTGTTTCCCTTACCGGAGAGAAAGCACTGAAGCTGTCAACTATAGGTCTGTATCCCGTGCAACGGCACAAATTGCCTGGAAGGAACGATCAGACACAGAGATAAACGGATCAAAGCTACAGTTTTGCAAATCATCTGAACCTAGCACTTCAATTCAACTTGTGTAACAGAGATCATGGGCAACTAACTTTGGTAAAGATTTGGCCAGGATTTGAATACAAAACTAAAAATAATAATGTAGCCTTAAAGGGGGCAATCTCTCTCTCTCTTGCATATACACTGCTTCTCTTCCTTATCCATGTACCTGAGGATATGTTGATCGAAATGTAATGTTGTTATATGTTTTAATTATTTGGTGGCATGCTTTTTTGGACTGTTAGAACTTAAAATAAAGAACAAGAAGAAATACTTGGAGCCAGTAAATTTGCTCTTGTAGGGTGGTGGGCTGAATCTGGCCTGTTGTCTGCTAGCTAGCCTGGACCCTACTGAGCCATAAGCAAAATGCATGTGCATTTAAGAAATGGTCCTTCAGAGCACATAGGAACCAGATGACACCAAACACGAGAGCAACACAAAAGTATAGGGTAAGTGTTCTGCTACTAACTAGGGATGGGTGAACCTGTCAATTTCAGTCCCACTCATTTTCTCATTTTTCCGTGTTCTGCATTTAGGCATCAGTTTGTGATCAATATTTTTAAAAGTCCTTGTGAAAATTCATCAGCGCTTAAGCATGAATTTCTCCTAATATACACGTTTTTGCAAAGAAATTTTCTTGAATATAATGCATTTTTAAATGTTATTTTCACTTATATTTGCATTTCTATGCACACTTTACTCCAGTACATGCATTTTTGTACACGCCACTTGACTGGAGAACTGCATTCCAAAATTCAGAGAAGCATGAATTTCAAAAGATGGCTGTGTTTTGGTTTGTGCATTGTTTCAGAAAGTGCGAATTAGGTAAGTTCTCCTTTAAATGTGAACTGATTTGACTTTCTCCCCCACCCCTGCTCTTAACTAAGCAATTTTACAAGACATTCAAATAAAAACAACAACTATTTTTATATATCAGTTTGGGGGGGGGGATATTTTGAGAAAGCCAGCCTACCATCCAGACACGCAGTTATCTGATCCATGGTAGGTTCGGGGTTATTTCTTAAGAGAGAATACATAGACATCACCATCCCAGGAGTGCAGAAGCCGCACTGGGAGCCGTGGCACTTTGCAAGCCTTTCCTGGAATGATAATACATATCTAAATGGATAGTCCATACAAAGAAACATTGACTTCTAGAGCATCATCCTACCTTTTCCTGATTTCCTTTGCCCTCTTATTATTACTATTACTCAGTAAAGTTACTAAAAAATGCATCCTGTGCCCAAATTCATGGCTGTAGCAAAGGGCAGAAGCTGCAGGAGAAGTTTTGAAGTGTCAATTGTAGCTTTTGTTCTTTGCCATGGGGCACTCTGTCCTGGCTCCTGCCAACAAACTCTGCCCCCCACCCCATTAAAATTTGCTGAATCAGAAGCATTAAGTCTCATTTAAAGGGGGTGGCACCAGTTGACAGCAGCCTGCTATACAAGGATTAAGCAAAAGCTTTTCCCATCCTTCTGTATCCATGCTACCTGTAGCTAAGGTAAAGGTAAAGGGACCCCTGACCATTAGGTCCAGTCGTGGCCGACTCTGGGGTTGCGGCACTCATCTCGCTTTATTGGCCGAGGGAGCCGGCGTACAGCTTCCGGGTCATGTGGCCAGCATGACTAAGCCACTTCTGGCGAACCGGAGCAGCACACGGAAACGCCGTTTACCTTCCCGCCAGAGCGGTACCTATTTATCTACTTGCACTTTGACGTGCTTTCGAACTGCTAGGTTGGCAGGAGCAGGGACCAAGCAACGGGAGCTCACCCCATCGCAGGGATTCGAACTGCCGACCTTCTGATTGGCAAGTCCTAGGCTCTGTGGTTTAACCCACAGCGCCATCTGCGTTCCTAGCTGGCGACATTTTTGGAGAAGGGCCAGTGACCAAGCTGGCAAAGTCCCAGACAGTCACAGGCCAAAAAGAAAGAAAAAAAGTTCTAGAAATGGGTGGTCCATTCTCAAAAACTTGATTCATAATTTGGCTCCGCTACTGACACCATGACAACTACTGTTACTACTACTACTACTACTACTACTAAGAAGAAGAAGAAGAAGAAGAAAGAAGCTTGGTTGCAATCTGTTTCAGATCCTGCCATACTCTTGGTGAAGTCATTGATACCATAACAGGGTCCCAATCATTTCCCAAGTTGCATCTCCTATTTTCTATTTTGGCTGCTGTGGCAGATATTACAGCAGCAGCAGATTTCTTCTTCCTTCCCTTTTTTGGCAGAGAAATGCAATTTCCCCAGGGTCGCTGGCACACATGCCAATGGAAGGAGGGTAGGAGGGAAGGAAGGCTGTAACGCCAACAGCCGGATAAGGGGAGTGGAGAGGGATAATAATAATAATAATAATAATAATAATAATTTATTATTTATACCCCGCCCATCTGGCTGGGTTTCCCCAGCCACTCTGGGCGGCTTCCAACACTAAAATACAATAACCTATTAAACATTAAAAGTGAGGATGGGTGAGAGATGAGACAGTAGGGATGTTTTAATTTGTTGGAACCCGTCTAGAGTGGCTGGCGAAACCCAGTCATATGGGCGGCATATAAATAATAATAATTATTATTTAGAAGCTCTCCTCCAGGTTGTCCAAACTCAAACTGGCCCAAGAAGAACAATGGGGCTGCAACGCTTGCCTTGGACAAGCATTACAGGCCACCAGGCTTTTTACATCTTCTGAAACTCGGGCAAAGTGAACTTGGACAACATCTCTTATTTTACTCTCACCTGAATGGGATGGAGCTTGGTTTTCGTAGTTCCAACTCCTTCCACGGTAGTTACTGCAGCGCCATACAACAGGCATAATGGAAGTAGGCACGAGTTGGCTGGATAATGTCTTTGAAATGTAAAGGAGAATTTTGAGGACTAAACCACCTTTTTCCAACCCACTAGGGCCATTTTTAGCCACGGATGGTCTCGGGGCTAGCACAATCCAATATGCAGCACTGGACTCCAGAACTTGAAAAGGTTGCTCCCCACCCCAGAACTACCCATTCTTTCTCAGACTGCATTCTCCATTAACCTATGTATATCAATTGAAAGGTGTGACAGTGAGGTAGAGCTGGTCTTCTTCAACCTTGGGTGCCCCTGGGTGTTAAAGAGGTAAAGGGACCCCTGACCATTAAGTCCAGTCGTGGCCGATTCTGGGGTTGCGGCGCTCATCTCACTTTATTGGCCGAGGGAGCCGGCGTACAGCTTCCGGGTCATGTGGCCAGCATGACTAAGCCACTTGTGGCGAACCAGAGCAGCGCATAGAAACGCCGTTTACCTTCCTGCCGGAGAGGTACCTATTTATCTATTTGCACTTTGACGTGCTTTTGAACTGCTAGGTTGGCAGGAGCAGGGACCGAGCAACAGAATCCCCTGTTGCGGGGATTCGAACCGCCGACCTTCTGATCAGCAAGTCCTAGGCTCTGTGGTTTAACCCACGTCCCTTGCCCCTGGGTGTTAGTAGACTACAATGCCATCATCCTCAGTCAGCATGGATGATGGAAGTTCTAGTCCAGGGGTTGGCAACGTGAGACCATAGCTGTCAACTTTCCCCTTTTTTAAAGGAAAATCCTATTCGGAATAAGGGAATTTCCCTTTAAAAACGGGAAATGTTGACAGCTATGCGTGCGGCCCAGGAGCCAGATGTGGCCCACGAGGACAATTTTACCAGCCCACGAGCTGCCTGCAAACCAAGCCGCCCGCTCGGCAAATCCCCCACACGCTGCACTAAAGCAGCATGGTGCGGGGACTCGCTGAGTGGCACCAGAAATGGTGCCTGCACACTTGTAGATACCAGAAATCACATCTGCACATGTCCAGACGCCGAAAATCGCTCATGCGCAGGCGTGATTTCCAGCATCTGGGCATGCGCAGAAGCGATTTCTGACGCCGTGGACATGCGCAGACGCAATTTCCGGCATCGCGCTGCTCCAGTCCGGCCCACCGACAATCCGGTGTGATCCGCCCCATGGCTAATAAAGCTTGCCAACCCCTGTTCTAGTCCAACAACATCTGAGGGACCAACACCCAAACTGAGGACCCCTGAAGCCATGCGCACCCTTTAACTTTGAAGCGCATTCAAAACACATCGTTTGCCTCAAAGGATTATGGGCCCTGTAGTTTACCTCTCACAGAGTTGCAATTCACGGCCGTCCTTAACAAACTACAGGGCCCAGAATTCTTTGAGGGAAACAAGGTGCTTTAATGGGTTTTAAAGGTAGGGCACGTACACAGGTAAAGCGCTGAGGAGGGACCGCAATCACCCCTCAAAAACTCGCATGGGGGAGCAAAGTTAAATTCTGTCCATGGCAGCAGCCTAGTTGAGCAGGGCCTTGATGCTCTGAGGAGAAAAATTCCACCCTGCAGGGCCCTTAACCCTTCATGGCCGCCAAGGCTCCTCTTCCCCTCAGTTTGCCCCTCATCACTCCCTGCTCCCTTCCCTGTCCCCTGTCAGTACCACTGTTGAGTCTGAAGCAAGTTAAAATGGAGGCAAAATGGAGTCTGAAGCAAGTTAAAATGGAGGCAGACAGCCTCTAGGTATTCAGCAGGTCTTTTTTGCACATTTCTGACAGATGCTCTTTTCAGCCGTCAGATCAAACAACCATTCCTGGGATTATTTGTGGGAAAGCTATATATGGCAAGTGAATTTTATTTTTTTTAAATGACATCAAGTTTTGGTGCAGTTATCTGCATGAAGCATCTTTCCCTTCCTTAAGGATACCGTATCTTCTTGGTGTCTGGGTTGTATGTCGATATCATCACTGTGCAAGCCCCACAGCCTCCAATTCCACAGCCATACTTCGTTCCTGTGAGGCAGACTTGTAGTTACAGTGGAGGGTTAAGGAAAATAAGTGCTGACTCCTTCTTTAATATCTGGATCCTACCCCCCCCCCCCGCCGCATGACGTCTTTCACATTACTTTTTATATCCTTTATGGGGTGGAGGAGAAAGAAAATAAATGAAGAGAAGGCACTTTATCAAGATGATAGTTAAGTTTGAGAAGATATTTTTTATTTTAAAAAACCCCCTATACTTTAATGAATATTTTTAATTTAACTTTTTATGTAGCCAAAGGCCCCATCTGCACTATACAGTTAAAGCAGTATTGTACCACTTTAAACTGTCATGGCTTCCCCCAAAGGATCCTGGGAACTGTAGTTTGTGAAGGGTGCTGAGAGTTGTTAGGAGACTCCTATTTCCCTCAGAGAACTACAGTTCCCAGAGTGGGTTAACAATCCCTCTTCCCGAGAACTGTATTTTTTTTTGAGGGAAATAGAGGTCCCTTAAATAGGTTTCTCTCTGGGAACTGTAGTGTTTTTTTTAGAGAAATAGGGGTCTCAACACTCTTAAACTACAGTCCCCATGATTCTTTGGGGGAAGTCATGACTGGTTAAAGTTGCATGATCCTACTTCAAATGTATTGCGCAAATGGAGTCTAAGACTGAAATAATATGCACTGACCCGAGAGTGGGACTTACTTAGGAGTAAATATGCATAGAATTGTGCTGTAACTATTGCTCTGTTGTAGTTTCTACTGAAATTCATATTCATGTATGGTTTGTTTTGTTTCATGTGGCATGTCATGTGCCTTTGTAGTTTAGTGATTGGCTGGACTGAGGTAATCAACAAATCACGTTTGAGAAAGGGTGCTTGGTTCGCACATAATGTCAAACCATAATCAAAACAAACCTAGGTTTGTAAGTCAACAACAAACCATAGTTTAATAAACCATGGTTTAATGTTATGTGCAAACCCGAAGTCCTTGCTTTTGAAAAGCCAAGAGGAATAATGCCGTAGAGCAGTAGAGAATGCAACACCAAAGGGATGCTGCTGCTCCTTGTGGATGCCAATTTACCTTAGCTAGAGAAAGTATCCATAGCAGGGCACAACCAGAATATCAGAAGGAAAACTGCAGATCTTTTGCCCAAGTAGCCCATCCCTTGGAACTGGGGCCGGCCCTCCCATGAGGCAAACTGAAGCAGCTGCTTTGGGTGGCAGAATCCCATGTACTGGAACCCCTGCAGGTGCCCTGCCTGTCCCTGCTGGGGTCATGTGGTTGCGGCTGTAGCTTCCGGTGAGATCTTGTGAGATCTCTGCAAGAGTCTGCAAGATCTGGTGAAATCTTGCGAGTGCTCTCTGGAAGCCACCACTATCACACAAAGCCTTGTAAGTGAGGCTACACAGTAGCTTCCCATTTCACCTGAGGGGGAGCAAAAGGAAGCTGCTCCTGCCTGGAACTATTTCCATTCATGGGATAATTACGGGAAGTCTTAACACTTCTGCTTATTCTTACTTCAACTTCATGCTGATTTTCTGTGAACCGCTGTCCTAACAAGAAAAACAGGCTTGCTCCATTAAAATGTATGACTGCAGAGATTAATCTCACTTTACAAATTGACTTTTGCTTTGCAATATCTTATGCCCCAGAGTGTTTCCAAGTCCTGGTAAAATATTATTTGCAAAGTTTTCAATTATGTAGACTCTAGAGCAAGGGTCAGCAAAATTTTTCAGCAGGGGGCCAGTCCACTGTCCCTCAGACCTTGTGGGGGGCTGGACTATATTTTTTGGGGGGGAAATGAATGAATTCCTATGCCCCACAAATAGCCCAGAGATGCATTTTAAATAAAAGCACACATTCTACTCATGTAAAAACACCAGGCAGGCCCTACAAATAACCCAGAGATGTATTTAAATAAAAGCACACATTCTACTTATGTAAAAACATGCTGATTCCCGGACCGTCCGCAGGCCAGATTTAGAAGGCGATTGGGCTGAATCTGGGCCCCAGAACACTAAGTTTTGGTAAGTTTCTAGTTCTAAAATATCTATCTTTCCAATGCATGTAAAATTGAATTGTGGAATAGGATGCTTCTAGACTAGGACTTGTAAAAAAAAACTTAAGAAACCTGTTGCCAAAGTATAAGATTTTTTCACAGAAAATGTAATTTTGGCACATGTTTGCATAGCTGGTTGTACAATGGAGAGTAGAAAAGGATATGTTCTACAGTGTCCAGCATATTCAAAGAACAGCCGCAATGGCTATCATTTCTGGGGATGTTTAAATATCTGCCCTTGACAAAAGCTGAGGGGAAAATGTTCACTCGGGCTAACAGAAAGGCCCTGTGTTGGACTGGAATTATTAATTTTGAGATATAGGTGACCCTGTTATCTGTTGTATTTAAACCACAGAACTTGGGGGAGTAAATTATATTTACAGCTGACTCGATGTTTTGTTTTTCAATGTCCCTTAATCTGGTTTGAATATTGCGATAAATATATTGCTCACTTGAATTATACAAGGGTTCCAAGTCAATACCAATAGATCTGATTTTGCTATGTAAGAGGTGGAACCATCTGGATTTAGAAGAGTCCCTAAGTAAGTCAGTTTGCAGAGTCGAAGGTTGGCAACAAAAATGGCAACGCAACCAGTATTTTATAGTGCAAGTTCTATACCTATACCTAGTTCTGCATACCTCTCATACTTGATTGAACATGGGAGCCCCAGGATACGTCTCAATAAACTTTTCAAATCGGTAACAGAATAGTTATGCAATGCAAGAGCTTTAAAAGGATACGCCCCGTTCTCAGGTAATTAAGCAGCAGTTCTTCAGGATCAGCAGATTTCTCTATCACCTGCATTAGAAAGGAGAGTCGAGAAACCAAAAATTACACCTTGCTTAAGAGGATTACCTATGCTTTTGATGAGAGGAATTGATATCACATGCTGCTTTTCTTCAGTTTCTCTTATTCAGACACAACAATACAGGTCTTATCAAACCACAGGGAAACTGGAACTTGAGTTCATCTACTTGGGTTGATGGCATTCCAGGCATTTACTCTGCATCTAGAGTGCTTCCATTGCATCTTTTGAAATCTTGATTTATGCCTTGATTTATGATGGGAACCATTTTGGGGAGAACTTGCATACTGGAGAAACTTTAAAAAGATTTGGAATCCAAATCCTTCTCCCTTATTTGCATTTAGCTTTATTTGGATCCAGCATATAAGGTTTGTAATATTTTTCTTTTCTTTTTTGGAAGCTCTGCTTAACTATGATGTATTTGTAGAGGAGGAGAACAAGGCAGAAGAGTAATAAAATATATGAATGGATGAATACTGTTATGAATTTGTGGGTGCCAGACACCTGTAATTCCTGGATCCAGGAAGTGTGAGAATTTAATCAAGGCTTGAAATGTAAAAATGGGTGCCAGACTCTTAATCCTGGGACCCAGGCAAGCTTCCTCATAAGGCCCGGGTGATGGGTCATTAAAAGAACGAAGGAAGGGTAATGGGCCATTAAGAAAGCAAGGAGAGGGGGCTCTGTGCCGGATAGCTAGTTAGAATACAAAGCCAGAGTTTGATGTAGAGTTTTGGAGCTGTGATGTGAACTAGAAATACCACTGCAGGCTCGAAAGCCAGAGGCAGAGCATGATGTTTGATTTCTGCTTGAATCCAAGGCTGCAGCTATGGGAGTAGTAGGACACGCTTGGGGTGTTGTGAACCCCTCCATCGTAGGCTAAGGTTGTATATATGTGTAAAGAAACCATATGTCATAAAGACACCATAGTCTCTGCTGTGCCTCATTTCCAAAAGGAAACACAAACTCTGGGCAAGTGCTTCGAACCCCTGGAATCTCTCTGCTCAGATTGGGATGGCATGCAACAATATTCTTACAGCAGCTGAAGGGAACCTTTAGCCCTCCAGATGTTAAAATTAATGAACTTAAATGCTAGTTGAATGCCACCCACTATTTTCCTCTTCTTCTGATAAGAATAAATATAAAATAAGGGCACAATCTAGCCAAGTAACCACTTTTAAACACTGCCAATTTCAATAGGACAGTTTCAAATGTGCTTAACTTTTTCCCACTGAAATCAAAGTGCCTCTCTTATAGTTGTGTCATACTAGACTTATAGTTGAAAGTATACAAAGCACAATTAGTGCATGCAGTTGTTTTCTTCCTATTTGAAATAACTGCAGAATTCAAGTTGCTAAGAAACATGACACATGTATTTTAATCATTTCCTCGTCCTCTCTGGGTGAAATATCTGTAAATGGAGATGTTTTATTGTCTTTGTTCTCAAGTGGAGAAAACAAGAGAAAGTAAACATATGGGTGCATTTTAAGTGTTAAATTGCATGCATACCTCTTTTTTTTTAGCATGAAGGGATATTAATGTTATTTGATTATATTTCATTAGGGAACCTTTCATTGAATGTCCTTTTTACTTAAGATTGTTGTAGGGCACTCACAGTGAACTCATGCTGTATTTTCATTTTTAAAAGTTTGGTGATATGGTATTGCAACCGATTACTATAGCTTATAGCTATAATAATAGCTTAATCCATTTCCAACAGCATTGCTCTGACAGCTGTTGCTCCATCCTCTTTCATTTTCGTAAGACCTAGGCTTTCAAACACTAGAGGAAGTGTCTGCAAGGTTTAATTTAGTAATGTGAAATAAACATAGTTGACAATCCCAGTCAATGGTGGTCAATGAGATAGAGAAAGAAAGTCCCAACTTGTAGACAATGACATTGAAATGACAGAATATTGCAGGGAAAAGATATGTAATTTGTAAGGTCATGAATAACATCTAGAGAACATTTTAAATCTTCTTTGTAGATACAAGAATGTGCCTTCCCCCCTTTTAAAAACACACTAAAGTATTAAAAGAAATCCTTACCTTCCTTCCGTTCACAAAAAAAATGAGCTCATCCGATTGTTGGGGATTAGCCATTCTGCCGTATGAAAGCACACCTTGAAAGCTGTCAGATATTGAGCAAAAGGAGGGGAAAAAATACAGATTCTACAGTTGCTTCCACCACTGCTTTGGTCTGTGTTGCCCAGAACCGAGCAACAAATTATATAGGTGAAGAGGAGGAGCCAGAGTGGAATCGGTTGGAAGAGCTTTTCTTCCTCGCTAATCATAAATTTGATGCATGGTTGTAATAAATTAAGGTTTCTTGCAGATGGCAGATGCTTTTATACCTAAGGTTTTGTTTTAAAAAAGCAAAAGAACTGGTTGACACAGAAACCATTGTAATCCTCCTAAGCAAGTATGCCTTTCTGTACTGGTCTCCCTTTTCAATTGAACAGGGCACTGAAAGGTCAAAAGAGGAGATGCCAGCGGAATTTCAGAGGGAAAGGAGCTCAAAGGTGGAGTGCCACTAATGATAAAGCTCTTCTCTCACATTGCCATAGAAGTGGGCCTTCCCTAAGGATGGCAAGACTGGCCGATCTTGACAGATGTGCAGGCCAGTACAGGAACAGGAATTCTGTCAGGTGTCCAGGCCCCAAACTGTATAGGCTTTTTAAGCCAATGCAAGTAACTTGAAGCAAACAAGCACTGAGTGCAGTTCTCTCAGAATTGTTTGCGGTAGGTCATACCGATGAAAAGCCTAGCTGCTGCATTCTTCATACTGTAGCCCTTTTAGGCTTTGCCCTCGGGTGAGAAGAGCTTTGCGCCTGGGACGGGGAAATGGGAGTCAACAGACACTCAAGGAATAGTTTCAGAGAAAAAGCTTTATTTCTACCATCCGGGCTGGTAGAAGGAGCAAGTGTGATAGATTCACAAACAAGCACGAGCACAGCCATTTGCACAGAGCATATATTCCCCTTCAGTTCCCTCCCCTTTCTCCTCCTCCTCCAGAGTCCTGCCCATGAGTTCCCCTGAGCATGAACAGAAAGCTCCTGTCTTTGGGACTTTTTTTGGACTCTTGGCACCCTTCCCAGGAAAGGGGGGTGAGAGCCAAGGGGGCTCGAGGAGCCGTGTGGTTCAGCATGTCCAAGATGTTGCAACTGAATGAGATAAGACTCAGTTCTGTTCTTTTAGCGAGGTCAACTGGCCTGAGAAATTGTTCTATTCAGCTACCTTTGTTACAGCAGAGCAAATGAGCTAATGCCTTTCAGCTGCTGAGAAAATGATTTTGAAAAGCTTTGAGAAGCTTTGAGCCTGCTTTGGGGGGGGGGTGACTTTGGGCCTAGGTGGGGTCACCTGTCCTCACCTTCCTTCATTACTTCAATGGCACCTCCACACAGAGCACATTACAATAGATCAGTCTTGAAGTTACCCATCTGTGAATCACTGTCCAGGAAAGGCCACAGCTGGAGAACCAGTACCAAGCACACTTGGTATGCATATAGGTAGCTAGTGCATTTTTTAAAAAGTGTGTTTGCAACAGGCCACTCCAAGTTGAGGCCTAGCAGCTACATTCACAACTAATTGTAGCTTCTGAATCAACTTCAAAGACCAGGGAAATCTACTTTATGCAACTGTTTGGTGTTATCTCATTTAGCTGCTAAGTGTGGCCTTCCTTGATATCAAGGCTGCTTTTGACACTGTCGACAGGGGGCTGTTATGGTCCAAATTGAAGACAATGGGCCTAGAACCTAGATGACTTTACTTGATCAAAAAGCTTTACACAAATAACACCTATTGCATAAGAACAACACGAGGGAATGTAATGACAGATCCTGTCATTATAAACAGAGGAGTAAAGCAGGGCTGTGTACTTGCTCCCTCTCTTTTTAATCTTTTTCTTAACGACCTCGCTTCTTTTCTAAAACAGGTGGATGCCCACAACCCAAAACTCAACACATCAAGTATTCCCATCCTTCTATACGCAGATATGATTTTGCTTTCACGGACAAGAATTGGCCTAAAATGTTTGTTAAATTCCTGTATTGACTATCTGTCCAGAATGAAATTGTGCGTGAACTTTGATAAACGCAAAATAATGGTTTTTGGGAATTCACGTAAAAGCTATAGCTGGGTATTTGGTGGAAAACCCATCCAGAAAGTATTAGAATTCAACTACTTGGGAATCACATTCCATCATAGGCTTCTATGGTCCTTGCACCGTGCAACGGCGGTGAATGCCAGTAAGATGTCTATGCAAGCCATAATGAGTTTCTTTATAACAAGAGGTAATTCGCATATCCCCTCTGCCCTCAAGGTCTTCAACGCCCAAGTTATAGCTCAATTGCTCTTCGGAATTCCAGTCTGGCTGCCAGGGTTTATCCCACTGGTAGAACAAGTGCAGGCAGCTTTCCTTATTAAATTTTTTGCTGTCCCATGTGGTGTACCCTATGCAGCCTTGTGTCTAGAGGGAGGTCAACACAAGGTAGAGACCATAGTCTGGGTGAGATTTCTTACATTCTGGTTAAACATCTGCCTCACAACAGATAAAGATCCTCTCCTTAGTGAAGTTTTGCTACATCCCTGTTTTCCCCCAAGGCTACAATAGTTTAACATAAAGGTACAGCAACTTGGGCTGTCAGTGGAATTTTTGCGATCAATGTCTCCACCATCTGCCAAGGCTATAATAAAAACTAGGTTGTGGGACATTGAACGCCAGGAACTAACAGCGGCAGCAGAGAAAACATGTTCCCCTCTTAACTTTCAACTTTCTTGGGCATCTGAAATTAACCACAATTATCTTGAATTTTTGTTCAATACTCAAGAAAGGGCATTTTCGCTGGCCAGGTTTAATTCAAATCCTTCAAACCTCCTATGGGGAAGGTTCTCGGGAATGGTGGAAGGAGAATTTGCCCATGTGAAGACCATCAGGTGGAAACTCTTACACATATGGTTCTTAAATGTAAACTATATGTTGATCTCCGCCAGCAGTTCCTAGATCAACTCTGCATCCCCAAATGGAAACCAGAGTTAGAGGTCATACATTTTCTATTACTGGGGAATAATCAGGAGCTCACCAAGTTACTGGCTAAATATCTTTATCGGGTTTTTTGTCGTCGAAACACATTGCAGACGTCTGACCTCCCTGGAGACCTAGAGATGTAATGTTCGACTACTTTGCCTCTTTCATTTGACAAACGTTTTGTGTCACTGGAAAGGCGGGAATTCTGTATTGATTTGCTATGGATGTTTGTATGTGATGCCAATAAAAGGTTTGATGATGATGATGAACTTCAAGGACAGTCGACACAGAGTGCATTACAATTTTCCACTTCTAAGGTTACCAGCCAGAGCCGTAGCTAGGTGATCTTGCACCCCTGGCAGAACAGTCCAGATTGCGCCCCCAGCCATGAACAAATTAGCTCTTCTTTCTGCCTCTCCTCCAAACCCTCCCTTCAATTCCTCATACACTTCACCTTGTAGTGAATTCTTTTTTGTAATGAGTTCTGATTGAAGGACACCAAGATGGGGAAGGCTGACCTACACGACGGTATATAGGTGTCTCCCCACTTACGCATGGGTTACATTCTAGGCCCCTGCCTGCATAAGTGAAATCGCATAAAGTGGGGAGCACCCCACTTTAATAGGGAGAAGGGCATAGGCGCCAACTCCTTGGGGCCAAAGTTCCTTCACCCTCCCCTAAAATATTTGAGGAGCGCCCCCGCCCCCCAGTTAATGGGCATTGCCATTCAAATAGTGTCCGTGTGCTCCATCTTGTGGTTGATTATACAGGGCAGTGCTTACCTGCCCCCCCCCCAGTGTATTTTATTCAAGTTGGCACCCTTGAGGGAGGGTGTGAGAAGGGGGGGTAGTGACTCTAGAATAGGCAGGCTTTGAATTTGGTGCGGGCCCTTTCCCTGTCCTGCTTAGCCGCAGGCAGGGAGCACTGGCTGGACAGGGCGCTGGCTGGCGGAGGGTCTTGGCAGCTGATTTTGTGCCCCCCCTCGCCTGCGCCCCTGGCAGGGGCCCACCTTGCCACCCCCTAGCTACAGCCCTGTTACCAGCAGTGTTTGGCTTACTGTGGCAAGGCTCTTCATGTCCAAGGATGGCAACAGTTGGCAAATCGGCCAGAGATAGTAAAAGGCACTGCTTGTGGAGGCCACTTGAACCTCCTAAGACAGTTCTAGGAGCACCTGTTCCTTCAAAGGCAGTGCAACCCTGTCCAGAACCGCTAGCCTCCCCAATTCTTTGACTTGAAACTACCTATCCATGTTGAGTAGTTCCTGGGATTATACCCACGGTAAGATCAGGGTTGATAGAGATGGGAAAAGGTATCAACATTGCATATTTCATTCCTCCTCCGAAACATTTGACTCTATAACCACCCTCTGCTTAACACACCCAGCACTTGTGGGCGGTTTCAAGTAAAAGATCAAAAATGGAAGCTTACAAAGTTTATTTAGGTAATAGGACTCCAAGGTACATCTGACCACACTAAAACAGAATGGGACCTTTTGTTCAACAGAAATGAATACCAACAGTTGTAGAGATCACATAGCCTTAACAAGCTTGATTAAACCAGCAAACATTTCCCAGATTTAGGGTACTTACAGATGACCAGGTTATCATTCATTTTGATTTGTTTGCACAAAATTTCTTGAGGTTATACACTATTAGTTGATACTGATTTGTGTGGAAATTCTAGTACATCACATCAAGCAATTGTAATCCTACATTTTCCAGTGCATCTTCCCAACACTTTCCTTGCTACAAGAAGCATCATTTAGAGGGAGGAGGGTTTGTTGCATAAGAGTGCCAAAAACACTTTAATTTCGCAACCTGAATCTGCTACTTGCTACGAATTCCCCCTGTAAAATAGCAAGTCAGGAAGTAGAATACCTTACATGCAACCATGCCAACAGATTTTTGCATTTTTCTACCAATATTACAATAGTACAATGCATGATATGCACTGTATTTCTTGCTTGAATTTTTCTTTGCACAGAAATGCTAGTCTCTCATTAAAGAGCCTGCTGGATGTGGCCAATGGCCCATTTAGTCCAGCAACCTGTTCTCACAGAGGCCAACCAGATACCTGCGAGAAGCACGAAAGCAGGATCCAAGCATAAGAGCCCTCACTCCTTCTGCGGTTTCCAGCAACGGGTATTCAAAATAATACTACTTCTGACCATACAGACAGAGCACAAGTCTATTCTACGTTTGTTCAATACTCTTTTAAAGGCTTCCAAGTTGGTGGCTATCACTGCCGTTTATGGGAGTGGGTTCCAGAGCTTAACTATGCGTGAGGTACTTCAATAAGCATTGTTGAATGTCCAGGACTTCTAGTGTCATGAGGGAGAAAATATTTCCTCAGTCCGCTTTCTCCATGCCACACCTAGTTTTATAAAATCCTATCATGTCACTACTTACTTGCCTTCTCTCTAAATGAAAAAGTCCAAAATGCTTTCCTCATAGGAAAGCTGCTGCAGCTTCTTGATCACTCTGATTGCCTTTTCTGAACCTTCTCAAACTCTCATCCTGCGCATCATCAGTTTTTTTCTGCTCTTCTAAACAAGATTCAAAAAGGTGTGAAATTATATCACTGCACCTGTCTACTTGGGCTGCTTTCAGACAGGTACTTATTGATGGGTGTTCCTCGTGCAGTTTTTTTTGCACAACGTCATTGGCATCAAAATGCTAGACTGTATATTCTCCCCCCTTTAACCTGCATTTACCCTTCGGGAGGTAATTATTGGAAGGGATTATTATTTTTTATATTGCACATCTCTAATTAAACTTGTTGAGAAACTGCTGAAAATAAATTAAAATTCGGTGAAGTGCAAGCCAAGTGATTCAGTCTTCCTGGCAAAGCTACACAGAAGAGAGTAACACGGTAAGTGTGAAGCAATATTACTTGTAGGCTTCATTACTCGTGCACCTGCATGCTTAATCAATTTTAATCCACGCTGTAGTTAAAAAAGGTGTGATAACAAGGCACATAATCAAACAACAGATCACTCCTTGCATTATTTCCTTCGCCTTTCAAGAAATAATCTGCATGCTAGCCTTAGGAAGTGGCATATGCATCTTTTAATGTGCATGATTTTTTATTGACTAGTTCTTGATATTCTGGAAAGACAGCTTATCTTACAAAACACAACCGTCGCAGGAGATAATGCATGCACCAGACGTCTAAGATGCACAAAGGGACTCTTCCTGGCATGCACCTTGTACCTTTTAACAGTCAGCAGTCATTAAACAATGCTGTCTCACACCCTGAGGATGTAGTCTGATGCCCCAAGCCATCTTTCATGCACACCACTGCACAGTAGATTTCCTAAAGCCAAAACCAGCTCAAGATTTATTTTACCACAGACCTTGTTCAAAGTAAATAAAGTGGTTCAATTTGAGATTCGCACTTCAAAGACAACAGCAGCAGTAGGCAGATGCTCAGCGGCAGCCAATCCTGGCATGTGGGAACAGGGAAACACACAGCATAATGAGACGAGGAGGATGCAAGGCAAGTTCGGCTACCATCAGCCTTCGCCAACCCAGATGTTGTTGGACTCCCAAGTCCCTTCAGCTCCAGCCATTATAGCCAGTGGTCAGGAATGATGGGAGATGTAGTCCAAAGCATCTCAGGCTCACTATGTCAGGGAAGGCTGAATTAGATATTGCCTAAGGTTGGGGGAACTCTGTACATGGTTGCTATGTCTAGTGGCCGGCACATGTTTTTCTGTAACATTTAGTAATACCTTGAAAAACTGAGGGAAAGTGGTGTGAAAGAAGCAGAAGATGGATGGAAAGGTGGTTAGAGGTTGTAGGAAACTTAGTAGCCAGAAAAAAGGAGAGGATGGTGAAATAGGACCATGGGAGAGGAGGGAGAGTAGACAGGCAAATGAGTTAGAGAGGCAGGAGACCCCTGGATCTGCTGAGGGGGCTCCATGAAGGAGACGGAGTATGTTAGCACTAGGAACCTAGCAAGGCAGATAGAAGCAACCACCAAATGATTAGGCCTTGAATTGTAGCAGCCTAGTACCAAACAGTGTGAAAATGGTAGGAGACTCTCATGTAAATGAATATGAAGCCTGCAATATAATTCCCCACAAGAAAGCAACTACTGAACTAAAATGAACTGCATTTGTTGATAAAGCACTGGAAGATGTTGACTTGAAGAAGTTAGCACCTCATGGCACTTTCTGCACATTCCTGGTTCTTCTTCAAAGGGAGATTTCCCACAAAACAGTGGACTTGCTTTTTTCATCCTTTGGGATCTAGAAAAATGAATAAATAGTAAACGGAACAATCAGTCTTGAAGAGTCATTGCTAAGGCTTGTTGCTAAATCAGTTTGGATTTCTGTGAAACTGATTCAACAATACCTGAAGGCAACGAGAGGAAGCCACTGGAGGCACAAAAGATTTAGGGTGCCATTAAGGACAGACAGACTAGAAGATGCTACGTCCTGATTTTAATTTAAGAGTAACCTATTCCTTATCCTGACAGTCACAAGAGAAAGAAGAATTAGGCACCAGATGCATTAAAAATCTTTACCATCTCCGTAAATTGGTCATCACAGGCCATTCGCACTCGTTCAGGAGTCAAGGGGCTGTTCAACACAAAGTCTGATGACAATCCTCTTTCCTTCCTGGCAGCAGACACTGCATCCCATATTGCAAAAAAAACAGAGCTCCCCAAGAAAAGTGCCGCTTCACCAAGGCCCTGCCAAAAGCAGAGACAAAAGCAGTGAAATCATGTTGAAGCATTAGCAAATATTTCACATCAATAACCTTTCAGGGAGCATCTCTGTCCGCACATGAAATGAGTTTTGTTTTCTCATTGTGTGGGAACAAGACCCAGCATCTGACACAATCTTAAGAGCTTGGTGGCATCAGCCTTTGTGGACTCACTTGGGCCAGCAGGCAAACCTTACATGAGCCAGCACCTTCATGTGGCTGATGTGAGAAGCCACAGGAACCTACTGCATAACACCTCCCTGTGCTCAGGGCTGGCTCCAAGCTTGAGGGGCCTTCACGATGGGGCCACTAGTGGGCTTCCCGATTCGGTATGTGGTGAGTGGATGTTCTAGTCTCATTCTCTGTCCTTCCACTTATTTCCCACTAAGCTCCAAGGGTGGTAGGTGGCCCTGCCTTTTTGAGAAGGAGGAGGAGTAGTGATGGTAGCAGAAGTAACAGCACTACTCAAATCAGTACTGAGTGGCTTATCAATGTCCACAGTGTCACAATTGCAATGGTGCCCACCTGTTGCTCATCAGTGGAGCTGTGGAGAAGGAGACAGCTGTATATCTAACAAGGGTCCTGTGGCAGCCTTTCTGAGAATGCTGACTGCAAACTCTAGGTTATTTTAGAAAGGTTTTTAACCTATTCTGAGTGGTTGCTTTAAAAATATATGTGAAAGCATGAGCTTATATCCACATGTGTGCACATGCAGCTTTTTAAAGACTAACCAAAATGAAAACAAACAATGTAAAGCCACACCTCTCTGCTAGCAACGCTCTGCTGCCATTCAAGAACATATTTTTCTTGTGTCCTAGTCGGTTCACAAAGATTGCTCACCGTATTCCGAAATGGTGGCAGCCGCAACTGCGGCCAATCACAGGTGCTGGAGAGCTGAGGGTAGTGGGAAGAGCAAACTGCCCATGCAGATGGCTGATGTTACAGGCTAGGAATCTGTGACTGTTATTATTCTGCCCCTCTCATCTGAGCTTGGGCTGCCACTATATAGCTCCCCCTCGTCTGTGTTTATCCTAAGATGCAACATCTGTCCAGTTCCCTGGAACGACGTGTTTCATTTTACATGCCACACTTTTTACATCCAAAAGGCCAAAAGTGAAAAGCCCTTTTGAGCGTCAGCCCAATACAGTGGCGTAGCGTGGGGGGTGCAGGGGGGGCCGGCCGCAACATCTGGGGGGCGCGTGCTCGCACTCGCAGCTCTCTGCCCCTACGTGGCTCACTCACTCTCTCTCACTGCAGTGCTGGCTGTGCGAATCCGATCCGAGCCATTGGGTCGCCGCCCACTGTGGAGGGGGTGGGTGCCAGGCGTGCGGTGCGGAGAGAGAGCGAGGGACTATCTGGGGGAGGGACAGTGCAGCGGCCGCCCAGCGCAGCGCTGAGCGCGAGAGAGAACCACACCAGACCAGACCAGGCAGCAGCAAGAAGAAGCTGGCAGCGGCGGCAGGTTAGGGGTTAGGGGGCGCAAATTACTTGCCTTGCCCCGGGTTAGGGGGCGCAAATTACTTGCCTTGCCCCGGGTGCTGACAACCCACGCTACGCCGCTGGCCCAATAAGATCAAGATGTGGATGGACATAATTGGTGTCACCTGATATTAGTGCTTTCCCAGGGGCAAATGGGACTTGTCAACTTGGGAAGGGAGCCCATCTTGGAGAAGGAAAGCACTGATCCTAGACCTCAAGATGCCATGTGGGATATCTTTGGAAGAAGAAAAGGCTAAGGAGTAAACCCTGCAAAAATCCAGAGTGGAGCCCCTAAAACGGTTGGATGTACAGTATGCCTCTTTCTGGCAACTCCTGCAGTCAAGCTGGTGCAAAACATATTGCTCTACTTTCCTGTGGAACACATCAGTGAGGCTGAAAGGGGAGGCTCTTGTCATCTGGGCAGCCCAGGACCTCCATACATACTGCCCAGGCCTGTGCTACAGGGAGGTCATTTTGGTGCTGCTAACACAGTGGTTTGAATTCACCCCTGGAGGTGCACTTCATTGTCTCTCAAAACAGATGGATGCCAATCAACAAGCAAAGGTGGTTAGCACAGCCAGCAGAGCTACAGATAATAACACTCAAGTATGTGGTCTGCAAGGGATAATTTAGGCCTTATAGTCACATTCCGTCAAGCTGCGTAACTGGCCTAATCCCCCATTAGGCTTTTTGGCCTTGTTTTGCTAGAAGTTTGACATAACTTGTGTTCTGTTTGGCTGTAAGTAGATAACTGTGCTCTGATTGTTTTTGGCTAGTTGGCACAGTTTTTCTATCTACCACTGCCTCAATGGGTAGTTAAGAGAGACGGCTAAAGGTAAAGGTAAAGGTAAAGGGACCCCTGACCATTAGGTCCAGTCGTGACCGACTGTGGGGTTGCGGCGCTCATCTCGCTTTATTGGCTGAGGGAGCCGGCGTACAGCTTCCGGGTCATGTGGCCAGCATGACTAAGCCGCTTCTGGCGAACCAGAGCAGAGCGTGGAAACACTGTTTACCTTCCGGCCAGAGCGGTACCTATTTATCTACTTGCACTTTGACGTGCTTTCGAACTGCTAGGTTGGCAGGAGCAGGGACTGAGCAATGGGAGCTCACCCCGTCGTGGGGATTCAAACCGCTGACCTTCTGATCAGCAAGTCCTAGGCTCTGTGGTTTAACCCACAGTGCCACCCGCGTCCCTGTCTCGAAGGGTAGTTAAGAAAGAAGGCTAGGCCACTGTAAAAATTGCATTCCTTATTTCCGATTGTTTTATAGCCTGTTCTGCTATCATGCCTCCAAAAAGGGCTTGGAATGCCTCAAAACTGACTGCTCTTCTCCCGATAGGGGGACATGCTACAGTGAAACAATTGCCTAGTGAGGGTTCCCACTGGAGTATGTCATGTATTTTCCTTCTGGCTCTGCTGCATTGTGGTCTGCAATCAATATTCCAATGTGAAGTTGAGGACTTCAGTCTTAGGGGAGACAACTTGCTCAATAACATGTCATAAAACGGAATGAAACACTCCTGATATTATATCCATGTGGGCATAAACCCAACCGCTGTTAAGCACATTTAATCACTGTTGATTTCAATCGCACTTATGCCTGAATGGCTGTGGGATGGATTATAGCCGCATGATTAATAATACAGTAACAAGATATTCATAGTGAAAACAACTTATTCTCTCATATCATTTCCATCCCACCCTCCAAGTCTGCAGTTTTTCCTTCAGTAATATGGGTCACTTAGGTTTAGCAGGAGCGAAAGGGAAGAACTGCACCTTGGATTTCAATCTTCTTACCTTGGATGAGTAGATCGCTGTTGGGTTTTGGCTAGATGCCAACAAGGAGACACTGATCTGTTCTGGAATGTCACAAACAGCAGGGATCTTATACTGATCTGGGCCCCGTGTGTAGAGGACCCCCTCTGGGGAATATTTGAGTTCCTCTGTTGTGTAAAGTCCAAGGCCCTGGACAAATGCACCTTCAATCTGCCAAGAGGAAGTATAGCTTATAGTGAGATTTCCATATACTTTGTTGTGTTAAATTAATACGAGCTGTCGTTACATTGTCTGAAAGCGATGCTAGCTTTAAAATTATAATTATTTATTATTAAAATTGAACAAATGAACCATAAAAGCAAGCATAAAAATCTAACATCTGAAAGACAACTAGACACCTTACCATTAATATTGTAATTAGACTTTCAGAATTCTATGAATAATGCTGGCCTTTCACAAATATTTCAATTCTTTGCTCTCTTTCTCTTAAATTTCGCCATCTAACAAAGCTGAAATGGGTGGGGCATAAAGAAGGCTGATCGCCAAAGAATTGATGCTTTTGAATTATGGTGCTGGAGGAGACTCGAGATTCCCATGGACTGCAAGAAGATCAAACCTCTCCATTCTGAAGGAAATCAGCCCTGAGTGCTCACTGGAAGGACAGATCGTGAAGCTGAGGCTCCAATACTTTGGCCACCTCATGAGAAGAGAAGACTCCCTGGAAAAGACCCTGATGTTGGGAAAGATGGAGGGCACAAGGAGAAGGGGACGACAGAGGATGAGATGGTTGGATAGTGTTCTCGAAGCTACCAGCATGAGTTTGACTAAACTGCGGGAGGCAGTGGAAGACAGAAGTGCCTGGCGTGCTCTGGTCCATGGGGTCACGAAGAGTCGGACACGACTAAACGACTAAACAACACATTTTAATTACCCATTTCTATCATAAGAGTTGGAAGGAGGTCCAACCCCGTGCTCAGTGAATTTCTGTATTGTTGGGTTTTGTATCTGTCACTGAACAGGATCACCTTCCAAATCATATGATTCTAACTGAAGTGAATTTAGTACCTCATAGCAAAATGAAGAAATTCTCAGGACTTACCTGACCTATATCCATTGCTGGATTGATGCTGCATCCAATGTCCATAACAATATCTGTTTTGACATTCTGTTAATGAAAAACAGGCTATAACTTTGTATTACATCTGAGGGACTGAAGCATGAGGAGATGAGCCAAATATTATGGATAGGATATTGAGAATTTGTACCCAGTGTGGTATGACCTATTTGTGGCTCATTTTGGGAAATAAGTCCCAATGAATTTAACAATACTTTATTTGTTATAAGTATGCTTAGGGCTGCAGTCCTTATCTTGTAATATTTCCCCCAGTCTAAAACCGTATTAAAGTCAATGATGCTACTTTCATTTTTAGAAGTAGGTAGAGTGGACAACACTTTAATGGAAAAGTAACAGTAGCCAGGAAAGCTGGTGCATTGTATTGGCTATGGCTAAGAGCTTTGGCTAAGAAACCAACAAATACCAGCTTTTGAATCCTCCCAATATACTGATTGAAAATGTATTGTAACTTTTTTTTTTTTTGAAACTGAAATCTGTCAATTTCAGTTTCTCTCATATTCTCTTCCGTTTTCCACATTTCAGTCTGTGAAAAGTCCTCAAAAATGTGTCAGCATTTCAGTGCACATATCTTCTAATATACCAATTTTTGCAAGCAATTTGCACTTATATAATTGCGTTTTTGTATTCACTAAAAAAAAGAAAAAAGAAAGAAAGAAAGAAAAGAAAGAAAATGTATTGTAACTTTTGAATAAATGTTTCTGATTTTTTTTAAATACAATTTTCCTTCAACTATGAATGTACCAGTCAGCCTTTCAGCCTTAAAGCCAGATTCCCATATACCAAAAAGGAATAATGCTGCAGGAATCCTGCAAAAATTAGAGATACAATATATGCAAAGTGGACTACACTCGTTTATGTGCTATATAAATGCTATGTATTCTTTTTATCTTTCTGTGGCAATAAACACTATATCACTTCTATGGGAAAATTCATGTGCAAGTGGAATTCATAAATTGTAAAACTTAAATAAAAATCTGTCTGGTTCTGCACAAGACTGCCTGCTTTTGCCCAGTAGGCTTTGGAAGAAAACAGCTGGGAAAAGGGCAAAGTGGAGGCTGTTGGCTACTGCAACACAAGTGCCCGGATGAATTCACGTTCAAAGCTGCCATGCATGTGCCATAGCAGCAGCTCATGGATTACTGAAGTCACATGAGGAAGGAGAGGTTAAACTCGATCCACACAAGAAACCACTATGTACCGTATTTTTTGCTCTATAAGACTCACTTTTTCCCTCCTAAAAAGTAAGGGGAAATGTGTGTGCGTCTTATGGAGCGAATGCAGGCTGCGCAGCTATCCCAGAAGCCAGAACAGCAAGAGGGATTGCTGCTTTCACTGCGCAGCGATCCCTCTTGCTGTTCTGGCTTCTGAGATTCAGAATATTTTTTTTCTTGTTTTCCTCCTCCAAAAACTAGGTGCGTCTTGTGGTCTGGTGCGTCTTATAGAGCAAAAAATAAGGTAGCTGTGCTTTGTAGAAACCAGCAGGATTTATTGCTGTCCACTGCAAACAACTGTTTAGACTGAATACGACAAAGAAAACACAAGAGCCTTTCATTAGTTACACAGGAACTTGGCTGTGCTTTTTGCACTAGCTGTAAGTGACACCTGACAGTTTACCTTGTGGTCTCCAGTCAGACAGTCTATTTCAACCTCTGCACAGGCAGCTCCAAAAACAAAATATTCAAATGGGTGGCCTTCCCCTTTCTCCCAGTCCATGTTTGCTTCATAACCTCTGCAAGAAGCAACAAAGGATGTTGGGGAGTAAGGGATGCTTGCAGGCATGGGAACAACAATAAAAGAGACAAGGGGGGAAATAGCAATAAAGAGCCTCACAATCACAATGATGTGCTGGACCCTCAGTTGGTACAATGAGTCATGACAGTGGAGCTATGTGAGATTTGCTCTGATAATGCATCATGTTGTTTAAGAACATAGCAGCAGGCCTGCTGATCAGATCAAATGTTCATCTAATTCAGCATTCTGGAAGTGGCCAGGCCTCCAGGAAGCCCACCAACAGGAGATGTAGGTAAAAGCCCCCGACATTCTTCACCCCCAAAGCCAGTCAATATTATATATGGCTAATACCCATTAATAATAGATCTATGGATTTGACTTTTCCTCATTTAAAGCTGTATCATCTACTACTCATCATTGCCACATTATATTCTCCCTTGATGCAGTCAGAATGCAGCGCTGACTTAAGTTCTCTGATTCGGAAAGACTTTTCCTTTACAGAAACATAAAAAAAAACCCTCCAGACTCACTGACAGCACTTTTAACCAAATGTACAAATTTCTGAATGCGACCAATAATTCCTTCCACTTGATCAGTGGGTTGGATCCAAAGTTACTGTGAGCAGAATGCAGATCATGAGAAAGCCCATGAGGTGGGGTGGGGAGGGGGAGAACAGGTGAGTTTTGCCTGAAAAGTTGCTCTGGAGAGTTGGGAGTGTCTCTGGAACCATTTGAGAAACAGCACAGGGCAGCCTTCCTCTTTCTCCAACTGGTTAAAAAAATGCATCTTTCTCCAGCAGGACGATCTGCTGGATCTTAGTGCCTTTCACTCACAGAAGAATCCTCTGGATCCTCCCTGAAATATTTAGTGCCATCAGTGTGCATGGTTCATTATAGAGTGCAAAACAGCAGGCCACAGTCGTGTATCTTTCACTCTGCTGCTAACATTCTCCTTCAGGACCTTCGTGTACAAGACTAGACATGACATGCCCTTTTCTCTGTATGCTTATGTCTAAGCAGTATAGGCAACTACTAAAAGCATCAGCTCAAGTCATTCATGATCCCTGCAGTAGCTACCTTGTTATGCAAGTCATTACAGTAATTCTCTTTTGACAGTCACTTCTTGAAGTCATGAGTTAATATCTAGTACCTGAAGTAACCTATAGCTGACAGATTGATACTCTGCTCAAAAGCTTCTTTGGCCTGTAAAACAAGCAAGCATAGTAAGTTTATTCCTTCAAAAAGCAATCTTGTATAAAAAAAGATACCATGCCCATGCTAAAACAAGACATTCCTATTAATATTTCCAGCTAGACGATCAACTTATGGGCAGGATTTGAGCTATGAGTAACAGAAGTAATCAGGCAATAATATTGTGGTTATGATTTAATAGATAGAATATAGGGGGCAGCAGAAGGGGAGAAAGAACTCCATGGAAAATGGGGTGGGAAATCAACAAAAAGAAAAGACGAAATTGTGTTTTGATTGTATATGTTAAAAATGTTGAAACTTAAAATATAATCGAAAAAAATTGTATTTCCAGTTGACTGAAATGGAATGTTGCACATATGAGAACTGTGGAAATGAGGCTTTCACTGAGGATGTAAGACTGCTGGTAGGAGCTCAGGTAGCTGAATACTCCTCCAAATAAAACAATCCCATCCATCCAGAAAACTAGTGTTTCAGGGAGAAGTTTGGCCTAGCCTTCTTCCTGACATGATAGTTGCAAGCAGTTGTTTTTTCTATGGAGAGACGTCCCAGTACATGAGCTCTCACTAGCACCACACACAGGTTTATTAGCTTAGTTAAGAGTCAAATTGTACCTGATTCTTAGTAGCCGTATATTTTCCTCCAGCAAAAGAGAAGCACCTGGTGGTGGAAAAAGTTGCTTTCTACATAGCGGTGTGCACCATAAAGCTTCTGGAAATGCGTCTACAGTACCGTATTTTTCGCTCTATAGGACGCACTTTTTCCCCTCCAAAAATTAAGGGGAAATGTGTGTGCGTCCTATGGAGCGAATGCAGGCTCCTTGGCTTCAGCGATAGCAACGCGAAGCCTCCGAGCGCAGAGGAGCACTCCTCCGCGCTCCGGAGGCTATGCGTTGCTCGCTGAAGCCTGGAGAGCGAGAGGGTCAGTGCACACTGACCCCTCTCGCTCTCCAGGCTTCAGGGATAGCCGCAGCACGAGTTTCCGCTGCGCTCCAAAGGCTTCAGGTGGCTATCCCTGAAGCCTTTGGAGCGCAGTGGGAACTCGCGCTGCGCTCCGAAGGCTTCCCGTTCCTTTTGCTGTAAGTAAGACTCTCCCGGCTTCAGCAGAGAGGGAGAGCTGTGCAGCGCCCCTTCAGTGAAGCGGGAGGAGAAATGGAAGGGGCTCCGTTTCTCCTGCCGCTTCGCTGAAGGGGTGCTGAGCAGAGAGGAGGATTTTTTTTTTTCTTGTTCTGCCCCTCTAAAACAAGGTACGTCCTATGGTCAGGTGCGTCCTATAGAGCGAAAAATATGGCACTTCATTTCACCTCCTCACTGCTCTTAATTTAAATGTTAATTCGTCCACTCAAACCGTAGACTAATATCCCCCCTGGAATGTGTCCTTCAGCTGTGGTAACACCCTGTGCTTGCCTAGATGAAGTACGGAGAACTGCGCATGCAGAACGGTGGGAGGGGATGCAGAAATCTGTGACTTTTGTGCAGCTGCAATGTTGTTTCCTTTACAAAGGTAAGAGTCACATCAATTGCTGTGCACACCACTTCCCACAGGCGAAAGCAGTTCTTGGTGTGAAAAAGATTCCTCTCCTCTGCACTAAGTGCATTAATTTAAGGGACAGTGGAAAAGAAAACAAGCCCATTTATAAAAGTGTGAATAACAAATCTGAATGAAGAAACTTGCCAAAGGCAGGGGTAAAGTCCTGCATAAACACAAATTCTTCATATTCCATTTTCTTTCTTTAATCATGTTGCGGTAAGCTAGGCAAGTTAAAACAAGAGGTTATGCCTTGGCTCTAAAGTCATATAACATTTAATACAAGTCAAATGTCTGTTGTGGTGCTTCTTATTTAATTGCTGTAAGTCAATCAATCCCTTTGTTATGGTCAATAGCCAGTGGTCAAAATAGAAATGTCCAAATATATAAAATGATCCCCAACAAAACAAAGTAAAGACTGACAATACCAAAATTACTAGTAACTATATCATCCTATAGAATACCAGGAATAGAGAGCAAAATTACAAGTTGCTAAAGTTTTACATGCAGCAGCACTATAATTGGCCGTGCTGCAAGAAATTGATGCTTTCTGATCTGAAGGGAGTAAGAAAACATAAAATGTGCCCTGGGAATTTCCATATAAAAGGTAATCCATGGAAACCACAGAACTACTCTTACCCACTCTTTCCATGTGCCCTTAGGGTTCTGTCTAATGATGGGCTCAAGATGTTTCCGGAGGGTCTGGCAGGCATCCTGATGACATTGGGAGGAGCACAAAGAAGAAAAAATTCTATGTAAGACATTTGAAGGGTTCTGTTTTTGCCATACTTCTGCGTTGTTGCTCACACCACAGGAGTCATTAAACACTAGCCTATGGCATCGCCAAGAGGTTATTTCAACAAAAAATCAAGAGCCTCCACATTCAGTTCTGAGCAGCTTAAATTTTGCAACCCAGAAGGGGAAGGGCATCAGTTAAACCTCATTAAGGCTTCTTCTGTACTGCAACCAATTGGGCAAATTTGCACTAACCAGATGTTGCATGCTCTGCGCTGTAGCTCACCAGGTAAGGACCATAGCTCAGTGGCGGAGTATCTGCTTCGCATGCAGAACATCACAGGTTCAATCCCTGGCATTGCCAGGTAAGCCTGATAAAGAGCCTTGCCTGAAAAACTGGAGAACCACTCCCGGTCAGTGTAGACAAAACTAAGTTAAATGGGCCAAATGTCTTACTTGGTATATGGCAGTTTCCTATGCTGTTCCTGTGATTCGTACATTCCCACCTAGCTGTCTGAAAGTCATTGCAGGATAGAGCATGAGACTCTTAACCTCAGGGTCATGGGTTCGACCCCCACATTGGGTGAAAGATTATTGCATTGCAGTGGGTTGGACTAGATGACCCTCATGATCCCTTCCAACTTTACAATTCTATGAATCTATGAAACTCCCAGCACTTTCCATCTCAGCATGTATCTTCTCTGCAAAACACAATGTTGCTCAAGGTATGGGGAATAAGAGAAAGTAGGACTCAGCTCCTGAAGGAGCGTCTCCACCCCCATTGTTCAGCCCGGACACTGAGGTCCAGCGCCGAGGGCCTTCTGCTGGGTCCCTTGCTGCGAGAAGTGAGGTTACAGAGAACCAGGCAGAGGGCCTTCTCGGTAGTGGCGCCTGCCCTGTGGAATGCCCTCCCAGCAGATATCAAGGCAATAAGCAACTATCTTACTTTTAAAAGACATCTGAAGGCAACCCTGTTTAGGGAAGTTTTTAATGTTTAATGCAGTACTGTGTTTTTAATATTCGGTTGGGAGCCACCCAGAGTGGCTGGGGAAACCTGTTGGGTTGAAATCACGACAGACGAGTGGTAGGTGTCATATGAGAGGCGTCTGCCGGGGCAAGCCCCGGGAACTCTCTTTTATTGAATATTACAAACATTGCCACAGGTGTGCTTGTGGCTGATTGGTTGATACAAACACAAAGCATCTTGTTGCTGATTGGTTAACATAGGTACAAGGCGGGAATAACATATGTCCATTTATCATTGATAGATCAAAGGATGAGAAATGGAGCTAGAACTAGACAGGCATGAATCCTCCTAATTAAATTATAACTAAAGATTAATATAACATGACTAAAACAATTACTAATGATTGATCATAACATGAAAGAGTATAATAATGAAGTTCCGTAGATGTGGTCAGCTATGCATTAAGAACAGACCATATTGTTTTGTTCATGAACTTGAAATGAACTGAAGAATGAGAGAATGTCTAGGTGTGTTTGGCTTGGTGTGTTCGGAACAGTATGTGCAGAAGCAGAAGCGAGACTTCCCAGAATGCAAGAGAAAAGAAACAATAGTTCTAAAAGCAAGACTTTCCCACAATGCCACAGTTATGTGCAGTAAGAGAACTGCAGAAAGAAAACTTCCCTTCAGAAACCCAGTCAGATTGGCGAGATATATATAAATTATTATTATTATTATAGTTTATACGTTTATACGTTATAAGGTTGCAATCCTAAAACACAATCAGGCACCTGTGTTCAAGAAGTCAGTGGCGCTTTCTTCTGAGCGTTTCTGTGCACTTAGTATGAAAGTCTTTCAAAAAAAATCAATACATTTCATCATCATCTACCAGAAGTAAGCTCCTATGAATATCTTTCAAGAAGCTGGAACCTTGGAATTTTGCACTAACTAGAAGATTAATATCTTATTTTACCTTCACTGCCATTCCATTGACATCCGTTCCCATTGATCCAACTGAAGCACATGCATTCGGGACTGTCTGCGTACTTGTTTCACAGAAGTGAATATTTGACATTGGCATCTTTAATTCTCGGCTTGCAACCTAGAATGAGAAAGGAATACGTACAATATTCTGTTTTAAGTACAGCAACCTAGACCAGGCTTCCTCAACTTTGGCCCACCAAATGTTTTAGGCCTACAACTCCTTTGATCCCTAGCTACCAGGACCAGTGGTCAGGTATGATGGGAATTGTAGTCTCGAAACATCTGGAGGGCCGAGGTTGAGGAAGCCTGGCCTAGACCTTTACACATACACACAAAAGGGTTACACCTCACAGTTCTGCTTCACTTTCAGCAGCTGAATTCTGTATGGAACTATACTATATGGAACTATACTCCCATGGGTCATGGAGGGGGTATAGCTGGAGAAATCAGATTAAGGTTTAGCTCCTCCACAATGTCTACTGTATATAGACCATACAAAGAAGCCAGAGCCTATTTTATCGTGTACATGTATCAGGAACTGATAACTATTTAATCTGCTTGCATATTAACTAGAGTAACGCTGAAGGTAGGTGAAGAGATGTCAGGACGGGTTGGTTTTTTTGTTCCTCTTTTAATGCTGCAGACAGTTAAGGGAGTGTTCACCAACTTTCACATCTTGGCACCATCTTCTCTGACTAACCTTATTGCCCCAATGCAGATTAATGTTGAAGCAGAATTAAATTATGGCTAAAAGCATGAAAGTAATGCGGACCAGAAACAGCCAGGTTTGTCCATCTTTTCTTCAAGCATAACTAGCTCATTGTTCCCAATGTGGTTTCCCAACTACAAATAAAAGGCAGTATTGCGTGGCCAGGTGGAGACCCCCCCCCCGACCCCAGGCGCCCCCCCGGGTGGAATAATGACTCATGATGTGTTATGGGATTAAAATTGGCCACAACTTTATTAAACTTTCAGGTGTAGGGAGACCTTGGCTTAGGCATTGGGCATTTAGAATCATAGAATCATAGAGTTGGAAGAGACCACAAGGGCCATTGAGTCCAACCCCCTGCCAAGCAGGAAACACCATCAGAGCACTCCTGACATATGGTTGTCAAGCCTCTGCTTAAAGACCTCCAAAGAAGGAGACTCTACCACACTCCACCATCCCTCCCAGTTCCCAGCCGGGGATCTGGGGAACATCAGGGATGTCCAAACAGTGTGGGGATTGGGCTTGCTCTGGAGAATGTATGTTTAAGCAGAGAGCCCACCCCCCATTTCGCTGCAAAGCAGGGGAGAGCACTGACAACCTATCAGCGTACGGCCAGTGACTCCCCCAAAAACAACCCCTTTAATGGGGAACCCTGGGATCACCGCCACAGGGGGGGCATGGGTCACCGCTTCACGTCCCCCCCCAATTTAGGGAAGATAGACTAAAGGATTCCGCCCAAGGCCTGAAACTGCCAAAGTTGTGACGCTTTGCTATGGGGAAGGCAAAACCTGCCAATGCAGGGAAATTCCTTCCTGATCCTTCAACAGCAACCATCAATGACCGTAGCAGCGCCCGCATACCTGTAAAGAAGATGTTAACGTGCAAAATGAAGGCATAAACTGAGGGAGGGCAGGGGACTGAGGACTCCCAGGTAAGTTCCACCCTCTATTGTGTGTGCAGGGCGGTCCCAACCCTACCTGGTCGACTCCATTGGCAACACCTCCCCAGCTGGGATTGGTTTACTATCTGAGGTGGGGCGGGAACCTCCAGGTATCCAGCTCGGGGAGGTGAAACCAGGCCGAATTGCCGGAATCGTGTGCGATCAGGGGGCTGCACGCGGCCACGCAAAAAGCGCCCCCCATTTGAAGTGGGGAGCAGTCATTATTAGCCACAGCTAGAGGCAGTAATGCTTCCAGTTCCTGGAAACCACAGGGGGTTGAGTCCTCAATTAAAACTGGGGTTTGTAATTACCCTTATCTTGAGATCAGACCACTATATTTCATCTGGCATAACTTCACTGAAACTACAGTGGTGCCTCGCAAGACGAAAAGAATCCGTTCCGGGAGTCTCTTTGTCTTGCGGTTTTTTTCGTCTTGCGAAGCAAGCCCATTAGCGGTTTAGCGGATTAGCGCTATTAGCGGCTTAGCGGATCAGCTGATAAGCGGCTTAGTGGCTTAACGGATCAGCTGTTAAGCGGCTTAGCGGATCAGCTGATAAGCGGCTTAGTGGCTTAACGGATCAGCTGTTAAGCGGCTTAGCGGATCAGCTGTTAAGCGGCTTAGCGGCTTAGCGGATCAGCGGATACGCGGCTTAGCGGATCAGCGAAGCGGAGGGAAAAGGGGGAACCCCGCAGGAACTCGCAAGACATTTTCGTCTTGCGAAGCAAGCCCATAGGAAATTCGTTTTGCGAAGCACCTCCAAAACGGAAAACCCTTTCGTCTAGCGGGTTTTCCGTCTTGCGAGGCATTCGTCTTGCGGGGCACCACTGTAATAAATACATGCCAGGAAGTAACATGGATTGCTGCCATCTTTTTAAAGCAGAAAATTAAAGATGTCAATCAGCAGAAAATCTCATGAAAGCAATTTGTTATTCACACACATAAGCAAGAGAAAAGCAATTCCTAGTACCTGGATCATTTTGGTGTGGAGCCCTTGCCCCATTTCTACACCACCATAAGTCAGAAGCACGGACCCATCGGTATACAAATGAACCAGAGCAGCGGCCTGCATAAAATAAGAACACACAGTTTGGCTCTGCACTCTGCATGAAATGAGCAGAAATGTTTTCAGTTGGGCTGTCTTTATCAATCTAAAAGTGAAGAGTTATATATATTTTAAAGAGACGCTCTGCAGTGAAAGGTTAGGATCGCTGCTACAATCTGCTGCACTAGTGTTAGCCCTATTATTAGGTCAGGGATTGGCAACCTCAGGCCAAGGTGTCAAATGCAAGCCTCCAGGACTTGCCCTGACTCTTCCCAAGCCACTCCCACTCTCCAAACACAAGTCCCTAGTCGTCCATGTTTCACACCCTCCACAAGTGCTTCTCCCTTGATGGAATATGCACTTGAATACTGATAAGAAGAGTTTGGATTTGGATTGATACCCCGCTTTATCACTACCCTAAGTAGTCTCAAAGCGGCTAACAATCTCCTTTCCCTTCCTCCCCCACAACAAACACTCTGTGAGGTGAGTGATGCTGAGAGACTTCAGAGAAGTGTGACTAGCCCAAGGTCACCCAGCAGCTGCATGTGGAGGAGCAGGGAATCAAACCCGGTTCACCAGATTACGAGTCCACTGCTCTTAACCACTACACCACGCTGGCTGTTGCTCGTTTGGAAGATAGAAAAGGGTGTGTAGAAACTAGCCAATGGTCCAAAGATGAAATTCACACTTGTTGCTCTGTCAGCTTCTGCCTTTGGCCCTCTTCACCCGTGAAGGTTGACAGAAGGGCTAAAAATTATTTCCCCATCCTTGCATTAAGCAGAGGAAAACAGCTGCCCCAGGCAAGCAGATGCTGGGGTGGTAGGGAGAAGTGGTACAGAGATACACGCAGCCTGGCCTGCACCCCTAAGCCAGTCTGCTGTCCTCATGTGTGGTGGTGGGCATTGCCTGCTCAGAAGTGCTGAAGTGACCTTCCACTGCCAAATTTCTGTATGTGGAATTGGAAACGCACTGTCCTTGTGGACAGCAAAATGTCTCAGGGCAGTCTTGAGCACGGTGTTGCTGTTCTGCTGGTGGTACACAGTGCTAGTAAAACTGCCATGTTGATGGTTCACCAGCAGTGCAAGGATGATGATGATGATGATGATGATGATGATAGGAAAGTCAAGGTTGCAGTGGGGGAAGAATGGTGCTTAGTGGGAATTCCATGCCTGCTTGGGGGTCAGTCGTAACTTGAGAATACACCACTGAAAGCTGCAAAGGAGACGGCATAAATAAAAACCATTCCCATGTATTGCCCTCCTACAGTCAAAGCGCAGTAAAGGATTACAACTGACGCTGCTGCCAACCATGGCACACCTATCAGGAGCATGTCTGCCCTTGTAAGGGAAGGTAGCTCAGATTTCAAGTTGTGTGGCAAGGGGCGTGCAAGTGGGAACTGCAGTGAAAGGGAGCACTTTTCAAAAACGAAACAGAAAACAGCCAATAATAAAAATAAAATAAAAACAAGAAAGGCAGGTGACCAATGCTTATCTTCTTGTACAGTGTCCAGAGAAACTGACCTGACCTAGGGAGCGTAAGCCAAATCCAACAGGGAACGTCATGGGAATAATGGCAATCCCCTTTTTCTTCCAGTAATTTTCCTTATTGAATTTATTCACAGCTTCTTTCCTGGTGTGATACATAGACTTCTCCATGCATTCGTCCCAGCATCTGAGGAGGTTCTCTGGCTTGAGCTCTTGTTTATAAGCTGTCTGTCCGGTTTCTTTGTACATATTTATTTCTCTAATCTGGAAGACAAGTATCTCAACAAACTGCAATATGGTGCCACATTCATAACGAGCTTTGGGAGTTAAGATGCATTTACCCAAAGCCAAACCTTATATAGATTTTTCTCAGCCTAGAGGTAGAATTGGGCCTATTTATATTTTACACACACATCCACATTTGAACTATTACCAGATCATAAAGTATTATTAATGCTAGCATCAATACAAGCAAGTAACAATAATATTCAGGACACCTCAACAACAGGATTCAGTCACACAAAGGTACTTAATTATATGACCAGGATCAATATATCTGAGAAAGCAAACTTTTCAAAGTGGGTTTCATCTAGGTCTTATTAATACAGAAACCAAACAAGCCCATTTCTTATGCTACATTACAGCTGAAAGGGTCCCAAAAGTGGGGAGCAGGGAGTTGATAGCCTGCCCACCACTAGAAAGCAAGAGGGCAATTAAACTATTCATGGTACTGAAACCTATGTTAGATGCCAAGTTCTTATCTCCTACTGACGCAGCTACATTTCTCTCAGCCTAACACTCCTTTCTGATAGACTTTCTGAAAGTTCAGTCTCGCAAAAGTCCTGTGAAAAGTATCTTGCAGTCCCTGGTTTATCTGAAATCTTCAAAAGTTAACACTTTCTCCTCAAAAAGATTTCCTCTGTGTACTCAGGTCTCTTCTTTCTGGGAGTGCATAAGCTACTTACACCCAGCCTTCACTCTCACACCTCTTCCCAGAATGCCCTTTGCAACCAGGTGCACTTTTTCATTCACTCTTAAAATTTCAGAACCATAGGCATGCAGTTTCTCTTTCTCCCCGCCCCCAATCTACCTCCTCTGGTAATAATCCACATCTGGCTGCAACGCGCGTTATCCAGGCTTCTGTAATGAGTCCTCCTTGTGGGAAGCCGAAGCCACGGAAAGCAGTGTTGGGTGGCATGTTTGTCTTGCAAGCGCGGGCATGAGCTCGGATATTGGGAATCTTGTAAGAATTATTCAGTTTCAGCAGCATTATCTCCGAAACCTTCATTAGGGGAACATTAATAGCTGAGCATGAGAATAACAACAATATGAGAGAACACTGGGCCGTTCGCAACATAGGATGACCTTCTTCTAATACTGGCATTAACCACTCCCACTCCCCTCTCCAGGAACTCCTGAAGCTGTTGCCTCCATTATTGTTTTGGCAAGGAGAACACTGAAAAGCTGGGATGGTTAGTGCTGTGCTGCTACTAGGTCTCTTGCTGAAACAAGTTGAGCAGAGGTTAAAAGGACTGAATACAACGCACAGAAATGAAAATGGGATCAAACAGGCAAGAAAGAAGCTAAGGTTCAGATTCCATGTGCCACAATCAACTGAAGCAAATCAAAGCTAATGCCTATTGCTAAATGGAGCCAACGTGTTGCTCCCCAGAGGTTGTTTGGTTGCAACACCCACCATCTCCGAGTGTTTACCACAAGGCTGGGGCCGATGGGAGTTGTAGCCCAACAGAATGTGGAGGGCACCGTGTTGGCTTCCCCTGGCCTATTAACACTAGCCTCTTTTCACAAATGGGGGGCAGGGAGAGAACCGGACCGCACCAGCCATGCCCCAATGATGGCACACGTCTCGGGCCATGCCCCTCCACATGCCTTCAGGTGTATGCATGCTGGAGCTTCTGTTATGAAGATCAGGTAGTGTGTGGCTGTAGCTAATGTGTATTCTGGAAAATGCACATTGCCAAAATATCCCAAGTCTGTCTGCACTCAGTTATTTATGGTGAATGCCATACCATACATTTATTTATATTAAAAAGCCGTTGGGCAAGTTGAACATTTTCACTGGTTTGTATGTGTGTGTATATTTGTTTTGGATTTAATTGTTGACCTTTCTTGTTTTATCTAACCTGATTTCATTGTTGAAACATTGTAAACTGAACTCCTGCAACTGGACGGGTGATAATGTACTGTAACATATAGTAACTAGGGGAACAGCGGCTTTTTAAAAATCACCCTACATAAGTAAATCAACTAATCAATCTTTATTATGGTCCAGAGACCCAACAAATCGTTACAAAGCAATGCACAATTCAGACAGCCTACCTCAAGGTTAAACAAGCATTTTGTTCAGACTTAAAGATAGGGATCATTGGTTCTTGCAACCACTGATAAAAACTTTGCCACTGATAATGTTCTAGCGTTTGTCCGGTCTTCCAATAGGAACCTGACATAGTGAGCCTCTGATTTTCCTGGGAAAGGTACCAGCAAGGGTAATATCAGTAACTAGGGGAACAGCGGCTTTTTAAAAATCACCCTACATAAGTAAATTGCATTCATCCTCATAAGAGCTGCCCTTTCCCCCACTGTTCTCATAGGAAGGTGGTGTTTTGTTCATTTTCCTATTGTACAACATGAAAAATCATTCAGGTTAAAACATACTCACCAGAACAGAATCATCAGTGGTGCATCCTCCATTCAAGTACAAATTGATATCCAAAGCCATGATTCTGCCATCACTCATGAAGCCAACCTAAATTGGATCAATGAAAGGACAGGCTACTTTGAGCTTAATGCCCAGTACTCTCCACTTATCTATTATTTAAATGGTACTGCAGCAAAATATAGTCTTTGCAGGGGGTGTTCAGGGTTTTTGAGTGGGGCTTGCTGTTCTTTTTTCGTATCTTTATTTTAGACCTTGTGATTTACTTTTGTTGTTTTGTAGTTATGTATTTTTTCATGTTGTAAGTCACCTTGAGCATGGATTGAACTGTGGAAAGGCGGCATACAAATAAAATTATGTATGTACAAACAACCATTCAGTTAAAAGGATAGCTTTCCCTGCAATAAACACAGAAGATGAGGCCAAATCTTTCCCTATTTTCACTGCAATGTTGACCGCAGGCAGATCCAGTCATTTCATTATAATTACAGTGCTACCTTGGGTTAAGTACTTAATTCGTTCCGGAGGTCCGTTCTTAACCTGAAACTGTTCTTAACCTGAAGCACCACTTTAGCTAATGGTGCCTCCTGCTGCTGCCACGCCGCCAGAGCACGATTTCTGTTCCCATCCTGAAGCAAAGTTCTTAACCCAAGGTAATATTTCTGGGTTAGCGGAGTCTGTAACCTGAAGCGTATGTAAGCTGAAGCGTATGTAACCCGAGGTACCACTGTATATCCTTTTGTAAGTTGCTTTGAGAGGTGAGAAGAGGAATATGATGTTTTAAAATAGGGCAATATTTAAAGCATTTACATAGCACTTCATAAGGTTCAGGGTGCTTCAAATACATTGAATGCGTTTGGATGATAAGAATGAGATATGAAACAGCCTTTTGCCAACCCTTCATTGTTGTTGTTGTTGTTTAGTTGTTTAGTCGTGTCCGACTCTTCGTGACCCCATGGACCAGAGCACGCCAGACACTTCTGTCTTCCACTGCCTCCTGCAGTTTGGTCAAACTCATGCTGGTAGCTTGGAGAACACTATCCAACCATCTCGTCCTCTGTCGTCCCCTTCTCCTTGTGTCCTCCATCTTTCCCAACATCAGGGTCTTTTCCAGGGAGTCTTCTCTTCTCATGAGGTGGCCAAAGTATTGGAGTCTCAGCTTCACTATCTGTCCTTCCAGTGAGCAATCAGGGCTGAAACCCTTCATAGAAGCCACCAAATAAACCTAGAAGTCTTAGTTATCTTCTTTGCAAACACTCTTTGAACACTCCTCATCATACCATTTCAAAAACTGAGACACAATGGCTTGCTGGGAGCTCCTGAATGTGTGAGCTGAATGTAGCAGCAGCAGAGTCAATCTCTGCCATGTTTGGATACTTCACACATCTCCAATGTGACTATGCTTGTACATGTGCAGTCCCTTCTCCAGGCAACTGACAAGCATGCCTTTGCAGTTTCTTGCCTGCATGGGAGAGATGCTATTTGCAGAAGAATGTTGCAAATGAGTGAGGGAACACATGTGGGTAGATACCTTTCCCATAACTGCGTTCCTTGAGTGCAACGAAGAATGCCAACAAAGTTTGAAGAGGACTGAAGGACCTCTAGTAATGTGAGCCTGTGACTTTCTACTTTCACAGCTCAGCCTCTGAGGTACCATGCTACATGTGTGGCATTCACAATTGATGCAAGTGCATTGTTCGATGTACACATTTATTTGCAAGATGAGAAGCAGGAAAAAATTCTGACACACAGGTTAATTCTGCTGCTTACTTTATATTTGCCGATGGTTGGGTGACGGCCTCCGGTGATTAACATGTCAGTGCTTCTGTCTAGAATACAGCGAACTGCATGGCCTGTCCTGAAAACAAAAAAATAGCTAAGTAGAGAGTGCCAAAGAGGGCTGCCCCAACCTACTAGGCAATTCAAACTACTGCCTCGGGCGGCAAAACTCAATGAGTGCCACTGCAATACTTATGTAATCATCAAACAGATTTCAGGTTTCTGTAGAATGTGGGAGATATCAGAGGAAAGATGCAAGGAAAAGGAGAGAGCTCTTTAAGTTCAAAACAAGCTGTTCACACCAGTGGTGGCTGTGAATGGAAACTGAAGCAGGGAGAGAGAGAGACAGCACTTTTTGCACAGATGTGAAAGTGTAATTTGTGATCTTTGAGAAACATGTTTTATTTTCTAAGTTTGCAAAAAAAAAAGTATTTTATGTAACCAAGCCTAAAACGCCCCTTTGATGCCTACTTTTATGATAATGTAGCTTAACATTTTCTTAGGAGCCCTGCACATCATATGGCAGACAGACACATGTGATCAATGTTTATTCATCTAGAATAACCAAACCCCTGCTCCATGTTCATAATAACTGCTACCACATAAACTACTACCATATACTTGAACTATAGGCAATGGATCAAACGGGAAGGGAACTATACTATCACCAAACTAGTTGTGATGTTAAACATGTTGGGCAGAGCCATACCATATACAGTGGTACCTTGGGTTATGAACTTAATTCGTTCCAGAGGTCCGTTCTTAACCTGAAACTGTTCCTAACCTGAGGTACCACTTTAGCTAATGGGGCCGCCTGCTGCCACCACGCCACCTCGCGATTTCTGTTCTCATCCTGAAGCAAAGTTCTTAACCTGAGGTACTATTTCTGGGTTAGCGGAGTCCGTAACCTGAAGCGTCTGTAACCTGAAGCGTCTGTAACCCGAGGTACCACTGTATTTAAAGAACGTTCAACACACATTTAAAGCACTTGTTTTTCACCAAAGAACCCTGGGAAATGAAGTTTCCCCATCACAGAACTCTCTCAGGGCCCTTAGCAAACTACATCTCCCAGAATTCTTTGGGTGGGGGGGAGAGCCAAGCGCTTTAAATGGGCACTTTATGTGCTTTTAATGTATGGTGTGGATCTGCCTGCTGCCATCTGTAGGTCCCTTTTCTTTTTGATAGCATCCATTGTGTGTGGAGGTGATTTGGCTTAACCCCTTTCCCTATGGATTTTTCCACCACCAGCCCAGCTAATATTTACAGATTTGCACCTCCGGGGAAGAAATAGCAGCTTCACTCCCTGCCAGCTGCTATTTAAAAGGGTGTGGGGACCCCACGACAGACAATGTGTCTAACAGTCCATCTAGTTTCGCTCTAAGAAAATCATGTTTTTATAGCCTAGAGTGTTCAAGTGCTTAACTTTTTAGACTGCTAAGTGTTGTGCTTTTAAGCTACTGTGCTCCTTTGAGGTTGTATTCACTGGAGTCTGTTGCTGTTTTAATTGTGCTGTTCTTTTTAATTTGGCAACGTTCCTATCATATTGTATGACACTGCATTTTTAAAAAAATTGTAAACTGCCCCAGGAACTCTATAGTGCTTCTGGTGTGGAATATAAATGCAGCAAATAAATGCTTCAGTAATTCTTTGGATGCTTGTCTTTCCAACTTTGAGCATGTTTCAGCATTTTATTCACATGCTACCATCTAAGGAAATAGTTCCAGTACTGATCCCGCCCATACCAAGCGCACACGCACAGAGAATAGCTATTATCATGGCTGAAATCCAGAGGAGACAAAACCTTTAAATTAAATGAGCTGAATAAGTATGTTATTTTTTTAATAAAATGAAAAACTTAATCAGGGAGCAAGCCCCAGTCCCTTAATGTGGCTTCCTTCTCAGTAAACATGAACAGGCTTGCAATGTGAAATCCCAACATTAACTATCATTTATGGTGATGGGAATAGTAGCCCAAAACCTCTGGAAGGCGTCACACTGGCTACCCCTGGCCTATGTAGTTAGCAGCTACAGCAAAAAGTATAAATCGCTTTGTTTAAAAAAAGAATAAGGCCAATTGATCTCACCTTGGTAACACGGCTATATTTTATGAGGTACAAAAAAAGTAATCACAACAAAACCTCTTAACATACACAGTTTTTTGAAATTTAGTTTTATCCTTAGATGAGGATGTCCAGCACCAGTGAAATATATCTCTTGCCACTAAAATCTGAAATGGTGGCTTTGTATCCAAAACACAGCCTTTCTTCGAGATAGGAACCACTTGCACAACAACCCATTGCATTGGGCTACAGTAGACATCCTGTCTTTTTCTATTTCAATGAGTCACGATGCTACTGTCTCAACAGAGGCTCTGTTGGTCTCAGCACAGTATGGCAAACCATATATACCTTCTCTACATTTGCCAAGAGTTTTATGACAATTCCTTCCTGGCATTTAAATCCATCCAATACTACTTTAAGTATCAAAATAGATACGTTCAATTTCTAAAAGCTTGTTGACTGTGTTCCAATTAGCATCTGAAAATGGGATGGATGTTTCACCCGCCTTATTCATTATTTAATTTCCCATCCCCTCCAATTCCACTGCTTTGACAGACAACTTCATGAGCTATCGTATATATACACACACATACACACTTACTTCTTAGCTGCCACAGCAACAACACATGCCAGAAGACTTGTTTTCAACAGTTTTCCACCAAAAGCCCCTCCGATTCGTTTCACATGACACATGATCCTATTGCTTGAGGTGCCTAAACAGGAGGCCACCATTTCCTGCACAAAACCAAATATTTTATTATGCCGGTACAATCAGAGGTGTCTCAAATTCGGGATAACACATAGGTTAAAAAAGTAAAAGGAAAAAAAAACCCTTGCTAAATACTGGACCAACAGAAATACTTCAGAGACTGGTTGTTGTTTTTCTCCTAAATCTTCTCCAAAAGTGGTTGAACATTAGCAGACTCAGGTAAGGCACAAGCTTTGCTATAAATGCAAATTCAATCAAACTGCAAATTTGTTGGGTCTCTGGACCGTAATAAAGATTGATTGATTGAAAAAGCACATGACTTCCGGGTTAGCGCCATCGGCAATGGCGGAGTTCCTCTGACCGAGAGGAACCCGCTCCGCGAAAATCGGGTCTTGCCGCCGCAGCGAAGGCGGAGACCCTTTAAAAATCCCAGGCGGAGGAAGCCTGGGAACGTGGGATTCGGCTGACACCAAGAGCACCTCCCCTACTCGCGGGGAAACCCTTTTTCGGGGTCCTGAAGCGAAGGGGGGTGAGTGGCGCGGTGTTTTGAATCGACTGCTATTTTTACGGAGTGAAGCCACACAGCCGTTGCCGGAGAGCGCTGACTTTTTCCTGTGAACAATTGGATTTTAAACAACTACTCGTGAGTAGAATGGAAAATTGGATTATAAAACTGTATAATTTGGCACCGAAGCGGGAAGGTCTAAACAGGAAGTCCACCTTTCTGCTTTTGTAAATAGTTTGAAGCAAAGACATCGCAAGCTAAAGTCTAGAAAGTTATTTGTAAAGGACTAAACTTCCATCGGTCCAAACTACTAAATCCCCCCTGGAAGCAGGAGAAGAGGGGGGAAATTTTGAACTGTTTAAGCCTGCAGGAGAGAGCGTAAAAAAAAGATAATTTTCTACTGTCTTGAACCCGGAAGCGGGCTGCCAAAAGATAGACGTATTGGGAAGGTTAATTGACCGAAAACAAAAGGTGTGCTGACAGATAGTTAAGAAAGAGAAACGTTTTGACTCCAATGTTTCTCTTTGTACTTAAAAAGAACAAAACAGTTGAAAAAAGAAGGTAATTTTGTTGCCGGATATGCTTCTAAAAAGACGGATACAATTGGAAATTGTATCCCCTAGAGGGAGCCTTTGAAATTGCTGCTGGAGTGGACCTGGGAAACTAGCCAGCATTAGAGATTAAGGATTGTGAGAAATATATTTTTTGACCTTGGACAAGAATGTCGACACAGGAAGCTTTAGTGTCTGCCTTGTGCAGGACAAGTGCTTTGCTGGAGCAGCTACATGCAAAGATGGATTTGATGTTTATTGCAACTGACAACTTTGGACAAGCAGTGAATACTTATACGGAAATCCTTCAGGAATCAACCCAGGAATTTGCACTGACAGGGCAAGTTGAGGAGAAGACAAAGAAGGAGGTTGTTGTCGAACCTCAAGTAATATATGTTAAGAGAGCTGTGGCCTTGCAGGATTATAAGCTGTTGTTTCTGATGCCTGAGCCTGGAGTGAGTGATATTTGGAGAGATGGAGTCCCAGCTGGATTGGAGATGGGAAGTGGGTTTCCAACGCAGGGATGTCCAGACCTATGGGATTTGGTCCTGGGCCAGGGAGAAACTGGAGCTGTGGGAACCATTAACCTTGGAGGGACATTGAAGCACGCTATGAAACTTCCTTTGGATTTTAATGCTGATTATGGAGAATGGGTGGATCTGTTGAGAAGGGTTAAAGACATTGTTAAGTTGGAGTCTCTCAGAGATCTACTCCTCAGTGTTAAAGGAAAGAAACGGAAAATAAGATCAACAGATGACAAAATAAAGGGCAAGTACAAATTTGAAGAAGATCCGCAGAAGGGACATGGAGAAGAGTTAAGAGCCTCGGATATAAGATCGCCAGGTTGATGGACTAGAGGGAATTAACATAAAGGACTGACAGAACCCGAGACCGGGAAGAAGAAACGGTGGATGAAGATTGGAAGAAAGTTATAAAAATTTATTTAAAGAAACATTGTAAAGTTAATGAGCTTTAGGAAAATGTTGGAATGAAATTATTCGGCTTTAGTAGAAATGTTATAAGGAGATAAGTTTAAATAAGTCCTAAATTTTTAGGGTTTTTTAAGTGAAAAATTTAAGGGTAAATTGTGTTAAGACGAATTATAGAACAAAATTTGAGAAAGAGGGAAAGGATTTGCTGAAACAGTTAATTGAATTAGAATACAAAAAAGGGAGGTGTGAGGAAGTCGAGGAAATAAGTAAATGAAAGATAAAGATATGAAAACATCGGATCTTTTTTTCTCTTTTTTTTCGTTTCTTTTTAAAATGTTTTTGTCTTTAAATGTTTTTTGCTTTTGCTTTTTTTATTGAGCTGCTGTACTGTTTAGTTATTGTATCTTGTTTTTGTTTTCCCCCTCTATTTTTTTCTTTATATTTGAAGTATTGTAATTTCTTTAATTGTTGTTCTTTTTATTTCTTTCTTGGAATTGTTAAACTTTAATAAATATTATTAAAAAATATAAAAATAAAGATTGATTGATAAATGCAAATTAATCATAGCTGAAGGCTTATGTGAGTCTATTGTTTCCTACCTGCGGAAAGCAATTTACCGTCTTTTTTGTCCCATAGGACGCTCCGTCCCATAGGACGCACCTAGTTTTTTTGGCGGAAAATAAAGGAAAATTTTTTCCCCTTTATTTCCCCCCCAAAACCAGGTCGGGGAACAGCGGTATGGCAGCGCTGCGCCTCCCAGCTGTCCCCCGAGCTTGTGGGGCTGGCCGATGTCTGCCCGGCGCGTGGGGCACTCTGCTTCAGGGCGCCCCGCGCTCCGTGCAGCAGGCTGCTATCCACAGCGTGGGGAGCCCCGCGGGAACTCCCGCAGGGCTCCCCACGCTGCGGATGTCTGCCCGGCACGCTGTGCGCTCTGCTTCAGGGCACCCCGCGCGCCGGGAGGCAGGCTGCTATCCGCAGGGTGGGGAGCTCTGCGGGAGTTCCTGCAGGGCTCCCCACGCTGCGGATGTCTGCCCGGCGCGAGGGGTGCCCTGAAGCAGAGCGCCTGTGCGCCGGGCGGCAGGCTGCTATCCGCAGCGTGGGGAGCCCCGCGGGAGTTCCTGCAGGGCTCCCCACGCTGCGGATGTCTGCCCGGCGCGAGGGGTGCCCTGAAGCAGAGCGCCCGCGCGCCAGGCGGCAGATGTAAGAAAGAGCCCATTCTGGAGCTCCTCTCCAGGGTAGCATCCTGATTTCCAGGTAGCAGCAAAATATCAGTGGGAGCCCATAAGAGAGGAAGTGATATGCTGAGCCCAATAAATGTAGGGCTTTAAGACACAGAGAACGTGGCTGTCACTTGTGCAACATGTTATGAGATAGCTCTCTTAACCTGTACAAACGCTGGATGCTGGGTGGACACAAACAAATTCATTTCTTTATCCTCTCCTGTTGGAACAGCAAGAATGCTCTGAGTCTCCATATAAAAGTGCTCCTGTCCGCCAACATGGATCTCGCCTGTTTCAAAAAGAGAACATCTTAAATCAGTACATCCAAAAGTGTGCAGCCTGGCTTTCTTGAGACTGGGAAGAAAGTGGATGAAAAACCACACTGCATTGTGCATAACTGTAGACAAATGTTCATTTTTGCAATCTTAGAAATGCCAAGCCTCAAACCGCCTAGTATTATTATAAAGGGCACCAGTAAGAAAGGATGCAGATGTTGCACTTCTCTATGGCAGAAATTATGAGGCACAACTAATCAGGTGGGCCTTTAAAAGTCTGCCTGTATGCAAAAGTTACAAATTATTGCCTGTGTGAGAATTAGGGTTAAGCACCTGCTTTCTGACAAGGTATATATTCAAATTGAACAAATAGCTGTTTCTGACATTGTATGGTGCATTAACTACAGTGGTACCTCGGGTTAAGTACTTAATTCGTTTCGGAGGTCTGTACTTAACCTGAAACTGTTCTTAACCTGAAGCACTACTTTAGCTAATGGGGCCTCCTGCTGCCGCCGGAGCCCGATTTCTGTTCTTATCCTGAAGCAAAGTTCTTAACCTGAAACACTATTTCTGGCTTAGTGGAGTGTGTAACCTGTAATGGAAGCATATGTAACCCGAGGTACCACTGTATATTCGCAAGTTTGGGAGGCATGGATTTGTATTGTGTTCAGTCCAAGGGCACTGACGAGTGGGGTGTAAATCAGGTACAAGGAGCCTTTAGATTTCCAGGTGTTGCTTAACTTCCAGCTCCCATCATCATTGGCAGTACTTGCTGTGGCTGATGGAAGTCTCAGTTCAGCAACATCTGGAGGGCCAAATGTTCCCCACACCTGCTGCAAATGGTGGGGTGTCTGTTCTGTGGCTTTCATGGTAAGGTTTTGAATCAGCAGGCTGCGATTTACCTTCAAGCACATGGTCGACGACTTTAAATACTTCATCCACATTTCCTCGTTCCAGTTTTCTCTGTGGTTCAAAGAACGAATTGTGCTCTATTGCCTCCTGCAGCAACAGAAGAGACATACACCTAAGCTCAGCACCCTACCTGTTTATTTTGAACAAACTGCCAGCACCCCTTGAGGGAAAGCCATGATATTTAAACTTTTATGCATTGTGAATATTTAATATAGACATGCCCAAAAACACAATTTACAGGGCAGGCTGTGGAGCAGCAAAATCAGAAGCAACAACGAGTATTGTAACACCTGAAAGATTAACCAAGTCAATTATGGCATAAGCTTTTGTTTACTAGAGTCTGCTCCATAAAATGCAACAAAGCTTAGGGCACAATAAGCTTATACCATCATAAGATGTCTCGGTTTTTAAAGTGCCACAGGACTCTTTGGTTCTTCTGTTATAACAGACTGACTGCCAATATGGAAATTAGTAAAATCCGAATATCTGGTTGTAAGCCTACTTAGCCCTACAATGGGACTAGATTATTTTAAATCAATGTAATTTGATTTAACTGGGTTGTGGACTGAATCAGACACCTGGAATTTTAATAGAAGTAACTAGTAGTACAAATAAATAGCTTTTATGACAGCAGCAGTTAAGAAAAGGCTGTTCTTTACCTCAATGGTCAGGATCACAGGTTCTTGAAATTCATACTGTATTTTCACTTTTGCAGCTGCTTGTTTAGCATGAACATCTGAATCTGCTACCACTGCACAGACAATCTGACCCACACAAGTCACCTGAAAACCAGAGAAAACCAGTGTCTTAACTTTTGGACACACATATTCCACAGAAAGCTGATGAAACTGCAATAAGCCCACAATTTACACACATTTAACTAGTGTGCATTCAGCTTTACGCATGTAATTTTAAAAATAAAAAGGGGGCATAATTCTGGGGGAAATGACTTTGGCGATCCCACCTGCCATTGAACCCAGGTGGAATCCACACACACATAAAAACCATTCTGAAAATGCTATTTAAAAAAGCGTTTTTAAAAATATATTGATTTTTCCATAAGGCTCACCATCGCCATCTAGTGTCACATTGTATATTGCACTTAATAGTTTTATTTGCAGCTGTATAGCTGAGTCCCCAGTGTGTTAGACTATACAGTGGTACCTTGGGTTAAGTACTTAATTCGTTCCGGAGGTCCGTTCTTAACCTGAAACTGTTCTTAACCTGAAGCACCACTTTAGCTAATGGGGCCTCCCGCTGCTGCTGTGCCGCCGGAGCACAATTTCTGTTCTCATCCTGAAGCAAAGTTCTTAACCTGAAGCACTATTTCTGGGTTAGCGGAGTCTGTAACTAGAAGCGTATATAACCTGAAGCGTATGTAACTCGAGGTACCACTGTACATGATTTTGGTTTTAGTCGTTATCCCCAGAATGTAACTCCTGCGTAAATCATAGAATCATAGAGTTGGAAGAGACCACAAGGGCCATCGAGTCCAACCCCCTGCCAAGCAGGAAACACCAATAGTGGGCCTACTCTACATACATATACAAAGTTATCTCTTTTTTATATAAAAAAGTGTGTATCCTAAACCTCAGCACAAATATTTAAGTTGGTTCAATATTGGCTCCACACTGGGGCACAGCTAACTTGTATAATTAACGTAGAAAGTCAGTGGTTTGCTGGTTGCACACTGGTGCACAAACCAAACTGTGGGATCTGCATAATTTCAGGAGCTAGTTGAAAGCTGCACTTTTCCCAATTGTCCCACACTTTCCTTTCATTAGCTGAGATACAGTGTGAAAAAGTACTCTGCGAATGAAGCCCAGTCAAGAAACTGTCACACACTGTCCCTGGAAGGGGAATATTACAGAGATAAAAAGTGAGACAAATCAGTGAACACTTAAATAATAATGCAATAGAAACAAATACTCAAACAAAAAACAAAGTATATATACAATGGAGAATGAGTCAATTCTTATTTAGATTAACAAAATTAAAATAAATAGTTAAATAACTATGAACTGTTGATGATTAAACGTGGCATACCTTTTCTCTGGCAAACACAATATCTGGGACATCGTAGTTGTAGAACTCATTCGTTGCTGGGACATCCTGAACAGAAACGATATCAACTACCCCTGACATCTTGAGAGCTTCTGAAGGATCAATTGATCTGCAAGAAGCAGTGCAAACAAGTTAACTAACAATAAGAGCAGAAACAGTTATTCACAGGTTGCTGGGACAAGGGCGGTGAGAAAAGGAGGTACATGGCAGAATGAGGATGAGATGGGCCAAGGGGCTGGCAAAGACTAAAGGGGCTATGGGACTGGGGTGGGGAAGCAGTGGGATGTGTCGCTTCGACACTGAAATGGAGACAGGGCTGGTAAGGAAACTGGGGGGGGGGGGAGGGAAGGAGGTGACAGTACTCTGTACCTCCCTCATATTTGGGTTACATGCAGCTATTACATGCCACATCATGCTTATTTTGTACTGTTTTTACAGTGTTTTCCGTTATATTGTACTTGAATTTATTGTTATACACCACAACTTCTTATCTTATAAGATCAGGTGGCATATTGTTGTTGTTTAGCCGTCTTAGTCGTGTTCGACTCTCCGTGACCCCATGAACCAGAGCATGCCTTGGAAACTCTCTCTTCTCAAAGCTTCTCCTTTTTTATGTCCGTGGAGTTTTCTTGGCAAAATACTGGAGTGGTTTGCCAGTTCCTTCTCACATTTAGTCTAAACTCTGAGCTATGACCTGTCCGTCTTGGGTGGCCCTGCACGGCATAGCTCTTAGCTTCTTGGGGTTATTAAAGCCCCTTCGCCACGACAAGGCAGTGATCCATGAAGGGGCAGGTGGCATACACACACACACACACACACACACACACACAAATATATATAGTTTTCTATATTGCGGCACATACACAATCTTTGCATGGGGTTTAGAACTGGTTACTAAAGCCAAGAAGAGTTCTTCATCAACGGTGCGAATGTCATCACAATAAATAGCTTCCCCTGTGGCGTGTTTAGTACCGGCCTGGTGCATGACTGGACGTCCTACGGGATCTTGAGGAAGCTGTCCTGGCTCCACGTCCTTTTTAATTAAAAAAAGAAAAGAAAGCCACAAATCAAATACAAAAAAGTCAAGACGACCCTTTGCTTTAGCTTCTTTTTCTTTTATATGCCAACTATTTCTCCTTTCTACAATCCACCCCCCCCCATTGCAATCACAATGAGATAAACTGCATCCTAAACTGTAAGGAAGAGAAATCAGGGCTTATCCACATGATGTTTTAGTTCAACTCTTTCAGTCAAGCTAGTGCCAAACTTTTACCTAATACTTTTACCATAACATGCAAGTGAATGAGACTTCTACCTAGCATGAAAGCAGACTGTGTTTCCCTTAGCTTCCGTAGTCCTTCAATGTATAGACTAAAAAAGCTGAAATCAATGACTCTCTAGAACACCTCTCATTCCACCTTGGAAACAGCTCACTAATCTAACAAAGCTCACTGATCTGACAAGAAAGCTAAGATAACAAGGACTGACTTCTAAGAAGGCAGCAATAGTTTAACACTTAGGGATGTCAAAGCCTGATATTCCAAAACCCCTCAAAATCACAGTTTTGAAATAATGCATTCTGTGTAATAGGGTCATACTAAAGTAATTCTGCTCACCTGATACTTTTGCATGCTCTGTGGCATTTTTGTATGGAAACTTTCAAGGGCACTTGCATAATTATCTGGGATATCAGGATACTGAGTAGGATACTATAAGAAAATGATTTGTCACATTTTATAAAAAGGAAACATTTAATTAAAACCCAGTTCTAAAGTTAACATGCACACAGACACACACCTCTCCATACACAATTAAGTGTAATTCAGTTTAAAAAGTTTTTGAATGTTTAAAAATGAACTGTCCCACGCTCCTTGCAAAAAGGGACAGAATCCAAAAATAAGGATATGTTCAAGCATGTGCGGAAGAATAGTGGGTCTTCTCTTTTTATAGGCACCTCATTGGTCATTGTGAGAAGAGGATGTCAGACTTAGAGGGGCCTTTGGTATGATCTAGTAGCAGAGCCATAGAGACATAACCTGGGGCAAAACATAGTCTCAAGACTTCCCCTTCCTCCAAATGCTATCAGAAGAAAATGCAGCATGGAATATAAGCAAACTAAATGCATTATATAGTTTAGTGATTTCCTGGCTCAACATCTACTGTTGTTGTTTAGTCGTCTTAGTCGTGTTTGACTCTCCGTAACCCCATGAACCAGAGCATGCCTTGGAAACTCTCACTTTCTTCTCAAAGCTTCTCCTTTTTTATGTCCACAGAGCTTTCTTGGCAAAATACTGGAGTGGTTTTTGCCAGTTCCTTCTCCACAACATCTATTACTTTCACCTTAAAACATCTAGAAATTATAATTATAAATAAAAATACTCCCAAGACAACAATTAGGCAGACTGGGACGCAGCTTCTAAAATACCGCACACCCATAAGGCACACCTGACCATAAGGCGCACCTACTTTTTTGGGGGGGGGGTCAAGAAAAAATAAATTAAAAATGCAGCTCTTGGGGGCTTTTGCTGGAGGTGGGGGAAGTGAGAGAGCCTTGCTTTGTCCCTTCCCCCACCTCACGCAAAAGCCAGGGATAGCCGTGTGAAGCCTCCCCAGGGCAGCGGGATGAAGGCTCCCCGCTGCCCTGCGGAGGCTTCGCGGGCTACCCCAGAGCTGCTCGACCCAAAGAGCAGGTCGGGGAGCAGCGGAAAGGCTGCGCACAGCCTTCCCGCTGCTCGCCGGGGCTGGTGGTTGGGGAAAGTACGGCTTTCCCCCACCACCAGCCCCACAAGCACGGGGAGCAGCCTTCCCGCTGCTCCCTGACCTGCTCTTTGGGGAAAGTCACCGCCAGCCCCAAAGAGCAGGTCGGGGAGCAGCAGAAAGGCTGCGCACAGCTTTCCCGCTGCTCCCCGAGCTTGTGGGGCTGGCGAGGGAAGCCCGCCCCCCCCCCCAGCCCCAGGGACCATACATTCACTCCATAAGATGCACAGACATTTCCCCTTAGGTTTTAAGAGGGGAAAAGTGCGTCTTACGGAGCGAAAAATACAGTAACTTGGTAGGCTGCTCACCCTGAGACTGCTCCCTTCAAATTCCACCCAGAAATGAAACTGAATTATGTAGGCATGCAGGCATGCTAACGTCATTTACCCAACACTTTGGCTTTAAACAGTTTATGAATCAGGCTGGTCACATATAACTGCAAAACAGGAATCAATACAAATCAAAATTACCATTATCTTCAGTGACTGCAACACCTCCAAGTAGAATTTGAAGATGAAACTAACAATGAGAGTTTTTCTGTACTCCACTTTACCACCTGGAGCTGAACTTGGGAGAATAATTTCTTTGAGGACTGCTCTGCAAGCTTCATCCAGCATCTGCCCATCCCAAGGTCTGGAAAAATAAAGAATTATATATACTCAGTAAGCAGGCAAACTAAACAGTAGTTGTAGATCTACTATTAGAACAACAGTAGTTGTATCCTTACTATTCATTTCCTATAGGATCACAGCTCTAAATGCACAGGACTGTTGTGATGGCCTGGGAATCTGATTCAGAATCTGAACCTGAGGAGTCCCAGCCTGCACAGGAGTCCCCGCCTCCAGGGCCGGCTGAGCCGGGGCAGGGGCTTGAATCTGAAGGGCCTGCACCTGTGCCGGATCCTCAGGAGCAGACACCAGCTGAATCCGCTCTGGCTCCGGAGGTGATTGAGGGCCCATTGCCTGCAGGTGCGCCTCTCCCAGCCCTGTCAGGGGAAGGTGAAGCTGCCCCTGGGTCCAATAACCCTCCAGCCTCTCCTGAGCTGCAGAGGCTCAGGGCAGAGAGGCGGAGGGAACTGGGTTCTCTCAGGAGGAGTGCTCACCTTAAGGCCAGGAGAGGTGGGTCACCTGTGGGCCGGGACCACCCCTGGCCTCAGAGGAGATAAAGGCCAGTCGGCCCAGTCCCAGGTTGCGGGAGCAACGACGTTGGAAACCTGTTTCTGCCAGCACCCAGACATGTTCCTCCGGAGTTCCCAAGACGCCCGGCTTCTTGCATTGGACCCTGCTTCGCCCTTGGTGGACAGTCTCCAGACCCTCGGCCCAGGACTGGACTCTGACCACGTCTCACGGTAACCCCCCCCCCGGGACCAGCACAACTGTATTCAGCATAGCACATTGGTACAATCTCCCCCTCTCCCTAAATCTGACTGGGGGGGAGGGTTTCACTCAACCCCACAGAACAGGTTTGAAGACAGAGCAAAGCATACATGGGAGGAAAAATCGCCTTGCACTAGCACAAAAATAGTGCCCAGAGTTTTGATCATGAAGTTTTTATTCCAACGGGCTATCTCAGTAAAATACAAATTAGATTCTTAATGGGGGAAAGACTTAAAATATGCATTCTGCAGCACACTGTTATTGTACATCAAGGAAACAAAACAGATTCACTATTCCAATGGGGATTGATATTTTGGGGTGCCTTAGTTATGAGTATCTTCCTTTGCTATGAAGTAAGTGGATCTGATTTCTGTATTTTGGTTAAAGAAGATGTGCACAGCTTACAAAAAGGACCCCCATCCCAAGGTGTTCCTGTTTAAAACTGTACAAACTCCAGTTTAATTTTTTTAAAGACCTATGTAGCAGCCCTCCTAACTACTGTGGTAAATTTGGAGGTCAGAACAATCGTAGAGGGCTAGAACCAAGGAGTCAGGCTGCATATGTTTTTCAACTCTTTTAATGACTGTTTCTTCGGTTCCATTTCAAAATAAGACTAACTAGAATAAGTATAGCCTGTCCACCAAATCTAGTTAACGTAAACAGTGACAACTTCATTAACTAAGGATGGTATTCAACTAAGTTTTATTCAGTGCAGACCCACTGAAATTAATGAACCTGACTAAGTTAGGTCCATTAATTTCCATGACTCTACCCTAAGAGCACAGGAAGTAATGGCATATGCTAACTTATATGCACAGATGTAAATTTAGAAATAGCTGCTAAGATACTCAAGGCAACTGAAAATCATTAAACATTGCATGCATGCATGCATCATATATTTTTAAAAATACATCATAAATTTAAAATGCTTAAAATATGCAGAAAATACAAAATGATTTCACAAGAGGGCAGAACTTGTTTAACTCTTGGTACTGAACTGCTTGCCCACTTGTGAGTTTGTGTGATCAAAGACGAACAGAATAGAAAAGTAAAGATAGTTCCATTGTGTTGATGAATCCAAAAGGAATTCTGAAGAACAATAAGGTCTGAAATAATCTTACAACCTATTTTATATAATTTGTCCATTTAATTGCTGCATGTCGAGCATTTATTTGGCAACAATATGATTTTAGTATTTGAGAACTCACAGCTTATCTAGACGCCTCTTACTTAGGAAACTGCTACCATTGGGGTGAGCTTTCAGTCTAAAAGGTGTCAATGCTACAGGAAATCATATAGTACCTTCCAATGAGCGCCTGACATGTTTGCTTGGCGGCAACTGTAGTGAAGCCAACACCTCCGTAACATATGCGGAAGTCCCTGATGATGTTGCAGTCTTCTTCAAAGACAACCCTCATCCCTGCTGTAACAATAGGTAAAGCATTTTCCCGCCTCGGAGCTTGTCGAAACGCTGCGACAAACTCACCCTGAAAAGGGATAGGAATCAGAATAAAAAAGAGAGATTAGTTGGGCTACAACATTTTGAAATGCCACCTTTTATTACAGGACATTCCACAGCAGCACTCACAACTTGACCATTGAAAACTGGGAGAAAGGTTTTTCCTAATTTCTCCCCTGGATCGTATTCAAATCTAAGTTTAAAAGGCTGTATTCCTCTTATAGCAGTTGCAGACCGCCTTCGTGCCTTAGATTAAATTTGGAGGCTACTGCTATATATTCTCCCCTACATGCTGCAGTCAGTTTGATTCCAATTTTTCACAGCAAGCTGAATAGAGTATGGGGAGAGCAGGGTCCGCACTACAGATGGTTCAAAGCCCTGGAGCTCTTGAAGCACGAGGCATAGCCTTTGGGCAAGGATTGGCAGTCCCATTAAGAAAGCACTTTGCCCTTGCGGTCCCCATTTAAGACTGTTCACTTATTTATGAACGTATCATGTTCCATTCCCAAACCAATCTGAATGTTGCAAAAACATTGACATTTGCCAAAATATGCATGTTGTGGATTGTCATCTAACATTTTTTTTTATAATTGCCAATCTTAAAGGAAAAGGAAAGACTACTGACCTTCCTGGAATGTGGGATTTTAACAGACACTAGGATCTCCTCTGGTTCCAGGGTATTGTTTCCAAGTCCATCAGCAAAAAGGTCACTGAAAGGAATCTGTCGCAGCCTCCCTAACAGAGAACATTAACATCCATACAAATTGAAAATAAATACTAAGCACTGTAAAGAGATCATAGAGCGATCATTTTGGCTTGGCTGACATGGAAAATTCTGGACTAGTTATGCATGTAGGTTGCAGAAACCCAAAGCAATTCCGTTGGCTTTCTTACTTAGGTGGCAGGAGTGATCACTTTCTCTTTACCCCCTATAATAATTATTAAAGTGTGCCAGAGCTAAGTCGGAATTCTTTTGGGAGTCTCACACCCTTGCATTTTAATATATCTACCTAAACTTGTAAGGGTGCAAGGTTCTTACACAGTAAGGGCCATAGCTCAGTAGTAAAGCATCTGCTTTGCTTGCAGAAGGCCCCAGATTCTGTCCCTGGCATCTCCTGGTAGAGCTGCAAATGACCCCTGTCCAAACCCTGAAGAGTCACTGCCTGTCAGTATTAACACTGATCTAGCTGGACCAATGTCCTAATTCCGTATAAGGCAACATCCAGTGTTCCACAAATTGCTTTGCAAAGAATGTATGCAAACAACCAGAAACACGTGTGCATACTTGCCACACAAGTCTTCCCATCATAACAGAAGTGTGCCTTGCCCATGAGGTTTTGCACAGTGGAGTTTGGATTTGATATCCCACTTTATCACTACCCGAAGGAGTCTCAAAGCTGCTCACAATCTCCTTTCCCTTCCTCCCCCACAACAAACACTCTGTGAGGTGAGTGAGGCTGAGAGACTTCAGAGAAGTGTGACTAGCCCAAGGTCACCCAGCAGCTGCATGTGGAGGAGTGGGGAAGCGAACCCGGTTCACCAGATTACGAGTCTACCGCTCTTAACCACTGCACCACACTGGCTCTCCAACTAAGCCTGGTTTGTGAGATAGCATACTGCGCCTTTCTTAATGTAACATACAAAGCATTGCTGTGCCAAACTACACATTGCATTAAATGGGCCTTCACAGTTGTGTGCACCACAACCGCAGGAGACCCTGATTCAGGTTAGGACTACAGGTGGAGGGGTCCCACCCCGTCCCCTGCCGTGATGTGGTCCTGATGAAAATCACCTCTCTTGTCCACAAAAGCTGCTATTTACCCCCAAAAGAAAGCTGATGTTGGCATCAAAAACATGTCCTTAGTAGGATAAGCAGGCAGCAGGAAACTCAGCTAGTGAATGAATGAATTTATCAAAGGCCTTAAGAAGGAAATACAGTGGAACCCTGGGTTATGTACGAATGCTTTGGGTAACGAGCTCCGCTAACCCGGAAGTAGATGCTCCTAGTAGCAAACTTTGCCCCGGGATGCGAGCGGAAGTCACGTGCCAGCCGAGCGGCGGCAGCAGGAGGCCCCATTAGTGAAAGCGCGCTTCATGTTAAGAACGGTTTCGGGTTAAGAACGGACCTCTGGAACGAATTATGTTTGTAACCAGAGGTACCACTGTAATAGGATCTTCATTCCAGTCCTCACTGAGATATTTGCTTATTTGTAAAAAGAATACACTGGCACCTTAGAGTTCCTTATTGAGAAAGGGATTAGAGTGAAAAGAACAAAAATACGATGAAGGCTGCAACTCCATACAAATTCACCTGGGGAAAGTCCCATTGAATACTTCTGAGTAGACATGTATAGGATTGCGCTACACAGCTTACACTCCCTGTGCCAATGAAAGAAAGAAAGAAATATCCTCACAAGCAAATTTCATAGCCACAGCCTTATCCCTAGCTCCCTCAAGGGCACAGGCCTGCAGATGGCTTCCCAGGGCCTTCAATGTGTTCCAAATACATAAAAGAGATTTGGAAGGTTTGGATAATACAGAGTGTGACGGAAAACCGAGAATGCATTTGGCCCTACCTTGCGATGCCACATTGAGGATACAGTTGCTAACTGCTAGAATAGGATTGATGTCAGATGTTGAACTTCTGCTTATGATATTTCCTCCAAAGGACTAAAAACAAAAAAAGGGAAGGAAAAATGCAGTTTCAACACAAAAAAATGAAACACAATATCAACGTTAACAAATTAAACTGGAAAATATTTGTTTCTCAGTTAACAGTAATCCAAGGTAACATTTGTAAAAATGTTTCAATTAAGGAAACATACAGCCACGTTTCGGATCTGCTGTCCACCCAGAGTTTTTAATTGTTGCAAAAGAGCAGAGAATATCTTGGTTTTCTCTGCTGAAAGTTTTGAGACCGCATCTGTCAGAATGTTTTTCACTGCAGTCAGGCTACACGCAGCTCCTAGAATTAGTCCTGAAAAGAGTAAAACATAAGAGTAAAACACATGCTGGAACTGCTTTTTCAGAACTCATCAAGAGAAAAAATTAATCGTTTAATGGAGCACAGTGTGCACTTTCAAACTGATCCCACTGCTCTTAAAACTGCTAATGGGGCCCAAAGATAGAAAACAAAAGTTTACTGACCATCTTCTGTGCGTTCCACAACATACAGATCCATTATTCTAGTGGGCGAGATGATAAGTGGATGAAATACACCTTTAAATTTCATATCAGGTCCTACAGGGCAGAAGATAACAGTGAAAATGAGGAGGAAGGGGAATGTTGCTTGATTGCAATTTAAACCTTTGAAAATATTTGTTTGTAAAAATTGTGAGCCACTTTTTCTACTCACAGATGGGATATGAAGTACTCTAAAGCTAGTAACAATCTAGAGAATGTTTTAAAAGTACAGTGGTACCTCGGGTTAAGAACTTAATTTGTTCTGGAGGTCTGTTCTTAACCTGAAACTGTTCTTAACCTGAAGCATCACTTTAGCTAATGGGGCCTCGTGCTGCCGCTGCGCCGACGCTGCATGATTTCTGTTCTCATCCTGAAGCAAAGTTCTTAACCCGAGGTACTCTTTCTGGGTTAGCAGAGTCTGTAACCTGAAGTGTCTGTAACCTGAAGCGTATGTAACCCGAGGTGCCACTGTAGAGAAAATCCAATAACATAAAAATGCTGCACTTTAAAATATGCCACCATAAGATTAAAATGTACCACAGTAACCAGAGAGTAGACTTACTGCTGGTAACAGGTGTTGTGTATGTATAGGTGTGGGTGTATTCTGGGCCAAACAGAATTTCCTTGGCAGAGTATTGTAAATGAAAAGCTGTCCCCACAGAAAAAAATCCCACCATGTGATTTCTCAGATTTGATCACTGCAAACGAAGGGCCACAAAGCAAGGCTCCTTTGGGGATCTCAACGTGCGCAGCGATACATATACTGGTATTACAGTAACAGGATATACCGTATTTTTCGCCCTATAGGATGCACTTTTCCCCCTCCAAACATGAAGGGGAAATGTGTGTGCGTCCTATGGGGCGAATGCAGGCTTTCGCTGAAGCCTGGAGAGCGAGGAGGGTCGGTGCGCACTGTCCCCTCTCGCTCTCCAGGCTTCAGGAAGCTATCCGCTAGCCGTGGGAGACCCAGCTCTCCCAGGGCTAGCGGAGAGCTTGCCTGCACCCAGAAGCTTGGGGCGCGCTGAGCTCCGCACGCCCCAAGCTTCGGGATTAGCGCAGCGCTCCGCTAGCCGTGGGAGAGCCGCGCGGCTCTCCCACGGCTAGTGGAGACCTTGCCGGCACCCAGAAGCTTGGGGCGCGCTGAGCTCAGCACGCCCCAAGCTTCGGGCTTAGCGCAGCGCACCTGGGGGGAAAATAAAAAAAAATTCCTTTATTTCCCCCCCAAAAACTAGGTGCGTCCTATGGGCCGGTGCGTCCTATGGGGCGAAAAATACGGTACCGAAATTCTACCGAAAGAATAAATCACAGCAGCTCCATGAAACCATGGCCTACAGACAGATCACCTACAAATCATCTAACCTTCACCAGGAGCTGACTTTCAATAGCTCATAGTGGGGGAGCTGCTCCTATATGTATGGAATCTACATACCTACAGCAGTATTGCCTACTACAAGAGGTGCCTGGGGGTGCTTGGCTTTCAGTTCCAGAAGTTCATTTAGATTTACAGGAGAAATCCATGCAGTCCTTTCCCCATGGTAAACAAGAGTTTGTGGTGTCTGATCTTCAGCCATTTTCTGTAGGGAAAACAGTATCAGATTCAGAGGTTTGATATGCTTTGGAGTGCATTTGAACTGCACTGACCTTGCCCCTCTCCTTCCCAGGACACTACAGCAACATGGATGGTGGGAGGTCAGTTAAGCACTGCTGCCCTACCACACTGGCAGCCTTAGGACAACTTTTAGGTATGGGGAAGAAGAGAAGAAGTGTTTGAATTGGATATTCCGCTTTATCACTACCCGAAGGAGTCTCAAAGCAGCTAACATTCTCCTTTCCCTTTTCCCCCCACAACAAACACTCTGTGAGGTGAGTGAGGCTGGGAGACTTCAGATAAGTTTGACTAGCCCAAGGTCACCCAGCAGCTGCATGTGGAGGAGCGGGGACGCGAACCCGGTTCACCAGATTACGAGTCTACTGCTCTTAACCACTACACTACACTGGAGTTGTAGATAAGCTATTGGATGGCAAACCCCAATGTTGGCAAAGCGTTTGGCCAGCTGCTCCAACTCAGGTCAAACGGATGGTTCACCAGTTGCTAAGTTCAGCCTATCTTCAGAAGCTTTATATTAGTAAGGCATTCTACAATCAGGGCATACAGTAAAGCTATCAGAGCTGGCAGAGCTGGTTGTGTATAGAACCAAATGTCCCCAAAGGCCTGTAAACACCATCTTGGTAGTCAATATAACTAATGGATGTGAGCTGTAAAATGAAATCACACGATTTTCTGCTTGTTTTGAAGCTCTGAAACCTTAGTTTTGGTTCAGTTAGTTGGAAGAGGGGAGACTCCTCACTCTGCCTGCCTGCCAGCCACCCCCATATCTGAGAGATGGACGGAAGTGGGGAACAGGTCTCTAAGCCAGGGATGGTTAATTGGGCTATTGCTGCCAGCTTACATAGCTTGCTTTTTGTATAAGTAACTCATATACAAATGGCCCCTCATGGACAAAGCCATGGTGTTTGCCCCTACAACATCTGCCCTGAGGTGCGGTGGCAAGGAACCTTGCATTGCACTGCTGCAAGTCTCTTGATTTATCTCTGTTATAAAGCACTAGAGCTGATCGCCCTGGCCTTCTGTGCATCTTTCCTTGGAATCCCTGCAACAGGGTCCTGCGAGGCATCAGGCAAACTTTCGTCCTGGTCTGTATTTGGACTCGTGGGACAGAACAAGGTTGCTTCTTCACAAATTCAGTGTTCACGACTCACCCAGTAGCCCAAATATCACATTAAAATGATAGTGGAAATTGGCTCTAAGCTGTAAGACAACATGCTGTATGTATGCTAATTTTTCTTACTATGAGTTCTGGCGGAAATATTAGTTCTTGGGTGGGATCCAATGGCTGGCATTCTTCTGCAGAAAATAGTGCTGTACAAATCTTAAAAAGAGAAAGACAGTACACACACGTGTGAATTTCCATCAACAAGAGTGTGTATTTTCAAAACTGAATATTAAGTTGGGTATAGATTTCAGACTTCGCCCCGAAGAACTGGCATTTATCACTGTGACTGTGTTATGCTATCATCTCATATTGTTATTGGCCTTTATTACCATAAGGCTATCATCTCATATTAGGGTGGCTATGATTCATTCAATTATACAGTGGCAGGAAAAAGTGCTATGGGTCTTTGCCTATTCCATCTACTTACTTTCTCTGGCTCTTGGGTTTAACCTGAATCATTCTCTTCCACGTGAACAGTGGCCTTTGTTTAGCCCAGTCCACCTGAGAAGCTCGTGAAGCGGCTAACAATTGCTGCAGTTTAGCCACATGGCTCTAACAAGCCTTTTTTGTGTTCCTATACCAATAATTAAGGAACTTTCACCACTGTAACTAGGCCAAGTTTCACTGCCTGTGTTTTCTGACAGATGTACGAAAAAGCACATGAATCTGATCTTTGGAGAGTTTGTAAGTAAACCATTTAACTTGCCAAATTTGTAGTCTTTTTCTATGATGGGGAAGAGGGCAACTATGGAAGGAACTCACAAGGGCATATTTTAAAGGTCTAACAACATATATTTCCCCGCTTTGCTGCATATTTTGTGATTTTCAATCTCTGCTAGGGTTCTGTCTCCAAATACTACCTGCTCCAAACGTGAATCTTGGCATCCAGGAATTCTCTTTTTATACCGATTTTGTTCTTGCCAGCAACAATTGTTACAATCAAACAAACAAAAATAGGAAAGGGGGAGTGTGTTAATCAAATAACTTACCTTTTTTTCATTAGTTGGTGAAGGTAAATAATCTTTTTGATTCAAGCAACAATCCCCATAAACTTTATTTTGGCAACAAGAGGATTCCTAAATACAAAATTCAGTAAAGAGAAATATGGATATTAACAAAAAGTGGAATGGCTTCCATTGATCCAAAAAGGCCTTAGACTGAACTTTTATTTTAGCCCCTCCAAATTGTATTCATGTATATATTAATAGTTCTGCAATTGAACTGCCAGAAACAATTTTGGTATTGGGCATGGAATTCAGCACCACAACCACCTCCATTCTCTTTTCTTTTTATCAAGAAAAAAGAAAAGGCACAATACATTTTCAGTTAAACAGTCAATGGGAGCAATTTAAGCATGTACAATGAAACCACTGAGAGAGAGGGTCAGAACCATGCCTGAGGTCAGTTTGAATCCCAGGTTGAATTCAAAAGCAAGACTTTCTTGAAGTGTAATGCTGGGAGCCCCTCCATTGTAGCCTCAAGGTTGCATATATGTGTAAATATGCCTTATGTCATATGTCATAAAGACCCCACAGTCTACACTGTGCCTAATTTACAAAAGGAAACATGGATCCAGGGTAAGTGCCTGGAACCCCTGGAATCTTGCACCACTAGGAAATTGGGGTGGCATGCAACAATGCATTCGTTTTATAATCAGCAATCCATCTCATAGTCGCGCATTGCCTTTTTTTCTGTAGATCATAGGAAGCTGTGTATGGTCATTGTTCCATCTGGAACACTACTCTACACTAATTGGCAGCATCTCTCCAGAATTTTGAACAAGAGTCCTTCCTAGCACAACCTAGCAATGCTGAGGATTGAACCCGATACCTTCTGCATAAAATGCAAATGCTCTACCACTAAGCTATGTCCTTTATCCCAAAACCTGTGAATGCAGAATTATGCCACAGAGGGCAATACCAAATGGGAATAAGAGAACCAGATGAACAGACTCTCTCTTTCTCTCTCTCACACACCCTTACCTTACAGAAGGTTTTACAACAGTCAATAATAGGTCTGTAACCTGTGCAGCGACATAAATTACCTAATTAAACAATAAAACAGATAAGGTTATTTCTTCAAGATAAGAAGACCCAAACAAATGTAGTTTTTTTTAAAAAAATAAATCACTATTTTTATGTACTTAACATTTTTATTCTACCCTTAAAAAAACACATCTACAGGGCAACTTACACATGAAACAGCAGCAATGAAATGTTGAGATTTTTTTTTTTTTAAAGTCCAGTATAAATACAAGTTAAGAAGCAGCGGATAAAAGCAGCATAAAACAATTTAGAGTTTATCTTTGAACTATTTACCAGCGAGAGCTTCCATCATTTCATCCGATGTGGGTTCCATCTGGTTGCGCAGTAAAGAGTAGATTGACATCACCATTCCAGGGGTGCAGAAGCCACACTGAGAGCCATGACTTTTAGCAATCCGTTCCTGGGACAATGGAAAACCTGCTGCAGGATTACCACATTCTCTTATTCAGATATTTTAAATGAAAGCCTGCTCATGATTCATGCAGGAGCTGAACCTGAAATGTTATAAAGGTCACCATAGCTTGGCTTATTGCTTATGGAACCTGCATGTGTTGCTGCGACAGCACATGAGTCGATTGCTGTTGTAAAACACAAGTAGGCAATGTGGTACCTTTCAGACCTTGTTGGACTACAGCTCCCATCACTCCTGACTACTGGCCAAGCTGGCCTGGGCTAATGGGAGTTAAGAGTTTCAATGATATCTGGAAGCCAGGATGTTGGCATTGTTTATTCTAAAACAGGGAGCCAACCTGCAACACAAGTGGCCTCAAGTGACAGATGCAGTGGGAAAAAACAGAAAGCTCAGGAGTGATGCATATGTATTGCACATGAGAGTAATCCTGTCTGATACTTAGGGCTTGACTTATAGTTTGCCACATCAGACCCAAGAATCCCCTCAAGGCAGCCTACATCAGAAAAGCAATTTGAAACAGGCAACAAGAGTTTAAATCCCACATTTAAAAATAACAACCCCGTAATAAAATCACAAAGCAAGAGCTAAAATACAAAGATCGTAGCCGTCCACCATTGGTCTTATGAAAGTCCCTGGGCATGGTTTGAGGGGGAAGATTGCAGCCACCTTACTGAGTAGGTCAGGTCAGAGCCTGTAGAGCAGGCTGCCTGGAGAAACTTTATGTACGCTGCCTTGGGCTTCATGATGGAAAGAAGGTGAGATATAAAGTGACTGATTAAACAAAATTAAAGTAAAATAAAACAAAAACATTTTTACCCATCTCTGGAAGGACAAAAAGTTCAGCCACAAGTTATTTTAAATTAGCAAAATGACCATGATGTATGTGTGTGCGCGCACATGTGTGTACACATGCATGCACTCTCAGGGGAGACTTGTATATTGTGAGGATCTCTCATTGGTATGTTTGCCTTCACTGCAACATTGTAATAAAACACAATGTTTTCTTTTTCTTCGTGAATGGATGGCTGGAGCTTCTGTATGTTCCGCACAAGAGTAACCTGCAAAGCTGGATGTTTTTCTGGATTGGTGACATGGCCTGATGTATTAAAATGTACTTATCTATGATACAACTGGAGTGGCTGTAGCCATGTTCACATGTGCATGTGCTCTTATAGTCTGGATGCAGGCTTCAACTGCACCATACTCAGCCCTCTGCAACCATGTTCATGAATTGGACAGTTCCCAATAAATATTCACAGCACTGCTGGTTGCTGAAATGTACAAGGAGTAAATAAAAAATCTCCCACAAGTTACAGCATGCATTTACCTGAACTGGATGAATCCTGGTTTCTGTATTTCCAATTCCTTCTACAGTGATGACCGCACTGCCATGCAACGAACATATGGGAATCAAGCATGCATTGGCTGAATAATGACTTGGATTGTAAAGGAGAATATGTTTAACATTTATTATAAGTATATTATTTGCCTCTATTATTTGTGTGCATTATAATTACAAATATATTTAAAATTAAACACTTCAGTTGGAACTGCCTAAAATTGTCACCGCCTGTATTTATGCACTGAGCTACTGCAGCTCAATTGTTTCTGGGTTTGTTTGTTTTGTATTACACTTTTGTCACTTTCCCATAAACAGCCTCCAGCATAATACGGAAAAGTAGCATGTAAAGAACACTCAAGTTGAAATTGACAGTCACCTATATGGAGTCATGAGAATTCACTTTCCATTGACAACACTAGCCTGGGCTGATGGGAGTTGGGAGCCCAGTGACACCTGGAGGGCTACAGGTTTCAAGTCCCTGACATGGAGATCATGGCACAGCTATAAACATACTTAACCAACAATATTCCTCATCCGAGTTAGACAGTTGCAATGTGCAGTTTACCAGTCTCTTGGCTCAAAAGGATACACAATCTTCTTAGCGACAGGCTCATATCTTGAGATCATCACAGTGCATGCACCACATCCGCCTCCACCACAGCCATACTTGGTACCTGTAAGACGGACTGAAAAAGCTGCAGTTAAGGAGGAAATGATTCGTGCTGGAGCACAGCTACACATATTTTCTGTCTGCTTTAACCTGGAACACCACTGCTCCTGGGACAAACTTGTCTTACCCCATCCACATATAACAAGGCATGGACAGGGACCCATTGATCCTCATCAGCCCTTAACACTGGCCATGCTGGCTGGTGCTGATGTGACTTGTAGTCCACCAACATCCTGAGGGTCACAGTTTCCCCATCCTTGTCCTATGGCAATACACATTGAAAGGTACAAGCATATTATCTGGGAGCCCTTATGGCTATGAAGGGAGGTTGCTTGAAAAAAATGGGGGCAATAGCCAGTTAACTATCCAAAGTTGGGATGTGGGACTCAGTAGGATTGTAGTCAGCAGTGAGGGATTTTAGTGCTCTCTATTTTCCCACTACTAGAGCAGAATAAATAACACAATAAAAGTAATTATAAATTTCATTTGTGTGACTGCATAATTTAGCTTTCTTTGGAGCAGAAATTCTGCCTTGAAGCAGAATTTTAAAAATCCAGATTACATAAATCCCCACCCATAGATTATTTCAAGATTAGAAGCCTGGGGGCACACTCTCAGATTGCAATACTGACCTTTACGAGGCCTAAACAGGGCACCGTATCTGTTTTAGGTTGGTTGATTGCACTTTTATTTCACCATTCCTCCCAGAAGCTCAGGGTGTCATATGACCCAGTCCTAATGCTATTCTCGTAACAAACTTGCCACATAGGCTAGGTTGAGAGATGATGACCAGTCCAAAGAAACCCACTGAGATTCATGAGTTACTTTTGTGACAAGCAGAAGTTTGTGTTTTCCAAACTAAGGATGTAATATCATGGACTTACTTGGAAGTAAGCATCACTGAACTAAGAAAAACTTACTGCAGAGAAAGCACGCATTTCATTGGACTGCAAGGTTTTCAAACTGTGCTGGAGATGGGGACCATCACTCCTGAAAACAAGAGTTTCCAAAGTGATGATTCAATGGATTCCTCCCTCAAGTTTATTCTGGAAAAGTCAGTGCTAAAGAGTTAAATGAGGTACAATTAAAATAATAGAAGTGCAAAAGTTGATTTGTTGCAGGAAAGATTATCGGTAGGCTACAAACTAATGAGCACTACAGAACAAAAAGAAGCAATTCCATTTTCATAGCAGAGGCTTATCTGTTGTTTGAAATCATTAATCCAAGCATAAAATCCAAGCATATCATCAGACTTAAGAAAATGACCAGCAGTCCAAAATGGGTGCAACATCTCCAGCACTAAAAACAAAAGGAAAGTTTATGTTAAATAACACTGGCCTTCCTAGTATAAACCGTACATAATTTGAAGATATCTAAATCAATTTGAAGTGACTGAGCAATGTTATAACATAGAAATTTTCACATTTATACAGTATAACTGACAATAATTCTGAAGGCACTTCTTTTCAAGATACACATTGCTCAGTGCTTCATGTTCTTGACTTTTGATATAGAAAAGACTACATGTAATACACAAAGCATCCTCCCTCCATTTCCTTTCTATGTTGGTCACAAACTAGCCACAAAACTTTACAGTCAGTCAGTACAAAACCACATAAATTTAACGCCACATCAACAACTGAATTAAGCCAAAAAACTGGAATACAAAGTGCATGTACAGTAATCTTCCATTATTCTTTCAAGCTGCCAAATGCCAGACCCTCAGAAAACTGAATTAACTCTCATTTTCTCCCCCTCCCCTTTTAAATATGGTACTACAAAATATACAGGCAGATAAAGTTGACCGTGTCCAAATGAAGCTAGTTCCAGTAGCCCTGTGCAGCCAATGCAACAGTCCTAGGTGAATATGTTTTGCTCACTTGTCTCATGCCTTCAAGGCATGACCTTTGTGTTTACAGCTGTGTGCACAAAGTGCTCAGAGTTCCAGATCATGTCTCCATGTTCTGCCTGTAGGCACAGAGGATGCCATGTTACTTGGCACATGTGATGCGGGGAAGCAAAATTACTTGGTATAGTGCCGTTCCCTTCGCATGCATTGGAACATGTGACTAGAACTCCTGCGTTGGCTAGACTCTCTAACCACTAGAATGTCTTTTAAATATGAACATTCAACAACGCCAATAGATCTTCCCTTGGGAGAGAAAGCAGCTCCAGGGAGGGGGATTCTGAGCCCCCAAACAGCCAGGGAGGAAGAGGTTAACCACCCCCTTCCTCAGCCCTGCTTTGGAAAGCAAATATGCAGACTCCTTTCCCTGAGCCTGCATTTTGGTTTTCAAAAAGCAAGCACTGGGAGGCTTAATGACAGATTTGTTTGGTGTGTGTGAAGAAGTGCGAGAGAGTGAGAAAGAACAGGAGAGGAGTGAAAGATGGAGTAGAAACAGTTGACTTGATTCTGGGCTGCCACAAGCGGAGGAAGGATACGTATCTTCCTTAGATAAGGCAGCAATGTCTGCTCAGGGTCAGCATTCTTCTCCACTATCTGCAGAGGGAGGTGAAAACCAGATAGTCATACCTACAGCACACATTTAAAGCACTCCTGTACCACATTTAATAGTCGTGGCTACCCCAAAAGAATCCTGGGAACTGTAGTTTAGTTAAGGCTTCTGGGAAATGTAGGTATAGGTAAGCTCAGGTCTGGACCAAGGTTGGAGAATCTATGGCCCCCCAGATGTTGCTGAACTACAACTCCCATCAGCCCCAAGAAGCACCATCAATGGGTCAGGGATGATGTTAATCATAGTTCAGGATCAAAGGTTCCCTGACACAGGGGATAGGCTTTTTGTTTTTGTTTTGTTTTCCATAAAAAGGTAAAGGGACCCCTGACCATTAGGTCCAGTCGTGGCCGACTCTGGGGTTGCGGTGCTCATCTCGCTTTATTGGCCGAGGGAGCTAGCGTACAGCTTCCGGGTCATGTGGCCAGCATGACTAAGCCACTTCTGGCGAACCAGAGCAGCGCACGGAAATGCCGTTTACCTTCCCGCTGGAGTGGTACCTATTTATCTACTTGCACTTTGACGTGCTTTCAAACTGCTAGGTGGGCAGGAGCTGGGACAGAGCAATGGGAGCTCACCCTGTTGCAGGGATTCGAACCGCCGACCTTCTGATTGGCAAGTCCTAGGCTCTGTGGTTTAACCCACAGCGCCACCCACGTCCCTTGTTTTCCACTATCTTGAAGACAGATATTAAGAATGGCATATCCCAGATAGAATTGCATGAGGCTTCTTGGATGGCTAAATTTATCAGGCTGTAATTTGGAGGAGGATTGGGGAACTTCCTAATGGTCAGGGGTCCCTTTACCTTTTTATGGAAAACAAAACAAAAACAAAAAACCTATCCCCTGTGTCAGGGAACCTTTGACACTGAACTACGATTCACATCATTCCTGACCCTTTTCCTTAGTGGGCAGCTAGACTGCTTTTTTAATTTTTGTAAAGGAAATCAGATGAGTAGTGATGGCTTGAGAGAACAGCATTGGCAAGTGAGGAAATGCTTTTAAAAATCAAGATCGAAAGGCAGTGCTTTTAAAATTAAAACCAGCAAACTAGTCCACACTGTGGTAGTACGTTGCAGAAGTGTATAGAAGGGCCTTTAAAAAAATGAAATTAAAATGACAAAGTTAATAAAATAGAAGGAAGGTATAGGGGTGAAACTAATATCAACGAGCACTATCCACAAATGATCTTGAAACTTAAGAGCCTGCTGGATCACGCCAATGGCCCATCTAGGTCACAGGGGCTGACCAGATGCCCGTGGGAAGCCTGTAATCTGAACAAGAGCACAACAGCACTCTCCCCTCCCAGGAGTCCCAAAATCTGGGATTTAGTCCAAAAATCTGGGATTTAGAGGCAGCGGAGGTGTAACATTTATTTATTTATTGCACGCCTATCAGCCAGTATAAGTCTCTGTATGTTAAAAAATCTAAATGCCCTTGTTTGTTTCCAGTTAGTAAATATGCAAACCCTTGGCACTGTGAGTTTATTGTGTTGGAGAACGGGGTGGGTGTGTGTGTGTGTGTGTGTGTGTGTGTAAATTTCCTGCAATATTCCAACACTCGAAAGGATATTTGTACAGTATAGCTATTCTCTGCACATTATAGTCTGGCATTTTATAAATAGGATTGACTGCCGAGAGTTTTGACTTGCTTTTCTTAATATCAACGAGACTCTTAAGGCTGCAATTGTCTGCACACTTGCTTAGCAGTAACTCCTACCGTAGCCAGAGGAATTCACTTCTGAGCAAAGGTGTCTAGTTTCAACCTACAAAGCACGTGAAATGCTGACCTTCCAGGGTTTTTACGTAATTTGCCGCTGTGTTTTTCCCTAGGGCCGCAGGCAGGGAAGCAATTCTGCCGTTTGGGTTAATACGCAGAATGCAAACGTCTTGTTAGAAGAGGGGTAAAGGGGGTCTATCTACTATACCGGGACCCTCTAATCGGAAGCAGGGGGCAGTACAGTACAGGCAGTTTCCTTTTGCTACACTTCAAGCTGCACTGTGAGAGCAGGAAATACCCCCAAGCAGCTATTCCTGCGTCCTCGGGAAGCTCGATTCCCACTTACCCTTTTGCCGTTCACGTAGAAAATCAGATCGTCTGAAGCCCTTTCTGCGCGTTCTGTTGCTGTTGCTGGGACAGACATCGCAGCACAGAGGGATAGCAACTGGGCGAGGAAACAGGAGCAGCTGGTCGTGAAGGAGAGTAAGGACTGATCCTGAATTCAACAACATGAAACATGAGTGCGAGGCGTGGCTTTGAGGCTTCAGCCCTAACCTCCTCCTTCCGCCTTAGAGGGGGGCGTGTAGGACATTTTTCTTTTGCAGAGGTAAAGTTTTTTGGTCGCCGCTTAGCCATAGCACCCCCGATCTTCCAGTTAACCCGGTGCAGAACACCGTTTCGGCTCAATTTCCTGTAATTTAATTCCTAACAACCCTTCTCCTTAACTCTGGGTGTGAGACGACATCGTCTTTGCCTTTTCCCAGTAACGAGGGGAATACACTGGATAAACGCATGCTTCGTGGCACTTCCTTGCTAATTAGTTGCATGCCCCAATCCTTCTCCAAATTACAGCCTGATAAATTTAGCCATCCAAGAAGCCTCATGCAATTCTATCTGGGATATGATATTCTTAATATCTGTCTTCAAGATAGTGGGTGATATTCAACTTTTGTCATCCTACAGTAGACCCAATGAAACCCACAGACTTAAATTATGTTAACTGAAGGCCAACCCACACTAAGTTTTTAAAACCAGTATGATCATGAGCAAAGCATGTGATGATACTCACTCCCAGGTGTGATATGGCTGACCCCTTAATTCTATGATTTCTCAGACTAGTTTATGCTGATTTATTGGTTACTGCGTTTTGCTATCACCCCTTCATCACATGTGCGCTGCTCGTCTAACATGCCTTCTATGCGTTTCTCAGCCACTTTCACACACATCTCTTCCCTAACCCATCCAGGACTGTATATTTCTTTGGACAAATTAAGATGCTGCATGGATGGGTATCCCCAGCTATGTCATTTCCAGTGTGTCCAGCTGCCTCGTCATCAAAGTTTTTTCTTTTTTTAAAATAAGATTCTTAACAGGACAGGAGATCTAGGGTCTGGCAGAAAAGGCTCAGGGCTCAGGCCCCCAGGCTACCTAGAAACAACATTCCTGCCATACAGCCATTCATTTCCATGTGTATATTCATGTTGGGCACTGGCTCAATCACTGCAGGCCACAGCTTTTCCCATGGTAAAAAACTCACTGGGGGTGTTCCTGGGTTGGGGGAAATTAAACGCAAAGCTTTCTCAGAAAACAAATGTGTTATGAACACCTATTGCATAGTGCCTGAAACATCAGTATGATGAGCACTACATTTTCCTTCTGATCCCTATGCTATTTTGAGACACTTAAGGCACACTTTTTGGCCTTCTTATTCCTCTGTTTTTTGTTTTTGTTTTTGGTGGCACTGTGGTCTAAACCACTGAGCCTCTTGGGCTTGCTGATTAAAACGTCAGCGGTTCGAATCCCTGCGACGGGGTGAGCGCCCATTGCTCGGTCCCAGCTCCTGCCAACCTAGCAGTTCAAAGGCACACCAAAAAGTGCAAGTAGATAAATAGATCTACTTTTCTGGCGGGAAAGTAAATGGTTTTTCCGTGCACTGCTCTGGTTTCGGTATTCCATTGCGCCAGAAGTGGCTTAGTCATGCTGGCCACATGACCCGGAAAAACTGTCTGCGGACAAACGCCGGCTACCTCAGCCTGTAAAACGAGATGAACACTGCAATCCCAGAGTTGTCTGCGACTGAACTTAACTGTCAGTGGTCCTTTACCTTTACCTAGTGGCACCTGCTATTATGTAGGGCACAGGAATACAGGATTATTTATACTTGATGATGATGATGATTTTATTATTTATACCGTTGTTGTTGTTGTTATGGTACATGGGGATAGCCCTTAATATTAAGATAATGTTTCAAATGAATTGGAAGCACAGTGAATCACAGGAGTGATTAGAAAACAAGGTTAATTAAATGTAAAGACAAAATTAGACAATATGAAATTGACAACCCTGGCTCCTCCATTATTGTCACATTTTATTTATAAACTTTTCAATGGCTAAGTATTTCTCCAGGTAGAAGGTTCTCTCTGAGTATTTTCTTATTGTCATGGAGGGTGGACATATTTTGTGAGAAGCCAAAAGTGTTCTTGTTAGTTGTGCCATATCCAAATATTGTTAATGTGTTGAATGGATATTAAATGTACATTGCTGTCAATGTAGGTTTCACATTTCTTGATAAAGGAAAATTTAAACCTCGCATAAGCAGCTCAGTCTTACATATGCACAGGAATAGGCTTGGGTTCCCAGTCTATACCAAGAATCCTCTGCCTGCTTGATTTGGCATCAGGAGCTGATTCTACTTCTTGCAGTAGTGCTTTTGTGCAAAGGAAAATTCATGAGGAACACTCACCTCATGGTGCGATCACAAGGCTTTTGTTGAAAAAAGAAAGAGCAGACAGATGGTAAGAAGGGGAGGACATAATTCATTTAGGAAGAGATCCCAAACTCCTATCAAAATCATATCAATGCAGGGAACTGTAGCAGAGGGTTTTCTTCTTGTTAGAAGCAAGCAAGGGGGAAGGCATCTATTCTAGACCAACCTTCCTTATCTTGGATAAGAACCCTGTCCTCACTCGTCATTTGGTCACCCCATGTTTTTATATAGGCCTCTACATACAAGACACAACAGCTGTAACTCAGAATTGGTTCAGGCTGTGAGAATAGCTATTTTTCCAAGTAAAATGGAAAACTTCTGTTATCCTCTGAAATAATTATATTCACTTTACATTGTGTGCAAAACTTGGAAACTTTAATTCAACAGTTTTAAGGTAGAAATATGCTAGGCAAAGATGCTACGAAATGCTTAAACTTACTGACATAAACTATCAACACTAAAGTTTTGTCTGTGTAGATATACTTTTGCTCACCTCATTCATTCTGATTAAAAAGAGTGTGGAAGAAAGCAATCTAGTTCAAATCAAAATTGAGTCAGTGGAATTTAGTAAGGAAGAAATAATAACATTTGTTTAAAAAGTAGATACAACATACTGGTAGGCACTTTTCTGTATAGCCTCTTTAGAGTAATCTTGATTTACTTTTAAAGCTTTGTTTATTTCTGACTTTGAAGACTGGAGCATTAAGAAACTCTGTATCTGTGAATTTATCTCCTCTCCTCAATTTGCTGAAAGACAAAAATAATTAAATCACTAGTGGCACTGAGAATAGAACTGGTGAGCTTTTCTGGCAAATATCATTCATAAATTTTACTTAGTATAAGAATTTGTACAGAATAGTCATTCCTCTAATTAAGACACTTTGGCTGCAATCCTAACTCTACTTACCTGGGGGTAAAAAACCCATCCCCACCCGCTTTAAAGCCCTAAAAATACACAAGTAAATTCCTTGTATTTTGTAATAAGCTGCAGTTGATTAAGAGATGGTAGTTTTGAACTTTTTCTCTAATGGGGTACTTGAAATTATGTGATATACTAGATTAGCTTCAATTCACACAAGAAGCCCCTCAAAAATCTGTGTACATTTAGAAAAGTCATAGCAGCTGCGTGATTCCAGAAAGGTGTACTAATTGTGCTGGTGCTCCACTTGCAAAACACCAGCACCCATGTTTCTTTTTATGAGGCAATGAAATGACTAATACAGATCCACCATCTCCTTCATGTCTACTCAAAAATGTGGGTTTCATGGGACTTAGGTGGAATCACACACATTAAAAATGCTGTGAAAATGCTTTTTTAAAAAACATTTTGAAAAATACCTTGAATTTGGCATAGCTCACTGTTGCCATCTAGTGTCCCATTTGTATATTCCACTTTACAACACATTTAAAATGTTATTTATTTGCAGCTATATAGCTGAGTCCCAAGTCCTAGGAAGTGTGAGGATAAGATTGCACTACAGTGGTACCTCGGGTTAAGTACTTAATTCGTTCCGGAGGTCCGTTCTTAACTTGGAACTGTTCTTAACCTGAAGCACCACTTTAGCTAATGGGGCCTCCTGCTGCTGCCGCGCCGCCGGAGCACGATTTCTGTTCTCATCCTGAAGCAAAGTTCTTAACCTGAAGCACTATTTCTGGGTTAGCGGAGTCTGTAACCTGAAGCGTTTGTAACCTGAAGCGTATGTGTCAGGGGTTCAGGAGCAGAGGCACAGGAAAGGGAGGAAATAGAGAGCGAGGGGGAGGAGTCCGAAGGAAATGTTAGCGATGACAGCGGTCCGAGGTCTCTGAGTCTTTCCAGCGAATCGGAAGATTCACAGAAAGGGGCTCCTTGGTCAGAGCAAGGGGGTGCCGAGGGGACACCCCAGGAAGAAGGGGCCAGAGGGGACTCAGAGAGCAGCAGTTGGAAATCAGGACCAGCGTCCACACCAGAGTGCAGTAGGGGGGAGGGGTCCCAGGCATCGGGATCAGGCGGCGCACTGCCAGTGGGAGGACATGAGTCAGGATTGGCCACGCCTCCATCGGGGAGCGAGGAAACGGTCGAGAGGAAGGTTGAAGGCTGGGCGCGCGCGCCAAGTTCAAATGTACAGGAGGGCGGCGCAGTTGGCAGCCCGGATAGGGAGCCAGGTCCCAAAGCCCGCCGAAAAGAGGGGGAGGAGTCAAGGGGGTCAACGTCAGCGTCAGAAGAATCCAGGAAGGAAGGGACCCCGGGGGGTAGCAGGACCCAGAGGAGAAAGGAGAGACGTAAGAGGTGGAGTAAGGCTAGAATCTTAAACTGGTGTACAGGGGCGGAGACTCAGATGGAGCTTCGCCGATCTAACCCCTAGACGTAGAGCTGGGGCGCTGCGGCTTGAAAATGGAAACTGTACTTCAATAAAGACTTTTGTACATTACTGCCGGCTAGCGTTGGTCCTCTGTGAGCTGGGACCTGGAGCCAGCTCTGACAGTAAGCTCCATCTCAGAAAGTTTTGCACCAAAAACCTCGTAACGTGAGTGGACGCAGCGAGGGGAGAAGATTGGTGCTTCGCGAGCTCACAAAAGTCAGGCAAGATGACTACAGAACAGCAACTAGCAGCCCTGCAAAATGCAGTGACACAACTCAACGCGGAGGTACTCGCATCCAGGAAAAGGGAAGAGGAAGCGGCTGCCGCCTGCAGGGATCTCCAAGCCAGGTTGGAAGTGCTTGCTAAGCAGGGGCAACCGGGACCCAAATCAGAGGGGATTGGGCTGGGGAAAAGAGGAGGCAGCCTGGTATCTCATTTCGATGGGAATTTGCAGCAGTACCCTAACTTCCGAGCAGACGTGCTGTTTGCGCTGGAACTGCTGGATAAAGACTTTAGAGATGAGCAAGAGAAGGTGGGGTTTATCTTGTCCCATTTGCATGGGGAAGCTAAAGCGTGGCTGCGCAATCTGTGGAGAGATAAGGATCCGGCGCTCCAAAATGCGGATGCATTCATTAAAGCGATGGATTCGTGTTTTTTATCAAATATAGACATTGATATCGCCAGAAAAGACATACATGGGCTCAAACAAGGCAGAGCCAGTGTAAGGCAGTACCATTCCCGCTTTTTGCATTAGTCCATGCGCTGGGATGGGAGAAGGATTCTGCCCCAGCCAGAGACCTTTTTGGGAAGGCTTGAATGCAAATGTGAAAGATGAGATTGCAAGGGGGGAGAGACCAAAGAGCACTCAGGAGGTTGTCCGGCGGGCGCTGCAAATTGGGGTGCGTCTGGAAGAACGTCCATGGAACAGAGAAGAAGGACGTTGGGGACGTACGCCAGTGAGAGCACCTCCCCTCTTTCCCAAGGATGCAGCGCGTGTGCAATCCCCACCTCCGCAAGGAGGGGGAGAGCAACCGATGGAGATTGGAGGCGCCAGGGCTCAGTCAGCAACCAGAGCCCTAACACCGGGAGCAGTCAAAGCGAAGCCTCCTAGAGGGAACAGGAAGTGCTACATCTGCGACAGTGCTCAGCACATGGCGAAAGAGTGTCCCCAGAGGCTCCACAAGCACACTGCAGCCTCAGCAACAGTAACAGACGCAACTCAGCAGAGAGAACCACAGCAGGGAAACGACAGAGTCTGGTTGGAGGAAGAGGCACTGGGGCCCAGCCAGACAAGTCAATGAAGCCGTCCCCAGAGATTTTGCAGCCCACAGAACCCCTCCCGCCCAAACCAGTGGTGCAGCTCACAGCATCGCTCCAACTACCCAATGGACTCACTATGGAAGTGCCGATTACCATTGACTCTGGTAGTAACGCAGACTTCATAGGACTGGATTTCATTCAAGAGCACAACATAGCACTCCTGCCAGCCACGCTGCCTCTGAAAGTTGTCACGGTGGATGGCAGGGAATTGCTGGGGGCGGGTGGTGCAGCAAACGCCTCCGATGGTGATGCAAATTGGGAATCACCGAGAAGTCATCAGCTTCAATGTCACCCAACTGTCGGACACGCCTATAGTATTAGGCATGAGTTGGCTGCACAGGCACAGCCCAGCATTGGCGTGGTACCAGCGACAACTGACCTTCGGCTCCTCATACTGTGCGGAACATTGCATTCTGCCTAGCCCGGAAGGGGAAGAGGATGACCCGCAGCTACAATTAGGCACGCTGCAAGCAGTGCCACTCAAGTACGCAGCGTTTTTGGAGGTTTTCTGCGAGAAGGAAGCGGACAAGCTACCTCCCCACAGGTCCTATGACTGCAAGATTGACCTCCTGCCAGGGGCGACGCTGCCAACCGGGAAACTGTATTCCATGTCTGAAGACGAGCTGCAGGAACTCAGAGAGTTCATAGACCTCAACTTGAAGCGCGGTTTCATCCAGGAGTCGAAGGCAGTGGGGGCAGTCCTGTATTCTTTGTGAAGAAGAAGGACACGCCCCCAAAAAGGCTTGTGGTGGACTATAGAATTTTGAACTCGAAAACCAAGCCCACAGCCTTTCCCATGCCCAAGATAGATGACCTGCTCGCAACGGTGAGGAAAGGACGCGTTTTCACAAAGTTGGATCTGCGAGGGGCGTACAACCTGATTCGCATACGGGAGGGCGACGAATGGAAGACTGCCATGTTCACGCCCCTGGGCACCTATGAATACAGAGTTATGCCCTTTGGATTACAAAATGGCTCCCACTGTTTTCAAGCCTTCATGCATCACGTATTGGCGGGTCTCCTCTACAAGAAATGCGTCTGCTTCCTGGACGACATCCTGATATTTTCAGAATCAGAGGAGACCCACGAGGGAGACGTCAAGGAAGTTCTGCAGAGACTGCAGGAGCACAGGCTGTACGCCAAGCTGGAGAAGTGCCAGTTCGACATGAAGGAGGTAGATTTCCTGGGCTACAAGTTGTCGGACAAGGGGCTCGCCATGGACAGCGCCAAGGTTCGCTCAGTGTTGGACTGGAAGAGCCCGCGCAATCGGAAGGAGGTCCAGCGGTTTGTCGGTTTCGCCAACTTTTACCGCAAGTTCATCAAGGGGTTCGCGATGCAGACGGCGGCCATTACCGACACGCTCAGCTCCAAGAAGAAGAAGTTCATCTGGACGGAGCAAGCGGAGCAGTCCTTTCAGAAACTCAAGCGTCTCTTCTCGTCCGAAGAGCAGCTACTGCATGTGAATCCCAGCAGACCGATGAGGGTTGAAACGGACGCCTCAGACAGAGCCGTGGGAGCAGTACTGTTGCAGCAAGACCCGCATGGGGACTGGAGACCGTGTGCCTTCTACTCCAGGAAGCTCAGCAAGTCAGAGCAGAACTACACCATCTGGGACAGGGAGTTGCTGGCCATTCATGCAGCATTCAAGGCGTGGCGGCACTTCCTCATTGGAGCCAAACACACAGTGCAGGTCCGCACGGACCATAAAAACCTGGAGTACTGGCGCACGGCAAGGTTCCTGAACCAGAGGCACATACGATGGGCGGAGTTCTTTGCGGATTTCGACTTCAGGATAGAGTACATCCCAGGCGACAACAACATCATGGCGGATGCACTGTCCAGAAAGCCGCAATACCTCGAGGAGGCGGCACCAGCAGCGGCCAAGCACATTTTCGCACCGAAAGCGTGGGCGTGCGCTTCAGCAACCGTGGACCTGGATGCTGTACGTCGAGCACTGCAGGAGGACCCCTTCGCGCAAGCAAAGATGGCAGAGGTGCAAAGGGGCACGGCGGAGGACGACGAGTTCCAGATACGCGACGGATTGCTCATCCGCAGAGGGGCCCTCTACGTACCGGGAGACGACCTCCGCGAAAGTACTGCAGCAGTTGCACGACGCACCCACCGCCGGGCACTTTGGCAAAGAGAAGACGGTAGAATTAGTAGCCAGAGATTTTGGTGGCCCAAGATGCGGGGGAAGTCGCGGATTACGTCTCGAGGTGCGACACCTGCCAAAGGGCCAAGTCAGTGCACAAACCGCCGGCGGGACTGCTCGAACCGCTGCAGACACCGCTCGAACCGTGGGAGAGGGTGGCCCTGGACTTTGTCACGGATCTACCCAGCTCGAGGGGCAAGACGGCAGTGCTAGTGGTGGTGGACATGTTCACCAAAATGGCCCACTTCATTCCGTGCGCGAAGGTGGCCACGGCGGAACAGACCGCCAAACTGTTCATAGACCACGTGTTCAGGGTTCACGGTCTGCCACGGTCTATCCTGTCCGACCGGGGCGACAGTTCATCTCGAACTTCTGGCAGAAGCTGATGGGTTTCCTGAACGTCAAGATCAACCTAGCGTCGGCGAGACACCCGCAGACGAACGGACAAGCGGAGCGAGTCAACGCCATCATGCAGCAGTACCTGCGATGCTACGCAAATCAGCAGCCGGCAACATGGGTGGACTACCTGCCGCTCGCTGAGTTCGCCTACAACAACACGAAGCACGTGTCCACGGGGGTGACACCGTTCTTCGCCAACAACGGGAGGCATCCCAGAACCTTCCCGGGATTAGCGAGAGCGGGGAGGGGAGCCACAGGCAGCGGAAGCCTTAGCATCAGAGTTGCAGGAGGTTCACGAACAGCTTCGGAGGCAGTTAGAACTAGCAAAGCACGCATACAAACTGCAGGCTGACAAGCACAGAAGGGTTGGGGAAGACATACAGGTGGGAGACTGGGTTTGGTTAGCAGCCCAGGCAGTGCCGGCCAGATCGTTAGCGAAGAAGAAGCTAGGGCATAAGCAGCTAGGACCCTACCAAGTCGAGGCACAGGTCAATCCAGTGGCCTTCCGGTTGACACTGCCGGAGGGATCCAGAATGCACCCAGTTTTCCATAGATCAGTGCTCACGCCCTACAAAGCACCTCATAGATTTCAGGAGCCAGGAACGGCACCAGACCCGTTCAGGGAAACGCCCACAAGGGGGGGGTCGCCAAGGCGGGAACCCGTCAACGAAGTCACAGAGATTTTAGACTCGAGATGGGGGGAAGAGGGAGTAGAATATCTTCTCGCCAGAGAAGGTACCACGGCCAGCGCCAACAGTTGGGTGCCAGACCATGCCTTGGACGAACCTTTTCTCAAGGACGAGTTTCATGCCCTTTTCCCACACAGGCCCATGCCAGCCGAGTATTTCGACGACTGGCTTTTCACACCCACATTTTCAGCTAGCACATTCCAGGGGTTCACCTCGGACGAGGAACCGGCACTAGAAACACGTTCCCGGAGGGATCACCTCGGGGTCTGCCTCAGACCGTTCCTATTGGTGGGACAATCGACCAGAGGAGCAGTGGCGCAGGAAGTGGCTGGGGGGTCCTTGGCAGGCAACGTCCCCGGAGGAGACCGGGGAGAGACGGACATGGACGTGTTGGGGGAGGACCTTGGGTTCGAGCACGGCGGCAAAGAGATGGAAGCAGAGGAAATTGAGGTCGGCGAGAGCACGGAGGACGAGCCGGACTTATCCGGCTGGATGCACGCCACGGGGACGAACTGTATCCGGCACTCACCCCCACAACGACGGAGCACCCAGTACCCACACCTGAAGGAGGGGAGGGGGAAGGGGGGCTTCGAGGGGGATGGATGTCAGGGGTTCAGGAGCAGAGGCACAGGAAAGGGAGGAAATAGAGAGCGAGGGGGAGGAGTCCGAAGGAAATGTTAGCGATGACAGCGGTCCGAGGTCTCTGAGTCTTTCCAGCGAATCGGAAGATTCACAGAAAGGGGCTCCCTTGGTCAGAGCAAGGGGGTGCCGAGGGGACACCCCAGGAAGAAGGGGCCAGAGGGGACTCAGAGAGCAGCAGTTGGAAATCAGGACCAGCGTCCACACCAGAGTGCAGTAGGGGGGAGGGGTCCCAGGCATCGGGATCAGGCGGCGCACTGCCAGTGGGAGGACATGAGTCAGGATTGGCCACGCCTCCATCGGGGAGCGAGGAAACGGTCGAGAGGAAGGTTGAAGGCTGGGCGCGCGTGCCAAGTTCAAATGTACAGGAGGGCGGCGCAGTTGGCAGCCCGGATAGGGAGCCAGGTCCCAAAGCCCGCCGAAAAGAGGGGGAGGAGTCAGGGGGTCAACGTCAGCGTCAGAAGAATCCAGGAAGGAAGGGACCCCGGGGGGTAGCAGGACCCAGAGGAGAAAGGAGAGACGTAAGAGGTGGAGTAAGGCTAGAATCTTAAACTGGTGTACAGGGGCGGAGACTCAGATGGAGCTTCGCCGATCTAACCCCTAGACGTAGAGCTGGGGCGCTCCGGCTTGAAAATGGAAACTGTACTTCAATAAAGACTTTTGTACATTACTGCCGGCTAGCGTTGGTCCTCTGTGAGCTGGGACCTGGAGCCAGCTCTGACAGTATGTAACCTGAGGTACCACTGTATTAGACTAGTTTGAGTATGGGTTGCAGCTTTGTATCTGTGTGTATGTGTTATTCCTTAAAATCAAACCTAAATTTTAGGTATTATTAGTCTTACCTGTCATGATTATGGAAATTGTTTCAATAAACTCTTACAAAGTAATTATTCTACTCTCCTAAAATGTTTCTGGGTCACTTTTGGGATTCTTTTTTGTACAACTGTATGTTTCCATAAAATATATGCTTGATAAATGCCAATTACAGAATAAGGTGTCAAGCATACTTTGAAAAATATTTAAATATAACAAAACAAAAAGAAACCATCTGTCAAAAACTAACCTGTTGATTTTGGGTTCTTTGTAGCAAACTGTAGCTCGCCTGCGTCTAACAGGTGATGTGGAATTTTCTTCTAAGTCTTTATTGGGTTTTGGAAGGGAAGGTGCTTTGATATTTGTCAGTTCTTGAAGAGGCTTACGCCCTGAAATTACAGCTATTATTGAATCACTAAATGCAAAAATATCTGGAACGTTAATAAACTTGAAAAAATAATAAATATATATTTTTGGAGACACAGTAGTGTGGTTGATTGCATGCCAAACTTAAATTGGGGAGACGAGTTCAGATTTTGTTCAACCATGATACTTGATGGATTTGGGACAGTCACCCTCTCTAAAACTAATTTATCTCACAGAATTGTTGTGAGGATAAAATATTGGTGGGCAACATAGCTCTCTCTGGAAGACCAATAGGCTGAAACTGTAATTAATTAATCAAACACAATTTAAGCCATGGTATTTGAAATGAACATTGTGATTTGTAAAAAGTAGATGCTGTAATATTCCCAGTTTCAGCAAGTGAAACATAGCTGAAGTGAGAACTCTTAATGTTATTTCCTCACCTACTGCATCAGGCAATACAACTGGTAGCATAGAAGTACAATGTCAGATTACACGGAGGGCAAACTTTGTGAAGGGGTGTTGCACATTTGTGAACACGGAGGGACACATACTTGTGAGCTGCAATCAATCACATAACTGTTGTGCATGTTCACCATATTTAGCCACTGTGTCTCCCTTTGATTATTATTATTAACATTTATCAGTCAACTGGATAGCTCAGTTGGTTACAGCATGGTGCTGATAACACCAAGGTTGCAGGTTCGATCCCTGTATGGGATAGCTGCATATTCCTGCATTGCAGGGGGTTTGACAAGATGATCCTCAGGGTCTCTTCCAACTCTACAATTCTATAATTAATTTTTTGCCACAGCAACTTAAAACGACTTACAGTATTTTAAGCAAGCCCTGTATACATACATTAAAACCAACACTTTCTTAAAAAAACAAACCCTGTACAGTGGTACCTCGGGATAAGTACTTAATTCGTTCCGGAGGTCCATTCTTAACCTGAAACTGTTCTTAACCTGAAGTACCACTTTAGCTAATGGGGTCTCCTGCTGCTGCTGCCGTGCTGCTGGAGCACGATTTCTGTTCTTATCCTTAAGCACTTTTTCTGGGTTAGCAGAGTTTGTAACCTGAAGCGTATGTAACCTGAAGCGTATGTAACCCGAGGTACCACTGTACACTAAAACATCCCATCCATGAAAAAAAAAAGCCATAGATGATTAAAAGCCAAAGAGCGGATTAAAAACAAAATATTTTGCCTGGTCTAAATATATGTAAAAATTGTGCCAGGCTAGCTTCCCTAGGGAGAGCGTTCTACAAGTGGGGAGCCAGCACTGAAAAGGCCTGTTCTTGTGTTGCTACCCTCCAGACCTCTCATGGAGGTTGGCATACAAAGAAGGGCTTCAGATGACAATTACAAGGTCTGGGTCAGTTCTTAAGGGGAGGGGTGGTCCTTGAGGTATTAGGGTCCTGATATGCGTAAGACTTTATAGGTCAAAACCAGCACTTTAAATTGGGCCTGGAAACTAACCAGTATCCAGTGCAATCAGACCAGGATTGGTGTTACGTGCTGAGACCGTCTTGCTCCGGTGAGCAACCTGGCCACTGAATCAGCTGCAGTTTCAAAATCATCTTCAAAGGCAGCCCCATGTATAACGTATTACAGTAATCTAACCTAGAGGTTACTAGAGCATAGACAACAGAATTTAGGCTATCCTTCTCCATATAAGGGTGTAACTGGGCCACATATCAAGGCTGATGGAAGGCACTCAATGCTACTGAGGCCACTTGAGCTTCAAAGAACAGCAATGGATCCAGAAGTACCCGCAACCTACATAGCTTCTCCTTCAGAGGAAGTGTAACCCCATAAAGAGCAGTCAGCGTTCTGCTATCAGGTCTAGGGAACCACCCATTAACAAGTTTAGTGTATGGCATAAATGTGCATGGACTATTATAGCTCACTTTATCAGATATATGAAGTGGGCTAGAAGGCCATGAATATGAGGCAACAATCATTAGTTTTTTAAATATAGCTCAAAAGTTTCTGCATACCCCTGTAGGATACCTCTGATGGACATATAAGCATCACTTCATATCAGAAAAGCAGTTAGTGCTACATGCGCTTCCAGATACTAACCAGAGCATAGTACGTGATCCCTAATCACCCAGAGCACACTACCTGATCCAAAATGGCTATGGTCCAGGCCTATTCAATTGCATATATTCTAGTTTTTTTGTACAGGGATGTATATCTGAAGAATTTAAATCAAGTAATTAAAATCACAATACCCACCCAATTAAATTGGGGAACGGGGGCAGAAATTGACAGTCAGACTAATACCTAGAGTGCCTTTCCTAATATCCAAAGTAAAGCTACACATACCAAAGTCTGATACTGGTCTTTTGCTGCAAGACTCTTCACAAATTATGTTCACATTCTCTGTGGAAGCATAGTAATTTTCTTCTTGGTAAATTCTTGAGAATTGTAATGTTTCAGGGTTTTTCAGAACTGGAATGTTTTTTGGAATTTTATGGAACTCAGTAGCTACTTCAGTATTGTTAGAAATTACTTTCTCTATGCTTTTACCTTGATCACATGAAGAAACACTATAGGTCATCTTGCTTGGGTTTGGTGTAGAATCTACCCTTTCTTCGGATGTTTCAACGCAACCTTCAGCCGCTTTCTTTAGGTAACATGAAATGGTAACATGCTGAACATTGGAATTTCTTTGAATGTTTTCTTTTCCTTCATGGATATTCTCAGTATACGCATTTTCATCATGTAATTTTTGTTTCACAGAAGTTTTTTTCTGAGAGCTTGGGTATATAATGTATGTCTTTCTACCAGCTTTTGCAAAAATTCTTCTTTTATCACCATGTGAAAACTCTTCATTAATTTGATCTGTTTTAGGAATACCTAAAGCATGAGCAGATCTCTCTGTTGTTGTTCCGAAACTGGAAGACACTTCTCTCTTATTAAAGCCACTTTTTATATCAGTCTTTTCATCTTGTATAGTCTGGCTATTAGAATTGCATACCTTTGATCTAGGCCCTTTCAAATACTGCCCATTTTCCATTTCACTGTAATGTGATTTTTTTATTTTGGAAACAACAGGATAGGTCTCATTTATGTCTAAATCCTGTATTGAAACCACACAGCTTTGTACTGGTGGCAAGCTTTCAATAGAATAACCTTCTAATGGTACTTTACCACTAGGTATGTTAAAATTATGTTCCGGGACCTGGTTGTCTGAATTCTGAGCAGTTTCGAAAATTGTATCTTTCATTTTTTCTGTTTCTAAAACATGAGTTGTTTGCCGTAAGTCTACAAGTCTTAGGGGATGCACCTGTCTGTCATTCTTGTTACTGTTCTTGAAATCTTCTCCAAGTTTATTGGTGTTCTTCAGTTTCATTTGCTGATCATTTCTCATTTGAAACAATCCTTTTTCTGGTGGTAGAACATTTTTAGATTCAACAATATCAATATCTTTAACTTTTCCATTACTAGGAACTTTCTCGTTACATTTTTTAGGTTTAATGTTATATTTATCCTCAATCTGTTTTTCTGTGCTTTTAGTTTTCACTTTTCTCAAATTTGCTGAAATATTATCAGTTTTTACTATTTTAGCGTTCTCAACCTTGGCTTTTGATTTAATTAAGAGTATCTCACCTAGTTCACTAGCAGTCAATTCCATGTCAGCATCATATACAGTTTCTTCTGGCTTTTTACCATTTATAAAACATAGTTTATTGATGTGATCAGACTCCTTTCTAGGTTGAGATGATTTAGTGCATGAAACATCTTTTGGGGCTATCTGACCAATAGTGTGGACTTTGTCAGTGTCACAATGCAATATACTATTTTGCTCTGTTTTACTCTCAAAATTGTTTATAGTAGACTGAATATTTGATGTACAGGACAGTCCTCGTTTCTTCCGTTCAGTCACATATCTATGGATTAGAAGAGGACTATTGTGTGCTTTTGATTGTCTTTCATATTTTTCTACAGAAGATGCATTATCCAGATCCAGCTTAAAGGTCCTACTAGACATCTGATCCATACATGATGGATTTTCTGCAAACAAAGCAAAACCAGGTTCATTTACATTGCATAAACAGGAAAAGTTTGTTTTTCCATTTGGAACATGCTTTATTATAATCTTCAAAAACAATTTCAGCTTGCCAGATGGGACATTCGCCCCTTGCCTACACCTGTGGTGTTCTGATGGATCTCCAGACACCCAAGAGCCATTTGGGGAGAAGCATGTAGGGAGCACACAAGGAGAAGGGAAAGCAGGGCTTCAGCTGATAGGGTTCGTCAGGGGAATCCCACCCATTATTATTATTAACTATTTATATATCAACAACATGCATCTGTTTAACTGAAACGGTTAACAGTGTTTTTATAAATATCAGATGGGAGACCTGAACAAACCTAGTGATACTGGAGCTATTTTATTCAAATTGGTCTGTAACCTACTATAGTGTTTTAAATAGCTTACATAAAAGTATCTTATGTGCCTAATTGTTTAAAATATAATGAAAAAACATTAGGAGTAACATTATGCATTTCTGTGTTGATGTGTCCCAACATAAATGTTCATTTATTTTTTAAGACTCAAACAAGACATGAATCATATATCTAGCTCTATTGTCCCTGATTTTATAAACATAGATTGCCAGCATGAAACACCCTATCCCCGCAATCTGAATCAAGACCCTGGCATGGAGTGGGAAGTAAGGGGCTTTAGTCCTTTATCCCCTGCTGTGGACCTGATGCAATGTGCACTGGGGTGAAATTCCTCCAGTGGGTGTATTTTTCCTTTACAAATTGCATGCACCAGAGACCCAATATGGACAGGAACTACAATGAAGGGAAAGGGCTGAAGACATCTACCCACCATGCCGGGGTCACAATCCATACATCTCCTGCCGACAAATTATATTTTAAAAGTCCTGTATTGAGACTCTTGCTTTCTGCAATATTTGTTGGGGAGAAAGGACCCTAGAAAATGAAGTGAATGCAATAAAATATCCTGTATACCTTTTGTAAATTTATTTGCAATAAATACTGTTTCTATTTTATTTGTTTCACTTGATTTTGAGGTATTTTTTTCAGACACAAATAACTCTGCATTGATTTGATCTGCTGCAGTTTCCTTTGATGTAACAAGATCATCAGCTACACAGACTGATATGTTACTTTGCTGATTTCCATCATGTTCTTCAGTCTGAGTGCTCACATGCTGCCTGATAGTTCTGAAAGAACAATTTATTATGAAAGAGAGTTAAGAAAATGGGATTCACTTCAGCATTTAACTCATAAGTAAACTTCACTTTGTTCAGTGGGACACTACCAGATAACAATGCACAGATTTGTAATCTAATAATGAATCACATTTTGTGTTATAAAAAACCCAAAAAATAAGTAGGAAACAAGATCTAACTGTAAAACAGAAGTGTATGAGATTACATCTAAGGAGAAAAACTGCTAGCACATGTACTAATGTAAACTACCTTAACCTAAGGTATAAATTGCTATTTCTAATAGCCTGCAAACAATAATTACGATGTATAGGTATAAATTATGTTTTTGTTGGCAAAATACACATAAATGTCAGTTCATGAAAGATCAGAGTCTTTGTCATGTATTTTTCCAGCAAAGACTATAATCCTGCATGTATACTAGTTAAATCCTGTTAACCTCAGCAGGATTAGCTATGCAATCCTATACAGTAGATGTCTACTCAAAAGTAAATCCTGCTGACATTAATGGACTTTACTTCTGGGTGTAAGTATAGAGTTGCACCCTCAAGCAGTCAAACTGTACATATGATTGCAGCCTAAAACACAGTTTATGCATGACACTGTTAATGAATTGTGTTTAATTATATCTAGTTCTTTTTATTTATAAGTACAAAAACTAAACTATAAATAAGCCTTTAAAGCAGCCCTTAGGAACCTGTGGGATTATAGCCCTGATCAATACAATCTTTTGGCAGGTTTTATTTTAAGTTTCATGTTTTGATTTCCATCTAGATTAATAAATCAATTCAAATATTACCTAATTGGTTGATCAGAAATCTCAGGTTGTTGACCAGAACTGTTGCAGTGGTCTTTTTCCATTGCTAAGGGTTTTTGAATATGCTGTTTAAAAAGAGGAAAACGCTCAGAATACTTAAAGAGAAATTTTATGTACAGTATGTCTATAGAGAAATAATTCCCAGTTGAAGGGGGTTTGCTCCCAGTTTTCTGGGTATAGAATTCCACCAATACCAATATATTAAGATTTCGAGTGTTAAACTATTTCAATGCAGCTGTAAACTAGGAATATATGTATAAAGCACAAATATGCAGGTCAAGAAAATATTTGCTCACATAATGTAGTTATTTCATTGAAATGCCACTCTTCTTGTGCATATATTGAGCATTTATAACAGAAAAAGTTTATTAATACACCATTGATTTTGTACATGGGTATCATTTTACTGCTAGAAAGTACAGTACAGCAATATTGTGTATTATGTTAGCTGAAGTCATCTAGTTGCATGTTTAAATCTATATAAATATGTCAACAATACAATTGGATTTCCATTGTTTTGATCAACATGTTTGTTCTGCTGTACCTGTACTTTAATCAAAACTCAAAAGTAAATCCACAGATAACTTCTGAAAAACCAAAGGAATATTGATCACCAAATCAGTTTTCATACTGATTTTCAAAACATGAAGGCATACAGTAGCAATTCCCTCTTCACCCTATGATAATAAGAGTCACAAAGCTGAAGCATACCTCTGAAAGAGTGTTCATTTCAATTGCAGTTGAAATGTTATTATTCACGAATGCTTCCAGTTCTATGAGAATTTTATTCTGCATACAAAAAATTAAGTATAAAAACTTTTATTTAACGCAGTTAGAAAGTTAGAGAAAAACAACGATAAAAAAGATTTATATTTCTGGAGGAAAGAAAGAGGCAGTTATGAGAAATTAATATATTTTATTTGGGATTAAAGAGATTAAATTTATCTAAAAACAAGAAAACATCAAAGGTTTTTTTATATAAAAAAATGGTAAAACCTTCCCCCGCTCCAACCAGGAACATTTTCCCCTCTGCTCTTTTACACATAAAGTAATGTACCTTATACAGAACAGATTAAGGTTCAGCAGTATACTAGTGTTTACCTGATTGTGTGATTGTTCATTGTTTAAAAGGAACTTTGGGCGCATAGCTCCAGTTGCTGGGTGTGCATGCACACACAGGGTCTGAGTGTGACCAAGAGCTAATAAACATTTTGCCCTGATATAACAGGGGAAAAATGTGTATACTCATGGACATACTGTAGTCGGGGGGGGGAGGAGGGGAGGAGGCAGTATCCCCCCACTGTAAATCAAGTAAATAAATAAAAATAGTTAACTAACTGATCAATCACATTGCAGATAGTGAAGGAGGTGAGGACAGGTGACCCCACCTTGGCCCGAAGTCACCCCCCCGAAAAAGCAGGCTCAAAGCTTCTCAAAATCATTTTCTCAGCAGCTAAAAGGCATTAGCTAAGCATCAGAAACATTTCGCTCTGCTGTAACAAAGGTTGCTTCTCAGGCTAGCTGACCTTGCCAAAAGGTACAAGACCTTTCTGTTCATGCTCAGGAAACAACATGGGGCAGGACTCTTGAAGAGGAGGAGAAAGGGGAGGGAACTGAAGGGGAATATATGCTTTGTGCAAATGGCTGTGAACTTGTGCTTGTTTTGTGAATCATCACACTTGCTCCTTCTACCAGCCCGGATGGTAGAAATAAAGCTTTTTCTCTGAAACTATTCCTTGAGTGTCTGTTGACTCCCATTTCCCCGTCCCGGGCGCAAAGCTCTTCTCACCCGAGGCTAAAAAGGCTACAATAGCTCCTGCAAAATCCTGGCTATGCCCATGTGCATACCGCTGGTGTAATTCCATTATGATATGTCATTTGCATCATAATGCTTATCAAAATCCCACTGAACAGGATCTTTGAAACAGATGGATGCTATTAGCTGCTTACACTGCACTAAGGTGAGCATTCCACCAGGGCAAGCATTCCCTCTCCTCCCACATGCACTCTTCTGGTGGTTATTCCAACCTGACCCACCCCCCAGCCAATTTGGGGAGTATGGTGATTGTGGGGATGCCCTGGGACTCATAGCTGAATCCCTCCCCATAAGTTTTATTTTCACAATATATGAATAATGTAATAGCTCAAATAGTATTTTTCAGAACATACCATGCGATTCAGCTTTTGGCGCAGTAAAACATTCTGCAAATGCAGCTCATCCACTTCTTTCTGTAATAAGAGCTTTTCATTTTTTAGCTTCCTAGAATTTTCTTTCTCTGCGCTGAGGGCCATGGCCAGAGCCTTATTATTGTGTTTCAAAGAAATCTTAAAAAGTGAAGAGTTGCCTGCATAAAATAAAAATATGAAATAATAATTTGGGTTATTATTTGGGTTAAAACACACCTATGTATCAGTGTGTTTAAAAAATGTGTCTATTCTATTTCTTTATGTTTTAAAAAAATTGTTTTGTATTTATTTTAAACCTGCATCCAGACTCATATCCACAACCATGGAATAGTTATACAGAAGACATACATAATAAATAAATACTGATATTGCTAATACTCTTGCACTCTACACAAAAAATTTGGAGGTGCCAAAACTTCTGTTTCTTTACTATTAAAAATTAATTGAGAGGAACTGTATTTATTTAAAACCTTTAAATATCACATATTCAAATATAGTATAAAAACAAATAAAATCCTTCAGGCCTATATACCGTACTTGGGGTTGCTAATATGGTGCCCCCCAAATGTTGTTGGACAGAACTACTTGCTGGGCTTACACTTACATGGGAGTGAATTCTATTGCATTCAAAGGAACTTACATCTGAGTAAACATATTGAAGACTGCACAGTTAAACAATTACAATTTTCTAGTTAAAATGCTTGAATGACAAAGATTGTGCTCTTTTCTTGTGTACAGTTCTTGTAATCTTGCCTCACCATATTTTCTAATTTCTAGAAAATTGCTTTCTATTCTAGTCAGAATGCAAGCACCACCCCTCATATACTATATTACTGAGTGATCATTTAAGGAGTAGTGCGGATAAGGGAATATTTATTATCAGGATTTGATAATGAATTAAATTCTACAGTATATCCTACTGAAAATGGCCTTGCCTTAAAGCACGGCGGTTGCCCGCCCCCCTGCATTTCACAGTGCTTTCCTCACTAGCTGTTCACACCAGCAAGGTTAGATTTGTTTATGTTTGTGTACATATCAGGGGACGTTGATGGGGAAGAGTTGTGTTAAGTTGTGGGTAAACATATCAGACGACACAGCGATTCTTCAAACAGCTCTTGTTTATTCACAGGCCAGAACAGAACTGAACTGAAGGGTTCAGCCAGCCTGCTTATATAGAGCTCGACTAGAACGCAACAGTAACCATTTTCTGTAACTATCCAATCACTGAACGTCACTTTCAATCCCTTATTTGCATATGTGGACCTGAGTGAAAATTATCTACAGTATCCCCCTGCTGGCCTAGGGTGAGAACCTCAGTACATAACAGGTTGTCTTTACCCTGTGCAAAGATGTTTACAACTTGGCTAGAGACAACTTAGAAATGGCTTAAGAAATCCACTCAGTGTGAAGCTGGTTTGAGAAGCAATGTGTTTAGGATATGTGCACACAGATTAGAAACCTAGCACTGGAAACTGTGAGTGCACAATAAACAGTAGTGTGAATACAGTCTGAGAGACAGTAATATCACAGGGGATGCCAACCACTTGGGGTCCCTGAGTGAAACTGAACCTTTGAGGAACACCAGCCACTCTGGTGGCCAATCTCCTAACCTCCTCCCTGTTTCCTTCTCCTCTCTTGCTTGCTCCATTTTCTGTTAGCTGCCAATCCAAATCTTGAAAACCACATAGAGCTGAAAGACGGAAGAAATGGGAAGTGCAGTGGTACCTTGGTTCTCAAATGCCTTGGGACTCAAAGAACTTGGAACCCAAACACTGCCAACCCAGAAGTAAGTGTTCCGGTTTGCAAACTTTTTTCAGAAGCTGAACGTGCTCTGTTTTGAGTGTTACGTTTCTGATTTGAGTGCCACGCTTCCATTTTGAGCATTACACTGAGGTATCTCTGTTTTTTTGCTATTTATTTTCTGTTTTTGTGGCTTTTTTTTGTTTTTGTGACTGTGTGGAACCCAGGTCAGCTACTGATTGATGGATTGCGTGACTGCAGTACATTGTTTATTGCTTTCATTTTATGGCTCAGTGGTCTCGTTAGATAGTAAAATTCATGTTTAACTGCTGTTTTAGAGGTTGTTTTTAAAAGTTCATTTTGCATTACTTTCTATGGGAAAGGACGCCTTGGTTTTGGAATGCTTTGGTTTCGAAACAGATTTCCAGGACGGATTAAGTTTGAGAACCAAGGTACCACTGTATGCTACTTTTCCAGCTTCCTCCCCTTCAGTTCCATGCACTTTTGGGAGGAGCCACCCCTGCCAGCCCATGAAGAAAAGGGCAGTAAGGAGTAGCAGTGGGAGGGGGCGGATCCTCAAGGTCATTGTGCCCACATGCATAACATTATTAAGCTTATCCTGTTTTATTTGTACAAGCTACTGGTTTATTTATTTAGAAGCATTTATAAACCACTTAATATTTTAAAACCACCAAGTACTGTACAACATAAAAACAATAAACAATATCTTTTTAAAAAGCAGCAACATAAAAACCAGTAAAAACAAAAGGTATAATTATGCTAAGAGGGTGTGACTGGCCCAAAATTGCTGAATATAATTTGAATAAAGGTTTCATGAAACATTGGCTCTTTTTTCATTTTGGATAAACGTATTTTGTAGACATATTACACTGGATATTTTAAAAAATGCTATTACTAAGGAGGTCTACAAGTATTTTATTTTTCTGAGAGTTACATATATTATCAAAATTTTAGTTGACACTCACTTCTCATCTTAGTTTTGATTTTACATGCAAGAGAAGCATTCAGCTTCCCAGCTTTTAGAGATCCGTTCTTCTTCCCCCCAACACGTCTTTTAATATCTCCAAAGATCAACGAGGAAGATGCTTCTGGAAATAGGTTGCTTTCCATTTTAATGGATTCAGTTCATTACCCAGTAGAAATCTAACAATGGATAACACAAAGAAAGATACATTAATGTTTTAGTGGATATTTTTAGTTCCATAGTTTCAGTTAAGATTTATCATACTCTATTATTCATCATTTGGGTCTTGTATTCATTCTTAAACAAACAATTTTTAATTGTTTGTTTTAATATCTTTGTTTTAATATATTTAACCAACTCACTCACTCTCCAGAATCTCAAGTTATTCCACACATTTCCAAAGTATGTAAGGGACATGAGAGAAAAAGTAGGAGCAATATTGTGAAATTACTATCTAACAGTCTCTCCAGAGCTGGCCATGTGTAAGACTCCGTTTGGAACTATTAACATATTGAATAAAAGAAATCAGTCAGAAAGGAAATGACTCTTGTTGGCCCGTCCTTAAGTCTTTTTTGAACACACTAGTTAAATATTCTACTTCAGATTTTCCTAACAGCACTTCCTTAATTGTTCAATTCACCATCAAATTCAAAGCTGCGTGTGAGCTATTATTAATAATACATCCCATTTGTATCCTGTTCTTCCACTGCAGAAAGCTCAGGGCAGCCTTTCTAGGCCACGAACAGGAATTACAAAGTACAGTATGGGGAAATTATTTTTGAGCCCTCTCCATTAGGAAAAATGTGTAAACCACGGTAGACACAGTGGAAGCCCTGTTTTTTATATGACTGAGGTAAATGATCAGGGCTGGATTTAGTTTTGATGAGGCCCTAAGCTACCGAAGGTAATGGGGCCCTTTATATGTCGTTGTCCTTTGTCAACAACAAATTGTCGCTGTTTTTTGTGTTGAATATATGCTATATGGTAATTTAAGGACCTAATACAGTAGGTATCTAAAGCCATTTGCACACAACAAATATGAGCCTACAGGACACAAAACACTGTTGCTGTATGTAGGTTTTATTTTATCTTATATTTTTGAAATGTACATCCAGGTTTTTTTTTCTCCTTTAAATGTTTTAAGAGGCCCAAGAGAGTGGGGCCCTAAGCTATAGCTTGTTAACCTTGTAAGTTAACCTTATGAGTAAATCCGACACTGTAAATGATCTTTCCCATTTATTATTTACTTGAGGAAAGGGACTCGAGCTCACAGGCTCCCCAGGGTCGGTTTTAAAAAGTGACCCTTTTTTAAAGCAAAGTTTGAGGTAAAAGGAGGCAACACAGGGTCGTTTCTCCACACAGCTCCCTCACCGCTCTGGTTCCCGCCAAAGCGGCGGCTGGCGGGGCGCTGATTGGATGGCCCGTCCCTCGCGCCGAAACCGTTGAAGCCCAAGGAGGGTGCGCGCACGCAGCTGCGGCGTTCCCGCCATCAGCTGCTGCAACCCAGCCGAGGGCAACCCGGATGGCTTTGCCTCTCGCGAGCCGCGTTGCAAAGCTTTGTACCCCGATCCATTCCTACCCACGTGTTTGCTCAAAAACTTAAGTCCCACGGGGTTCAGTGGGTAAACTCTGTTTGCTCTCTCACGCTCAGCAGTGCATACCCAAGTTCAAATTGACCCCTGGGAAAACAGAAGGAGGTCGCTGTTCTTGCTTTGCCCGTGTCAACAAAACCAAACCAGAATTTGGAAACGTTTTGGGAGAGCTACTTTCTCTCCAAACAGAAGAGTTTTACTAGTTGAGGCTGGACTCCTATACAGTGGTACCTCAGGTTACATACGCTTCAGGTTACATAGCTTCAGGTTACAGACTCTGCTAACCCAGAAATAGTGCTTCAGGTTAAGAACTTTGCTTCAGGATGAGAACAGAAATTGTGCTCCGGCGGCACAGCGGCAGCAGGAGGCCCCATTAGCTAAAGTAGTGCTTCAGGTTAAGAACAGTTTCAGGTTAAGAACGGACCTCCGGAACGAATTAAGTACTTAACCTGAGGTACCACTGTACATGCTTAAAAGGTAAAGGGACCCCTGACCATTAGGTCCAGTCACGGACGACTCTGGGGTTGCTGCGCTCATCTCGCTTTACTGGCTGAGGGAGCTGGCATACAGCTTCCAGGCATAGCTGTCAACTTTTCCTTTTTCTTGCGAGGAATCCTATTCGGAATAAGGGAATTTCCCTTAAAAAAAGGGAAACGTTGACAGCTATGCTTCTGGGTCATGTGGCCAGCATGACTAAGCCGCTTCTGGTAAACCAGAGCTGCGCATGGAAACGCCGTTTACCTTCCTGCCGGAGCGGTACCTATTTATCTACTTGCACTTTGACGTGCTTTCAAACTGCTAGGTGGGCAGAAGCAGGGACTGAACAATGGGAGCTCACATCGTCGCGGGGATTCGAACCGCCGACCTTCTGATCAACAAGCCCTAGGCTCTGCGGTTTAACCCACAGCGCCACCCGGCAAATCATCTTGCTGACCAATTGTTTTTGTAGGGTTGCGCTGCCGTTTCTTTTCCTTTTTTCCAAATTATTATTAATTTTCCAAATTATTACAAATCAACCCAAATTAATCTAATAGTTTCTTAAAATCAGGTTCCCCCTCCTTCTCTGAACATATGACCACCATCGTTTCCTCACGTTGCCGCATTGTTTCTTATTTAGGGTTCAGTTGACTTCCTTCAATGTTCAGTACTGCCATTTCTAAACAAAAGCTGGTACAGTGGTACTGCAGGTTAAGTACTTAATTCGTTCCGGAGGTCCGAACTTAACCTGAAACTGTTCTTAACCTGAAGCACCACTTTAGCTAATCGGGCCTCCTGCTGCCGCTGCGCCGCCAGAGCACGATTTATGTTCTCATCCTGAAGCAAAGTTCTTAACCTGAAGCACTATTTCTGGGTTAGCAGAGTCTGTAACCTGAAGCGTATGTAACCTGAGGTACCACTGTACTTGAGAGTAGTCCTGAACCTCTCGCTTTGAGCCTACTGCTCCAGCTTCCTAACTATCCAGCACAAATTATATATGCTTGTAATGCGTGTCCCAGCTATTGTAAAAACAATTTACAGCCCAATTCCATGCATGTTTGATTGGAAGTTCATGCTTATTCTTATGCATGCATAGGACCATAGCTTTAGACATAGATTTGGAACATAAATGGAGGCATTAGGGCAAATGGGATTCTAAAAGGAGGGTCGTTTGCTTCTGTGATATAATATCTTCCAGCAGAAGGTTCCTTGTTCAATTTTTGGCGTCTCCTGACGGATGGGAAATACTTTTACCTGACACCCTGGAGAACTTCCAGTCACAGCAGACAAGACTGGGCTAGATGGGCATATAGTTTTATCTATGCTCCTCTGTTCCCAACAGCAAATGTAATTATATTCCAGGTTTCACCATGGGGTTCTTAGTTAATCTTTACCTCTTCGTAAATCTTTTTCCAAACAGTTGTTACCACAGATAATTGACCATGCATAAAACCCATGTTAGAGTGAGTTACTGTGTGTAGCTAATGAGTAACTGATGGTTTTTACAATCACTGTGGAAAAAAATGTAATTGAAACACTCAAAGCTACTTTATTTATTTATATATTTGCTGCATCAGCAATCTCTTTTGCTGAGCCTTTCTAATTTATGTCAAAGTTTATGCCATCTTAGTATTCTATTGGAAAAAATGATTATAGGGCCACAGTCATGGTCTCATGTTATTGGTATGATAGAAGGCTTGTCTAGTGGCTGGAACCACACCAATTGTTGGGACCAACAACGTGAGGATCATGATGAATCATCTGAATGGTGATTTGAACCCTAGTCAGCATGAGCAGTGTGTGGGATCAAACATGTCAGGCACTCACTGGAAGGTATTGTAGGATTTCCTGTTGCATTATGGGGTTGGTCGACCTGGGAACATAGTCCATCTAAGAGTAGGAAAACTCTGATCCTAAATCTCTGCTTGCGCATGCGCAGAAGCGCAAAATGACATCATACGCAGAAGCGACGAATCGCAACCCGCCCGTGTGCAGACGCGCCGCTGTGGGTTGCGCTCTTTTCATGTTGCGAATGGACCTCCGGGATGGATCCCATTTGCAACCAGAGGTACCACTGTACACATTTATACTTAACACCCATAGTCAAGTGGTTAAATTTATATGGATCATGACCATTGTTAGCTTTGATTTACAAAGCACTAATTAATTTTAACCAAACTGCGGGAGGCAGTGGAAGACAGGAGTGCCTGGCGTGCTCTGGTCCATGGGGTCACGAAGGGTCGGAAACGACTAAACAACAACAAAAATTAATTTTGAGTGGTGTGAGGTTTCATTGTTGCTGTGAATTAATACAATGTAAATTGACTTCTTGTAGAAGAGGCTTCTTATCTACAAATGTATAGGCTGAGCATCACAAAACACACATGCTACAAGTTGGAAGGATCCCTGTACAGGCATATTCAACCAGACAGATGTTTACTACTGTTAACTTTCCTCCACCTTCTGAACATGGGGTCTGCTTTGCCAAACCATATGCACTGTGTATGCAAATAGCTGCAGCTGCAGGATGCATTTATCCAGCAAGGGAAACTGCTTCTGCAGCCTCCTTATTCAGAAGCCTGCTTCTGTATGCAGATCACACTTTCTGGACTGTGGGTGCTTTTAGATCATCTGTTTTGTGTGGGATTCAATAATGTATTGAGGTCAGCTTGCACAGTTGCAATTGATCTGTAGCTCTTGCACAACAAAGCCACTTCCCCAAAATATCAGACTGTTTGAAGTAAGGCAAGTGATGCGAAAATGCACTGAAAAGCTCCCCACAAATCAAGATGAATGCACAATAAACATATTGTCTGAAAGCACCCTGTGATATTCTCTCTCTCTCTCTCTCTCTGTTTGTGTGTGTGTCATAGAAAGTCATCAAATCATAGTGTTGGAAGGGATCACGAGGGTCATCTAGTCCAGGGACGTCCAACTCACAATAGACTGCGATCTACTCACAGTATAAAAAAACTGGCCATGATCTACCCATTGTCGTAAAAAGACTGGCAGTGATCTACTCAAAGTTATTGAGCTTTCTTTAGGAAGCCAAAGTTGTGGAGCTTTTTTAGGAAAGGCAAAGTTGTGGAGCTTTTTTGCAAGGAGATCACTGAGGGACCAGAGGTCTACCAGGAACACCCTGCGATCTACCAATAGATCATGATCTACCTGTTAGACATGCCTGATTCTAGTCCAACCCCCTTGCAATACAGGAATCTTTTTCCCAATGTGGGGCTCAAATGCACAACTCTGAGACTCTGAGATTAAGAGTCTCATGCTCTCCCAACAGAGCTATCATGTGTGTAAGCATATGTGTACAGTCGTACCTTGGAAGTCGAACGGAATCCGTTCTGGAAGTCCGTTCGACTTTCAAAACGTTCGAAAACCAAATCGTGGCTTCTGATTGGCTGCAGGAAGCTCCTGCAGCCAATCAGAAGCTGTGGAAGCTCCGTCGGATGTCCGGCTTTCAAAAGAACATTTGAAAACCAGAACAGTCACTTCCGGGTTTTGATTGTTTGGGAGCCAAATCATTCGAGAACTAGGCAGTTCGACTTCCGAGGTACGCCTGTAATTATATATTGTAGGCCTCCATTTGTCTCAAGAGACAATGGAATGCACCGCAAAGGGTGAAGTGAAACCACTGCGTTAGCAGCACAGAAGTGACCTCCTCGGGGCGCAAGCCTGGGCAGCGTGTATGGAGGTTCTGGGCTGCCCTTGGCCTTGTTGATGTGGTCCAAAGGAAAGCAGAGCAACACGTTTGGCACCAGCTTGACTGCAGGAGTTGCCACAAAGAGGTGTACTGTACAAGACACAATCCGTCCAATTTAGGGGCTCTACTTCAGATTTGCGTAGGGTTTACTCCTTAGCCTTTTTTCTACTGAAGATATCCCATAAGGCAGCTCATCTCACTTCACTGGCTGAGGGAGCCACCGTACAGCTTCCGAGTCATGTGGCCAGCATGACTAAGCCGCTTCTGGCGAAACCAGAGCAGCGTGCGGAAACGCCATTTACCTTCCCGCCGGAGCGGTACCTATTTATCTACTTGCACTTTGACATGCTTTTGAACTGCTAGGTTGGCAGGAGCTGGGACCGAACAACGGGAGCTCACCCTGTCGCAGGGATTAGGCTCTGTGGTTTAACCCACAGCGCTACCTGCGTCCCGGCAAGAATGTTACTCGCCCACAAATGGAAAGAACAGAAGTCTCAGCAAAGGAAGAATGGATACAAAAACTTGTGGAATATGCAGAAATCGCGAAACCTACCGGAAGAATAAGAAATCAAGATAACAAACTTTTTATAGAAGAATGGTTTATTGAATATTTACAGATAAACTGTAAACAGATAAGAACATTGGCAGGATTATTGTAATAACCTGCAGTTTTATAGGAGTATATATTTAAAGTAGATGAATAAATGAGCAAATTAAGTTAATTTGGATATGCAGAAGATATTAAAAATAAATCTAAGAAACTACAGAAAGGGGGAAGGAAGTCAAGTTTTGAAATATTAAAATGATTGTAAAATTAGTGAAATGTAGAAATCTGATAAGCATAAAATTTAAAAGAAAAACGACCAAAAAACCAAAATCTCATGTAAATTCCTCATTGAGAAGGGATTCTCTCAGAGTCTATAGAACAATAAATACCTCCAGCAAGAAATAAAAAGAACCGTTGAGCTTACCTGTAAAAGGTTTCTTTCTGAGAGTGAACAGATGCTCCCAGGTGGGTTGTGGGCTCCTTCTAGTGCTTGCAGGCAGGATTGCAGCATTTTTCTCCTCGCTTGTTTACACGGATGTCAAAACTACAGCCATCAATCCTCAACACAAGAACATTATTTTTTAACACCTCCTGCATCTGGGCTGGACCGATCTGCCTGCGTGGTCCGAGGTGGCCTCGCTGGCCGGGCACAGCCCTCTCTGCAAAAGCCCCAGGGTGGTGCAGCCCCTTTGTAGTTTCCCCCAGGTGTGGGTCCTTCTGGCTGGGCAGGGATTCCCTCCCTCCTGGACCACAGCCCAATGCCTTTGCCCATTTGTCCTGGAATCAGAGCAAATGAATTACGTTTACAAAAATCCACGCAGAAGAACCCATCTGGTTCTGGATATCTACCCTCGGGGTCCCTGCCGACTCTACAATGAATCAATCAATCAATCAATCAATCAATCAATTCATTCCTCGAAAGGAATTAACTTTCAAATGCAATCCTATTCGAGGGTTTGGCAGCCTGCAACCCTTCATCCCTGATGCCTGGCGGGCAGCCTTTCTCCACCTTGGGTCTCCAACTCTTGGACTACAACTCCCATCATCCCAGACCACTGGTTTTGCTAGCTAGGGAATTATGGGAGTTGTAGTCCCATAGCCCAACAACATTGGGGGGACCCAAAGTTTAGAAAATAAGGCAACATTTGGAGGGCTGCGAGGTTCGCCACCTCTGCGAATATCTTGGCTGCTGGAATATCTTCGGATGCTGCTGGCCTTTGAACCCCGTGGTGGTGGTGCTGGTGGGGTCTTGCTTCTACGATCGCGCTACATCTCGTCCAGCCTCCCTGCAGCGCAGGAATCTCAACGTCAGCATCATCATAGACAGATACTGATTCCTTCGTTATCCCGTTCACTCCGTCGCGCTGTTTCCCATCCCCGCTCCTCCCAGAGGATGATGGGAGTTGTAGTCCAACAACCTTCCCTAATAACCCATTAACGCAGGCGTCTCTGCGCACGCGCAGCAGCGTCTCCCTCCTCCCCCCCTCCCCCTCGACGCCCCAGAACGTGGCGGGACAGGCTCGGCGCGCGGCTGGTGGGCCGTGACGACAGCGGTGACGAAGAGGTGGGCGGAGCTTCGAACCGGGAAAGGTAACGAGTTAGCGCGGTTGTCCCTCCTTCCCTCTCGGCTCCCCACTCGCGCCTCAGTCTATCCCCTCACACCCGGCTCTTCCACGGAGGGGGGGTTGGGCAACCCGAGGTTTGGGCCCCTCCCCCCCTTTGCTTCGGCCTGGCTGCTTTGCTTCGACCCCTTTGCCTCAGGCGGCTCAAGAACCATGGCGGTGTTTGGCCGTTTGGAAACGGAGCGGAGGAGGCGCGTTCCTCAGACTTAAGAGAGTCTTCTTGTTGTTTAGTCGTGTCCGACTCTTCGTGACCCCATGGACCAGAGCACGCCAGGCCCTCCTGTCTTCCACTGCCTCCCGCACTTTGGTCAAACTCATGCTGGTAGCTTCGAGAATACTTTCCAACCATCTCGTCCTCCGTCGTCCCCTTCTCCTTGTGCCCTCCATCTTTCCCAGCATCAGGGTCTTTTCCAGGGAGTCTTCTCTTCTCATGAGGTGGCCAAAGTATTGGAGCCTCAGCTTCACGATCTGTCCTTCCAGTGAGCACTCAGGACCGATTTCCTTCAGAATGGATCGGTTTGATCTTCTTGCAGTCCATTGAACTCTCAACAGTCTCTTCCAGCACCATACAGTGGTACCTCGGGTTACATAGCTAATCTGGTGAAAATCAAGTTAATCCAGAACACTTTTGTCACTGGTTCTACGCATTATCAGCCTGACTGCCACTACAGTGGTACCTCGGGTTGCAGATGCTTCAGGTTACAGACTCCACTAACCCAGAAATAGTACAGTGGTGCCTCGCAAGACGAAATTAATCCGTTCCGTGAGTGTCTTCGTCTAGCGGTTTTTGCGTCTTGCGAAGCAACCCTATTAGCAGATTAGCGCTATTACCGGTTTAGCGGCTATTAAAGGCTTATCGGCTTATCGGATTAGCTGCTAAAAGGCTATTAAAGGCTTAGCGGCTTAGATAAAGGGGGGGGAAAGCGAAAAAAAATCTCAAGACTCGCAAGACATTTTCGTCTTGCGAAGCAAGCCCATAGGGAAATTCGTCCTGCGAAGCAACTCAAAAACGGAAAACCCTTTCCGCCTTGCGAGGCATTCGTCTTGCGGGGCACCACTGTACCTCGGGTTAAGAACTTTGCTTCAGGATGAGAACAGAAATCGTGCGGCAGCGCAGCAGCGGGAGGCCCCATTAGCTAAAGTGGTGCTTCAGGTTAAGAACAGTTTCAGGTTAAGAACGGACCTCCGGAACGAATTAAGTACTTAACCCGAGGTACCACTGTAATTGAAAACTGTAATTGAAATTGATTCTTCGGCGATCAGCCTTCTTTATGGTCCAGCTCTCACTTTCATACATCACTAGGTGATGTCTCTGCCTTTTAAGGTGCTGTCTAGGTTTGTCATTGCTTTTCTCCCAAGAAGCAGGCGTCTTTTAATTTCGTGACTGCTGTCACCATCTGCAGTTATCGTGGAGCCCAAGAAAGTAAAATCTCTCACTGCCTCCATTTCTTCCCCTTCTATTTGCCAGGAGGTGATGGGCCCAGTGGCCATGATCTTCATTTTTTTGATGTTGAGCTTCAGACCATATTTTGCACTCTCCTCTTTCACCCTCATTAAAAGGTTCTTTATTTCCTCCTCACTTTCTGCCATCAAGGTTGTGTCATCTGCATATCTGAGGTTGTTGATATTTCAAGAGAGTCTTGAGATGCCTTCATTGCACGGGTTTGGGCTAGGTCAGGCATAGGCAAACTCGGCCCTCCAGATGTTTTGGGACTACAAGCCCCATCATCCCTAGCTAACAGGACCAGTGGTCAGGGATGATGGGAGTTGTAGTCCCAAAACATCTGGAGGGCCGAGTTTGCCCATGCCTGGGTTAGATGACCCCTGGGCTCCCTTGCAATTCTGTTCCGGGGCTGAGGAGCCTGCAACCCTCCAGGTGTTGCCAGGTTCCCAACCCCCATCATCCCTGGGGCCGGTGGGAGTTGGGGGTCCCTGGGCATAAGCATGGGGAAATAGCTGCCTCCCAAGTCAATAAAAATCAATTAAAATACTTATCTGAGGTTCTCCGCCACCTAACAAAAGCCTGCCCCCCCCAAATACTGGCTACACCCATATGGGGGTCCCGGCAACATCTGGAGGCTTGCAAGGTTAGCCACCTCTGCTGCAGTGGTTAGTTGGTTAGTTGTGTGCTTGTTTCGGATGCTCATGGCTTTTTAACCCCATAGTGGTGGTGGGGTTTTGCTTCTACGATTGGGCTGCATATTGATCCAGTGCTTCAGTTCCACCTAGACCAGTGGTTTTCAGCCTTTTTTTCCCTCCGGGCCACACTTTCAGAATAGCAATTTCCTTGTGCCACACCAAAATTTTTTTATTGATAAGAAATACCTTGGTGAACACAACTAGGATTGTCTTCAGTATCACTTGATGCCCTTGCTCTCATTTTGGAAATATATCCATATTCTGCAAATAAAAAAGATTATTTTGATACTAGACTAGACTACCCTGAAATGTTTACATGTTTCTTTGTCCTTGAATCTTCCTGCCACACCAGTGTGGATGCGGGTGGTGCTGTGGTCTAAACCACTGAGTCTCTTCTGCCGATCAGAAGGTCGGCGGTTCGAATCCACTTGTTGGTGGTGACCGCCCATTGCTCTGTCCCTGTTTCTGCCAACCTAGCAGTTCGAAAGCACGCCAGTGCAAGTAGATAAATAGGTACCGCTGCACTCCTCACCAACTAACTTCGGTCCAATTTGAAAACATAAGCTGTGTCAAGACATCCACACACTTTCTCTGCCCCACTGTGGTGGACAGACAATAGGCGACTTGGTAACACATCCAAAAATACTGTTTGAGTTGTGTGCCTGTATTACAAAGCTGGCAGGCAACATGATCCAGTGCAGCGTTCACCAACCTGATCTTCTCTGGGTATTTTGGACTACAACTCCCATCAGCCCTTGCCAGCATGGTCAGTTCTCATGGGAGTGGTAGTCCAAAGTATCTGAGGGAGGGGCACTAAGTTGGTGAAGGCTGGTCTAGTGGTTTGACTATTGGACTGGGTAGACAGGTGGCAGGTGGTACACATGACATTTCTCAGTAGTCGAGGTGATGCCATCCAGTTCTGTCCTGCTTACTTGCCAAAACAATGCAGATGTTCTTGTAGAGAAGAGGCATTAGCCTAGCAGTGCCCTTTCATGTTCCATTGCAGATAACCGGGTCATTTACATCCAGTCCTTTTGAGTGGTAGTGTAAACTGATCCTGGAAGACCCAGGATTGTTCTGGGCAAGATAAAGCGACTAAGAAATTTAAAAAAAGTAAACCCACCTCTGTCCTTATGCTGGGGTTCAAATATATGCTGCCTTTAACTTCTTGGAGGAAAGGCAACTTATAAATGTTATAAATGCTTTTTATCTGCCTTTTCAGGAGCATAAATTATTGATCTTAATGGAGAAGCCAAGTTATTCACTGTTCTGAGTACAATTTTTACTCTTTTTACAGCTTTGAAAGCACACCACCCAGCCTGCAACGTTAGCTACAAATGCGATGGAAGACAGCAAGAGCGAAAAGGTCGCAGATATTATTCGGCTGAATGTTGGCGGATGTATGTACACCGCTAGGCGTAAATCTTTATGCCGTTTTAAGGACTCGATGCTAGCATCTATGTTCAGTGGACGATTTCCTCTGAAAATGGATGACACAGGTAAAAAAAAGTAGTAAATAGCTAAAACTTGATTGTAAAGTAATTATGAATTCAATTTTCTAATATTCTTTCAGCTTCGGCCAAGGGATAATAAACATGGGTCAATACAAATGCATTGTAATTTTTATTATTTCCCGTATAATGAGCAACTTATTTAATACTTTAAAGGTTAGCGATTTCCAATAAAGTGTGGTAGAAGAAAAACATCAAGTATCATAGAATACACTGTAGGGCTGGAAAGAGCTAAAGATGTCACCAAATCTCTGTGCTTGAGTATAGGATTGGCAACATCATCAATCGTTTGGTTCATCTAGGTAGCACGAGATAAACAGGTGTAGTTTGAATAATATTTTGTTTTGCTCTCAGTATATTTAGCTTTTGACAGATTTCCCTCAGGCAAAAATTACAGTGTGACGTCAGCCATTTTGTCTGACTGGTCCTATAATGGTATGGGGTTGCTCGTGCGTAAGTTGCCGCCTCTCCTGGCTATGTTGCCTTGTTAAACCTTTCTGTCTGGACAGCCCTTCAATTCGTGGCTGCCTCAGTCGCTAGCAGAATCCGTCAGTGGGCGTTTCTTAAACCTTTTCCAACATAAAAGTTGTTTGACACCCAGTCTCCTCCTACTTTCTCTGCGCGGAAGTCTTCTGCGCAGGGAGGGCGTGGGTAGCGGAGGACCAGTGCTCTCCCCGCTGGTGTCCGGTGAAGAGTCTGGGAGCCCTCTCGCCGATTCCCCCATCTGCCCCTCCTTATTCCTGGTGTTGCACTGAATTGCTTCCCCATCTGCTGAGCTGCCTCTCTCCCTGCTGGGCCCTTCTCCAGCATCATTAGAGAGCCTTCCCTCCACCTCTAGCTCCGATGTCAGTTCCCTGACAGGTCCCAAATTAAGTAGAAAGATGGACAATTTCGAACAATAGAGGAGAATAATATAATAGAGAAAAGGTTTGAAAAATCCTACCTGAAACCCTGGAAAGTGTCTTCCAGTCAGTGTTGATGTTACTGAGTTTGATCGATCAATGGTCTGACTCAATATAAGGCAACTTCTGGTGTTTCTCTTTTTCTCTGGACTGCTGTTCACAAAGAGAACACTTCTTGCAAGCTAGTATCTCTGGGTTTTTGCCATCTGCATCAGTTTACTCTTGGGGTGTAGCCTTCCTTCCATTCACAGATAATTTCCTTGGAGCCTGCGCGGGAAGTAGTACTAGTTTGTTCAAGGATGTGAGCCAAGACCCATTCAGCAGGGGGAAACAGAACAAAACAAAAATCTTTCTATCTTCTCTGATTTTTTTTTTAAAAAAATAATATTTATTGATTTTCCAACCATTTGAACACAGTAAAACAGAAAAAACAGAAAAGGAAAAGAAAAATCAAAGAAAAAAAGAGAAAAAACGTAACAAAACAAGACACAAACCATTTAAAACACAAAACAATTTCAATATCTTAACTTTCATTCCCTTATTTCCACGACCTCCTCATGCCTCCCTTTCTGTATTCCACTTCTATTAATTGTTTCAGCAATTCCTTTCCATCTTCCTCTGTTTTCTATCCTATAATTATCTTAACATATTCTAATCTTATTTTTACCTTTAATACTCTATTTCTATTTATACTTAATTCCTTATAACATTTCTACTAAAGCCATATAACTTCATTCCAACCTTTTTCGAACATTCATTATTTTTAAAATATTTCTATACATAGTCTTAAACTTTTTCCAGTTTTCTTCCACCGACTCTTCTCCCTGGTCTCGGATTTCTGCCAGTCGTTTCCGCCAATTCCATATAGTCATCAACTTCATCTGCCATTCTTCCCGGATAGATAAATCTTGTGTCTTCCAGTACTTCACAATGAGTATTCTTGCTGCTATTGTTGCATACATGAGACAAATTCTATCCTTCTTTAACACCAATTGACCGACCATGCCCAGGAGAAAGGCCTCTGGTTTCTTCAAAAGGGTATATTTAAATACCTTTTTCATTTCGTTATGAATCATCTCCCAGAGTGTCTTAATCCTTGGGCATGTCCACCAAAGGTGAACTCTAATCCTCAAATTCGTCTGTTTTTCCTTAAATTCAGTCATAGCGAGCGTCAACTTATGTTCATCAAATTGCCTCTGTAGGGCTGGGGCTCTCTTTCTCTTTCTCTCCAGTTGTGTTTCTATACCTTCATCAGCAACAGCTTTTTCCTTGACTTCCTCCACAGCTTGCCATATCAAAATAGGTTCTTGTATCAATTTCTGGGTGGTTTCTGTATTGGTATTGTCCATACTCCCTGCATTCAAGTCAACCTCAACAATTGAAACATCCACCTTCGCATTTATCATGTCCATTTTCCTGTGAAGCTGATCCAATGAGTCATTTATCTTATATAATGCCGCCACCAAAGCCTCTTCTGTCGACATTCCTCTTAGTTTCAAATATACTAGTACAGAGACAACAACAAAAAGAACAGGAGGGTTTAATAATAAACCTCTCCTGAATTCTTACCAGGTCCTCCCAGACCTTAATGTTTTATCAACAGTTGACTGGTCTGTTTTTCCTCTTCCATTTACCATAACATTTAAAAGATTCAAGGTCAGTCCCAGAGTCTCACGGTTTTTAACTTGCAGCTGGAAATTCCCCTAGTCCAACTCTTGTAAATCAACCAGTTTCAAAGGCTTCCACTAGGGGGAAACAGTTTCTATTTGTAAAAGTCAATAGTATCCTCTTTTAAACAATCCGAAGTTAGTTTCAATTTTCAGTTACTTTTACTCCTTTTTAAAGCAGCCGGAAACAGTAGAAACAATGTATTTCTCTTATTTAGCTAGCTGTCAATGAACGTTCTAAGCGCTGTCAATGAACATTCCAAAAAAGTCAGTCTTACTAGCAGCCCGTTTCCAGGGTCAGAGCGGCGGTGTTTTAAGCCTCTTCGCTCTCTCCCGCAGGCATACTCAATCCGCAACTTCCCCTCTCTTCTCCTGCCTCCAAGAGGGGTTTAATGTTCTTTACCGTTGGAAATTTGATCTTTTACAAAAGACCTTTCAAGACTCCAGCTTGCAACTTCATTGCCTCAGTCTATTTACAAAAAAGGGAAGGCGGACTTCCTGTTTTGAACCTCCCCGTTACGATACCAAATTAAACTTTTAGAAATCCAATTCTTCCGTTTCAGCTCTACTCACAGGTAATTACTTTAAAGTCAAATTGTCCACAGGAAAAGGTCAGCGCTCTCCGGCAACAGCTATGCGGCTTCGCTCCGTGGAAGAAGCAGACGATTCGATGCACCGCGCCGCTCACCCCACGTCGCTCCAGAGCCCCAAAAACCGGGGTTCCCCGCGAGTGGGGGAGGCGCAAAAGGTGCCCGCTGAATCCCACGTTCACAGGCTTCTCCTGCCTGTGATTTTAACGGGTCTCCGCCTTCGCCGTGGCGGCCAGACCCAGATTTCCACGGAACAGATTCCTCCCGGTCAGAGGAATTCTGCCATTACTGGAGGCGCCTCCCCCGGAAGTCCCCTATCTTCTCTGATCAGTCTGACGCCAACTATTGCAAATCCTCCGGATAAGGAGAGACTCTATCAAGGGGTTGTCCAAATACAACATTTTCGGGACATCTCTCTTCTCTCCCAGCCTTCTCAGCAACTTGTTTATGCTGCCTCAGATTATGATTCCTCAGCAGGAGAGAGGACTTTCCTTATGCAGTTGGGGCCTGTGTTCAGGTTTAGCACTTAGTCGGGGCTGTCAATCGCTTGCCACAAGCAACAAACTAATGTAGCTGGTTGAGGAAAGAATTAGCCTTTTTAATTATGTTTGCCTTTTGATATTATCTGTCGGTTAATACATACACAGGTTCTTTGTGTCTAGTATTTTATTTGAGCAAATCTGAAAGAGAGATTGAAAAAAGATACGTCTCCTTAAAATATAACATCGCCAAGAAGAGCGTACTGAGATATACAGTGGTACCTCGGAAGTCGAACGGAATCCGTTACGGAAGTCCATTCGACTTCTAAAACGTTCGGAAACTAAGGCATGGCTTCCGATTGGCTGCAGGAAGCTCCTGCAGCCAATCGGAAGCTGCGTCGGACGTTCGGGTTCCAAAGAACATTTGCAAACCAGAACACTCACTTCCGGGTTTGTGGCGTTCGAGAGCCAAAACGTTCAACTCGCAAGGCATTCGGGATCCAAGGTACGACTGTATTTGTTTGATGAATTGACAGCTTGGATGCAGTTATGATAACCATGCCCTTCTCAAAATATGGATTCAAATCCCCATTCAGCCATGAAGCTCACTGGGTGATCTTGGGCCATTTACTCTTTCTCAGCCAAACCAACTTTTCAGGGTTGCTTGGAAGAATAAAGGAGGGTGAAGAAGATAGGCACATTATAAATGTTGTACTTGTTTTTATTTGCCTTTGCAGGAGCTTGCCTTATTGATCGAGATGGCAGCCTCTTTAAATACCTCTTGGATTATCTTCACGGAGAGGTTCAGCTACCAGAAGATGAGCAGACGCGAATTGCATTGCACGAAGAAGCTGATTACTTCGGCATTCCTTACCCTTACAATCTTGCTGACCATTTGGCCAATGAAATGGAGACCTATTCTTTAAGATCAAACACAGAACTCAAAAAGGTATGGGAATTTTCCTGTGCCTTTAAATTAAAATTAAATTAAAACCGTCATTAGATGTTGAAGCACAGGGGTGGCATTGATCTGATCCTGGGGTACCCAGGATTGCCCTAGGCAAGGTAAAGTTGACTCAGAAATTAAAAAATAAAAACACCCCTGTGATGGGATGAGGAGCTGCTTGTGCGTAAAATAGTATCCCCTCAGAGTTTGTTCAAGTCCACAAACCTCTGTCTGTGACGGAGCCCCTCAGACATGGCTCCTCTAGTCACTAGCAGATTCCGACAGTGGTTGCTTTCGGAATCGCTTCCAACATAAAAGCTCCTTAACGGAAACACGTCTTCTGGACTCTCTGCGTGACAGTTTCCGGCGAGGAGTGGGTGTTCCTACAGGAGGTCCTGAAACCTCCCCACTGTTTTCGCTGGAAGTGTCTCTGAGCCATCCCTCCAGCTCACTTTCCCTCAGCTCAGCTCCTCTCCCCCTACTGGTTCCCTCTTCAGCTGCTGAGTCTCTCCCAACCTGTGTGAGCCCTTTCACCTCCCTTCCTTCCGATGGCAGTTCCCTGACATCCACCTCCCCCCAGGGCCCCTTTCACCCCCTCTCGCCCCCTCCTCTACGGGCGGTGAGGAGGCAAAACCCGGAATGAACTTCCTTCATCTTCCGATGTCTCGAACACTTCTCTCCACCTGTTGCGGTTCCTGGTCTCGAAGTACTCCTCCTCCTCAGAGTCCATCTCCCTTTCCCCTTCCGAGTCCGGGAATCCTTCCAACTCCTCCTCCTCATCAGTGGTCCCAAAGTATTCCCTCCGGAACCTCTCCACAGGCTGAGGTTTCCTTGGGAACCTTTGATGGAACGTTTCTATCAATACCTCGTCATTGATATCTTCGGCCATTACCCAAGTGTTTTCTGACTCCGGTTCTCCTTCCCACGCTACCAAATACTCCACCTGATCCCCCTTCCACCTGGCGTCGAGGATTTCTGCCACATGGCTGCTGCATTCTCTTTCTTCTATGACCGGTCCCAGTGGCCATCCCTTCTCGTCCCCCTTCGTACGGTGACAGTAACGACCTGTGAAATACTGGGTGCAGTTTCATGTGGTTGGGTAACCGGAGCCTGAAAGCCACTGGGTTGACCTGTTGAATGACCTCAAAGGGACCCAACCTCCTGGGTCTTAATTTCTTACAACCTCCTTTGAACGGCAGCCCTTGGGTTGACAGCCACACCCTATCTCCCACCCTTATGGTTTCACCTTCCCTTCGGTTCTTGTCTGCCTGCCTCTTGTATTCTTCCTTCGCCCTTTCTAAGTTGAGTTGGAGCTGACGATGGATTGCTTCCATTTCTTCCACAAAATGCTCGGCTGCCGGGACGCTCCATCTCTCCCCATCTCCCCTGGGAAAGCCCTGGGATGACACCCATAATTAGCCAAGAAGGGGCTCATCCCTGTGGACACATTCTCGGCATTGTTGTAGGCAAATTCCGCCAGCGCCAACTTTTCTACCCAGTCATTCTCTCTGTCATTGACATAACACCTCAGGTATTGCTGGAGGACACCGTTTGCTCTTTCCGCCTGCCCGTTGGTTTCAGGGTGCCGGGCAGTCGAAAAATTGACCTCCACCTGCAGTAAGCTCATGAGCTTCCTCCAGAACCTGGAAGTAAATTGTTTTCCTCGGTCTGAGACCACCCTCAATGGCACCCCGTGCAACCTAAAAATGTGTTCTACAAATAACTTCGCTGTCTCTTCCGCCGTGACTGCATGCGAGCAAGCTACAAAGTGGCACATCTTTGTTAGTAGGTCTACCACCACCATGATGGCTGTTTTCCCTTTGGACTTCGGCAGATCAGTCATAAAATCTATCGACACTGCCTCCCAAGGTCGTTCTGGGGTTGGTAAGGGTTCTAATAGCCCCGCCGGCGCCCGCCTTTCCCCTTTGGCTCGCTGGCATTGCTCGCACCCTCTTACATACTCACGTACATCTTCCCTCACCTTAGGCCACCAAAATTCCCTGGTGACCAACCACATGGTTTTGTGTTGTCCAAAATGCCCCGCCGTAGGGCTGTCGTGCAACTGCTTGAGTACCCTCCCCCTTAAGTCTCCTTCAGGGATATACAGTGCCCCTTTGTAATACAAAGCTCCATTTCTTTCCTCGAAACCCCCTGGTTCCTCTCCCTCACCCCTAAGACCTCTGAGCTTATTCTGGGCGTATTCATCATTCTCTGTTTCCTCTACCAGTTCTCTTTGTCCCACCAATGCCGCCCCACACACCCAGCGGTCCTCTGGAATGACATGTCTCTCTTCGGGTGCTCCCTCCCCCTCCAAATATTCAGGTTTGCGTGAGAGAGCGTCCGCCCTAATGTTCTCTGGGCCTGGCACGTAACCAATCTCAAAGTTAAATTTGGAGAACTCCTGGGCCCATCTCACTTGCCGTTGGTTGAGCACTCGTGCCGTCCTCCAATACTCTAGGTTCTTGTGGTCAGTGCACACTTGCACCTTATGTTGTGCGCCAATTAGCAGGTGCCTCCATCTCCGGAACGCCTCATGAATGGCTAGTAGTTCTCGGTCATACACCGTGTAGTTCCTCTCGGATTTGTTCAGCTTTCGCGGAAAAAAAGCACACGGTCTCCACTCTGACTCCTCCTTCCCTGGCTGCAGAAGCACCGCCCCAATCGCTCTGTCTGATGCGTCAGTTTCCAGGGCATATTGCATCTCTGTCCGAAAGCCATGATAGTCTTTGGGCTCCCCCCCACACTTCTGCACCAAGCCTGGTACCTTGCTGGCGAGCTGGGTGGCTTTCCCCTTCTTGTCTGCATCCTGAGCCCTCCTCTCCTCCAGCCTCGCCGTCTGCAGCGCTAGCTGGACCTCCAACACCCGGTACCTTTCTTCCAGGCTTGGACCCGCTCCAGCTCCTGCTTCTCCGGTTCCGGCTGGGTTGCTCATGATGCCTTCTCCTGCACAAGCTGCTTTCAAAGACTGTCGGAATGCTGTGATGGGATGAGGAGCTGCTTGTGCGTAAAATAGTATCCCCTCAGAGTTTGTTCAAGTCCACAAACCTCTGTCTGTGTGGAGCCCCTCAGACATGGCTCCTCTAGTCACTAGCAGATTCCGACAGTGGTTGCTTTCGGAATCGCTTCCAACATAAAAGCTCCTTAACGGAAACACGTCTTCAAACACAGTGAAACCAAAGTGACATAAGGGTGCCCTGAGGCATATTGATAACTACAAGCCTTGCATTCATTCATTCATTCATTCATTTATGAATGGATGGGTGGATGAATGGACCAGGCAGATGCAAAGCAAGTGGCTTATATGGGTGGGAGATAGGGGGCAGGAGACATTTGTGAGGCCAATGGGCTCTAATGGGGCAACAGCCCACTGTCCTAAAAGAAAATCTCTCCATTGTCTATTATTCAGAGTAAAAGCAGTAAGGCTGCAGTCCGTTGCACACTTGCAAGTTAGTACAATTGAATTTAGTGGGATTTATAAGTAAACATGTACAGGTTTAGTCTGAGCACAATTTTGTGCTCTTTTAAAGTCCCTCAAACACACAGAAAATAATAAAATTGCTTGTATGTATTTGTATATTTCCTCCCCAGGCACTTCTAGATTTTTGTGAGTCTTACGGCTTAATATGCACTAAGCCTACAGTGTGGGTCTTGCACTACCTCAACACTTCTGGTGCAAGTTGTGAGAGTAGAATAATGGGTGTGTATGCCACAAGAGCCGATGGAGAAGCAGCAATTGAAAAGGAGCTGGGAGGAAGAATACACAGCAAAAATATTTACAAGAGGTAAGAAGCTTTATAGTCATGTGATTACATCAAAGTGTGCTTGTAAAATTCTGCTGAGAATCTTGTACAGTCAAATCTCTGTTGTCAAAACGTAATCTGTTCCGGAAGCCTGTTTGGCTTCCGAAATGCTCAAGAACTGAGGCGCGGCATCCAATTGGCTGCAGGAGCTTCCTGCACTCAAGCGGAAGCCACGTCAAGCGTTCGGCTTCCGAAAAACGTTCAAAAACCGGAACACTTCAGGAGCTGAAACGTTTTAAAATGGAGGCGTTTGGAAACCGAGGTTTGACTGTATCTACTTTAGAGATGGCACTATCAGATGTGTAAAGACATGCACATCTCTTCCATGCCTAGGGAGTTTAAAGCGATGCTTAGTTACACAAATTTCCTTCATTATATTAATATTGGTGGATTACTGTTAAATACTTTGGGCCCCAATTTATCATAAACAAAAGCAAAGGCTGGAACATCTAAATGCTTCTCCAGATATAAACAAATAATAGTCAACCTGAATGTGGGAAACACTAGACTTGCTAGAATATTCATAAGACAATACTCAAAAGAGTTGTTTTTGAGTATCAGAAGAAGTCAGCGGTACCTGTTGTTTACATTTTGTGTATTTTTTCCCTAGACAGTTAGGTGAGAGTGTTGCTTTAACTTTGGTGCAGAGAAAGCAAGAAAAGGAGAAGCTTACAATCTGCAAACCATTTGATCAGGAGTCTTGTTTAAAGCCAGTTGCTGCGAGACGTTGTCCAAATGGCAACACTGAAGCTTGATGGACCCATTAAGACTAACCTTAGTGCCATTGGTTGAGTGATTCAATAATTGCTGTGAATGTTCCCATTTGTTGTGGGGAAAAGTTGTTATTAGCATTTCATAAATTTGCATACCACCATTCATCAGAAGATCCCAGGGCAGTTAATAACATAAAAATGCAACATGGGAACACATAATAAAACAAAGTGAACCAATAACTCCCTCTCTCAAAAGCACATTTAAAAGGCCATTGAATGTTTATCACCGAAAGGCTTCACTTGGCACCTCAAGATGTGTAATGAAGTTGCCAGGCAAGCCTCTCTGGGAAGAGCATTCCACAAATGGGCAGTCACCACAGAAATGGAAACCATTTACAGTTGTGAGATTGAAACTCAAATGAATTGTGGTTTTTGACAATGAAGGTATATTACAAAATTGGGAAAACTGTGTTTTTATGCCATCAGTTTTAAACATACTTTGCTTTTAGACTTTAAGCAATTTATTATTATTATTATTCAGCTTGTAAAGCAGCGTAATTTCCCCTATTTTCCTACATTTTTTTCTCCAGGAAAGCCGGAAACAACGTCCAATATATCTGGAGCTATTATTCAGGGTCTGAATTGGAGAAGATGATGGATGCATTTGAGGCTTGGGAAGGGAGAGGTATCTCATGTTTCTGATAGTATTTTCCGTAAAGAATAAATGTTTTATCCTGCAACTGTTTGTCCTGAAATAGTGTCGATTTGTGAAGGGCAGGCAGGCTATATTTCCAACTATCCTTTAATAAGGAAAGGGAATAATTGAATTGGCGGTGTTTGGTGGGGAAACCTTGGCAGAATCCAAGTTATGGATGTATTTATCTATTTAAAAGTCTGTGCTTTCATACACTGGTCCTATTGAGCTCTAAAAACAGCCAATTTATTTTGCATTGCAGTTGTGCACTGCTTTAAGTTTTAAGATTTAAGTTTACAGACATGCTTGTGGAATATCAGTGGAAGATCTCTTCTGGTGGTTGTTTGTTTTTTATTAACCTAGGAGAAAATTTGTAGACATCTGACTCTTAGCCTAGATAAATTCATGTTTCTTGGACATTAATGTCACTTGGCTTCAAATACTTGCCCACTACTTTGATTAATAATGCCGAAGGCAAATGTGAAATACATGGAAGTATCAGATATTTTGGGAGAGCTTTCAGCCTTCTGTACATGATGTATGTTAGTTTAAATTTGAGTGTTCGCTCTGTCTGAAGAAGAGACCTGTGAGTTCTGAACGCTTGCACATTCTTAAAAGCAGGATTTAGTCCACCGAGTATCACATTCTCCCTCCCCTCTCTTTTCTGGAACCAACATGACACCACTATATCAGACAGTTTTTTGAGAGAAGGAAAAAAGACTGTAAATAAAACATTTAGCTCTTTAATTAGGAAAAAAATGATTCAGGGTGGGAGTACATTGCGCCAAGTTCCCCAAAGAAAGCATTATAGTTGAGCACTCGGGAGATATATGGTGTCTGAAAGAGTTGCCTGATTGCGTATCATTGGGCTTATACATTTGACAGAAACATCTTGAATATTGTATTAAAATTGCATTTGAAATTACAGGTGTCAGTTATTGGCGAGTCCCGCAGGAACTGATAGAATGTTGGACTCTTGAGGAACGCCCTTTGAAAGGAAGTCTCCAAAGCATGCCTCCAATTCATAGACGGTACGTCTTACTAATCATGCTTCGTTTTCTCGAAGAATGCTTCATATGGAACAGGGACTATTTCAAAAATAGCGTTATCTCCACGTTAATCTTTGTGCATCCCCTTGTTATAAGGGTGTAAAATCAAAAGATGATGTAGGAAGGTTTCATGTAAAGTTTGTTAATTGTAAGTGTATTACACAAGCTGGTATAATGCTAATTACATAACTAAATGTAACAAAACTATAATTGTACACATTTTAAGGACTGCCTCTGCAAACGCATACCCTAAAACAGGAAAATATATAATTGTAAGTTACGCATTCCACAGATATCTGTGTGGTGGGCCTCTCGCTGTATATTACAAAGCCAGCCATTAGCCCATTTCATAAAAATTTAATCAGGAGCATAAGACTCAGTACTTAGAAATATCCTGCAATCCATATTAGATAATAAAAGAATATGATTTCCCTGTTATTTGTGTTGAATCCAACTGGTTCATTCCAGTATGTTGGCCTGGTTATTTTTGGCTGAATATACATGTATTTGTATACTTGTTTTATACTTGTATATTTTTCCTTGCTCTGGGTAAGTCCAATATAAAAAATAAATTTGAATGCATACACCTACTGCAGTTTTAAACAGATCCTGGAATATGAAATATTGTATCCAGAGGTGAATGTAGGAAGCACCCTTAGTTGCATCTGAGTTATGATCTGTGCATAATTTCCCAAAGCAATAGAGTCAGTAATTTTATTCTCCGTGCTTACAGACAATTAACAGATCTTTCTGAAGAAGAAGGTCACTCGAGCAGTAGAACAGGCCGAAAGCCAATTCAGTTTTCTGGTCCGTCAACAAGTACTCGCATCACAATTAAGAATTCTGCTTTTGTAAATGTAGCAGTACGCCCTACATCTTGCCGTTCACAGAAGACTCTCAAGCGACCTAGCAGAGACAGTTCGTTGCTGTGCAAAGACGTACCAAAACCCACACCATTGACTAAAAATTCTCAAGAATCCGTTAGGAGCACTGAAAATGGGGCAGACTGTCACAGGACGCTAAAGGCCCCGTTCTCGAAGAAGCCTACAACCAGCCGTGCAGTAAAACTCAAGCGGACTCCGCTCTGTAACGACCGGTTAACTCAACACACTTCCCAGGTACTGAGTACGGTAGCTGAGCACCAAGTTCCATCTGTTGCAGTTGGCTCCACTCCTGCTTCCCAAAACTTAGGCCAGGAGGAATTTGGACACTCCGAGGAAAACGCTACCGCTAAGAATCATTTACAGGAAGACCAACTGAACGATGTGGCATGAATTTTATATATATGGTGTTATCCGTCATGATCTGCTAGAGACAAAATTCTGATCTTTTGGGAGTCCTAATAAATGTGACACATTTGGGAGGGGGGAACATTCACATTTATAATCAGATTTATAATGGTTTTTCTCTTTGTGTGGCGAAAGAGGCATATGGATGTTTGTTTAGAAATATTATATGCTTTTTGCCGTTCACTCATTACATTATATAAATAAAATTTGAGCTGCTCAGTCATTCTAGAATAGAGATTGTGCCAGGCTTTGTGTACACTTCATCCCTTTTTTTCTAAACCCCCAATTTTCCCATTCCATATAATTTTTGTGTGACTTATTCTGCATCTCTTTCCATTTTGTGTAACTTATTCTACTTCTGCTCCTCCTGAACAGCATCAAGGGCCTACAGAGGTCAGTAAAAACTCTGTGTCCCCCCCGGAATTTTGTACTCCACAATTCCTCTAGTTTCTCAGCAGGCATTGTCCACATTTTTTCAAGCGCATCTTTGTAGCTGTTTGGGCTATATGGCATACCTTATAATCTGCACCACGGGATCTTTCAGTAGACCTTGAAAATTAGGCTACATTTTGAGAACGAGCCTTGAGCTTGCAAACTGTCCCCCTTCTTTGGCACAACTAAGAGGAGACTGGAAACTCTCTGCTTGTATGTGAGTGTCTTTTGAACTGTAGCTAATGTTAGCTAGGCTTGGTTGAAACATGCCAATTCCATAAACTTGGATTTGAAATTGGGTCCATAGTTACAATGAACTAGTGTGCCTGTGCTTGAAGAGCATGACCAGTTGTAGTTAATATAAAACAGAAGTGAGATTTTCAGAGTATAGTCATACCTCGAGTTGCGTTTGCTCCATGATACGTTTTTTCAGGTTGCGTCCTGCGGCGACACGGAAGTACCGGAAAGGGTTACTTCCGGGTTTCGCCGCTCGCGCATGCGCAGACGCGGGTTGTGTTCTGCTCATGTTGCGAACGGGACTCCAGAACGGATCCCGTTCGCAACCAGAGGTACTACTGCATTTAGGCATGTGTCAGAAGAGGAAGAAGGAATGCGTCGGCCCAGGGCTTGGTGTAGCTTGTATTTGTAATACTAAGTTATGACCAATGTTTTGGTGTAGATTAGGAGCTCAGAGCTATGAACCATGGTGTCTGGTTTGAATTCCCACTCTTCTCTCATCCTTAGTACTCCACCTGCGATACGGGGATAATAATGTAGCCATTCCTTGCAAGTTCAACGTGTAAAGATTATTGACAAATCAGAAGCTGCTACATTATTAAAATCAACTTAAACTTTTGTGCCATGAATTCTGGTTTGAAATCAGTGCATTCCGTCAGATGAGAGCGTGCCTGCTGGATTATTTTATTTTATTTTAAAAAAATCTGTGTTAAGAAAACTCTTGTCTACAGTAGCAGGAGAAATCAACTTTCACAAATTGGAAAATGCTGAACCCTGGCAATGTGATGAATGTGATTCAATTTTTATTGTGCCATTAACTTGATTGAGAGTAGCTCATCAGTCTTCTAGTGCTTAGTGTTTGATTTGAATTGAGTGCTCTGACCTCATTTGGAACATTAAAATCGTTTTAAATGGATCTTATTAATGATAATACTTTTGTCAATGACGACACAAGAAACATGTTTCTGCAAAGCTTGGTAAAAAAAAAAACTTTACAAAAGCGATAAACTTATGTTAACTAAAAGAGATCATTAACTAAAAGAAATCAAGAGTTGTAGAACAAAGCTTTGTCCTTTGTTTTATTTATTAAATTTATTGCCTTTCCTCCCCAAAGAACTTTTAGGCCTGCTAATATATTGGGTGGGCTGTGTTCTTTCCGCTATAATACTTTTATAAGTACTGCTACATTTCATATAATCTATAATATGACTTTAGTTAATGATTATTTGCATTCTGAGCCTAAAATGACATTTTAAAAAATACCGTTTATACCTAGAGGTGGCAGTAGAGCTGGATAGGTAAGGAAAAAGAACACAGGATACCCAGTCAAAGTTGACTTCTCTTTCTAGTCTCTTATATGAGAAACACTGTAGAGTTATCCTGCCCCCCCACTTGAGAGGATGGCAATACAAGGAGTCCAGATGTAAAATTCAGTATGACAAAATCATTTGCATGTGACAGAGCATGGGTTAGTCAGCCTGTTAACTGTCCTTAGGAGATGCCGTTCATATGGCTTTCATTAAAATAGCTGTAGGGTGGAATGTGATAACGAATGATAATTTCATATGACAAGCACATGATTGTTTTAGAATCCATAGCATGACTTTTTTAACAATGAATCTGGGGAGATGGAAAGCTGTCATAAATTAAGTGAAAACATAATGTTAAGAATTTGTCGGATGCTCCAAAGGGAGGGAATGTGGGGGTGTCTTTATTGAATCTTTCCTGCTTGCCATTTTGGACTTACCCCCTGACTATCATTTGGAACTTGGAAGGGTCAGTAGATCTCCTCTTCCTAAGCAAGGCCATTTGCTTCCCAACCAAGGAAGACATTCCCTGTCGTGCAAGGCAGAAAAAGAATAACACTCAGATTTTATTTCCAGATCTAATAAAAGTGGTTGATTGATGACAAGACTTTTCAGGAGTTTGTCAAATGGCATGCGCTCAGTACTTCCATGGTACTTCCCAGTGCCGTAGCGTGGGTTGTCAGCACCCGGGGCAAGGCAAGTAATTTGCGTCCCCTAACCCGTGGATTTTAGCACTTGAGTCTCTTCCACCAGATTAGCGTGCCCCCCCCCTCAGATGTTGCGGCCGGCCCCCCCTGCACCCCCCACGCTACGCCACTGGTACTTCCAGTCTCTTGACACATGGACCAATGATGGCAGAGCATTTCTCAGCAAGCTTGGATCCACTACAGCCATAGCCGACGAAGAACACTGCAGCATGTTGAATTTCCTCTAATTGGTGACTGCTCATTATTAACTTCATGACTACAGTGTTCCACCCCTGTCTCCTTCCATTACCACTTGCTGTCTTTATGGCAAGTTGTTGCTGGGTTATTTTTTCAGTGATTGTGATAAAGCTTGGGTGAGTATGTTACTCCAACAAATGGAGGCAGATGTAGAAGCTTAAAAAATGGAAAACGGAAATTGCCTTCATTTCAGAGGCTCATGTTCCAAAGGTGGGTGCGGAATAGTGCAACACCTTTTCTAGTGACAGTACCTCCTCTCCCTGCTCCACCCCCAAAAAAAAATATTCTCAGCTGAATGAAGAGGATTTAGGGAAGAAGAGGAATCTCACTTTGCATTAGGATTTTAAAAGGTAAAAAGCAGGATGACTTGGGAAGGAAGCATGGAAAGCTACAAAAACTAACTGGTTACTAATGCAGGCCAACATTTGTGGACCCCTGTCATCGAACAGTGAGCCTGACATCTTCCTTTTCATCATTAGGAATGACTGATTTGGGGAAAAGGTAATAAGGTAACAACAGAATCCAGATGGTTTGTTGTTGCAAAATAAAACACTGCATTTTGTAAAATTGTTTTGTTTTTTTTTTAATAAAAAGGGGAATAATTTTTCTGAAGTACAGTCTTGGGCTATTTAAAGCTGTGAGCTTGTTTTAAAATATAAGCCTGGGATTTTGCATGTGCTCAGCTATGATATACATGGTATCCTGTCAGATTTGCAAGACACACAGGCCATAATTCAACAATCAATTGTATAGGATGAAACCCAAAGAAATCAAGTGCATTCAACTCCGTACAGGTTTGTGGCCAATAGTGCTTAAATAAGGAAGGGATGTCTACAGCGATGAACAAGAAAATAAAAGAATCTCAGACTGAAACATGTCTGATTTTTAGTCTGCAAAGATAATTGAAAAGGATTTAAGAAGCTGGAAAACTTACTCTTACTTTTTCAGTTCAAAATTTATATCTTACCCAATCTTGTACAAGTGGCACAGCACAGAAAAATATTAATATGCCGTTTGTTAGCTAGTATTTGGGACTCATCTTGACAATCATTCGGGCTATAAAAACTCAGTTACATCAAACTGAACCATGAGGTTCGTTCTGCACAAACAATTTGGGGTCCATATAAAATGGAAATAGTTAAGACCAATTTTATATGAACACAAGTATCTTGTTTGCAGACCAACAATAGGAATGCCAGGATTACCCTAATACCAACCTTTTGGACAGTAACAAACACATTATCTATATTGACATCCTCCTGCCATTTATTTTTAACAACAATTTCATTGTTTTACTAGGCACTGGCTAGCTAAAAGCTGCATTGTTATGAGAAAAAACAATATCGAGTATATTGAGCAAAGCCTTTATAGTATGAAATGAGATACAGTGGTGCCCCGCAAGACGAATGCCTCGCAAGACGGATATCCCGCTAGACGAAAGGGTTTTCCGTTTTGGAGGTGCTTCGCAAAACGAATTTCCTATGTGCTTGCTTTGCAAGACGAAAATGTCTTGCGAGTTCCTGCGGGGTTTTTTTCCTCCCCCCCCTTTTCCCCAAGCCGCTAAACCGCTTATCAGCTGATCGGCTAAGCCGCTTAACAGCTGATCGCTAAGCCGCTTATCAGCTGATCGTTAAGCCGCTTAACAGCTGAACGCTAAGCCGCTTATCAGCTGATCCGCTAAGCCGCTAATACTGTAGCGCTAATCCGCTAATGGGCTTGCTTCGCAAGACGAAAAAACCCGCAATACGAAGAGACTCGCGGAACGGATTCTTTTCGTCTTGCGAGGCACCACTGTATGGCAGATTACTGTGGTTTAGAAAACCCCCAGTAAGTTTGGTTTACCACAATTGTAGTATTCTACACAAGCTTTTTTTTGTGTGTGTATAGTATTTGGAATAAAAAGAAAGCACCTTTAGTGAGAAACATAAATATGAAAATGCATTACATTTGCTAGTCGTCTGTCTTTCCAGTCCTCATGCCACCAGTGTCACAGCTGGCACTGAAAGGACAGGGGCCTCTGTGGAGGTTTCTATTCTTGCAGGACGTAAGTTGCACTGGGAAACCCTTGTAATATTGCTGCATAAAGGCTTGGGCTCTGTGGGGCCTGGCACAGGATGCTTTCGTCTTGTTTTCTCTGGATATGTTAGAGTTTCCATGCTTTTTGCTGCTGCAGAATGATCTTGGGTTTTAAAAGTGCCTTTGTTTTTTGACCGGAAACTATTATGGTGCTGTCTTCTGTATTCCTGTCGGGAGCTGCCTTTCGTGCTGTCCTGATCTGACTCGTTAATGGCACTTGGAGACTTAAGCGGTCCATTGAGCCGAATTCCATGATACTGCGTGTGAAATCTCCGCCTGTGGCTAGAAGCTGCATTCTGTCAAGGAACAAAAGGAAGGGTTATGGCAATGGTGGATTTTGGGCTCTCAAGCTCCAGCGATGCCCTGTGCAATGCTAAAATATGGCGTGCGGTTCCCCCTCCTCCTTGTGCTCCATTCTACAGCAATGTTGTGGCACCCCCTGCAGCACGGACACACCAGTTGCGCTTTTTAAAAACGTCTCTGCCAGTGGATGTGATTGCATCTTTCCTGTGGCCATTTTTGGTGAAAGCTGAATAGAATCATTCTCATTATACCTGTATACCTGAAGGAGCATCTCCAACCCCATCGTTCAGCCCGGACACAGAGAGCCAGCTCCAAGGGCCTTCTGGCGGTTCCCTCCCTGTGAGAACTGAGGTTACAGGGAAGCAGGCAGAGGGCCTTCTCGGTAGTGGCGCCAGCCCTGTGGAACGCCCTCCCATCAGATGTCAAGGAAATAAACAACTATCTGACTTTTAGAAGACATCTGAAGGCAGCCCGGTTTAGGGAAGTTTTTTATGTCTGATCTTTTATCGTGTTTTTAATATTTTTTAATATTCAACCAGATGGGCAGGGTATAAATAATAAATTATTATTATTAATAATATTATTACACCTCCACGCATACTTATTAAACATAAAGTTTGGGATCAAGACCATTGCTGGCCACTGTGGCCTGTGTGCAATTAAACATGGGCAGGCTGGAAGAAGAGCACTGTGGCGTTTGGGTGTCTGACGCTTTCTCGCTGCCTCCGCATCAAAACAAAGAGGAGATTGGAGAACAACAAAGGAGACACTGCAGGAGACACTCAGAGAGGACAGGAATGTTACTGGCAGAACCAAGAAGGAGGGATGCCTGAGATTCAGTTGGTGAGTTGTGGCAAGAAGGGAATAAGGAGTTCCTAAGGAGGCCTGAGAATTAGTGTGAAAGCCTCTTCATTGTGTGCTTATAGTGTGCTTATAATTTTCTGGAGGACCTATTTGTTGAGCTGACTACTAGACCATGTTGAAAGGGATAAAGAGCTGCCATGCCTTCTCCAAAGTGTTTGGTTAGTGCTTTCCTATTCACCATGAACCATATCTTCCCAGGTACTTTTGACCGTGGAACAACAACAGCAATGACAACAACAACATTACAAGGTCCTTTCTCTGAAATAATCAAGAGTACAATTTGCAATCTTAAAAAGCAGAGACATCACCTTGCCAACAAAGGTCCGTATAGTTAAAGCTATGGTTTTCCCAGTAGTGATGTATGGAAGTGAGAGCTGGACCATAAAGAAGGCTGATCGCCGAAGAATTGATGCTTTTGAATTATGGTGCTGGAGGAGACTCTTGAGAGTCGCATGGACTGCAAGAAGATTGAACCGATCCATTCTTCAGGAAATCAGCCCTGAATGCTCACTGGAAGGACAGATCCTGAAGCTGAGGCTCCAATACTTTGGCCACCTCATGAGAAGAGAAGACTCCCTGGAAAAGACCCTGATGTTGAGAAAGACGGAGGGCACAAGGAGAAGGGGATGACAGAGGATGAGATGGATGGACAGTGTTCTCGAAGCTACCAGCATGAGTTTGACCAAAGTGCGGGAGGCAGTGGAAGACAGGAGTGCCTGGCGTGCTCTGGTCCATGGGGTCACGAAGAGTCGGACACGACTAAACAACAACAATTTGCAAAACGAAATCAAATTAATTCTAGTCGGTGTTGTGCTGCAGGAACAGGAGAGTGTTTCTAGGTAAGGTAAAAATAAAAAAGGTAAAGGACCCCTGGATGGTTAAGTCCAGTCAAAGGCGACAATGGGGTTGCAGTGCTCATCTCACTTTCAGGCCAAGGGAGCCAGCATTTGTCCACGGACAGCTTCCAGGTCATGTGGCCAGCATGACTAAACTGCTTCTGGCACAACAGAACACCATGATGGAAACCAGAGGGCACGGAAATGCAGGGATTCGAACCACTGACCTTCTGATCAGCAAGCCCAAGAGACTCAGTGGTTTAGACCACAACGCCACCCACATCCCTGTTGTTGAGAAACTGTGTACGTGCAGCTACTCACACAGAGTCAATTAAGGTCTGGCAGACAGCCAGAAGGCAATGTGAAGGAGTTAGTCTGCCTGGTGATAATAGAGACATGGCGACAGCTCCCTGATTGGTCAAGCTCTCTCAAAGGAGTGATAAGTAATGGCCTACTAACTGGTAGTTCAGAGTTTGGAGTTCGTGAGTTCAGAGTTCTGTGTCAGTATAGGAGTTGTGAGTCGTGTCAGAGAGAGCTAGCATAAGATCCGTGTTCTGTTCCTGTAAATAGTCCACTGTATATAATAAACACCTAACTACAAGTTCCTGGTTCCTGCTTCGTCTATCCTGTCTGCAGCCAAGTTGCCAATTGCTTCTGTGGATTCTGCATGTACTCTGCTAGGTCTGGCTAAGGTCCTGCAACTAGTCAGAAAGTTGCGAAACACCAAATAGGTTTTACCAATACCTGTTTCTGCCCAGTGCAGGACTGATAATGTGAAAGTAGGAGATAGCTTGATATTACTGAGTTTCTGATTCCAGGAAAGCTAAGGGCAGTGGATAATAAATTACAAACTTTGAGAAACGCTTTGGTCTTTTCTTAAAACAAAATCAAGATACGAGATATTGGTAGGGATTGAAAGCCACTATTATTTTCTGTACCTTACCTGTTTGTTTGTTGAAATGGTCTGAGGAGAGGAATCTGTGGTGTTTGTGCTAACTTGGCTGGAGACTTTAGGTGTTGCTGCTTTGCCATCAGGAGTCTTGGCACGAATTCGATTTGAAGATTTTTGGATGTATGTGCTTGGTATGGTGGTTGCTGTGCGCAAAGATGTTGACTGCAGCAGTGGGCCGGATGGTGTTCTTGAGGAGTAATTGTTCTTTGGGTGAGAAACTACAAGAAAGAAAAATGCCCAACACTCACAATCACAAAAGAGAGCTTTTGGTTCCAAAATGGCAACAGTTTAACTGAGGGCAGAAAGGAGTCTGTTTTTTGTTGCTGTGTGCTGTGATTTGGCAACCAACAGTCATCAAAGATAATAAAAATAATATTCCGAGTAAAGTTTTGGATATGTTTAAATACAACACTTAAAACCATATTAACTGTGCTTTATCAATTCCAATTGGATACTTCAGCACAGATATTATCATGGCCCACTTTTAAATGTTTTGTTTCTTAAATATAAGCCAAGTAAGTCAGATCTCAATCAATTTAGGGAATTTATTTCAGGAAAACAGTAGTGAGTGACATCTGCTGGCCCTCAGACTTAATTTTTACCATATATTCCTCTGTTCAGTTTCATTTGGACTTAAATACAAGTTCATATTCTTTTGGGTTATTTAGGCATGCTGTTTACCAGCCTCTGTAATAGGTACACTGCACAGAATAAAAGAACAGCTGGATTCCTTCAATCCTATTTTCAAATTATCCAATCCGTTTTAGAAGCAGTTCATCTGGTCATTTTCTACCTTGCCAAGTGACCAGCCATCAAGGCAGAAGCTTGTGAATGCCTATTTTGCTCAAAGGTGGGATAGTTGAATGAGGAAAAGATTATAGTGCACACAATACTTTGCCCACCTAGCTTCCCAAGAAGAAATGCAGTCAGAAAGGTACAAGCTGTACAAGGGAATCAACAATCTACACAAGGCTTTGTCAGAGGCACCATGACTTACGCTCTCCGCACTGCAGAATCTCAGTCTTCAGCTGTTCTATGTCACAGGAAAAGCGGGCAGATCTTCCCAATTCTTCATCATATTTACGTTCGCTTACAAAGTGCTGCAAGGTAGGGGGAGGGATGACTTAAGTTATAAACTGCACCAGGTAATAAAGGAGATGTGAAAGAAGCCTGCCCAATACAAAATAATTTTAAAGCCTCATTTGCTGAATCTCAAGCCTTTTGGAGAGCAGCACACTCTAGTCTTAAAGCGTCGGGGTACATTTTAGGTTTTGTGAAATGTCCCCACACCTATGGATGCGTCACGAAAAGACGAACACCCTTCCATCTCATGACCTGGGAAATGCTTTTCAGTTGTTAAAAGAAAAAAAGTGGATTGAAGGCAGGGCCGGATTTAGGTTTGATGAGGCCCTAAGCTACTGAAGGTAATGGGGCCCTTTATATGTGATATTTTAGGGAGCAGGTGAGCAGGCGCGGCCCATTACTTACATCATAGGAGCCTACACAACACAAAACACTGTTGCTGTATGTAGGTTTTATTTTATTTGTTTTTTATCTTATATTTTGGAAATGTACATTCAGGTTTTTTCTCCTTTAAATATTTTTGGGGCCCCCAAGAGAGTGGGGCCCTAAGCTATAGCTTGTTTAGCTTATACGTAAATCCGGCATTGATTGAAGGATGATCCTGTGCTCTAGCGCAGAGGAGGTTGAGCACAAACCTCAAAAGAATATCCAAAACTTTCGCAACACTGGGAGGGAAACTATGAATGGCGTTTTTTGTTGTTGCTCAACGCTAATGTATTCACAAGCAATGTCCAATGTCTGTGATGGTCATGCAATCCCACCCTACATGCCTTGTTTTGATTAGCACTCCATGCTCATACACACATCAAAATGTGTGCATCTCTCTATATCTATATCCATATCCACATCCACATACATTTCAATAGCCAGAATAATAACAATGCTAACTCCAATAGGTAATCTGTAAACAGCAGCATAGGGACGCGGGTGGCGCTGTGGGTTAAACCACAGAGCCTAGGACTTGCCGATCAGAAGGTCGGCGGTTTGAAACCCCGCGACAGGGTGAGCTCCCATTGCTCGGTCCCTGCTCCTGCCAACCTAGCAGTTCGAAAGCACGTCAAAGTGCAAGTAGATAAATAGGTACCGCTCCGGCGGGAAGGTAAACGGCGTTTCCGTGCGCTGCTCTGATTCGCCAGAAGTGGCTTAGTTATGCTGGCCACATGACCCAGAAGCTGTACGCCAGCTCCCTTGGCCAGTAAAGCGAGATGAGCGCTGCAACCCCAGAGTTGGTCACGACTGGACCTAATGGTCAGGGGTCCCTTTACCGTTACCTAAACAGCAGCACAGATGCATAATTGGGGACAGATACATAATTGGGGACAGAGGCATAATCGAGGTAGGGAATGAAACAAAATGTTAAGAACTGCAGCAGAGTTACTGCAGTACATGCATGGTTCAGGGAATATTTCTCTAAGGGCAAAAGACCAGAAGGAAGAGTTTAAATCTTGCTTTTACTGTCTCTGGGTTCAATAGAGACCAACCTTTTAATTTCATGACATTAAGTGAAATTCATGGATGCTTTAGATGAGTTCCCTGCATTGCAGGGGGTTGGACTTGACTCTTGGGAAGTCTATGATTCTATGGCCTACCTAGGAAGTCAGATCTGCACTTTGTTTTGAAAAAAACCCCAACCCTGTATTTGAGGAATGAATTATTGTGTGTCTGGTTCGTACGCTACAGGAAAGGAGGCACGGACAACCTCAAAAGAAATGGCCACACAGACTAACCTTAATTTCAGCCCTCAGTTCAGCCAACTGAGACTCTGCCATTTGGCTAGCCAAATCTGTTAACCTCTTCAATTCTTCAGCTTTTTTCTGACGAGCGGTTAAGATTTCCACTGCCAAACAAGAAGGTGATGCCAACAAAAGTTTAACGTGCGTTTAATGTCAGAACAGGAATTGTACCTTGCCTGCAGGCCAGATCCACAATCTCTGCACCCTTCACAGGCCAACTTTGACAGGCTGGTGGGAGTGCCCACTTCTCGGCCACTTGCTTTCCTTGTGGCACCTGCAGCACCTGGCAGTTCTTGAAAAAGCTCTCCTGGAGGCAACAACACTCTCAGGAAAAACCTGAGATGTGGTGTGAGCAAGGTTGCCCAAATCCACTTGTGTGAGACTGGGTGCAATCTTACGCAAAGAGGTGTGCAAGACAACCCTGGCGCTGAACACTACAAATCCCACTGTGACCCCTGCCCTCCCTGCCCATGCCTTTGGCTTGTAAGAATTCACCCAATTCCATTAAAGCCTACTTTCATAGTTAGAAACTTGCTTTTTTGGAGAGGGGGGTGGTTAACATTTCAAACCTTACTCTCAATCCAAAAACCATGTGTAGCCTTATTGTTGAAGGCACAGCAACCCTCATTACTCTTAAAAGTGCAATTTCAGGCCAGAACATCTGGCACAAAACCTAGGTGCAATTCTACCTGCAATCCAAAAACTTTATGTGGTGAAACACACAATGCCGCTTCTGAACAGATGAATGATTGTTTTTATTTCTGCAAAAGCAGCTATAAACACCCCTTCCCAATTGTTTCAAAGCATACAATATTCCCATTTACTTTCATCTTTACTTACTGGCTTCCTCTTTAACTTTGTCAACTTCTGCCATTAAAGAGACTTCTTTGTCTATGATGCTGAAAATTAAAAACATGAGATTTAAAATAATTATATTCTTTCGAAGGACATACGGACAGTACCTTGGCAGTTTGGGCATATATTATAAGCAATTTCTGGGAAGATATAAAGCATGGGCAAATTTCTGAGTGCCGTGATAGTAATTCATCATATGTCGCTACTTTATTAAATTCAAGCCTGTGCAATTTATCTTAAGAGAATTACTTGGCTGTTACCAACAGAACGCAGTGATTACAAATGCCACAATTTGGCTAGTGGTGATGGTATTTTGCCCCAGGTTTCCCATGCAAGTCCTACATATATCAACTCAGAAGCAAGCATCACTGAACACACAGGAAAGTGTGCCCAGGACTGCAGCCTTACAAAACAAGCTACAGTCACATCATGCCAGGACTGGTTATATTTTGCTGCTATGGCTGCTGTAACCAATGTGTGGTTAGCTCAGAGGGAGGGGATACTGATACGGCCTGGTGTGTGTGTGTTTCTGCATTAAACCCTGAGAATCATTCCATCTAAAGGAGGGATATAAATCATCATAAACATAGTCATCTTTGACTGGACTTAACAACCCAGGGGTCCTTTATCTTTACCTGTCCATTTTAACCAGCTCCTTCCCCTAATAAATATTTTAAGAATGCCTAAAATGACAAACCTTGACAGCATCTTAAAAAGTAGAGACATCGCCTTGCCAACAAAGGTCCGTATAGTAAAAGCTATGGTTTTCCCAGTAGTGATGTATGGAAGTGAGAGCTGGACCATAAAGAAGGCTGATTGCCAAAGAATTGATGCTTTTGAATTATGGTGCTGGAGGAGACTCTTGAGAGTCCCATGGACTGCAAGAAGAACAAACCTGTCCATTCTTAAGAAAATCAGCCCTGAGTGCTCACTGGAAGGACAGATCCTGAAGCTGAGGCTCCAATACTTTGGCCACCTCATGAGAAGAGAAGACTCCCTGGAAAAGACCCTGATGTTGGGAAAGATGGAGGGCACAAGGAGAAGGGGATGACAGAGGACGAGATGGCTGGACAGTGTTCTCGAAGCTACCAGCATGAGTTTGACCAAACTGCGGGAGGCAGTGAAAGACAGAAGTGCCTGGCATGCTCTGGTCCATGGGGTCACGAAGAGTCGGACATGACTAAATGACTAAACAACAACAACAAAAAATGTCACAAAAGGGCACATCACAAAAGGAGGTGTTCCGAATAGGTGTAGGAAACAGTCTCATTAAACATAGCGCAGCCCCCAAGGCATTTTGACAAAAGATGTTCCTCCTGGGCAGAATCTTAGAAGTCTTCTCTTGTAAAGGAGCAACAGATTTGAGCTCCTGCAGTGCTTTCATGTCTTGGTAGTTGAAGAACATTTCTACTCATGGGGCTCTACAACCCCAACGTGGAATGTGCAATATAGAGCGGCCTATCCAGACAGTAAGGCAGTTCATTCTACCCTGCATACGCGTTTGCTTCTGTCCTTCTATTTCAGCAATGCTGTTCTATTCCCACACCCCTTTGCTTTTTTGAGAATCTGCAAAACTTGGGGTTACACAGAGCCTGCCAATACCTCTCCCTTCTGTGTGGGTGCTGCTATTTTGCTGCCTACCCCCCCCCCCCCCGGTTCTGCAAGCATGACTCAAATTAGCATTAGTGCATATTATTTCCTGCACCTATTGGGAAAATCGTTTTTTGTGGTCTGGATTTGATTTAGCGATTCGGCTTTGGGCGCAGCTGAGATGCAATCTCCAGCAGATGGCGCCCTATGCATAAGTTCTCTAAGTGCTGCTGGTCAGAATGTTGGTCCAGTATCAGGAAGGAACATCTGTAAAAATGAAGAGGTCTGGCAGCTGGGGCAGCGCCAAGCACCCCCCCCCCATGTTACTTGCCCATGACGGATCCCAGTGACCCAGTTACAAACACCCCCATCTTCCTCCTGCGTGGTATGAGATATTACTGCAAAACCATTACAATACTGGGCAGCTATTGTCTCTCTCTCCCTCCCTCCCTCCACTCCCCAATTCCTATTTAATATATTTTTAAAGGGTTTGACTTGGAACTCAGTGGCAATTTCTCCTAGCTCTTCAGCTTGAGAGAGAGTGTAGGGGATTTTAGGGAACTATTATAAGAAGGAGCAGTTTTTTCTTATAACAGGAACAATGCGGTACAGTGCAATACAGTGTTAACATCATGTGTCGTGGTGGGGTATGTTTGCTCATGTGGAGCCAGGGGAGACCAGCCTGGGCTCAGATAGCAGCTCTTGGGGTTTGGTATGTGTTTACAGGGAACCGGGGATCAGATGTGTTATGTACTGAGGTTCTCACCCTGGGCCAGCAGGGGGATACTGTAGATAGTTTTCACTCAGGTCCACATATGCAAATAAGGGATTGAAAGTGACGTTCAGTGATTGGATAGTTACAGAAAATGATTGACTACATGGAATTGGCAGAAATGACTGGCAGAATCCGAGACCAGGGAGAAGAGTCGGTGAAAGAAGACTGGAAGAAATTTAAAGACTATTTACAGAAATATTGTAAAATTAAAGAATCCTAGAAGGATGTTGGATAGAAACTAAGAGGTTTTTAGCTGTAATGCTTTAAGAGATATGAAAAAAGGTTTACAATTGGGTAAAAGCTTAATGGTAAGGATTTGCTGAACTAACAAACTGAACTGGAATACAAAAAAGGGAGGTACGAGGAGGTCCAGGGAAATAAGTGTAGGGAAGATAGGTTGTGGAAAATTAATGTCTTTTTAACTGTTTTATTTTGTATGTTTCTTTTTATTTTTTACTTTTTTGTTATATTTTAAAAACTTTATTCTTTTTTCTGTATTCTGTATTTCTTGTATCTTTTGAAACTTTCATAAATATCATTTTTTAAAAAAAAGATAGTTACAGAAAATGGTTACTGTTGCGTTCTAGTGGAGCTCTATATAAGCAGGCTAGCTGAACCCTTCAGTTCAGTTCTGTTCTGGCCTGTGAATAAACAAGAGCTGTTTGAAGAATCGCTGTGTCGTCTGATATGTCCACCCACAACTTAACAAGATGGGCTGAATCAGTGGTCCCTCCCTACTCAAGAGAAAGCACATTTCTTAATCAGTCAGTCTCCTCCCTCCACTGCTGTGCAGGATATCTTCGGGAGAAGAGGAGGCTAAGGAGTAAATTCTACACAAATCCGGAGTGCAGTCTCTAAGATGGATAGATGGCACCTTGTAGCCTCCTTCTGGCAACTCCTGAAGCCAAGCTGGTGCCAAACATATTGCTCTGCTTTCCCTTGGGCCACATCAGTGAGGCCAAGAGGGAGGTCTTGTTGTCTGGTTAGCCCAGGACCTCCAAACACACTGTTCAGGCTTGTGCCCCTGGAGGTGATCACTTCGATGCTGTTAATGCAGCGGTTTGACTTCACCCCTGGAGGCACACTCCACTGTCTCTTGAGACAGACGGATGCCAAGAACAACAACCAACAACCACAAGGCTTTTACAGTGACCAATAACTATTCTCACATATTTGTGGGGTAAAATAATACCGGTGTTCAGTAGTGGGTAAAGTTTGGAAGCACTTTCACCAAATCTGTTATGTACTGAAGTTCTCACCCTGGGCCAGCAGGGGGATACTGTAGATAGTTTTCACTCAGGTCCACATATGCAAATAAGGGATTGAAAGTGACGTTCAGTGATTGGATAGTTACAGAAAGTGGTTACTGTTGCGTTCTAGTGGAGCTCTATATAAGCAGGCTGGCTGAACCCTTCAGTTCAGTTCTGTTCTGGCCTGTGAATAAACAAAAGCTGTTTGAAGAATTGCTGTGTCATCTGCTATGTTCACCCACAACTTAACAAAGTCAATCTGAACTTTCTCCCCAGCATCAAACTGGTTGTTGGATTTGGGGTGTGGGGTGGGAATGTTTGCTGGCGAGGCGGATGATTTTGCAAGTTTGCAGCGTGGGCTTGCCGTGAGTAGCGCTGACCTGTTGGCACCCATGAAATCGCCTAAATGCTCAGTCTCCAGAGAAGTTCTGCAACAGTGTTTAAATGCTGCTGTTTATTTATTTATTAAAAAGATAAAGGATGAACATATCAGCAGATAGAGGTCCATGTGGCACAACTGGGGGCAAAAATTAGGGCAGAAGGAAAAGGGAAATAATGAGAAGGGGCAGGACTGATGACGGAATCCGTGATATGTCTGTCTGTCACACGCATTGCAATGTCAGGAAAAATCTGCTGTGAATTCTCTTTAGATATGTGTCTCTGCCTTTGCCCTGATTTACTACTTCTCACAAGCAAAGTTACATGGTCCTTTGAAGTAAGAGACAGCACTGTGAAATCTGAAGTGTATGTTGAGTGCTTGCCCATGGCAAATTAAGCAGCTAATGCATGTTTGGGTCTCTAAAGATAGCATGAAATCATCTCAGAGAAGATCCAGGTTTTGTGTGGCGATTGCTAATTTGGGCTGGCTTCCTGCTGTTTCCAAAAGGCCAAAAAAATGTCTCTCCCTTCCTCCCCATACGGAGAACTTGGCTCACAGTGTTATTGGAAGTTGGCTGCCTTGAAGGGCTTTAGAGTAAACAACATAAATGGTTTCATTGCTGCTTCAAATACCCCATCAAGTGAGAAATTTTATTAGTGGGAATTCTGCATTCTAGAGTTCTGCTGGCTTCTGCACCCACACAAATGAAAACAAACTGAAATGAGGGTGGAAAGGAAGGAGCCTATCCACTTGCACAGATAATCTTTGGAACATCAGCATCACCACGCCATAGTGATTATGTAGTACTTGGGGGGGAGGGACTTCCAGAAATGCTGATAAAAACATCAACAAAAGGCCCACACCCCACATGTAAATTTGCAGGTTAAGGCCAAAGGATCTTTTCACTGCTGCTGCAACAACTGCTGCATTTGCATGGAGTGTAGAAAAGTGAAGCACTAATAAAAATAATTGTTTATGTTTAGATGAATGCTTAGAACTGGAAATATTTTTTAGGGAACAAGATTAGTTAATTGTCAAGTGGCATCTCACTCCGGTGGGAAGGTAAATGGCGTTTCCGTGAACTGCTCTGGTTCGCCAGAAGCAGCTTAGTCATGCTGGCCACATGACCAGGAAGCTGTACGCCGGCTCCCTTGGCCAATAAAGTGACATGAGCGCCGCAACCCCAGAGTCATCCGCGACTGGACCTAATGGTCAGGGGTCCCTTTACCTTTTACCTAGAAGCAGAGGGTGGGGTGTGAGGTAGCAAAGATTGCAGCTGTGTGCTCTAGAAGTGACTTGAACTCAAAATTAGTTTCTTACAGACCTGACTTCTCAACTGCAGACCTCTGCCCTATCAGAAACAGCAGGAATTGTCTCAAGAGGCCCAATCAGGATTGAAGAATTTCCCTTGTATGTTTGTTTGTTGCAAAGTTTGTGGATGGCCCAGTTAGTCTTCGCTCTGACACTATGTTGTATAAATATAGACAGAGCCTGAACACAATGTTGGACTGAGAGCAAATATTAGCCACCCTATTTTCCTTACCCAGCAGAACTAAACTGTTCTGTGTTTATACAGCTAAAACCACACCCCTCGCCTCTTGTATGTAAGTAAAAGAATTCTATCAGTGCTGACTTTGGCTTTCCACACACTTCCTGCTTTTTATTGCTCGTGGATTCATTCTATATAAGTTTTCTTAGGATTGATAATAGCGTCTGGAATTACTCCTCTCTCTGCCTCCCTCCCGCACCCGCAGTGTTACTCTGGAACCAATTTCTTGAAAGCATCTGGTGAAGCTCTGAAAGTACTATCTGCACATTTCCAAATATTTAAATACACTGAACTTAATGCTTGGCCTAAGCCATTTGGTGCATGGAAACGTTTGAGAGGCAAAAGGAGGCGAGCTGTTTCTCTGGTCAGCTCCGCACATAACACAATGACATCTAGGTACCGTATTTTTTGCTCTATAACACTCATTTTTTCCCTCCTAAAAAGTAAGGGGAAATGTGTGTGCATCTTATGGAGCAAATGCAGGCTGTACAGCTATCTCAGAAGCCAGAACAGCAAGAGGGATTGCTGCTTTCACTGCGCAGCGATCCCTCTTGTAGTTCTGGCTTCTGAGATTCAGAATATTTTTTTTCTCGTTTTCCTCCTCCAAAAACTAGGTGCGTCTTGTGGTCTGGTGCGTCTTATAGAGCGAAAAATACGGTAATTTCTTTCCCACAGTTTGCTTTGCAACGGTGGCAAACGACAGACCAAATGGTCCTAGGAACAGATGTTTACTTTTCATTGGTAGCAAAGCAGTAATTTGGGGCAGAACTGTCTTCCTGATTCCTGTGTTGCTGCGGCTTACCTGAAAGGTACTGGGCAGGTGAGATCAGGGCTGTGCTGATGCACTCATGCGAGTGCACACTTAACTCAGAAACTAAGCCCTGCTGTGTCCAATGGGACCACTCCAGATCATGCAATGGATCTCTTGGATCCCCTGCTCTCCCCACAGGTGTGATGTCTTCTTCCCACTGCAGCCCTGCTGTGCTACACAGACCATGCTACAAAGAGGCTTTTCACTGCTAAACACAATGCACTTGGTCCTTCTGACCGAGTCGCTGAGGGGCCTACTAGTCAGCAGAGCAAACAGCTGCATCACATCTGTATGCAATCATCCAGTGACAGCAGAGGGACAGCTTCCGTTTTGCAGGTGCGGCGAAAACTCTACTGCATGCAAATATGTGTGTGTGTATACACACATGTGCATATCCCATCCTGGCATGCTTTTATATTTAGACAACATTTTCTCTCTCTCTCTTTTAAAAAATTATATCTGGCTCCTTTAAAGCTAGGAAATAAGTCCTCCCTATTTTTAAGGGACGCGGGTGGCGCTGTGGTCTAAAACACAGAGCCGAGGGCTTGCCGATCAGAAGGTCGGTGGTTCGTATCCCTCTGACGGGGTGAGCTCCCGTTGCTCAGTCCCTGCTCCTGCCAACCTAGCAGTTCAAAAGCACGTCAAAGTGCAAGTAGATAAATAGGTACCACTCCAGCGGGAAGGTAAATGATGTTTCTGTGTGCTGCTCTGGTTCGCCAGAAGCGGCTTAGTCATGCTGGCCACATGACCCAGAAGCTGTACGCCGGCTCCCTCGGCCAATAAAGCGAGATGAGCGCCGCAACCCCAGAGTCAGTCACGACTGGACCTAATGGTCAGGGGTCCCTTTACCTTTACCTATCTTTTGTTTTATTACTGCAGTACATGCCACCCAACTGTTCTACACATGTACTGTATGCTAAAAGGACAGGAAGAGCATCGTTTGTTGATTAGGTGACTATTTGGAGCAGGGAAGAGGAGGGAGGCAGCAGTGGGAATCTGCTCATTCAGAATCAGTGTCTTCCTATCAGAAGCATGGTGAGAATTAGAAAGTCAGACATAGATAGAAGACTTCCTGTTGGAGCTGCTATCATTGGCCTTGTGCCCTCGGTTGCTAAAGATGAAAGTAGATAGCAGGCCATTCTGTGTGTGTGTTTCTTCGCCTGGAACATTTCTATAATCAAAAGCAGCTGCGGGAGTCTGCAACCTTGTAAAAATGGCTGGAGTGAGAAAGGGTTCAGCAGCTCCCATTCTCTGTACGTATTGCTTTGCTAAAAAAAACCCTGCAGCCCCCCCTCCAACTGCACTTGATCACTCTCAAGAGAAGCATCATCATCATTATTCACATTTGCTAGTTGTTTTATACAAAAATAAATAAAACTGAAAGCAATTGAACAAGTTGAAATAATGGATAAACGAAATTAAAAGTCAGGTATGATACAAATAGGGACGTGGGTGGCGCTGTGGATTAAACCACAGAGCCTAGGACTTGCCGATCAGAAGGTTGGCGGTTTGAATTCCCCGCGACAGGGTGAGCTCCTGTTGCTCGGTCCCTGCTCCTGCCAACCTAGCAGTTTGAAAGCACGTTAAAGTGCAAGTAGATAAATAGGTATCCCTCCGGCGGGAAGGTAAACGGCATTTCCATGTGCTGCTCTGGTTCGCCAGAAGCAGCTTAGTCATGCTGGCCACATGACCCGGAAGCTGTACGCCGGCTCCCTCGGCCAATAAAGCGAGATGAGCGCCGCAATCCCAGAGTCGGCCACGACTGGACCTAATGGTCAGGGGTCCCTTTACCTTTACCTATGATACAAATTACGCAAGCATGTGTGTCAGGTGTAGTTTCAGCCTCAAAATACTTGTGAAACTTGGGATATTATTACCCACCCTGTGACCTGTTGGTGAAATGCAAGCAAGAAATTATTAATTATAATCTCTTTTATTCTAGTGATGAAATTGGCCCAGCACCCACAATGCAGTACTGTAGCTACGTGGGGTGGGGGGATAGCCAGGTTTTTTGCCCTGGGGGAAACCTCCATTGGGGTGCCAATGAGGCTCCCAGTCTGTGTGTGTTTGTATGCAAATGTGGGGTGGTGGTGGTGCCAAACTGGATCTTTGACCCGGGTGAAATAAAGACTAGTTTCGCCTCTGCACAATGGCAAGGGGTAAGGTTCAGAAGAAAAATTATTTGTACATCAGGTTAGACAGGACAGTCGAAGTTACAGGTTTATAAAACAGAACTGTCCTAGTTACATAGAAAGAATGGGTGCGATCTGATTTTGGCAGCAAAAGGGGAAAAGAGGGCAGAATCATCTCCCCACCCCCATATGTGGTTTATCTCCCCAAATGCTTTTCACGGCTTCATTAACTATGAACCCCATAATCTGGGGCCAACTCCAAATCTGCGCCAAAATTTTGCATTGTACATCTGCTTTGTTGCAAAACTTTGGTACAGGTTTGGATGGGATCCCAAATTTGTTTTGTTGTTGCTGTGCTACAGGAAAACATTTCAGAAATAACAAGAACAAAACTTATATTGACAGAGCTGTCTTTTCCCCAATGTGGCATGAAAAATAACTAAGCTGCATTTACCTGCTTGGGTAAAATCTTGGTTAATAGGTCCTTGAAATTCTTACCTCTGAGACCAGCAACCAAAGAACATAAAATGTGCCAAGGTCTCAAGTGGAATGGTCCTCTAACGGAATGGACTTCTGAAAGATCTCACCTGACTTCCTTGTCCCTCACCTACTTACCAGCTATGTAGTTCTGCAAAGGCGGCTTTAATCTTCTTCACAGAATTATCCACCTCCTCTTTAATCATCATGCGGTATCTTGTCAGCGAAACAGTGCATCGCTGAAGATCTTTTACAGATTTTTCAATGTTCGGACCTGTAACAGGAAACAACCGTCAGCTATCCTTCTGCTGTCAATTTTAATCTGGAAGTGAGAAAAATTGCACTAAGAAGCACCAGATGTGTTGGGCTGCCATTCGACATAGCGCCAACGAGCGCTTTGTGCAAGCAGAACGACACCCATTTGTAAAGAAACCGTCATTTGCAAAATGGCAATTCCATTATGAAATAGACAGGGCTTCCCTGCTCACACAGTAATCCTGCAACTTGTGGAGGAGGATAGAAGAAGACAGAGATAGTGAACTCTCTCTCACCCTTATATTATGCCATACTGGCCTGATTATCACATCACTTTAAACCACAGCCAAGCAAAACTATAGTTTCGTATGTGTGCACCACCATGCTGCTGAAATCACAGGTGCTTTGCCCCTTCACATCTCCCGCTGAGCTGCTGCAAGCGAAACCATGGTTTGGCCTGATATTACATCAGAACATGGACTCATGGGTTCCCCTACCACTCCAAACAACCGTGAGGAGTAAGCAAAGAACAAACCTTGCTTGCATCTCACTTGATACGTTCCATGAAATACTAGAGCGATAATGCAAAACACAGTTCGTTACATACATTTTTGTCTGAGCCGTGAAAATGGTGGTCTTCATGGATAAAGAGGCAGAATGACCACCAAGGACACTTGGGCTGCCTTAAGGCAAGTCTGGGAAAGTTGTGGCTCTCTAGTTATCGCTGGACCCCAAATCTCACTACACCCAGTCAGCACTCAGTCAGACGCCTCAATTGTCCCGATTTAAGTGGAACATCGCGTTTGGGGGGGTTGTGTTCTTGTGCGAGTCACCTGGCTCCCATGAGCTCACAGCCCTGAAAGACGCATGTGCTCACGCAGGAGCAGCAGCGGAGCATGTTGTCAAGGCGCCCAGGGAGCACATGTGTGCATGCCAGGAGGGTGAATGAAGCCCGCTGCACACCAACCCAGCCCTTGTCGCCACTTGAGCAACAGCATCCCTGAGCCACTTTGCAAGGCTGGAGTGGTCCCAGCCTTGCAAAGGGACACAGGGTCCCGTGCTGCTTTGCAAAGCTGGGGTCTGATCAGATTCCAGCCTTGCAAAGTGGCGCAGGGCTGACTTGGGGAGGGCAGCGTTAGCAGTTCCTCCCCCCCCAAAAAAATGTGCCCAGGGTGATCGTCCTGGCAGCCTCCCAATGCTACACCCCTGCGCAGGAACACGGCCCCAAATGACATGCGTCCCGGTTTTACCCTGGGGCATGTTGGAGTGCATGTCAGCGTGATCAGGATGTTTTGAGATGTAGTCTAACCACATCTGGAGCGCCACAGGTTCCCCGCTCCTACTTTACAGAGAAGACAAAAACAGCATTGACATACGATGCTTCTTTTAAAGATTACTAAAACTGAATGGCTACACAGAATTTTTGGTAAGGTTAATAAAAGCTTTGGAAGTAAGGGGAAAAAATACACTGGGTTGCACTTCAGAGCAAACAAATCTCTTGTACCTCTTTTCTTGACTGAACCCTCTGGTTTTATTTCAAGATGGGCTGTGGGGACAGACGGCTTAACCACGGATGTCTTTGCCTTCGGCCGACCAACACTGCACTGAGATGGGTGGGAGGACTGGAAAGCATCAGGCAGCTGTGCGCTATTTACATATTTTCGGCCAGCTTCTATAGGTGTGGTTTTTTGGTCTGCCTTTTGGTCTGCAAAAACCCAAAAACAACAAGTTGGAAGATCAATGGCGGAGTTTCTTGTATCAGTTCATGTGAGAAATCAGAGGCTCTTTCTCGTGGGGTACAGAGGAGAGGAATTATAAAAGGTCCATGGTTAGAAATGTCATCCTCCTGCTTACTTTTCCCATACTCTCTTACAAGTTCTGGTGCTGGGGTCACCAACCCAGCGCCCCCGGGGCCACATGATGCCCATAAAGACTTTTACTGGGCAGGTGCCTCAGAGTTTGAGCTTTTGTTCAAAGTAAGTAAGTCTCTAGTCCTCCTAGAAGCAAGTTGTGGTTCGAGGACCCGACCCCCGCGATGTGAAATGAATACACAAGGACACGTGATATAAGGTTAATGGGCATGGAAAGGCCACAACTTTATTGATTACAGCAGTGAAAAGGTATTGGCTTAGGCATTGGATCTCTAAAACAAGTGGGTTTATTCACCAGTAGGTGGAGCCTGTTGATGCTAATCCAACTATAGGCTCCCCCCTGATGTCACCGAGGGTCGTGCCATGGCCTCCCGCCAAGCAGGCATCGGACAGAACACACGACCGCCAGATTCCTTTAACGGAATACCCAAAATTGAAGGCATAGGCGATGGCCACACCTAGCCCTTCGACACACCACAACACATTATTCCAATGCCTAACCTACCCACCAATACCACAAAAGTTGTGACGATTGCTACGAGGTAGGCGAAAAAAGCCTAATGCCAAATGGAAAAACTCCTACCAGGCCCCCTGGACAACCAGGGCGACCAACCTAAGGTCCATAGAAAGGCCAATGACCTAAGCCCTAACTCTAAGGGAGTGGAGGGTGGGTGACTCGCGACGAGACAACGGCGAAGAATGAGGCCAGGGAGAGGCTGGCGCCGCAGCAAAAGGCTGCTGAACACGCCCCCTCCAAGGCACCTGGTTGGATGCCTGCAGGGGGGCGTGGGCGCCAGCCAGGTGAGGTGGAGGCAGGGGGCTAACGCCCCCTGCTAGGGGCGGTGCTCGGGCTCCCGCCCACAACCACTCCCCTCTCTTCCAGGGAGGAGAGTCTTTATGGGGGAAATGGTGCAGGTTCTAAGTTATTTCTGTGAAATCAGAGACAGTGTGGTGTGATCACCTTGTATGTTTTCCCTCTCTGCTATTAGACAGCAACGGTGTGTGTGTACAGTGGTATCTTTGTTTACAAACTTAATCTAATCCGGAAGTACGTTGTTAAACCCAAACCGTTCTTAAACTGAGGCTCGCTTTCCCTAATGAGGCCTCCCACCGCCGCTGCCCTTCCACCATTCGGATTCCGTTCTTAGACTGAGGTAAAGTTCTCAAACCGGGACACTATTTCCGGTTTTGCGGAGTTTGTAAACTGAATCGTTCTTAAACCAAGGTATGGTAAAGGTAAAGGGATCCCTGACCATTAGGTCCAGTCGTGACCAACTCTGGGGTTGCGGCGCTCATCTCACTTTATTGGCCGAGGGAGCCGGCGTACAGCTTCTGGGTCATGTGGCCAGCATGACTAAGCCGCTTCTGGCAAACCAAAGCAGCACACGGAAACGCCGTTTACCTTCCCGCTGGAGTGGTACCTATTTATCTACTTGCACTTCGATGTGCTTTCAAACTGCTAGGTTGGCAGGAGCAGGGACCGAGCAACGGGAGCTCACCCCGTCGCAGGGATTCGAACCGCCGACCTTCTGATCGGCAAGCCCTAGGTTCTGTGATTTAACCCACAGCGCTACCCGTGTCCCTTAAACTGAGGTACCACTGTACAATCAATATTGTGTGATCTCCACAGTCAGGACCAGCAGGACAAGGCTGACTTCCCATGGTGAGCATAAGGTTGCCAGGAACTGCAGCTTATCCAATTTTGCGTTATGCCATTCCCCATTGCACCCATATTATGTGGTGCCACCCCACCCCCAGCACTTACCGTATTTTTTGCTCTATAAGACTCACTTTTTCCCTCCTAAAAGTAAGGGGAAATGTGTGTGCATCTTATGGAGCGAATGCAGGCTGCACAGCTATCCCAGAAGCCAGAACAGCAAGAGGGATTGCTGCTTTCACTGTGTAGCGATCCCTCTTGCTGTTCTGGCTTCTGAGATTCAGAATATTTTTTTTCTTGTTTTCCTCCTCCAAAAACTAGGTGTGTCTTGTGGTCTGGTGCATCTTATAGAGCGAAAAATACGGTATTTTGTGCCTGGCATCTCCAGCACTCTCAAAATCCCAAGAAGTCTGGCAGTCCCTGTTCTAGTGAGATGTATCTCATCATGACAGAATATCACCATGAGCTTTCAAACATCTCCCTACGTCAGTCAGTGATGCTGAATGGAGGTGGCCTGTTGGCATGATAGGATGCACCAAGATTCATTAGAACCAGATACAGGGAGAGGCCACTTTTCGACAGCAGGGATGTCTAAGGTTTCCAAGGCAGTTTTTCCTGTTTTCACGACATTTCCCTGTTAGTTTCCCTTTTACTGTTCACATTGAGCTTTCATATGATATACAAGGCACTTCTGGAAATATAGTGCATGTTTAGTGCTCATTTCCATGTTATTTGCAAACAGAACTTTTCAGTTTGCAAAGAAAAGGGGTGCTAAACTTGAGCAATAGTCTACTATATTGGAAGAGCATTCAAACATAATACAGAAGTTAACTGTAAGAAAAACACTGGGGAAACAGAATAAACGGTCGTGTGAATGCAACCTACATCCCTCCTGGACACATTGTGTAGTTTCCATTTGTTTAATTCTTGGCATTTAGAATGTGCTTTCAAATGTTCAAAGTGCTCCACGTACTTTACCTTGTTGTAATGTTTGTTTTAAATATATATATATTTTAAAAATGAAATTGTGATTTTAATTTTTAGTAAGCTGTTCTGAGTCGTGCTTTAGGAATGAGGAGGAGTGGGGTATGTTTTAATAAATACATGAAATAAACTAACCACCTTGAAAATAGATCAAGGAACCCTGTAACGTAAATCAAATTAACTTTATTAGGTTAAATCCAACGATTTCTCCCACGATCCTCACAACTTCAAGAGCCTAAGTTAATGCTTTATTATTTTGATATATTTTGCTTTTATTGTGTTTTTTTGTTGTAAAGGCTTCTCAGCAAGCTTTGTGACACATGGAAAACTGTGCTTGCTAACTGTAATGGTTCTAGGGGTTGCTCGTGCGTAAATCGGCGCCCCACCTGGCTGGGTTGCCTGAGTGAACCCTTTCTGTCCGGACAGCCACTCGCCCGTGGCTGTCTCAATCGCTGGCAGAATCCGTCAGTGGGCGTTTCTTGAACTTCTTCCAGCAAAGAAGTTCTTTGACGCCTAGTCTCCGCCTACTCTCCCTGCGCGGAAGCCTTCTGCGCAGGGAGGGTGTGGGCAGCGGAGGACCCGTGCTCTCCCCGCTGGTCCCCAGAGAGGAGTCATGGAGCCACCTCACCGATTCCCCCATTTGCCCCCCTTCTCCACTGGTACTACGCTGATTTCCTTCCCCAGAAGATGTGCTGCTTCTCTCCCTCCCGGGACACTCTCCGGAATCCCTCTGGAGCCCTCCCTCTCCCCCTGGCTCCGATGGCAGTTCCCTGACACTAACAAAACTTAAAACTCGAGGGCACCAGAGGTACTGCCAGTGTTACAAACATCTTAATAAGAAATCAATTGCTGGTGTCTCAAGCACCAGAACAGTACCCTTTAGAATCTCTTTCGCACAGAGCTGAAACACTATCTGAGATGTAGTTCTTCAGTCACTGTATTAAGGGCTGAGTGTTTTATCAGGCTGGCTGATAATGGGATGAACTCAAAGAGTCTACTCTGAATCCCAAGCTGCCACATGCCAAGGAGTGGCTGTTTTATCTCGATATTTTCAAACCCCCTAAAGAGGGGGTGGGGGAGCTCACCCTGAAGCGAGAATCCCTTTCTTATTAAAAAGATACCTTGAAAGGTAAGCTAGGAGTTGGGGAAATTCTCAATTGCCTTTCGCGAGAAACACCACAACCACCATTCTATAACAAAAGGTGAATTCGGAAAAACTTCAGGCACTACTAGGCAATGCCCATCACATATCTCTATGTGGCTTTTCTATATAAAGATGCGCCCACCAGCAAGATGTCAAAGGTAGTCAAAATCTAAGCTATTGTAACTGAACAGAATTCCTTTATTAGCTCTCAAGACAGATACCGTATTTTTCGCTCTATAAGACGCACCAGACCATAAGACGCACCTAGTTTTTTGGAAGAGGAAAACAAGAAAAAAAATATTCTGAATCCCAGAAGCCAGGACAGCAAGCGGGATCGCAGCACAGCGATCCTGCTGGCTGTCCTGGCTTATGGGATAGCCGCACGCAGCCTCTCCCGGGCAAGGGGAGCCTTCATCCCCCTGCCCAGGAGAGGCTGCGCGCGGCTAAGGCTCCCCCAAGAGCCGCGCTCCTTTAAAGAGAGAGCGGAGTATGTGTGTGACTCTTGGGGGCTTTTCCCCGAGGAGGGAGAAGGGCAGCCCTTCTCCCTCCTCAGGGAAAAGCCCTGAAGAGCCACACACATGCTCCACGCGGCTCTTTAAAGGAGCACTGAGCAGAGCCTCCCACCTGCATTCGCTCCATAAGACGCACACACATTTCCCCTTACTTTTTAGGAGGGGAAAGGTGCGTCTTATAGAAAAATGTGGTATATTATGAAACCGCTTTGAAAGCTTCCTTGCTGCTTTCAACCAGGATTTTATTACGTAGGGTTTAGCTGTAACACACACAAAAAATGTTCTGCAAGTCCACAAGGCAGCAGTCTGATTTCTTTTTCTTTTTTTTTAATTTAAGGAAATAATTTACTGTTATTTATTAAATTTATGTACCTCCCCTTAGCAAAAGAGTGGATTAAAATGTAATTAAAAGGGGGGGGGAACCACACCAATAAAATATACGATTAAATTAAAACCAATAAACATGTCAGGCAATTGTGCTTGCGATACCACAAGCAACCTCCCCATCTCCCAGTTAGCCTTGCAATTGTTTTGAAAATGTTTCTGTCTGGATAAAAGGAAGGGTGAATGCATAAATGAATGTTTCACAAGTGGTGCTTTGAAATGTGTTTTAAAATGTACTCTACGTGAGGAGCGTTAGTAAAATATGTTGGGGCACTTGCTTAAAGCACAGGGAAAGGACCAAGGCTGATTGCTAAGGCAGTGTTCGACTGGACAGGTGCTATCCCCAAAAGCTGCAATCATTCTTCATAAGGAAGTCACTCTATCCCCTTAAATCATTTTGGTTGCCCTTCTCTGAACCTTTTGCAACTCTATGGTATCTTTTTCGAGTTGAGGCGACCAGAACGGTACATAGGATTCCAGATAACACCACCAGCTATACGCAGCTTTTATGTCTGTGTAGAAAGACATAAGTCAGCCCCAAATTGGCAGCAGCTTTGAAGTCTTCCTTAAGAATCAAAGATGAGAAAAATACTACAAAAGCCCCAGGAGAGTTATGTACTGCCAAAGGGAAGAAATGTCCTCTCTTGATGTTAAGACTGATGTGGGAGGAGAAAAGCTCCACATCTACAGTGGTACTTTGGTTCCCAAACTTAATCCATTCTGGAAGTCCGTTCCAAAACCAAAGCGTTCCAAAACCAAGACGTTCCAAAACCAAGGCGTGCTTTCCCATAGAAAGTAATGCAAAATGGATTAATCCGTTCCAGACTTTTAAAAACAACCCCTAAAACAGCAATTTAACATGAATTTTACTATTTAACGAGATTGTTGATCCATAAAATGAAAGCAATAAACAATGTACTGTGGTCACACAATCAATCAATCAGTAGCTGAACTGGGTTCCACACAGTCGCAAAAACAAAACGAAAAAGAGCCGCAAAAACAAAAACAAAAACAAAAAAATAAATAGCAAAACCAGACAGACCTCAGTGTAACACTCGAAATGGAACTGTGGCACTCAAATCGGAAGCGTAAGATTCAACACGGAGCATGTTCGGCTCCAGAAAAAAAGTTCACAAACCGGAACACTTACTTTCGGGTTTGTAGTGTTTGGGTTCCAAGTTGTTTGAGTACCAAGGTGTTTGAGAACCAAGGTACCACTTGTACACACTGCAAACAGCACATCACCCCTGGCAACCATGATAGCTCCTGCCTGCATTCCAGACAGGCTGGAACCCAAGACAGATCAAAGGACAGAGGTGGGGTTTGGATGCGCAGTGCAATGTCTTGCCTCCAGCACAGATCAGCTTCAAAGGAGGTGGCTGGAGGAGATGCACCTATACAGTGGTGCCTCGCAAGACGAAATTAATTCGTTCTGCGAGTTTTTTCGTCTTGCGACTTTTTCGTCTTGCGAAGCACGGTTTCCCAAAGTCTTCAAAATCACCAAAGTCTTCAAAAACCTCAAAAAAGGCTACCACACCGCATGCTATGAGTTGCTCCTCGAAGTCACCCTGGGTATTAACGGTTTTAAGAAAAAGGAAACAAACTTGCAAGACGTTTTGGTTTTTTTCGTTTTTCGTCTTGCGAAGCAAGCCCATAGGGAAATTCGTCTTGCGAAGCAACTCAAAAAACGAAAAACTCTTTCGTCTTGCGAGTTTTTCGTCTTGCGAGGCATTCGTCTTGCCAGGTACCACTGTATTCACATCCAGAATAAATCTGGATTCAACAAAATCTTCCTGTTGGTGTGAGGACTTCCATCCTGGGGGGCTGAAAAGGAAGCTGTTTACACATCTTGCAAAAGCCACCTGGCGTACAGTGCACTGACCTGCGGTTTCTGGTTTTGCCTCTCCCCTGTCCTTGCCTTCAAAGCTCTTTGGTTCTTGAGGAATTGCTTTCGGTTTTTCACTGGCAGGTTCGCTGGGGGAAATCTCCTTATTACAGCCATTCAGGTGGCAGCCATATAATCCTTGGGATTCCAGAGACGACAGCTTTTCTCTCCCATCCTCTTTACCTTTCATATCTCTGCTATGGAAGTGCTGCTTAGAGTTGCTTCTTTTCCTTTTGCTGTTCTGCAGGGGGGAGGAAATAATTCAAGGATAGCAATGCCATGAAATATAGATCATATCGCAGCAGGTAAAACAACCCTCAATGTTCTCGTTTTCCAAAGCATGGCATAAATTTAACTAATTGTACTAGAATTTGAGTAACTGATGCACTACATCATAAGCTTTGTTTTTGCGCCGTAAAAGTAGATCAAGGAACCCTGTAAGAGAGATTAAATTAACTTTATTAGGTTAAATCCAATGATTTCTCCCACGATCCTCACAACTTCAAGAGCCTGTTAATGCTTATTATTTTGATATAATTTGCTTTTATTGTGTTGTGTTTTTTTAAAAAGGCTTCTCTTGTCTTTGCTCCAAAAATCGTGAGACAAATATATATACGTGTATATCAGATCTTGGATCTACAGAAGCTGTTCCATCTAAGTTCCTAGGGCCATTTCTTGTCTGTTCCATCCTGTGTTCCAAATGCCTCATTGCGCTTGGAGGCTAATCTCCCCTCTTTTGAATTACAGATTTGGTGCAGGACATTTAATTATTGGCTTTGGCTAAATTTACCCCCCCCCCCCCGGTCTACTACCCTTAGAATCGCAAGATTGTCATGAGAGCGCTTGGACTAAAATTGTCAACCGAAAGATTTACTTTTCTGGTTTATCACCACAACAGTTATTAACACCAGGCTTCAGAAAGCAAATAATTTAATCTGACAACTCCTATATCAGGCACCCCCAACTTTCGGCCCTCCAAATGTTTTGGACTACAATTCCCATCATCCCTGACCCCTAGTCCTGTTAGCTAGGGATGATGGGAGTTGTAGACCAAAACATCTGGAAGGCCGCAGGTTGGGGATGCCTGGCCTATATGATATCGAGCAACAGAATAATTTGGCCACGATAAGGAAATTTTTTCCATGGTATGATTATTTTCCACCTAGTCATTTTGACACTTTGGCACCTTATTTGCAAAATTTGATAATTCCAAAATAGATGCGCTTTCACTTCCACAAGATTGAATATACTGCTTTTGACTGTATTTGAGGGTCAATTTCAAAAAATATCGCTGGAAAAACAGTTATGTCCATGTGGAGATGGCAGTATTGAGTCAGTGGCTCATGAGTGTCTTGCACTCTTTATAAAGGTTTGAGGAGTGAGGTTATTATTACCCCTCTGTTATTCTCCATGTTGGGTCGCTCAACCATTGCTACTGTGGCCTTCCTTTTAGCAGATCAAGATGATCAGGTGACAGCAAAAACTACAGTGGTACCTCGCAAGACGAAAAACTCGCAAGACGAAAGAGTTTTTGGTTTTTTGAGTTGCTTCGCGAGACGAATTTCCCTATGGGCTTGCTTCGCAAGACGGAAACGTCTTGCAAGTTTGTTTCCTTTTTCTTAAAACCGTTACAGTAATACAGGGTGCATTGCTTGAAGAGGTGCAGTTGCGACTTGACTTCGGGAGCAACTCATAGCACGCGGTGTGGTAGCCTTTTTTGAGGTTTTTGAAGATTTTTTTGAAAAAATTGAAACCGTGCTTCGCAAGACGAAAAAACTCGCAAGACAAAAAAACTCGCAGAACGAATTAATTTCGTCTTGCGAGGCACCACTGTACAAAGTTTTTAGTGGGGGCAATTCAAATAAGATTTATTATTTGATTATTGATGTAAACCTCCAAAATGTATTTTGTATAGTTAAGCCTTTACCTCTGTCTTCAGTACATTTTATTTTATTTTATTGCTATGACTAGTGGTTGATGCAAATAAAGATTCTTCTGAATATATATATTCTCTCTCTCTCTCTCTCTGGCTTCTTTCTGAGTTGCTATTCTGAACACAAATGTCTGCTCATTTAAACCACAGTAGCTCATAAGTACTGTATCAAGTATACATAAAAACGGGAATTTGAGGACAACACTCATTCACAGCAAGAAAAGAAAAAATACTGGCACCCAAAGAATTCCAGAACACATATTTCTTTTGGTGCCATCTGAAGATCACGTGGGATGGAAGTAGAACCCATGTTTCCTATATTTTTTCAAAAGTATACACTCTGTTCTTTTTGGAGCAGCAATCAACATCCATAGCAACTGAATTTTGGACTCAGTTGGATGCTATATTCAGATGGGTTTTATTTCTTTCTGCCAAACACCTGCCATTTGGCACAGTCAGGATAATTCGTAGGACAGCAATTTAAAGTGCTTTCCATAGCTGGAAATTATACATTATGTTTGCCCTGGCAGTAATTGCTTGTAGATTCTCTCTAATTCTTCCTTCTGTTTCACAGAAGATATCTGTGAGCTGACACTAGCAGGAGTCTGGCATAATGTTGTTTCTGAAGAACAGAATTTATTTCTTTTTTTTATGATTGGGGTCCATTAGATAAATAAGTGCTATTGTCTCTGTGCACCACATTCAGTGCCTACATACTGTCAGAGTTACGTCCGTATCAATAAAAAAGAGGAGCACTTCCTGGAACCTGCTGAATCCATTGCTTAACAGAGCTAAACAGACTTCACTTGAGAGTTCAATACCAATTTGTTTCCCATATGAGAAATCTTAGAAAGGGACACTCAAGTTGACATCCAGCTTGAAACACCCTGTGCAAATAGTTCTGAGAGCATCAGTAAGTATTGTAGCCATAGAGGGATAAATTATAGGCACACGATGTCACACCTTTGATTCCTTCCAGGAGTCAGTGAGCACTACAGTGGTACCTCGGGATGCGAACGGGATCCATTTTGAGTGTTTGTGCATGCGAGAGCGGTGAAACACAGAAGTAATGTGCTCTGTTACTTCCGGGTTGCCGCGGAGCGCAACCTGAAAGCACTCAACTCGAAGCACATTCAACTCGAGGTATGACTGTATAGAAAAATGCAGTTTTACTGGACTGCTGTCAACTACTGTCTAGAGTTGTGAGGAAGGGGGGATGAAGACCAAATTTAGCACAGCACCCTTGTGGCATCTTAGCACGCTTGCTTTGGGCAGGTGTATGTACATATATATGTAAAGTCCTTCTCTTATACAGTGGTACCTCAGGTTAAGTACTTACTTCGTTCCGGAGGTCCGTTCTTAACCTGAAACTGTTCTTAACCTGAAGCACCACTTTAACTAATGGGGCCTCCTGCTGCCGCCACACAATTTCTTTTCTCACCCTGAAGCAAAGTTCTTAACCTGAAGCACTATTTCTGGGTTAGCGGAGTCTGTAACCTGAAGCATCTGTAACCTGAAGCGTATGTAACCCGAGGTACCACTGTACGGAAAACAAACCCTTCTGGGTGTAGCTCAAACATTTGATAAACCTTTTCCCTATTGTGGCCCTGATGCCAGGGGTGGTGCAGTGGGTACAGGCCGCCCCAGGTGTCACCACTGAGGGGGGTGACAAAATGCCGGGCGGCACTCACTGCGGGGCCTGCAGTGCACCCGAGCCATGCTTCTCTCCTGGGAGAGACGCGGCGACTTGGGTGCGCGCAGGCTCCATGCTGCCCAAACGGTCTGCCCGCTGCCTCCCCATCAGCTGTAGGGCGGCTGAGTGGGAGGAGGCAGGCAGACTCCGGAGGCCCCGCAGTGCACCCCGCCCCTATGGGAGACTCGCCTGCCCTGGGCGCCCCGCCCCAGGTGCCCGAGCGGCTTCCTCCGCCGCTGCCTGACGCTACTCAAGAACAGTGTCCATGTAAGGAGCAACACAGATATGGGATTTTATTAAGATGCTAAAGGTAAAGGTAAAGGTATCCCTGCCCGTACGGGCCAGTCTTGACAGACTCTAGGGTTGTGCACCCATCTCACTTAAGAGGCCGGGAGCCAGCGCTTTCCGCAGACACTTCCGGGTCACATGGCCAGTGTGACGAAGCTGCTCCGGCGAACCGGCACCAGAGCAGCACACGGAAACGCCGTTTACCTTCCCGCTAGTAAGCGGTCCCTATTTATCTACTTGCACCCGCAGGTGCTTTCGAACTGCTAGGTTGGCAGGCGCTGGGGCCGAGCAACGGGAGCACACCCCGCCGCGGGGATTCGAACCGCCGACCATGCGATCGGCAAGTCCTAGGCGCTGAGGTTTTACCCACAGCGCCACCCGCGTCCCCATTTTTAAGACGCTAAAGCAAACTGCAATTTTATAGGCTAGCTATCAGCGGCTGCCCCAGAGAAGGGGGTGGTAAAAGGGGAAGAGAAGCAGCTAAACAATTCAAACGAGGACCAGAGTGCAGGAAAGGGTGTTACCCAAAAGTATATTTTCCTTAACAGGGCAAGGTGGTGTGTGTGTGTTTATATGCTTTGAATCAGGAAAGTGGGGGGGGGGAAAGGGAGAACCCTTCCCTCGGGGCTGCAGTCCAGATCTGAATTAGGGAAAGCTGCTTAAAGACAGAAAGAGAGAGAGAGATGGAAGATACAATTCTGGATTTTCAAGGTCTCTTCTCTTTTTTGGTCCTAAACTGGTTGTCATCACTTGCACATCTTTACAGCTGAGTCCCACGTATGTATTACCCTTGATGTAAAGGAGAACGCCCTTTTATCATTCAAGGGTCAGTTGCCAGAGAAACAGCTTGGTGCTGATTAGAACTGCTCATAGCATCTTGAAGAACGGTTTTGCGATCTCCATATGAATACCTTAATTATTCTGACAATTCTGTCAGAATAGCAAGCTCAACCTGCTGGTATAAAAACAGCAACAGCAAAGCGGGATTAAAAATGTAAAAAGCACCTATTTATTTTGAAGTCTTTTGAAAGCAGGCTTGCAACAAACAGTTCACAGTTGTTAAAAAGAAAGAAAAGTGTATTTGTGTGTGCGCAAAAGCCTTGGCAACAAATATGCTGTTGTGCTCCAGCGAACTATGATGATAAAATGGACTTAATGACTTAACTTTCACAGGAAACTCCTTACCTTCTTTTTCCCTGACATATTCCATTCTTTTAGAACTTGAAGTGCACTGCCTAGAGGAGAGAGAGAGAGAGAGAGAGACTTCAGCAAGTCAACAATAACCCCCTTCCAGTCTGGTGACCATTTGCTCTATTTATTTTAATTTGTTTTGGTCAATGTGTCCCAAGAGTCAGTGAAAATGGTATTTCATTTCCTTTAGTTCCCTTGTCTTGAAACAAGAGAATGTTACCTGTTACCTGTCCCTGTCCCTTGCAGGCTGCTTTGAATAACGGCAGCTTAGCAACTCAGCTGAGCCTAGGACTTGCCGATCAGAAGGTCAGTGGTTCGAATCCCCATGACGGAGTGAGCTCCCGTTGCTCGGTCCCTGCTCCTGCCAACCTAGCAGTTCCAAAGCACGTCAAAATGCAAGTAGATAAATAGGTACCGCTCTGGGGGGAAGGTAAAAGGCGTTTCCGTGTGCTGTTCTGGTTCGCCAGGAGCGGCTTAGTCATGCTGGCCACATGACCCAGAAGCTGTACGCCAGCTCAATAAATAAAGCAAGATGAGCGCCACAACCCCAGAGTCGGCCACGACTGGACCTAATGGTCAGGGGTCCCTTTACCTTTACCTTTAGACTTAAGCACCCAAGTGGAGAGGCTGTCGTGTACCTTGCTCTAGGTATCTCTGCCTTCTGGTGAGATCAACAACCAAAAACAACAAGAACTTTCCTTAAAAGTGCATCTTTCCTATGGGGTCATCCTTCTACATAGTGGGTGGGTTTAGTCACCACAAACATTTCTGTTCGCCCAGCAGAACTATCTGCCCTCTCCTCCCCACGGCACACGGTTCAGGGTGTTCTCCTGACCCTCCACAGCAGATGTGGGGGAGGCCTAGGGGGCAGACAGCGGAGGGGAGACAAGGGAGAAAAGACACAGCACACTAGCAGGAGTCATTGCACCCGCTTCTACTAACAGTACCCAATAGCTGAATCCAGCCCCGTGTCCAATTGTTTCTCAACCTACACTTAGGTTACCAGACATCCCCGTTTCCCGGGGACTGTTCCTGGATTTACAAATCAGTCCCCATACAAAATCCATTGAAGCTGAAAAGTGTCCCCGGATTCATTGAAAAATATCTGGTAAGCTTAACTGGCTAGTCCTCAAGCTCACAATGAATGAATAATGAGTAATAGATAAAATGCAACATGGTGAAATCTCAGGAGTTAGAAAGGAATCCAGCTGCCAGGGAATGTGGAGTCAGTGCTCTACATAGCTCTTTGCGTTGGCTCATGGCAAGGGCAAACACAATCCTTTTAAAACTAAAGGGGTAAATTATACAGTGCATGTATTGCATACTGATGGTTAAAATAATAGAGTTACTGAGAACCATACCACACATATGGACCACCAAAGTCATTTTGCTCGCTTTAGAATAGCCTAAGGATTTGAATTAAGTCTTAAAAGCAAATTTAATGCTTGTTCTGGGCCTCCTGTGGTTTAACAGGATTTCCTCCTTCCGTGAGAAAACACAGGGTAAAGGGTTTGTTTTTGACAAATCAAAGGGGCAGGGATTTTAAATAAGGAATAACTACCCATGTGAAACTTGCAGTAATGAAATGTTTCCTAAATTCAGCTTTTCTACCAGACTTCGTCATTTGCCCAAGAAGCTAAACTGGCTTGAGTATGTTTTTAACCATTTTGATTTGGTCCTTTAAGAAATATAAGGTTTATATGAAAAGTTGAAAATGAAGCTCAGAACGTTTTTCCTTGTTTGTTATCCATTGCTGTCTCCCGCTAGGTAACATTTTCTGACATCTATTGAAAGGGAGCCAGTCAGCAAATAATACTTGGCATTGCAATCCGCATTCACACACACCCTCTCCAAATATGAACAAGACAAACTGCACTCTGGAAGAGGAAGGTTTGCACAATTTTTAAAAGCAACCTTTCTGCATTCTACACAGGCCAATTAAACCCAGATTTAAGTTTGTTTGGTTAATTCATGGACACCAAATGTGTTATGAAAAGGTATAAAAATGAGCAGATGTAGGAAGTGGAGGGTGGTCTATTTTTAGGATTGAAGTTGTTGAACTTTTTTATGATTTTACCCCAAAGTTCTTGAGCTTTTTTTACAATTCTACCCCAAAGTTCTTGAGCTTTTTTTAGGTGTTTACCCCAGAATATAGACTGCCACAGGGGGCCATATTAGGCCCCCAAAATAATCCTTGGGGTAATGTATGTCCTTAATGAGGACTGTGCATAGACCTTTAGCAGCTAATGCAGCCAATGATCTCAGCTTCTTAACCATGTGAAGTTAAGACGCAGGTTCCTTTCCTCCTCTGGGGGTTGGTACCAACCTTAGCTGTAGTTAATGCCTAGTAAGGTTTCCCTGGGGTGGGACGTGGGTGGCGCTGTGGGTTAAACCACAGAGCCTAGGACTTGCCAATCAGAAGGTTGGCGGTTCGAATCCCCGCGATGGGATGAGCTCCCGTTGCTCGGTCCCTGCTCCTGCCAACCTAGCAGTTCAAAAGCACGTCAAAGTGCAAGGAGATAAATAGGCACCACTCCGGCGGGAAGGTAAATGGCGTTTCCGTGCGCTGCTCTGGTTCGCCAGAAGCAGCTTAGTCATGCTGGCCACATGACCCGGAAGCTGTACGCTGGCTCCCTCGGCCAATAAAGCGAGATGAGCGCCGCAACCCCAGAGTCAGTCATGACTGGACCTAATGGTCAGGGGTCCCTTTATCTTTACCTTAAGGTTTCCCTGTGCCCAGGGTTTCCTACCATCTTAAGAACCTGCTTTCAAATCCTCATTTTCCAAAGGAAACATGGACCCTGCATAAAGCATGCCTGGAACTCCTGGAATCTCACAACGCTTGGAGATTGGGCTGATATGTGATGTTATCTACACAGGGATTTTTATACAGGGCATACATGCCCACACAGGTTGGCTAACTCTTGACTTTTTAGAATGGTCTCTCAGGTTGCTAAGAAAGACATCATAATATCTTAGGAAATTCTGAATGTTCACTTTTTAGCAGCATATACACCTGTGGACTTCATTTTGGACAGTGTTACTTTTCAGTGTCCGTGAAATAGAAGAAGGGTACAGACCATCCACAAAAGCTTGTACAGCTTTGTCGACGTTGTTATCAAACTGCTGTAGCACCAGCACTATTTCATTGTTGCTTTTGTTGGGTACAATTGATCGCACCGCATTGATCTGCAAGCAAGAGAGATGAACACAGGCATCTTAAAACACAGAAAAGGCACACCACACTGCAAGGCAAGTAGGTATTTTTCACACAAATGCCCCACAATTCTGCAAAGGACTGTTTGTGCTATGTAGTCAGAGCACCTTAACTACGCCATGTCCGTACAATTACATCCAAAACACGTAAAATAACAAATGAAAACCATTCCCATTCCTTCCCACGCACTTCTGACGATTCCCTGAATGCTGATCTAGGTTGCAGTATATTATTTCTTTAGCAACAACTTACCCCAATGGCACATGAAATTGGACCTGATATTTTCCATTTATTTGCATCCTGTAGACTGCTTGATAAGTCTTAACTGATTTTCAGCCATTGGTACAGAAGCACAGATGTATGTATGAATATGTATGCATGTATGTATTTACACACACACACACTTTGCCAGCCTGGATATGCTCTTGACATTTAAGATGGTTGGAGCAGCACTTTAACACTGTACAATTTCAACAAAATGAGATGCACTACAAGCCCCATTTTCCTGGCTAAATTCAGCTCCCCCACTGTGTTGACTTTTACGCTTCTCCTAGCATGCTGCGTAGAATCATAGAACTGCAGAGTCGGAAGGGACCCCCCGAGTCATTTAGTCCAACCCCCTGCAATGCAGGAATCTCAACTAAATCATACACGGCAGATGGCGATCCAACCTCTGCTTAAAAAAAACAAACCTTCAAGGAAGGAGACCTTTTGTCCCCAGCTTGTCAATATCCTTCTTGAATTGTGGTGCCCAGAACTGGACACACAGGCAGAATAGAGCAGGACACAGATGGCGCTGTGGGTCAAACCACAGAGCCTAGGGCTTGCCGATCAGAAGATCGGTGGTTCGAATCCCGGCGACGGGGTGAGCTCCCGTTCTCGGCCCCTGCTCCTGCCAACCTAGCAGTTCGAAAGCACGTCAAAGTGCAAGTAGATAAATACGTACCGCTCCGGAAACGCCGTTTACCTTCCCGCCGGAGTGGTACCTATTTATCTACTTGCACTTTGACGTGCTTTCGAACTGCTAGGTTGGCAGGAGCAGGGACCGAGCAACAGGAGCTCACCCTGTCGCCGGGATTTGAACCGCTGACCTTCTGATCGGCAAGTCCTAGGCTCTGTGGTTTAACCCATAGCGCCCCCCATGTCCCTGATGGGTGTTGTAGTCCCCCGCAAAAAATATGGAAGGTCATGTGCTTATCGACCGTCTTTTTATATTATTATTCTATAACACAGAATCAGTCATGATTCTGTTTACAAACAATATTAGATAGCTGTTTTAAGGCAACTAAATGCCATCAGTCAATAACCATAGTCTCAGCATATTCTCCCCCCCTTTACCCATGGCTAAGGCAAAAAGCCCTATATCATTATCATTGTGGTATTTAATGGAATGCATAAAGGCCCTCAGATAAATGATACGATTTTATCATTTTCATAATTTGATGGGGGAAAGTCAGCATTTATCAAGCTAGGCCAGGAAATGTCTAGAACTGCAGAGAGATTAAATGCTTTTCAGATATTTTCTTGCGCACAGAATTCTCATTTTTATGGGGAGGGTAATAATAAAATAATAATTATTATTAATAGCTTGATGAACTATTTTCTTTTGAATTTGGCACCTTCTTATTCCCTTAAAACTCCTTATTAAGAGATTTGGGCAAAAAAAAAAAAAAATGGGGAAATGGATACAGAGATCAGTAACCATAAGAAACAGGTCCAAATAAGCTTTACTGAGGCAGGAATGCAGAGTGGGTTCGCGACTGTCCAAATAGCCCAGTGGCGCCTGCCAAGAACCAGAGGAGTTGATTCAATATTTCCTCTCCAGTGGGAAGGCACCTGTGGCCAGTATATTTTTTAAACATCTGAATGTTCTGGACCTTTATGCTGTGTATGTGGAGCAGTATGATAATTAGAGATCTTACCTTTTCCTTGATGTTTGCTTGCGAGCCAATTTCTGCCATCTCCAATTTGATATGGATAAGACCTGCAGGTCACAATAAGTTAAATAAACAGTATTATTTTAGTAATTCAAATGCTTCCCTTGCTATGGAAATGCTTTGCTGCTATGTTCATTTTTTAAAAAACGAACTACATTGACAAGAAAAATAAAGACATTTTATATGCACTTTCTTTATAATTTCTCATTTTAGAATATCTCAAGCATATATATTTTTTCTCTTTAGGATATCTCAAACATGAAAATGCTTTCAAACCCTCAGGCTGCATATTAATGTCATCATCCTGCACTTACCTGGCAGTAAATTTAATCTGAACATAATGGGATAGATTCTGCTATGAAGTTTAAATCCTAGGAACGATCACAAAATTGCCAACTTTTTGTCAGCCCTTGGTTTTAACCGAACTTGATTGTCAGACGTTAGGGCAGAGGTGGGAAATCTCCAGCCCTCCAGATGATGTCACAGTAAAATTCCCATCAATCCTGGCAATTGGCCATGTTAGAAGGAGCTGATCGGAACTGGAGCCCACAATATCTGGAGGGCTACTGACCTCTTTTCGCTGTAGCATGGTGAGAATACTCTGAATAAAGTTCACCTGCTAATTTCTGTGGATATGAGCAGTTGTTAAGGACGAGAGAAAAGAGGCTAAATCATTGGCGGCGGGGGAGGGGGGGAACATTCCTAGCAGGAAAAAGTGGTTTGCAAATCCTGAGGGAAGGGATCAGTACTTCACAACCAAACATGGGTGTAGCCGGGGGGGCAGAGAGGGATAGCTGCCCCCCTAAATCGATAAAAATACATAGCTAACTGAGGTTCTGCCCCCCCCCAAGGCCTGCCCCCCCCCCAATCCTGGTTACGCCCATGTAACTAAGGCGCTTCTGTTGGGTGGGGGATAATTCCTCTGGCAGTCCTACCTGAAGTATCATAATAATTTATAATTGTAATTTATTATTTATACCCCACCCATCTGGCTGGGTTTCCCCAGCCACTCTGCACGACTCCTAACCGAATGTTTAAAACACAATACAGCATCAAGCATTAAAAACTTCCCTAAACAGGGCTGCCTTCAGATGTCTTCTAAAAGTCAGATAGTTGTTTATTTCCTTGACATCTGGTGGGAGGGCATTCCACAGGGCAGGTGCCAACACCGAGAAGGCCTTCTGCCTGGTTCCCTGTAACCTCACTTTTCACAGTGAGGGAACCGCTAGAAGGCCCTCAGAGCTAGACCTCAGTGTCTGGGCTGAACGATGGGGGTGGAGACGCTCCTTCAGGTATATTGGGCCGAGGCCGTTTAGGGCCTTAAAGGTCAGCACCAACACTTTGAATTGTGCTTGGAAACGTACTGGGAGCCAATGCAGGTCTAAGCATTTTAACAAAACAGGAAACTAGTTTAGCATCTCTGTAAACATGTTTGCTATTAATTACAGTGGTACCTCAGGTTACAGGTGCTTCAGGTTACAGACGCTTCAGGTTACAGACTCCGCTAACCCAGAAATAGTACCTCAGGTTAAGAACTTTGCTTCAGGATGAGAACAGAAATCGCGCGGTGGCGAAGCAGGAGGCCCCATTAGCTAAAGTGGTGCTTCAGGTTAGGAACAGTTTCAGGTTAAGAACGGACCTCCAGAACGAATTAAGTTCTTAACCATTGGTACCACTGTATAAGTGTAAGCAGCCAAGGTAGTTTGGTGGATTTCTTAGAGATGAGTGAAAGGACAGTGACTGCGGTTGTTTCCCATTAAATAGTCATATAATATGACTTCTTTTCACAAAAGTATACACAAAGTCCAGCAAATCCTGAATTGGGATACTGAAGGCACAGCAGAATCGGGACCTTAAAAATGAGACCCACCGAACTGACAGCAATAGTGGAGATAGAAGGACCTTTTAAGCTAAAGATTCTTCTTCTGAGAATGAGGAAGAGAGAGGAAGGTCTCTACCATTTCAGTGAATTCAAGCCCTGAATACTAAATGGACTGAACACAGGGTATGTATAGAAAGCCTGCTAGGGAAAGCTTTTCAAGTCTGAATGTCAGCTTTAATATTATGCCTCTTTCTTTAGCAGCATCTCATTCACATTTCTGATACTGAAATGTCATTGCATGATCAGTCTTGTAAAAAGAAAAGAGAGAGAGAGAGAAGAGAACTGGAGGGGAGAGAGATTAAATAAAAGAAATAAAGGATCTCTTATTTAAAGAAGGTCTCACCTTCTGAAACTGGTTTCCAAGCGCATGTTTCTTGAGACAGTAAAATGCTTTTCTATTTATTCCTTACATAGCAAGGGACAGGAGGGCAGCCTCTGTTCTCATTCAAACTACACACCCTTTCCTTGCAAAACTGAGCAAGTTAAACATAACAGGCGTACACTGGGGGGAAAGCAACAGAAAGCCTTTCCATTTTGCTGGAGCTTTTCTCCCATATGGAAAGTAGCTGTGACTTTCTCATGAAAGGAGAACAAAGAGACATTCAATGAACTAAGTGGTGCCAAATTCTATAACGGAAAGCAACAACCCTGACACACTGTATTGGAATTTAGAGGCTCAAAAAAGGCATTTTTAAATTTTATTTTTAAGGAAGATGTATTCATGGCTGTCTTTTCTATTTAAAGATGGAAGTGTTCACAATTCTACTTTTGCATGGCTTGTAGAACTCATTGCAAATTTTGATGAGATATGGAACTTGGGAGAAATCTTGCATTAACCTCTAAGCTAGGGTTGCTTGTATTTCAAAAAGCAAATAAAGTTTTTGAGCTATTTTTTTAAAAGGAAATTTGCCCCCCAAAATCAATGCTTCCAATATGGGCTGCCAGGTTTTCCTGGACATTTCAACCGATTATACAAAATTTTTGACCGGACACAAATATGATCTGAGCATTTCCTCCCCAAGATAGCATGAGGACACTCTTTTCTTACTTCCGTGTGAGCAGTGTTAGCATGCTGCAGCAAAACCAAAACTACTGTTGCTTCTGATGCAGTGGGGTGCTAATAAGACAGTGATGGCCAAACTTGGCCTCCAGCTCTTTTGGGACTACAGTTCCCATCATCCCTGACCACTGGTCCTGTTAGCCAGGGATGATGGGAGTTGTAGTCCCAAAATAGCAGGAGGGCCAAGTTTGGCCATCACTGTACTAAGAGGTGACCACAGAAACATAAGCAGAGCTTGGACGCTGGATCAGGTCAAAGGCCCATCTAGCACAGCACTTTGCTCTTACAGTGACCAACCTATGCTGCCTTATGGGGAGCCTGTAAGCAGAACCCAAGCATGACATCACTCTCCCCACCTACGGCCCCAGCAAATAGTATTTAGAGGCATATAGGCATATACCGCCTTTGAATGGGACACGGGTGGCGCTGTGGGTTAAACCGCAGAGCCTAGGACTTGCTGATCAGAAGGTCAGCGGTTCAAATCCCTGCGACAGGGTGAGCTCCCGTTGCTCGGTCCCTGCTCCTGCCCACCTAGCAGTTTGAAAGCACGTCAAAGTGCAAGTAGATAAATAGGTACCACTCCGGCGGGAAGGTAAACGGCGTTTCCGTGCGCTGCTCTGGTTCGCCAGAAGCAGCTTAGTCATGCTGGCCACATGACCCGGAAGCTGTACGCCGGCTCCCTCGGCCAATAAAGCGAGATGAGCGCCGCAACCCCAAAGTCGGCCATGACCATGACTGGACCTAATAGTCAGGGGTCCCTTTACCTTTACCTTTACCGCCTTTGACAGTGGATGTAGAGCAGTGGAGGTAAAAACATAGCCTCTGTGTCTAGAAGCGATTGGCATCCTTATCCTGAAATAATTTGTCTAATCCTCTTCTGAAGCCATCCAAGTTGGGTGGTTGCTACTGTCTTTTGTGGGAGCAAATTATATAATATATGCAGTGTAAAAGAAGTACTTTGTTTTGTCTCTCCTGAATCTTCCAACATTCAATTTCATTGAATGTATTGGGGGGGTGGGTTGAGGTTCTACCTAACAACTTTCACCATACCATGCATAATTATACACCCACATCACATCTAAAGAGATCCAAATGTTGCAACCACTGAGCCTCTTGGGCTTGCCGATTGGAAGGTCGGCAGTTCAAATCCCCGCGACAGAGTGAGCTCCCGTTGCTCGGTCCCTGCTCCTGCCAACTTAGCAGTTTGGAATCACGCCAAAAGTGCAAATAGATAAATAGGTACAACTCCGGCGGGAAGGTAAACGGCGTTTCCGTGCGCTGCTCTGGTTTCGCCAGAAGCAGCTTAGTCATGCTGGCCACATGACCTGGAAAAACTGTCTGCGGACAAACGCCGGCTCCCTTGGCCTGTAAAGCGAGATGAGCGCCGCAACTCCAGAGTTGTCTGCGACTGGATTTAACTGTCGGGAGTCCCTTTACCTTCCCCCTCCCCCAAGATCCTTTTCAAGGTGAGGCAACTAGAACTGCATGCACCATTCCAAATGTGGTTGTACTACAGATTCGTGCAATGGATCATGCTACCGGCAGTCTTATTTTCAATCCCTTACTTAACGATCCCTAGCATGGTGTTAAGTTGTGGGTGAACATATCAGACGACACAGCGATTCTTCAAACAGCTCTTGTTTATTCACAGGCCAGAACAGAACTGAACTGAAGGGTTCAGTCAGCCTGCTTATATAGAGCTTCAGTACAACGTAACTGTAACAATTTTCTAAAACTATCCAATCACTGAACGTCACTTTCGATCCCTTATTTGCATAACTATCTACAGTATCCCCCTGCTGGCCCAGGGTGAGAACTTCAGTACATAACACATGGAATTTACCCTTTTTACACCTGCCACATACTTTAGAATTCCTTATGCTTTTAGTTACTACAAGTCTCTTGGTTGTTGTTGTTGTTGTTTTGGTTTTTTCCTGTTGTATATACATTTGAGCTCTGTAAAGAAATGTTACAATTGACTGTGGCCATTTCATAGCTGTTTGGCCCCCCAGATCACCACTCCCGCCTTATGCAATATCCTTTGTCATGCAAAGGACAACTGCGCAAAAACTTCCAGTTGTTTTTCCACAATACAAACCATTGTGTTTATTTTTGCATTAATGTGTTTAATTTGAGAACCACCTTGAAAAATACTTTTATTAGGAGAGGTTTTCTTAAACCGACCAATAAAATAGTCTTTTCATTTGTGACAGGATATTTCATTCTGCTTGTTCAAACAGAAAATCACTAAATACCCAGCCAAATCCTAGAAACAAAGAACTAAGCTTTGTACTACTTTACATAGCCATGTTTAAAAGACTTTTCAGCTCAGATCACAGGTAATTGTCATTTACGATTTCTGGATTTTCAGTTTTCAAATTGCTAAATGAGAGGCTTTGCCCACAATGCAACCTGCTTTTAATCATGTACGTGTAAATGGATTTGGAAATTTGCCACGCAATAGCTTTGCTTAAGCCTGTCAAACAGCATTTGCAAGGAAAAACATCACTGCAAAGCACCATGGGTGATCTCCTTTTATGGCATAATCAACATTTGTCAGGCTTATTTAACCGTTGAAGGAAACGAATATGTTGGCAAACATGCCAGACAAGCCAAAGCTGACTGCGACTTAAGACAATTAGGACCGTGAGCTTGGGCATATGTTCCATGGATCTTAACGTGCTAATGTTAGAAAGAAAATTATAAAATATGCAGTTCAATTCTAAAAACGTATAGAATGTTCAACAGGGCTTACTCTCAAGTAAATCTATATGGGATTGCAGCCTTAATTGCAAATAGGGTGTCGCAAGATAAAGACGTACGTGATAGAAATGAATTTCACATTCTGGGTTGTAGTTCCAAGGTTCTGGACTAAACATGCTGAAAATCATGCTTTTTGCTGATGGCGGGTGTTATATACTGAAGTTCTCACCCTGGGCCAGCAGGGGGATACTGTAGATAGTTATGCAAATGAAGGATCGAAAGTGACGTTCAGTGATTGGATAGTTTTAGAAAGTTGTTACAGTAACGTGGTACTGGAGCTCTATATAAGCAGGCTGACTGAGCCCTTCAGCTCAGTTCTGTCCTGGCCTGTGAATAAACAAGAGCTGTTTGAAGAATCGCTGTGTCGTCTGATATGTTCACCCACAACTTAACAGTGGGTGTAGCAAAACAGCTCATCCATAGATATGAACACACACTCTCTCTCTCTCTCATTAGCAGTTGGGTTCACAGTGATCGTCTTAAACTTGAAGTGGCTCTCTGACTCCAAATCTGACACTAAAACCTCAACACCACACTGATTGGGGTGGGAGACTTGCTCCTTGCCAGATGGCCAATCACTTGCAGTTATCCAGTGAAATGTTTTCTATCAGATGCCCTTTCACGGACACAAACTTCTCTCTTCCGGAAAACCCTGCCCATGAGATTTGTACTCTCCTGATTAAATACAGTTTATTGATGAGTGACATTCATAGATTTGCATGGCTGAAAGACAAATGAGTTCACTGATCAACACCACATGGCCAACTGTATTATATTCTTGTAATTTTGAGTTCAGCAGACAGCAAGGAGACAATAGGGCAGGACTGAAGAGGAGGTTCAGCACCTTTTAGCAGGAAGGGAGCATTTAGCTGTTCTAATTAAATGGCTAAGGTGATTTGTGTGCAGGAACATGAATAGAACTCCATCACAATCTGGATATAATTGCAGCAGCGGAAAACATTATTAGCAATTCAAATGCAGCATATGCACTTAAAAAATATGTCGTTTTACAAAATCACATGTATCAAAAGGGTTATTTTAAGAGTGCTTATGTTGCACAGAGGGCAGAGCTGCAAGATTACAGCAACTGCATTTTAAATTATTACGGTATGGTCCTGATTTTGGTGGTTTTGTACTTTGCATTAGAGCTCCAGTTTTGATCTTTGGTGACCCACCCTTAACACGGAAAGAAAGGGCATTCCTTTCAACCTGCTTAGTCAAGAGAATTTAAAATGGACTTATAAAACCCCAGCAAGATCCAGCATTGTCCTAGCAGATGGAAAGGAACTCATCCTTCCTCTACACCCACTGTTACGCCTCCTCATCTGCTCTGAAGGCTCCGCTGATCCTCCAGAGCAGATTTTGGGGGCACACAGGGGACTGCAGCGGGGAGCAGAGGATGTCCTTTTGTGTAAGCAAGCTGTCAGAGTTGGCACGTTGGCACCATGTTTTTAAAGCAACCAAAATACTTGGGGCGTTAAGTACCACTGGAAGAACGAAATACTTGATTTCACTTTTGGAAAATGTTTTTGTGTGTGTGCATAAACTAAAGTGCAGAGGGACACGGGTGGCGCTGTGGGTTAAACCACAGAGCCTAGGACTTGCCGATCAGAAGGTCAGCGGTTTGAATCCCTGCGACGGGGTGAGCTCCCGTTGCTCGGTCCCTGCTCCTGCCAACCTAGCAGTTCAGAAGCACGTCAAAGTGCAAGTAGATAAATAGGTACCGCTCCGGCGGGAAGGTAAACGGCATTTCTGTGCGCTGCTCTGGTTTGCCAGAAGAGGCTTAGTCATGCTGGCCACATGACCCGGAAGCTCCCTCGGCCAGTAAAGCAAGATGAGCGCCGCAACCCCAGAGTCAGTCATGACTGGACCTAATGGTCAGGGGTCCCTTTACCTTTTTCAAACTAAAGTGCATTTTTAAAAATAAAATAAAATGTTATCCCAGTAAACTTTCTTAGAGCACCTAGCCTCCTGAACACTAAAAGTACTTTGGCCTAGACAGATCTTTTCAAGTATCATCATTTCTCATTTCATTAGTTAATGTTGTTAGAGCGTTCACACGATGATGGAGCAAGACTGCCTCCAAATGAATACTGCGAGGCAAGATTCCACAGACAATCTGTGATAGAACACATTCCAAGAGGGTTTAGCTTGCTTTTCTAAAGAAGGGCAGAAAGGCTATTTTACTCTCAAGATCTGTCTGGTAAACGCTGTGGTCAGTGTTCGAAGCTACCATTGTTCTAGGCACATCTTGGGACAGTGGATTTCATTGGCGTGGGCAGTTTCTGAGCTCCGGGCGCAGTACTGCACCTAAGATTTCAGTTTAAAATTGCAGAGTGGAAGGAAGGGAGGACCTTTTTCTGCCTCCCCACTTCCAGCTATTCTCTGAAGACCTAAAGAATATTAGGGGGTGGGCAGGGAAAGGACTAGACCATGTGAAAAATGAACATAATATTTCAACTGCAGTTCATTCATTTTCAGCTTTGTATTCTTGTTATTAAAAATGTGTGCCTAGACATTCTGTTGTTGCACACATAACCTAGGTTTAAGGCGCCATTTAGCTTCATATCTCAGTTTCTAACACTGGCTGGGGTGTGGAACTATGAGAGAATGAGTCAGTTTACACCTGATTAAAAATTATTAATTTATTTTCTTTCTTTCTTTTTTGTTTGTTTGTTTAGAACATAGTTATCTCTGTTAGCTGAAGAAGCGTGCATGCACACGAAAGCTCATACCAATAACAAACTTAGTTGGTCTCTAAGGTGCTACTGGAAGGAATTTTTTTTATTTTGTTTCGACTACGGCAGACCAACATGGCTACCTACCTATAACTATCTCTGTTAGCTGTAACTCACAGCATAACTTGCAGGGATGGACCTTCTAAATTAGATTACTCAAGCCCTCTTAAACGAAATAGCTAAACACAACATATTAATCAAACAGACTCCCTAAAGAAAGTGTCTGAGAAAAGCTCATTACTGTCATTTGGTTGACTGAAAACCATTAAGACATTCTTGTGGATAAATAGATGAGGAAATACGGCAGAATGTGACCTAATTCCACCTCAGCAGTTAAATAAAAGATGAAGCAAAAACTTATTAATATTGCTGTGCAAAAGGATAGGAAAAAGAAATATTGTCTCAAGTGCCCCCCTTTTTGAAAAAATGTGAACTATTCATTTGGATTGGAATTTTTATACGAATAATGTATACATGCACAAGTTAAAGTAAGCCTTCATCAAGCTATGTTTTCCTCAATAGACGCTATTAGGGAATAAAAATAATCAGCTGGTGTGGAATGAAGAGAGTAGAAGATCCAAACAATTTGTTAAGAAATTGCCTGTTATATTTAATACTTGAACGAAATTGGTGGGGTAGGGAAGGGGAGAGAGAGAGAGAGAGAGAGAGGAAGGAAGGAAGGAAGGAAGGAAGGAAGGAAAACACTGCATTTTAACTTCCTTTTAACTTCCTATGGTTGAGTCATAAACCTTCAGTTCCCAGTAGTGCAGTAGCTAAGTTAGAAAATATTTCACAACCTCTCAGCCAACTTCATTCTGAAAAAAGAAAAAAAACACCACCACCAGGATAAATGTGACTTGAGGTTTGTTTTTTCCTAGACTTGTCCTGTTTATGTCTCTAAATCCATTGTCTTTGAGAGATACAGGAAGAAGAAAAAAAGTGTATACAGTGGTACCTCGGGTTACATACGCATCAGGTTACATACGCATCAGGTTACAGACTCCACTAACCCAGAAATAGTACCTCGGGTTAAGAACTTTGCTTCAGGATGAGAACAGAAATCGTGCTCCGGCGGCGCGGCAGCAGCAGCAGGCCCCATTAGCTAAAGTGGTGCTTCAGGTTAAGAACGGACCTCCAGAATGAATTAAGTACTTAACCCGAGGTACCACTGTATTGGGATGATTCCACCCTATTTCAGTTTGCTGGTGCTCAATTATAGGTCCATTCTGTCTCTTTTTGTGCAGATCCCCCGCCCAAATGTCTGCTTTTAAATAGTATACATTTTGTCAGGGCTTTTTTTTTTTAGGGGGAACTCAGCAGAACTTTGGAATTGTCTAGTGCTTCCCTTTGCAAATTAATCTGAAGTATAAATCTGGATGGATTTGTACCCAATTATGTTTTTATTTGCATTTTTAATACAGAAACAAAAATCCCCCACCCCTTCCCTCCACCCACCAATTGTTTTTCTAAAAAAGGATTTGTTCCTAATTATGTTGTAATGTCTCTAGCTTTTCTACAAATTGTGGACCTGATAATGGGAGTACAGTCTTAAAGAAGTTGAATACGTAAAACCCTCTCTCTTTCCAAGCTTTACATTGGAAAGAGATTGGAAATTAACCTGTGAGTAATTTTTTCACTACAATAAAACAGGGTGCAAGCGAAAGGGAATGAGCAAGAATATGGGCACGGGTGTTAATTTATCCATCTTCTCCACACAGTCATTGTACTTTTCATAAATGGTTCTCATGTCTAATTTTTTTTTTTAAAATAAAGAGCAGTCTTGTGAAGTCCGCTTCCCCCTGTCTGATATTAGAAGCCTGTTTCATCTGCACCAATGGTCTGTTTAGTTTAAGTTGAATTATTGCTGAAACAGCTAGCAGCGGCAGCATGGCATAATGTTTAGTGTGACTTTCCAGGTTCCCCCATATATATGTTTTCTATAAAGCACTTTAGTGATGTATGGAAGTGAGAGCTGGACCATAAAGAAGGCTGATCGCCGAAGAATTGATGCTTTTGAATTCTGGTGCTGGAGGAGACTCTTGAGTCCCATGGACTGCAAGAAGATCAAACCTCTCCATTCTGAAGGAAATCAGCCCTGAGTGCTCACTGGAAGGACAGATCCTGAAGCTGAGGCTCCAATACTTTGGCCACCTCATGAGAAGAGAAGACTCCCTGGAAAAGACCCTGATGTTGGGAAAGATGGAGGGCACAAGGAGAAGGGGACGACAGAGGACGAGATGGTTGGACAGTGTTCTCAAAGCTACCAGCATGAGTTTGACCAAACTGCAGGAGGCAGTGGAAGTGCCTGGCGTCCTCTGGTCCATGGGGTCACGAAGAGTCAGACATGACTAAACAACTAAACAACAACATAAAGCACTTTGTAACAGAGTCTCACTCCCCCCCCCCCCGCCACAATGGATGAATTTAAGAAGTAAATTTAGCAATTAAAAACAACACAAGATTTTCTTTTTCTAGGGTTATCGGAAAAAATATAGGGAGGAATTCAATGTCATCTGATCGTATTTTGGCTTGCCAGGTGGAACAAACCCCCCTCCCCTTGCTGTTCTGGGGAGTTCTCTCACCCCACCCCCCCCAGAGCTAAACTTGTCCATCTGCCATTTTCATAAAGCACGTGAGAGTTAGTAATTTCCCAAAGGTCCCAAATGGAAGGTCCCAAATGGAAGAGCCAGGAGCCTTTCCGTTGATTCTTGGGAGCTTTCTCAGAGTTCTGAGATCCAGTTGTGTTCACTCCTCCAGGCTTTTGCGGACATCTGGTCTTGTTCTTTTTTCTGTATTGTCACTGATAAGTGCCTCTCGATTCCTAGTCGATTTCGCTGTCATCTGAATCAACAGCAGCTATGTTGTCACCCATATTAATGCAGAGGGAATCCATAAAGCCTTTGCCACTTTGTGAGTTGTAGCAGCATGGGAAGATACCCTTATTGGACACAATTATCTTCTCGAAGGAATATCTCCCCAACTCCTTAATCTTGAAGGAGGATGGTATATACTGTAAAAATACATGTGTGATGCAAAGTGCTCAAGTCAGGGAAGCCAAATACTTCTTGACTTTCATATTCTATGTTATCCTTTTCCATGGCAAGGTTAAATATATTTGTATGAATAAGGTAGTGAGGAAATCACACAATAATATCTCTTGGTTTTCCCTGTCAGTGTGGGTCTTGGGTAGGGAGAATTCTGTGAATTTTGTCAATGTCCCATTCCAGGAGTTCCAACTGGTCAGGTAGCTCAGATAAACCTTTTACATATGACTTCTATCTTCCACATCAACTAAGAGGAGTTTAATCTGTCATTGCATTTAAGGAATAGAAGTGATAGATGGGTAACTTATGCATACCTAAATTCCAAAGTTGAAAAAAAACAACCCTTTTATTATCATCTTTTATGACCACTCTTCTGATAAGTCACTCTTAATTTTTTCCAGCATTCTGGTAAGAATTTATAATTCTCCTTAACTTCACTGTGTTTTGGATGTCCCTGCAGAGCCACCAGGTTTGTCACTGAAGGCTGCAGAGAAGATAACGTGCTGCAAGCCAAAATAGATCTTGAGAGACATTTCTTCAAATCCATGGACTTCCTGGGACATGCCCTTTTCAGGCGCAGTATTATAAATATTTATTTTATGTGTTTTGGTGCAGTTAACTGCTATTTATCCAGGTGAGGGGGGAAAACTCAAATCAGCTAGCCATCTTCACAGGGGCGGAGGAAGGGGGTGCGGTGGGGAAGGTCCACCCCGGATGTCACCACTGATTGGGGTGACAAAATGCCGGGCGGCACTCACCGCGGGGCCTGCAGCGTGCCCGAGCCACACGTCTCTCCTGGGAGTGACATGGTGGCTTGGGCACCCACAGGCTTCGCACTGTCCCAAACAGTCTGTCCGCTGCCTCCAACTCAGCTGCCCTACAGCAGACCCCACAGAGCGTCCTGCCCCAGCTCGCCCCACCCTGCGGGCAGCTGGCCCCACCCCTGGGCACGGGGCACACACACCACCCCAGGCGCCCAATCGGCTTGCTCCACCGCTACATCTTCATCAATGAAGTCACTGCTCCTTGTGCATTAGGTTTTTTCCCCTCATCCCACACGCCTTCACAGTAAACACCATCAATCCATGACATAAGGAAGTAAAGCTATAAATCACAACACAGATAATTTGATGTCACAAATTGGTTTATTTTCTCCTGTCTAGCAATTTTAAAAAAAATAGCAAGCATTTTTAAAGCAGTGAAAGAGAAATAAGGCTGGTACAAATAAGATTTATCTGATATAAAAAGCCTCTTCCAGAACCATAGCGTATATGTCATGTTCGATCAAATGAAATATAATTCCTTGAAAATAATAATAAATGGTTTCATATGGAACTTTCCTCTGTAATAAAATTACACCCTTGACTGTTTTGTTCACTAGCTAAATGTTCCATGGCAGATCGTCAAAGAAAACACTGTAAGAAATAATGACTTAAGGGAGGGAAGAAGAAAGGAGTAAAGGTACTCTACATGTAATGGGTATGAGTTACTCGTGCGTAAACTGGTGCCTCTCTAGGCTAATTTGCCTTGTTAAACCTTTCTGACTGCACAGCCCTTTCTCATCGTGACTGCCTCAGTCGCTGGCAGAATCCGTCAGTGGGCGTTTCTTGAACCTCTTCCAACATAAAAGTTGTTTGACACCCAGTCTCCTCCTCCTCTCACTGTGCGGGAGTCTTCTGCGCAGGGAGGGCGTGGGTAGCGGAGGACCTGTGCCCTCCTCACTGAGGTCCAGTGAAGAGTCCTGGAGCCCTCTCTCCGCTTCCCCCATCTGCCCCCCTTTATCCCTGGTGTTGCGCTGATTTGCTTCCCCCTCTACTGAGCTGTTTCTCCCCCTGCTGCTGGGTCCTTCGCCAGCATCATCTAGGAGCCTCCCCTTCGCCTCTCGCTCCGATGTCAGTTCCCTGACACTACACTTCAAATAATTTTTGGTAAATAGTAAACATTATAAAAGCAATTCTCTGGCCCATTCCGGAGTTACAGTGATGCCAACAGGATGTACAAATAACTGATAACAGAACTCCATGCTCTGCTAGGTTGGAGGCAAGGTATCCGTTGCACTCATGTGTAACAATAAGCTGGAACCTTAGCTTGATAAACTGTACTGTACATGAAAGAAGCCTTCAATCCTCCTTTGCATGGACAGGCGGAGTCCCCCAGATCCCGGGCAGCCCCCCCCCGTCATATGGAATAACGACTCAACTTTATTATATTTCAGATGTGGGTAGACCTTGGCTCAGGCATTGGGCGTTATCCTTCCCCAGTCCCCAGCCGGGGGCCTAGGGAACATCAGGGTTATCCAGTGGGGGGCGGGGGGATGGGCCGGCTCTGGAGAACATATGTTCAAGCAGAGATAGCCGCCCCCGTTACGCCGCCGCAAAACCTGCCAATGCAGGGGAATTTCTTTCCGGCCCTTTAACAGCGACCTTGACGTAACCCGCAAAATAAGACTTAACTGAGGGTGGGTAGGGTGGGAGAAGCTCTGGAGCCAAGTGAGGATTCCCAGGTAAGATCCTCCCTCTATTGTGTGGGCAGGTAGTCCCTCCCCTACCTGGCCTGGTCTCCTTGGCAAAGCTTCCCCCAAGCGGGATTGGACAACTGACTGAGGTAGGCAGAGACCTCCAGGTATCCCACCTGGGGGAAGGCGAAGCCAAGCCTGTGTTGATGGAGCCGCTCCAGATCCAGGGGCTGCGCGTGTCCACGCAAAGGGCGCCCCCCGTTTTATGCGGGGAGCGGTCATTCACACAGGTGGGTAAAAGCAAACCTGCAAAGACACAGGCTAGCATTACTGAACCCAGGGTTGTGGTTTGCTCCCCACTAACAAGCCAGGATTCGTATGTCAAGACCAAACTCTGGTTGCCAGAGAGTCTTTGTCAGAGAGAAACAAACCATGATCCTAGGTTCAGCTATCCCTCCTCCTGGTTTGTTTACTTGCTCACACAGATGAAGAAGCTAAGTAGGAACAATCCCAAATTTCTTGGCTTATTGTTATGTGCAAACACAGAAAATTGGATATGGCACAATGTAAGTTATTGTCACTTTCGCAGAGTACCCATATTTCTTTGGTGTCATTATCCTCTCTGGTTAAACAGGTTTTGTAAATTTTTGAAGCACCACAAAACTCTGTTAGCTAGTAGATAGTAGAACAAGTGCATACAGTCCAAACAACAATGCCTCTTTCATACCACCCTCAATACTGGAAAAAAACTATTCTCTTTCTTTAGCCCTAGGTACTTTCCCAAGCTTAACAATAAAAGACCAAGCTCAGTAACAGCTTCACAGTTCAAATCTTTTCACGAGCTGGTAGGTAATATATTTCAGATGGGTTACATGCTCTGTGCTCAGATGGCACATATATAATTGCTTGCAAGTTGACAATGTCTGTCTGCCTGGAATTAAATATGTTTATAGAAAAGAAAAGGAAAGGAAAGGAAAGGAAAGGAAAGGAAAGGAAAGGAAAGGAAAGGAAAGAAGTTTAGGATATGTCTAGTGAGATTTAAGGTCTTTCTCCCAGGTGCAACAAATCCTAGATCCCTTGCACTCCAGCCACAGCAAACCTTTCCAGACTTTCCTACACAATCAGGATATTTATTTTTTGTACACCAAGTGTCTATTTGCACACAGTCTGCATGCCTCCCTTCAAGGCATAGTTCATTGTATACCTGGGAAAATGCAATACCTCCCACAAGATACTCATTGCCTTTATAACCATAGTGTGATACATGGTGCTGTGGTTGGTACATGGAAATATTACTGCTAATACTAGTAGCCCTTCCTCCAAATCATCCCAGGGCAGCTTACAAAAATATCAGAATTAAAAACAAAATACTGAATCAATAAAAATCACAAAACTGCCAAGTTTTGTAACCTTTCTTGTGAACAAGGACATAAGATTCCTACTGGCTTTCATTAGTTGTTCAAACATGTGGTGCCATTTTTCCTGCTTAAAAAAAGATACATGGATTTGACATTTCCAATACACTTTGTGGCTGTTCTGCCACAATTTCTGTGTGGGAATGGGATCATAGAATCATAGAGTTGGAAGAGACCACAAGGGCCATCGAGTCCAACCCCCTGCCAAGCAGGAAACACCATCAGAGCACTCCTGACGTATGGTTGTCAAGCCTCTGCTTAAAGACCTCCAAAGAAGGAGACTCCACCACACTCCTTGGCAGCAAATTCCACTGTCGAACAGCTCTTACTGTCAGGAAGTTCTTCCTGATGTTTAGGGATGAGGTAGTGTGATTTTTATTTAATTATTTTTTTAAGGCGACAAACAGCAGAGAGGCTCCTTACACACAACTGCTGCAAGAGCAATTGAGGATGTTGATTATAGGGCAGATGTGGCAATACCTTAAACTGCGGTTGAAGCGTATTTTGAATGATCATTCAAAAAGGACTTATGTGTTCCTACAGAGTCCAGAAAATGATCTGTTATGGCACAAAATGAAATAAAATGTTAGCTAGGAGTTATGCTTGAAATGTTGCAATACCGCATTAAGAAGAAGAAAAAGATTCTAAAAGAGGTTTAATTTTCTTTATATTTAATTTTGTTTGTATTGCATAATATTTCTGGACATAAACAGAAATAGTTTATTAGGTTTGCATTTCTGTTTGTTTGAAAAATGTGCAAATGATCGTTTGAACAAGGAACGCAGGAAAGCTTGAAAGACCTGAAAGAATTACCGTAACGGGTAACAAGATTAATTAAACGTACTGTGTGCCCCACTCCTTATGGGTATCCATAGGAGAGTCATAATTTTTTAGGATCAAGCCAGTTTCAGTCCTTGGCAAAAGCAACTTAGTACAAGTATGGCTCATGTATTTTAAAAACTGCAATGGCCAGTTGTGATCTGTTTACTCTTAGCAGCTACCACCTGTATCTGTCAAAATGCTATTACTGTAAGTGAACGTTAGAAAGAATGATCCGAAGGACGGAAAGTCATCTCACGACTTAGAAAACATTGTTGTTGTTGTTGATAGAATACACACAGCACTGTATTTGTCTGGAGAGTAAATAAAACATTTTGGCAACTTTGCCAAACTTTGCCAAACAATAAACAACTTGGGAGGAAATTGCAAAAAAAACCCCCAACAACCATGTTATAGTCATTATGGGCATTGAACCGCAAGCTTCAAAATTTATATCTCATCAGTCTCTAGCAAGTCAGAACAATCAGCCATTTTATACTGAGTGTGATTAATGACCAGGGCCGGCCCCACCATGAAGCAAGGTATGCTGACTGCCTCGGGTGGCAGGATCCACAAGGGCAGTAGATCTGGCCTTTAACGAATGCACTGTCTGCCGCTGTTGCAGCAAAAGCAAAAATGGCTGCAGAATGCTCCTTGGAGACTGGATCTGCCACCTCTTTGGCAACAGCACCCCATTCTGCCTCTACAGCAGCCTCTTGGAGAATAGGAGGAGCTGATGGTCTGCTCACACCCCTAGGGAGGAATGGCAGGGGCTGCCCTCTGGGGTCTCCTGGGCTCTGCACCCACCCAGCCGATTCAGAGTGAACGCCTTTCTCCCCCATGACCAGGGCCGTCTTAAGCATATCCGGCGCCATGGTGCAAAGCTCCCTCGGGTGGCCCCCCTGTTTTCCAGAGTTTTTTAGGGAGGACGGCGCTGCTGGCAGGGTTGGAGGAGGCGGGCAGTGGCCGGAGGGCAGTTCCTCCGGCGGGGAAGAGGCAGAGGCTGGACACAGCGCCTTCCGGCTCAGCTGGCCACTTCGTGCCGCGGTGGCCATGGCAGATGGAGGCTCCGGGTGTGGCGCTGCTTCGGCACGCTACAGCAGGCGAGGGCGGTGAGCGGATGCTGGGAGGCGCCGCGTCCAGCTTCCGCCTCTTCCCTGGTGCCCTCCAGAACTTGGTGCCCTGGCACCCCACACCACTAGCCTCTATGGGTGTAGCAGGAAACCCCCCCCCCCAATCATTCAGTTTCTACAAACTTCACACACACTCACACTCACACACTACATACACTACGCTTCTGTTATAAATTCATAGAAAATCAACCATACATTGGATTTGCACTGTTCCACTTTTATTTTACTCCATGAAGGAAGGACTACAAAATGGGGAAGGTTTGATACAGGCCACCATAATCCCTTGAGCATACCAGCACATCCACAGGAGCCCTGCCCAGTTGCTATGCCAACCCTGATGGTCTCAGACAGAAGACCATCAACAACACAACGGACTGCATACACGAGTGGATTCAACACGGACTATAACAAAAGAACAGTGATTGGATTCCCCCTCAGGGGGCAGGAAACTTTTGTCTTCTGAAAATGACTCATGGGGAGGGGGAGAAGGGAACCAGCCAGGTGACAGGACACTCAGGTTACCACCACCACCCCTCCCTCAACCCCTCCTTTCTGTGATGTATGCATGATGTTTCTGGGGGTGGGCTTGACCTACAGGATGGGAATTTCAAAAGTTTTTATAAGGCCTTGCATACCATTTTTCTGTGTCTTTCCTCTCTCCTGCAAGTGAGGGGAACACCCTGTTGCAACAGTTCAATAAAGGCCAAGCCTACAGGCTGCTGTTTTGCTCCAAGTTATCCTGGTTGGTGTCTTTGTTTTTGTCCAAGGGAGCCCTTGGATTTTTCCGGTAACATGGGTAAGACGCCCCTGCCCATGACCACCTTTGATTCCTTCTTCAACCATCAGGTAAGGTTGATTTGATTTCCCCCTCCCTCGTTGCAGTTGTAGATCTTTACTCACCCCCTTGTTCCTAGTGTAGGATTTTATTCCACACACCCACCCTTGTTCCCAATGCAGATCTTCCCTCAACCCTCGATCCCTGGTGAGGGGAGGAGTCGTTTTGTGGTGTGCCTCAGGTGGCAAAATGTCTTGGGCCAGCGCTGTTGATGACAGCTGGAATACCTCACATTTCCTTTACCAATGTGATTGCAACTGCAGCTCTCTCTCTCTCAACATTCCTTTGGCATTCCTCAATTTAGACTCCATTCTATTATGTTTTCAAATTAAGGTAAGTCTGCGCTGCTGCCTATTCTTCGTTGTTTGAAAAAGGCTGTCAAAGCTACAAACTGACTATTTCTGCTGTTCTGCCATCACTTTCTTGAGAAATGTCCCCAAAGGCTTTTTTTTTTTTTAAAAAAAGAGAATTAAACTGTACCTTGAAGTGAATACTGAAAGCAACCTTTGATGTCAGACTATGAATTTTACACTACTCTTTTAAACTGAAAAACGAATTGCTAATCAAACGAAATTCTAAACAGAAAGAACAGGATGGAATGTACAAACAGCTTTATTTCTAGATAAAGGCTTCTTCAGATCACCCCCAATATCCTCCAGCCACACAAAGACCAATGTTGCCCTTTGATTATCCTTATTAGTCCAAATGGAAGACTGGGGACTAGCCAGATTATCGGTGGCACTGCACAAATACAGAGAAAACCAAGAAATGGTTGTAGCCATTTATACACTGTTTAACCTAAGAAGTTTCTGGTAACATGTGGTAGGGTTGCCATATTTCAAAAAGTGAAAATCTGGACAGAAAAGTTGTTGAGCTTTTTTGACTTTTACCCCAAAATTGAAGTGTTTTTGAGCTACTCTAAAGGGAAATTGTCAGAAATGACACTAATGACATGGGTTCCTGGACATTTCAGCGACTGCTGCCTAGGCACTGTACGGCAACCCTACATATGGACAGCGAGTGCAACCTTTTAGGCATCAGTTAAGGTGAAGGTAAAGGGACCCCTGACCATTAGGTCCAGTTGTGACCGACTCTGGGGTTGCGGTGCTCATCTCGCTTTATTGGCCGAGGGAGCTGGCGTACAGCTTCCGGGTCATGTGGCCAGCATGACTAAGCCACTTCTGGCGAATCAGAGCAGCACACGGAAACGCCGTTTACCTTCCCGCCGGAGTGGTACCTATTTATCTACTTGCACTTGGACGTGCTTTCGAACTGCTAGGTGGGCAGGAGCAGGGACCGAGCAACAGGAGCTCATCCCGTCGCGGGGATTCAAACTGCCAACCTTCTGATTGGCAAGTCCTAGGCTCTATGGTTTAATCCACAGCACCACCCGTGTCCCACGGTGGCATTAGAAGTCTTGCCCTTGCAATGGTCTAACTGCAGCATTTTGCTTGGGGCCTCCAGTCCAGGCTTGGGCGTAGCCCCAGAGCGCATTGCAGTGCATTTCAAGGGACAGCAGGCATTTCCTATTTTACACATTTCATTTGTGTCTCAGCAAATGAAAGTGAATGCATTACACAGAGTAGTGTTTTGGATACTAAGACCCAGTTTAGAGGAAGCCACTGCAAAAATGGCACAATGGGTCGAAGGAGTTGCTGAGTCCCAACACAAATGGTTTGTTCTGTGGTAACGATGCAAACAACAAACATGCTCTTCCAAGAAAGTAGCAATTTGCAACGAAAACGATGTAATATAACCTAGCAGATGTCGGCTCAAACCCCAAATCAACTACAGACCCATGTGAATTCCATTCACAGCACTATGTTTGGCCTTAGATTCCCATCTGCAAAATGTGAAGAGACTGCCTTCCTTAGAAGGATGCACAATTGTACAGTGCTCTGTACAGCTAAAATCGTAATGAAATGCCATATATGCCTATATAACACACCCCTTGGAAGACTCAACTGATGAACTGTTACGTCTTACCCAAAGTTTTATATCTGATATTGAATCATTTTCAATAAGTAAAGCATCTTTTGGGCAAATCATAATTGCGGTAATTCTGACAGCTGGTAACATGCAATGCAGAAGTAGAATTCTTCCTAACAGTGCAGGAAAACGTACAATACCGCCAAGTTGTTAAGTACTGTAATTTAACTCAGGATGTCATTTCATGCAGAACAGCAAGTGAGTGGTTAAGAGGCCAACACATTCCTTTGAGAGGACACTCCCTTCTAGTTGGCACTTGTGTTTCAGGATAGCGTCTCAGCAATTTGCCTGTCTGTAATGTGCATATATTATATCCCATATAATAGGATAGGTCCCGTATCACCATTCATGGGCTACCCTGCACTTTCAACGGTTAGCATTTGGGCTATTATCTGTCTGCCTCCTTTGCAACAGAGCCAGCATCCATAAATTGAGGGGAATTTCATTTTCATGAGGGGAAGAGGGGATTTTGTTGAAAAGGGAAGCTTTGCTAGAAATAACACATACACTCAAAAAACCCATCAGCCTCATTTTGCCTATTTGAAGTTAGCTGTTCTTCCTGTCTTTTATGTGGATACTGTATAGAGGTTCGAAAATGCAGTCTGAGTGAAGACTCCTCCTTAGTTACAATGCTGTGCACTCCCTCTTTTACACACACACACACACACACACACACACACACACACACACAGACTGCATTGACACGTCTACAAGAAGGGTAAGCAAGAATATTTAGTTGTTGACTGTATAAAAAAAGATTGCAATAGGCTTTTATATGCCTGTTTTGCATGTCTTTCAGCATATGCTTATCGCGGCATTTGAGTTATTTGTTTTGTGGGACATCTCTTCTGCTGAATCTATACTGTTCTGTTCCATTTGGAACTCTTTTACTTGTTTCAGTCATTGTGTAATGGTTTCTTATGTTTTATAACTGCATATTATTTTCGTCAAATCTACCCTGGGACCTTATGGTGAAGGGTAGGTAAGGAGTCTTCTGAAATAAATATGTAAATGTTCCCTTGTAATGTCAGACTCTCCTTAACAAGAAATGGTGTGTTTTGTGTGGCGATGCCAGGTTTATGATATGCGCTACCCATCCACAGAGAGTTTTAGGCACCAACAATGGAGCTGGTTACTTTAGCAAGACGTCTTATGAAAAGTATGTATTTTTATTATCTTCTTGTCCAATTACCAATGTTATAATCCTGATTCAATAAGGTATTTTGCTTTGATTTTATGTTATGCTGTTTTGGTTTCAACCAATATTTTGTACACTGCATAGATATATTTTTATATGACTTGTGAAATGAAAACCACCACTGTACAATGTGTCATGTACTCCTAAAATTTCAGGCAATGGACAAGACCTGATATATTACTATGAAGCCTCATTGTACTTGCTGGGTGATCTTACTGAGGTAGTGGAATGGATCCTAGACTTAATGCCAATCTATGTGCTCTTCCGAGGCCTGCATCTGCTGGTTATGAGGAGTGTGTTCCTGTAGAATATGAAAAACCCCATAGAAGAGTAAATGGGACCTGCAGCTGAACCTAAAATTTCCGAAAACTTGGAAATTGCTGGGTACTTTGTGGGTCTTCACCAATGCCCTTTTCCGACATGTAGATTATTTTCACATAGTAAAAGTGCCAGGCATGAAGAAGCTCACAGCTAAGTCTCACTTGAAACCCAAGGAAAGTTAGTTATTAACTTACATCCCATTTTTGGCCCCACTGATTACATCTGTTTTTCTCCATATCCATGTAAGCGCCTGCCAACAGAGGATAACAATTCATGCATCTGACAGAATGGGCTCTAGCCATAAAAGCTCATGTCCCAATAAATCTGTGTAAGTCTTCAAGATAATGCAATACTCTCTGTTGTCCAAATCTCATTATTTTCAGTGGAACTAATAGTGCAATTGGAAGAAAGTCCCACTGTGTTGAGCGGGACTTACTCCCGTGTAAGCGTCTTTAGGATTGCATGACTGACTGAATTGAGATCTTGCAGTGAAAGAGAGGGAAATGACTGCGCTACATCAGCTCAGTGGTTGATTCATGTCAACATCTCACTTCTAGCAGTGGGTAAATCTTAATGCTATAAAGGTAAAGGACCCCTGGATGGTTAAGTCCAGTCAAAGGTGACTATGGGGTTGCAGCGCTTGTCTCGCTTTCAGGCCGAGGGAGTGGGCGTTTGTCCACAGACAGTTTTCTGGGTCATGTGGCCAGCATGACTTAACTGGTGCAAGAGAATACCATGACGGAAACCAGAGCGCACAGAAACGTTGTTTACCTTCCCGCCGCAGTGGTACCTATTTATCTACTTGCACTGGTGTGCTTTTGAACTGCTAGGTTGGCTGGAGCTGGGACAGAGCAATGGGAGCTCACTCCGTTATGCTGATTCGAACTGCTGATCTTCTGATCGGCAAGCCCAAATGGCTCAGTGGTTTAGACCACAGCGCCACACGCATCCTATATAATGCTATGAGAAGTCATACGACAACGGAGAAAGCTAATGGAGGGTTCCCATCAAGCATTTGACAATTTAGAGCATCCGGGAGCATGCTAAATATTAAGATGAATGGCCTGAACGTCCTAGCTAATAAGTACTGTTGACAGCTGAAAGTTTGCTCTTCAACTTGAAACACTTTAAAATCTGTTGTACTTCTTATGAGGTCTAAAATTGTAGAGGGTCACCCAGTCCAATGCCCTGCAATGCAGGAATTTCAACTAAAGCAACCATGACAGATGGCCATCCAATCTCTGCTTAAAAACCTCCAAGGAGGGAGAGTCCACAATATACAGGGTTCCTTCCCAATGCAGAGAAGTCAATGGAGGGTAGACAACAGAAATCTGCTCAAGACCAACACATACTCAACAAATACATATTGGCCTAATTAGAGCTGGAAGATGGTCCAAGTATACAATATACTCAAGACCACTTTTTTGGAGAGTAGCTAGCCCATGCCAAACCTGAACAGCTTTACTCTCTTACAAAATTGAACAAAAATTCATCTTACATGTTTGAAAAGTCATTAATCCAAGATGCAGCACCAGCCACTTGCAGGGGGTGAAGGGTAAAAAGTCTAGTACAAACTACAGTATCCCAAGTCAGGGAAAGAAAGGAGCTTAAGATGGTACACAGTACATGGTTGTCTATTTCCATTCACTTTGAGGAGGTTTTGTTGATGATGACAGATGCTGTAAACCTATAACCTGGACCAAATTTGACTATGGTTGCTTATGACAAAATAGTATTGCAGAATGATGGTTTGGAAACTGCTGGTTTTACCTGTATTATGATAAATGTGCGGTCATGCTTACTTACTTCCAGTCTGTTGAGATCCCAGCACCTGAAGGCAACATACACACAGAAGGGGAATCTATGCTAGCTGAGTTGGGGGGCTCACATATCATGCTTTCCGCTGGATTACACAAGGCCTTTAAAAAGTCATGTTGGGTCTGGGCACAGGAGAAGGGGCACAATAGCTCATCTCCATTGCTGGATGGGAGAGCACAGCCCTGGAGCCAAGCCCCAGCTCCAAGCTGAGCAGCAAGGAAGCAGAGGACCAGGAAGGTGAAGGAAGAAGGAATCCAGACTCCTTGCTGGGCTGGGAAGTGGGTCTTGGTTAAAAAATTGAGCTAAGCCCAAGCTCCAAGCTGAGCAGGGTGACACAGCAAAGGAGCAAATCTCCTTTCACCCCTATACTTTTTTGTGGGTCTCCAACTGTGTGAATAAAAAATAAATAAATAGAGGTAACCATCTTATAGAAAAATTACATTTATTGCTAACTTGCACTTTTGAATAATAATGTTGCACACATATCTGAGTGTAACCTCCACTGAACACAATGTACCCGATTCCATTCTGAGTAAACAGGCATATGTTTGTGCTGCTAAACAGCCTGCCTGAATACACACAGACTCCTTACCGTTCCGTTTCCATCAGCACCAAACTCTCTCTTACAGGAACAGCTGCAATTACACCCCAGTTAGCAAGCTACATTTTAAACCCACAATTGATGCAGACATTGTGCTTATGAAAGCTTTCTGTAACTAAGCTACTTAACCGAGTGACTTGCAGCAGTAGTAATAATAATACTGATCATTTGGCACCCCAGACAAAAGTAGCTTTAAACAAGCCCTGGGCTAGAGAATTCCCAACCGCCTCAGGTGCCCACTAAAGCCTTGTTGCCTGATCTCTGGAAGTCCAGCTCAGAAATGCTCTGGCTTTTGAGATTTCACCAAGTGTTGCCAACCTGTATACCTTTCCACAAATTGCATCCCATTCTTTTACACCGGAGTGAAACATGTTTGCTAGATGGGCCCCATGCCTTAAAAAGGAATTTTAATATCATTTCTTTGGGAGGTCATCCTGACACCTCCTCTTATTATCTGCATTTTGTACCTATTCTCAAGGCTGTTTATTCTACTATTCTCAACAAATGTGTAGGAACATGAGAAGAGCTTCATCAGATCACACCAAGGGTCCTTCTACTCCAGCATCCTGTTTTCTACAGCGGCAAGAAGACTCTTCTCATGTTCTCTTGATGTTGCTCCTAGCAACTGGTACTCAGAATCAAACCACCTCTGAAATCTGTCAACTGCATTTAAGTCATCCTATCTAGTAACTATTTATAGAATAATAAATTTGCCCACTTTCCAGTTCAAGCCATCTAAGCTACTGGCCACAACCTCAACTTGTGCTAGCTAATTCGATAGGTTCTCTGTGAAGAAGTACTTTCTTTTGTCTGCCTTGAATCTTCTGCCAATTGGTTTCTCTGGATCACTCAGAGTTCTGGTATTAAGAGAAAGGGAGAACATGAAAGACCATTGAAGTATGCTGGGCAGGGGGCGGGGGCGGATCAGGTTTAATTATTTTTAAAGTTTCAAACATAGTCTTGAAGAGAGCTTTGTTTTCAGCTGGAACTCAGCAAAACTGTGTTCTGGGACCTCTCAGGTGGGCGCCATTGCCTTCTAAGTCACAGGGGTCAGCAGACTTTATCAGCAAGGGGCCGGTCCACTGTACCTCAGACCTTGTAGGGGGTCAGACTATTTGGGGGGGGTGAACGAATTCCTAAACCCCACAAATAACCCAGAGATGCATTTTAAATAAAAGGACACATTCTACTCATGTAAAAACATGCTGATTCCTGGACCATCCACGGCTGGGTTTAGAAAGCGATTGAGCAGGATCCGGCCCCTGGGCCTTAGTTTGCCTACCCATGTTCTAAGAGAACGAGGGAGGCATTCATGATGACTTCCAGAACCTCTTTTTCTAGAAAAATAGCACTGGTCTTGAAAGTAGGTGGGCAAAGCTTGATGAAATTGCAAAAGTTAGAAATTCTGAGTTGAGATTCCCAGTGGTCATGGGGGAAAGGCTTCAGTGACCATCTGAGAGGGCTGAGACAAAGTGACTTCGTGTTTCCTTAGGCCAAGGTAGGAAAGCGTCATGGGTAGGGATGCAGGCAAGAATTTCTTCTCCCTCTTTTCTCTCACAGGGAGGGTTTTGCCCTTTGTCTGCCTTACATTTTCCAACCCCAGTATTCAGGCACCGTCACTGAATGATTTCCTCAACACCTGAGGATGGCTGACTTGGAAAGAGGTTGTGCTGAGTTTGCTTGGGCAGGGCCACGGCTCCAACAGAGGTCAGTCAAGAAGGAAAGGCCAGCTCCTTTGAAAGGTCAGGCAAGATGCACTAGTTTGTTGAGGGATCTGGTTTCTCAAGGGAGAAGCCAGTGGAGATAGTCAGTTTCTCCTACAGCTCCCCTACCTTTCTGCATCTTTCCCAGCAGACTTTCTAACTACTCTGCTGGGGTGGTTAGTTGTGGATGAGCCTCACAGGCTCACTGAATTCTTTTTTCTCTTTTGTCATGGACCACAAGGGCAGGCATCAAGCTGTAAAGGCTTGTATTTTCTCTTTGTGGGTCTGTCTCCTCCCACAAAGGTGTATTCCGAAAGACTTACAGCAACATCTCTCTAGACAACCATTCAGTTTTCCTTAATTTCCTTAATTTTATGCAAGTTGCAGAATTCAGCTTTTCTTGATGCAGAATTTCAGGCTTTTTTCTTCTTTTAAGAACAGATAATACCCTGCATTTTATCAGCACTCATATATAATCGCTCACATATATTCATTCACATATTCTAATGGCTGGATAGAACTTCGGATTGCAAGTGTTACAAAGGTTTTTGCATGAGCAGGAATGCAAGGAATGGGTTGTTGCCTATTTGCTATCTCTAAATGTGGGTAGCTGCACACTGGCAACCAAAATCTCTTTCCTTCTCTACCTCACCAAGGAAAGAACCAGCATTTACAATTGTGCAGGAAAAGAAAACCATTGCGATGATATGGAACAAAGCTAATCCTGTTGCTGCCAGCTGCCAGTAGACACAAAACGATCTGAAAATAGCAACGGCGATTTTTTGTGCTCTGCAAGGGAAGACGCTGAATGTGAACAGTGAAGCGCTGACTGAAACAGCAGCTAAAAAATAAAATAAAATGACAGAACCGCCGTGCAAACAGCTGCTACAGATCACTCACCTTTGCATCTGCCCGTTAAATCTCAGCACATTTCTACAGCCACATTTGGGGGCAGTTCCTCCAGAAAATGCCATGCATCCTTTCTCGAAGAAACGAGCTGTGCTGCTGTCTCAGCACATTTTGTTTCATTTTTTTCCAGGGGCAGCCAGTACTACTGTCGCTTCTGAGTTTCACGGCGCCGCTCCAGTCATTCAGAATTAATATTTCCACAAAGCCATCCAACTTTAATACCGATATCCTTTAGAGACTTTTAGCAGGGGTATGGGAGACAAGGAATGAGGGAGGGAGCCTGGGGAATGTGGTTTATATGTGACTCATCCATAACATTTCCCCTTGCAGAGAGCCTTGGATTGCATCAGTACTGTACTATGTACTGTAAGACGAGCCTCAAAAACAAAACATGGGTCGGCAGCTCCCGTCTAGCTAGCTCATAACCAAGGACCCGATCCTGGGCTTCTGACGCCCCCCTGTGCTGGAATCCAAGGGGAGCGCTTGTGGAAGGAGTGCCAGGATCAGATCCCCGAGGCTGTTTATAGATTGGACAATGGCACGGGCGGGCTCCTTTCAACGTACACTTCCCTAAAGCTGCAATTCTATTTTCGTTTCTCCGGGCTGAAGAGCAACACTGCATTTGATTTTGGGGGGATGGGGTGGAGGAGAGAGAAAGAGAAACCGAGTTCCCTAACTGACCCCACAGCACCAGAACCACATTTGGTTCCCCCACACAGTGTCACAAAATCGCCTTCCTAAATATGCGCGCCCTGGAAAGGCTGGGGAGGGGGCACTTTATTTTGTGGAGGGTTCTGGATCCTTCCAAGCATTCACGAGAAGACGGCAAGTCCCCACCCTGCTGCTCCCCCGTGTGTGTGGGGAGCCAAAGGCATTCCCCAAGTCGAGGCGCCATTGCGCCCCGGAGAGGCGCGCGAGAGACGCGCCGGGTGCCTTACCTCACAGACGCAGCCAATGGTCGGTTGTCGCCTGAGGCGTCGAGGTCCGGCCCGGGAAGGCTTCTTCTAAAAGGGAAAGGCTGCAGCTGCCGAGGTCGAGCGGGCGCCTTCTTCTTCTTCCTCTCCCTTCCTCGCCTCTGGCTCCCCTCACAGAACTCGCTTGGCAGGGAAGCGGCGTCGTTTCCCCGCTCCAAGCTGCGTCTCCACGTCCAGCCAACTTTCCTCGCGCGCGCCCAGATACTCCCCCCACAGAGACACTCCCCTTCTCTCACACAATCTCTCTCTCCTCCTTCTCTCTCTCTTTCTTTCTACGCTTCCTTCTTTTTTTTTTAAAGCAACGCACGGGAAGGCGAAGGGCTCTCCTTCTACTCCACAACTACCAAATGACTTTACGGCTCCCCGCAGCAGCCGCCGCTGGCGTTTCCTCGCTTTTGCGCGCCGAAATGCAGAACCTTGGCTCCCTTCTGCGTTCCCGTGCATTGCTAGCTTCTGCCTGGAATTGAGGAGGAGGTGTGTGTGTGTGAGAGAGAGAGAGGTGGAGAAAATGAGAGAGAAAAAGGAAGATCATGACAAGCCAAGGGGACATAGCCGGCATATTTTCTCGATGAGGCATTCCAGAGGGGGAAATAATATAGCGAGGAGTTTCTCACAGACGAGGCACACAGCCTAAAACACGTCTCTCCGCCCTCCGAACAGGATCCTGAGGGAAATGGCCCCACTTATTTGGTCAGATTTTGTGTCAGACTTTTAAGACTTCGTTCCTCACAACTTGCCCCGGTTGCGAGATGCGATTTCTCCTGCGATTCTAGCACATTGGGGCAGACACCGAAGAGGCAAAAGAGGAAAAAATAAGTAGCGGGTTAGATGGGTGGCCGAAGAGACTAGCCATACACAGAGGGCAATAGTTCACTAGGTGACTCACTGAACTGCTTCAGAAGGATCCAATAATCTCCTCCTCAAACTATTTTTTTCCATAAATAAGCCCCATAAATAAACTCCCTCCATCAGGACATGTAAACAAACCACACTTTATGTACTCAGATTGAATTATTTACCACATTCATCCATTCAAGGAGCTAAGAATCTCTCAGCAAATTGTCCATGAAGCAAACGGTGGTGCTGAAAGATTGTGACAGGTTTTTCTTTGGTTGGTTGCTTAACACCAGTAATTTCCATTTTCAAGTACCGTTGTAGCTGCTAACTGATGGACAAAATATGGGATTTTTAAAAAACTGGCTTCAGCAGAGCAATCCTATGCCAGTTTACTCAAAAGGAAGTTATATTGTGTTCAGTGGAGTTTTGCTCCCAGGTAAAATGTGCATAGCTTTTATTATTATTATTATTATTGTGTGGTATTTTGGAGCAATGCAATGTCAGCTCCATGGCAGTTTAAAACTACCTTGTTTCTTGTCCTTCGCTTCTGGTCATCCAGGGCTGAAACTATGACCCATAAAAAGCAATGGGAGTTTGCTAGTAGCTTGAAAAGGAGTTCAGTTACATGTGGCATTTCTAACAATATTATTAAGAAATGATCAAACAAAAGGATGCTTCATGCAACTTGCACCTTACTTTACACATACAATACACATGCTTTACACATACTTTACACATACAAAGGATGCTTCATGCAACTTGCAACTTACGTTACACATACATACAAAAACACGAATTCCAACAAGCATATTTGCAAGTGTGTGTGTATTAAAGAAAAACACTTGGCAAGGAAGAAACAGAGGAGATTGCCTCTCTATTAGGTAGAGTTAGGGAACTACCTCAAGCAACTGATTTGGAGTGCCCTAAATCCCAAATAGTAATCACTTTGGCAAAATTAAATAGTTTCCCCTCTGTGTTTATGTCAGGATGCTTCAGAGGGATTTCCCTAGAAAAGTGCTGGTGTCCCAAGAAAACTTGGGATGGAGTTAAGTATATGTGCTGTTACTAAACTGTTGCTCCTTTTCTTTAGTCTCCACTGGCAGACAGGGTAATACTGTTATGAATTTGTGGGTGCCAGACTTCTAATCCGTATAATCCTAGCAAGTGTCAAAATATAAATCAGGCAGAAGTGATTGACTGACGAACGGGCCATTAAGAGAACCAAGGAAAGGGGGCTTTGTGCCAGATGGCAAAATGGGTGGGGCTCCTCCTCTTCTCTCTCTTAGATCACGAGTTGGACAAAGCAGGAGTTGAAGGGCAGAGTTGATTCTGTGAACCTCTCCATCATATGCTCAGGTTGTATATATGCGTACCGGTAACTACCATATTTTTCGCTCGATAAGACGCACTTTTCCCCTCCTAAAAAGTAAGGGGAAATGTGTGTGCGTCTTATGGAGCAAATGCAGGCGGGAGGCTCTGCTCAGCGCTCCCTTTAAAGAGCCGCGTGGAGCGTGTGTGCGGCTCTCTGGGGCTTTTCCCTTCTCCCTCCTCGAGGAAAAGCCCCCAAGAGCTGCACACACGCTCCACGTGGCTCTTTAAAGGGAACGCAGCTCTTGGGGGAGCCTTAGCCGTACGCAGCCTCTCCCGGGCAGGGGAGGCTACGCGCGGCTAAACAAGAAGCCAGGACAGCCATCCGGATCGCAGCGCAGCAATCTCGCTGGTTGTCCTGGTTTCTTGCTTGGCCACTCGCAGCATCTCCCAGGCTAGGGAGGCTGCACATGGCTAAGGCAGAAGCCAGAACAGCTAGACGGAGCGCTGCGCAGCTGTTCTAGCTTCTGCCTTAGCTGCGCGAAGCCTCCACAGGGCAGCGGGGGAGCCTTCATCCCGCTCCCCCGTGGAGGCTTCGCGTGGCTATCCCTGGCTTTTGCAGGAGAGCAACGCGCTCTGTCCCTTCTCCCACCTCCCAGAAAAGCCCCCAGGGGCTGCGCTCCCTTTAAAGAGCGTGCAGCTCTTGCGGGAGGTGGGGGGAAAGCCAGGAGGCTTGCTTTTGCTGAAGCCAGAAGGGCAAGAGGGATCGGTGTGCACCGATCCCTCTTGCTCTCCTGGCTTCATGGATAGCCCCGCAAAGCCTCCTGAGCAAAGATGGAGGAGCGCTCCCTCTTAGCTCAGGATGCTTTGCAGTGCTTTCTTATTTCTTGTTTTCCTCCCCTAAAAACTAGGTGCGTCTTATGGTCCGGTGCATCTAATAGAGTGAAAAATACGGTAAACCATAAATCCTGAAGACACCACACTCTTGACTGTGCCTCATTTTGAAAAGGAAACACAAACCCTGGAGTTTTGCACTGCTGGGAGATTGGGGTGTCATGCAACAATACCACACCCTAGCTTTTGTTTAGTGTGAAATTCACATGCAAACTAAGAGCCCGTGCTCAGGAGAGTGTACATTTTGTTCTTAAAGCAATCTATGGGGAAAAGGTTAAAATGAGACAGTGCTTTCTGGTGGCTTTCCACTGTGTGCATCATAGTCACAATGGAGACGAGCTCTGATCCACTATGTTATGTGGGCTGTCATTTGTATCCTCTTTCATATGACTAGCATACAACCTAGTAGGGATAAAGCAGGCATAGGCAAACTCAGCCCTCCAGATGTTTTTGGGACTACAATTCCCATCATCCCTGACAACTGGTCCTGCTAGCTAGGGATCATGGGAGTTGTAGTCCCAACACATCTGGAGGGCCGAGTTTGCCTATGCCTGGGATAAAGGATCAAAATAAATGTTGCGTGCAACTTCTGAATTTTCTAAACATACATTTTGAATTTCTGGGATCCAAGTTCTTTTTTAGTTACAAAGTTCAAACATGCATCTTATATTATGCAGTGCGGTGGGGATTTTGGGAATCACTGAGGATTCTTATAGAATAAAGCTGTTATTGCAAACCAGCTGGGAAAACAGGATTCAACAAAAGACTCGGACAAAGGTCTTGGAGCGGAATGTAGCTATAAGATAAAAGGCTGTAAAAGATTTACAAATTATATCTGGATGTGGGAAAGTGAAGAGAAAAATCTGGAAAGTGTGCAAAAAAGTGTCCTGCTGTTTAGTTCATACATCAAATGTACATGTTCAGCCAAAGGTCAGGTAGTTTATTTTTCCATTTGATTCATAGACTGGTGTGGGTGTGGGTATATAGCACATGCATTTCTGTATTAGGAAAGTAAATGCTAAAGCATATCAGGATGTTGTCCAATAATTTACGTATCATTTGTACTTATCTAAAATATTTAGTTTTTGTGTTAATAATTTTCCAACTTCAGCCATAGCTCCAAAGTTGGTTTTGCAGTCTGTAGTCATTTAATGGTTCACGTGATAGGAAACATTTTTCATTTGAGCCAGTGCTTCTTTTGTCTGCCAGGAAAAGTCCAAATATCCAGAGATGCCAGAACGCCATAAAGGTAATTTAATAAAAAACCCACTTCTCCTTTATGGAGAACTACATAGTTATGTGGCAATGCATATAACAGCATCCCAATGCCGTTTTTTTGTTAAAGAGCAAAACAAATTTGGGAAGGGAGGAATCTATAGAAGAGGGATGGCAGGAGGGGGAGCCTCAGATGCTGCTAGGGAACACAGGCAATCTACGAAAATGATGAGTTCAATCTAAAACCTCTAAAAATAATAGTCATTTTAACATCTTTTCATAGGAGTTCAGCATAAATCAGGGTCACTTCTTAACTGCCCACACATAAATAATTAAATGATAAAATCATTCCTTAGAAGAGATCTGTATCCTTTCATAACTGAATGCAGCTGCTGACAATCTGGCCAAATCTCTCTATCCACACATTTTCCTACCCTAAAAATAGCCTATACAGATGACATTTATGTGCTCTTTCACAGCAGAACTGCAGGCTATAGCTCTTGATAAAATATGCATTATAAAGGCATTAGAACCTACTGTTCTGCATTCACTAACATATAAATGTACAGTGGTTTTTTTAATATACAGTTACTGACTCACACTTGCATGCATGAAAGGGTTAACCTTTGTTTCCTCCCTCTCAGTTTTGTTCTCTTCATGCTTCTTGGAACCAGTGAAGAAGGAGAAATGTGGCTCAGCTCCCAACTCAGCAAATGCGGCTTGTGAATGAAGAATCTCTCTAAAATGAGATTTTATAGCCTGCATCTTTGCTAACCTAAACATTGCATGATCCTTTTTTTGTAACCAATTCCTTTTCATTTTTAAGTTTCTTGTAAACTTTTTTCTTATTTATTTTACTTCCTATGGATGGAGACTTATTTGCTTTAACTTCTGGAAACACGGTGAGTAAAACCTTCACTCATTTGCAAAGCTAAGTGCCTGTAATTTATTCTAGCCTAAGTATTTTTGTGGGGAACATTTGTTTAAAGGTGGATGAGGGTAGATGTAAATCTAACCAAGTCTGAATATGCTTCAAGTAATTGTCATTGGGCTTAACTCTGTTACTGGAGAGTAGGATCTCTTTTCCAAACCTCTCCCCAAACCTCTTTGAACCTCACTACACAAGTACAGTTTTCGCAAAACTTTCCTTTGCCACATTAATACTTGGTGATCACCATCTCAACAAGCATCTACAAGATCACCACACACACATACAAAAATAAACTCAGGACTGATTTCAGGAGCACCCTCCCATACTCCAAATTTGGGGATTTTAATTCCAAAGTTTTGCATAGTGAGATTATTGGCATTGCATGTATGTGAAAATGACAAA